TCTGTCGTCACTCGTGAAGTTCGAGACGGAACGCGTAGGGCATCCAGAGCCACCCCAGGTCAATTTTTGGATGGAGACTTGGCTACGATCAGGAGCATCACGTCCGACAATCTCCGTAGTAGGAAGGGCTTATGCGATGGCTGCAAGACCAAGCGTTAAAAGTGAGGACAACAACATATCGAATCTGTGTTGAGAGACTTTGATGTGGAGGCTGTGTAAGCGAAGAACTGTTAAGGTTTTTTAAGGAGATTATGCGAATGGAGATGGAAACAATATTGAGGGTTCTATGTCCTTATCTTATACTTTCCATCAGATTAACATGTGTTGTTGAGTGAGCTGGCAACTTTTGCCCACCGTGCTAAACGAGCCAAGTGTTTGTCCCGCAGCAATACCGGCACGCCTCACTCAGTAGCATTAAGACCCCAGTCTAAAGATTAATACGAGAGCGTCGACTAAGAGCTTCCAAGGGAAGGTAGTAATTCTATCAAATCGCCTTAAGACTCTGAAGAAGAAACGGGTTAGGGTCAGCAGATGCAACCTTAAAGTTGCCATAAAGTTTGGTTATAGCCAGCAATCGAAAATCGTGGTTTAGGTAATCCCGCCCTTAGATTGTGGCTTCTTTATCTGCCCTGATCTTGTACTTTTAGAGTCGCCTTCACGAGATTATTGAATGATAGTGAAACGAATTAGAATAAAGTGATATATATAACCGAAGGTCACCCTCTAAAATCTTGATGACATCGCCTGCCAGCAAATTACCTTGTGAGGAGATTTCCTGTCAAAGTATTGACTTTGCACCTTGGAGCCAGGTTCCTTTTCATTAGTGGATTGGAGTAGCAGGGGTTTTAGTTGAACCATATTATCAAACTCTGCATATGCTCGTTTATTTAGCTGAACCATAGTATCGATTAAGGAAGCGAGACAGCTAGCCGAGCAAATGAATAGGTTTTGTGGCCATTATATTTTAGGCATGTGCTCTGCATATACTCTCCTTATGCGGGCTAGGAAGGTTCGGGTTAGTCCCGAGCTTGCGAGGGGGCTTAGGGTCAGGGGTTAGAATCCGGGTTAGTTCCGGGGGATTGGGGGGCGGTGAGAGCCCCCCGTATTGGAATATATTAAAGCGTAAAGGCCTTACGGATTAGGGGTTAGGGGTTAGCATATGCTAAGCATATGGGTTCAATATACTGAGCATATGCTAGAGCAATAATAATAATAAAGCAACATGTATTCTAACTTACTTATGTGCTGCTTCTTAGTAGTAAAGGTTAAGCATATGTTGGGAGTATGCCTGGCGGGCCGTTGGGAGGAGGTCGAGGCTGGAAGGGTGTGAACAAGGACAGGTGTCTATATATCATTAAAGATAGTGAGTACAGTGTGGTTTTTGGTGAGGGAAGTTGAATCATATTATGGAAAATACAATGGTATTCTCGCTACTGATAATATGGTTCAACTTAAGCGATACTATGGTTCAGCTACTGGCTCGGAGTAGCGAGATGGTCGTGCAAAGAAAATACTCTTTCTCTCGAAAATTTGACGATTCGTGCTTGCAATTTCTCGTCATACGACAGCGCTGAGGCCTCAGACTGAGCTCACCTAGATGAGTTTTCAATTAACAAGACTGTCAGGAGCTGAAGCGTACCTAATGTATTTGTTGGTAAAAATAGACCTTTTCTCGTCTATCTAGATTGCAAGATTCTCGGCTAAATAAGGGGCTTCAGGGCTTCGGCAATTTCGCTAGCCCGAACCCCACAACCCACGATAATCTGGGGAAAGGAAGGATGGACCGCTTTCGGAAGACACAGCTAGGTATGGTTGCCCGAAACGCTAATTTTCATCAATCGTTGCATCCTTGATAACAATTGCCCAGATCGGAAATGTAACTACTTGGGATGATGCTATTATCAGAGCCAATCATTCCTCGATTTGGCGATCTCGGACTATGGGAGAAGTGTTTTGAACGCTGAAACTTAATTAAAGTTTTCAAGTTATTCCCAAAAGGTGGAGGCCAGGCTATGAGTTCTTCTGGCACCACCAATCGGCTTCTTGACGCCCATGCTTACTCGATCCTTGACCAGCACAGGTGACTGAAAGCTCTGCTGTGTTCATGATTTGACCTTGACACGCTGTGAGAAAATAAAGTTGCGTGATTTTTTAAACAGAATTTAAATGGAGGAGAAAGAGCAGTAACACATGGTCAAACTTGAAATCATTCCATGTCTGGTTGGAAAGAGAACGTAGGGAATGGAAAATGGCAACTAGGTCTATGCCTGTCACGGCCTGGACAAGCTGTGGAAGTGGAATGTGGTGTGTTTTGGTGTAAATATGTATGAATGATGGTGCCCTAAGGGCGGTGAAGAAGCAATATGTACGCCTGTGCGCAGCACGTGACAATGCCCTAGCAACGACCGGCTAACCAGATCCCCATAGCTAGCACCCGCTCTTAGATCAACGCTTACCTTGCATACCGGCTGAAAACAGTTTCATGGATTCGGACTCAGAAGGCGTTGCGGCTTAGGACGATTATGTGCATCGGGGGCGAATAGGCAGGACTAGGCTTGCCAAGTCATCAGGAAGGAATTTTAGCTTAAAGTCCCTTGACACAGCTTGCGATCAGGTCGACACATTCCGCCGTTTTTTGCGGAGTAAAAGTCGTATAGGGCCAAACTCACCTCTCGTGCGTACATGGCCCCACGGTTCTGAACCTCCGCATCTAAACTGGTCCGATTATCCAGCTGAGGTGTCCCAAAGGGTCGAGAGGCGCCCAAGCCGTGTAACGGAAGACTATGCCGTAGGTCCCGATATTCTGTGTCTTCCGAACCTCGAACGTCGAGGCGAAGTTACCAACATGTGTCCCTCTCTGTTAACAATATCCAGCTCTATTTGCAACAGCTACTAATTTTATAATCAGCTCTGGCAAAATTCTGTACCGCTCGGAAATTTCGTCCTGTTGTGAAATTCGAGAGCGATGGACTTGTTGTCTCGAAATAGATCTTTAGAATCCCCGGAGCCGGAGGCGACGGGGGCTTTGATCGTGGGAGTCACTGCGGAGGAAAGTCTGAAATTGAGTGTTCGTTAGTAACAATTTCTTTTTTCAAGGTCAATAATGGGAGTTTATCGAAAACCGCAGATGTGTAGATAGCGTCATCTGGAAGAATCAACCTGGGCCGTGGAATGCTGGAATGCCACTCGCAATTTGTGGGGGTTCTCCTTCATTGCATTTCTGAGTGCTCTCGATAGATGACGTGCATTCACCATGAGCAGTTTAACGAGGACGCTGTAGTCGGCTGCATCGTTGATGTGCTCGGAGCAGCGGATCTGATGTTGATGTTGTCGATGTCGAAGTTGACCGAGAAAGCAGTACCCCGCACAACCTCCCCTTCTGCAGCTCCCACACCCCTGACGACTTCCCATAAGCGATGCAAAAGCAAGGAACTTGCAGCCATAATTTAGTAATGTGTTGTCATCTATATTATCATTAAAGTTCCAGGGTAGCTAATAATGTGACCCCAGTCCAGTCTAAACTGTGGTTAGCGGTTTGGTCTAGCTCTATCACAACGTTGTATAGTTTAGTGTAGGGTATTAAAACTTTGTCTTAGAAAGTATTTGGTAAACTACATTAAACCACAGTTTAACTGTGTTGAAAGCGCAGTTAGACTGCAGTTAGAGCCCCTTTTTGCCAGTTTAGTCAGTCGACTTTAAACTGGAGTTTCGAAATTGGAGTGTAGAAAGCAGTCTCAAGCAGCAGGTTTGCACTATTAGCCACCATGCATGTGGTGATTTGCTTGTCTTGGATTTGTGTTGATGGCGGGGATAAATAGAAGCGGCGTTGGCCCTTCGTCAAATGCCAAGTTTTCCGTGCCGCCCCCTATTCCGACATAACCACCCTCCTCAGCCGCAACATTATATTTACGTTCATTATAGGTTGCCAACAGTAGATAGCAAGTCACTGTGCTTCCTGTGCTGAAGAGGAGGGAGCATGAAATATATGGTTTTCACCTCTACCCAAACTCCCAGTTCCATTCTGTGCCCCAATCACCTTGCAAACGAGTTAATTGAAGCATAAAGTAAGCCCCCGTGGACCCTTTCTGTGGCTGCAGATCTGGTTGAAATTCATCTGGTGACTTAAAGACCACTGCGCCAAAGCTGCACGGGCACGTGCTTTTCAAAAAGTGTAGTGAACCCGCTGTCACTCTTTACTGCTGATCCCACTCAATCAATGCCTTCTTGCCTTCCACTCGTCGGAAAGAATCTGGCCAGCCGTGTGCATTGTAGATTGCTCGAACATCCTGCAGAACAATCAGCTCCATTCTTCATACACGGCACAGAATCGAAGATCGATAGTAACTCACATCAGTTCTCGTCGTATGACTCAGCATAGCTCCGTCATCCGGGTTGTCAGGGAGAATGACGGTCAGTTGCCAAATCACCTGGATTTACCCCCTATTTGACCAGGGTACCAGACCTTATATATAGACCTTTATATCTTTAGATCACCCTCTTAGAACTGCAATGGAATCCTGTGGAGGGTGAAGCACTTCAGAGGACGCGATGCGACGCACCTTGAAAATTGCCCGACTTACCGGAAGTACTTCAACCCATGAATTTTGAAGGTTTCAGGCTTGAGGCACGACGTCGTGGAGTTCTTTAAGATCCCACGATCAACTACTGTGTGAATAGTGATGGGAACATGATTCGACGCAAGTATCTCTAGCTCAATGACGAAAGAGGAAAGCGAAATTGTCAATCCATCACGTGGTACCCCTATTTCTCGCCACCCCTGAAAACTCCCACCGTCTACCCGCAATCTCAGGAGAATCACGTGTGTAAAGAAGGTCAACATATATGGCTTGAACAGCAAATGTATTGCTAAAAGCTCAATTCTCTGGTGTCAGGTGGGACATCCGGCATTTCATTTATTACAGCCCATCATCTATCTTTGCATCATTTTAAAAAGCAAACTGTGCAACCTCTCAAGAACCAGTAAGTCTGCGACCTAGCTCTCAATGCTGAACGCCAACTGTGGTATATCTACTCTGATCCGTGATCAACATGCCCGCAATGCTTGCACTAGTCAAGGTCGAAATGACCCCGGATATCAAAGCAGAAAAGGCGACTTTGGCGATGCGGCCACTCTGGCCAGGGGCCAACTGGGAAAGAACGCCGATTTGGATACCGACTGAGCTGATATTACCGAAACCGCAGACTGCATAGGTGGCGATGAGGCGGGATCGAGCTGATAGGGCGGCATAGCCTGCATCCTGGGTCAATTTTGCGAACTGGGGACAAGTTAGTGATAGGTAATTCGAGATGGGATCGAAAGACGTACAGCAACGAACTCATTTGCAACCACCTTAACACCAATCAATTGCGAGACCTTCAACAAGTCTCCGTTACGCTCCACTCCTAGCAAGAAAGCGATGGGGTAGAAGAGATAACCGAGAATCATCTCGACACTCAAAGGAGGGTTGTTGATGTTCAAGTAGTGTCCCCACCATCCGAGTAGACCATTGACTAGACCAAGAAGTGCGAGAATGCAAAGCAGCCCAGCAATGATCATACCTCCGATCTTGATACCCAACCACGATCCGTTCGCAAATGCATGGAGAGAGTTACTCGGCTTCTCATCTTGGTCTTCGGGGATGATGATCTTGCCTGCGGTGAGAGGTTCATCCGTCTCGGGATAGCGAAGCTTGGAGATGGCTAGAGAGGCTGGGATACTCATCACACACGATGACACGAGTGCCAATGGACTAATGCCCATAGAGATATAGGCTGCAAGAACGCTACCGGCGATCGTTGCGAAGCCAGAGGTCATGACTTGGTGGAGCTCCGCCGATGTGAGGTGAGGGATGTAAGGCTTGATCAACATTGCGGATTCTCCCTGGCCGACGAAGGGAGAAGCAGCTGCCACAACGGCTTCAGCGCCGCTGACTTTCATCCCGTAGAAGAACACGGTCGCGAACTTCTTGATGGCCCATTGTAGCCAGCCCCAGTAGTACAGAAGTTGGACGAATGCGACGAAGAAGATGATTGGTGGGATGACGTTGAGAAGGAAGTATCCGAGTTCCAGAGCTGAAGCGCTGAGGAGGAATGAGGTTCCTTGAGCGGCAAATCCGAGGAGGGTCTTGGCAAGGTAGGCGACGAAGTTGAAAATATCATACTGTTTTTTTCAGCTGGTGAATTTGATGGAGTTCGGATATTGGAGGAATACTTACACCAGCCTTTGTTCGCAACACAAAGAGTGCCAGCAGGAATTGAGCAAGCATTCCGACAATGACAGTCTGCCATTGAATCGCCTTGCGGTCCCGGGAAGTAGCATAGAATGTGCCAATGAACACAAGCAGACCAAACAAGCTCACTGCACGGTTTGCCCTTGTGTTGTCTGCAGATTCTGCAGGGATGAAAGTGCCCACGAGGAAGACAGCAATTGTTCCAGCAGCGCCAAGAGGAAGTCTGAACTTCTCTGGGATCATCTGGACTGGGTTGTAGACGGCCTTGATCCAGACAAATGCAATGGGCTTGGTGACATATTTGGTAGAAACATAGAGGGTGACGAGTCGGATAGTAAGGCCAAGCCAGACAAGGAAAGGAATCAACCAGCCCAGGTCGTATCTGTGAAGAACAAGTCCGGCAATCCACTTTTTTCAAGAAATGTTAGTCTGATTTCGGTGAAGAAGGAGAGGAGTAAAAGTGACGCCGTACCCAGCCAGTCATGACAAGCCAAATGAAGAAATGGCCAATCTTCCAGTAGAGGTTGAATGAACGTCTCTTCGCCCCTTCTTCCTCTCCGACAACATACACATCCGTGGCCGAATTGTTTGACTCAAGCCCCATGTCATTCTCACCGACATTCACCCCATTTTCGCCAGCTTCGATGTCTTTTTGTCCATCTCGGCTGGGAGCAGAATTAATCTTCTCATGCGGGTAGCTTGGAGTGGTCGCATTGGTCTTCTCCCCATAATTGGTGTCCATCTTTGCGGTGCCCAGGGTGTTGAACTGGTCGCAGTGGATGTTGAGAAGGGAGAGCTGAGGGGTATGAAGAATTCCGGGGGCGAGAGAGATCGGCTCGCTTGTCAAGAACGCGGAAAGGAGTGAATATTTATGTTCGCCTCCGAGTAGCTGACTCGAGAGCCTCCCCCCCCTCTCACATTTCCATGCAAGCTGTCCATGCTGTACCGTCGCGTGCCTCTATTGCACTTCCATGCAGCACGGTTAGGATAAGGGCCTTGGCCAGGATTGCTATCAGACTTTCAGCGGAGGCTAAGGCTGAGAAGTGATGCCAAGGCTGGGGATTTCATCCATTTTCGGAAGGTGACCATGCGTTCCAAGATCTGTATCATGGTTTCCATCAGCTTCATGTGAAGAGTGGCCAATTCCGACCGGATATCACCGTGCGGCTGCGTTCAAGTGAGACGGCATCGCAGAGTGTTGACAATCAAGTGGTTGAGAGGAGTTGGATGCAAGGAGAGAGCATCTCGAGCACCTTCCTTTTCGCGAGTGGGACCGTGGGAGGTCCAGGGGGCAATGTAGGTCGCCGTATTGTTGCAGCTACCTCGGGAACACTGCATTTTCGCCGCATGCTCGACGTCTCCTTCCCTCATAAAATCCGGACGGGATTGAGTTGACAGTATCCCAAGGACTCCCCAATTAGTATTGGAGGGTGTTCGGGCGGGGTAAAGTGTCCGCTGCGCTGATCTTTCGCCCCTTGGCCCAGAATGGCAGAGGCTAGACATATCTCGCTCAACGATCTTCACTCTTCTTTAGAGTTCAGATGGAATTGCTAGCCGTCATTGGTCTGACCGCTTGTTGATCCGACAAGAGTCAAGCCTTGCACAGCATGACGGAATTATCGTTATTTATCGGTAGTACCGAGGGCATGCGACTCGAGGGTGGCGCTGATGGTAGCCTCTCCTCTCTCCAAGGTGCTGTTGCACAAGCTGGGGATGTAGCCAAGGGTCAAGCGCGAACCAACCGCACGAAGCCAAGCCCCTGTTATCTGTTAGCGATAGAAATGCAAAAAGTTCTGGAAGAATTCGAATTGTCGATAAGGACTCGACAGGCTGTGCGGCCACGCCGAGCCAAGGGTATCTTCGGAACGCGAACGAAGTCAGCTGCAGGCAGCACTCGAACAGTATATCAATGTGTGTTTCACCAGTCTCTGTGAGGTTGACCTGGATAGACGACGATTGGTTGAGCAGCATATATCAGTCCAGCTTCGTATCAACCAACGTCTTTTCGGAAGTGCCGTGTCACGTGACACCAACGAATATCCACAAGGACTCGGGGATTTTGAATGCAGGCAATCTCCAAGCAACAAAGGTCTCTAAGCAATATGTCAGCCTCTGGAAGTCATTTACATCCTTCAATCTCTGCAGGAGGGCCTTTGGGAGAATATAGTTGGTCATCACGTGATTAACCCCTTCCATATCTCGAGCGAGCCTGCGGACTAGACTTCTGCGCTCCGGCTCACAATAAGAATAATAAAAAGAGTAACACAGTTTGTCTCATCTGCGGCTGATCAATTCCCCTCATTTCTTCAAAGGACAACTAGAACCCTGCTGAGTGGAACGCTGACGAGCGATTCGCCGGAGATGGCAAAAGTACTTGACGCTTTTCTCGACTCTTGCCGAAGCTCAATGATATTTGGGATTCGAATTAAGCTTTCTAATTACACCAGAGTGCCAGTGTCGATGATATTTATACAACAAACTGTTGGGCCCCCAGACCCCTCCACGCTTAGCTGGCTCTAACACGCCGCGTGAGTCAGTCACTCAACCTTGGCAATTTCCCCAAGCTTCTGATCCGAAAAGTGGTGTCTCCATGTGAACACATGCTTTCGCATATTTTCCCTCTTTAAGTATGCTGCACTTCCAGTTTCCTTGCCGTGCTCGAGCTTGCAAATTGCGACTTCGTTGCTTGATGCCTGATGACTTCTCAACCCTTGAGTACAACATAACGGCTCTGGAACAGCTTCACAACGACGAGTTCTCAAGTTTAGATGAAGTGTCACTCATTCACAGTGAGGATTTGGGGGGTATCAACTGCAGTCCATGGGTTTCAATCTTCACTCATTCTCTTCTTCCGCCTCCCTCCAGCAGAATATTCGAGGTACTGGAACATGTGGATTCCAAAATTCTCAGGCAAAGCACCGATCACTCATCAACCGGCACACACCAAACCCTTAAATGTCTCCCAGAAAAGTACGGCGTAAAGCAATCCCTCCACACCAAATCCTCCCTCTTGGTTCCATCCAGCCTCATCTCAAACCTCCTCAGCATCGTCGCAAACGCAATATACAATTCACACCAAGCCAAATTGATCCCCAAACAACTTCTTGGTCCTTTGCTGAACGCGACAAGCCATTGCTCAAGGCCTTTCGCATCATCGCCTAGCCATCTACCTGGATTGAACTTCTCTGGGACTGGGAAAATGGAGGGCGATTGATGGACCAGGACACTAGTAATCCCTACGATTGTGCCGCCTGGGATGGATTTTCCCGAGACCGTGGCGCCGGAGGGAGGAACGACGCGGAGGAGCGGCGAACAAGCTCCAGGTGACATTCTGAGTGTTTCCTTTATCGTTGCCGTCAAGAGCGGCAGACCTTCAAATGCCTCGAAGGAAGGAGGACTGTTGATATCAGGCCACACAGTCCTTACCTCCGCTTGAAGCTTCTTGTACAATTCTGGCTGGTCCAGAACATGGAAGTGCCCAGTCATCAACGCATCACCAACCGTGACACCACCCGCAAACATCATGGTCTGCGCCTCTTCATACAACGCAGTAAAATCCGGAACTGGATTGCCCTTATGCGCATCCTTATCCAGCAATCGATGATAAATCGTCGGATACCTCGTATCCTTCAATTTCTCCGGGTTGCTACTCACCTCCCGAACCTGCTCCCCAAGAATAACCTGCAGATTCGTCAACCCCGCCGTCTCAGGCGAAGCCTTGATCGCTAGCCATGGAGGAAGTCCCAAGATCGTTTTTCTGAAGAGAGGGAAGTGCTTGAAGAGGTGGAAGGTGGGAAGGGAAGCGTCCATTGCGACGACGATGGGGGCTGCGAATTCCGGCTCGTCGAGAGCGTGGACGCTTTTGGAGAAACAGAAGTTGGTGATGGTGTCGATTGCGTAGCAACGGAAGGCGAAGAGGAGGTCGGAGGATTTTCCGGCTGTGTTGTTGTTAATCAGGACTGAGGCCAGGTGGTCCATCTGAGGTTGTTAGCTTTCGTATGATGCCTGGATAGGTGTGGGTGAGGGGGCATACGTTTTCTCGGACGAGAGATTGCATGTTGAGTATTGCTCGGCGTGAGAACAGTGGTTGTAGAACATCTTTTCGCTGCTTTGACTCCGCATAGGAGAGGAGGCCGAAGGAGGAATGGTCTTCCCCAAATGCTTCGTAAAGGATCCTTTCTTTGTCCCAGCGGGCGGAGGTGCTGTAGATCTCATTGTACGCCGCTGGATTGGCAAAGTGAAGCTATTTTCGTCAGTAAATATTTGCAGGGAATTTCATTGAGCTTACCTCATTGGGTCCAACCCTCACCACATCTCCTGCATTAAGTCAGTAAGAGCAGAGTGAGAGACTTTTGAGGACATACCATATTGTTTATGTAGCCTCACCAAAACATCAGTCATAGACTCCTGCTTCACGACTTCGATGTATGTCTTCCACCACTCCGTCGCTTTCGCCCAATTCGGTCCAGGAAACTTCCTCAGCGGGTGGAAGAAAATATTACACACCACCCTCACAACTCCCCTCCCAACCCAGGCCAAAATCAATGTCCAGACCAGCAAAAAAATCGAGAACTCCATCACGTTCTCCTTTTCTGGATCACGACAACGAACTTGCAGATGCTTGTCAGACTTTCTGAAGCAGATGCACATGTTGCAAGGTCGGGTAAGTAGCTAGCTGGGAGGCATTAAGGTGATTGGTGCATGCAGCTGCAAGCACGGGATGAGTTCTGAAGGCGGGACATCCCCACGCCCACGGCATGGTGTGGAAATTTACTGGAGCGGCCGGCTGCAAGCGGTGTCACCACCGCCCCTGTTGCAGGATGCCTGCAGTTGGTCAATGCTGGACTTGCTTTTCGTGCGCACGGTGGGATGTCACGGGCATGGGTATGGGGGGAATGGGCTCGGAGGGGTAGAGTAGGAAGATAGTTTTATTTTGAGGCGCGTTTCATGAATGAGAAACTGGGATGGCTTGGGCTTTGGAAGATGCTTTTTTGTTCACTTTAGTTGAAGTGGTGGTTGGGTGGAGTTTGGATGGGGAGAAGAGCTCGCAAGCTACGAAATCCTTCGACTCCACTCCCAAATGTCGGCAGGCGGCCGAACACTTCATCATCCATGATGGGAGATGAAACTTGCCACGCAGAAACAACTCAAACTTCTTCTTTTCAAATTATTACTTGAATTGCTTTTAGAATTCTGGCTACCAAGCTATTAACAAAAAAAGTAGATCCAATGACATCTTCTACGGAATTCTCCATGTCGAGTCTTCAACTGAGAACTTTACATATTCCGCTTGACCAATTCCACAGGCGCCGTATATGTATTCTTTCCAATAAGCATGTAGTAGACAACAGCAAACAACATCGTCGAGCCAAACATGAGTACATTCCAGTTCATGGTCTGCAGAGTAACTGGGGTCCCGAGCGGGAAGAACACAAACACCCAGACAACAAGTAGGAAGAGCACGGCTCCGATATTGATGAAGATTCCGTAACGGCCGAGAGTCCATCGTCGTGATGGCAATGGCTCTTTGCGAAGGCGGCGGAGAATGAGCACGGTGAAGGAAATGATGTAGGTTCCGAGGATCGCAGAGACTGCGAGAGAGCCAATGGCGTTGAATGCTACCGTGGATCCGATGTTGATCAGAGACAAAAGGGTTGTGATTGAGAACGTGATGAGGACCGAATTCAGGGGAATGTTCCACCCGGGCTTGACCTTTCAAATGACGCAGGTTAGCTGAGAGCAGATTACGCTCGCTTGTTACTGGAGAAAACTTACATATCCAATGAAAGAGGAGAAGGGAAGTCCCCTGTCTCGAGCAAAAGACCATGTCTGGCGAGATACAGTAGCCACGGTACTGATACACGCCGACGTGATGTTGACAATCAATATGGCCGTCATGATCGAGGTACCGGCGTTGCTTTGTGTAACATTGAAAAAGACTTGAATGAACGGATAGCCTGTTGGCGTTTGGATAATGTCGAACACGCTCCCCAAACAGAAGCAGAATGTAATGATCATCACAAATCCCATAGTCCCATTGATTCCAGCTGCCCACATAATGGCTCGAGGAAGGACAAGGGAGGCATCCTTGATTTCCTCGGACATGTGGACTGCGGAATCGGCTCCAATGAGAGTGTAGATTGGTGAAAGTAGGCCAACCATAAATGCAACGCCGGTGCTGCTCCAACCTCCCAGATTCAGAAATTCTGTGAAGACTTCTTTCGCGGGGTTTCGAGGAGCCAGAATCCAGAGTGGGATCAGCACGGCGAAAAATCCAACGATGTGGATTATGAGGACCATTCCTTCAACCATTGGGAGTTTCTTAGCGAGGAAGGTGTTGAAAATGATGCAGAAAGCTGTGATAGCAATCACGAGGAGGGTTCCCTGCCAACGTTCCGGGATGTAGTTTGGATTGTTGAGGATAAGCAAACCTTGGATCATGGTTCCCACAAGGAAGGCGAGTGATGCAAGGCCTGTTTGCCATCCCAAAACAGAAGTCCAGCCTAGAACCATTGCTCAGAATATGCCTTGTATATTTCCCAATCGAGTTCGACTTACCAACGATGTAACTGAGAAATTTCTGGGAGCCAGGCGGCGCGAATTCAGAAACCCAGTGATATTGACCTCCAGAGGTCGGTGCCCTTCAAAGAATTAGCATGTGCTCTACGATATTAGGTGACTATTCCACATACATTGAGGCCATCTCGGCAATTGAAGCAAACACCAGCATGTATCCAATCCAGACAATCAGGTAACCCCAGATCAAGCCAGCTGTGCCACCGTTCAGCAGACCGAAAAGACTTGTCCTGGTTACACATTAGTATCACAAGTCAATATTCGGCTTCGAAGCTTATACATCAGCGCGATCTCCCAGGTACTCATCAGCGTACAGGCGAAACCAAGAGTTGAGATGAAGCGAAAGTTACGCTGATTCAATGTTAGTAAGCTACTCTCATCACTCCCATTTTCGTCAGCTCTCTCACATTCAGAACTTGTGTTCGTCCCAACATTCGCATATCATGCTCGTCGTTGTTTGTCCCTCCGAGCTGGGAAATGTTCCGCATCTCAAAGTTGTCATTTGCTTCGACTGAGCTACTCTCAGCCATGTGGCTCTTGGCAATATCATTGTCCATGATGAATGAGATAGATATGTTTTGTTGTTGAAGACAGCAAGCAAAGCGTTCCCAAGAATGAAGGTTTTGTCCAGCTGAAGGGCACAAACTCGTGTGTAGGGAGAAGCAATGGGATCGTGCAGGAGGAGGGAATTGTTAAGAGCTAGAACGTGGAGAGAACGGACAAGTCCCATTCCGTCCTAGTGCCTTCTGCACCTGCTGCAAATGAGAATCGAGGGGGGGTCGAGGGTGTCAGCGCTAATGCACCAGCGGCCGGTTGCCAGTCGGGTGTATCCCGTTCCAACCCCCCGGATTTGCTGAGGCAAGCTCATCCGTGGTCTTTGTTTTTCTGCCGTATCCCCCACGTCGCACAGCTGGCTTCGCTAGAGGTTGGGAGCACCAGGGGCGCAAGAATCCTCCTGAGTTGCTTATCTCAGAACCTTGATTGCTTCGGACTTGGGAAAAGGTTTACGGCAGGAGTTGACAACCGAAGATCGAATATGGACTTATGGGACTAGACTGTCACCATCCATGCCGAAACGGCATCTACGAAGTCTCGGGGGCTTGCTGATGCAGGAACAACCTCGTCGAAGTGTGATAACAAAGTATTCACTGTTGGAAGAGCCCTTTAAGCTCCACTCGGTCTTTCTGTTTCGCACATCTCCCTCCTCTCTCACAGAAATCACACTCTTTGAAGCACAGATTAAACTTCTATCTTTTATTTCAACATCATGGATTCGAACTCGACGACTCTGTTGCCAGGCCAGTCTGCTCCTATTGCCATCATAACTGCAACAGATCAAAGTGGTATTGTCCTGATAGGCACTGCTTTGACACTCGCCGTTTCTCTTACGTCGCTTCTCATGAGAGGGTACATGCAATTGCAGATTCGTCACCAATTTTCTCATGATGACTTCGTAGCTATGGGGTCTATGGTGAGCAGAATCACTTGTTGAACTAGGAGTGTAGCTGACGTACCAGCTTTTCTCTTTGCTTCAATCAATCACTGTCTTCATTGAGGTGTCAAAAGGCTTCGGGAAAACGATTTCGAATATTTCTCCAAACAATCTTGTACAATTGCAGAAGGTAGGCTGAGCAAGAGGGTGAAGTCTAGATCACGTACCAGAAGCTCACTCTCGCAGGCTGCCTACTCCAGTGAACTATTTTACATCATTACACTTTGGTTGACGAAGTGCTCCGTTGCGTTTCTCCTTCTTCGACTCTCGCCCCAGAAGGAACACAAATTAGCCACATACAGCATCTTGGCCTCATCAACCTTGTTTATGATTATATCGGTCTTTATTCTAGCTTTCAGATGCGATGTGGCACAGCCATGGATATTCATCAACGCCCAATGTACGAACTTGGTAAGAACCTTGATTACTTGACCAAAATATCAACTGTTGCTAACCATAGTAAGCTTGTTCGATGGGAGGTTGAGACGGTTTTTGATATCACCACAGAACTTGCTCTCTTCTCGGCTTCAATATATTTGGTCAAGGGCCTGCAGCTGTCACTCAGTAAGAAAGTGACTGTCATTTTTGCCTTCGGCCTTCGACTTGCGTAAGTTAAGCTCACACTGTGTTCAAACTCAAAGTCTGACCATTCTTCAAGAGTTATTGCTCCTGCGATCCTCCGCTTGGTTTACCTGAACCAAGAATTCACGTCCCCCGATCCGACCCTCCACGGTGTTCTTGCCTCGGTCTGCACACAGATTCAAATCAGTTATGCCGTCGTGGCAGTTACGATTCCATGCCTGAGACCATTCATGGCTGCTCTTAGCACTAATTACGGTGCCCCGGCTCAAACACGAACGTCACCCTCGGGTTCCAAAAAGTCACAATCCGGAAAAGAATACAAGCTGAGCTCACTTTCAAAGAGTTCAAGATCAGTACGGGTAGACAAACCGAAACAGTCTACACCTGTCAAACCATGGGACCGCGGCAACACTCATACCTCCGTGGGGTCTGGAGATAAGCACAGCATGGAAAGTCATGAGAGCAAGCAGATGATTATCTCCAAGAACACTCAATGGCAGGTAGATTACGAAGGGCCAAGTCAACGGTTTGCCGAGCCGTAGACGGAAGGGAGCAGCCGGAGCGTCAAAGATAGGCGCGCAGGCTAGAGGTTCTGAGCAATTATTCGGGAAGGGTTATTGGAGTTAACTGAGCCGTCCCTTCATGGCTGGGAGACGGGAATTGCACTGATGCTTCAGTGAAGCTGCAGGGAGTTGGGGGTTCCGGCACAGGTACTGATTTTGTGGCATTAGATTCCCTGTCACAAATCAAAATGGTTTAACATATCAAAAGGGACCTGTACCTGAATACCTCGGCTTGTGGCAAACTGTCTTTTCCTTCACCTTTTCATCCCCGCCAATGGGAGGATTGCGGTGGTTCTTTTGAGGTGGGCCTCCCGCAGGCGTCGGTAAGGGAGAATCGTTTCAATACCAGTAACGGGTGTCGGAAGCGGCATGCCAAGGATGAGTGGCTTTGAAGCCACAAAGTGACAAAACGTGCCATCATGCGAAGGAATATTTACCGACATCTCGCTTATTTTGGTCAAAACACTTCACCAAATCCAAACAACGGTCTGATTTGCAGCCATTAGAAATCAGAGGAGTGTAATGTACTATATTAGAGCTATGATTCCACTTGAGTAGAGCAAATTCCGTTCGTGGAAAGGGGTTGAGTTGTTGAAGTGTTGGGATTGAGGAAAGCGGGGTGGCTTCTGGCGCTGATGTGATCCGGTATCGAACACAGTGTTTCCAATCGCCATCACACAGCAAGGTATTCTGCAGACTGCAGGACGTCAATAACGTCTCAAGCGTATTCAATGAAGCGAGACAGCCACAGACTGGGGGGAAAGCCAATAAAAGGCTCATGTTGTTCGCTTTCTGGTCTGTGCCAGCCCGAAACCCCCTTGCCTCGCTAGCTACATTGAATACGTTGAGACGTTGAAGGTCCTCGCTGCAGGCCGTGCATGATTATCGATCGGGCGGACGTCCGAAGAAGAATAGTCTCGATAATTGGACAACGGGTACTGTAATTGGCACCCGCCGCTCCCGCTTGAAGGGAAAAGAAGCGATTAGCGATTAGCCGGCCAAGGCCCTGGAATTTATGCACGTCCGTGTTTCCGGCAGTTCAAGACATGGGGCGCGGGGGTGGACCAACATTCTGCTTACTAAAGCAGAGATTGGCCCTCCCCAAGCTCTCCGTGCGACGCCTCTGAGATAGTGACCAGATTGGGAGTGGACTTCGTGTTCCTCGACGCCACGAGTGTGACTGCGGGTGGGGAATCCGCGGATCCGGCTTTGGTCAATGATGTGCCCGGGAAATTGATCCAGTTGTATTGCCTCGCTGACGCCACGTCAGCCGCCATAGGCCGTTCTGGACCTGAATTAGGAAAAAATGGCGCACCTTTGGTCTCCCGAATTGCATGTCATTGGGCTGCATTGTTGATGGAGGGGAGATGGAGCGTGAATGCTCTTCCCTGAGTGTATTGCAAACTTGTTTATGGAGGGGGAAATCAAGTCCACTCAAGAATGAACATGTTGATCCAAGCTGGCTCGAAAACGAACAGATCAAATATTTCCGTCGTTATTATCGTTTCAAGAGGTCCTTGATTCCGTGGCCACTCATTGGAACTAGTGTTCCCGCGGCTGCAGACTGTCAACTCCACCTTTGTTCCACGGCCGGGATCCGAGAAAATAAAGCTTTCTTGGCGGACCACGGACCTCCATCTCTGTTGGTATCCCAAAGATGCGGCTAGGACAGTTCGGTTCCGAAATATTCCAACTTCCTGCACCAACGTGGGTAGCTTTCCCCCAGAGTGGCTCACGCCACTGGATGTGATCGGAAGGACTCTTGCTGCGTCACATCGACAACGATCCTCACTAGCCTAAGCTCATGACACATCTGCATACGTAGTGCGCGTTCACACCAGCAAAAGCCCTTGCTACAGTAAACATTGAATTCCGAACAGGGGCAAGTTTTGGGAGAAGGCGTAAGATCATTAAGATGAATCCTTCCGACGCATTCCGTCTATTCAGTTCACAGTCTCGGTCGTTTCCTTCCTTCCATCCATCTGAAACATCGTCAGAGAAAAGAAGATGTGGCTGCATCCTGATTTTAATGACTAACTTACTTTCTCGCCGTTTCAACGTTTGGGCCAGTTACCCCGTCCCCTTGCAATGTCATTTGGTCTCCCGCTCTCCCGCGTTCCTGAATTCCTGCTTGGCACGCCGCTGTTCCTCTTGGCGTTCAAGCTACGCAAGCGAGCGGTGGAATGACGGAACGTCGGAAACCTCCACTCAGCAGAGAAGTCAATGCTCATGTTGACTTCCTCCCACTTCTTGAAGGGCCTCATTGTCCTGTCACATCCCTTAATCAATCCTTTCACGTTCGTGGAAATGCGGCATAAAGTACGTGTGACGTTCACTTGACTGAGACAAGAACGGCAAGTTACGACAGAATCAACATCCCAAAGTCTGAACTTGACGCCCGGCGGTGACTGAAGACCAGAAGAGGAGACGAAGTTCTTGGAATGTGCATGCTATTTACCCCACTTATCGTGGGATACCGCTTCAATGTTCCCAAGACTGCTTATTAAGCGTTATTGACTGGAACATCTACAGCGCCACGGATGGTGATCAAGTCACGTGCTTTAACATCGATGACCTCTCGAGAGGCTACGACGTCCAGTTCGAGGGTCCGAGCTCCAGGAGCTTGAGATGCCAGGTGTACTGGAGCCGAGATCCTGGATCTTGGACCTCGTAGCCGGCTGTTGCCATGACACAATTTCCTAGAGCGAGAATGTTCAGAGCAAAGGTTTCACCCAAGCGGGATGAAGTCCTTGTGATTGGTGTGATGAACCCCGTGAGTTGCTTGGCCATCTTGGGAGTCCTCTGGTTTATGGGATGCAAGAATTTCTTTCAGGCCACTCTGGTGACCAACTAAGACATCGATCTGGTCACTTTCGATTTCTTTACGTACCATCAGAAGGAATTTTCGTACAGCTCGAGTTCTTTCCGCGGGGCTGGTACCCACATCAATGTGAGATCGCCGTACGCCAACGTCTTCTCTTCACTCAGATACCGCAGGTAAACGCCTCGGGAGTTGCAGGAGCCTGATGCGTGGATACAGGTAGAATACCAGTTGCCGCGGCTTCTGAGCAGAAGCCATATGTGAAGCTCGAATATACGGTATACGGGTTCGGTGGATGCTTCCTGCTAACAGTCACGTCTCCTAAGTTCGTTGTGCGTTTTGTAGCTCGGAGTCTGCTCAAAGACCCACGCCCAACTCGTCGTGCAGCCCGATAGGTGGTAGTTCTCCCAAACGACCAAGCGTTCTCGGGATACTCGAGAGTCGCTCCGACCAGGTCAATTGCAAGTTGAAGTTGCTGTTGAGCCACGGAAACTGCATATCTCTGCTAGCGCAAAGTTTTAAGACCCCTTTGCTGACAAACTTGAAGCTGATAATCAAAATACATTGTTTCGGAAATAGCAACAGGCAGGCTATCGCCGATGCCCCTTTCCATCTCGCTTACAACATCTAGCGAAGGCCCTTACATACGAATTCAACTGAGCTTCTAAAACGAAAAGGACCTTGTTCTATGGGCAGGGATTAAGTTCACAATATTACCCTAGTTGAAAAGGAGGTCGCGGCTTGGTATCAAGGTGTTGTGCCAAACCGTCTATCTGGTAGAATGTGTAAGTTGCATCAAATATAATTGGTCTTTGCAACGAGACTGACTGTTCAATTGGATATCACTAGAATGAGTGTCCGGAGCTACAACATGTACCCCTCAGGTCCATCTCTTCCCACAAATATTTCAACTTCCATCGTTCCGCTCAGTCGGTACCATCTGCTAGGCTGAGAAGGCACACTCGCGGCTCCTCGCTCACGGATTCAAGTTCAGCGGACTCGTGCATGAGAAAGCATTGACCTGCGGATTCTTGAACGCCTCAATGAGGAAATGGCAAGACGAGTACGCTCCCAATCCCGAGACACAAAGCGCACCCATTGCATAAAGAATATGCAGGACATTCAAATACCACTTATCAGCGAAGAATCCGCGGATGACCCTCCTAAGGCCGCGATCGTGAAGCGTGACGACGCCGGTAGCGGGGTCGAAGCCTTCGCCTTCCTGCAAAGCATGCGTTTGAATGCGGTACCCGAGGGCTATCAACGGAGGGAAAGTGTAGGTGAACTGCACGAAGCAGACGGCAGCCGTGACTCCAGTGAGGCCGAAGAAATCTGGAATTGACGCTGCGAGGATGAAGGCGATGGTCCAGTAGATCGGGACAATGGCCGCCCAGAGGGTCTTGCCGCGTTTGGTGATGAGGGCTGGGGCGTGGAACCATTCCATCAACAGGTTGTTGTAGATTACTTTGATGCCAATATTGCCGTAGAGGGCGGCGGCGATGAGTCCGGAGGTCACTGCGAGCATATTGCCTAAGGTTTGCCAGCTGTAAGGGGAGACGCCTTGGTATGAGATCTGTGGAGAGTCAGTTCGTGCGTGGAGGGGAGGAACACGAGAGCTTTTAACGCACTTGGTAGGAATATTGGCCTTGCCAGAAGTATGTGTAACAGCCGTAGATCATGTAGCAGGAGTAGATGAAGAATTGCGCTCCCCACATAGCTTTCAAAAAGTCACGAGGTCTCTTTAGTTCGGCCATGAATTCGATGAAGAGCTGAGCACCGGCGTACGCATATACACCTGATATCAGTTAGCAGCAATTCTTCAGTGTCCTAGATTGAGACGTTCTGACCTTGCATCAAACCGAAAATACCCACTGCAAGATCCTTGCTCGGCATTCCATTGTAATGTATGATAGGCGGCTGCATGGTAAAGTCAGCATATTTGAAATTAAAAAACCCTCGAAATGTGCCACGAGTTCTTCAAGTGAACCGATTTCTAGAGAAAAGAAAAAGTTTGTTCGTGAGGTGCTCGATGTAGGAAAGGAATGCACGTACGTATACGAGTACGCCCGTCGAGTTATCAGGTGTGATCGTAGTTGAGTCAACGACTGAGCCCGCACTTCCGAGCACAGAGATCGCGAAGTTAGGTGGACTGTGGGCAAAGACTCCCATCGAAATGAACATGATCAAAAGATTGATGAAAACAGCCACATTGGCCAAGATGCCGAATTTCTGCAGAGTTCGTACTTGACCAACTGCAAAGCCAAGGATTGCCCAGATCAGACAGCACACAGCGTAGCAGAGTTTGAATTTGGACACCTGGGAAAGGGCTTGCCCGTTGCTGATGACGATGACACCAACGGATATCAGGAGCTGTAGACCTTGCAGGAAGTTGACGATATGTCTTAATGGACGGCCCCAAGTCCGGAACGCGAGATCGCCATAGTTCTTGGCGGGAAACTGGTACGAGTCGACGCCTAGGAAAACGGTCCACAACAGCCAGCCGGAACTGAGGTTCGCGTCAATGATAGTGGCTTAATAGTTGAGGATTAATAACTTACTATCCTGCTAAAACACCAAACAGCGTGAAGAGCCCAATGCCAGGACCCCATCCCAAAGTACCCATAGAGAACCTGCTGATGTTAGAGCTTGATCAAGTGGATGCAGGGGAAAGCGCACCCAATGCCAAAGGGACCAAGGATATCGGTGGTAATGAGGTAGAAGCAAGCGGATCCCGATGCTGTCCTCACAGCACGAGAAGCGTTTGTCCATTCGGCCTCCGAGATCTCGATCCTCTGCTGCAGCTCTCCTACCTTCTTCTCGGAGATCCCTTTGTCCTCTCCATTCGAGCCGTTGTTACCGTGCGTGTCGATTGGCGTCACACCTCCGGAGGATTTGGTGGGGAAGAGAACCTGCATGAAGCCTACAGTTGGGGGGCTGGTCTTGTGTGTCTCTTCCTCCTCCTCTCGCGTCAACTTTGCGTAGTAGGTGTACTCATAGAAGGAGACATTTGGGTCGTGGAGGAGGCGATTAGAAGGGGGAATTGGACCTTCGCGTCCGGGATAGCGAGGAGGGTCGCCATCTGCGGCAATTCCAGCAATCTCTCCAGTAGCTGCCATGATCAGAAGAAGTCAGGAGTAGTTGTTGGCTTTATGGGTGCACTTGACACCACTTTAATGAGCTGAAGGAATTAAGAAGGAAAGCAAGATAACACTATGGAGGGGGTTGCGTGGAATAATAAGAAATCTGCGTCTGTGGTATGTTTCACCTGGCCGTCAGCAATACGCGCGGACAAGGGAGGGGGTGAGCTCCATCGCACCCTGCGTTCGAGAATGCCGGCCAATCTAATTAGGAGGTCGTACAGCTTCTCGCAGGGAACGGGTACTACAAAGGGGAAGAATCTGGAAGCTGCTTCCTTGAGTTGATGTGCGTAACCTGGTTTGGTAGATACGGCCTCGGAGGGCGTAAGGGTCCAACCTCTCCATGATCACTGGTTGACATATGATGGTATGGCCGATGGTTGATTAAACTTGGCATTTCAGCCAACAAATGATGGCTGGAGCTTGTGCGAAACAAGCTTTGAGGCATCTCTGCGGCCCGTCATTCAGCCAACCGACGAATCCTGGCTGTTACCGAAACCCTCGCCCCTCGTCCCTCGCCCCTCTCCCCACTTCCCCGCGAACACTCCATCAATGATACGAGGACGGGCGAGCAGGCTTACAGAGAATCTGCTTTCAGCGACCCTTTCCGTGCGTCGTGTGTGACCATACCCTATCTTATCACCTTCCTTTTCCAGCAGTAATCTGTTAGGGGGGCGGCAAATACGCAAGAATCTGCGCCATGAAGGATGAAAGATGCCCCGTATACGGGAACATGTGAATGTAGGCCTTGTGTCCCCGAACGTGCGATGCGTCGAACAATCTGGCTGAATAGGTCCGAGCTGTGATTCCGACAAAGATGTAAGTTTTCGGGTGTGTTTGAAAAGAGGGAGAATTGCCAACGCCAGCCATCATAAATCAGCTCTTGACAGGTTTGATGTGGTTGGATTTGTGGCTGGATGACTTGCAGTTGGGGGGGGGGGGGGGGGGGCAGTTTCGTGCCGTCCCAACCGCGGGGAAACTGGGGTGCGCGGGATGGACCCAAAACGTCGAGGGAACCCTCAGGAGTCATCTCCGCAAATAAAAAAGTCGAAGAATCACGACTCCATTAGGGGAGCCAAAGTTCGAGAACTCACCCTGAGCACACAATTTTGCAGCTTAGCTCAGCTGGTTGACGCCAAATAGGGAGTTGGGAGGACATGAATCCATATTCACGTCTCCAAAGCAAGAGCAAACGCTCCATCAAAGTACTCGTCGGGAGCCCCTCTGCCACATCCCTAGCAGCCAATTCGTGTCTTGGAACTTTGAATTTTCGTAACTTGAGTGTGGGGTTAAAATCGAGTCTTCGGAGGTACTGTTTGGGGCCCTTTTGATCCCATCGTTCTTCACCGCAAGGCTTTGCAGAGCTCATGAGATCACCTTCAGGGTTGGCCTCGGGACCCTAGTCTCCTCGACTTCCTTAATGACTTACCTAATAGATCGTCAAATTCAATATGATTTGTCCACGCCGCTAGAGGGCCTCTGTGCACAGATTAGCAATCTATTGTATTGTCCAAAAGAGAAATAAATCAAATAACGATGCCTCGACAAAAATAAATGATTCAAGAAGATACTTAATGTACTTGCCGCAGCTCGTGCCTTCTGGGTCAAGAGTAATCAGAAAGCTCAAGATATTCTCGAAGAGCCGTCATTGGCCTTATATGAGTGTCTCAGCCTCCCTTGAAAGAGAGCTTTGTCGAAAGGTTTCAATGCGAGGTCTGGTTGAAGAGGGAGCTCCAACAGACTTTGGACAACACCTTTTCGACTTCGAAATCCCGAACGTGCCTGCTTCTCTCAATCTGTATCAATTTCATCCTCAAGGGCTTGGCCATCTGCATCAGCTTTGACGGCCCAGCCATAACTTGAGTATCTGACAACGTCGGATGCAGAGTATTCGCAGACCACTCCCGATATTCTTGTAACCGATACCATCTTGTGATCCCTCTCTCTCCGCTGCAGTGCGTATCATTTTCCACGAGTACACTTGCCATCCAATCGCAACGTGTGCCCAAAGATCCAGCTTCTTTCCCTTCGCATGCACCTCAAACTAGCAGTTCTTCGAGTATGGATTACTGTGTCTTCGAAGTTAGGGGAATTGGAGTTCGGGGGGCGGGGCGGCAAAAGGAGACATCTGCGTGTAGAATCGTGGGCGAGATGAGATTAAGGAGGGCTTGCAAGAAGTGACGGCCTATCGTTGGTGTCAACCAGATCGAACTGCAATTGATGGCATATGCGATTCGGCTACTGGGAGAATAGCTGAGAGTGGTAGACAAAGTAGACTTTTTGGTATAGAACAGAGAGTTGATGATGAAGGTAAGACTTTTCGGGGTTGAGGGGGAAGTTTAGCGGTCCGAGCTGCTAGCTTCCATTCGTTTAGCAAGCATCAGGGTCAGGGGTCAGTATCAGGGTCAGGGTCAGAGGAAGCGAAGCCTGCGGCTGGCAAGTAATTAGTCCTGTGAGGGAAGAAGTTACTCGACATACTCCGTAAATTTCCACTGCCCCCAGATTCGTGTTGAGCCACGAGAACGATGATTGAACGACTGATTTGTACAAGTGAGAGTAGACAGGACTCCAGTGTATAAACAATAAGCACTACTGATCCCAGTCGATATAAATCCTCAGGGATTGTATCGAACTCACCGGCTGAATAATAGCTGCGTGTGCCAATGACCGGTAACCTCAACATTCATTTCCTGATTAACAAAGAAGGGTCTGCAAAATTACGAGATTTCAGTCTCAGTCGCATGAATGAACTTGCAAGATACTTTGTTGCTATCGTAGACGGAAGATGCTTTGAATACTTGCCGTTGTGATGGCACCTGGGGTAGTTCTGACACAAAGCGGCTGAATCACGAACTCATCCTGAGACCTAACCAGTGAGATAGACACATTAGCATTTTGGAGGGGAGACGCCGCAGGATCTTGCCAGTTGAATGCAGCCTCGTTTTAACCGCTCGAACATCTCACCAATGGAGTTACGGAGATCCGTGATTTGGGGGAAATGTAAAACGACACCGCCCCCCCTCCCGCCCCCTGGGGTCAATTGGGGGCTGGCGGATCGACACTCCTTCTTCAATGCATGCGGCACAGCTCTCCCCCTCTGCGCTGGTCAGTTTGAGGTCACATGCTCGGAGTTCTTCAAAGTCCGTGCCTTTGTTCCCCAGCTTTTCCCGTCAGAACCTGCTTCCAAATTCCCACGGGTTCGTTGACAGAGTGTGTCAACCCTCAAGTCAGGTAAATTCTTCCTTGATCACTGTCAAGCCTTAGAAATAGCACTTCTCCAAACATTCTATTTCTTGGTTGCCGGTTTGGCTTTTCCGTATCCTCTGCTTGTATTGTCTTTTGCATTCAAGCATCGTTCGTAGTGGACGAATCGTGACCCGTTGGAGATTGCATGCTTTCTCGATTGACTTATTTGGCTTCTTCAAGGCGGATTCGACATGTACAACATAATAACAATCATCGCGCTCCTCGCGTTAAGCACAAGGCAAATCGAAGCTCAAGCAGTACTCGCGACTGCTTGCTATTTCAAACGCGATAGCCAAGTCGGGCTTGGCAACGCTGGTCCTTGTGGTGTTGTTACTCCTACTACTGTTCGCCCCCCCCCCCAATCTTCGTGTAAATAATCGCTGACCAAAAGAAGAACTTCACCAGCTGCTGTGTGTCAGGGGACACTTGCCTCGCTGACGGGTTGTGCCATTATACTCATCCAATGCCCGATGCTCCTACCGTGGAAACTGGCTGTACGTCTACTTCCTTCTATCCATTTTCTCCTGAAATTTGCTCTGACAAGAACAGATTATATGGGCGGCTGTACCGACCCCTCATACTCTGCCGCCTCCTGCCCAATCTCCTGTTCAGATCTGCACCTTCCAGACGTAGTCTACAATCAAACGACCAAAATCTGGCACTGCTGCGGCCTCATAAATGGCTCCGTCCGTTGCGATACTCCGACAGATGAAACTTTTTCTGCGCCCGCTCCATCTGCGCTCTCGGTAACTTTCAGTGTGGGCCCAACTCCTGTGACTGCCGCTTCATCCCCGAGCTCAACATCCCCGAGTTCAACATCTCCAACAACATTGCCGTCTGCATCACAAACTTCGGATCCTCAGGCAACGGGTGGAGGTTTGAGTAGGGGTGCAAAAGCAGGCATAGGCGCTGGATGTGCCATCGTTGGTGTTGCCATTATTGGCCTGTTGGCATGGTTCTTTTCCCGCAGGAGGACCAAACATGCTGTGATGAGAGAAACCCTAGGCATGGGTTACGGCTATAATCCAGCTGTGGGTGGCTATAAGGCAGAAAGACCAGTAGAGCTGCCATCACGGGCACCGGAAAAGGCGAGGAACAGTGTAAGGGCTGAGTTGGGATGAGGAGACGTCCTTGCGGCTCTTTTTCCCACGTTCGGTGACAGTAATGGAGGAACTTCAACTAGATATGGCTCATCTCATCTTGTTTTCTTTCCTCTTTCTTCACAGACCACAATGGTGAGACAACATTGAAACTATCTTCGAGTGGTGGAAGTTGGTACACTGCTGACTCATAAGCGATGCAACGAGGAACCTCGTCAGACGCGTCGACGACATGCCAAATCACCTGCACCATGCCGGCCACGAACTCACATCTTCACAGGTTGTCTAACCTGCAAAGAGTTTCGATGGGAAGAATAGAGTGGTCATACTTCACAATTATGGACCGTTGACAAGTGGCAGGACAGTGTACGAGGCTGCGTATCTGTTCCATTTGATGAAGAGATTTTGTGGGATTGAGTTGAAGGTGGAGGCTGCGAGCGCTGCAGGAACGATGTAGAAAGTTTTTGTATCGGATGGAGCGGCCAAGTATACCCTGTGAGGTGGCGGGGATCCGGTAGGTATGACATCTGAAGATCTTGAATTTATCCTGTTCTGGAATGCAGACAGATTTCAGGTAATCATTTACCAAGAGTTCTAGTCTACGAAAGCAAGCGCGATTTGGCGCTCTCAGTGTGAATTCGATTGAGTTCACAATGCTTTTTGCACCTGCGAAGAGCAGTTTGGCCGCATTTGGTATTTCGACAGATGTGGATATTTCTGTGACAGAGCTTTTTTTTTTCCATATTTGTCATACTTGAGTATACATCGATTTCATGAAGCCTCATTCGTCGATCCTCCATCCGGCGGCAGAATCCGTCATTGCTGAACAGCGAGCATCGAGCAATACACTCCTCCCGTCAACCGAGAACGTTGCCATCACTTCCATCTGAACCCTCTTCTGGTCAATCTTCCAGATGAAAGATGAAATACCAATACTTGCCAATTGATCTTTTGTGAAGTGTATTACTTTTCATCCTATGCTGCTCCCGAGTTTCGATCGATCTTGGCTACTGTACGGAGTAATTCCGCACGTGGCATAACTTCCATCTGAAATCTCCAGTTTTCCGGTTCAAAGATGAAATAATTGTTGATCTTAAATGCCTTTTGTCCAGTGTATATTTTTCATCTAATCCCACATGTTTGTGTTGTTGTCAAACTCAACTCGGCAAAATCTCCTATTGTCTCAACCCCTATTGTCCACACTTCACAACAATTCCCACGAAGACATATTGTCCCAACTCAGCCATTGTCAACATGATTCTATTGTCCGAGTATTTTAGTATTTATACTTCTTTCTTCTCCCAACTCCTTCTTTCCTTTTGTTCGACAGCTACCAGATTCAAACGCATTCATCTTCGTTTCGTGTGCACCTAAAACTCAACAACAAGATCATCAACAGCAACAATGGCTCCCAGAAACGGAGTCATCGGATTCTCGATGGCAGGGCCTCCGGCCGCCAAGTCTCCCGCCGCCGCCGCCCCCTCAGCTCCTGCTCCTCCTCCTCCTCCCACACTACCACTGCCACGGCCACCGCGGCCACTGCAGCATGACCCTCCGACCTGCTCCTCCTCCTCCTCCTCCTCCTGCTCTTGCTCCAGCTCCTGCTCCCACTCCTGTCCCTGGTCCTGGTCCTGGTCCTGGTTCTGCCCCTGCTGTCGTCGACGATCCCATGGACTGGGAGCAGACCGGGGACGAAATGGAGTGGATATACGACCGGACCGAGTTTTACTGGACCCCGTGGGACCGGCCGCGCCGGATCCTCTGGGTAGAGCCGTGGCCGTGGTGGCTGTGAGGTAAGAACCCACCTTCCTTTTATGTTTACATTTCGTCTCCTGTTTGTTTCAGTTGTCGTTTGGAAGCCTTCCTTCTTTTCTTGTGCTTTTCATGATTTTTGGGACGAAAAGCTGCCGTCGTTGAGTTTCATGAGAGAGTTCTCGAGTTTCCTGCATATTCTGGCACTTCTTCGATGCAGGAAAGCATGATCCCTCCTTCTTTGTCTCCTGCACACTCCAAGAATGGCTTCGTTTGAGCTTGAAATTCACCCAAATCAAATTTTCTTTCTCTTTGCATTCACTTCACCGTGGACGGTATCTCACGACTCAAAGTGGAGTTATGCGCACTTGAGCTTTCTCGATCTCTTCCCCTTATCAACATCCAACATCAATTTCTTGGAACCCACGCTTACATGGACGAATGCGAACAGCAGACAGCAACCTCTACCTACTATGTCACAATCTACGTCGTCGACTTCGCCACAGCCACAACAACCTCTACCTAGTATGTCACAATCTACGTCTTCGACTTCGTCTTCGTCACAGCCACAACAACCTCTACCTAGTAACCCTCTGCAAGCTCTGCAATGGTAAGTCTTCCCCCGTCCAGCTCTCCCGACTCTCAGCACCTCATATTCCAAGATCAAAATTTGAGAAACGTGCTGACCTTCGCTAGTTCTCTAATATCCGGCAAATTCTCCGATCTGACCATCGCACACAGTACTAGGCGTTGGAAAGCCCACAAAGTCGTCATTTGTTCGCAGTCACCTGTTCTTGAGGCTATGATCGAGCATCTTCCCCCGACTGTCTCCATTCTCTACCTCGACGACTACGACCACGAAGCCGTCTGTTCCATGATGGAGTACCTATACTCGACCAATTACGATACAATCGACCACGAACCCGATTTCTCATTACCTCGTCACATCAAAGTCTTCTGTCTCTCTGTCATGCTCTCGATCTCCGGTCTGGAAGACCTCGCTGCGAAAAAGTTTGGATCCACTCTTCTCACTCATGTCAAGGACCTCGATGTCTACTTCAGATCTGTCAAAGACATCTACGACTCTACTACTTCCGAGCATCCTGCCTTACGTCTCATTGTCATCGAAGCGGCGGTCACCGAACTTCCCAATCTTATCAACGAGTCTCGCTTCTTCGATCTCAGCAGTGCGGTCAAGGGCTTCCAGGCGGATATATACCTCTTCTTGATGAACCATCCTTCAAGACCTATTCAGACGGAAACGGAGTATGTGTTTGCTGAGCTTTGTGACGAATGCGGACCAAGAGCGGATGATGACGGTTATGAGGTTTCGACTGAATGCAAGGGCTGCGGAAAGGTGAAAACACTGGAGTTCTATTAGGGTTGCGCTTACTTGATTTCCTCTCATGTACATAGCTTTCTGCTTTTCCGGTTGTGCTCTTAGATATGTGGAACAATAGAGCACATATTAGATTTCTCCTCTCTGCCATATTGGTCCCTAGAAATGCAAAAGTGACAATTGCAAAATAGATCGTAAGCTTGATAGTGAATCTCCTGGCTTGCGCTGAACAAGATTGCCCCGAATCACGGAAGTATTACAATGCAAAGGATATATTAACTTTATTGTACGAGATTGTCCGGGAACATCAGGGAGGGGAAGTAGATGAAGTGTCCAAGTTGACTTTGGGACTATGAGTAGATAATCTCTAACAGTTATATCGCGTCATGAACTCAACCAAAAACAATACTTCTGACTTCAATGCTCACTCGACTAGGAGCATCTTTGGGAACCGAGGGGTCCATGAAAGCCGAATGGGGACACACTTCATTCGTCAGCAGCCGAGCTTGGAGGGGTGCGTCAAACGTCCTAGAATCAACTTACACGGTGCTTCATCAGGCGAATTATCCCCCAGCTTAAACAAGAGTACGTCGTCCCACTCCATTCCCTTTTTGTAAAACCACCGTTGATCAGGATTGGAAAGGACTTCATAGGCTTCGTCTTGATAATGCGGGAAAATGATATCGGCCGGGATCAAATCCTTCGTATCGACGGACCGGAAGTCGCACATTGCGAGGGGGCAGTCTTGGACTGGTATAGAGATAGGTCTCCATATGCTGGGTTGTCTGTCAGCTTCCGGCCAGGCGTGCTATGCATGATCTGCCACTAACTTCAAGAAGCGGACCCGTTCTTTCATCAAATTTTGAGCTTGGTGTGGGAAATAGAGCTGTAGTCTCTTGAAACAGGATGCGGCTGTCGCATCTGGGAGGTTGGGATTAGTCATTTGTAGCTTCAAGTGAAGTTGAAGAATCCGAGAAAAGTAGAGCTGCCACTTACCACAGTGTGCTCGTAAGAATGGAGTCTTGGTTGTTTTGTTCTTGCTATCGGCTGAGTCTTTCCCTCGAAACTCCATGGAGGTTCAGTTATGCCCGACTAGAGGCGAATCTCAGAAAATTGACTCACATTATATGCGTAAATGAAGGCGCCTGCACATTTCAGGTGTTTGACTAACCATTCCTCAACTTTGGGGATATATTCTGAGCAAACAGAAAAGTCATTCCACTGATCCATATGGATTGGCGACTTTGCGTAGTGGAAGCCAGACCTCTCTAACGTAAAATCGCTCTCGTGCCCCGAGACATCGAAAACTTTAAGAAAATGACTTTGTGTGACTATATTTGTCCTTGGAAGCTTGGTCCCCGACGGGAGCCTGCTCAGATATGGCTTTTCGGTGTTGTAGAGATTCAAAGGGATCAGGAAATGGAATATAGAAAGGTCGGCAGCGTGAAGCTTGGCATCCTTGATAAGATCGTCAACATCACTTGATGCTCCTAAATTCTGGGCTGAAACTATTTGCGGCAACCGTGAGTTTCTGGAAGCTGGAGAGGAAACTTAAGAATACGTCCTAACCAGGAGGTCGGTTGCTTACCTGCTGGCCTCCTTGTGGGTCGACATGGCAACCCCACAGCCCGCTCCTCTAATGCACGGGCAGATCGTGTCCAGTTTCTCCAGGGACGATCGAATGGCTGACGATGATCGAAGCGCCATGACAAGACCTCAGGGAACTCTGAATGAAGCCAGGTTTGCATCGTTTTCTCGCACTTAGGTGGCCAGTAGGATCGCCATGGTTGATGAAGATCCCTCGTCTCGCTTGGTTCATGCTTGGTGTCCCCGACTCTCGCTTCTGGATCAAGATACCAAATGGTATCTGATTGCTGGTTCATCAAGAGATGGACGTCCATGCTCATAAATTACGAGAAACCGTTGAACACGGCTGAATGCAGTTCTTCGGAGCTATCTTTTGGCGGAGAAATGGATTGTGGTCGAAGGGATGATGCCCCAAACCCAGAAAGAGCGGCTCTTTTCCCCACGCCAATTGCCCATAACCTAATCGGTCACGGGGTGCATGTTGCAACTCATCCGGATCTGCAGCATCCGCCAATAAAAGGATGTTGAAGACGAGGCTGCAACATCTTGGCTACCATTTCCCTGTCATTAACCCTGCCAATCACAAAGGTCTGCTCTCGGAGTCTCCGAGGTTGGCTATTGTTCGTCAAAACGGAATTTTGCTTCGCCAGAGTGGTCCAGTTAACGATCGGACGAAAGCTTTGCATTGGTGATGGGTGTAATGTACTTCGTTGAATCAGTACATCCTGGTTTTGCGCGGCGAATTCAACAATCAAGTCCGCTCTGGCTGAGCAGTCAGCATATCTGCTTCAAAAAGAACTTTCACTCACCTCGGTCTTCATTTGACTCTTAAATCTGAAAGTTGGAAATATTTCAGTGAAGCTTCAGGTTTTGATAAAACGGTGCATTCTCCAAGGCGTTTCTGTGGAGAGCACTCGATCGTTGAGGACCTCGAGAGAGATTTATCCTTGTTTTCGGCCGGAATGGTCGGAAATATCATAAACTTTGACTCCAGTCACCGTCGATGTGGATTTCGAGAACTGGTCAAGTAATTAAGTACCAAGTCAAAGGTCGAACTGGTGGTTGGCGGGGGTGGCGGCTTTCCCCTCATCGGGCTGCCTGCAGCTGCAGGAAGCGCCTTCCCCTTTTCAGAACCGGTGAGAATTGCTTGAGAATTGCCCGGAAACACATGCAGAGCTTTGCTTCTTGTGCGACATCTTGACGCTGGCGAAAATCAAACTGACTAGAGAATTCGGATCTTACCTTGAAAAACTGCTCACAACACTCACCGCTCGTTGTGGCCGCTGACTTCTAGGTTTCAGCCGGTACTCCGTTTGACAAGCACCCATGGAAGCTGTCTCGGAATTTGAAGCTGGCACAATGGTATATAATCACCTTCTAAATTTAATCCATCCTTAACCTCCATATTTACTTTCGCTCATCATGGATCTTCTCTGACCTTGAGGACTAGCATCCTCCACGAAAACGTCAACGCACCTCCGATGAGGGCTTCCACGCAAGCATGATTGAAAAACAGCCGTCAGAGAGGCCACGACCGCCCACGGACATGAGCCATTTGTCCCCTGAGGATCGGCAGGCATTTGAGCGAGTCGCGACAATTCTCAACAAGCCATTGTCCGAGCTCTACGAGGTGAACCCACAGCATACAAGTGTAGGGCCGAGAGGCGCTGCGGTGGACCCGTTCATAGCAGGGCACGCAATGCACACAGGCCCACAGATATGGCTTTCAACAACAGATTGGCAAGAGATGAACGGCTGGCCACAAGATATTCGCCATGATGGAATCGGAACCCATGCTCCTCAACTGAATGAACCACAGCCCTCTGGATCAATATTCGAGCACGAACCCGAGGGCAGTGTCTACCAGTGGACAGAACACACAAGCCAAGGACCAACTGCTCAGATTAGGCGTAGAGGAAACACTCCCGACGCCGACAGCCAAACCTGGTTCCCTGTACCAACAGAGTATTTGACCCAAGCTTACCACCAGGTTGGAATGGTAGATAATACCGAGGCAGGAACGCGTTCAGAAAGGCCGGGAGTGGAACCAGCTTCCAATGCCTCCGCTGTTCCACCTCGGTGCGATCCACCAACATCGAATGGTTCACCAAAACAGGATCGGGATGCCACCAATTGGCAATCCTCACCTCCGGGTGCGCTTGACAGCGATCTCGTTGAACTGGGATGGGTTGACGTCAGGGCGGCACAACATTCCAGTTTTGTAAATCAGCCAACGTACGCTGGAGAAGCCACTACATCGGAGTGGTCAATGGTTCGGCCATCTAAAAAGCACGAAACTGTTCTTCTCGATAATTCAAACCCGAAGTCTGTGACGTGGGTCTCAACGGATTCAACAGGGAAAGAACTTTCACCAAAGAAGAAGCGTGGGCCATTCCAGGACCAGCAACTGAGGGAGCAAACGAGTGACACCCGAAAGTTGAAGGCTTGTGTGCGGTGTAGAATGCAGAAGATTCGTGTAAGCGTTCATGTCTTTGACGCATTGAGTACCTTATCTTACCAACACAGTGCAACCCCAACCCCAGTGATCCAAGCGGGGTGTGTCAGACATGTCAGGATGTCTCGAAGCAGAAGATCCACACTCTTCCTTGCATGCGGTACAAGCTTTCAGAGGCCACCCTCTATCGAACTGGGAAAGCTCCAGGATTGGAATTTACGTTCAGATGGCCCGTGATGAAATTGAGAGATATTTCTGATTGGGCAGCGCCTGAAGTCAGAAATATCAAAGTAATGTCCGACGTATGTTCAGTTCCATTGGAGCTGTCCGTCCGGAAGTTCGTTCCGATTCCCCAAGACAGATTGAAGAAGTCGTGGATGGATGGCAAAACCATCAAGTAAGACTACAATGTCCAATTTACCCCTTATCTGGATATTTCGTGGGTTGTGGCCTATTCAAAGTCCTTTTCATGGGAAAACTGTAGAGGCTTGGATATGCTCAATATTTTTGGACCATGAAAGCTGACTTCGAGACTGTCCAGATTCAAGGAAACCACTCCGTACGCGATTGTGAACATGCTTGCAGCTGTCAAGGACATGCATGATTACATCAACAAACATGTTTTCGAGGCTATGGAGTTTTGGCTGCGTGGTAAAGATGCCTGGGTCCAGGAGACTTTCAAATTTGCTCGGCAATACATGACATATGCTGTGAGTAGGACTGAGCGCTGCCACCACTCCAACGACTAACAAGACACAGCCCCGAGAAGAGGCATCTGTTCTAGCCGATTTCTTTCGATTGTGGTTTGCTGTCCGACGCACGGCTACCACTGAATATATCTTCGGGGACGACACACTCGACATGGAGCCAGAAAGGACCGATCGATCATATCCGCTGTTTGGGAAAGTTCCGTTACCGCCCGTTATGATCCAACAGCTGGACATGGTTCTCACGCTCGGTTTCCTCCAACCGCTTGGGAAGAAGGTGCTGGAAAACTTCCAAAAGATCGTTCTGAGCAACAAGCCAAAGAGCTGGATGACGATCTATCTGATCACATTTATGTCCCTTTACAGTTGCGCGAGGTTGACTGCTGAGAACTATCAGAATGCGAGGAAACATGGGCTCAAGGTACGATTTCAGTCTCCTTCTCGTCGGCACATTGCGAGGCTTAGTTACTGATCTTGGATCGAATAGCGGAGATTCGCCATGCCAATGTTCATCTCTGAACGACACCAAGCTGCGAATGTCTTCCTGGCCCACTATCATTATTGCACAAAACCGTGCAGTCCGTTCCTCTTGGATTGGAAGAAGCGTCAACAAACGCCATTTTCCGAGATGACAACCGATGAAATCGACTTCGTTCTCAGAACTTCAGACATGGTGAAGGATAAAAGTAAGGATGCCAGTTGAGCTTCATTTCCGCATGCTGACAAGTGGATCAGAGGACAGGTTCCGGAGGACCATGGAATTTGAGCTCTATGAAGACGATTTTTATTTCGTGTCGCAGATGTTCGACGATGAGTGGATGCCGCGGGACACGGTCATTGAATATGGTGATGAGACAGTTGCTGGTGTGCCACTGCCCAGGTGCGGTTGACAAAAACGAGGAGGTACAGTAGTTGATTGCACCCCGCTCTGTTGCCTTGAAGGCATAATCGAACGAGGATGGGCCTATGAGATAGTCTCACGTGCGCACTCTACTCTCAAAATTCTGATGAATTATGATTAATCCATTGCAGCATGAATGTTAGACCAGAGTACTCGGTCCATTGTACCTAATCTTGGACCTCATGTGATTCAATGCAGACGAGGTCTCCGGAACCACCTCACCGGACCCCTCCATCCAGAATGGCCGGAGTGACGTACGAGAGACATCGTCTCACCGGACATTCCCCCAGACCGGTCACCACTCGCGTGAGCTTTCGGTCCTCGTATCCCAAAAAAATAACTCATGGCTCATGTCCTCACCGGTCGCATCTCTTCACCGGCTCGGCTACAGCCGCTTCTCGGCCCGCTTCTCAAAACGCAACCACGTGTCTCCGCTGACGAGAGAGACACCCCACATCGATGCTTGCTTTGAAGTTTGGTAGTAAGCGCAAGGCTGTCTTGAGGGGTGAGGCTGATGCTTGACCCGAGAGCGGTGGTTCGCACTGCTCGCCTTAAGAGTTTGAGAGGCATGGTAAGGCTTGCTTGTGTGAGTGAGGGGTCGATGGAGGAGGGGGTTGAGTCCTGGATTTCCGAGTTTGGAAACCCGGTGGACACCGGTCAACGGAGCAGCTGGATGTATGATTAATTCCCGGAAGTTCTCGAGCTTGAGGTTGCCAGAAGTGGTTTCGCGCCTGGTATAAGCTACTGAATGAGGGTTTAGGCAGGTGGCGTGTATGAGTTGTCAGAATGAAGCAGGAAAGAGGCGCAGTTTCCATTTCCCCCCTCTGACCGAGTTTGGAGGATATATAGGGCGGGAGGGCGGATATGGCGGGTGAGGTTGTTTGTCGGTTTTTATGAGGAGAATGAGAGGAAGTATTTCATCCTTTCATCTCATCTCCGAGTCCAACCCACAAGTCAATATCCCATGGCAGGAGTAACCCCCTGCTTGCTTCCCATCAAACTCAAAGGGAAGAATGAGGGATTGGTATCAAGCTTGAAGATGCCGTATTGTGAGAAGACGGTAGATGAAATGCCGTGCTGTAAGATGGTCGACGAGATACTATTAGGTCTCTTATCCGATACTGAGGAGCTCTGCTTCCCTGAGTTTGAAATCCTGGACGATTTCGAAAATTGCGACCTCATGGTTCTGGAGCAATGTACTGAGGGGTGTGGGTACATGGAGTTGATCGATCTCAATGGTAAGTTCCTTTCTTCTAAAACCAGTGTGAGAGCTGACGACATTGAGAAGGGTCACTGAATCTTGAGTCTGGTTTCCGTGCAGAGAAGAACGATAGTCTGGAAAACTCGGAGGACTCGGAGGACGAATGCTGGTCCATGGCCGTGAACATCGAAGACAAAGATCTACGAACGGAACACGGAGCCTGGTCTTGGTTCCAGTCGTTTAGAAATCCTGCCATTGTGAAGGTTGATACAGGGCAAAATTTGAGGTATTGCGTTCAGGTGCTCGGTTCGTTACTTGGAGCTTTGTGGGATATTGTTCAATCCTTGATTGTTGAGCGACTGTAGGATAGGGCCATAAATTTGTAGCATTCCAAGGAATATGGTTACCTTGTTGTAGAAACAGATTGGCAAGAATTGAGATACTTCAGCAATTTCCCGCGGTTTCTCTTCTTAATGGACGTCCTTTGACTCCTTTCTGACGTTGCTGAAGCAGTTGTGACTCGTTGACAACGGAGAGATGTTGATTGATCCTGCTGACGCGTCGACACGAAGCTGTCCATTCGTGTTTGGACGTGGTGGTGACATGGCACGGCCGCTGGTTTTATCTCTCGTGATTGATCAATTGCTTGACACAGTTGTTCTATATAATGGATAGAGGCCAGCCTCGATAGGAGGTGTAGATTGGCAGCAAACTGTACAGAAAAGCTTCATCACAGCGTAATCCAGAGCTCAAAAAGGCTTTTACTTCGTACGGTGGCCATTTCAGCGCTCAAACGCAGAAAGTGGGCCAGAAACCAACCCCTCAACCAGCACGCCATTCATCCCACTTCACCATCTAGAAATTTCTTCAGAGCTTAGGGATACATCTCCCTCTCACACAGTTTCTCGACTGCATAGCTCTGCTCCGCAACCTCAAAATGCGCCTCCCTCGACCCCAATGCCTCCACAACCTCGCCAACCTCCTCCCTTCCCAACTACGCTTCCTCCCCTACCCCGCGCTCCGAATAATTTCCCTCCTAATCCTCACAAACCTCCTAATCTGGGCTATCGTCGCCATAATCTTACGCAAACACGCCAGCCTCTCCTCCTCCGCGCTCCTCTCCTACACCCTCGGTCTACGGCATGCCCTAGACGCAGACCACATCTCGGCCATCGACCTGATGACACGACGGCTCGTAGCCACTGGCTGCAAGCCTGTCACCGTCGGAACGTGGTTCAGTCTGGGGCATTCCACGATCGTGGTTATTACCTGTATTGTGGTAGCTGCGACGAGTGGCGCATTGGAGAAGCGCTTTGAGGGGTTTAGGAATGTAGGGGGCGTGATTGGGACGGCTGTCAGTGCGGGGGTGTTGATACTTTTGGGGTGTGCGAATGCGTGGATATTGGTGAAATTGGTGCAAAGGATGAGGATTGTGTTAAGGGAGGAGGTGAGTGGTGATCGAGAAGGGGCAGGGGAGGGTGCTGTTGCGGGACTGAATTTGGAGAGTGGAGGGATCATGGTGAGGGTGTTCAAGAAGTTGTTTATGCTGATCGACAGGCCGTGGAAGATGTATCCCCTTGGGGTACTGTTTGGGCTGGGGTTTGATACCAGCAGCGAGATTGCTGTATTGGGGATCGCGAGTCTCCATGGTGCTCAAGGGACAAGTATTTGGCTGATTCTCATTTTTCCTATCTTGTTCACGGGTATGGTTTGCGCTCCGATACATTCTCATGGCCGACTTTCTTCTGATCTTGAGCAGCTGGTATGTGTCTCCTCGATACGACAGACGGAGCGCTCATGATGACACTCTATACTTCCACCTCCCTGGCAAGAGATACGATTGCCATTCTATACTATTCCATAGTATTATCGGCGATCACTGTCTTGGTCGCCATGGTCATCGGAATGATCCAATTATTGTCCGTCATCGCCAATTACTCAAGTGGGCCGTTCTGGGATGGTATTGACAAAGTTGGAGATCATTTTGATGTAATTGGTGGTGGAATTTGCGGCGCCTTTGTGGTCTTTGGTGCTGCGTCTGTGGTCTTGTATAAGCCCTGGAGGCGAAGATACGATCGAAGACCTCGTGCTGGGGTTGCAGCAGCTGTAGATTCTGTAGAGTTACAGACTACAAATGATAAAGAGATGGAGGAGAAGAAGGCGGGAACGAGATCATCGAGAGAAGTGGTCCAAGAAGAGTAAAAGCGCGGAGTGCCCAGAGAGAGCCTCCAAGCTAGATGTCTTGATCAATTTTCAGTGGTCGAAATACCAAGAAATATTTAAGATAGAATTTCATATTTATACCATCCTTGACCTGTCCCTCTATTCCCCTTTCGCGCACCCAATTTCCTGAACTTCATGCATATCCTATCCCTGGCAAGAAGATTTACATAGATATCTATAGTGCGGCCATGCTAGCGAGAGCTCGTGGGCAACCATGCCCTGTCTGTGAAGGTCTCTGTGACTGTTCAACAAACAACATTCCGGGAATATTTCGTGGGAAGTGCAGCTGCACACAGCTGACTGTCAGAGCCCCCCCGGTTGAGAGATCATCACTGGCGCGGGAAATCCGCATGTCCCTTGCGGTTCCTGCTGGCAACTTCGCCATTTAGCCAACTTCGAGCTCGCCAATTGGCGGGGGGCAAAGCTTCGAATTTGCAGAACCGGGCCTGGAACATTTAACTTGAGTTTGGTCAACCTCTCTTTGGATTTGCCAAGATCCACTCGTAGTCGAGGATCGTCAACGCATTTTGTAGACACCGACGCGGCTCGGGGGAACCAAAATATTGGAGGGATTCTGCTCTTTCCGTATCAAGAACGTTCTTCTTCCACGCCTCCTTTCCCTTCACCATATCAGCTCGGTTCGTTTCATTACCGACTCCCCAGGATGTCCTCTGATACCCAGTGAACAGGTGATAAACATTGTCCTCAACGGTTCATCAACTTTCAAGTGAACGATAGTTGACATTCCGTCCTCCGGGACATATTCCTCATCATCTCCCAAACCCTCTTCCTCGATCTCCGCCTGAAATTTCATTATCCTCCCCATCATAGATGCATCCCAAATCGCCTCCCTCCTGGACATTGCCGTAAGAGTCCTTATACATTCCTGCCTCAAAGCTCTGTGTCGATAGTTGAGACCAACGACCGCCAGAGGCAACACGAACCGCATTTCCAGAGAGAATGTTTGGCTATCAGACATGTCGAGTAACACTTTGCTCAACGCAACAATCTCCTTGAGCTCCTTTGTATACCGTCTGTAATACATTCCAATACTGCGGGATCCAGAAGCGACCCAGACGACGCCACCGAGGTAATTCATGCGCAGTTGAGTTGCCGATTCAAAGATCCTCTCTCCTGCTGCGCTTCTGGCTTTCCGATACAACGGTTCGAAAGCCGCGCCCCATGCTTTGAATGAAGCAAGACACCGATTCAGCTGATGGGCTGCGGGATCGTTTGCACATGGGGCTAAGCCAATGAATGAGGGAACAATTTTGCCTTCGTGTCCAGCCAGGTTCATTTGTGCGAACCGCAGATGGATTCCCCACATAATGTTCAACCTCAGGATGACGACAGCATGCTTGGTCCCCGAGAATTCTACCGGCATACCATTTTCGACCGCCTCCGCGCAATTGTACATTCTTTCCAGGTGAAGTTTGCCGGGTCGTGAATCGCCCCACGCAGTCGCCTGAATCTCGAGCAAGGTAAACACCTGCACCAACTCTGGATCAACGGGAGCCAGCCGCGGCGCATTGGATGTCGAGTCTTTCTCTTTCCTTTTTTTGTTGTGCTCCTCCATCATCTCAATTCCAGAGAATATCTGCCCAAGTGCCGTCTTACTGTTCCCATGATAAGCTTCGAAGCAGGCAAACAGAATACAAGCTATAAGTCTCGTCTTAATATCACAGTCTTTCTCCGAGAGCGTCTTTCGTATCCCAACGATAGCTTTCTGGTATTCCTTGTACGCGAACTGCCGTCGGAACTTTATCGCCTCCTCGTCCCTAGTTGAGGTGAGGACGTTCAGATCCAAAGCTCCAATTGCTGTGGCAGCGTGTCGAATCGATGGTTCCACTTGTGTAGCTTGGAGCACGACTCGACTCCAGAACTCAAATCCTCGTAACCCTGATAGCCTTTGGACGGTGTAGCTACAGAAGCGTTGGAAGTAGGTCCATTCTTCGGGGTTATCGAGGTCGAAGAGGTTCTGTGAGGGGGATACAACGAAGGGGAAGGTTGCTCTGGGTACGAGTATGCGAGTTGCTGCAGGTGAAAGGACATTGGGTTTCTTGGCGCCGTAGCCATCACATGTTGCGCCGAACTTTATGCAGCGATTACAGCTGGGTTTTCCTTCGTCGCATTTTACGCGTCGTATCTTGATGAGGAGAAGTCAGCGAGTGTTTCCTTTCTTTTCCTTTCTTTTAATTTATGGCAAGGCAAAGAATTTAAACTCACCTTGCAGGTCTTGCAGCCTGTTCTCACACGCGGAGCAGATGCTCTCGTCCGCGGTTGAGTCACAGCCTTCTCCTCCATCCTTATTTCCATCAGTTTGGACACGCAGTTGTGAGAAAGGATGGGGATGTCAGCATCTTAAGTATCCACAGTCCCATGACCCCGACAAGGCTAACAGGAATCCTGCAGGGATCATACACTTGAATAAGATACTGAGATTGGCTATCTCGTACAGCATCTCCAATGATGCTTCAGCGAAATACGCGTAAACGGCGGCGAATTGATAATGGTCTCTTAGCTTTCTTGATCACCGACCGAGAATTGAGGATTCTTCTCACGAAATGCCAGTACCTAGACCCCGGAGAGAAGGTCCCCATTAGTCAATCTCACTGCTCAAAAATTTGATTTAACAAGGCCGTGTGGACTCTGTAATGGAGGTGAGGCTAGCGACAATAAGGGGGTTTCGTAAATTTACATGTGTAACAGCGGCACAGTGTGCACTGTCTTGGATGCTGACGCCGTTCTCAGCGACCCGGTACCCGGATTTTAGCGACCTGAGCCCCTGAAAGTTTACCGAGTCTGCCACAGATCCGATTTCAACTTCAACGAACTCACCACTACAAGAACACATGAATGTTTCATTGTTCAACTACGAATCTGTGCGATGGCACAGGTAACGAGCGAGGTAATGAATGAAAACATTGGCACTTGCCAAGTGTCGCAAGTGCAGAGTGCGCTCTCTGAGGTGCATAAATTGGGTGCTCCGGAGAGCTTATAGGGGTGAAACATGCCCAGGAGCTAAGTTCCTTAACACGTGAGATCGGTATGTAAAAGGCACTAGGGGGGGTAGCCCCGTGCCATGCAACACCAAGGTATGTGAAGGAAGAGACAAGGTAGAAGAGCGGGTCTTTGTGATAATTTGTGTGAATCTAATTGCTTCTAAGAAGATCGATTAATACCGGTATATCATATTCTCATTTACCGTTCTGGTCATTATCCACAGGAATCGTTGTTACAGGCACAATCTTATTCGGTACAGGGATATACTGGAGAGGCACATCTGGAAAAAAAGATCAGCAACTGGGTCTGAGAAGAGCTTTGGGCTATATTACCTTTCTTCTCCTCAATCTCTCCTTCCTCAGTCTCCACCTTACCTGTCATCCAAGTCGGTAACACTATTCCAGTCAGTAAGATCCCAATCCAAACAGTACTCAGAACTTACGCAAAGTAGTAATAATACTCAAAAGAGGTGGTGCCCAAATAAACAACGCCAAAATCTGCCCAAACCCCCAAGCCCCCTCGCTCCAACTACTACCCGCCACCTCCGCCATCATATGCCTGATCTTCCACAAATAAATGCACTCCGTCCACACCACGACGATCGCCACAACCTCTACCAGAACCCTGGCCCTGAAAGTCCAAATATGAAGGCCACTCAGGGGGTCCTGAGTCTTTCCCCAATGCCTGACTTCGTCTTTATGGTAAAGGTAATACCAGAGCGCCGCCATGCTACCGACTAGACAGAGACCAACCAGGAAGAAGAACAGGCTTTGGAAGATAGCAGGGTGGTACCGCCCTTTGAAGTGGACGTTGTCGTGCAGACAATAGTAGTCAGAGTACTTTAACTCGCTATGTTCAGCCATGTAGGCGATATACTGTATGCTGCTTTCGACGAGGATACCTCCAATGAGCAGGAACAACACGTGGCCCCGCTTTTTGAGATATTGACCCGGGAACATGGCCATGAAGGCGAAGAGGGCGGACAGGGCAAGCACGTTTGCGGAGGTAAAGACTAGCTTCTCGTAGTAAGAGCGGCCGGAGTGGAGGGAGACCCAGCCTGCTGATGAGATGGAGAGGGAAAAGAAGAGGGCACCGTCGAGGAGGTCGTCGGAGGCTTTGCGGAAGGCTTTAAGGAAGCGGGAGGGGTTCTTTTGTGGGAGGCGGTGGATGCCGTACATGTATATCTCAGCATTAACTGCAATGAAGTAAAGTGTTACGAGGGCGGCTTCAGCGGTGTAAGATGCGAGGACCTGCAATTGACGTCAGCTTTGAAGGAGAGATGTTGGATCCGTACTCACGCCAATGCCGCCGATATCAGGATTCCCAGTGTAACCTTGGACTTCGCAAATGCGACCTTTACAGCTATTCCAGGCTCCAGTCAAGAAATTGACGAGGGCGGTGTTGGTTCCCGAAGTTGCCGTGGTTGAAATATGGTCGTAGAAAACATCCAACTCCACATCCGTGATGTTGTTTTGGACATCGGGAGGCAGAGCATAGTAGATGAAATCAAGCCAGGAACTGTCGTTGGCATAAATACTCGGGTCGTAGGGCTTCGTTTCGTTTGTCCACCCTAGGGTGCCGCTGAGAAATTGAGCCGTTGCGGTGCAATTCTGAGTTGCGTTGAGCCGGTCGAGAGTCAGGCTTTTCTCGAGAGTTGGTGCTAGACATACAGCCTCAACATCGTCAAGTGCTGTTCCGAGCCATTCAAGGTTGAACAGTGGACCCGAGGACATATCATTGTAGAAATCAGTGAGTGCGGTGTCGCTCGAGTTTTGATATTCTGATGGCAAGGATGAACGCAGGAAGGCTATGTTGATGCTACTGCTGCCATTCCCAGCGCCTTGGACCAGGCCGGCGGCATCGAGAGGGAGATTGTTGACCCATAGCGCCGCGGCTGTACAGTTCGCCGTGTACTGAAGGTTGTCCACGATCGCTGCGGCGTTTGGGAGCGTTGTGAGGTTGACATCTTGTCGTTCAAGCACCATGGACGCGGAGAGTCGCGCCAGCAAGAGCAGCACACCGACGGCTGAAGCACGGGAGTTGTGTGTGTCCATCTTGCAAGTGTTAATTGAGGAGAATGAGGACGGAGGTTGCGAGGGGAGAAGATGTATGCGCAGCCTGATTCATATAGAGTCATCCAGCGAGGCATTCACGCACAGCCTTGCCGTAACGGCATCCTTCAACAAAGGTGCACGCGGATGTTCAGCCACATTTTCAGGGGTGTCTGGCAAACGACGCTGTGAGCCGCGGAACGTGGCCAGCCAGGAAGCACCGATATTGCTTTTGATGACCGAAATGCAGCCATGCAGCAGCTGAACTTCTGGCCCCCACCGGTAATTCTTTAGCCCACTATGGTAAAATCAACGGAGCATACTGCCCCGCAATTATCCATATATCTTGCAGTTGGTTCTTTAGATGAGCTAGAATGGGTCAAACATTCGGAACGGTGACGTGTACTGAAAATCAATTCAAATTTTCTCGCCGTTCACTCGGGGTCATCACGTGATGATCTGGAATTGGCATGACCGAGAAAAAGAACCTAGAGGCTTGATAAAGCATGTCATTCAGTTCATTATTATCATCAGAGAGCCTCTGGGCCTTGTGCCTAGAATCCCGTATAGAGCTGCTGTGAATAGTCGAATCCCAACTGATCCAAATTGTTCATCGGATACTGATCTGGAAAGTGTCAGGTCAAGCTCAGTGCAAAATGGACACCACTCACCCCAGAAAATCGAGTCAAATAGATCCATTGGCGACATATCCAAGGTTTGATCCGTTACCGGCGCGTCGTTCATCGACATCATTGACTGCGGAGGATATTCTAATCTAAGTCTTTGTTAGAAAGGTTAAGGAGATACAGGGAAGATTAAACTTACGGAGGCATCATCCCATTCTGCATGGAAGCCATCGCAATCGCTGCATTCTGTTGCTCATATTGAGTTTGATCCTGCACTTGCATCATCTGTGCTTCTGGAGCACTCGCGGCTTTCCTTTCGACCACCCATCCATGATCGTATATATTTCTCAAAGCAACCAGAGCCCTCGACAATGGTCCACTCAATTCAATGTCTTTGCCAGATCCTGGGGGACCTGTCGAGGTGTTCTCTCTCGCTGCCGTTGCTGATAATGCTGAGATCAAATCCCCTTGCAGCTCCCTGACTTCGGGATTCGTCTTCGTTTCTCCAAGAATGCCAAGAAGAACGGCGGAGGACAGGCCGTGATACGTAAAGGCCCAAGACCGCGTAGGGATTACGCTTAACGAGTGCATTTTAAGGTACATTCGAACAGTCTCTGTGAGGTTTTGCTTGCACTTATCCGCGAGGATGCGCTTTTGGCTGGCATCTATGCCTACGCATTCTCCGCGTCGAAGTGCTGGACGACATAATACCGATACGACGAAAGATGTATGGAGTCGGATTGCATAATGCTGCAGTCTATCCTGCATAGTCTTGCAGGCATCTTTGAGGCGTAGCTCTGGCCTGACCTGTTCCCTGATATGCTCAACATCAATAGAGTGTGTTATGATCGAGTCGTAATCTGGCTGGGAATTTGAGTCGTTGTTCACTCCTTCCAAGACCTTTCGACAGAGATGATACATGGCTTCCGTATATGAGAAGCCTTCGTTGAGGGCAGTCGGACCCAGCGGTAGTTCGCATCTTGTCATAACAGCAATCGGAGCGCGATCAAAGGAGAGAGATAGTAAACTATCCTGCCACACGATAGTCCACCTAGAAAATGGTTAGATCGAGACTGGTTTGGAACAGCGGACTTACCAAAGCTTTCTTCTGGGCAAGTCGCTTGCAGTTGTTGTTGGTACACGTGGATTTTCATGTGACCCTAGATGTAAACCCAAGGCCTGCGCGAGCCTGCAGGTAAGCCCTAGCAGCGCCCACGAGGCTTCCGCTTTCATATCATTCGCCAAGACGAATCCGAGAATCAGAAGAGCTTGAAGTGATTCTAATGATGGGCGGATCATGAAGTTTGCAAGTCGTAAACAATGAAATGATGTTTGCACTAGGACACATAATTAGAAACGTCTTCAGGAATAGATAGGATGCTTACTGAATGTCTGGGAGGTCGCTGTTCTTTTCTGGTAGGAATATTCAGTATAATTATTCGCAACAGCTAATACGGCGAAGAGCATGCCAAGCCAAGCTGAAGACACGCCTTTGTTGCCATTAGCTGGGTGCTTCGTTGTTGCTACACGATCCTCGAGGTAGATGCACAGCTTCCTTTCGAAATCCTCGACATCGATGAGAAGGCCCCAGAATGGCTGGACAATCTGCTTGTAGATTTGAAAAGCCCTGCGTGATGGTTAGCCCCACGTTCATCTGGGAACAATGTCGGGACGACCAACTTCAGGACATCCCTGTCCGAAGGCAGTGCTGACGCAATGTCATGCCGAATCTTGTCCATGTGGTCTTTTGACATGAAGGGGTACGATGCTGAAGATACTTGCAGCCCTAATATGGGCATAATATCTTTGCGTATAACGTCCTGTTCGCCATCTGCAGAAGGCTGGGCGGCAGTAGTCTCTTCACTGAGAAAGGCTGCAATACTGTTCTGTCCCAGATACCTTGACTCATTGGGGTCAACATCGTCTTGGAGATGGTTAGCCTAATTTGTCGGTTCTATTCGGAGTCCACTCGAGGCATGTGCTGAGGCTGTTGCGATACCAGACCTCGCCGAATTGAAACCACCAACTCGTGTCAAGACACATGCCGACATGCTTCAATTGTTTCAAGGCCGAGACTTCGCCGAAATGGGGTTTCAAAAGGAGGGTTTCCGCTCAAAGATGACATGATGGGATGCTGACCTGTAGTTCGAGGCCACCGATCCTCCTCCTTTCTCAGAGAGCTCTCACTCTCCGGGGAACGCGCTCTTTTCGTGCCACCAATGGAGCTCCCCGACGGTTTGGAGCCATTTTGCTTTGGGTTGTATGAGCACAGATTTGCATGATCTCTTTTTACACAATTTTCACCTGCATGGTGGCGGTCAGTCACTGCTTCCTGGGAGACGGGCATTCAGAGCGGACATGGCTGTTTGTTATCGCACTTCACCTTCCTCTGTCTGCATGGCCAACATGCCGTCCCTTTGCACAATTAGTCGTTGCGTGCAGTATGGAGGGCTGATGAGGACCGAGAAGAAATTTGTCGATGATGCGGGGCCCCGGGCTTACCGTAACGCACCTTCCTGTGCGAGTGAATGATGCGGTTGGCCTCTTCTGGGGTGAGAGACTCGATTGGGTCTTGCTGGCCCTCGCTCATGTTGTAGTTGAGAGCAAGACGGTCGAAGGGACTGAGCGGCGGCGTGAAAGGACGAACGTCGCGGCAGAGCTCGGTATCGTCGGGTGAGACTCGGAGGATTGGCATTTTAGCTTCCTGGCTGGGGTGGTTGACTAAGCAGGTCTGCGTCTGGACGGATTTCAACACCTCCTCGATCTTCTCCTTGTCATCCAAACTCGATACAACGAAAGCGGGTCGAATTTCGAGAATATATCCAAAGAGCAATGTTCCGCAATCTAGAGTCAGCGTCCTGGCCGGAATATATAAAGCCGTTCCAAGTGTAAGCAGGGTGCGGAGATGCAATTGGCTGCGACGAGTGAGAGAGCAGCAATCGGGTGAGGGGTACGGCGCGTTATATCCTGGGGATGAGACGCGCAGCCAGCTCTTTATTTAGAGCTCAAGGATGCATTCTTTCAACAGTATACAGAACTTTATCGGCAACTGGGCCAGAGAAAATTCCAGCCACCAGGGATGGCATTGTCATGAAGCATCATTGACATCATTCTCAGCCCTAACGGGTTCCACGGGAATTAACTCAGCTCCCTGTATACCATTAATCATTAATGAAACTTCGTGTGCCCTCGGCATTATGACGACGTATCATACAATTTTGCCATCATTCAAAGTTGAGTACTCTGTTATCGCAGGGTGGCGGTGGAACAAGACCCTTATACTAAGCAGTGAGGCATGATTAGTGAGCGTCGCGTGTGCTCCAACCCCTGCTTGCCAGATACAACTTCTTCTTTGGGCGGAACATGGCGGAATGAGGGTCCATACATCACACTTGTTTGAATGTTCTTTTTTCGCATCAGGCCGGCGGGGGGCCTGCCGGCGTCAAAAATACTCCCGATTCCGTGGCGGGGAAGCAAGCCGCGTGGGGTGCGTGCAAGTGTCAGGGGTCACTATAGCCCCTGTTTCCACGCCAATCATACTCTTACTTTGAAGTAAGCATCGAGATCAAGTTGACACTCGGACACGTTGGCAAGGGCTGGTGACAGATATTGGTTATGAATGCACTGATATTGTTGAGAATATTGTGAGCTCAGAAAATGATGTGGCCTTGCCAGGTCACTTTCCCGTTGCGTTGAAGTGTGCAGTGATCGTTCCTGAATTCCGCCAAGCAATCTTCCTGTGTAAGCAACATCGCGATGTGTTTCCCCTGCATTATCGCGAGGGAAGTATCACCACTTGCAGAATTCTTCGATCAGCTTGGTGGGGTATGTTCTTTAGATCCAGGGGGGGTTGGTAGGAAATTTCTAAGCACGGAAGAGAACTAATGAGAAGCCCTGATTTGGCAAAGATACCCAAGAAGAGATGAATCGTCAATGAGAAATGAAATCTAAATCTTGTGAGATACAACTTCAAAGAAACTTTTCCTAGGATGCTTCTCAGAGAAGTTTCAGCCACAGTCACGTGAATGGCATTATGCACTGGCATGTCACTTCCCTGCTCTCATTCATCAAAAATACGCCACTTCTACGCGTATCAGCTTCAGCCCCGATCAACGACAATCTTCCTCCAAGGGTTCCAAGTTGAGCGTCAATTCCAGGTCTTGCCTTGAGAATTGATTCATTCTGCTTGGCACACGGCATCGAGCAACTCGTAAGATTCACACGCTCAACTCGGATTCACTTTTCGAACTAGCGTACCTGACTCCCACCCAGATCTCCAGACACAATTCAAGCTTCCAGATTGAGACATTGAACCTTGCAAACGACCACCATGCCTCGAAGAAAGGCTCTAATAATCGGCATCAACTACTTCGGTAGCAGTCACCAGCTCAACGGATGCGTCAATGATGCGAAAAACATCCGCAACTTCCTCGTACAGGATCGTGGGTTCTCACCCGCTCCTCATGGTCTGAAACCCCCTCGCTTTCCAGAAGATATTCTCTCCCTCGTCCTGCTTCGGTATCGTGGGAATGGAAATGTTGACTCATCAATTCTCCAGATATGGTTTTCCTTACGGATGAAGCTCCCAACCAAGGAACGCCTTTCTTCCCAACTGGCGCAAATATCATGGCGGTCAGTGAAACTGCGATCACATGACAGGCTTTCACCGCTGAGATCCCTGCTGTAGGCACTCCATTGGCTTGCCACTGGCAACAGCCCCGGTGACAGTGTTTGGCTCTCGTATTCTGGTCATGGAGGTTTGACAAGCCCTGTCATGGTGAAGAGATATCCAGCTACTGACTTCTCACAGGCCAAGTGAAGGATCCGGATGGAGATAGAGAGTCAGGGTTCGTGGCAACCTCGCCTATGGAGAAGCACGAATGCTAACAGGTACCAGATTAGATGACACAATTTGTCCCGTAGATTTCGAGTCTCAGGGACAGATTGATAGTGACACTCTTCACAAAGTCATCGTCTCCCCAATGATCAAAGGAGCCCGGCTCACAGTCCTCTTCGACTGTTGCCACAGCGGATCTGCTATTGAGTTGCCGTATGTCTACCGACCCAATTCCCAAGGTGAGGTCAACCTCATCGACAACGTCAAGCAAGGCGTCAATTTGGCAACTGGCGCCATGAATCTCCTTCGTGGTGGGTTCTCAGCCGCGAAGATTCAAGATGCCAAAGTCTTGCTTGGTGGTGCTAAGTCGTTCTTTGCGGGCTTGCAACATCGTCCTGTCGGAGATGTCAACGAAGACGGCTTGGGCGAAGAAAATTTTATCGAGCCGTGGAAGCATGAGGGGAAAGATGTTTGGATGTTCAGTGGTTGTGCCGATCATCAGACTTCTGCTGACACCACTATTGCTGGTGCTGCTACCGGTTCGTGCATCGTGACTGAATATTCGGGCATGACTGACAAACATAGGGGCCATGTCTCATGTCTTTCTTCAGACAATGAGGGAAAATCCCAATCAGAGCTACATTCAGGCATGTTACAGACTCCAGATCTCGGGTAACCATTCTAACATGTAAATAGGTTCTACAGAACACTCGCGTATCTCTTGCTAAGAAGTACCAACAGATCCCACAATTGTCTGTGGGCGGCCTGTACGACTTGGATCAACAAGTCAATGTAAGTTTGGCGACTCTCCCAGCTGATAACCGAGTCTAAAACATTCTTTAGTTCTAAATGGTGTTGGAAGACATCTTGCGGGCGTTGTTTTCGATTCGTTGAGCTTGCAGAATTAAATCAAGAACCGCCTATTACTCGAGTCTATGTCATAGGAAGTATCGCTGTGAATCAATTTTCTCGGACTCTGTTCATATCCCTGTGTCGATCCATTTCCCTCGTGATTCATGACCAGCTGAAAGATTCTAGTGATTCATCAGTCGCCGTCTCCGCTCAAGTTATAAAGTCACCCGAGCTTCCCCCCTTCTCAAAATCCCGTCATCTTTTACATCTACATCTCAACTCGTCATCTATCGAAACCTTTAGGCCCCATAGCCGATACAGATAATACACAATATGCCCGAGCGCAACCCACCCCCACCAGCGTCAGACCAAGGCCTTGGTCTCGACGAGCTCATCGGAGGTGAGCCACCCAAACCCAACCCTGCAAAGAAAAGCACACGCGCAAGAACTTCCTTCGAAGCCACCAAGGTCGTGGAAACAACACGAGTCAAGACCGAGCATGCGGAGTTATTTGACAACAGGCGCACCTTTGCCCAAGGCCTGGCGGTTCCAACAAAATATCAGAGTCAGTTTCAGCCTAACGTGGCGGCTGGTGCGAAGATCAAGGGCCTGGTCAAGGCTAGCAAGTATAAAAAGGAGAATGAGTGAATGACTTATCCTGCACATGCGGGTGCTAACACCAAGTCGATGGCACCGAGCTTCGCGAGAAGTGTCTTCAAGGATTCGAGTGATGCGAGGATGGCGTCCAGACAAACGCACTTTGCGAGCCTGACGCCTCAAGAACAGACGAGGCAGAACATGTGGGCACAGACTATGATTCAGAGAATCAACCCTTGCCCTCAAGGCTATGAGTGGAATAGGATAGACGCCCCGTCCGGATATCATTGCAGAGGAAGAAATCATTTCATCTCTGATGAGCTGCTTGCTGAAGGTAAGGGCGGTATTTACGTGGTGCCCGGTGGCAAGATCAAGAAGATGGATCCGCTATGGGGGCCGTACTATAAAGGTCCAAGTGGTGAGAAGTCATTGGTCTATTTCGGCGATCCAAACACTTACGCCCCCGAGTATATTTCCGCCGACGGGCATTATAATTACAACAAGATCTGGAGGATTCATCCTGACCTAACTGGTCCGCCAGCGACCCGGAGCGAAGTTGATAAGATTAACCATGAGATTGTCAAGCTAATGGGCCCACGCAAGCGCGAATTGACTCTGGAAGATTTCCAAGAACTCGGCCGCCATGGATCCGGTGTAGGGTCGTCGAGAATGGGATCGCGAGTCGGATCGAATTCCACATCCCATGGAGGCAGTACGTTGTTGGGCCACAACAGCCTTCCCATCCAGCTTACATCCTCTGCTCGTCACCACCGCACCAACGGCTTCTATTCCTTGAGGGAGAACTCATGACACAGCTCGAGCGCCTCATGAACTAAAGGCTACTCCTGCCAACACGATTACAGATACAGGGTGCGTATTAGATCAGCAAGCATGCATTATTGCTCGACATCCAATGCATAGGAAAATCTCAGCGTGAATCACTTTTCTCATCTAGTCTCTATTCACGTCACTCTGCCGTGCTGTTTCCCCAATTATTCATTACCGGCTGAAGTTCTAGTAATTTCCAAGCGCAAGTGCGTCTTCTGTCTCAAGTTATAAATACATCCTCTCAGCATTTCTCCTTCTAGATTTTCTGATCATCTTCAAAGCCGGCAGCCATTAAGACTTCATGTTCAACACTCAACCAAGAGAAGCCCAATATGCCCGACTTTGACCAAACCCGGCCTCCATCAGCCTCCGACCGGGGCTACGGTCTCGAAGAGGTTGTGAACAACAGAGTAACCTCACGCCCACAGTCCAACCGTCGAGGTTCATCTTCGCATAGGCGCCCCCCTGCTCCTCAACATCAGAGTTCTTCTAGCCAAAGCGGTTCGCAGGGATCCTCGCGCGACCGCCCGAGGAACAACAATGAAGACCAACCCTTCATAATCATACCAAACGCTCCGGAACCCCGGCACTCGTCATCTTCGGGCAACCCCTCATCCAGGTCTAGAATACGCAGCAGACTCTCTTCACTATTCACAAGCAAACCTTTCACCGAGGACCCTAACACAAGTCGAGTTCGTACCGAATATGCGCCGCTAGGAAACGAGCGCACACATCTCCATGGCATGGCCGTGCCTTCGGCTTTGCAGAGTGAGTTTGAACCTACGGTAGTCCCCCTCGCGACAAACAGCTCCATCCCAACAGTCCTTGAAGGGACTGAGATTGCAGGGACAACACGAATCAAAACTGAGCATGCGCCTCTCGGAAACGAGCGCACACATCTCCATGGCATGGTGTTGCCTTCGCATTTGCAAAGCATGTTCGATCCTACCGTGGTCCCAGGTGCACCGGGAACGGTAAGCACTTCAAACCGTCGCAATTCCAGCCATAGGCCCAGTCTGAACAACAGGGCTGGCTCAAACGTCGAGCCCAGTCCGCACGGCACGCCGGGTACGCGGATCCCGGGACTGGTTCCAGCTTCCAAGTACGAGAGGGAACACGGGGGGCAGAGCTACCCTGCTCATTCATCTCTTGTATCCAGGCCACCAGCTCACGTACAGAGTATTTTCGAAAACGCTCAAGATCGAGAGATGGCGTCCAGGCAAACACAGATTGCGAGTATGCAGCCAGAGCAGAGGAAAGAGCAGAATAACTGGGCCCAGAAGATGATTCGAAAAGCCAGGATAAAGACGAGTGCCTGCCCTTCAGATTATAAATGGCAGAGAATCGAAGCACCGCCGGGGTATCAATGTGAAAAAGGCGGACATCTCGTGTCCGACGAGCTGATTGCCGAGGGCAAGGGTGGCATATTTGTGGTCCCTGGCGGAAAGAGAGACAGCAGGAAAACGGACATCCTCTGGGGACCGTATTACCAGGCGTCTGGCCGGGGAAAGGCGATGGTTTATGGGGGTGATCCGAACATACCTGCTCCTGAAGAGATTGATGAGAAAGGAAATATCATATTCAAACAGATGTGGAGACTATGCCCCAGTCTGAATGGCCCGCCTACAACACAAAGAGAAGTCGATAAGATCAATGAAGAGATTGAGAAACTGAGAGGCTCACGCAGGCGTGACTTGATCTTGGCGGATTTTGTACCTGGTGGGTTAGCATACGAAGGAAGGTTTTCGTATATAGGATCCAGGAAGCATGATCCATTCTATCGGGGTACTCGTTAACTCGGGACAGCCCACCGCTTTACTGACGATTCCCAGCTATCAACTAAATCAGCCTCTGTTCTCGCCCCAAGGCTCTAAACGCAGATATTCATCAGATTGAAGATAACCCAGTCATCATACTTCCAGACACCGAGTGCATGACTCTACTCGAATCATAGATGGGAATGTTTTACAGAAATGATAGGCATGGATGCGATGCCATGAGTGGCCGTTGAGGAAGACATAGTCCTGGCGAAGCTTCCTGAATCAAAATAGTCACACAAATCCAATACATGAGTTTCAATGACCTCATCTTTGACTGTGCTTGCAAGATCCTGAACTTAAGCCTGCAGCCTTGGCCGTGTATATCCCATATAACCGCAAATGTAAGCCATAAAGCGGACTACGCGGCGAGGATTCATTCCGATGCCGAGCTGAAGCAAAAACGACTCGGGTCATATATATCAAAATAAGCATTTTTCTGTCACCAGCAACCCGAGCCTCTCACGAGATGGCATGTAAGTTAATCCGCACACCTCAATTTAGCAATAACTAACAACTTATAGCGACAACTAGCGCGCGGGCTCCACAAGGAGAAGACATGCTTCCCGTTGCAAATTAAAGGATCCAAACTAAAGGGGCGACATCGAATCGAGCAAAATCTTATCCAGGGAGATTTTCGTAACTTGACACCCTATTCTGACCCGAGTCGACAGTCAGAATAGGTTGTCTTGTGAGCTTTTGCCACTCTGATCCTCGGCGCTAAGATAAATATCATTTTTTTGCAACCTTTTTGTGCCTCCCTCGCTTAAGGCAATGCCGAGGATATACTCTTTTCTTAACGGCGAGGCTGGGAAAGCGCGAGTTATATTAGCGAAGGAAACTTTTTTTTTTTGGGTCTCGCATCTTCAAATCATATTTCATTTGTTTAAGCGAGAGCTTGCTTAACTACTGCAGCAAAGGCGTTATGCGTCCCATTTCAATATCGAGTCATCGATAGTGTCCACTGATGGATATAATTGCTCTACGACACTTCCTCCCACGACGTCGAGACCCAACACAACCCACCGAACGCGAGGCAAATTTGCCACCCATTGGTGAGCACGTGAGGGTACGTTGAAAGAAGTCGCTTTGTAGAGGGAGGGCGAGGCAAGGCTAGGGAAATGGCGAAGCAATGCAGATGCAAGGGAAAACGAGAAGACGCTAGCGAGACATATAAGGGAGGGCTAACAGAGATAGGTGGAGTTCCAGCTCCAAGTAGAAGAGAGGGCGAGGCTAATGAAAGAAGAAGACGGCAGACTGGCTCTCCAGACGATCACGAAGACGATAAGAGCCTGCGAATCTGAAGCTGTTCTCTTGACCAAGACTTGCACAGGCGATCTGGACCCAACAACTACGATTACGGACAAGACTCTCACCTTGCTTAGGAAGGCTCAAGAATATCTATCTTCTCAACCATCACGACGAAGGAGAAGGAGCCAGGGGAAGTGACCCCTTGATAGTGCCGCGTCTGTCCGAGAGCAGAAGCACGAATTATTGACGAAGCTGAGACAAATCCCATACTGCCTGGGAAGTAATAAGAAGCTCCACGCTCGGTTGAATATCTAAGTAAATACAAGAAGTTTACCAGAATTCAGGAACAGAGCTCTAGAGCTCGAAACAGTTGACGTATTCCAATTACGCCACAACACTGCCCGGGACGATATACTGCTTCTCCTTCTTGAATTGCGAAACAGTCGAATTTGTCAAGTTTAGGGTATCCATCACGATCTGCGGCGGTGTGAGACCCACCCACTGACCAACGGAGATGTCTGGCTATTATCAGCATATTGTCATCAACGAGAGGCAAGTTGATTCAACATACCAGAGAAATGATCAGCCTGCAACACCTCGATGAAAACCACATCGTCTTTCCCAACATTCTCAACATAATGGGTCATCGCCTTTGGGATATATCCTGTATCTCCCGCATGCTACAACACGTCGTTAGCAATCTCTCTCTTCGAACCGCACTCTAGCAAAACTCACATAATCGAAAGTCCTCGCATTGCCTTGCGCAGCATAAATGCCAATCCTCGCACTTCCCGCCACAAAGAAGTTCCACTCATCACTCGTCGTATGCCAATGGATTTCCCTGAGGGCGCCCGGCTTCACCGTCACAACTGCGGCACTAAACTTACTAGCAATCGGGAAGATCGTCGGGTCAATGACTTTCACCGATCCGCCGGCGGTCTCATGGTCGTTTGCTTTTTGCGATAGATGGTAGGTGTACGATTGTGCGGTGGGCACGAGACCCGCAGACCCGACGACGTTTTGGGTGCTGATGTCGGCGGAAGCTTTGGTGCCGGGGAAGATGAACAGTTCGCCCGCCGGGATGTTGTCCCAGGCTGAGAGGGGGAGGTCGAAGTTTTTCGAGAGGATTTCTTTCTGTTTGCCGTTAGGAGGGAGCAGTTGGGGGAACAGAGGGACGCACTGGGTTGTGTGCAAAGACTTCGGAGGCGAGGAAGGTATTGTCTTCTGAGAAGCTTCCGTCGTCGAAGACGAGAAGAAACTCCACGCCACCTTTCAACCCTTGGAGGGAATGCGGCACGCCTCTGTACAGGTAAGCTTGGAATAAGGAAGGGGGGACTTCTTTTGCTTACGGCGGGAAGAACCACACATCCCCGGCATTCAAATCATCCACAAACGTCTGCCCTTCCTCATTCACAGCCTCAACTCGCACACTACCATTCAACACATAGCTCCACTCAGCCGCCTTATGCCAATGCAATTCTCTATACGCTCCCTCTTCTAACCTCATATCCACACCTGCCATTTCCGTGGCGGCTGGTATATTATCAACATTCTGCTGCCGCGACCATCCCGCTCTCCCAAGCCCCAACTTCATGTGACTAAGACCCATAGGCCACTGCGCATTCGAAACACCACCATGATCCGTCCCCGGCGGGGCAAGTTTATCCGGGTTCAGAATATCATATTCCTCTGTCCTTGGACCTGGATCAGTCCCGCCTTTGCTGCCGCGGATCGGTTGCGGGTGTGCTTGGTTGTTGAAGTCTAGGAAGGCGCCGATGACTGCAGTGTCGGTTTGCCCTGGTACGAGAGTGTAGGAAATGTCATCGGTATCTTCGTTGATGACTTTGTTGGCCGCATTGTAGCCTAGGAGAGATGAGGGGGGTGCTGCAGAGGCGGTGCCCGTTGGAGCGGAGAAAGTGAGGTTGGTGAAGCTAGCCATAGCAAGCAAGATGCTGGAGAGCTTGAGATGGTATCGAGGGGCCATCGTGCAGGTATTGAAGTCGTTCAAGCTTCAATGGATGGTCAATGGCACCGAGGTGAGCTGAAGAAATCTTTGGGGAGATTATCTCTCTTATGTCCCTTCGTCTGAAGCTCAACGCAAGATCGGATTGTCCTCATCTCCTCTCCGCAATAAAATATCGGAGTATACCCCAAATCAATCATAGGCATCCTCTCCTCGGCCCTGAGATACACCTCTCACGTCGGCCGGCGAGGCACCCCGCACATACATTCCCCTGACAATTATCCCGCCACTATCAACATCCCTATCTTCGAATCTGTGGAATTGTAAATAGCCTGCGGCGATAGCTCGGGTATGTTTTGGTGTTTTTGTGGAGGAACGGGAGAGCGGTAGTTGGGAGGTAGGGGTGGTAAGCATCTTGTCATACAAAGCGTGACCTCGCTTGACGGAAGGATGCAAGCGGTGTATTCTTATTTGTGTGGTGAGGGCAGCCCCGAAAGAATCTTGAATTGGGACGCTAGGGTTTGGAGGGGCCAGCTTCCTAAATGGAAGAAGCTTGAAAGCTTGCCCGCGTGCCGTGCGACCCCGCATATGATATAATTAGACCCGGTGTGGCTTCCGGGAATGGCGCTGGAGTGGGCTACTGTACCCCTGGCAACTTTCAGGGGGGTTGAGTGGAGAACGTGTTTACCATGATCCAATCCGCAAAAAGTCAACAGAACAACATAAATAATGCAAGCTGCTATCTGCTCAGGAACTGCAAAGAGAATAGACACTTCTAAAACGCGTTTCTTTTGAATCGCTCGGACACGTGGGGTTCATGACTTGTAGGACTTGAAATGGACCTTGTCTGGTTGAGTTATATGCGTGATATTCGAGTGATTGAGGGGGGATCTTCTAGGTATGCCTCGATGCAACTCTGTCTCAGGGATCTCCCTCGGACATAGCTCGCAGTCCCCGGCGATATGTCGCTGCTGTACCCTTGGTTGAGAACGCCGGCCATACTCCATACCCGCAATAACGCCTTTAACCCCGCCCCCCGCATCACTCCCGCGACCATCTGACCAGCTAACCGATGGAAAAAGTAATCCCCCTGCGCCTCAAAGTGGCCATTCTTTTTCAAGGTCAAAGCTGCTGGTCCCATTCATGAAGTTTGCATTAGGGTCCGGGAGAGAGAAATTAGTATCGAAATTCCAGAGCTCTGGAGGTGTGTCTCCTTCAGCGAGATTTGTATTGAAGGTATTGTCCCATAGTTCCTGCAATACATGGTTTAGTGCTTAGTCCAAAAAGAGAATGGCGCGTCGAGAAAGTTCTTACCCAGTCTAGCTCCATTGTATCCATGCTACTCATGTTCTGGGGAAATTGCGGAGGGCCCGATGATGTATGGTTTGGTGGAGTCGAGATAGGAGGGGTCATCCACTGGATTCCTATGTTTGCTGAATTCTGAATGTTCTGCGGTGACTGCCGAACTGGCGTGTACATCGCTAGAAATAGACAATTAGAGCCAAGCCAATGTTACCGCGGCTGACAGACTCACATAAAGATGGCGCGCCAGCGGTATAGGCTAGTTTGAAGGCCTCTTGACGAATGCCATTTGCGCTTGGAGCGGCAGGACTCGGCACTCTCGCTAGCATAGCTTTGAGAGCCTTCGCGACTTTCTTAGCATCCTTCGAGGTAGTACTCATCTCCTCCCATATGAGGTAGGATCTTTGCAAATCCCGAAGTATATCATCCCTCGACCATTGGACTCGAATCCCAGTATCAGTCTGCATGTTGGCTTGTTCTGCCTCTTCAGCTGCAAGGGAATAACCCAAGTAGAGGCAAAGAAGCATAGCTGCAAGTAAAAAGTCGTGAGTTATTAGAGACGATGTCTTCCACTTGTGATCGTGCAATGCTTTTCCTGGAGCTGTCTCGTCATTTATCATGATTTGAGTTTGCAGAATCCGCATTGAAGCATCGAGACAAGTTTTCATCGAATATGGGTATGGATAAATCGCCGTAGATTTCTTCGGGAAGAACCATTTCCTATGTAGAACGCACCGAGCTTTCTGGAATGTAAGGTCAATGGAAAATTTCCGGATTCTATCTTGTAGTACACCTGAGTTCAAGTCTTCGATCGTCAGAACCTTCAGTGATTCAGGAAGCCGTGCTTGGCTTTCATGAAGAAGTTTATCCAGTCTCATAACTTCCTCGTAGGAGATTGGATTTGTCGAGTTAGATTGATCAACAATCATTCCGAAGACATTTGTTGTGTTGTGCTTAGCATTCGAATATACAATGGACGTCAGCTCATTATTTGGCCTTGCTGGTGGAAGCTGGGTTGTGTTCTCATCAAAGTCTTCGTCTAGCAAGTTCCGTGGTTCCTGAGTATCAAATGAATTGTCCCTAATCATCCGAGGGAGTCCGACCTGCAAGGAATTGATGAGATCGAGGTGAACAATCATATGCCAGAGTCGACGCTGTATCTCTCCTCGAAACGCTGAGATTTTGGGGAAGTGAGAGGCATCTCGATGGTAGCCTAGTCTCATAGCTGCTCTGACAACAAGGCTAAATACCATCCACGTGCCAAATTGAGCATCGGAGCTTCGAAAATGATCGGAGACATAGTAAAGCAGGAGGGTTTCTACAGTATAGGGCCCGGGTTCAGTGTAGTTTCCGAGTACCAAACATTGAACTGTCTTCTCACGGTAGTTGTTAATTGCATCTTCAGGGTCTCGGATTGCCTGTTCAGTCAGGATGCCTGAGAGAGACTTATTTGACAGCGTCCAAAACTGTACCGAAAGTGACAGGACGCAGAAGAGCAAGCCGATCCACATTATTGGCATGGCCGAAGGATTGACCCAAAATCTCTTGTACTGATATATGGTCAGTTCATGTCAACAATGGCAGGGGGAGAGGAGCTCACTTCTCTCATAAAGCTTGGAACATGAAACAAGGCTGTATCGCTCTCAGTTTAATTCAAGCCAGACATGAGGCCAAACTCACCGCATCCCATATCTGGGACCGACAGAAATTCCGTCACTAGAACATCCATGACAGAACGTGACGGCAGCGCCGCCATAATTTCGGCCCTGGTAGCAGACCGGACGGCGCCGACTAGTAAATCGGGTCCCTGTGTGCCTAGGGCAGGATTAGTCTCCTTTTGAGGGGCTTCTGTGACTCCTAGATGATCTTTCAGGAGAGAAATCTATTGAAGTCAACGGAAGAATCGGCGGCGTGGTCAAGGATTTCACTGACATTGTCAAGAATAGCGGCCCAGTGACTCTGGCCCACATAGTTTAATTGGTTGTCTTCAATGCTGATTCGCCCAAAGGATTCTTCAGTGTCCACAGCGCTGTTGGCGACTTGATCAGATGACGGGGTGGTTGCATTCGACGAAGTTGATATGGTCGATTCATCGGGCGTGATGGGTGGTTGTGGTTTGCTAGATAGCGCTGAATTCTTGGCGGTCCTGTTCATCAAAGAGATCACCAGTTCTTCCAGATGTCGAACCTGACTTTGGACATCTTTGGGTGCATTGCTTGACTTCGAGACTTGGGAAGATCTCTCCCGCTGTCCATGAACGTAAGTACACGTTGAAGCTGAGTTTCGTTTCACACAGCTAGACCCTTTTAGCTCAAAAGCGAGGGGACTCGAGGACACCGCAACCTACTTCTCGCACGGCAGTTGACGGTCGCATTTCAACCTAATGAGATGTATTAGCGCCGAAGGATGTCATGAGAATTCGAAAAGGGGTTCATGAGGACCAGCAAGGGCGGCCGACCACGGGGAATTCAGATGAACCAGGAACCTACTTTCGGTTTCGGCAGAATGTACAAGACAGTTGTGGCTTGAATCTCTGCTTGCTGGACTTCGTTGGTTGCTGCGACTGTACTCCCTCTGCAGGAGATCCACTCTCCGATGTTGAAATGGCTTGCATGGCGGAACTGAGGGCGAAGTGCGACCGTCCGCGAGAGTGTATCCGATGGAGAAGCTTTAAGCTCCGATATGAGGGGGAAGAAATGCCTCTGATAAGGCTGAAGAAGCTTCGCTAATGGAATTGCGTTGCAGTTGCCTGAAAGCATGGATAAAAGCCGATCGTCCGCTCGGACGGGAGGTGTGTCGCCCAATAGGAGAGCGTAATTTTGAGTTCTTGGCAAGGGTTGGCCCCACTTATATCCGACGCTCCGTTGCCCAAGGTCCGCTGTGCGTCAGCAGCCTGCAGGTAGAGTGACATGCTGACATACACCCCTATCTCTGTGCCCGTCATAACTGACTGAAGTTTAATCGGCATCCATGGATCCAGCTCGTCGGATCAGATTCCTGTGCGAAAGAAGATTCATAAATGGTATTTTTGTCTTCAGAGATAGAGGCTATCGGAGTTTGAAGTTGAAGGCAAGGAAATCAGCACCCTGCATCATGAGAATCTCCTCATTAGGCTTCCAGGGAGAGCACACGAACCAGTTTGACATCATATTTAGAGTCCTTTTGGTGTCATGTTACCAAACCAATATTAGGACTCTGTCTGTCTGCACGCCAAGATTTGCACAAGGAACATCCCTGATTTGATAATACCTGAGTTTGAGCAGGTATCATTGCAAGTTCTGTGGTAGTGGAACTCCCTTTTGACTACGCCAATCTTCGGTCTGGCTTGTAAATGCTACATCTCAAGCAAGGTGTCCGGTTTGGAACATCAATATCCTCATAGCCCCAAGTTCCTGCGACATATTGCTTGCTCGAGCTTTCACGTTCTCAGCAGCAGCTCGAGTCAGTGCTAAAGGATCGTCGCTCGGGCTTCCATTTGAAGAATCGCTCTCGGGAGTGCCTTCAGGCTCTCTAACCTCCGAAGCCAGGTCGGCAGCATAGTTGAATAGTCGCGATGCAAATTGGACCAAGAGGAGCATCTGCATAGGCACCGCAGCTGACGGAGGTGGTGCAAAATCACCGATCTTTAGTTGAGGCACCGCTAATGTTGCTTGCTGTGGTGGTTTTACAACGCCTCGTTCGCCGAAACAGATCTTCATGTGTTGGAATAGAGCTTCATAGATACTTATGAGGCGCAAGTGGCAGGATAGAATAAGGAGAATGGCAGAGTGATCCAGGCTCTGTATAGCACGTTTATATGATGAAGTTGTCGAGCTTGCCGATGGATGCTGAGCAGTTTCAAAGTTCGTGTTTGACATCCTGTCGGATGACCAGGTAGAACTTGCATTCGAGAACTGGGATGTCAGGTGTGGTAGGAATGCACTGAGAAATGCCGGGTACATATCGATCAGGTTCTGAGTGAGACGAAGGGTCTCGTCGACACGATACTTGGAATAGTCCTGACAACCCTGTGTGGCTTGGTAGACTCCATCGTCTCCCATATCTGCCAGAGGAGGATCGTAAATGGTCATCGGAGGAATAGTATTGCTGTGCTCAAAGAGATCTGTGCTGAGTTGCGATAACTTGCGAATGCAATCGCTTTCTGAATGAGAATCCAGTGACTCAAAACTTAAATGGTCATGGATCGAATAGCCATATAAACCAAGAGAGCTCGGCTGTGCAGGTAGATTTTCGGCAAGGTTTGATGTATTCTTGATGGTTCGACTCATATTAGCTTCCTTTCTTGCTTGAATCATGCAATCGACCCTCTTTGGTGGTGGCTCATTAAAAGTGTTTGGCCATTGGCCAGTGGCATCCATGGGTAAGAATGGGGTCTGGCCAGCCAGGTTCAAGTCATCGAATGTAGAGTCTGGGAGGGTTTGAAATGACGGCAATGGATTTGACATCCAGTCATTCATCACATCTTCTGGCGATGTGTCGACTTGGACAGAGCCTGAGAGCATGAAGTCCTGGTCGAAGACTGCACGTGATTTAGATCTCATTCTATGTGACCAGTGGGCACATTACTTACTGATTGACTCTTGTCTTTCAATTGAGCTCTGGATACGTTGTCTCTTCCGAAGAGATGAGCCGATATTGCTTCCTGTGGTTTCGCTTTGTGCATTTGATGCCAGAGACAACGCCGACCTTTCATCTGCTTCAAGGTCTCCCTCGAGGACCTTTTTCTGCCGGAAAGGACTGAAGACACACGGCGTTCGGGCTTTCTGACAACGGTCGCAGACATCTTGGCCTGGCTTCCGAGGACAGCGAATCTTCTGTAAGTGGCACCGATCGCAGGCGGCACGCCGGCGGATGGACTCTTCGGCCATGGGGAATGGTGTGGATCCAGTTTCTTCCTCGTAAGAGGACCAGGGAGTGCGCTGAGCTGCAGGGGCCGCTCTTGAGGCTCTGTGTCTACCTTGGACGTCTAGTTTGATACTGGCGTCGTTCGTCAAGTGTGAATGTTAATTTGGTCAAGTACAATTGAAATTCTATTAATCGAAGCGGTTGAATACAAGTGTCAAATAGATGGCCAAAGAACAGATCGTATGTTTGAATTTGAAGGCCATGTTTGAATACCTAGGCTGTCGAGAACGCGTTGTGATCGATGATGGAATTCGGTGGTTCGGGTGGCACAGCTTGGCTGCTGAACGCCGGGAGTGACCTAGCCGCACCCCTAGAATCGCTAGACCCCTCTACTTACATCCTTGCAAATGCCCAACTTGGCCAAATTCAAGTAGATTTGATATATTTGCCCCATGGCTTTTTATTTACACAAACGAATGCCGATGAACACTTTCTTTTCAGCGTCTGTTTAGGGATTGGAAACCATCATTTTGAGAAGCACTGAGCGGTGCTCCAGACACATGAGCAAGGCTCTTCTCAATCGTATGTCAGAAAACAGCGACGCTTTATGAACTTCATCCGCAATTTGATACTCCCTGATAATCGCGAGCGTGAACAATTGCTTCTCTCTTTGGAAGAGCCTGTTTGTCCCAGGAGTCGAGCTTAAGATCATCTTTTGCAGCACATCTGCTATGAGAGACTCGGTGGACTTAATTTCATTTGCACTTTCAGAACATCTTGTAAGCCCTTGCATTCACCTGAAATACTCCATGGAGGACAATGTTTCCTCTCAGACATGGTTTGCGGCACGGCCAGTACGAAGACCGAGCTACTCGGCTGGCATCCGTGCCGACCTTTGGACGCGCTGTTCAACCAGCCCTGTACCGCTTCATAACATCCTACTTATAATTTCACCCAAGCCCCATACAATGGGGATTCTCATTTTATTGTCGCCGTTTCAAATCTTTGTTTCTTGAAAGTCTACCTACCTCTCTTGCCCGTCCCCAATGTCTTCCCTTGACACAGCCAAAAGTTCTGTAAAAGAAGCAAATGCAGCCTCCCAAAAATCAGTGCTAGAAAGGAGGGGTGCCTCCAATAACGAAGAGCCTCAAGTCAGAGACTGCCGTTTTTGGATGGTCTTCGCAGCCCTCTCAATCACTGGTGTCCTCTCCGCTATCGAAGCAATCATCATCTCCATCGCCCTACCTACCATTGTCCACAACCTCAATATCGGAAACAATTACGCTTGGATTGCAAACTCTTACTTCTTGACTCCGTGAGTTTGTTCTTCTCAGCCTGTTTGAAATGTGCTGACGGAGGGCGAAGCATGGTCATCCAGCCTCTCTCTATGGACAGCTTGCCAACATCTGGGGCAGAAGATGCCTCATGATTGGGAGTTCAGTTGCTGATTGCTGGCCGTTTATTGCAAGGTGTTGGAGCAGGAGGAACCAATATGTTGATCGAGCTCATCATTTGTGACCTTGTTCCTCTGCGGGAGAGAAGTAAGTTTCTGGGCATCATTCTTGGGACGTTCACAGTGGGAACAGCTATTGGTCCCTTTCTGGGTGGAGTCGTTGCGCAGAGCACAGATTGGAGAGTAAGTCTATTTCCTCTCCTCCTCCCCTTCCTCCAAGTCCACTACACCAAAGAATCCACCTTCAGCAAAAAACTAAAACACATCGACTGGATCGGCAACCTAGTCCTGATCCCCTCTCTAATCAGCATCCTCATCGCCCTCACGGATGCCGATACCAAAGCCCCCTGGTCCTCTTTCCGGATTCTCGTGCCTCTAATCCTCGGCTTTCTCGGGCTTATATCCTTCCAACTCTACGAATCCTCCCTCTCTGCGTCGAGCCCACCATCTCCACCCGATTATTCTCGAACCGCACGTCAGTAACAGCCTACCTCAACACGCTCCTCCACACCATAACCTCAATCTAGGCAATCTACTTCCTACCTATGTATTTCCAGTCCGTTCTGGCGTCTTCACTTTCGAGATCTGGCGTGCAACTCCTCCCCACATTCATGATCCTGCTCCCCTTCGCCATCATCTCCGGGCTCGCGATCACGAAACTAGGAAGGTATTGGCCGATGCTCCATGCGGGATTTGCGGTGTCACGATACCTATTGCCGTGTTTAACAACCAGTTCAGCAAACTACTTTACCGGATTTCGGATCCGGCCGTGAGGGCATTGCTGGCGAATGGACAGGGATATGAACATGCGAGCAGGACGTTTATTGACAGGTTTGGGGGAGGGTTAGAGAGAAGATTGAGGGTGTTTATACGGATGCATTGAGGATGGTATGGATTGTTGGGGCGGCGATTTGTGGGGTCGGGTTTCTCTTGGTGTTTGTCGAGAAGGAGATTAAGTTGAGGACGGAGTTGAAGAGCGAGTATGGGATGAAGGAGCAGAAGAAGACGAACAGTGGGGATGCTGGTGTTGAGGCTGGCGATTAGATCTCTCATGGTGTGTGGCAGCATTCTTTATTGTCAGAGAAAAAGAGAGAGGCGTTGGAATATTCTTAGAATCTCATAAATTGATCAATAGTGTTGCGTTTCCTGTTCGGAATGATTTCAGACTCCCTCATCCCAACTTCTCGGGTCAGAAATGCCCAAAACACCACTCTCTATACCTCATGAACTCTATCTCGGAACCAAACCGGATCATCTACGCACCAAATACTCTGTCTCCTGTCATTTGCAAACAATCCAACTACGACGAATTTAAAACTTCTTCCACTTCAACCCAACCGCAACCGCAATAACCGGAAGCACACTAACCAATTCTCCCAATCCCGCATATTGCGGTGGAATCCTCGCCTTGCCTGGGAAAGCGCCTGCCGCTAACAATATCGCAAACAGATTATACACAAAACTCCACGCAAAATTAAACAGCACTCGCCTCCAAAACGCTTTCGAGAGATCAATGAGCGTTAAGATGCCTTTGAGAGAAGGGCGCATAAGGATAGCGTCCGCAGCAGATTGGGCGACGTCTGTGCCTTCGTTGATATGCAAACCGATAGAGGCTTGCGCGAGGGCTACTGCGTCATTTGTTCCGTCTCCGCAGAATAGAACGACGTTGCTTGGTGTTTCGAGGGCGGATTTGACGTAAGTTTGCTTGTCGGCGGGCGTGCAGCGTGCTCGGGTGTTTTGGGGAATGATACCGAGGTGAGTGGCTAATGCTTGGACAACTGGTAGGTTGTCCCCGCTGATGAGCGAAATCTCAATGTTGCGTTTGCGCAGTTCGTTGACTGTTTTGATGGCATCTGGGCGGAGTTCATCCCTGAGGCCAAAGACTGCAATAAGATCATCATCAACGGTGATACAGAAGACTGTGAGGGCTTTGGAGATGACGCTGTCGACTTCTGGGCGTTTTTCCACGCCGAGCCAGAATGGGTTGCCAGCTCGAGCGGTGGATCCATTCCAAGTTCCTTTGATACCTTTCCCCGGAATTGATTCAAGATTCTCGACTGGGACTGCTTTGATACCCTTTCCTTTCAGATGACCGGCGACCGCAAGGGAGACTGGGTGCTTGCTATCGGTAACTAATCCTAGAACTAGAGCAAGTAACGATTCAGAAGGACATTCCTCCTCCACGACAGCGAGTTTTCCTTGCGTGAGAGTCCCGGTTTTGTCGAATATGACGTGCGAAATTTTGCGCCCTATCTCAATTGTCTCTGTGCTCTTGAGAATCAGTCCGTGTTTGGCTCCGACTCCACCGGCAATAAGCACGACCATAGGAACAGCAAGCCCAATTGCACAGGGGCAAGAGACGATAAGAGTAGAAATGGCGAAGGTCATGGCGTTTATCGCCGCCGTGGCGGAACCCTGATGTCGAATATAATGTCCAACGGCAACCCAAACAACGAATACCAGTACAGTGATAGCAAGGATTACAGGCACGAAGGATCCGGCGACACGATCAGCAATCTCTTGGATCTTGGGCTTGGAAGATTTTGCTTCATCAACCATGGTGCTGATTGTCTTGATCGTATTCTCGGAAGGAAGGCGTGTGAGTTTGACTAAGATTGTACCAGTGTGATTGACCGATCCGGCGATGACGGGCATTCCAGGTTTCTTCACAATAAGTGTTGCTTCTCCAGTAATCATCGATTCGTCGACCTCCGTCACCCCCTCCTCGATTACTCCATCAGTGACAACAGACATTTCCGGAGGGACTTTAAATGTGTCGTTGTATTGAAGAAGCCGGGCATCGATTTCGCGCTCTTCACCCCCTTCTTCGATGATGATTGCAGAAGGATTCTGTAGTGACTCCATCGATATTGATTCTACAGCCTTATAACGAGCATATTCAGCAACTGTCCTCCCTACCATGATCAAGGTGGCAAGTAGAGTACTGGTTTCGAAGAATTCTCCTGTCGATAAAGGTTTGCCTGAGACCAGAAAACCGTACGCAACGACTGAATATACATACGCTACTGTCGTGCTTAAAACAATAAGCAAGTCCATCTCTACCATTCTCGAGAAGAACAGTGCTTTGAATGCTTTGTCATAGAAGGGCCCGACGATGAAAAATTGAACGCCGGTTGCCAAACCGCAGGAAATACCGCCGTATAGAACTTCGTGGTCTGGCAGTGACGAATAGGAGAAAACGAGAACAGGAATCGTCAAGATCGCTGAAATCAAAGTGAGGTATAAAGACCTGCGAACATTGGCTCTCCCTGAAGCAACTGAGGGTGGCGTTGGTGGTGGTGCCAAAGCTGTATGCTGAAAGAACGGATCCGACAGAAGATCTCGTGCACCGATATTTCTGGGTCTATACGAGACAAGGACCCTGCGCTTTCCAGTTGTGGTGATATCAGTGACTCCATTTGGCCATTCGTCGCCGAGAGCTGTGACCCGTGGGTCCAGAATCAACTCTAACTCCTCACCAGTGTGATGAATGAGAGCGCAAGTAAACCCCGTTTTCTTCTCTATGACCTGCGAGATGTTGTCCTTAGTGAGGATATGCGTTTCTTCCAAGTCAAAAGTAGCTTGAGAAAGCAGCAGGCTGGCTTTCACGTTTGAGATTTCTAGGATCGAATCGAGCGTCCTCTCTAGTTTCTTGAGGCAGCCAGTACAGTTCATTCCAGACACACTGAGGGTGATTTCAAATTTAGATAAGGAAGAGTCATCGCCATCAACCTTGTCGATTTCGATAATCGTGCTTGAAGCAGCATCTTTGACTTCGATGCTTCGAGAGGATTGATCCGTGTCGAGTGGGAGATCGCGAGATGATTTGCCAGCGCAGCAAGAGTTCCCTTCGCAACAGGACCTTGCCGGAGAACAGGATGTAGGGTCCAATGCGAGGTCATTGCAGCGACCTATTGACTCATGAGACACAGGTTTAGCTCCACTTGTCAAGTCCTCATCGGAAGTCGTCGAATGGGAACAACCACATCCGTGCCTTTCCCCGCTATCGGCAGCAGCAGGATGGGTCGCCTCTTCAACTTCACCACAGCAAGTGTTGGACTCGCAGTTTCCTGCAGCCGAAGTAAACTTGTGGGAACCAGGCTCTCCATCTCTATTGTGTCGAGCCGGGCTACTGTTACAGCAAGCTCTATGAGAGTGAGTCATCTTAGGAAGAAGTAATGTAGTCTAATTGCGATTTTCTGAGACTTCCTTGAAGACGCCAGCTAAATACTTATTCACCGCCGAGTTTCACACGTATTCGTCTCTTGAATCTTTGTGATACAGTCGGTCCGAGACAAAAACGACAAAACGGTCTCTCTTTTGCGCCGACAACAACTTTTTAACCACAACCTTAATTAATTAATATCAACGCAAGGGGATTAAAGATAGGCAAATAAAACCTATTAACCCGATTTCTAGTGCGATTTGTAGTTGATCTATAAACGAATTTTAAAGTCTTATTTTTCACTTTCTAATTACTATTCCTCCTCTCCTTAAATAATTATGAATGTATCCTTTACTTCGTAGTAACGCCACACTGAAAATTTGTTAACATCCACGAATTAAGAAATATCAGATGCTTTCGAGAGTTCCTATTTGCCATGAACCCTTGATTTTTGCCCATGCAGACGTGGTGTTATAGGTACCCTAACTAATAATTATTTAAGAGTGGAAATAGTATATAAAACACGAAAATATTCACTTGTTATATAATATTATACATATTTCATATTTTCTTGATTATTAATATTATTGTTATATAAAGTATAAAATAAATTTATTAAAAATTCTCGTGTATTATATTTCTTATAATAATAAAAATTCAAAATCTCAAGAATACAAAATTAATCAATATTAGATAAAATATAGTTTTAATGAATACGATTTACACTAATTAGTATTATAGTAAAAGAATTTCTTTTGAAAAAAATTGGTTTTTAGATTAGGACCGACTATAATGGCGAGTGTTCAACCGTTTTGCGCCTATTTCCCTATACGAGGTTAAATACTGTAGCCAAAACCGGTGAAACACCTCGCAATTCCCTTGAGTAGCTGTTTTTGAGATGGACATCGACGCAGAGTTTCCCATCCACTGATGACGTCTGTTGAACACTTGTGATTCCAGGCAGCGGGTTGCTGCGTAATTCGAACCGCTTTGTGTTGCTTTGTATTCGTGTTTCGACCCAGTTCATATTGTACAGCATGTCCCTGAAGCCAACCAGAAAAGAGTTCTGCGGCTTTGCGTATCAGAACGTCCGGCCCAAGACCAATCTCTTCAGGTGATCAAAATGGCGGCCTACTAGACTGAGAATTGGTCACTCATGGCTTGCACACTGAGACCCAGAGAGCCGGCACTTCGCACGTCGTACCAACAGCTCGATGTTTGGAGGGAACACTACCGGACAGTCATGGCTGCTGGGAGTCGAACAACACTGTCAGCCGCACCGAATAGAACTCGCCACTATCAAGGCTTGATGAGGATACGGGTCGAATCTTCTCTTCAGGAGAAGGTTGCAAAGCCCGGACATGTCATGTGAATCATGGGAGTACTTCTGGGGTTGGATAACAGAGGTTGAGGTTGACATAGAATGAAAGAAAATGTTGGTTGGGAAAGGACTCGATTGCAGTTCTAAGATGGGTTCTAAAGGTCTATATATAAGGTCTGATACCCTGGTCGAACAGGGGGTAAAATCAGGTGATTTGGCAGCTGACAGAGGCACGAGAGGCACGAGAGGTACAGTACAGTACGGTACGAAGGGGCTTTGGTGCTTCGGACGGTCGGACCTCACGTCGGGCCGGACCTTGCCTGGACAAGCAGCAGGCTGCAAGGCTGGCGCGGCGAGACGGGTGGATGAATATCCTTTGCTTACGTTCTAGGGCGGACGGCAGAGAGCTCGAGGACCATTTCTTGATTGCATCATAATACTTTGATAAGCAGCCTTCCTCGAAATTAACACTCTTCCATCGATGTCATATATCAGCCCATACCGGCGTTCTATATGTCTGCGACCTCAGATAACAGCCAGGCAGACCCTTCGACGTCTGCCAGCGTGGAAGAGATTCAGGATGCAGATCAACCATCTGGCCCCTCCATAACGGCAAACACCAAACCTCCAGAGAAGACAATATCCTGCGTATCATGTCGAAAACGCAAGCTGAAGTGCGATCGGGTGAAACCGAAGTGTGGCACTTGCACGCGGCTTCGACACGAATGCGAATTCCCTGAGCGGAGGCGCAACCAGGGCAGCAAACGAAGAAATATCAAGGAATTAGAAGCAAGACTGGCTCAAGTCGAGACGCAACTAATCTCCGAGTCGAAACAGACTGCTACCACTCAAACAACATTAATACCTGGTGCTAAGATGGATTGGAACTCGATTGGAATGAGCATGAACCTAGATCCGGAACTGGATGACGATGGACTTCTCGACCCCTCATTCGATATTTCGCAGCCTGGGCTTGGCTTCTCAGCACCAGCACCGACCATGCCCACCGATTATTTTGGTTCCTACGAGCTGATAGGTCTTGGACTCCAAGAGCCCCTACCTCCTCAGGATATGATGGACGAGCTGCACACCATATATTTTGAGAAATACCATCGAACTATGCCAATGATGCATAAGCTTCGATACTACGCTTCGCTGGATCGGGCACCGCACATGCGTCCTCCTATCTGTCTACGATATGCTATGTGGACCGTGGCCGCCTCCCTTTCAGATAAATACTCCTCGTTTGAAGCCATCTTCTACGAGCGGGCGCGGCGATATCTTCAAGATGCGGAAATGAAGGTGAGGCCCTTGGGGAATCTATTACTTTTGCCGCTAAAACGATACAGGGGCACGGAGAAACGTTTATTGCTGTGTACTACGCACAGGCTTGGAGTCTCATGGCAGCTTACGAGGCTTCGAAAACTCTCTTCTCACGAGCATGGTTGAGCGTCGGACGGACGGTTCGCCTTGCTCAAATGTTGGGCTTGCACAGACTCGATGGCGATCACTCGGCTGGAAAGAATATGTTGGCCCCTCCAAAAGACTGGATCGAGCTTGAGGAACGTCGGAGAACTTTCTGGGCCGCCTTTTATGGAGACAGATGGGCAAGTTCCGGGACTGGATGGCCCATGGTAGTCGACGACAATGATGTAAGTTACCTCGATGCGGTGTCGCAAATCTCCAACTAAAAGGATTCCAGATCTCGACAAATCTGCCTGCATCTGAGGAGGCTTTCGAGAACGGCGTAACGGAGGACACGATATCCCTACAAGAAGCATTGACCCCGGAAGGTGCTGCCAAGATCAGTTCCTTTGGTGGGGTTATCATATCAGCAACCCTTTTCGGTAACAACTATCAAGTAAGCTTATTACCCTATAACTTTGCTGTCTCCTTATATTAGAGCTCTAGGCTTTGCAGCTGTCTCGGGACCTCTCAAGATCCCTTTTCCCTTGTGTCCAATGATCAAGACAGCCGGCGCTCGGAGCTCTGTCGATACTTCCACGCTCTGAGAGTGCTAACATTTTACAGCACCTTCGTAAAAAGGGACCCGATGAGCGACCTGAGGACCTGTCCAATGGAGAGTTTTGGAAAAGACACCGGAGGATGGATAATGTTCTATCAAACACCTTCATGTTCCTTCCAGATCATCTCCGTTTGCCACAAAATGTTCGGGACATGAATGTCGTCTTCCTGCACATGAACATACATGCCGCATCCATATGTCTTCATCAAGCCGCTATTTTGATGGCGAAGAAATATAACATCGATCCTAATTTCATCGAGCAGAGCCGCAATCGAAACATTATGGCTGCTGAAGAAATCACGAATATCATGAGACTCATTAGCCATATGGATACAAGTAATGTGAGTGGCCTCGATGTCAGAATTTGCATACACTGACCTCGTAGTAGATGAGTAGTTGGATGGGCTTCTGTCTTTATGTTAGTGGAGGAATTTTCATCCAGGATCTCAAGTCAGGTATGTCTCCTCTTTTTATCCCAAATATTCCGTACGGAAATATGAGACCTGAGCTGTCGAATCTTATTCAACGACATGCCGCTCCCGTTTACAATACTGATGTGATCGTTTCTAGATCGGCCACGACCACAAAGTGAAACAGACCTAGAGTTTCTTCTTCTAGCACTGCGCGTTATTGGCACCAGGCATTCAATCATGAACCATTTCACGGCACAACTTGAGCTTGATATGAACGCTGCCGGCGTCAACGATAAGCTGGCAGAATGCCCCGCCAGTTTCAACCCTTATGGGAATCATTCAGACAAATTGCCCGCTCCAATGAGAAAATTCGAAGAGCTCAATACATCATATTCGACTTCCCGCAAATCTCCATCTATGACAGACGTCCTAGAAGATTTAACCAACGGAAACATCGCGGCAGGCTTTCGCAAAAAGGATAAAGAGCCTCATCCTTTTAGCGGTCAGCCGTATACAACTCCTTATTTCATCCGCGAGTTGCATAGACGCGAGAAGGAACTGAACGCAGACCAGAACACTCAGAAAGCGTCGAGTGGTGGAGGCACCGAGTCTACACCGGCTTTCACTGCCCACATTCACGGCTTTCCGGCCACGACTGATGCCTTCTGCGCTTTCGAACAAGATTCCTCTGTACCAACTGGCGATACACCTTCTAGCGATTCATCAAGCTCGAACAAAATGCAAGGCAACCCCAACACAACACCACCAGATCTAAACGCGAAATCATACCCTTATCGACATATTGATCCGAGCAACCACGGTGGCAAATCCTACGGCATTTTTCAAGCGGACCTTACCTCGTTTGGTGATCTTCCTGCAGGCTGGGATGGGCAGAACAACCTCCCTGGCCTTGACATTGGTGATCTGGGAGGCAATGGGGCGCAACACGATTTCTCTAGCTTCGATAACGGCCAACATGGAGTCGAGTTTCATGACTTCATTCGTACTGATCCTTGGAATACTGGGCATTTACCAGAATGAGACCATTCTCGCTCTGAAACCTCACCTCCGGCTTCAAGCAAGGAAAGTGCTGGAGACGGAATAGCTCTACACGCCACCCCGACTCAAGAATACACCCAACATACTTATACTTTCCCGAAGGCTTGCTATCCCGCACATTTTGAGCCTTGTGGCTATATTCATCCTTTGGGATCTTTTCTTCCTGTCTAATAGTAACGATACCAACGGCCTTGTGGAGCCACACATATATGTCTATGGAGCTTTGAGATTGATTTTTGCAATTTCGGCGTATTACTACGGGGTAGTTTTGGGAATACCCCTTGGAGACCAGGGCATCATGCTCATACTCACTGGAGTTCTTAAAGTGGTTTGGGCAGTACAGGCTCTGGGGATTTATCAACCAAGGCGGCGTGCGAGCTGGTTTGTATCTCGATTTGGGATCCAGTGATCTGAATGGAGTTTTATGGGGGAATTTTGATGGATTCATGAAGGTATTGCCCCGCATGATCATTCCGTCGAAGGTGGGATGACAAGAGCGTGTGATATCTGTACGATTATATTCACTACTCAATCATAAAGCCTTTCAGGGCACATACACACCGCCATATTGAACTTTTCAAGAGAAGAGAGCATGCCCATTTTTGAGCATACCGCTCCTTCACGGGTGGGAGGCAGCGATGGAATCTTGGTGGCTAGAAGTTACTAACCTCAAAGTTGCACAAATAGGTTTGATTTTGGGTTTAACATGAAAAGGAGGCAAAAGACATGACCGCCCGTCTTGTCGATTCATTGGCCAAGTGGGTGGCCCACGCTACCCTTCGTACTGCGCATCATACCACTCACAAATATGTTGGCAGGAGCACTCGGGAACATCCAAAAAGGGGTTGTTCAATCGATCCTGATTGATTTATTGGACAGGGAAGCGGTGGGAAAGAAACCCACCAACAGATTCTGGGCTGCACGAGTACATTCTAAGACCTGTGAGGCTGCCAACGGGCTAATGTCTCATAAATTTTGGTCGGGTATTACATGAGAACACAACAACAGTGGTGGTAGTTAGAGGTACATATTTCTCTGACTGACGCGACCCTTGTATCCTTTAGAGGTATTTGCTGCACCTATCCAAGCTGGTTCCCTTCAACTCTGAACTGCATACACACATGCCACAGCCGTCACCAGCGTGCCCTGCGCAAGCCTTTTTACCACAACTAAGCAGTGCCAGCTCCTACTTAATAATAACACCTAGCGAATACCACTCCAATGGGAATCGAGATGCTTAGAAAGAGGAGAAAGATTCTTGCACTCACGATCTTACTTCAGGCGGGTGTCAGCTTCAATCATGACCCCCCAAGGAATTCGCCAGCTTCGAAATCCACCCCTCAACGACGTTGAAATACGCAATATTGTTCGTTGCCAGATACCCAAAACGGGGGTTGCCCTGCACACCCACATCCGCCATCCTAATCCAATCGGTCTTCACATTGACTTGATTCAAATGATTGATTACACAATGATCATATGGGATGTGTGGACTCGCTTCTCCGGTGAGAGCAGCATACGGGACTTTTGCCACGTTGGGAAGGGTATGAATCTTGTAATTTGCAGTGGAATTCGATTGCTGTATACGCGATCTCAGCGCGGGGTTATCCTCCCCCACTGTCTCGGTGACGAGATCCGCATAATCGCTGATCGGTGGATAATAGTTCAGATTCGTGACAGCCAACTCGAAAGGAGGAGCTGCCGTTCAACTAACAGACGACGTCGCGTTCTCCACGTAGGACTCGAAAGGTATATTCCCCGGTTCCAGGTTGACGTTTCTGACGACGAGTGAGGACATTCATCAGACAGCAAGATAGGGCAAAAGGGCAGTCTTATTATTCTTGATGTCGACCTAAAATCCAGAATTTTTCATCCCCTGTGCAATACCAGCCACCCCTAAGACTACGGAATCAAAGCTCACAAAGTTAAACCGCGGATTCGTCACAACGCCAACCCATTTTAAGCCCTCATACTTTTCCCGTCGATTCCTCGATATTTTCCCTCGGTGCTCTCTTCGCGGCATACACCGGCACAGCTTTTTCCAACCTTTCGTTCCCGCTGTCGCCACCGAATTTTATGGGTAAAATCTACTTCACGCCAGCTTCGCCGCAGCTTCAATCGTCTTTATTTCGAGGCCCCGGGACTGCACTGTAATGCAGGGTGAAGACCACGGCATCTTGACCAGCGAAGATTTCCGAGGAAGGAGGGAGAGGTGTAGTCGCCTGTTTTGACGATGACAGAACTGGAGAATTCAGTACTGGGAGGGTTGCGGGAGGCGGGAGTGATCTTGAATTTGTTCGCTTCTAGGAGGGATTTTACAACGGTACCGGTCGCACCAACGACAACAACGTTTTTGACTTGAGATGGCGTCGCCATTGCGAGACAGAGAAATGATCAAAAGTAGGGGAAATTTGATGGACAAAAAATCACTCGATTGAAAAGGTATGAGGAAGTGTGGGATAAGCCAAACATGAAAAGTGAAATTGGACTGAGAGGAAGATCTCATATCTATATACTTCCAGAAAAACATAGATTGCATGCTACCATGGTTTTTAGTTCGATTTTTGGTCCGATTTTGGTCGGTCAACAGGCTCCGGACGGAGTTCAATTCCTGAATCATTTCTTTACAAACCCGCCTTTTAGCGCTCCTTGTCCTCTAAGCGAGACTCCTGGCGGAATAAAATGTCCGCGAAAGGGCTGGAGAAACTAGTTACAGTATAAGAATCATCAGAAGAGGTCGGATTAAAGTTGATCGGCGGCCCCCGCCCGGGAGGAAGTTGAGTTCGCCTTCCCAGTTTCCAGACACGGAATAGTACGCAAGTAAGTCACGCCGAATGAACTTCATGATACTCTCCCCCCCTAATTAAATGTAACAGTGGGTCAAAGTGCAGGGGTTTTTTTGTACGGCAACTGGACCGTGCCAGGCTGGTTCTGCGGGGGCCCACTATTACATTCATTAAGGGGGCAGGGAGAGTAAACTTCTGTCCGATCTTATATCTTACCTAACCGCTCATATGCTCTGAAAATCCAAAACGTAGCACAGTCTTTAAATTGGTGGGTGGTATTTTTCTTTTTTGAGACTGAAATTTGAGGCGGAATTGTGTGAAGTGGATTTAAGAAATGCCGTGAATTGGGGCTAGCAATGTCTCACTCTCCCTCCCCGCGAATTCCTTATTTTCTTGAACACTTGTAGCTTTAAAAATACTGCGCAACCTTTTCTCCACTCAGGTACAGTCTTATGAAAAGATGAGAGTTGGATGGGATTCTTATCATAAAATCTGGCCGCACTTTCGGAGCAATAGCTCCTAAAATTCGTCCCCTCGAAGGCCTCAATTCTTAATATCCCCCCTTCCTTCACCCTCTTCCTCAAAATGAAGGATTCATGGTCAGCAGGTCCAACATTCCACCGAAAGTCCTAGAAAAGAAATTCTTCTGAGTCCTGCCGAAACAAATGTCCCCAAAACCATTAACTCATTCAGCCCAACGGCTTCCCCCTGCATTGCCCCCTGCATTACTCCCCAGCCTCGCTTAATGGAGGCGTCTCTATTTTCAGAAACAACCTCAGACGACTTCCCCACCGCAACATCGATCCACCAATTGCGAAAGCTTCGTCAACGGCAGATCCTTGGTGAGGCGTATATGTTAATGTCCGATTTGGATACGGCTGAGCGAATCAGCTGGGCAGGGAGCACAAGGAAGCCTTGTGAGCCCTGTGTGAGGAACTCATGCCACTTCTCGACGTCTATAATTTCCACGTTGTCCCGCCTTTCATTGTTGAAGCTTTCATTCCTTCTCTTCTCTCGTTAAACAGCTTCTCATTACTTATCTCTATCACTCTCTATCACCGCATTTTCGATTCATATTCCTCAAGTAGTTACAATGTTCACCAAGTCTCTCCTTTTCGGCGCAAGCCTCGCAGCCCTCGCAGCCGCTGATCCAATTCCTCAAGCTGCTCCAACCTCCTTCGATCCCGCTGCCCTCTCCTCCGAACTTGCCTCCCTCACCGCATCCCTGGGATCACTACCCAGCGGAGTGATCCCCGGCCTGCCCTCCTTCTACAGCGACTACCCCACCCTCCCAGCATCTATCGAATCCGTTCTCGCCACCGCCGTTCCAAGCAGCGTTATCGCCACCGAAACCGACCCCTGCGCCTTCGTGACCGACGCGCCGCAATGGTACAACGCCCTCCCCGCATCCGTCAAGAGCGCTCTCACGAGCTACGAGTCCGCGTTGGTGAGCTGGGACAAGGCACATTCTAAAGAGCTGGCTTCGTTGGCCGGGACTGCGTCGTACACGGGCAGCGTGCCTGCGCTGGTCTGCACGAATACTGGGGCTGCCGTTGTTGCAAAGACGACGGCTTCGTCTACGGCGAAGAATACGGGGACTGCTGGTAGTAGCACACCGAATAATGCCGCTCCTCATGCGACTGGGGCTGTGGCAATTGGGTTTGCTGGTGCCGTCGGGGTGCTGGGACTTATGGCTGCGTTATAAGGGTGATGAAGTACATTCGTGATACTTATGATGGACCTGACAATGCGGGATTTTCGATTGTACGATGTAAAGAGTGTATTGTACGGAGTCTGAGCGTGTATTGTGGGCTGCGGTGAATCTAATTGAAGGCAATTACAAGCTTCATCAACTGCCTTGGGTCGATTGCTCTAATCATGGTTCTCTCTGCCAGCTAGCAATGTATGTATCAGTCCCAGAGCATGCCTTAAATTTTAACATCACTCTTTCTCTTCCAGCGCTTATTTAGCTCCAATTGCTACATAGTGTTACACTAAAGGTCAAAGTATCATTCCCTTACCTCGCCGTGAAACATTACACAAACCCTCAGCAGACCGCACCGCAATGAAATGGGGATCACCTGACCCATCCGTTTCGCCCTCCTTCGTCCTCTGGGAGCTTCTCTGCCTCCTCCCTCTCAAATTCTGATGCCCATGCTATATCCACATTACCGCAATCGGCACGTCTCTCACCCTCCCCACAAAATGCAATTCAGCCTCAATTGACCTGTATCGCTTCGGAAATTTCGGGAAATAATGGCACAGTTTATCTGGCACAGCACATGCTAAATAGACCCTGCAGAAGCGGCTGAGCATATTCAATTTGCTTAATTGAAGTTTCAGGTTAACGCATTCCTAGCTCAAGTGAAACATGAAGAAGATTCGTTGATCAATGCGATGAGTGGAGAATCGAGGAATTCCATTCCCACGAGAGGAAAAGGAGGCGAGAATTATAGGTAGATGTATGTGCATTCCGAAAAATATGTACAGGGGAAGAGACATCAAGTCCATATTTCCACCGTAACCCTCATCCTCAAAAGCTTTCTCACCAATCGTAAAGACCGACTTTTGAAAGTATCCTCAACCCTTTGCAATGCCGCCTCCCAGCCCCGCCGGTTTTTCGCAATAGTACCACTGCAATTAAGGGAAGGCGGGCTTAGCATTCTTGAGCAACATCTCAAAGTAAGCCTCGTTCCACTGGCCAGCCTGTGGTGCGGGGCTGAATGCATCGGGCTTTCCGCAGAAAGAATCGTAACGGCTAGCAGAGGCGTCGCTGGTGCCGTCAGACTCTCCACCAGGCTTGACCCAGACAAAGGCATCGACGAGTGGGTCGCCAGTGGTGGCGGTAGGTCGGACACCGAAACCGGCTCCGTTGACGTTGCACCAATCTCCCCAGGCGTTACGGAGGCCTTGCACGGCGTTGCGACCAGTATCGATGATGGCGTGGTTGGGCATGCCGCCCGTGTTGAGGAGAGGGCAGATGGCGTTGACGTATCTCTTCTCGTCTTGGCATTTGTTATACTGGGCATCAGATGCAGTGGAGAACTCGCCAGGGTTGGCCGACCAGGCATTCCAACCAGCAACGTTGGTGGAAATACCGAATACTTGTTTGGGGGAACCGGCGGCCTTGTAGACCTTGGTGAGCATATCTGCGCCGGGCTCTGTGATCTTGGTCAGCTTGGTCGGATATGATCTGGAAAGTCGGGTTACAAACGCAAGTTGGCATCCCATCCGAGCCATCCTCCGTGACCAGCATCGATGTACATGGCAACATTGGGAAGATTAAGGGTCTCGAGGGCATATGCCACACCAGACTGGTAGTCTGAAGAGGCGCTGGAGCAGGTGGTCAAGTTGGCATTGGTGACCAAGTTGGGGAGAGAATCTGGCTCGATGATTAGAGCGACAGCAACATTAGGTGCCGCCTTGATGGCAGCAGCAATAGCTGTTCATGATTTTAGCATTTGAAGGTACAGAAACGCTGTCCCGGAGTAGCTTACGGTCGATGTAATCAGACTTGTACTTGGCCAGCGATCCGGTCGCGAGCTCTCCATTGGAAGCCTTGGCAGCACAATCACGGCCTGGGAGATCGTAGATGACGATACCCATAATATCTGTGCAAGGTGTCTCTGCCATCATGGTAGCTACCAGTGGAATTCGGGCAATTGTGTCGCTATTGAGATTTGCAATCAGTTCTGCAACGCTCGAGGAGGCCTTCAACTTACATCCACAAGAAAGTGCCCACTTTGGCAACAGCAGCGCCCGCGGCTTGAATGCTGGCATCGGTCACATTGGCCATGGCGTCGCTAATTTCTTTGGCGTAGACCGAGTTGGCATGGAGAGTACGCCCCATGAAAGGATTGGATCCAGCCGCAAGGGTAACGGCTGAGGCACAAGCAGCGACAGCATCCTTCTTCTCGAGGCTAGGGGTTGGCGTAGCGGCAACAAAGGCTGCAAACGCAGCTAAACTAAAAGAATACTTCATGTTGCTTGCTGGCAGTCCGTGCTTAAGAGATTTGGAGGTGACGATCAAAGGAATGACCAAATGAGTCAAGGGAGAGCCTATCTTATACATGAACCACACGGAGAAATTTTGGATATATGAATTAAAGGCGATCCTATGCCTGGACGGAATCATGACCTCCAGGCCCGAGATTATGGATATTTACCCCATCTGGTCCATGGCCTTGCGTTCCGTAGAATCATATTATTCTCTAGAAGTAGATGAGTGGACTAGAAACTGATCCTGTACATAATTGTACCTGGCAAGATATGTAGAGAACATCTGACGAATGACTTCCAAGTTTGACTTAACAGCCTGTTAGGCGCATGACGCCACAAATTCACACGCTTTTTGGAGTGAAACAATCATAGAGTGCTCGTACATCATTGGCGCTGCCCATGAAAATTTTAAGCCTTAAGAGTAAAACGATCGGGTGCCGGAGGCGGTCACTTGAGGCCGAAATAAGGGGGAAAGAAATTAACAGGAAATATATGACGGTCCCACAATGCGGCCGGAACATCGAGAGACATCTGCGATAGGTGGTCTACTCGCCAAATTAACAAGTACCTCGCGCGTACAGAGTCTTGTACAGTCCCCGCATTCTGCCTCGGCGGGAAGCTCCCCTGGAGGACAAGGAGAGACAGCCTCGTGCAGCAGCCTCGACAATATCTTGCACTCTACTTGGGGGCCTTGGCAGTTGTTTTCTAGTAGGGGCCAATCACAGCCCATCGCTGGAAGTGCCGTGGGATGGGATGCGAAATTGTAAATTCCTCAGAGATTTACCTACTGGACAGAATTGCGGGGTGCATAGATACCCCTTCTGATCGACACAACTCTGCGCAGACATGAAATACCCGCCCAAATGAAGATAGGGAAGCGAAAGACTTGTGGCGGCATTGGAACAAACTTTCCCACATAGGCATCTCCCGAAGCACCCGGTAGATTCAGCGATTTGTTCGGAGGGTTGCGGAACTTCGCTGCCGGCCATCAAGCACTCGCCCAAGCCTTCTTCATGTGATACATTCAAACATCGAGCTGGTAGGCCGTGCCGTGCCGCGTGTAGAGTGAAGGTGTGTTGGACGGTGGGTATTCGCAGGTTTCTTGGGAATCCTTGGCTTCGACTTGGAGAAAAGCTCCTGCCATAGATATTGCCTTTCACCGCAGCTATTCTTGAATACCTACAGCAAATCCATCAGCCCCGCAGCCTAGACCATCGTGCTAGCTTGCTTGGTCTTGAGGATCATAACCAGACGGATATATTCTGAATTGTTCCAAGGCCGCGGGGAGACCAGGTGGGGGATGTGTCAGGACTTCGGACCACGCAGAACCGCCGATAGCAGGTGATGGCTTGCCGGAGCTGTATATTGGAGGGTCGGGGGGTTCGAGGGCGTAAGGGCGATGCTGCTGAGGAATAGCGGAAGCACAATCAAGCTGGAACGTCGTCCCGAGTTGCATCAAAGCGTGCAAGCGGTGGCCGTACAGAACGTGTAACGAAGACTAAACCGAATTCAGCTGATCTACAACAACGTCGCAGCGTTCTCGATGCTCAGCACCTCCACAATTAGATACCCCTTTGTTGAAAATGTCTATCTTGCCAGTGCCAAGTTGGGGCTAGAGCATATGGCTCTTACCTCCGTTGAGTGGGACCTTGAGTGCTCTAGCACGTCCAGCATCGAACGGGAGATGACCTCTAGTGTCTTGCACAGATTGATTGCGAGAATTGAGAAGTTCGAATAAAAGGTGGGGGTGCATCGTGGAGAAGCGTACGGAAGCCATAGCGATGGAGGTCGATGACTGGATCTAGTGGGATGCTTGAAAAGAGTGAGAGAGGGTTTGTCGAAACTTGAACACTCCCAGAGCGGTCGCACAAAAATTCGCACGTCACATCCTGTCAGCCCTTTATCAGTATTTCGGAGTACCGCGAGGATTCAACCCCTTCCAGGCCTTCGACTACAATCGGAGTTGCCGATGTATGCAACCGTATGAAAGTGGAGGTTTTGAGCTCGAGACTATGCGAACCGATGGTGCCTAGAGATGGAGAGGTGATGTGCGTCCGATGAGAGATTCTGCGCGCAATGCATCGAGAATGATGTAGAAAGGAAATTATAACGAGAAGAGAGAGGATAAAGAGAAGAATATAAGATGCGGGAGGGTGTGAAATTTAGCTTGCGATACCGGGACAGTAGGAAGGAAGGTGGATTGGGAAGTTCGGTATAAGAATGGAAAGAGCGACCTCAACCCAAATAGGGTACTCCTTCCTTTCCAAATTCTCCCCACACGTCCCCAATCTCGAACCGTCCTGTCAGCTGCCGCATCGAACTTGAGAGAGGATGGAAGAAATTTCGTGTGACTTCTGGCGTAAATTCGAAGGCGCGCGACTTACCTGCTCTGAGGTTTCAGAACAAGCATGTATCACTTCAAGGACAAAGATATGCACTGCTTGAAAACAGACTCGACTCTTGAGAGAATAGCTTGCACTTCGGATATGCCCCAGTTCCCTCCCTAACAATGGTTCGAGTGAAACAAAAAGAGATGTGAAGTTTTTCGCAACTCACTGGAGGAAGCCTCCGTCAAGACTCAGGGCAGGTGGAATGAAGGATGTTTCCGATCGTTATCTTCAGAAGCATATCCGCACGAGCGCAGCAGAAATCTTAGTAAATTCCTGTTCAGCTCAAATCAACGAGATGCTTCACGAAAAGTAAGGCCAAGAGGTTGAACTGGGGCTACTTTTTCATCATCCCAGGGAGTGTTGTTGTTGATGATTCTAGCCCCTATTTTTTCAGCGTTCGCTTAACCTTTCTTCTTCAGAGAGAGCTCTTAGTGAGTGTGATAAGCAACCCATTGGGTGTCGGCGATAGCGCCATATTTCTTTCTTGAAATTCGATGGTTGTGCTCCCTGTGTTTATTTATGGAGTGCAACCAAGCGGGCAAAAGTGGAACATCGCGCCAGATTGACGTTGGTCTGATTGGATCGGGACACCCTACAGCTTGCTTTGTCAGGGACCCTGTATCAATTTGCTGCACCACGACAGCCTCTTCCTCCAACATCCCCAGGTTATTGCTCTGCCTGCTTGAGCATCAGGCTGTCTATCCTTTTGAAGCCATTTAAAGACAGATGCGGGCAAAATTGTATCACCGTTTGGGGCGACATGCCACACCAAGATGCGGGTACATGCGGAGCGAACACTTCAGGATCTAACACCTTTGCGACGAGATCCATTGGTGATGGAAGCTTCGATTCAGTTTCCTCAAGGATGAAACTTAAGAGAATGCAAAGTCTATAAAGATGAAGAATGTTCACACCGACAGGAGCACAACGAGCAGCTTCAGTTTCGCAAATCAAAAACCAAACACCATTGTTCTTCCCTAAATATTTTCTCCCACTCAATTTTTATTCTTTCGCATCTACAGCTATGCGTATTAATTTGTCAAGCCAGTCCGACTCTAAAACTGGCATGGGAGTAGTTGTGTTCTCGAGTTCGGAGTCCAAGGTACAGAAGGCTTTTGATTTTGGCGCATCAGGGTTCCATATCACCAGTGAGGTGGAGAAGTTTGGAGGCATGCCCAAGGTTGACATTTTCATGGTTACTGCCCATATTATCCCAAACTTGTCCTTGTGAGTAATTTTTTTTAACCGTCCAGTTTCCTCTGCTCACTCTTTTGCTTTAGGTATTTGCCAGTCATGGCACCTAGAGCGAAGGTGTTCCCTTTGGCCATAAGCATGGAACCTCTGAAGCTCACGCCGCTGTCATTGATTGCGGGCGGTCTTATAGCGAGTGGATCGGGTACGTTACCAATTGCTAGCGTCCGAGCTATGCCGGCTTTTGCTGCAGAGCATGATATCAAACCTCAAATTCAGAAGTTTCCCATGACCCAAAACAATGTCACAGAAGCAATGCAAAAATGGGGAGATGGCAAGATGAGGTATCGTGGGGTGTTAGTCGTACCATGAGTTCGAGGCTAAATTGAGGAGGGATTCTGCATAAACAGATCCTTGATATGTAGTCTTATATCAGACCGATTGTTCTAAATAGTTCCTTTCCTTTCCTTCCAATTTGTCCCAGTCCCCATAATCCCACCAATCTACGCTTCATTTCTTGAAATAGTGTCCCTGTTCAAGATCCTCAATCAAACCAGCTTGGGTTGGATGCCAACCCAGCTGTTCCTGTGTTTGTTTGCTCGAAACTGGGTTATCAGCGCCGAAGAGAAGAGCAACGAATCCGAAATGGGCCTGTGCTTCCTCGACGGGTTTGGCAACGACAGGGAGGCTCAGCTGCTTGCCGATTGCGTTGGCGATGTCTTGAGTGGGCACCCCTTCTTCAGCGACTGCGTGGAAGACGGAACTGGCTTCAGCCTTCTCCAGAGCTAGCTTGTAGACGCCGGCAGCGTCAAGCCGATGCACAGCGCTCCATCGGTGTTGACCTTCAATGTACGCAGAAACGCCCTTCTCGACTGCGATGTTGATCGTCCTCGCTACAAACCCATGGTCAGTCTCACCATGGACTGTCTGCTAAGGAGTCAGCAATGTGAATTCCAAGGAGATTTTCGGGACTGGGAGCTTTGAAGCCGTTTTGTTCCTGACACACAAGGATCAAGGAGTCATGACGACTTCTAAGAAATATCTCCGGCTCTCAGCTCTGATAAAAGAGGACGACGATGCCGAATGAGAAGAGCCTTACTGGTGGGAGGCGGATGACAGATACGCGGACGCCGCGTGATGCGAAAGCCAACCCAACTGCTTCGTTCTTTCCACGGAGCGATGTCATCGGATGCACCACATCCGGCAGAGTTTCTTCGGTGCCAAGACTACCCTGCGGGAGCATCATTGTCCCGGAGGTGAACACAAACGGCTTCCCAGAGTCCACAAGCTCGTTGCCGATGGCCTCGATAGCGAGCCGATCCGTCTCGGCAGCCTCAACATATTTGGAAAAGTCGTGAATGAAGGCAAGGTGGATCACACCATCTGCTTTGGCTGCTCCAGCTTTGAGGCTTTTGAGATCTTCGAGGTCACCTCGATGGACCTCTGCTGCCACGGCCTCAAGTGACTTGGCGGATGCGTCTGAACGAGCAAGGCCAATTACATGGTGGCCTGCACTGATGAGTTGTGGGACGATGGCACTGCCCATGTAACCTGACGCGCCAGTTACGAAGACACGCATTTTGGCAGCTTTCGGTGAATTGAAAACAAAAAACAGGGTTAAAAGTACAGCTGCAACGTTGATACTGACTGAATGGGAACAATGGATGAAATTGACCTTCTGAAAATGCTCAATTTTGAGACCAGCTTTATACTCATTCCATCATTCATTTCAAACCTCAGTCGATGTACGGAGATTAGACTTAACCCCGGGCAGGATAGTTGCTCCACGTTCGTCTTGACATTCGGAATACGAATTGCAGTTAGTCCAACAGGGTACGAAAATACGAATGGAGGTTAGCAGGGTCACGTGCCAATTTACTCGCGCTCGCAAGAACAGGCGGACCTATCACAAACTGACTGCCGCTCGTTATATTTGGATTTATAACTTCAAGAACTTTGTTCACAGCTAAAATAGGGGTAAATATTGGATGACTAAGATTAAGGGGGGGCGAAAGTCTGACGGCACTCTCTAACCGAGCCTTCCGGCGCCCAAAAAAACATCAAACATCACGACGTCTCAAGCGCATCATCAACAATAATACGGGATATAATCAAAATTTATCCTCCCGTCGCGTTGTTACATAGTTCTGGCCCCTCCATATTCAGAAGACCAGAGGACAGCAGGCCCACATAGCCGACGCTCCTCTACAATGGTTGTCCCGCTCCCATACACTCTGCGTACACGTTATGCATCCATCGCCATCGCCTGGACGGTCATCCTCATCCCTCCAATCTTCATAAACCTCGGTCTCTTCTATGGTCTCTGGTACACCACCAATCTCGATCGGATCCTTGGTCTGTCTCTCCCCCATCCCCTTTTCCTCTCTTCACACCCCAATCCTGTCCCTCACGTGACCTGCCCCTAACAACACTCAGTCCTCACCCTCCCAACCGCCATACTCGGAATCTTCACCATAATCGGCATAGCCGAAAGAATCTACAAGCTCACCCAAAAGTCTCCGCAATACCGGCCCCTCAACTCCGGTCGGTTAGGGCTCGATATCTTCCAATGGGGATATTTCCTCGCTCTACTCTTAATCTCCGCCCTTATCTCCAGCACGCTCGCGCGAGGAGATACCGACAACGATGGCCATGAATATCAGATCCGATTACTGAGCTTGCCGACGGTTGTACTGATGTACATGCTCTCTACCTTAACCCTCCTCTCCTTGATTGGAAATGGATTGGAAGTCAAGCTCCCCTTCCGATTCGGGAGCTCACCGCCTGGAGAAACGATCCGTCCTGCGATATTCTACATCGTTGAAGACGTGGTTGCCGTTGACGGGAACGGCGAGATTGAATACCGCGAAGCTTTCAATGCTCGGTATGAAAGCAGTGAGATGTTTCGGAACATGCTTTGGAATCTGAGTGTATGCTGGATGCTGGCGTTTTATGTGTTGGGAGCAGTGGTTGCGGTGTTAGTGCTGCTGTTGCCGGTGGCAAGCGTCTATGCTGTTGGGTGGGCGGCGCCCTTCCCGATTGCTGGGTTGATGGTTGTGGCGACGATCTTTTATGTAAAGAGCGTTATGAGGAAGGAGGGGAAGGAGGAGGATGAAGGAGAGGAAGGCTTAGGTGGTGATGAGAGGGCGCCTTTGCTGAATGGCGTAGGGTAGGAAATTAGGACCTTGGAGCTGGCCACTGATCGCTGATTATCAGTCATTGAAATATGAACCCTCAATTCTTCTGAAAGAACTTTGAAATAGAGTCATGTGACTATCGGTGGCCGAGATACTCGCGCACAAAATCCCCTTTTGTTAGGGTCTTGACGCACCAACCAAGTCCGGTATGCAACGAAATTCATGTCCCGAGGAGCGTGAGCTGTCATTGGTGGGTAAAGTCCAGAAGTGTTGCCGAAAATGCAAAATGTGCAACAAAATTTATGATTTTGCGCTACTGAACCATTATTGGCCTGTGCTATGTGCAGCTAAAGTCTTAGAGAGGCAGAACTAGGCGTGTCGAGGTGAGACAAGCTCAAAGGCGATAATTCACTCAAAGGAGGCAAAAATCGGAGAAACTCAAATGCCCCTATGCCGGAATCGGGATCAGTGTTGCCGAAGAGGTGCGCAGTGCAATGAAAGTCTTTGAATTGGGCTAAATAATGAATGAGAGCTGTGAGCGGCCGAGACGAAGTGCAACCAAACTCTATGAATTGAAGTGAAATGATGTAATTAGCCGGTGCGTCTTGCAACGAAACTCCTCGAGTCAACCTAAGGGGCGAAGAGAAGCAGGGAGTTATCATTGGTCGATGCTATGTGCAACGAAATGTCTTGCTCTAGCACCAGGTAGGTGAATCGACTTGCAGCACATTTCGTTGCATATCTGCGAAATTACCCCTTTATCCCTAAGCCTTTTATTCACTCCTCCAAAAAGGGGTAAAGCTGTACTCATGCAGATATGCAACAAATCCTACCTTAAGGGCATCTTAGCAGTGAATCAAAGGTGAAAGCATGGGCAAGGGGAGAGAGTCACAGCTGCTAGACTCGCTGAGATGGAAGGGATCTGTAAGCACCCTATTTATTCCTTTTAATCAAAGATATTTCCACTCTCTTCGAACCCCCTCTAAAACGCCCCTATATCAGAATCTAGCCAAGGTGCAAACTCCTCTACCCAGCCATTATCCCGCCCCAAGGAACCTTACGACCCAGGCGCCAAAGTCCCATTATTCATCATCGCCTTCCTCACATCAAACCAATACAAGCTCAAACGACTCCTACTCCCACAGAACTCACTCGAGTTCCCTGGGCACTTAAATCCACAATTACTGTCAGATACATTCAAGTTGGCGCTCCCTGTGTTGAGAGTATTACCGCACCAACACTAAACAAAAGTTAGCCATCGGAAATGTAATATTCGATTTCAAACCCGGATTACTTACCTCGCGGCCATATTCAACACCGGCATACTGGTACATCCAGCAATTGGAAAGGCATTTCTCGATCGTCATGTAGGTGCCGTTGTTCTCGATTTGCTTTTGGAGAGCTCGGCCCGAGGAGGGCTCGGAGAGGCAGGAGTAGTAGGTAAAGTTTACATTTCCTTGGGAGGTGACCGGGGGGCCGGTGTAGGCTGCGGCCTTTGACGTAGTTGTTGAGGAAGACGTTGATGAAGATGAGGGGAATGAGGATGAAGACGAGGATATAGAAGATGAGAGGGAAGATGTTGAGGTAGCGGATTGCAGCGTGCTGGATTGAGAAGTTGATGTCGAGGTGGTTGCTGGGGCGGAGGCCGAAGTCGATATCGTTTGCATTGGAGACTGGGCTGGTGTGGAGGACGAGCTTGTGCTTGCTGCCACGGCATTAACGGTTGAGAGAGAGCTTGAGCTGCTAACAGATGACGAAACAGGCGAGAGTTTGTACATCTGGAGTCTGTTTCCCGCACCGCAGTACTCGTATTGATTGCCAGGGCACGAAAACGAGCAATCGGCTTGCGTTGTTGCATTCGTGGATGTCGAGTCAATAGTGTTGCCACAGTAGCCTACGACAAAGTTAGTCCAGAATTTGAAAGATGTAGGAGATTGAACTGACATTCTCCTCCATACTCAACGCCCCAATAAGTAAATCCTAAACAGCTAGAAGCACACATCTCGAGAGTCATTGCAGTGTAGTTATAGAAAGAAGCACCGGACAATGCTCGAACGCCGTTGCCTTCCGTGTAGCATCCTTGGAAGGCGTATTCTCCAACGGTTTTCGATATTGCGAGCGTCTGGAAAGGCGCCGGTGCTGGTGAGGTGCTGCTAGAGCTTGATATAGAGATGGTTGGGCTCGGTGAGAACGAAAGGCTGCTTTGAGTGCTTGATGCAACTGTTGACGAAGAAGTGTCTTGGGTGGATGAGACACTTGCTGGCAAAGAAACACCGCTGCTCTGGCTCGAAACAGAGCTCGAAGAAACAGACAATGAGGAGCTGCTCGACACACTGGCAGAACTTGTCCCGTTCTTAATGTAAACCGTCAACCTGTTTCCAGCGCCACAGTACGCGGTGCTATCGCCTGAGCAGGTCATAGAACAGTCCGAATTGCTTGTAAGGACCGAGCCAGCACCAAATGAATTACCACACCAACACTAAACGAAAATCAGCAAAGAGTCGGTTCCTTGAGGGAGGGTACTCACTTCGCGGCCGTATTCAGCACCGAAATATTTGTATGCTGAACAAGATGCAGCACATTGAGCAATGGTGTTGGTGTTTGATGGGTAAGAAGCAGCTCCAAGGGCTCGAGTATTAGTTCCTTCCGTGAAGCATCCCATGTAGTTGTAAAGGCCCACAGATGGAACGATCGTGGGTCCTGTGGGAGTAGGAACTATAGATGAGACGCTAGTGGAACTTGCAACGGCCCCTGAGGCACTGACCGAGGATTGTGCTACAGATGATGGCGAAGAGCTAACAGACGTAGAGGATGCCGACGTCGCATTGTACGCGTACAATTGAAGTCTGTTGCCAGCCCCGCAGTACTCGTTACCATTTCCGGGGCAGGTAAACGAACAGTCCGCTTGGTTGGTAGCCTTCACACTTCCGGCGCCGAGTGTATTGCCACAGTAGCATTCTCTACCGTACTCCACAGCGAACATCGAAAAACCTGAACAGAACGAAGCACAGGATTCCAAGGTCATCGAGTCAGCGGCATAGGTCCTGCTTGACAATGCTCGACCATTCGTAGCTTCAGTCCAGCAGCCTTGGAATGACCAGGTGCCAACATTCTGCTTGATTTGTGGACCAGTGACTGCTATGGGAGCAGAAGTTGATCCACCAGTTCCAGTTCCAGTGGCACTTGAGGTTGGCAGAGTGCTTGGGGGAGTGTAGCTTCCGTTCTTCCCGTACACGTTAAGTCTGTTCCCAGCCCCACAGTACTCGGTGCCGTTATCTAAAGAATCAGCTCTGCATCGTGAAACATCGAGAGAACCTTACCATTGCAAGTCATGCTGCAGTCAGAGGCGGCGGTTGGGACCGCGCCAGTCCCAAGCGAGTTTCCGCACCAACACTGGAGAAAGTCAGTATGGCTTCAATGTCCTGACAGGCGCTGCTTACCTCGCCGCCGTACTCGAGACCAGCATAGATATAGTTTTTGGCTGAGCACGTATCCACACACATCTTGACAGTTTGTTGAGCAGGATTATACCCCTGTGCCAACGCTCTTCCAGTTGTAGCTTCGGTGTAACAGCCCATGCTTACATATCCGTCGACATCAGGATTGACGAAGGGCCCAGTTGGTCCAGTGCTGACGGCAGTCCCATTGAAGCGACTAGAATCGGCGAATAGGGAGATGTAGGAACCACCTGCATCACTGCCAACTCCGTTGCCACCGCAGATTTCGTTGATATTACCTGCAAAGAGTTAGTTAGAGAAAGAGGCATCTGAGAGAAGGGGGGAGCTTACCTGCACAAGGATAGTTGCAATCGTCTTCTAAAACTTGTTGTATAGGGATGTTAGGTCCTCCCCAACACTCCCGGTTGTATTGAGTACCGCAGAAGACGTATCCACCTGCAGCACAAGCCGCGATACATTGAGCAATGGTATTGTTGGGATCACCGTAAATTTGAGTCTTCAGTTGACGACCGGGATTATTTTCCTTGAAGCATCCAGTATATCTATAGAGGCCCAGACCATTGGATTGAAGAGGGGCAGCTTGCTCTGAAACAGCAAGACAGTCGAACTGAATGTATTGCTTTCCGAAGCTGGGGTCATCGACGTTCATTGTCCATTGAGCGTTGCCGTGGTAAGGGTCTGTGTTCCATTGCTCTTTGGGGACTGAGCAGTAGAGCGTTGCAGTTGCGCTCTCACCGGGAGCAAGGGTCGTGCCTTCAGCCAAGTCAACTTGATTGTTGGCCCCAATGATACCTGCAACACCAAAAGGCGGTTTCGAGACCGTAAGGGATAGACGGGCACTGTCAGAAGTGGCATTGTTGGTCAACCGCATCTTCAAGGACCGCGTCAAGTTCTCTGTGACATTTCCAAAAGTAAAATTCTGTCCTTCCTGGTACTGAACCCATCCCGTCCCATCTGGAGTCTGGAACTCAAGCAGAGCAATTGGAGGGCTACCGCAGGTACCAACAACATCAAACACTTTGGTTCCTCCGTTTGATACAACTCGAACATAAGCAGCGAAGTTACCACTCGCAGAGGTATCAAAGTTGATGGTGACAGTGACTCCGGAGTTCCCCGGGATGGTCGTCGGAAGCCCAATGAATGTGAAAGCTCCAACCTTGGGCCCTATAGAGGTATTGTTGGCAGTGACCCATGGACCGGTCTCACTCTTCAGCGAATACTGAATATTCTCAATCGTCAAAGGAGAATTGCCTTGGTTATTGATGAGGAGGGACTGGTTGACACCTCCAGATTGTTGACCCGTAATCGCACCTTGGAATGCTAGGGTCACCGGAGCGACTGAGAGTAGTGCATTCACACTCTGCCCGTTGCCTTTCAAAGAGATCGGGGTGCTGGTGCTGTAGCCGGCGACGTTGTTTGTGGTTGCAACGACAACATCGGAGGACAGTGGGCCGACGGTCTGAGGATTGAAATATGCTTGGAAGCTGAAGGTACCGCCTTGCGCGACATTCAGAGGTACCGTTGGGACACCAGTGATGTTAAAGTTGGCATTCCCCGTCAAGTTTACGTTTGTCACGGTAACCCCAATGTTGGCTGTGCAGGTCACTGTCTTTGCGGCAGTAGCATTCTTCAGGTTCGCAGTGCCAAAATCGTATGGCGAAGAGCAATTTATGGGTAAGTTGACTGGAGAGCCGAATCCATAGAAATATCCTTGGGTCGTACCCATGTACACGATGCCGTCTCCGAAAACTGGGCGAGTAAACTTAGTCGTACCAGGGACATTGAAGCCAGCGATCTGGGTCATCAAGCCATTTTCTGGAATCGCATTGTAGACACGGAGGTTTTGTCCGTCAACGTCACTTGTCCAGACAAGGCCAGTGCCAGGTTCGCCGTTGAGAGATGTCGTAGTACCGTGACCAACTCCAAGAACGTAGGCATTCTTGGTAGGAGAGTCGGCAACCTTGGTAAAGGAGGGAAATCCATTGTTGCAAGAGAATTGGAAAACATGGGTAGGATATTGGATGACTGTTGCTGGTTAGTATATTTCTAGGTATACTTCAATCGAATCTCCTTACCATTAATGTAAATGTATCCGCCTTCCAGAGGATACACACCAGCTCCAGCATACACAGAGTTTTCATTCTGGTAAACTTGAATAATGTCATCCAGCTTATTCGGTCCATTCTGGTAACCTCCCAAATTGTCCAAATTCAGCCAGTACGTCTTGCCGCTCTTTCCAGTGACAACGCCGATACGTTTATAATCACCGCAAGAGAACTCGCTGGGAAGCAATTCCAGAGGACTCGTTCCAAGATCTCGATCGGCTCCGTCGAGTTGCGTCTTTTCCCACGGCATGAAGAAATCCACGATAGTCAAAGACCCATCGTCGTTGATCGTCATGTGAACCGCGGCTTCCTCGAGGGAGGTCGGCGGGTTGCGACCATTCACAGGAATAGTGCTGAGTTGAGAAGCGTAACCGTTTCCAGAAGCAAAGAAAAGCGAGCCGGCATCATCAGAAGCCAATCCTCCTCCTGACATCCAGATACCCCCTCCTGGAGTTGTGTTGGGAACACCCGCCCCCTCCGTAGCGTATCTCTCGACGATTGCACCAGTTGTCTTGTCCCAGCCCATAATCCAGCCAGTGAAGTTGTATTGTACGCAGTGAGAGGCGAAACCGGCGTAGATGTATTGACCCGAGTGCAGCAAAGCAGGGCGCTGGTGGTGGATACCGCCATTGAAACTTCTAACTGGGTTGTTCCTGGCAACAGTTCCTTCAAGGTCCACAGGAAAGCCTGCACGTTCGGTGAGGTCATTGACGTTGATTGCGTGGAAGTAGTAACGGCCGTTAGGTCTCCCTTGTGCTACGCCAACCCCTCCATTCTGGTTCTCGTACGTCTTGGCAGTGAGATATAATGTATCGGTGTCAGGATCAATAACACCAGTGGCCGTCACACCGATGGTGGGGTTGATATCAACACATCCATTCAAATCTGCAGTCAAGAAAGGAATGTGCAAGCTCCTTTGCATCACAATGGCCCCGGTCTTCGCATTGATTTTATAGAGATTGTTTTGAGTCGTAGCAAGGTAGACATATTGAATGCCGTCTGAGGTTGTATAAACGAGCGGCTGAGAGAAGACTTGTTCGGTATAACCATTGTAGCGACCCGGAAGGGCAGTCTTGAAAAGTTGACCAAATTGAGAGCTGCCAACGATGGCAGGGTCCATATTATGATTACTAGTACTGTCAGAGGTTTTCTCCAGGGTTGACAGGAATCCTTACGTTTGATATCCAGCTCTGGAATTGTCTCCTCCCCAAGTAATGGTATCCGTTGAAGCAAAAGAGCTGACATGGTGAACAAAGAAAGAGAGCAAAAAAATGATAACGAGTGTAGGAGACATTACGCCTGACATTGATTGCCTTTGATGAGGCAATGGTCGAAAGTATAACGAGCGAAACTTGAGCCGTAGATGGCACGATTAATACTGGATTGCAGAACGCCCAACAAGCCTCCCGGCACAGGCAGTCCCCAGTATGTATCGGGATAATTCTAACGACATTCAATAGTGCCGTGCCGTATCGAGCTGAGATGCTGAACTAACAGGCCGGGAGAAAGAAACGCCTCAGTCTACAAACTTGGAGAAAATAGTGGATGGATTAGAAGCCACGGAAGAGGGCCAGATTCCCACCACCCCACTTCCACCTGAAGGCGGCGGACGAGGGCAAACTTCTGTATTTCTCACTGGAGCAAGTTCTCACTCCGTGCCAAGGACGGTCATATTTGCAGTTGGAAGGATGCTACTGGCCGAGGACCGGCCTGGCTCGGCGTGGCCTAAGAGACTGTGGGATAGTTCTTTGCGATCATTAGAGTTTAACGTGTGCTCCACCCCGCATCCTAGACCCTGCGCGCAATTTAGGAACCAAAGTTCCAAACTTTCCAAAGACTAGCAGGCCATGTTGAGTCGTCGACTAGACAGATCGAGACTGCTCCGCCACGAGGTGAAAGTTTGGGTCCTCCGCCGTGGCCGCCGTCGCCAGCGAGCACCCTCCCATCCCGGGAGTCGGGAAGCAGCCACGATGTCGTGTTGCCCTGCGAAAATCATATTGGAGAGGTCATATTAGATCAGCTACTCGGCACCATCGCAGATCGTGGTTCCGAATGCCCAGGATGTTTAGCAGATCCGGTTTGCTCTCAGACACCGAGTTGAGACGAGGGGAAAACTCGCACCCGAAGCTGCTCTTAGCATGCTATCCGTGACCTCGTATCTCTGGCGCCCCAGGCTGCTGCTGATCAACAATAACCTTACTCCTAGTATTTGCCCTGCGCTTTTCTCTGTTCGGAAGACTGCTTCTCAATTCGGATGGGGGTGGCAAGTGCGTTGGAGCTATTTTGGGCCCGGCTTCTCGCCTCCCGGACTCCATCGGAAGGGTTTCTGGCATCGTGGCATCGGAGATTTTGGCTGCTGCTCAACATAATCCTCAATACTTCGAGGTCTGGAGAACAATTGAAACAAAGAGGGAAGATACGAGGTCAAAAGTGAGGTTGAAAATTGTCGTTGAGAATGTCTCAGAAATGCAACGGGTATGACGCGTGCGAGACGCGGGGAGACAAAGACACGGCTCGGTATAATTTCGCAGGCGGGAAGAAGCTCCTGGCTCAGGAGGCAAGTTGAGAGAATTTGAGAGCGCCACGGCCTTTCCAGAGCGTGGAGCGAGTTTTTCGAGAGTGGATCTTGCGAGCAGGTGCTTGCACGTGCAGAAAGCAGATGCACCAACTTTGAGCGTTCTTCAGACTTCCAGCCTTTCCCTTCTGGGCCTTCCCAGAAACATCTCGATTTCGTCGACGCCGAGTCGACGGACCAGAATGTCCTCAGCCGCGTTCCCTTTCTGGTCAGGTTTCCAAGGCCCGAAGTCCTGTCGCCGCGCACGTCCAGCCACCACTACCCCTTCTGATGTACCGTCGAGGATCGTTCAGCTACTCATAAAAGAGGATTATAGATCCAGCCTTGTGCAGTTCTGGAACGATGTTTTCGCCCTCCCCGATGCTGGACGAGCCGACGAAAAAGTGCAGTTCCGTGGGCGAATCCCCTCTCCCAGTCCCAGAAGATCATTCGTTGGCTTTCGATGCGGGCTCATGTGTACCTCAGGAGGCGTCGAGAGCTAGCGGAAGAAGCCGACTGCAAGGTCCCGGGAAATGGGACTCGTACAAATGAGCACGGTGGTATTGACAACAATATTCAGGAGAGAATCCAAGTGCAGTGTAACATAAGATGTGGTGAGAAAAGGAAATGAAGGTTGGGTTTCAGCTCGCCCTTCTTTTCTTTTCTTATCTCACCAGTCTTATCGGTGGTTGCTTAGTCAGGAGGAAATATTCGCTGGTTGCAAAGTTTCTGCACGAGGAGGCAACAAAGCAACAACCGAAGCCGATCAAAGGCTGCAAAAATTCCATGTTTTCCTTTCCTACCCTCACGCGCAACCCTCTTTTGCGTAACATCCTCACCATCACCATGCAGCAATCCAGAAGACCCCCTGCTAAAAGGCACCCATACAGAGGCAAGAAGGCCTTCGCAACAAATGCAACGAATGCTTCTGGATCTCCTCAACAACATGCGACTCCCATCCCACGCGTCGCGACACCTCCTTTGACAGAGGCTGTCCCTCTCGATACTCCACGATTTGCAGACCTTGGAAAGGAAAAACTTCTTCATCCTATCCTCCTTCAAACAATTATCGAAGATCTCAAGTTCGACCATATGATGCCAGTACAAGCGGCCACTCTTCACGATCTCCTGGCCAAGAGGATTGATTGTCTAGCACAAGCAAAGACTGGCACTGGGAAGACCATTGCATTTCTGTTACCTGCCATCCAAACTCTCATCAACTTGAACAGACCCCCCGGCTCTGGCGTCTCTCTCCTGGTCATCTCCCCAACTCGAGAATTAGCGATGCAGATTGCGAAGGAGGCAACAGCATTACTCAAACGACTACCAAAATACAAGGTTTCTTTCGCAATTGGAGGCACAAACAAGAACACAGAGGAGGACAAGATTCTCAAAGGCTGTGATATCCTCATTGCAACTCCCGGAAGATTACTCGACCATCTCAGCAATCAGCATGTTCAATGGAATTTCCGCAACCTCGACACCCTAGTTCTCGATGAAGCTGACCGACTCCTCGATATGGGCTTCATGCCCGCCCTCAAAGAGATCGTCAAGTCCCTCCCTGACAAAGAAAAATCCAAGAGACAAGGTATGCTCTTCTCCGCCACCATCGCTCCCCACGTCGAGAACGTCGCCCATCTCATCCTCTCCAAAGACTACAAATTCATCTCCACCATCCCAGAAGGAGAGCTCAACACCCACGAGCGTGTCCCACAACACCTAATCACCGTTCCTGCCTTCTCAGATGTTGCTGCTGCTCTCGTAGGCAGCATCCGCTCCGAAGTAGCCTTGAATGGAGCAGACACCTTCAAAGCCATTGTCTTCGCGCCCACCGCCGCACTTGTCGACTTCTACGGCGACATCCTCGAGGCGCTCCCCAACTTGCCACCCACCAGCGTACTGCACTCCCGCGTCAGCCAATCGAAGCGCACAAACGTCACCAACGCCTTCCGAACCGCAAAGAACGGGATCCTCGTCGCCACGGACGTCGTAGCACGAGGAATGGATTTCCCCCTTGTCACGAACGTCTTCCAAGTCGGTATCCCAGCGGACAAGGAATCGTATGTCCACCGTCTTGGTCGAACAGCTCGTGCAGGCGCCGAAGGCCGTGGGACATTCATCGTCACTGAAGCAGAGACGTTCTTCCCGAAGTGGACGTTGAAGGAAATCACTTTCGAGCCGGCGGACGCGGATATCACTGCCAAGTCTGAGATTAGAATTATTGCGGAGAAGATGGAGGATCACGCGAAGACGTATCAGGCATGGTTGGGGTACTATAAGAACCATATGAAGGGGCTGAAGTGGGATATCCCGGAGCTGGTTAGGCAGGGGAATCGCTTTGCTTTGGAGGGTCTTGGGGCGCCAGAAGTACCCGGCATAAAGAAGAGTACTGTGAGCAAGATGGGACTTAAGGGCGCGAAGGGGTTGACTGTCGTGCCTGATCCTCCTAGAGTTGCAGGTGGGCATAGAGGAGGCGGTGGTGAAGGTCGATCAGCGGGAAGTGGAGGCAAGGGGAAGGTGCAGAAGGTTGATCGAGGTCTGAACTGGTAGAGAGCTGGTTTGGATGCATTTGATATGTTTTATGGGAGTGTACTTGATTGTATAATTAGGTAGATGGCTTGCCTGCTTGGTTTTCTGGGATGTGGATATGGTTAGAAGATACCCATAGCGTCGGCGCCTAGAGGTTTGGGACAATAGATTCCTTCACTAGACTTCACTCTTGCACAACGTGATGCTTCTAAACAATAGCATTATAGAAGTGATCGTAGTCCCTTCAAAAGGGGGAGAAACGGGCAATGACCCGCTATATTACCCCGCCAGAATCCCGAAGTTTTCCCATGAAACGTGCCCCACCATGAATTCGTCTTCTCTCACCTGAACCTCACCCTATTCCATCCTCTACCTCGGACCTCAGACATAATTCGAAATGGACACCTTGGAGAAGATGCAGAGCTTCAAGACGAACGACAATGTCACATTGAAGTACTTCGATACAGGCGCGGCGGAGGAGGGAGAAGATGATAAACCTTGGTTGATGTTGGTGCGTTGCGTCTCGTTCTGGTCCCTTCAAAAAGGCGCTTCTATTTCTTGTTTAATGGGAGCTGTGTTACTTGAACACCCTCGGAGTAGTTCTCTTAGGATCAATAGATGTATATCTTCTTCAACTTTTAGCATGAGATGAAATGAACTTCAACCCATCCTCGAATGACAAAGTCATCATCAGCTCTGATTCCAAGCCCCTTTATCTCTTGTGTTTTACTCCTGCTGCCACCTTTCCATTTCTTTCGCTATTCCAACCAGGTATTTTATATCTTCACACTCAAATCCCAGGCCTAACCCACCCCCAGATCCACGGCTTCACAGGCTCCTCTCTCGTCTGGCAGCGAAACATTCCAACCTTCTCTCAAGAACACCGCGTAATCGTCCCCGACCTACGGGGTCACGGGGCCAGCGACAAGCCAAAACACGGCTACCACGTCAGCCGGCTAGCCATGGACCTGCGTGAGCTCCTAATCCATCTCGAGCCCTCTCTCCTGGATGGAAAGTCCTCAGGATGGAAATCAATAGGCGGAAGTCTGGGGTGCTCAATCCTCTGGTGCTACGCCGAACTCTTCACCACCTCCCCCTTTAACAGCATGGTATTTGTGGATCAGTCGCCGCTCCAGAACAGCACGTTAGACGGCTGGGACTCCCAATTCTGCAACCGCGGCCTGAACAACGCCTCCGCTCTCTCCGCTCTCCAAACGACTCTGTTGCTTTCTCCCGAAACAGCACATAAAGGCACAATCGCCTCTTGCCTCAGTTATCGCTCACACCCCCTTCCTCCTCCTGCTCCGAAAATCTCGCCTCAGACTCAAGCTGCCGATGAGGAGTTCTTTCTAAAAGAGGCGATGAAAGGAGACGGTGAGTGGTTGGGCAAGTTAATGGCCGACCATACCAGTCTCGATTGGAGGGATAGCATCGCTGCGTGTTTTGGGAAAGGGAGTGGGAGTAAGACGCTCGTGTTGGTGGTTGCGAGTAGTAGGAGTGGGTGTTTTCCTGCTGCGGGGCCGTTGAAGGTTGTGGATTTTGTGAATGGAGGGCAAAAAGAGGGGTATGGGGTGGCTCAGGGTGTTACGGTGGACTGGGGTGGCCATTGGTGTTATTGGGAGAATCCGGAGCGGTTTGAGAGGTTGGTGGAGAGGTGGTGGAATGATGGGAGTGTGGAATAGGGGGAACGCTAGATATGGAGACGAGGAAGATGTAGTCACGGTTCCCAAGGGAGGACGGAGAAGAGAGTAAGAGGGCGTATTGAAGCTACAAAAATACAGCGGTAGAATGATCCCCAAATATCAAGGGGCGAGCCAAGAGATCCCCATTTGCTTTCTGTCCATCTCATGGAGAACACTCACTCTTCGATCTTTGGATCTCCAGCATGGAAATTACGGTCAGAATGACGTCCGGGACGCCTCAAAATATCCCTCCCTTGTACAAAACACTTCACAGAAATCATGCAGACAAATTGGAAAGGCGCGACAACCAAATCAGGCAATAATACTGCGCTGTCAAATATTATTGAAGGTGACCTAGATACCCAGTAGCGATTGAGAGCATCGGTGTAAATGAGGAGGGGTAACGTGAAGCTGAGCAACCCTAACCCCCAATCAACAATCATGTTGAACAAATATGAAATTGGGTTCTGGTGACCTCTTTCGGGCATCAAGAGTTTAGAGTTTCTCAGAATCCAGATGAAAAGAATAAAACAGGTCAACTGGAAAAGTTAGCCTTTGTATGGAAGAATAGCGGGTACATTACAGGAACAGGAATGAGCTGCGCCAGCGTCAATATTAAGTGATATATTTGATATTCAGGCTGAAGAAATATCCTAACAGGCTTGGCGGATTTCGTCACCTCGAATGTGAAGTGACGTGAATTGATTTTCCACGAAGGCTGCTGGCTTGAACCAGTCGATAAGAGTTTTTTTGAGTAAATATAGCCAATGAATGTGCAAGCAGGGTCTTCTGGCAGCCAGTCCCAGATCATGATGGGGATTGACAGAATGAGTAAAGTTGGGTTGCTTTTATAGACTCCTTGCACTGTAGCATACTTTGCTAGCGCAGGGAAGTCTTGAAGCCACTTCCTACAACGGTCGAAGTCAAGGACTGGGTCTTCTGCTAGCGCCAGAGAAAGCAGTACTTGCGGAAGTGGGGTATGTCCATCACCCAGTACTTTCGCAAGTGATGCCATGCTGTAGAGTTCGTTTTGGTCACCAGAACCGAGTGCTGGAAAGGCTGCTTCGTCGGACGGCTCTGTCTCAATGTCAGAGGTTTCTACCACTTTTGACGATGCAGCCCCGCTGGTTCTCGACTGGCTTGAAGCATCTTGGGCTGAATGGTGGTTCTTTCGGTGGTTGGCGAGGAGACAATTCAACGTTCCGTGCTTTAGGATCATTTGTGCTGAGGACATGAATCGGAGATTTGCGAAACTCGAACGTTTTGGTATATCGGTCTCTCTCTGGCTTTTCGTGTCTCAATCGATTGAGAATTTCACAGTGCAGCATGGCAGCTGTGAAAGCAAGGCGATCACACCAGTCGTCCAATACAGCGATGAGGGTATTGGTAAAGCTATATCGTCCCGGCTGCGGAGCCCAAGTCTCAAATCCACAGGCCGCAATAGTCTCTGTAACGCTCGTACTGCTTGCTTCCGTGAGCGTCCCGCTTACAGCTGCGCAGCAGTCGAGCAAAAGAAGATTATCCGAATCTGCTTATTCAAACAGAGTTTGGACTGCATGCCATGAAAGAGAAGCTGTCCTGTTGTTCGACGTGCTAACCCAGGTACCAGAGTTTTGAAGCGAGATTCCGTACTCACCAACTCCACATTGCTTGACGAGAAACGTTCATATGCCCACGCCCAGCATAATAGACAATCAGAAGATTACTGGCCTTGCCGAAGTCTCGCACAACCTGCAAGGCCTTCTCCATCAGCGCGAAGTGAGACTTTGCATTGGGTATGAGCCAGGTTTCCGTTGCATAGCCATACTCAGCCTCGAACAATTTCGTAAGATCGTCAAGCTCGTATTGGACGCCCATCTCTTCCTCCCATCTTAGAAGAAGTACGTGAACATTTTGATACTTTAAACGACCTTTGTTTGGGAAGATACTTGCTGCGGCCCAAATGAGAGTGAGTAGACATTCCATAAGTGATAGATTGGGCAAGGCGTTGACTGACGTGGTTAAGCCTTGCAGTAAAAGTACTCAGTTCGTGGAGGTGATACTTTGTCCGGCTTGTGTCATGGGTCGAGATAGATTCGGATGTTGTCGAACTAGGAATTTCTTGAGACTTATGGAATATTTAGCCTTGTAAAATTTCCCCCTTTTTGTGACCTCACACTGCTTTCAGACACTTGTTCCGAGTTTTGAGGTGATTGTGAAGCCTGAGACGACATCCCACTCGAAGCCAGAGTAATGAACGGCAAGTCATTCATGACTGGTCTTCGATTTGTTCGATGTTGTGGCGGTTCAATCAACAGAGACGATTGTTGGAGGTTAAAGGAGTTCCAAGCAGGGTGAGGTTGCCGGCGCGGACCATGCAAAACTCGACACCGAGAGATTTTGGAAGGCGCAAGCCTCACACAAGCTTGGCATAAATCTTGGCCAATGAAGTCGCAACTCAGCAAAATATCGGTGAGAGGGTTCAGCAGCATGTCCTCTGATATGGCACCCTGCGATTAGTATTAAGGCACAAGGTTGGAAAATGCTTGTAAATTATGGCCTCCACTTGTAGCACATTTTCTGCAGTGGAGAAAAGAAAGGATGCTCAAGCAGGGCAAGGTGAAGCGAGGCCTGTTTGACAGAGTTCTCTGGAAAACAAAGATCAAATTGTCGCTATTTCAGACATCTATGGGGTATATACTGCTTGATGTAAAGCAATCCCATACTCCAAACATGCACAGGGTGTGTATTCGTGATCTGTATCACTTTTTCAGCTGGAATCCACTTCCGGCTGTAACTCTTGCCGTCTACTCTATATCTTCGGTTCAGTCAACCTTTATGATATCGTAGCTTCCGCTCCACTCGCTTTTACTACACCGTCTCCGGAGCTTTGTACTGGCATCGCAACTGGTTGACCTCGCGCTTTTGCAGTCAAGCTAACCATCTCCCGAAGCATCAATTCTCTCGTATCCCGAGTTAGATCTTCGACATCCGAGGTTTTTAGGCCTTTTGTTTCGATTGGTTTCAACACTAAAAGGAGTTAGTAATATAATAAAGTCAGGGAGGAACACCATACCCTTCATGGGAATTGAGCCGGAGTTAAACCTCCACCCTTGCAAATAGAGGACATTCGAATAGTTCGCAACCACAACTGGCACAATTGGCACACCTGCTTGGATTGCCAAATGAAATGCTCCCTTCTTAAATGGTAGCAGCATGGGCTCCTTTGCATAGCTTCTTGTGCCCTCGGGAAACATGTAGACATTCTGCTTGTCTCTTGTGATCACCTCCGCGGCACTAGTCATCGCATGCCTCGCGCTGGTCGAATTGGCACGATCAATGAAGACCGTCCCAGACAGAGACATGAACCAGCCCAAGAACGGCCAATTCTTCAAGGATTTCTTCGCGGTAACGGAGGTGTATTTGGGGAGCATATACCCCAACATCAGAACATCCAGCTCGGTCTGGTGATTGCCAATGAATACCGCAGGTCGTGTCTTGTTGAGGTAATCGTTGGGGTCTTCGATTGTGAAGGTTACGCCGGTGGTGAGCCACATTACATATTTGAAGGCTCGCGCTGTCGCCCATTGCGAGTTTCCTCCGTACGCGACCAAGCGAAGGAATATGGAGGCTACCACTCCATAGGAGGCGCATGCGATCAGACAGACATACGATGCGAGGAGACGGGCGACAAAGCCAGCCGCGGGGATCCGCAGGGAGAGTGCGTAGAAGAACAGGGTGAGGGCGAGGTAAGCAGCAGCTCCGAACTCGACGAAGTAGAGGATAGTAGACATGTCGGGATGGCGGCGACGAGCAGGAAAGGTGGGATTATTTAATTCGGTGATGGAGACCCTCTCGAGGAGGGGAGAGTGAGAACATAGACGGTCTGGAGACGGTGAAATTATGTTGAGGTGAGTGGGCGTGGACTGAGGTCAGAAGGTTGGCCGGGGCCAATTTGCCGAGGCCGCTACCGTAAACTTTTTATAAGGTGTCCCGATGACCTGCAGGGTTTCTCCAAGACAACGTCACAGGCCAAAAATTCATTACATGTGTTGTTGATCTTTTGAATCAAGATTTCAGCAAAGGAGATCCTCGTGATGGGCTCCAATGAGCAAGCCATGGTGGATGTGACTGTCGGCGTTTTGGCCCTACAGGGTGCCTTCAATGAGCATGTCCAGCTTCTGCGGCAAGCTGCTCGGATTTTGGTCAAGAAGGATATCGTTGAAAGGAATTGGACGTTCAAGGAAGTCCGGAATGAAGCGGAACTAGATTCCTGTGATGCTCTCATCATTCCAGGAGGAGAAAGTACCGCTATATCGTTGGTGGCTCAGAGATCAAACATGCTGGAACCTCTTCGAGATTTCGTCAAGTGAGTCATCTTCTTGAATTTCATATACATGTGCTGATCTGCTTCAAGAGTTTTAAGAAAACCAACATGGGGAACATGTGCAGGCCTGATATTGCTTGCAGAGTCTGCAAATCGAACTAAGAAGGGTGGCCAAGAGCTCATAGGTGGGCTTGACATTCGAGTCAACCGAAACCATTTTGGACGCCAAATCGAAAGCTTCGAGGCCAGTTTAGACCTTCCATTCTTGCAGCACGCTGATGGGAAGGGTTTTGATACTTCTCGTCTCCTATTTCGAGCAATCTTCATTCGGGCCCCTGTCGTCGAGAAACTGTTGCCAAATGTAGCCGGGATTCAAGAAGGCGAGGCCAAAGTTGAAGACACTGTTATTGCACCTTCACGGGTTATGGATGAGGCCGTGGCTAAGAAGATAAAGCTTGCCGATGTTGAGATTATGGCCGCGCTCCCGGGTCGAACTGCTACCTTCAAGAATACCGAGATGAATCTGGATCCTGAAGCTGGGGACATTATCGCTGTTCGGCAAGCTAACGTATTCGGTACAAGTTTCCACCCTGAACTGACTGGAGATCCACGGATACATGTGTGGTGGCTTGAACAGGTGTTAAAAGCTGTTGATGAGAGAGCTAGGTGAAGTTCTATCTTCGAGATGCCTCCTTTACACGATGCGAAGCTCGCAGTTATTCCCTCGTTTCACAGTGGCAGCAAGCCATGCCGCAACAATCTCAACATCGACAGCATATCTGTCCACTCACTGGAGTACCGTCTTATTCAGTATTATTCAGTACCACCTAAGCTGGGTAATCATAGCGGAAAGTAGCAGAGACCATTCGACTGCCCTGAATTGTCAACTGAGAGTCATCGGTCCAAGTACGGTTTCTGGATACAGGACTCAAGTGAGAGTCGTTGATCTCGTGAATTGGGCTTACAGATGAGCGCGAATACAACATCCGCTCACACAAGTTTACAACCTGTGATCTGAACTCCCAACCAGACCGATTCTGATAAAAAGGGCAATCGATTTTTGAAACAAGTTCCTGGCTATACCGACAAACCGTTTGCGAGCCCCCGATTCGCACATCTACCCCTTTTTCTATCTTCAACGAAAAGGTGAAGATTCGGGCAATTCATTCTCCCTGCCCGCTCCAGACTGTAATCATTACTAATTAAGACGTCTCCATATGCACAAGTGTCATGGTCACGTGTTTCTGATTGAATTGTTTTTACCCGGCCATATCATCCCATGGCTTTTCTCTACTGCGTACTTCCCCTGCTCAGCCAACAGCTCGGAGCGACGTCTATGGTGCTATGCTTCGCCTTCAATAAGCTTTTTAACGTCGTCTCCACTGCGGAACCCCTGCGCAAACCCTTGGCCTTCCGAACCCTATCCCCAGCCCAAAGTAGCTTTGGGCCTCACAATGGCGCGTGACTCTGGAGATGGCTCCTCCATCCGCCCAATGTCAGCCTATGACACTGTTCATCAACTCTCCTCCAACTTATCACGTCTCTCTCACGTGGGCTCATCTCTTTGGGAAAGTACTCGGAGCCGCTTGACGCACCAGCACTCGCGGTACAAAATGCAAAGGTACAATGTGTTAAAACGCAAGAACACCAAAGGCGGGCACCTTGGACTTAGACGGCGAGCTCTCACGTTACCCCTGCCGGAGAAAGGTAGTGGAGATGCCCCCTGGAACTTCCAGCAGCAAACAGTCCAGCAAACTAGTTCGGAGCTTTGTACGAAATTACCGTACGAAGTGAGAAGCCTCATTCTTGAGCTTGTGGTTGCTGGAGAGAGGAATGTGGTCCATGTATATAAGAAGTCAAAGCGGATGGGCCATTGGCGATGTAGGAGGCAAGTCGATGGCCAGCCGTGTACTTGGATCGACCCCTGCTCGAAATCTCTGCCCTTCAAAGCAATGACCGTGGACGAGAATGGAGTTTTGATTAGTGGAGATCGTACTATGCAGCGGTACTTTGATCGTTCCAAGATACTGTCCACCAAAAAAGATAGCGACATTGGGTCGCTGTCGCTCCTGTGCACGTGCCGACAAACGTAAGTTGATGAAACCCAGAACTCGACTTGCTACTAATTGGCAACAGATACACGGAAACAATCTCATTCCTCTACGCCAAAACTCACTTTCACTTCCCAGGCCTCACGGACATTCTCGATTTCAGACAGCATGTCCTGCCAAATCGTTTCGACTCCATCCGCCTGCTCTCCATCGACTGGGAGCCCAATCCATTCTTCATCGCCTCAACCCCAAAAATGCGCGTGGACACATGGAACACCATCTCGCAAATGAAATGCCTCCAACAGTTCAGAGTATTCATCAAAACGCTCTGCATCTTACCAGATTCCACAGCAGCTCTCTCACTGAAGCAGAATCTCCGGAAAGTCAAGGGACTGCAGGAGTTTGAGCTAATTGTTACGAGAGATCAGTTTACAGTCTGGGATGGGTTCTTGGATGCGGATATGGAGGTCAAGCTTGTCATTAACACTGAGGCGACAGGGGAAAGTAGTTTCAGGCCACTCCCTGCTGCTGCCAGCATGGTGCGAGCATATTGAGATTTTGGAGGAGTACAAGTGCATGCATCAAGTTATTCCGACAGTCCCCCAAACGCCCTTTCGAAATCAGCAATCGCCTTGGCAGCCCTTGCTCCGTGTTCCTTCTTGGTCCGGAAATCACCTCGCATCATGCGCTCCGCTACGCTTGGAGCAGCATAAATAAAGCTATTTACTTGCTTTGGGTTACATTTTGTTCTGGAGTTGGGGTTCTCAGCATCAAGCATTGGAGTTTGAGGGTCTTGGAAACACATTTGGCTTGGTTACGCACCTTAAAGGTGTTATTGAGGTATTGATGTTCCCCTCCTTTGCCTTGTAGCTCACAGTGGGCATTGCTTCCGCTTGGCAACCTTGCGTCCGAAATGCACAGATCAGATTGGATTCTCTGTCGGTTCCATGAAACACTTACCTTGTAGTATATTAGGATATCTCTCTAGGATCTCAGCAAATCAGAGTCGAAGTCTACTTGTGATATGTCACGAATCGGTGGTGACATGAATCCACAAATATACGGGGACCAGCCCCACAATATATACTTCGCCATTCCCTCGACTTTCCTCTCAGGACTTCAGCAGTTCAAACTTATCAGCGGCAATGCAACTTTTCTTTGGCGCCATATGGAGCAACGATCTCAGCTCGTATTCAACGAGTTCGACGGTTATCACGTGCGATGCAATGCTTCAGCGAGTCAAAGGCCAAAACAAGTTATGCGCAAATGTGCGTTTCTTCAGCCACACCTGAGCCTTATCACGTCTTCACGCCCTACGACGATTTTTCATTCTCCCCTCCTTCTCCTCAGGAACTCCAACCTCCTGACTCCATCCGCTTATGCTCCACGAGATGATGGATTCTCACTAATTAGGAAGTAACCTGAAGCACTTAGCGACCGACGCTCGATAGCCATCTGCCATGGATCCATTAGATCCATTGGATTGGACGATAGTTCCTTCTTCCAAAGGGAGCTCCAAGCGAAGAGGTCAAAAGGGATCTAACGGATTTAGTTTTCCCGGACGGAAACGTAAAGCAAAGGCTGATCTTGATGTTTGCCTTTCTCGCTTTCTTTTCGGTTTGAATCTCGTCGGAGAACCTAAAAGTGCGAAATTATGTTTATCTGTGGAACTCCCGGCGCGGTTCAACGCCCTCCAACTCCCTCGTCCAGAGCGAAGCTTTTCGAAAAGTATTGCAACTTTTACTCCTAGTGAATGGCCAGGTGAACTTACCCAATTTGCCGATTTTTCTGGCTTTGACTAATGTTGGAAAAGCTATTACTAGCCGTGATTTCGAATCCGTTCTCGGGTCAACGGGTGATGCTGGTCTCCTGTGTCTGCTCAAAGCCTTCCAACACCTTGATCCAGAGCCAAGCTTTTCGGAAAGTATTGCAGCTTTTACTCCTAGTGAAATGACAGGTGAACTTACCTAATTTGCCGATTTTTCTGGCTTTGACTAATGTTGGAAAAGCCATCACCAGCCGTGATCTCAAATCCGTTCTCTGTTCAACGAATGAAGCTGAATTCCAAGCTGAAAAAGCTCGACTCCTGGGTCTCGACACACTAATCCAGAACGCAAGCAAACCATGGATTTTCGAAGATTCTGCCAAGGAAACAATAATTTTCGGCAAACAGTTGCTGGATTTGATGTCGAGACCACCGCTTAACACGAGGAACGAGTTGCACTTACAGCGCTCCAATTACGTCCAATTATTCCAACCTTTACTCCACTATTTCAAAGCCATCTCGAGTTCGTGGGCAGTGGCACAAGGGATTTCCCACGAAGCACTCTCCGACGGCCTCTCCGCGGAAGAATACCTTCCACACAGAATTGATGCAACAGACGAACGCTTTAGGCTTGAATCGCTTGATGAGGTTGGGGCTGTAATCCCTATAGATTGGGTATTGAATCCAATTGACATAAGAGTAAATGTTCTCGTTTTCGGACGGCCTCACTACCATACAATGATGGCTGTTCATCAACGCCTCAGCACCGAGAAATTTACCCAGCCACTATCATCCAATGCGACCATTCATGTGATCATTCACCCTTCCCATGATGAGATTTTTCTCACTCATGATCGAATGGGCACTGGTGAAGATGATACCGGTAGCTCAAATTTGTTCATGCTTCCTATCTCTTTGGGGTGCCAGGAAACTCAACCGAGTGAGGAAACCGCATACTACTCTGGAATACGTGGATTTAGGATATCGTCTGAGATCACATGCCAATCTAACAGTACTGCGAGTGCCGTTCACGTATCTTCGAATCATGACGCAGCGGCTAGGACGACCGAAATGGAAGACTCGACAAGAAGAACTGCCGTTGGCGGGATGCAACCAATCTCTAGCTTCGAGTTCAGGATTCAGGAGGGTTCGATAACTGAACCCCGCCAGCCTGAACCATCAGAAGTCCCAGCCAGTTCCAGATTGTTCATTCCTAGCCGCCTAGCATCCAAAGAGACCTGGAGATATCCATATGTCACTCAGGACGCTGATTGTTCGTTGAATAATCTTCTAGTTGTTCCCTTCCCCGCTCTGGACGACCAAAGTCAGGAAATTGAAACGCCTTCGGACACATATCCTGCGCGAATCGGAGCCAAAACTGCAGAGTTCAGCACACAAGAAGACACTGAGAGCGAGGGTGAAGACGAAGGCGACGAAGATATTGAATCTTATATTACTGGGTCAGGTTCCGTTTCCAATTGGGCTTACACTCCTTCAGAGGGAGACACTTGCGAAGGACCGGATGATTTGAGCTTAATACTGGAACGAATTCGGGGTGAGCTGCTGGACGCCTTCATGGACCAATTCTGGATGATTGCTAACCAGAACATGATTGGGAACTTTCGTGTGCATGCCGGCTCTTCCAGCGCGTCATCGACATCTAATAAGTCAGATTTCTATACTCCACGGGCAAGCTCATCCAACATGAGTTCTGGAAAGCGGACCGGGGAGGGTGAAAGGGAAGACTTCCCAGAAGAGGATGGTGATGGAAGACCCAAGAGGCCAAAGGTGCCTTCAACATCAACTACGTCTTTCGAAGAGTTAGCACAATTTGCCTGCCCATACCGGAAACATGATCCCAGAAAGTTCAACTTTCGTGACTGGCCTACCTGCGCCCTAACTCCCCAGCGGACGGTTGCCCGTGTTAAGTAAGCTTCCTCCGCATATCGCCTAGGAGCTTAGGCTAATGTTACCAAAGGGGTCATCTCTACAGACACCATCGAGTCCATCAATGTCAACGCTGCAAAGAGCTATTTGAATCTCAAGAACAACTCGACAATCACATCATTGCTTTGCAAGGATGCGAAGTCAGGCCACCGGATCCGTTTCAGCCAATATACGGAATCACTGTTAGATTGAAGGAACAGCTGCAGAGCAGAAAGAAGGCATATCCAGGTCAGACTGAAGCGAAGAGGTGGCAACAGATGTATCAGCTGATTTTCCCAAACGAAATCGCACCCAGTCCATGTGAGTATTTTCTCTTTTGCATGCTATGGCTGGTCAACTTGTCATGGTTTTAGAACAAAGTGTCTAATCTGGAGTGTGTCAAGATTTCGAACCAATCCGTGACCAACACGACGATAAACCCCACGCCGGTGCTTCCGAAGAATTGGCGAGATATGAGGAATATCTTCGCAATGAACTTCCACAGTGCTTCAGAAGGGCTTTAGAAGCTGCGGTCGATAATGAGATCCGATGCGTCGGAGACCACCTGAGATCCCAAATCTTGACCCTCCTCGACACGGCCCAAAAGGAAGCATTCGACAATTACCATGCTGTTCACAACCTCGCTGCCGAGATCGTGCCACTCACATCCCCCCCTGAAAACGATTATGATAATATTGGAGAAGATAAATGTAGGGACGACTCAGCCACCGGATGCCAGTTCAATGGCAACTCCACCAGTGGTCACCAAGATGAAAGCTGCACTTTCCCACAGTCTCCGCAACCAGCAACTGTTCACAGATTGGATCAAATTAACGACACTTGCCCTGCGGAATCTCCCCTCGATGAATCGGAGATTCTAGGTAACGGCACTGTCATTAGTACAGCAAATCCTATTCTCGACACCCTTCTCGGCTTTGAGGCTCCAAATCAGGACACGCTTTTGCTGCAATTAGAGCTGGACGAAATGCACTACTCCTACGAACAGTGGCTCGACAGCCACGACAAAATGGATTTGGATCTTCTACAAGACCCTAACTGGCAAATTGGAGCCAATGCTAAGATAAGAATATAATAGCGCATGTGGTTGAAATCGAGAGGATTACAAATCATTGATGTGACTTTGCAGCTGGTCGAGTCTCAACTCCTTTTCTCTGATCTCTCCTTCTCCTTGGATCATTGCGAAGAGTTTTTCTTTCACATATTTCCTGTCCGCAAAAATTGCAAATACAAAGGACTTCAAGAATTCACCGCACTCTGGACATACACGCATCAAGGGGTTAGTCTAAACCAAATGCTCGTCACCTGCCGACAGTTCATGACGGAAGTTCCAACATAACACGTCCTCAAGAACTCCTCCCAGTGGTCAACATTCCATTGGCTAAGGATTCAACACAATGCGTCTAACAAAAGAATAATTTTATCCAGATTCCCAAAAGTTAAGAAAGGGCCAAGAAATTTTGAAGTTAAGTCGGTGGCCAATTCCGCATCGGGATCTTGCTCGTTATCTCCGCCAGCTTCGGCAGACAGAACCGAACACCCCCATTCTAAGACCCCAATCATAACGAAGTCGTATCGTTATATTCTTGAGTTCCGTTTCCAATCCTCAATCCTCAAGTTTTCGTTATTCGAATTCTTCGTTTCCGCAATCAAATTTCCATCTTCCTTGAACTCTCCCGCTGAGTTCCCATCATGGCGGCTCCACGGAAACAGATGCAACTGAACTTCTTCGATACAGCTTGCACAGGTAGTCACGTTGCCATTGGACATTGGAAGTAAATTTATCATCTCAAAGCTCTCATACAGGCTGCGAAACTGACAAGCATCAAAGGGACCCAAACGACAACTCGAGAGGAAAGGACCGTCTTGGCTATTACACCTGGCTCGCGAAAATAGCAGAAAAGGGGAAAATCTCCTCCCTTTTCTTTGCAGATGTGTACAGCCCTCATGAGGTTTATGGAGGTAATGGAGATGCTTCCTATAGAGGGGGTTCTCAGATTGGGAGAATGGATCCTACCATCTTAGTGTCGGCCATGGCTGCAGTGACGAAAAATCTGTGTTTCGGAATCACGGGGTCAACGTCGTATATTCGTACGTTTCATTCGAAAATCCGTGATGGAATATAGTTGATAGTCTATGTAGCCGCCTACATGTTGACCAGAATGTGGTCCACTATGGATCATGTTACTGAAGGGCGAATTGGCTGGAACATTGTCACGAGTTACAGCAAACCGGCTGCAAAAGCATTTGGTCATGACACCGTAGTTCCCCATGATGAACGCTACGCAGCAGCAGAAGAATACATGGAGCTATGCTACAGCTGAGTCCTCAAAATCCCAAGTCTCCTAACCAAATATACTGATTCGCCCCCAGACTCTGGGAAGAATCCTGGGAAGACGGTGCTCAACTCTGGCAAGCCGAGCCAGAAATGGCCTATGACCCCAGCAAAGTCCACCGAATCGAGTTCAACGGCAAATACCAAAAGTTCTCAGGCTACGGCCAACTTCACCCTTCACCCCAACGGACACCAGTGCTCTTCCAAGCCGGTTCCTCACCCGCAGGAATCAAATTCTCAGCTAAGAATGCAGAAGCCGTCTTCACAAGCCACCCTACTATTGAACGCCTCCGCTCATTCGTAGACAAGTTACGTACAGAAGCAAAAGCCAATGGCCGAGATCCCCAATCCATCAAAGTCTTCACGGCAATCCTGCCCATCATTGGAAGAACAGAAGAAGAAGCCCAAGCCAAGCTCAAGAAAGGCCTCGAGAACACCTCCTGGCAAGGCGGGCTCGCCCGCTTCGGCGGCTTCACCGGCGTGGATCTGGCGAAGTATCCGCTGGATGAAGAGTTCGACTTCGAGGGGAAGAAGTACGAGGTTGGGATCCATAGTTTGGTGGAGACGTTTAAGTATTTGAGTGACATTGAACGGTGGACGCCGAGGAAACTGGGCATTGCGATGGCGAGTGGGGGGCTAAGTGCTATGCCCGTGGGCACCCCGGAGCAGGTGGCGGATGTGTTTGAGAAGTGGTTTGTTGAGGGGGAGTGCGATGGGTTTAACATGTCCTGTGCGTCCCTCGCCTTTTCATTTCTGCTCAAGATCCGACTAATGATTGCCAGATATGTCGAATCCGGGTAGTTGGGAAGACGTAGTTGAGTTGCTGGTCCCTGAGTTGCAGAAGAGGGGTATTTACTGGACTGATTATGCAGTTCCCGGAGGGACTTTCAGGGAGAATATGCAAGGAAAGCCGGGACATCCACTATTACCGGATGACCATCCTGGTGCGAAGTTGCGGTGGGATAAGAAGAAGGAAGACCCACTGGAAGGCCTCAGATGGCATTCGCGAAAGGTGGAACCCGTGAAGGAAAAGGTTTCGAATGATCCGCTGGAAGGATACAGGTGGAAAATACCAGTGGCCAGTAAGTGATCACTCGAGCATTACAATGGCCTCTGGGAGATACCAATCATTATACATCGGGTTAAAAATGCCCCTGTGAGTGAGAAGTTTGAGACGGTTATGAAGAGAGTCGAAGCAATTTGTGTTGCCTCATAAAGTGTATGTATCACAAGAATCTGGATTCCTAATCAATAAACTTAAGTAAATTAGCAAGCAAGCACTGAAAATAGGTGGAGGTGCCCATCAGTTCTTTTCGAAATCAAGCAGAGATAAGTACAGAGGTCTGATAGAGATGGGAGCTGGGTTAAAGGATATATATAAAGGTTGAGCGAAGCCATGAGATGGTGATTTCGAGGATTTCGAAGAAAAATCTGTGAACGCGATGGATGGATGATGACAGCTTTGCCATCGTCTGAGTAAAATCCACCAGTTCTGGAACGCACCTGCTGGGACCATTATTGGTAAAGCTGGGTCATTGGTGATGCAGCAGCGAGAGGCTGGTTATATAAGCTGTGATTCCAGCCCGCGTCGTCTTGTCTATCGTCGTCTTCGTTCTGGGTATTCGTACAGTAGTCGTCTCCTGTCGGTCTCAATAAAATGATATCAGGTTCACGTATTCCCAACCCAAGACCCGTCCTTCATCTTCCCGGTCTCTTTTCCTCCCTCCTCAACCCAAGTCTCTACCAAGCCTTGCTTCGGATCCTCATCTTCATACCCCAAACTCTTCCTAACCTTCAACACCTCCAACCTCACTCTCATTGTAACCTCTTTCCTTAACGCCACAGCCTCACTTCCAAACTTCAACCCCTCAGTCAACTCCCCCATTTCCCACTCCGTTTTCCCACCTTTCTTCCTCAAAGCATCTTTCTGCATCTGCACCAGCCTCTTCCATCGATCCCTCAACTCCCCAAACACTTTCTCTCCATCTACCTTCTCCCCAAACGCGATCTTGATATCCTTCCCAGTGCGAGGAATAAACCGAGGGAACTGTCGCGATTCGTGCATCACTTCCTGGTTTCCATCAATGAATATCGGGATCACGTCGGGAAGTGGCTCAGACTCCAAGATCAGGCGGGATATACCCCATTTGAAGTAACGGAGGGACTTTGTGGGGTGTTGGTGCACCCGTCCTTCAGGGAATATGTGGACCCAGGAATGTTTTCGGGAAGGATAGAAGGAGGGAGATGGGAAGGAGTCGAGATTGTTGGTGCTGTATGTGAGTGTGCCCGCTGTGAAGGGGTCAGATGCTTCGACACCCTGGGAGAGATTCAAGGGCAGTTGTGAGAATGGTTGGGAGGAGAGAAGACGGATCGCTTCGGTCATTGTTGGTTGGAAAAGACCACCGTGGGAAGAATACGCGCTGCGGTGCGTAGGCAGGACTTGGCCGTAGGTGAAGAACGCTTTAAGAAATCTGCGGGGAGAGTTACATTAGTTTACAGTCAGGACGAGGCTACGAGTGCCTACAAACCTATTTTGAAAGCAAATATCGTAACTTCCCAAACTCCATCTATGGTTTGTAGGATTGAAGGCATATCTGAAAGGAAGCACACCCCAGATCAACGGATCATCCATCCTGTACAGATATCGTATGAACAAAGGACTCAATATATCAATGTTCGTATGCGGAGGGCTGAACGTACACGCTGACATGATTTGATACTATGCAATTAATCCCGTCAGTGCGGTCCCGGTCCCAAGCATCACTTGGAGACAAACCAGTAATTAACCCCCTCTCCCTTCCATCAACATCCTCCCTCTTGTCCAGTGCCTCCAGGAAGCGATCCAAACCAACGACTTCCATCCTGTTCAGCCCGTAAAGAAAGCCCCTCGACATCGAGCCCGTCAAGCCCATAATCAAGGACGAACTGCATCGCCATGGAAGGCTGGGCATTGTGGGCGGAGGATTGCTATTACTCGACATTGTGCCGCTCCTCGCGCGTTACCGTAGGTCGAGCATGAAAAGGGAGGAGGAAGCCATAAAAGAGACAAACGAGAGCGTCGGCTGCGAAAGCAGAGATAAAGTTTATCCAAATAGCGACAATGGAGGAGCGGCTGCTTTAAAAGGTGGCTGCGGCCGGAAAATCGTCTCGCCGGCTTGGCGTTTTTCCAGCAATGAGATTTTTGGACGACATCCCAGCCATACCTTCCCACGCTTCCCCTCCTCCAACTCCATGGAAACTCCTCCACAATAGCTATTTTCATTGAGATTACCAATCGTTTGTGCACTCTGTCCTCTCACCTGCAATCATTTGTACAGTTTGCAGAAGTGGAAATCGATTTTTCCTCGCCAAACTTCTCACGTGACGGCTCACCTTGAATATCTTTCCCGTGCATTAGGCAGTGGCAATACTCTGGCCAACAGTAGGCACAATTGTTGTTCTTCACCATGTCTCACAGTAAATTATTGATATCCTATTCCTTCTGTAATGAACAATCTGACATCTCCCAGGTAAGCGAAACACATCACGCTCCGTGTTCACTTCTCATGAGAGAGATCTGGCAAAGGCAGCCTGGAACTCTACTACTGCCCGCCTAACTAGAGATTCTTTCCTGCCTTTTGCGTCTTGCCGGTTGTGCTTGTTACCAGCCCGCTCACCTGTCTCCTGTTCCCATGGCGACATCTTCTGTCGAGAATGTGCTTTGAGCAACATTCTGGCTCAGAAGAAAGAGATCAAGCGCTTGGAAAAGACTCGGGGAAAGGAAATAAAGGAGGCGGAAGAAGATAGAGCCAGGGAGGATTCAGAAGCCAAGGAGAGAGCCGTCCAGGAGTTCGAGAAGATCCAGATGGGCTTGGAAGCCAAGTTAGCTTCGTCTTCAAGCGCAAAGACAGTTGTTGGAAGAGAAGGGGGTAAGATACTTGTCGAAGAGGATGTTGCTGGAGGAAAGCGAGGGGAGAAGAGGAAGTTTGAGCTTGATGAAGATGAGCTTCTCCGAATTGCGCGAGAAGAGAGGACCAAGGCAAGGAAAGCCATTGATGACGAGAAGGTATATATTCTGATACGCTTAAGCGCTCCCGTTCTAATCAGTGCAGGCCTCCAAGACCACCTTGCCCTCCTTTTGGGTTCCGTCCATCACGCCTTCATCAAACACCCACATGACGCTGCATAAGATTGCAAAGAAGGCAAAGCTATCACCCATATGTCCCGCTTCACCAGCCGACAAGCCGCATTATTATTCGCTGCACACCCTCATCGCGATCGCATTTACGGAGGAGAAGGACGCGATTACAGGTACAAGTCAGCGAATCTGCCCCTCCTGCAAGAAAGGGTTGAGCAATACCTCGAAAGCAATGCTCGCAAAACCCTGTGGCCATGTTCTGTGCAAAAGCTGCGTGTCAAAATTTATGACACCGACAGGCGTTCATGATCCTCATGCGCCTGATGTAGACCAAAACGCGGTCTACTGCTATGTGTGTGAGGCAGACTTGACAGAGAGAAAGGAGAGCCTGAGGCAAGCAAATGGGGAGAAGGCTGAAAAGGAGAAAATCAAACCTGGGCTTGTGGAGATCAAGTGTGAAGGTACTGGATTTGCTGGAGGAGGTTCAAATACGGTTGAAAAGGCTGGGACAGCCTTCCAGTGCTAGGGCGATCTCCATTTCGGTACTACCGAAGAAGAGGTTACTACCGCCTTTAATCGCTGATGCGATCTATAGCAGCAGGCATAAGGCTACAATGTCCCTTTCAATCCATCCAGACTCCTGAGTTTTCCTTGGTCCAGATGCGAGTTTCTCGGCATTACACTACGCCAACTGAGACAATCCTATCAAGCAAATTGTGTGACGGTTTGCATAATTGCATAGGAATTAGGAAACAGGCCTGAAGTTTCCTTCATCATCCTGTGTCAAGTGACGATCCCGCTCGAGTCAAGTAGAATGAGATTTTGTCACGCCCCCACGTGAGGCGCGTTTGACTGCCTTGCGCTCAGGCCTCTCGTCGCGGTTACCACGCGTCGCTATCGTTCCATAAGCTGCCATTGTCAAGTTTCCGATCGCTTGAGTGTTTTCCATGAGCTTTTGTTATGTACATTTATCTGCGCCGTTCTCATTTTCCGGATCCCCATCATTCTCTTCAAGCGTGAATGAGACCCATTGGAATGGACAATACTACTTCGCAACAAGAATCGAGAGATGCGTTTGCGAGACGAAATGGAGACTATGATGACCCCGGGGCCATGAAAATGTGTAGGTGGCAAAGGGAGAAATTCTTTCCAATTCCTGACGGTCTCATCATTTGCTCCAAAGAAAATGCCCACATTCACCTGTGACAATCTAGTCGTGCAATGACTGACGTTTTCGTCACACAGGGTTTGGGAAACGCAAATCGGAACGCCTCGACAGGCTCGACGAAGGTTATCGGAGGGGGTTATTGAAGATTCGTCGCCAAGGGCCAAATCGCACGAGGGTACAAGACGTATGCAAATCTACCGTCCTGCTGAGAGATAAGTGGACTGAAGGCGGATAGTTCGAAGATTACAAAGTCATCCACGATCGCTTCCTCGAAAAGCTTGATGAAAAGCGAAGCCCGATGTCAACAATCATCTGGTTCGGGAAGTTCAAGGGCCATGAGATGAGACAACACTACAATGCGTCACAGAGATGGGCGTGGCTCAAGGGCAACGATATTGTATGGCAGCCTGATCTCGAGGAAATCGAAGCGAGGTACGAAAAGTGGTTGGGAAGCCGAGTCCCAAGGGCGCCACCCAGTTCGAGAACGGCACCGAATGTCGTCAATCCAAAGGGGAAAGCGTTGGGTACGTGGGACGATGAACCACCAGCATCGAATGAGACGTACGAGCGAGACTCGTTTGTTGCCTCGAATAATTCAACATTTTCGGAGGAGAGTGAGAGGTCAGGCACTCGAAAGACTGACAGCTTGATCGGAGTGAAGAATATGGCGGACCATCAGGACAGAAGATATCCAGGTTCCTCGAGTGCCTTTTCAACAGACTCATCAGAGAAGAGCCTGGCTGTGCTTCCAAGGCTCGCCGACAGCGCCGAGCCGAGGCAGAGTCCCAGGGGGCCTCACAATCGACACAGTGCCCAGTCTGCCGACAGCAATGCGAAAGATAAACTGGCTACCATCTCCAAAAGAAAGTGCGATGCCATGCTCAACCTTTCCCAGCCGCTCCCGCAGTCCGGAAGGAATCGTCCCGAGGTCATCACACCGAGGAAGAGGAAGAGAACCAGCAGAAAGTCCACAAACCCATCGCCTCTGAGCCAGCGCAAAGCAACAAACCGCCAACCGCTCGCAAATATGAATATCATAAATTCCAATACGCCATCTCGCTCGCAGGATGAGAAGTATCTCGCTCAAGGCTCTTCGGGGACTATTGTGGTCCAGATGCCTAATACTAGGAACAGCGTCTCTACAAAGCATTCTCCGAAATACGGAAAGAAGTTAGCTGAGGCTCCGGCGGGGCTAAAGGCTTTCTTTCGCATGTAGAGTCCGTAGCAGGCTCTTCCATTTCCTGTGTAGATATTTCTTTTCCCTCGAGCTTCATGTTTCTGAATCGAGTGTGTCGTCAATCGGCTGGTAGGGCCGTGATCGGAGTACTCACATGGGTCAAGGGTTTTCCATTCGTATTGGGTTTGGGGTGGAGGTCTGGTCTTAGTGATATCCATATTAGCGACTTGTCTTTCTAAGAGATACAAATTTTGTTCTTGATGCCAGTTCTGAAGTGCACATACTTGAAAAAGCTGCTTTCCTAGCCGGGAGAGGACTTGCGTAGAGATGGCTGAGTTGTAATGGAACAAAGGCATGACCTGGTCAATAATGTTGATTCGGTGGGAGATTGTAGAGAGTGAATCAAACTTGACGTCTCACTTCCGGAGGAAATCGTGTACAGTTGGCTTGTCCGTTCTTCTGCGAAGGATCACTTATCAAGTTTTTGCGTGGCAGCGCACGTAGGGAGGGCTTTGCCCACAATACACCAAGGCATTTGGAGGATAGTTCAACCCTGCACTTAACATTACAGGCTCCTTGACGCTTCTCCCATGTATTTATTAGGACATGTGACAAAATCATCACATGCATTGCAATATGACACACCCAATTTTGTGGTCTTGATTGAGATCGCCGAGTGCGCTTGAGTTTCGTGGATGGGATCAAACTATCCGTGACGTTGTGCTCAGAAGATATGATCCAGGGACTCGCTCGGGACTTTGCGGAAGAAAATTGGTGGACATGATGGAAAGAGGGTCCAAGTAGAGAAAACAGACTTCTTCAAAGCGTATGCAGAGCCCTCAACGGAATTACTAACACGACACATAACTCGAGGACACAACGGTGACTCTGTGAGATAGCAAAGACGGAAACGCCAAACAATCAAAAAAAGTTTTCATGCTTGGGATGGGTCCATCGTGGTCGTTCTATTGTTAGTTTCACGAGTTGATGAAGACTCTGAAGAGGTTTAGGAATTCCAAATCAGCATCAAGGTGGGATCTCCCCTGACCTTGATCACTCTGGAAATCATCGTCTGGACTTTAGAGAAAGGAATATCAATTTCCATCTCAGGAGAAGTTCGAAGTTATCGTGGGGCAAACTCCACATGTTCTCCAGATCTGGATCTTGGGGGAAGCCAATCGGTACTACTCCAAGTACCGGACGATCAGATCGGCGCTCAGTCTGACATATGCCTCCACTTTGTCAAACTGCTAAAATGAAATGACCACGGAACGGTCACAGGATGTAAGACCAACCTCTCAAGCTTTGCGTACACCTGCTATATCAAAATGTCCCACAAAATTTCGTACATTCGGAAATCTCTAGCTCAAGGCTGAGAATTGAATATACAACATTTCGGGGAACATTTGATTAGCGGGTCTTGATGAATGTACTAGAACCTCTTTACACTGACATTGTCTGGAACTGGGTTTCGTTGTACGCAGAGTGATGGCAACAGCTCTTACAGCTGCACTAACTTAACTGATTTTGACTGGGAATTTTTCCTATCAGCAATTAAAATTAAGAAAAATATGAGAGACCAAGAAACGGTGATATTCATTTCCCCAATGCTTGGCAGGGCAAAAAAAGGAACCGAGGTCCTTGCCCCACTGTGTGGTAGCTGCTAGAGTTGAGTAAATGCAGTAGCAGACAATCTCGACGAAGCATTTTTCGATAAAAAGGGGAAGGCTGAACTGTGAACGCGAGTTGAGGTAAAGGCCGCAGACTATGTCGAAATTAGAACATAGTTGAGCAGTGAAACCTTACCGAAACAGTTAAGAGTGTCTGGCTAGGGGGAGTCCCTCCGATGCCAAATTCCTAGCCGTATACTAACGGATTCAATTACGAGGTTTGGCACTAAATTGAATGCCAGGAGGGCCAGCTTCTGAAGGAAGAACCAGAAATGATTGTGACGTGAGTGCCTTCATAATTGACTTAGCTCACAATCCAAAATGGAGGTTGGAGCTGGTGGAGGTGTGAGACTTGAGAAGAGGGCAACGTTCGGCGACCGAGGTGGTTGAGCAATGTATCCTGCTTGGGTTGGAACATGCCGGGATGTCGAGATTGTGTTGGTGGTGGTGTGGTTAAAATACCGCTGTCCCAGCAGATGACTTACGTAGCTTGCTGAAGGCCGCTTTTTATTCGTGTTGTTGCTCGGCGGGTAGGAAAAATAGTGAAGTTTTTGAATGTCCTTGTGCGGTGGGAAGTGTCGAGAAATGAATTGGCGTTGCCCTCTTGCATCTTGGCAATTACCCGCACCACGACAGACAGAGTTAAAAGGCAAGAAAAGCTCCTTTCAGCCCCGCGGAGATGGATGTAAATATCGTATTGTTCGGTAAGTGCCGTGCGAAGAATAATTGGGAGAGTTGAGGTGGATTCGGGCGAAAGGAGGTGCTTTTAGTTTTCAATAGCGGCAAGGATAGAAGGTGAACAGGTTCTAAAGGTCGTCAGTGATGAGCCTTTGTCGTATGTGGCTTGCTCAAACTGTCACGATTCAGCGACGACTTCACCGCTGTAAGCTATCTGTAGCCTGACAGCCTGGGCAGGGTACGAGGTGGTCCTAGAAGTGTCACCGGCGGAGGACAGGATTCCGAAAAGAATGCCCCGAGTCCCAAAGTGACGAAGTAGGGCCAGTATCGCAGTAGAGAAGCAGAGAAGGTAGGAAAGTTGTTAGCCCTCGGGTAGCTGGCGGCTGCACTTTCCCCCGGAAAAGTTTGTCTGGCGTTGTTCTAAATTGTAGGGGCCAAATAGCGCCACGGGCAGGCTTCGTTCGTAATTGTGGCCCAATGCGTACAGAATGCTTTTGGGTATGCGCATAGTTAATTGTTATCGAAAATAATATATGGCAGAGAACTCAGCAACAATTCTCAGCTAAAGCTGAGAGTCATGCTATCGAGCGAGAAAGTTTTAGGCCTTAATGGAACGTCGGTGGGAAGTTGGTGTGAAAATACCAAGCTCATGAGGGGTCCTTCACATGTGCGAGGGGTAGAAATTCTCGAGCCTTACTTCTGTTACGTGACCTGGATTGACTCTTGCTGATCGCCCAATTCGGGACTGCTCCAAGAAAAAAGGTTGTGGCAGTGCTGTTTGGCAGTTCGCGACATGGGAAAAAATGGGAAAGCTCGAAGCTTCGAGGCCTCAAACCTCGCCTTCCTCAAATGAGGCGCCAAACATCTCGTCTTCAAGGGGTCGTTTGTGGCAGCTGTCTGTTCTGATTAACCAGATCCATGCACCTTCGACGTGGGACTGTTCCTGGGTTCAGCTCTGCAGGTGTCCGTGGGATATCGGGCCATTGCAGGAGAATCCTCGTACACTACATTCTCATTATGTTGGACGCCTTGAATGTCCCTCCTTTGTCCCCGTATTTCCTTCTTGTTTCCCAGGGATGCTGAGTCTGCAGCGGGGTGGACCAGGGTATTTCTGTCCGAACTCCACTCCATCTGGCCTTAGCACTTGATTGACCCTTACCAGGTATTGTTCCAAGCAAAGTTTCACAGGATCTGCTGTATGTTTCCACGATTCTCTTGCTTCGCATGCTCCAGATGGCAAGTGCTGCATGATCGGTGGCAGTGTCCCTCGGCTTTCACAAAGTATTGACTTGGCATGCGATTCTCCCACTCGGGAGGGAAAGATGTTGTTCTGGACCAGATGGATCGGCGAGATCGCCTCGATCGGCAGGTCAGGGAACCTGGTGCGCGAGGAAGTCAATGGTTGAATTTCGAGATGTTTTTTCAAGGGTGCCAGATGAAAAGGGGTCGTCGCACTCTGTTTGTGAGGGTGACGCTGATGGCCCTCGGATTGGACTACATCTTCGAGTGTGAATCAACTTCGTGGGGTGATCGCTGTCATCCAGGCTCCAACTAATCGGCCCCTGCCGGCTCCCGGATGGCTGTGCCGCTGTCTGTGTCTGTGGAAGACCCCAGCACGAGTCATGAAACTTGACATCTCGAGGGCAGGCCCGACGAAGTGGATGAAGCCCGGAAGGCTGGATGTAGACGGCGAGATGCATTCGCGACATGGGAATCCGTACATTGCTGTTCCACGAAGCCATCCATAATTCCCAATATGTGTGCAGCCGCCGGTTGGTAAAACTGGGCGACGGAATGCCACTCGTCGAGGCAAAGCGACAGCGGACAAGTCCCCAGCCAGCCACCTTGATTGTGGACAGTGGCCGAGACCCCACACAGCATTCAGCTGCATATTGCGTGCCGCCTGCCAGATTGGCGAAGTCGCGTAAGCATTGTCCAGTACTTTCGCACAGTACGAGTACGAGGATAGGATCCTGATCTCTGATCAACGTTGGTGCTGAGTGAGCACTTTGTGTCCGCTGCAGGGCTGCAGCTCCGGGTGATTGAGGACGGGTCTCGTTGTTGCCCTTGGTGCCTGCCCCTCCTTGAATGACACTCCTCCCTCTCCTCCCTTTCCTCCCTCGCCACCCTCTCCTCTCCCCTCTCCATCCTAAACCGTGTCGTGTTCTCCGACCTCCCGCTTTGTCTCGAGTCGAGCGTGGCAGCATGCCGTGCAATTCGCGCGAGCTTTCAGCCTTCAGGGCCGGAGTGCGGGAGCTTCCATCGGGCCCAAACATGAGGCGCGCCGGGAGAAGCATGGAATACCCGTTTGAGCGAAGCTTGCGAACTGGCAGGCGGGACGCCAAATCCTCCAGAACTAGAACTGTGTTGATGGGGCGTAGCGGCGGCAGGGAAGCTGGGGGGGGGGGGGGGAGCGGGCGAGTTTGACAGGTGCACGCGGTGTCGGCCGTGCAGACGGTGGCAGACGGTGCAGCTTTGACCCTGAGTGGCCGGCGACGTTGTGCTTGAGCTTGCCAGAGGAATCGCGAGCCGGGGCATTTACAGGGTCCAGCTCGGTAATCTTTCTTCCTCGATCCATCCGCCGGCATTCGACGACGACATGTCATCGCAGCGCCTTCGTCTCCTCGCCATACGTTCCACCACCACCTCCACCCACCTCCAATCGACCGGGAAATGATGCTGCAACCAAGCAAGCGACTGTGCTACGGACAACCCCCCCCCAAGGATGGCAACCAGAAACCCTGTCATGCGCCCTCGTTGTGGCCGCAGACCCGAAGATCGCCAGCCAGATGAAGTGTGGGCTCTTCCGCGCCATCCATGCTGTCAATCATGACTCGCCGCCCCCCCCCCCGTCCACCGTTCTGGCAGGCTTCTTTCTGCTCCTCTCGGAAATCGGACGTCAGAAAGCTTCGACCTGCATCGTCGGTTTCAGGGGCGGCTTGACCCTTCTTCCATGGCTTGTGGCTGAGACATGTCAAACTCTCGGAGGAAACTTGGGTCGTATCCAGAAGAACGATTTATTCCCAGAGCACCATCATGAAACTAAGTTCGCATGCTTATCCAGAACAACACCAGTGCGGGGCGACGCACAGCTCACGCACTATGACGCTTCAGAACCTGTCAGGAAAGATTTCGTCTCATCTCTGGTATTCCCGAAATAGCGCTTTCCGCTTTTCTTTGTACAACGTCTTCGGTCCCTCGCTCTCGAAGAACGCCCACAGGAGAAGCACTGCGTCAGATGATGAGGCTGGCTGCAGAATAATGCTCACATGTCTCACACTCTCCTGATTGCTGAGATTCCATGGCAGATCTTTCCCAACTGGATCTTAGTGAATACTTCGGCGGCTCCCCAACTGAGTGCAGTTCTACAGTCGAGCACTGATCACGGGCAGACCTGCAGATCCTCGTTGCTCCAATGAAACATTCCTCTATGATGCGCTCTGGGACCTAGATAGGGCTAAGAGTCTGGGAGAGCGAACCTTTGTTGCTTTCACACAGTTATCCAGGCGTGGACGGATATGGTAGCTTTTACTGACCTGGGAGGTTTGTCCCTCGATCTCACTACAAGGTTCACGAGCTTTGATTCAAGGGATGCGATAGGAGCTCTACAGCTCATGACGGCATCTGTGTCATGCCTTTCTCCAGAGAGCGATCTGAACGAGTTCCATGCAAGAAACGTTTGGGGCGGAGCAAACAAAGTAAAAACGGGAAAAGCTCAGAGCTATGGCCATCTGGCCAATTCTGGAAATATCATGTAGCACAAAGGCCTGTCACGGCATTCAGATGTGGCTGCTTTACTCATGGGACGGGTGTTCTAATGTGCTGATATTTCCACAACCTGTGCGGGGACGCCTCGCGGTACAGTACAAGAAGCTTGAGTGACTTTGAACTGTTCTCTACTAGGGAACGTGTGAAGTAGCGCGGGAGCTCTACAATACGGGAAAGGATAGAGTTCGAATTATGAGGATTCTCTTCTTCCACGTTCGGTTCGTTACTGGACTTCGGGTAAGGCTGGCTCCAAAAGACAGCAAAGATGATGCACGAGGATGTCTTGAGGAGGGTCTTGGAATGGGGCTTGCACCCTGCTCACGTCAAAGTCCACACTACCAGGGACCCAGAAAGATCTTTCATGCATGCCAGATGAAAACAGGGTCTCCGACAGTCCAACGGGCATCGAGTTTGCACTGAAGAGAAGTTCTCAGAAATCTGAACTTGCAAGATCTTCTCTTCACAAGAGACACTCTCCCTTCACAGTACTAACAGCATCTCCTCCCTGTTCGCGGCACAGTTTTGAATACATCAAAAATAAAAACGGGCCGCACTGCAGAACTCGGAACTGGTAGGTTTTCGCTGCTAAATGCGACTAAGTCACTGGGTAGCCACTGAAGAGCAGCTCCGCACTGTCCACCATGCAATCTCATTCCCCAAACCGGGCTATCTCGCAAGCCTAACCCTACACCTCACATCTTTATTTCCTTTCCCCAGCCAAGCGATTCCTTGACAACGGCAGAGCTCCGCCAGCGTCGATCATGATTGCCTTCCAATTGTGACGAACCCTGTCAGCATGCCTGAACCCTGTCCTTCCAAGACTGTCAAAACTCGAGAAAAACATTGTGGCTTGCGAAGGGCCTTGAGCGAAACGGACGGAGGATGAACGATGAAGAGCCAATCGAAACTTCCGGATTTTGCCTGATTATTGTCAACCCTGGGGGTGTGCTGAATTCCATCCGGAACTCATGCCAAACTCACTTGACAGTCGTTCATGGACTCCTCTCGGTCTCACTGTCTTCTCATCCTAAGGGCGAGCCCGCGAGCCCCCACTCTGAATGACGGCACACATACAGAGTATTACACAGTTGTTTAGGCTCCACTGCGCATAATTATTTGGAGAGTGTCACACGTCTATGTATGCCGAGGGTGAAGAACAAAGTCAGGAGTCGTGGCGCAGGGCTGGCTGGAAAAGTAACGTGAATCGCAGGAACCATAACAGAAGGCGAGTTTGATAGGTGGCTTTCCAATAATAAGTATAGGCTGGATTCTGACTAGATATATTTGAGGCTGCGAACAAGATTCTGACATGAAAGGGATAAGCCAGCAAGGCTTAAAATTTGGTCACTCTACTGAGGATTGGGCATTAAAGCAGCCCCAGGTCGAGTCCAGACTAGAGTTGTGTCTTTCACCACTGTCGCCTTGTCGACAGAGCACGAAAGCTCTAGCGATCCTGTGAAGATACACCCGTTCAAGTCAGGACTTTCTCATACTCTCTCCATAAAGAAGTCTCAATGCTTACTCATTGATTTGTTGTTGACGTGGGATTGCACACGGAAGGATACCGCTCATACCTCGGCCAGTTATCATTGAGGCTGCTGGGAATTTTACAACAGCACCCTCTCTAAACTGGCCGCTAGAGCATCCATGGATTACCAAAGTACGGTATTATTATCTGTGCCTGAGACGTTGCACTGTTGTACAGGCTGGCCAGGCAATCCCGGTCAAGTTACGACAGCTCACCGGTCCACATCTGTTCACCCGCAGTCTTCTCCAGCTTCACCCATCAGCCAAGTCTGCCAGAACTCGAGATGCCACAGTGCCCGTGGTGATACCATGGCTCAGCATTTGTGTTAATCGAATCGCAAGGCTTCCATCCACAGGACCCGGTCCCCACCATCCGTTCGGCTGGTTGCATCTCCAAACGCGCCCCTGCTCGGCATCGATGTTTCCATCGGGGAATTTCTAGATGCACCTTGCGCACATCCTGGGTCGTGGGTTGCCTTGGAGGCTTGAAGGCTGGGCTTGCAGGCTGGGTGCCCACTGGACTGAGCATTTCACACGCTACTTCATTAGTGCTGGATGTGCCACCGACTACCTTAGCCCAACGACTAATTGTACTAGCCAAAACCCGACCATTCTTCATCCATATTGGGCCGGCCCTGGAGGTTCTCCTCGTGTACTCTCTTCTTCTCCGTTAAGTACCACATATCTGATATTCTGGCCCAGTTACGACAATCTGGAAAGGGGGACCCACTGCCCACTGCCGTCGTAAACTTCTGGTTGACACTCGCCTCTTGAGCTTCCAGAGCCTCACGGGGTATTCATGTTTACTCAAATCACTCTTCTCAATCGAACACTAAGCTGTTTAACTTGAGCACGAACCTTCGTCGTTCTAGCACAACTCTGACGCCACTACAAGCTTCAACTTCATCTTTTTCCAGAGCAAGCCCCTGACGCTTATGTGCTGTGCTTTACGCCCTATACTTGTCTAGCAAATTCCCAGCACCAGCATCTGTGCACCGGCCCGTTGATCTGTCTTCCCAGACCACCGGTCCAAGCACTGATATACTTAAGAGATCCCCTCCACACCTACTTACTTCAAGAGCGAATGTTTCGATACCAATACCACGTTTAACAACATATGTCGACCACCACTCGGTATATATCGCAAGCCGAGGCCAGCACACTTGATCAGCATCGACCATCCGCATAAGCCTTGTGCGCATCTAGGTTTGCTTGGTGTAAGCATCACACTTGGACGTCAGTGACGAGTCACCGGCGACCGCTCGAGGATTGTCACCCAGAGGGCTCACCAAAGGTTAACCTCCAAGCCGCAACGCTGGCCGCCGCAGTCTTAACTCCGCTCCATTTTTGGACGGGACTAAACCCAACTTTGAGGGAGGGAAGCAGATCTTGGGAGGGTACGTACAGGTCTCCGCGCCGTTCTATCCATGCCTTGGCACTGTCATACTTTTATGGTCTGGCATTCTAGTGTCAGGGGTCCTCCATCATATCCTCTATCTACTTTTTGCCATCTCTACATCTTTGTTTCTCCAGTGGCCAAAAATCGTATCTGTCTTTGCAGAAATGTCACCGGATGTCTGCTAACTATGGCAAATCAGATCCTTCCTATCGTGCTGACTTCCCCTCTTCGTTCTCCTTGAGAACAAAAACATCTTCTTCTGGCATGGAATTGTCGCCCTCTCGATTTCAGAGTCCGCAACAACTGAACGAAACGATTGCCGAAGCCTCCAGCATGTCGACGCTGACCATGGGGAGACCACAATTACTCCCTTCTCCGAGTGCTATGCTGTGGGATGAAGGGAGAAAATTGGATCTTCCATCAAGACCGCGATCTCCTCCTGAAAAGATTGAGCTTCCATCTATTCGACAGGTTTGTTACCACCGTTACTACAGACTGCCATATTCTAATTCAATCAGGCTATCCCGGAGATTCAGCTGAGAACTGGTCGAGCGGATGGAGATTACAAAACCGGTTCTGCCATCTCGTATTCCCCAACAGCGGTCGCAGCTCTCATCACACCTCCTGAATACGTCCAGTCACCATCGTTACACAAACGAAGGAGGTTGTCTTCAGATGATGGTCGAGATATCGAGTCAAGAGATCATGTTGTCCCAAGAATGTACAGAAGTCCCTCCAGACCATTGCAAAGGTCCCAAAGTGTAGCACTATCACCAACGGCGTCGGCACGCCGGGTCAATACTCTCTCAACCACCGAGAACTGGGCAGGTTCCAATCGAACCAGCCCTTGTTGTGTGACTCGAGGTCTTCCACTCCCTGACTCTTCCAGTGTCAGTCGATCGGACTGGAGGCCTTCACTACCTAGTCTTCCATCTTTGACTCTCAGCCACAATAATGCTGTTCCACGGGGACGAAGTACCTTCTCGGAATACGCCTTGGAGTCGTCCAGATCTGGAGCACAGACTTACCCACATTTGTCCGGATCCCAATTTGACCCTCCAATTTCTTCTTACCATCCAGCATTGTCATATGGTTATCAACAACCTCGCGGCCAATCCTATTCTGGACCTTCAACGTATCCTCTCACACACGACAGATCGCCTTTTTCGAATAACCACCACAATATCTATCCTGGAAGCAGTTTCTCGTACGGGCTGGAGAGAGATGATGGCAACGACAGCAAGCAGAGAAAGCGGAGAGGCAATCTTCCGAAAGAGACTACGGATAAATTGAGGGCGTGGTTTGTGGCTCATTTGCAACATCCCTATCCCACCGAGGACGAGAAGCAAGAACTGATGAGGAAGACTGGACTTCAAATGAGTAAGCTCCCTTACGAATGTTCTCCTTTCTTCCCACAGTTGATTTTCTGCGGGCTCTTGAACGCCGAGAACCAGTTCCAAATCGGTTTCCGAGTCACAGAAGCTAACTTGGACAGATCAAATCTCGAACTGGTTCATCAACGCACGTCGACGGCAGCTGCCAACAATGATCAATAACGCACGCGCTGAATCTGATGCCAGATCAGCTAGGAGCGGTGATCTTCTTCATGGAGAAAGTACGAGTGATTATGGTGACGAAAGGGAGAAGAGGGGCAGTGTGCCGCTTGGGGATAGTGAGGGCGAGGCGAGTTGTGATGATGATTACGATTTGAGGTCAGGAACAGCGATACAGAGCATGGGGAAGAGGGAGAGCATATGAGGAACGGATCTGTTCAATATTTGGAAAATTGAATGGGCCATTAACTGGAATTAGAAATGGAGATGCATTTCTCAAATCCAACTTTGGTCTGGAGAGCCGCAGGAGTATGGGATTTGCGAAATTGGGATGGGAAAGAGGGGATCAGACTACCAGGAAGAAGACTCAGGGAACAGACCCGAATCACGTTTCACGAAGCTACGGATTATGGAAAAGTACGCTGTAAGATTACGAAAGGGTGAAGAATGGGGATACAATGACTGCGGGGGAGGGGCACAAAAACTTGGGAGCATGCATGCATGAACAGGGAGTTTTATTCGATTCAAGGAACGAGATGATGTCTTACACACAGACCTCGCATTCTCCCAAAAGCTTTGAAATATCTTTTCAGAAATGTATATATATATATTACAACTTATCAAAAGCATTCCCAAACACGCTCATGTACCCCTAATCGTCATATTACAGCACATATACGCTTGAGGCGTTATCAGCACGTTGACCATGGAACGTGATTCTGACTTTCTCTCCAAGATCCAAGACACGGCACAGGTTCAGCCACGAGATGTCAACGCGCCTCTCGCACCTCAATTCCTGCGCGGCTGGGACGCAGACGCAATGCCACTGCCAAGGCTGTCTAGTACAGGACAGTAAAGTATTCTTGCATCCTTGGTGCCTCTACGAGTCCACTCTCTTCCCCCTTCCTTGTTTCCGCCCTTGTTTCCGCCCTTGTTTCCGCGGTTATCCCAGAGGGGGGGGGACAAACGTTAACGCCGATACCCCTTCCCTGTTCTTTTCGTCAACTGTTTCCGTTTTGGCTTGAGCGTCAGTGCATCGCCATGTGGACTTTCAAGATTGGGTTTGCAAGGGTGCCATGATCTCAGACCCTTTTTTTTTTCTCTTTCGGTTGTGGACCCTTGGGACCCGCGAGGAAGGTCCACCAAAGCTAAGTAGTATGCCGCAGCCGCGCATGTGATTCAGCTGGGAGTATTTGTCAACCGTTTTTTAGCTTTGATGGAGCGGTTTCCGAATAATAATGCCAAGAATTGTGACAGGGTGACAGCTACTTATGAGCAGTCCTCCGATGCTTCCGAGGCTGGGTGGGCTATAGGGCCTAGCGGGGTGATGGGTTGAGGCCGGACAGAGATCGTGGGGAGGTTAAACTTGAAGGGCAGAGGAAGGGGTTAGCAGCGAGGGATTGACAACGGCAATTCCGTTTTGAGGTGACAGGTGTGCGTCGCGTGGTTGACAGGCGTTTGAAGCGGTTTTGATGGATGGAGAATAGGGGGTGGGGTATAAGTGGAGAGGAGAGAACCAATTCCACTCAACCGAGGTCAATTTTGTGTCGTGGGCGTCATGTTGGCTTCATCTGATAAAAATGTTTTTTGTTTAATAGCAATTGAATAAATGGGTTTCAGATGGAAGGGATTTAGGAGATTAAAGCTTTGACTTTGGTATGATTTCGTGGGGCTATTTTTGAGTGCAGTGCGTGAGGTCAGAGCGAAGGAACATTTGTGAGGCGGGGTGCTGAGGCTGAATCGACAATTCCGTTACGCACGTACAGCTTTGACGGCGCGGAGGAATGGTCAGCCTCGGAATGTGCCCCAATCATGATGGCAGTCTTGAGATGCAGATCTTCTCGGCACTCAATATTAATACACCATTTCGAATGCAGGCATGGCGTTGCGCCCTACCCCCCTCACATCCCGAGACGTCACAACTCCTGCTCACATCGGTAGAAGGATTCTCCAACCTGCCACAAATCCTTGACGCCTCCATATTCGGATGCACAGCTTTTGGATCCCTTTCACGGTTTGGGAATGGCATCCGAGTGTCCCGGGTTCGGTCCCATGGTTTTCAGCACGACGAGGACCCTGGATTTCCGCGGGATGCGGGGTTCCGGACCACGGCCCATCGCTGAAGAACCAGAGAATGGCAGAAAGGGATTGACGGGAAGGTTATTTCAACCTTCGAGCATCCTCGGCGGTTGCAACAATCCTATGAAGAGAGAACAGGGAGGAAAGCGCTTGAAAACTGTTTGTGCTGGAAAGGGAATGGGCGTGAACACGAAATAAGCTTTGAGGATGTGGCTCAACCCTGACGTAAATCACTGGATCTTAGGGCCTTCTTGCATGACGTTCCTTCTGTCCCGCCCCTGGTCAGCCGCAAATCCGCGTGTGCAGAGCCCTGTGCCGCGCCGAAATGCTCCCTGTAACTGATAACCGCCACCCGTGCTTGGCCCTATGCCGAGTTTTCCGGAGGATCTGGATAGCTGATTGAATCCTGAGATGTTCCCGCGGACGGTGAGTGGCGTGGGAAGGAAGACGAGGTTGTTTGGTGGGCGGAAGTTTTTAGTCGGACATAGGTTTCGGGGCAAAGAGGGCGCAACCTGTCAGAATTGATCGGCGTGGAAGGCGCTGATGCCGAATCGTTAGATGGCATTTTATGCACACTTGCGGGATGGATGGCTGTGGCGTTTTAAGGGTCCGAGGAGCGTTCGGTGTGCAAGGATTTGGGCTTTGGTTGATTGGCCAAGTTGACTTTCCTTCAAGTGAAAGAATGATGTTGAACTGCTTGACGTTCTGCGACACTCCCGCGATTTGAAGAAGAGCATCAATATGGCACGAACCGAGGCGTTGAGCTCAAATTGAGGTTTTGAAAGGTCCTAAGAGGATTGTAGTTGAAAAACTCATTGGTCCAGTGACCGCAACATCGCACTGCTCTGTTTGCATGTTCTTTCCCATCCGCAGATGATGCTGCGGTCACACAGAAAGGAAGACAATTCGCAGCCATCATTTCGACACACTGTTGGGATATCCAGGGTGGAAGGCACTTGCTCGGGTGGAGTGCATCCTTTCTCTATAAATCTCTTGGCGGTTGCAGTACTCGTAGATATGTCACTCGAGCGTATATTTGTTATTTGAGCCAGAATTGAAAGCATCGATGTTATTTCAAGTTCGTCTTCGCAATTCTGCTAATACTTTCCTTTTCCGTTAAGCATCAAGCACTGGCTTTTCTTGCCTTTGATGATGCTGGAAGAAGAAAGGTCACGTGGCGCACTGGTTCAACACAGCGCTTCACGACAGCCTCCTCCCCCTGCTCTCGACAACAACCGTTTCGATCCTTCACTCTACTATCACCTTTCACGCTGCCAAGGTGCTTCCGTTCCTCTCGTCCCTTTTCAGCCCCCTCTTTGCGCAGCGGCTTCTACATGCACCAATTGTTCCCAGCCCCGACTCAGTTTGCTCAGATTGATGATGCTTTGCAGTCTTTGCTCATCAATCGTTTTTGAAGCAGGAGCTCATGTTTATGAACCTGGTTCTACCAATTTCCCGAAACACCACAGTTCGTTCACAGACCTGGAAACTTCAGCCAACAGTGGGTGCCAGCTTTGCCAGATCTTGTTTCGCAATGGTGCCACTCCAATGGAGTCTGGCGGACGCACTCATCAAGGGGATGACTTACATCAGATCTATTATCGAACACATACCAGTACTTTCCTCACCAAGTACCCGCTAGGTCGAGGAGTTACAGAGATTCAGTTCTTCCTGAAGGGTGAGACGGTTGGGCCTTTCGAAAGAGGAGGCTGGGTTGCCCGTTAGCCTAGGTCTATTTGCCCACTATGGTAATTACTTCCTAGTTACCATGTTCTGCAACCCATAACGACCTGTCAGGTTTTATTACCGCCACGTCGGGTGCCGTCCGTGGTCGTCCCATCGCGGACTAACCAGATTCTGAATCTTGCTCTGAACGGATTCACGCATGGACACGAGAATGGATTAACAACCATCTCGATTGCTGCCCAAATTCCCAAGATTCAACTCCGTTGCCCACTTGAGTCATTGATGTGAGTCCGACCGATGACCCCGCATCTCCAAAGATATTTGAGACACACAGAGAACCTGGCACTTTCATGGCCTTGTCTCACTGCTGGGGAACTCAGGCTCGTTTTGTTCTCGACTCGGACAGCCTGATTCAACTTCTAGGTGGTATGGACATGAATGGTTTGTCCCCAACTTTTCGCAATGCTATCAAAGGTGACGAGAGCCTTAGGATACCGCTACTTGTGGATCAATTCTTTATGTATCCTTCAAGACGCCTACGACGACTGGGACAATGACTCAAGTAGGATGCAGGAGTACTACATGAACGCCATCCTGACGATAGCTCTTGATGGCACGAAAGGCGACCACAATGGTTTTCTCGACCGACACAGGTTGTCGGGTGAGAATGTTTTCGTTGCTCCATTCTGCAGTATTTCTGGAGTTGATGGGAGCAAAATGCTTTCTCCCACCAGCTCAGATAATGAATTTGTGTATTTGTCTCACAAGAGAAGCCCCCGCGCTGGCCAAAGTTCTGGTGGATATCTGGCCAAACGTGGCTGGACACTCCAAGAAGATATACTCGCTGCGAGTGCCATTCATTATGAGAATCAAGGACTTCGTTGGGATTGTCAAAAACATCGATAGTTTGAGGGTTTAGACGGCGAAAGCAAACCACGGATATCCTGAAGTACATGTTCTTGCGAAGCCTTGGAAACGTGATCTGACACTCCGCGAAGATAGATCCCCAGCGATTTCGGGCATTGTCAGTGAGGTTACGAAACGGACAGCGTTCACCTATAGAGCTTGGATATGGCTTGAAGATATTCATCGTGGCTTGGCATGGTATATAGACCGCGGTTCTGTCAGAACAGAGAGCTATATCGCCCCATCTTGCAGCTGGGGATCGATCAAGGCGCCAATCAATCGTTTGACTCCTCAGGTTTGCATACGCCATGTTAAGAGAGAGAATTTAAACCTGCCGCCGCTTTATGAGCCTCCTGTTGCAGTAAAGCTCATTACTTGCAATGTTGTTCCTCGAGGAAAGGATCCCTTCGGTCAACTAACTTATTCTTCCATGGTCCTGTGCGGTCTTTGGCTTCCATTCTCGAAGTGGAGGTCTAAACATCCGATTCGTGTTGGGGCATCATTTGGAAACTGGTTCCGGCAAGGAGAGAAACCATGGACTTTGATTGCAATTTTGGCAGCCGTTGATCAACTATGAATGCGACTCCTAGGAGTATATAATTATTGACTCAGACGCCAACATTCTGGATGGCCTTTATCTTCTTCATATATCAACGTCTCACCATTATCTTGACCGCACACTTAATGAATGCCATCAATTGATTGATTCTGATGCCGGCAAATACGGATGGTCAGTTCCGGAGAGTTGGCCTTGCAATTGCTAATGTTGGCGAATTCGAAGAGGCTGCCCAATGGGAGATGAGAGAAGTCACGATTGTTTAATTCTTGCTCGACGATCGATGCCACCTGTTCAGCATCACATTCAATCCACCAACGGCTGGAAATGGAGAAAGGTAAATTGTTCCCCAGCCATCACTGGGTATTGATGGTGTCAGGCTCAAGGAGACATTTTCTTCCATGACAGGATCACAACGCTTCATGGGTAAGATACAGTTGCAACCTGTCATTTCGTTGCCATCAATGGTGACATGAGCACTCCCTCCTATGTTGAGGCATGTGCTGACCATGAGAGCAGACTTTCGGACGAAATACTGAAACTTCTCGATCGACGACTTCAACCCGGGCATCATCTCCTACCCTCAAGAACACAAAATTGCGACGAGTAACTAAGCTCTTCGTACCCCAGTTGACACATTCTGGATGCGGTGGTATGTTGAGTGGAACCCAAAATCGCTTGAGCACGATCATCGTGAATTTCGACAGCAGAACGGTTGACTGTTGTGTTGGTAGGTTCGACATGGTTTCTTTTGCAGACTCCAGAACTATGTTCACACCAATGATCTTGTTACTGAATTCATTGGATATCGTTTAAGTCCGGAGAATCGAGGTGCGGAGATCTTCGAATTTCGAAAGGGTGTTCAAATACTCGATATACTGAGAAGCGTTAGCATTTTTTTTAGGGGTTTGTGGTTTGGCATGCATTCACATCGTTTTGCTCCGTTAATTCCCAATCCAGTTCGGTAATGAACGTGCGTGATTGTTGGATCAGTTTCAAACTGTTCAAAGAAACTGTTGGAAAGTGAAATTCGCTGTAAGGATCTTCTTTAGGCGGTGCTGCTAGACCGTCTTTGAAAGACTCGCGTTTGATGTTCTTCCTTGATCTTTGCGCTTCCTTGATCTCAGCGAATTCTCGAAGTTTGAGAACTCGCAAGTTCCCACGTCTTGCGTTTGCAACGATCGGTAAATCTCGAACAACGATGCCACCTACTTCCAATGTCTGCAGGTTGGAATTATTGTCCAGCACCAGCTCCAGCGTATCCGATACATCGCTGGGTCCCTGAGGGTGCCATACAGTACGTATCTTCCTTCCACGCCAAATTTCGAGCTTCTTCAGCCCAACAAGTTCTGTCACTCGTCGGTTCGCTAGAAAGGTTTGGAAGTATACGCTATATGAAAGTACTGGAGCCGCGATAGATCCCAGATGTTGTCGAATCTTTCCGACTTGTACACCCTATGGCAATCCTCAATCCTCAATTCCCGAACTGGAGAAAGTCTCCTACGCCTTGGGCGGAAAAAAATCTAAACCAGTCTCCACCAGGGCCGGAGACTCGAGATTTCTGCAGCTCATGAGCAGCACATTGTTGAAAGGTCTGCCTCATAACTCCACCGCCACCTAGTTTGGAAAGCCTTGATGGACACAGGATTTTCTGCGGGAATTGACAAGTTCACGCCGAAAATCAGCCGTGAAGGCGGAAATTTCTTGAAGAGATCAGGTCGGTGAGGGCTTGAGGCATGGGCGAGCGTTCCCATTGCACCCCCCCTCTCCGCCCCTTGGTGGCTGTAAAATTGTTTCATAGAAGAAACGTCGGAGAATTGGAGGATATCCACCGTCAAATCTTGGACACGAGGGCACTGTGATATGAAAAGGGCGGCCTTGTCACACCCGAGGAGTTGCTTTGCAACTATTCTGGCTCTGGTGGAAGATCTCCTGAGTGAAGTTGTTTCAGACGAGTCGGCAAAGGAAAGAGAAAGATTTATCCGGCCACCAAAATTTTCACAAAGATGAGAAACAGGGTCTCTGTACTGAGACTCTCGAGGCGGCTTCCAGTGCGAGCAACTTCGTCGCTAGCGGTTGGAATTGCTATCACCGAGGGATCGGCCATGCTGAGCTCACCCTTGCTTGAAATTATATTTCCTTTCGTACAGGTTTGGAAACAGTCTGTCAATCTTATGTTGGAAGTTGATGTTATTGAAGATTCTGCTTTCGTTTCCTATCTGGTTTTCTCTGACATTGGATTTGAGGCAGTAGTTGCGCCACATCGATCAAGGTAACAGGGGATAAAAGTCATCACCACCTTTTTCTCGACCCTCTGGATTTTGGTTAATACGGCGTCCGATTTAATAACACATAAAGTCAAAGAAGGAATGGCCTTGAAGCAGGGGAATCTTTGGACCGACAACGTCGAATTGTGAAACTGAAATCCATCCTTTGAACACGTGATCGCGCAGTCCTCAAGTGGATTAGAAAGAGGGAAGCTTACGTCTCTGATCGGCCCCTGTTCATGTTTCCTATTAAAAAACATATGACGTTAGAACAGCTTACTAACTAGATAACCGTGTTTCGAAACAGATTATCTAACCCTGCCCTTAGTGCGTGTCCTCAATTTAAGTCCGACACAAGTCCCGACTCTCATTAATCCGACACACCACGTTCTGTTTCAACGCTCGCACTCAATGACGTTGAGTGACGCCTTACTTGATATTGTTTAGATGCGGGGGAACTTATTCCAACTGTGTTGGCGATAAATTGAGGACGGTAAGACTAGTGAGATTGAGAGGAGCTTCATCGAGCGATCAGCCTCCTCTTTGATGACGAGTTTGAGGAGTTCAATCAAAGCGATACATTTCAGTAGAAATTCATCTGAAGTAAATAGCTACGGTACGCGGCCTAAACGGCGCAGTTCAGTCTTATGGAGTATATAAATCACTAAGTGCTTTTCTATGCATTCGTTCCTTCAAACTTTGCATCACACAGTCTTTATCGTTTCAGGGCATTTCAAGCAGTACAAACAAGCATTCAAAATGAAGTTCACGCACCCTGCTCTTTTGGCTTTATTCAGCACGACCACAGCACTTCCTTTTTTTCATGGCTCTCATCCCTCCCTGAAGGAAGGCTTGCTCCCAAGACAAGAACCCCTTCCAACTACTCCCACGAACTCCCCACCCTTCACCATGCCCTCAGGAACAGGTTTCGGCGGTTTCCCTGCTTTCCCAACAGGAACAGGGATGACTCCACATCATGGCGGCCATGGGGCCGCCAGCCCTTCTGGCTCTGTTAAGCATCACAGCGCAGGTCCACACCCTCGACCCACGAAATCGAAATCGAGAAACGTGCCACGCCAGTTCCCAACCGCCACGCCGCCCAGCTACGGCTCGTGGCCGACCGGTGTGAATTCCGACAATGGGGCGGGTTTCCTTGGAGGTGGAGGATCTGCTCCAACTGGGTTCCCGACGAATGGCAAACATCCACACCACACGGCTCCTTACCCATCCCCGTACCCCACACTTTGATTCTCCTGGCATTGGGACAGCCCCCTTTCGCCGTTTTCGGCTGGGAGGGGGGGATCTTCTTGATCTTCCAGTACGACCGGCTCAGGCTTCCCCCTTCCCAACTGCTGCTCCTTCAGCATTCGGGACCTCTGTGCTCAATTTCAAGATTGATCTATTCTGGGGAGCTTGTCTTCTGGAGCGAGTTAGTCATCTAGGCTGTTTGGAGATTGGAACGGTGTCCTGCTTTATGACAATGTTATTTTGATTTTGAATATATATACTGGGCGGCGTGTTGCCCTTTCCCATCATGATGTCTATCATACACCGCAGTGGTATCTATTTTTATTCATTTTACATCCCGTGCCCCTGAACGCCGAACAGCAAATTTCATGTTAATGTCTTCCCTGACATACCCTATGCGTCTAATCACTTGGCCGTCCTTTTGAATTCCCGCTCTCATTCATGCTTCATTTCAAGGATGCTTCCCATCCTCAAACGGAAACTTCATCTTCCTATGACACTTCTGCCTCTCCGCCCACTCCCTGATCCTCTCCTTCATCCAGACACTCTTCCACCTCTTGTTCTCATCCCCTTCCACATGCTTCACACCGAGCTTCACATCATCCGTGCCCAGCACGCATTCTTCCCCTTTCCACTGTGCTTGTAAGCATTTCGAATCTTTCTTGCAGGCGTCGACGCAGTCGGCGTAGGAGTGGACATCGTCTGCGGTGTGCCCTAGCGCCATGTTGTCCCAGTCATCGAGGTTTTGCGGGATCAGGTCGGAGACGAGGCCGTTGAAGAGTTCTTCGAACGTGAGCGGTTTCTGCGTATCAAACATATCAGCAAACTGCCCTTCGACTTTTGGTAGTCATCTTCTGTTCCTGGAATATAATACGTACAGTCTTGTCTTTCCGCTCTGCTTCGAAAGCTCCCATTTGCGCAGCCTCCAGCGGCGACACATGGTGCATCGTCGACACAGGCGCGCACCAATGAGTCCCATCAAACGGAATCGAGCTCTGAGGTTCCCCCTGAATCGTCGGCCACGAATTTATAAGCTCCATTCCATACTCCTTTAATATTTGGGCAAGGACGAAGTCGGAGCAGCACTCATTCTGCATCTTGTAGTCCCAGCGGCCGGCGGTTCCGTTGTGTTGGACGACGAAATTGCGCATCGCGGCGCCGGACAGAAGCATCCCGCTTCCGCCGTGTCCAAATGGGAGGTTGTTGATATATGATACAGAGCCGAGGTATGACTCCCTCGTTGGGTCGAGCTTTGCGAGCCATTCAACAAGGGTTGACCAGATGATGTAGGTATCGGCGTCGACGTGGAGGTACCAGTCCATGTCTGGGTTCAGATCCCATACCTTCTCGAGGATATGCAGCTTCTTGTACTTGTCCAGTGTCCAAGCTGCTACTATGTCTGAATTCCGCGGATCTTTCATCCCCTTCAGGAATTCAGCAATTCGAACTGGGTCTTTGAGCTCCAGTTGTTTTCGATAGAGGTCGAAGTCTGGGTTTCCGTCCATCACTTCAGCGGGGACGGTGTCTAGACAATCGTAGACTTGGCGATCTCCTAATTTATGTGCGAGGTCTGAGAAGAGGTAGACGTTGGGTGCACATAGTAGCGATGTCTGCAATATTGTGGGGACCCGCTCCAAAATCTCAGTCGCTCCAGTGTTGACAGTTATCACAATCCGCTTTCCACTTCTCAAGCCTCCGCACACCTTGTCGACGAGCTTCTGGTCCTGGCCTGCTTCTTGGAGGCCATGATTGGGAGGCTCATACTTGCCCTTTCCTGCTCCTTCATCCTCCTTAATCGGTTCCTGGTTCGGCATATCTCTGTCATGATCGAGAGGCTTTTTCAATCTGTCGTCGGGAACCGTCGTCTGATCTGTCTCACTCCAAGTCTGGTTCTCGTGCCGCAAGAACCCCCATCGCTCAATCGACGCTCTGCCGGCTCCGCCAGGCAGCGACAGCCGCACAACGACCAAGAAGACGATGGCGGGCAGCAGAAACCGGAATCTCAGGAAGCGACCAGGAGGACGTAAGGTCGTAGGGCTGAACATGGAGAGGAGCCAAGCCGGCTTCCGAAAGCCCGGTGAAGACCGGATGGTGGGGGAGGGAAGGGATACCGTGTCCAGCGGGTGCGACGACGAGCGAAGATGACGGTCAGCTACTGCCAGACGATAGGTCTTCTGGTAAAGGGACTGGACCCATAAGTCAGGCATCGAAATCTGGATCTGAATCAGAAGAAGGGTAGCATGTTTGCTTCTCCTTCTCTTCCCGGAGTCGGGCGGCGTCTAGGTGAGCTTATGAGGGCTGGCTGGGCTGGCTGGGCTGGCTAGGCTGGTTGCGCCAGGTGGGGGCTGCAGTGTGCCCACACCCATGCCTACGCCCCCAACTATTCTCGCAAAAACCAAGCCAATCTGTTTTGAGCGGCGACAGCTGAAGGTCAGGCATGGGCGGGCAGCTGGGACCGGATCTGCGGGCTGGTTCGCGGTGGTTGCGGTTCGCAGCGTTGTCGATCCCTTCCTGGCGCTCGTATTGTTGCAACCGGTCAGACTGAGGCAGACCTCGGGCCAATTTTGCATGGGCCGATATTAAATTGAGACGGAGCAGAGTTCACCTTCCGAAACGAGGGAATTTTGAATTTGGCTCCGGGCAGGTCTAAGTTCAAATCCACGTCCAAGTCCAGGTCCAGGTCCAGGTCCAACCTCTGGACCAAGTAAACAAAATACGGGCAAGCTTTGGCTGGGGAGAGGAGGAGGTTGTTGAGTGAGGCTGCTGACCAAGTCCGTTCGGTCAGCAGCCGCGACGAGGTGAGGTGGTTGGCCGCATGGCTGGCTGGCTGGCTGGCTGCATGGCAGGCCGCAGGCAGTGCCGGACCGGGAGACTGTGCCATACAGTACTACGTACGAAAGGGGGTTGGAAGAAGTCAAGAGCACCCCCCTGGTTCTGCCACCGCTAAAAGTGGTAATTTGTGGGGCTAAGGCCAACATCCTATAGTATTGATTGGCCCAAACGTCTCACCGCCTTGCAGCGGGTGCTCTTGACTTCTTGGAACCCCCTTTCGTACACCAGACCTAGAAAGCGACCCGTCCTAATCTGGCTGGATGCCGCTCGCTTGCAGCCCTCGAGTGTTGTGAAACACCAATGGGGCATTCTTTTTGATTGATTCGGGACTCACGCTTCCGGAGATTTTCGATGTCGCGCCCCCGATTGTGGATGCTTGAATGCGCCTCCGCCTCGAACGGAGTATCTGATGAAGATCTTCAACGGTTTATTGAGGCATCGAAGGCTTGGCTTTGTTTGTGGAGCGCAGTCGATGAGGAGGTTTTGTTGTGCTTGCTGTTAGGCGGCCTCCTTGAATGCACCTGTTTGGTCCAAAACCAAATATTTAATAACTTTTATATTAATAGCAAATTTTATAAAGTTAAATTATATTATTGATATTATACAAACTATATATTATTATTTGAAAATGGGAAATCTTGTTAAAATAAGAATACTATAAATAAAAGTTTCAAAAATAAAAAAATTACTTCTTAATTTTAAAATTCAACAAAGATCACTTTACATGCACAGCTTATATTTATATATTTAATATTTACTTTTATTTTAAAAAGATTTTAAAAAGCGTATAAAATAAATCTGTGACGGGCTAGATGCAATGCCTTAAATTAAACAACTGCTCTAATCGTGCGTTAAGACTTGCACTAAAGACCCCGCGTCCCTGCGTCCCTGCATTCCTGTATCCCTGTATCCCTCTGTTCCTGTGTCCCTGTATGCCCGTGGGTTTAGTGCGTATCAGCAATACGGTCTTGTTCCGGCGATACGGTTGCTTTTCCCCCTCTAACAAACAAAATCTAAAAATTTTAATGCCTTTACAACGCAACACAGGATCTTAAAAGAAAGTTTATATAGAGGTACGCCCGATAATTGTGCAATTTTTAGCTTCTTAAAAATTTTAATTTTGTGAAATTGTGGAAGTTATTACAAAAACGACCGTATTGCTGTAACAAAACCGTATCGCTGATACGCACCAAAACCCGCCGCAGGGACGCAGGAGCTTTAGTGAACGTCTTGACGCACGATTATGTACAAGGATAATAACTTGAAGAGAAGAAGAGAAGGGGCATGAGACTTGGTCAAACAACATTAGGTTTGTCTGTTATTCTAGTTGGCATACTTTGAAATAGACAGTCACGTGTATTAATGGCTGCAAGGCCGAGCACCAATTCTAGGAGTAAGCCTTCACAAAATCTTTATAATAAATCCAATATGAAAATTCTCGACAAATCACCCAGGGAGGTTTCGATTTCAAGAGGTCAATGCCTCAATACTCCGTACAAAGCACGAGATTGGTTGATACGCCTCGAGTCGAGCCTGCACGCGTTTGTTGGCATGGCCATCTTCAAAAATCGTCGCCCAGGCTCCCTTTTCGATGATCGAGTGCATGATAAGACCCTTCCAAGAAGAAGTAGTGCTTGCTCTTTAAGGCATTGTCTACTGGAGGGGCCCACAAATGGGCGTGACTCCATGAAATTTAGGGATACAAACTGTATGCCGTTGGATCATCGAAAGAATAGCAACAAGACTTTAAGAAACTTACAAACTGCAAATGCCCAAGTTGCGTTCAGAACTCCCGGTTTAAGATCATGTCCTCGTCGTGTATCTTACGCGGATCGCTGCAGGGGTAAGCTCGCTTGACCCCTGAGACTCAGCTCAGGGTCGAGGATAGCTTGACTTTGAGGTGACCTTTGAAGCCTAAAGAGTAGTTTTGTAATCGGAACCGAAATGAGACTGATCCGTTGACATACTGGGCCATCTTTGTAATTGATCAAAGCTTAGCCAAGCAAGCTATGAGCGACATCTTTGCAGGAACGTTGAAACAATTGAGCAACGATGGGCTTGAACTCATGCACAATCTGGCTCCATCCCAATGCTCGGAATTAGTCTTTTGGGGACCCTCGGATCAGAGAAGATGAAGATGCGGAGGACTGAGGCTGGATGCATTACCATCCTGAAGAGTAGTAATAACATAGGGAGGATAAAAAAGAGAAGGGGAAATCCGCCTTCATGCGGGACTGATAGTGTAGCCTTTCTGATTTATGGCGTTAAAGACTTGAATCCTGGATTGGGGGATTAAATGTGCATGCATACAGAAGAACTATGAATGTTCTTCCAAACTTTGGGACAATACTTCAGTTGAATGTACGACTTCGTTTTGTGCATTCTATCACAGAAGAATCGACTAAAGAGTTGAACACTTGTTCATTGCAAGGACAGAGCAGGCCGGGAATTTGTTGCACTTGCACTCTCTGAAGAGCCCATGAGAACCAAGTCCCTACGGCTCTGTATCCTTAGCATTGCCTCTGATGCTTCACCACTTATAACGTCCCTGTTTCATCAAAAGCTCATACCTTCCCCTCTTCTCATCGACTGTCCTTCCCCTCCACCATTTCCCAACTGTCTTGTACAGCCACCGAACCACACTTGCAACACCAAAAAATGCCACCCCCTCGAATAATATCATCCATTTCTTCTATAGGCCTATCGAATCTCGGATATACAAATCTGACTCGCATCTTGAGGCTTGGTTTGTGGCGACGCAAGTTGAGGCTGCTGTGCCCGCTTGGCAGCTAGTTTCATCTCATGATCAATGTCTACCTACTGAGAACCGATGTCTTCGTATCTCTGTATCCTTGTATGTCTGATCATTGAGCGTTGAGTCCAGTGGAAGGAGGGGCTTAGGGGATTGTTGATGAGATGACGAAAGACTGATGAAAAAGCGATTTTGAAACAACCTTGGGAAGAAAGGGGTGATCACGTGACATGGCCGAACAGAATATAAATGGTTGACTACGAATTGGTCGATACATTGGAAGACTCATGACGTTGTTCCGATCTCTGGTTTCCCCTCGAAAACCGTGAGAGAATTCCAAAGTTCAAACTGCCATGATGATTTCGTCAGATGAGGAAGACTTCAGGGGTGGCCGCCAAGTGCTGAGCCGCTCGGAGAATCAAGAAATAGGAAGATCGGCTACCACATACGAGTTGGGTAAGGAGTTCAATTGAAGACTATTCTATTGAAACTTTCTTCAACGCTCTGCTTAAGCAAACGCAAGGTTCAACCCCTTCGAGTCCATGCCATCCGGATTCCTCTCAGGTAGAAAGTGATCTAGGCTGCGTGGGAAGTGGATGTACCATTCCAAAGAAACTGAAAAGGAAAGCATTGCAGAGATCACAGTCCAACATATTCGTTTCTTGCTTCCATTCCCAAGTAACGCCAGTCTGAAAAGCCTCTGCCTGATTCATGTCATCGTCGCTCGTGTCTTCGTATTCCTGCAAGACCCTGGCAAAGCGAAGACCAGCTTGTTCTCAGTCATTAGATATTCCATACCAAGATAGTATACGAGGAAGTAAACGTACCCTTCAATTGCCCAAAGAAGGATGCGCATTTAACCAGTAGCCAATCGAACCGCATAGAATTGTCCTTCCATGGCATACCATCTGCAATCTCCAATGTCACCACTGTCAATTGTCATGCGGTTCCTCTGAGTCCAAGTGCCATCATGCTCTCTGACCCAATACATGCGGAAAGGATCATCATCAGCGGGCTTCATTTCTTGCTTTTCGTTAATGTTTGAGGCTTGGGCATAAGCCATTTGTTGAGCGAGGACTTCAGTACCTGTCTGACCGTACGCGCCATACGTGGGTTGCATGATGCTGAAGTTCGGAAGGCCGGCAACAGATGGTTGCTGTTGGGTGACGTAGGGTTGCTGGGCGTATGGGTTGTAGACCGGCTGGGGTTGGGGGATGTAGCCAGGTTGTTGGTAGACGACGGGTGGGACCTAGAAATGGGATGTCAGCACTTTCTCCAGATGGAATATATTTAGCTAAAAAGAAAAATCGCCTCAGAGTGAACTTGCTCCTTGGTAGATGTAGTAAGGAAAGTTGAGAGGATATTGAAGGTGTTTAGGTGGAAGCTGTACAGTAGGCAAAGGGAGAGCTGTTGGCTGGAACGCCATGCCGACTGGGACTGTTGTTGCAGTGACATTGGAGCCAAATGTCTGAGGGACGTAGGCTATGCCTCCGACCACGATCGTGCCATCGGAGCGCGGGATATAGGTGTGGAGATGCGGACCATTGGTCGTGTCGCGAGTTTGGGGTTGGTAGTTCTGCTCTGGTGGAGTGACCATGACGAAGCAGCTTTTGGATTCGTAGAGGTGGTAATTGGGATACAGGTCAGGTCGCGTTGTGGGAGAACTGCTGGTCGTGTCGAGGATTGGGAGGGATGGCAATTGATGTCGAGGATGGTATTGAGGGTGACTCAATGATGACGATGTCGTTGATTTGAAGTTGTACGTTGTTTGTGAAAGTGAATTTCGAAGATCGGATAGATGTAGAAGGAAGGTGAACCCGTCCGGAACAAACTATAGCACAGGAGCAAGAACAAAGGCAGAGGGATTCAGATCGAAGAAATAGCAACACTTACTGTAACACCAGTAAGCTTCACCCATCCCTTAATAACAGGATCCCAATAATATTCACCATTGTTTTTCTTCTTCTTTGGCTGCTCTTCGACGACGATATCATCGCAGGGCCAGCACATCTTGCCACAATTTTGGTGTTTAGGATCTCCGAAGGTAGATGAACAGAATTATGGAGATGAAGGTGATTGCAGATAGAGCTTTAAGTTGTCCGAAGCGGTGCTTGTATCGAGTTCGGTGGTTCTTTTGACCTACCATTTGCTGGCCTCGAAAGTAGTCGTCTTGTGGGGATGAATCGAGTCGGGGGATGGGATGTAATCTTTTCAGCAGACGAATTAGGGCACGTAGTTGACAATGGGTCATTGAGTCATGGGGTTCAACGCTGCTATTAGAGGGGTTGAACACAAAACAGATTCACCTTACAATGGTCCAATATTTGGATTGCGCCTTCCTTGGTGCTGCGATCTCGAAAGGCAAGAAGCCTCCTCCACAGTCTAACAAGCCAAAGAAACTGAAACTTGCGGGACACAATGTACACTCTGGAAATAGAGGAGTATTTTATGCAATGGCATCGTTTGCTTTGCAAATCGGACGGGAATCGTATCCCAACTTCTCAGAGTATCAGCACCTTTGTAGCAGTGTCCAATGGCTTCGGGGATATTCTACTTGCATTGTCCAGGGGCTTCTGGATTATGCTACTCCCAAAACACCTCAAGAAGTATGCTGACTCCGATTTCTTGGGAAATGTACCCCTATTTCTGCCCTAAAGAATTTTGCGCTCTCTCCTCAGACGTGCGACATTCTCTTCTCTCTTCTGACCTGCGATCTCTTCGACTCTCTTCTGGCGCGCGATCTCCTGTTCTCTCTTCTGACGTGCGATATCCTTACTCAACCATTCCATGTAGGATTCTCCAACGTCACTATTATGTTCGTCGAGGTCGATGAGGACTTGGCCATCAGCAACATCACCTTTGTCGATGGCACTTGCTAAGTCTCTGAGACAATTCCCCCGAAATTCCTCGTCAGCCTTCTCATCTTGTCGTTCTTTCTCCCTCCACTGTAGGTGGGCCTTTCTGTCCATAGTCTGGTTAAATTAGCAAGACTCCAAACAAATGCGGTCTATGGAAATGTACATGGATCATCAAGACTGTGTATTTACTGCCTGGATCGTCGCGGGATACCTTTTTGATATCATCCATCATCTTGAGGTACGATTGTTCATCCTTGATCTCAGCGTAAGCTGTACCGACGTCTCTCGGGGGTTGGCAGCAGAATCGATAGAGCCAAGGTCCATCTGCCATTGTGTACCCACGAGCGCTGAAGCGGAGGTTGGGTTGTGGATTGGGTCCACTTTGTGACGACTGGGAGTACAAGGCGCTGCTTGACCCGTAGGACCTTTCCATTGTCCCAACTGTCGAAGGACAGTGGCGCAGACTACTGAGCTCGCTCTCCAGGTCAATGTCTCGTTGCTGGATTCTTCCACCGAGATGTTTGCTTGATGACTGGGAGGCGGTATCGGACCCTGCGCTAGAGCTAGTTTGGCTTTTTGCAGAACTCTTCTCGTCCAGATCGATTGGTGGGATCGTGGAAAGTTTCGTGGCATCGCGCAGCATGGTCCTGAATACCGGAAAGGAGGTGCCGTAGTTGAAATAGAGGATGGTCTCTTGGAGAAGCCCCCCATGGCCACCGACGAGGGTCTTGAGGGTGACCTTGAATGCCTTCGTATTCTCAGGTACCATGGGCTGACTAGTTAGGTGTATAGGTGAAATATTTCTCTTGAGCCGATACTTTGCAAGCGCTCTGGCCTGCAGAGCGTCAAGTCAGCGCAGTCAACAATGGGGAAGGTAACTAAACACAGACTTTGTCCACCATTTTCCTACCTACTCCCATTAAGTGCGGAATTCCAGCATCTCTCAAGTCTTTGTCAAATCGTGCACCAACTTTGTTCTGGAAATCCTGATCCTGTAAATGTGTGCGGAGGTGCTGTCTGAGCCAATTTTCTCTCGCGACTGAGGACATTTCATGGCGTAGAGACGCGAAAAGATCAGAACCAGAATATAAGGGTGTTCCAGCTTCAAGATTTTCCAAAGCGCTGGAGTCCAGCATTGACATGGCCTGCAAATTGTTCGGGCTGACTACTTCCGAGAAGTATTCTGGCAGCCATTCCCGGACACAAGCCTCAATAAAAAGCTCCTTTATCTCGTATGAATCTGTTTCCTCTTCAGTGCTCGGTTTTCGTGGGAGGTCCATGGTGCGATAGTTCTCATAGCAATTGTTTGGTGTGGAAAACTTTGGTGTTGCGAAAACGAGTTTGAAGAAGGGGAAGCGAGAGCAAAGGGTGCCTTCCCAAATATTCGGAATCGATTAGCCACGTGCTTCAAAAAGAAGTGAATGCCCCCAAAAAGTTTTGTAGTGAGTCCAGATAAAAGCTCGAGATGGGATGAAACTAGGCTCTGTAGCTTGTAAGAGTTTGACTTTAGCAGATCATCACCTGGCTATGAACAGAACAATAGGGAAGGGAAGGAATTCTTCGCTCGGAGAACATAATGCACCTATGCATACCCAACTTCACAGGTCTTCTTATGAGCAATTGCATTATACTCCTTACATCTGTTGATGCTCACCACGTCTTTCATACACACTCGTCTGCCCACCAACCCGTCTATATGTACAGTTTCGCCCAAGCCCAGAGGAGAGATCATCCATCGCTAATGCAACCCGCGCCCCATGATGAATCTATTATAATCAAACAAAGCCGAAAAAGGTGCTGGTACAGGAAGGGCATCGAATGATCAAGGGAGTATCGATCGTCTCAGCAGTTGTGGATCGATGTAAGGTGAAGAATGTCGTTCTCAAAATATTCAAAACAACGCCTTTCTTGTTACCTAAGAGTTTCCGTCAGCAAATCATTAAAACAATTTCGAAGGGGTCAAACTTACAGCCCATGCACCTGCCACCGTAGCTACAATTCCTCCAGAAATCATCATGGGTCTAATACCCCTTGTGCTCTTGAAGAGCATTCCACTCAAAGCGCCTGCCACAATACTGTTTGCCGAATCATGTTTCCCCCGCATATGCCCAATAAAAGAGTTGAAACCATTGTACACCATGGCTATCACACCAGCCGAGTTTCCCAAGAACGGTCCTCTCCTCGTCACAGCATTCAACACCGAGTTCAACCTCAACTTCGGTGGTTGGTTATGTGACCGCCTCAATCCTTCTTGCAACCCCCAAGCTCCTCCAACGGTCAACGCAGTGAGGTAAGTAACACCAGTGCCATAACATAAATCATCCGACCACCCTCGCGACGGAAGAGCTGATTGCGACCCAGGCAGATCTGACAACGCCGAGTCTTCGAGAGATAAGTAGTCCAGGGCCTGTTGATTTAAGCCCGCGAGAGGATGCAATTGTGAGGGATCGACGAAGGAAGGTCCTGTGAGGAAAGACGACACATCTTGCGCTTCTTGAGGATCGAACGGAGTAGGCTGGAAAGTGTCGGCAGGGGCGTTTGAGGTTGGAGATGCGCTCGAGAACGTCGTTGAAGAGGACGACTTCCGGCCGGTGAGTTTATCCCAAATCGACATCCTGCGAGGTGTTGGCAGACGGGCGGGCTGGACTTGACTGATTGGTGACAGGTGAGTTGGCTGAGGCCGATGATGAAAAATAATTTTTGACGGGTCCTCCCGAATCTTGGTCACGTGATAACCTGCCCTCTTGGCAATTTTTCCTCTTCTATTTCCACGCTTCTCTTGGAACCATGGATAAGACAACTATTATGGAGATTATGCTCTGAGGTGTGCATTAGCTCGTCACTCGAGATCTCTGTCAAGTCCATCATGGATGAGACTAGCCACGATCCAGACGCAGCCGCATCCCTGCAGCCTCCAGTCGACGATCGACTTCTGGTGAAATGGCTGGAGAGCCAACCGGGAGAGATTCAGTCCAAGCAAGTTTCATTCCTTTTTTCAAGAAATATACTAACGGCATTCTATCAGAGTTGCTGGAGACAAGCTTGAGGAACTCCTGGCAAAAGCTGCCCAACCCCGCCATGTTTCCGGACACGCATGCATCAAACTCTGTTACTTCATTGAACAGTGCAAAAGCTCAGGGTCGTCTTTGCTTCGGAGCCTAGCCTATTCCAAGAAGACATGCCTCAGTCTATTCAATTTCTATATTGAATGGAACGAAAAGAATCAGCATCGAAGCATGCGTCAAGTGGTTGAGCTTACCTCGGATCTGATCGACAAGAATCCAGACCAGCAGACGAATACTGCTGTAAAGACTTCCGTTCTCGAGAGGAGTATGTCTATCATCACCCATCAAGCTTCTCAGCCTTTGGTGAAACCTGCTTTCAAGGCCTTAGAATGTTTCTTGAGCAAAAAGACAATTTCCACACAGGAATTGATTGATGCTTACAGGCACCACCGGCGAGCCACGTCTCCTGGAAGTGCTACAGAGACCGCCGAAATCAACGCCGTATGGGATTATCTGTTCTCCGAAGTCTTCGAGTGGATGGCTTTGGCAGACATTTCTCCTGCCACGGGCAAATTCCTCGTAACAGTCTTTCGAGAATTGAGGAGCGGTTCTGATGAGATTTCCTCAACAAATCTCACTGCTTCGTGGCAGCGTTGGATCCGTGAAGGTCTCAGGAGGCAGCCTGAAGCCCTCGAAAATGTCAAGAACTATCTCTTCCCATCGTTATTCAAGCTTGATAGACCAGGCTCTCTCATCTTCCTAGAAGATCTGAATAAACAAGGTTCAGTATGGGATATGAAATATCAGGAATTTGACGCCCAGTCGTTACTTCAACTGGCTGCAATCGAAATAGGGAAAAAGAGTGGCCTAATTGAGGAGCCAAGTAAGTATTGGAATCACAATCACTACTCGCTGTTTCGCTAATGACTTCGAGGCACAATTAAGTTCAACCAGAAAGCACCAAAGAAGTCCGCTGCCACTATTGTACTTCAAGAAGAGGCATTCTCTTCTCTACTGGTGCACGCTTCCGACACAGTTCGATCTCTGGCATTTTCCGTTCTCGTATCATCCAATTCCTCTATTCGACCATTCAGTTCAATTGCTTTGACTATACTTCAGTCTAGTATGAGCATTATGTACTGTGACAGCGATGCGAAATTCCGGAATGAAGTTTTGAGCAACACGAAGCACATGATCGAAAGACTGAGAGGTGCGACTGCTTTCCTCGTGAGAGAGATTGAGAGCCTTTCGTTCCAGCTTCGCCCCGAGCATACTCTTTCACCTCATGGTCGCCAAATGGCTCAGCACGCCTTGGAACAGACCACTGAGCTGTTGCAGGGACATGCTAGTTTTATTGAGTGGTACATAGACTTCCTTCTCGGCGAGCTGATTCCGACTTCATCGTATCAGCGTCATATCATTGCCTTGAAGTCCATCTCCTTGCTCCTAAGATCCGGAATCTTGAAACCGAATTCCCAATTCCCACCGGAACGGATTGCAGACAATTCCACTGTGTGGCCCTGTACGATTGACTTCTTCAACCCAATGTCGATGAGGTTACTTCTGGACCTACTCATGGATCCGTTTGAGGATGTGAGGAGTAGTGCCTCCAACATTCTCAAACTTGCCCTCCCTGATGACTTCACAGGAGGTGAGCTAGTAGAGGAATCCCAGGTGGACTTTGACACTTCCAAACCAGCAGATTGTGGGGAGAATTTGGCTGTTGCGGCTCAAAATGCTTCAGTTGCGAAGCTCGTTGCGAGTTGTGAGGGAAATTCCTCAGGCGCGGGAAAAGGCAAATCGTTGAGACTGTTGAGAGATTTTGTCGAGCGAGCTCAAGCTTGGTCAAAAAAGACAGGTCGCGCAGACTACGCAGACGGGGCAGGTCGATCAACTTCGCTGCTTTTTAGCCTTCTTCCTTCCATCAACGAAGAGACCAACTTTCTTACGCACTTGGTCGAGGATCTAGAGACGAAGTTGTGCACTGCCGAGCAAGATCTGGCAAAAGCGGTTCTTGACGCACCTATTCATGGTAACTTTGCAGCGCTGAAGTAAGTTATTCGGAGCCCCACGAAACGTCTGCTTACAACTTTCAGCTTTGTTTGGGACAGCATCAACCACAAAGAGATTTTCTCTCTCGACTTGCTTGAGCCATTGGCGAACATCAGGACACACTGGGACAGCTTACAACTGCGAATCATACTTGCTTGCGCACGGATCTGGGAGGTTGTGAAGGATATTCTGTGCAACGACTCCCCGGAGGGACACCTGCCCCAAGATCTTGACGAGGGCGATGTCATAGATACAAAGGATCTTCTCAGCTATAGTTTCAGAGCAGTGCACGAATCAAGGTACGTGATTAATGTCTTCCCACCCCTCTCTTTCCACTAATGCCCCCAGCAATTTGTTACAAACGATACTTGACAAGATTCAACTTCGATGGGAGGGATCGTTGTCACCGCCGCCACCAGAGATCTTCTCCATTATTGGAGACTTGACCTTCCTTCAACTATCTACGCTTCGACACCGCGGAGCGTTTTCGACAGTCTCTCTTACCTTTACAAAGTGCTGCGCTCTCACCCAGTTTGAGCCGCAGACAGCTTCATCTGCAATAGATAGGCTTCAGTCGTGGTACAAGGTATGTGATCAACTGGCCACGTCTCCTATACTTTCTTACCACAGTAGGGTGCCTTACGCTGCGTTCGAGAGCAACCTTCAACTACGAGAAGATCGGCGGGCATACCTGCCTTGTTCACTGCTATTATGGCAGCTCAGGCGAAAGTTCCCTCGTTCGAGAGGGTAATGGCGGAGCTGATGGCCATGGCTTGTCACGCTACTAAACCGATAGAAGCAGATGAAATGAACGTTTATCAAGTCCACGCCTTGAACTCTATCAGAGAGGTTTTTAAGAGCACGACCGTTGGTAAAAGATCGGAAAGACATATTGCTCAAGGCTTCGGTCTCGCGGTTGACAGTATGAAATCCCCAAAGTAAGTTTCATCGCTAAGTCTCCTCAAGCTCGATCTCCATGCCTAGACTGACCGACCATACAGATGGCCTATCAGAAATAGTGGTTTGATCCTGCTCCGCAGCATTGTTGATCGACTGTTCGGAACTAGCGATGGCAAGGCGGTTATGGAGAGCGGCTGGGACGGGAAATCAGTGAAGCTTCACTACGATGGGTACGGGAACATTGCCAACCTACTGGATGATCTTCTCAAGGTGGGCCCGGACAACTGTGAGAGCCTGGCGGAACCAGCTCTTGGAGTCGTTCAGCTAGTTCTCCCAGCATTGGACATGATTCGGCGCGGCGGACCTCCTCCTTCTCACAAGAAAAGCATCTTCAAGAGCATCGCTTCCCACCTGGGTAGCCGCATCTGGCACGTGCGAGAACAGGCGGCCAAGACAATTTGCATTATGATGCTAAACATGGAGTGGAAGGATAGCGTCCTGGCCCTTCTAGAAACCCCTACCAAGTCCGCTAACCTGCGCCATGGATTGTTGATGGCGGCAAGAGCCATCTTGGAGAGGCGACGGGTCCTCGACCCTAGAACTACGCTTGGTAATAACCCTTGACCTCTTAAGTTGCGAGTAAAACTAATTATTTTAGCTGGAGTCGCTGATCTGATCCCTCGACTTCAAAGACTTTCATCCTATGATTCGCACAAGTTCAAGTCTCCCATCATCATAAACAGTCATATAGAACTTTCCGTTACAATTGCGGAAGTTCTCGTCTCATATGAGACGTCCAACGAGGAAGAGAGAGCACAGCTCTGTGAGATGAAATTCCAATTCTGGTACATCGATGGAGCTTCTTATCACCCGACTATGCCGGAAATCCTCCAGTGGTTTTATCCAAACTATCTGGAGGATCCGACGAAATATACCCACTGCTACCCTTCGATGGCACGAGTAGCAGTTTACCAGCTGGCATTGAGGGGAAACCACCGAGCATTGGGTGGTTTCCTCACACATCTCGCAGAATATGACATTGATGTGCAGTGTGCAGCATTGACTTGTATTTCGGAAGCTTGGAAGCTTGTTGGGGAGTTTTCGGGCCTCTGCAAAGCCCAATATGCTCAGTTGAACTCGAAGTCCAGCGCAGTTTGCACAATTGCTTTCAACAACCTGTCGAACAATCTCGACAGTTCGTTCTCCCGCATAAGCCACCTGGAAGACCAGCAAACCGTCCAGTCTCTTCTAACGATGTTGCCCCTCTGCTCCTTCGATTCCTTTGTGGGAAAGGCAGTGCTTGGGAAACCAGAACTCTGCCCCACCAACTCTTCCTTTATGGAGCAGGGCCTCGTTGGGGAACAAGAGCTCTGTGCCAGAGTCAAGTTTGTGGCTTGGCTATGTGTAGCTGCTTTTCACTCCACCAGCGATATAGACATGAAAGCCTTCAAAACCAAGACTCTTGCGCTTTGGAGCCATTGGCTCACTTGGGGAAGCGCTTCAAGCAATGTAAGTCTGCCGTTTTGCCATCAACCCTTTAACATGACTAATCGATGTAGTCTTATGAATTGCGCCTGGCCGTTGCAACTGGGCTCCAGTCATTCTATTGCAACTTGGACATGACAGGAGATATGAAGTGGGAATCGCTTATTCCATCTCTTCTCAGTTTATATACCTCCCTCAATGACGACGATGAAGATATTCGGACAATCGCAGCAAATACCGTCTCGTGCATCCTGAAGACCGCTCTAGCCCCTCCGGCCGCGAGTGAGAGATTTGTGTTTTGGCTCAGCGAACGTTGCAACTCGTTGCCGTTATTCATTTGGCACATTTTATATCGGATCACTGGAAGCCCTTCGATAGCGCGTTACCAAAATCTTCAACAAACTTCTCTCATACCTGCCCGAGAGCAATTCACCTTAGCCTTGGTGGATGACGCTGCGCTTTTTGCAGAAGAGGAAGATAATCTCTATATCGACGAAGTCCGAGATATTAGTCTCTGGAGCAAGCTGGTTCAAGTCATCCCGCCGAAAGCATTCATTCAGAAAGAAGTTATTCAGGATGGAACTAACAAGAAACTTCGCAAATACCCGAACCTCAGTATAATGCTAGAATTTGCTATTTGGGTAGTCGATGCGATAGGGGTGCTCACGGCAGCTAGGTCACCAGATGGTCCTCTCGGCTGGACTTCGAAACCAGGTACATATGAGATTGTCATCCGGGTTTTGCGTTGCGCAAACGTTCTCCTGGACTACTATTCCGAAAACTCCGCAGATCTGCACTCGGCACTGCCACAGGAGCAGGAGGAGTTGCACAAAAAGGTGCAGAACGTAATCGATGGCTTGAGGATGTTTCGTCGCCAAGCCGCTGAACTGGATATTCACCCCCAACTGATCCAGGAACTGAACCAGCAAAAATTTCTCGACCATCTTTCGAAGTCAGACTCTAACAAAATTTCGCTTAACTGGAAGAACGCCTCCCCGATCGGCCGATGTGATATACCAAAAGACCAGCGACCGCCCTTTCGACAACAATAGAGAATTTCCCTCGATTGCCCTACCTTGTTACATCCGGGACGTCGAAGAGCTTATTGCCTCGAGTTTGCTTTGAAACACAAAAAGTATGCCATCAACAAAATACCTCGTCATACCTCCTTCTAAAACTGACGCGTTTTCTTGCAGATACCCTTCGTAATTTCACAGCCTTGTACAGTACTTGTACATTGCAGTAAGATATCGAACCCTGCTGCCTTGGCGCCCTCCCACAAGCAACAGAACCAACACACCAATCATACATAATGCGTGAGAGAGACGCTATTGTCGTCATCATCCTCTTCGTCTTCCTCGGCGGGATTCTTGCAATCATTGTCGGGTTGAGGATTGTGAACAGCTGGGTATATATGCCTCGGATTCCCATGATACCTTCTGTGCAGTAAAGCTAACATTTGTTGTCACATAGGCCCAAAAAATGTATGACTCCTGCTGGCCTTACCACCGATTTCGAGCACAAAAATCTGACGGAGGATAGGGCTGATGCAAAGGCAGCAATGGATGCTGAGCGCGCTGAGGCTGCCACTACGGTCACTGTTACGGCCACCGCAACTGAAGCTGAATAGTTGATGTTGATGGGTTCATTCTCTATCTCCTATACGTCAAGATCACACTCTTGTCTTTCACTCTGGACATATAACCTGGGGGTTGGAGATACTGCATCGACGCTTTCCCTTGATTGTTGGGTTACGTACAGCTCGGATTTCTTCCGCTACGAGAGAACGTTGAATAGGTGGAGAGATATCAGGAGCTTCATTACACGCAGTTGAGCATTTCCTCGCGCTCCTGTCTTCTTGTCTTCAGACGCACCACCCAATCCAAGCACATTCCGGCCTTGCAAAATATTGATGTTTGCCAGTGACTCGATTATGATGTCCTCGTTCCCATGTTTCCTGCAGCTTCCCATTCACACATGAGTGCCACATCATCCTACCTGGTCCTTTGCCTCGAACTTGTGCTCTTGTGGCATAACCTTCGCATGTTGTTTCGGCTTGTAATTTTGGATCGAGAGCTACTGAAGCAGAAAAGTCTAATATTTTGATATTCACTGCCGAGAAAGCCAAATCTTCTTCAACCGTTGGACCTGCGAAGCGGTTTCCTGCAGCACAGCATGACCCCAGACTCCACTTTTGTCTGACTCGGCACTCGCACACTGATTCACCGGGGGTATATTTGTGGAGAGAAGGGCGAGGGAGTTAAAAATCGCATTCCAGCCCATCGATATCGCGTCTATCTCCTCATACGGAGCTACTCGGACGACAACGCTTACAACAATAACAGCAATACCAGATCAAAGAACGTTTACGAATATCCTCTTTCCGGGCTCTTCTGTCACTAAACCTCTGCAATACACGGCTCTTCATCCACTTGTCGACCAAGCCAGCAAAATTATCCTTCTTTCTTACCGATTCTGGTCGTCACGGAGGCAGATGCTATAATCCTCAACATGAATGGTGTTCCGACATCAACGGGAACATACATTCAACCGCCACCATTTCAGTCAACAGCAACTCCTGCCTCGGCTGCACAGCTTCTCATGAACCCAGGCTGTTCTTCCTGGAACTGCTGGACGCATGCTGAGCGCACCGGCACCGCTGTAGCCATCGCCCTTTTCACACTTGGAGTCATGGGATTATTGTGGTGGGGGTTCCGTAGCAAACCGCGGGAAAGAATGAGTCGAAGGGATTTAGAAAGCGGCAGAGCTGGTTTGCATCCAAACCATGTTGGGTGGAGACGAAGTTCAAGATCTAGGACTCCAACAAGTTTAAGTTATACCTCAAGCGCCAGCTCCTCGAGACAGTCGAGACAGCCACAATATCAGTCTTACATTCGTACGAGATCAAGGTCGAGAGCCAGGGCATACGCGGGGGAGCGGAGGGATGTTCAGACGCATGAGTGTCAAATGCAGCATGTTTCTCAACCCGACCCGTCTCATCATTCACATATCAGAGATTTTGCGGTTCCTGCTGCTGCTGGCTTGGCCACTGCAGGAACTTTAGGTGCTACTGCGGGAGGTAGACGAATGAGTACATCAGCCGCTTGGAGACCCTCATTCCATGAAGGAACTGCTCCAAGCGGTCGCAGCCAAGGACGAGGCATTCATGTTGAAGATAAGCCAAGAAGAAATACAACTAGAGGTCGACCTCGAGCAAGAAGGTAACTTCCCCTTGAGTTAAAATATCGACTGGAAATCTGATGCTGACGCTCCTTCTAGTCTTTCTCCAACCCGCGGGGGTCGTTCGAAAAGCAGTTCTAAACACTTCGGCAATGGCTTTGGAATGGTTGAGAAATGGATGGCCCTCCTACTGTTTGGTTTAGATGCACTCTACAGATTGTCTGAGCCCAAAGGAGGTTGGGATCAGTTCCGCCGTACGGATAAAAGCATGGAGCAGCAAGTAGAGGTGTAAGTTCTCTCCCGTAACTCTATCAACCTAAAGCTTGAAGCGTCTGAGACTAACCACCTCCAGTTTTGGCCACGAACACTTCGATTCCAAACCCCGCGAAAGGTCTAGATCTCCTCGCCACCAATATCGAGAATCTCACCGCCGTTCCCAATCCGTTGACACAGCATACGCACAACTCCGACCACCAAGACGACGATCTATAGCAGAAGAGAGAAGCAGGGACGCAGATACGAATCTGCTTCAAAGAAGAGGGATGCAGGATCATCAGCCAAAGACAACGAATCAGGATCCTTCGGATGTGAGTGCAGCAGAAGAGAGGGGCAGAGCGGTGGATTTGGGTCAGAGTCCGAGAGAAAAGATGCAAGAACATCACCAAAGGAGGATGAACCACGAAGCTTTCAATATAAGCGCGAAAACCGAGGCTGGAAACAGAAGATCGCCTTCACCTCTTCCAGCACCTCCAATCGGGAGGTCCGATAGACGAAGAATCACCAGACGAGAAGCAAGAAGAAAGAGAGTCGGGGTTGGAAGCACGAGTGCAGGAGGTACATTTGGGGAAGTGTCTTCAGCTGAAGATCAGAGACAACGGATTCGAGGAGGCAGAAACATGTTAAGGGGTTCAGCGCCAGCTCCTGGCCAGGATCGAGGGCAATCATTTCCGTTTCCATTGCCAAACAAAATTGTTTTTGCTCCCAGAGAGATTGAAACTGCGCTGCCGGTTCTCGCCGCCAAGCCGAAGCAGATCCAGCAGCCAGGAGCCCAACAAGGGCAATTGTTGACGCCTCCCGATTCTGACTCCCACCACTGAGCTATACAACAATCATAGATGGAATTTTTGTATAATACTGATTAGGTCGATAGCATACATAAGCTGTTCGTCATTGAAATATAATTAATAGAGCAAACGGCAATGCGCCATATGGAGTCATGGTGATCCAAAATGGAGGTGTGGGGTGATTGCTCGGGAGGCTGCAGCTCTGAGGTGCTGAATCCAGGAACTGAAAGCTTGTGGTTGTGTAGCGGACCACATGAACCGAGAATCATCGGTTGAATGCATGGTTTCCAGAAGGGTTGAATTTTGGTAAGGTTTTAGAAGGGCAAACGTGGCCACTGGCGGGTCCGACTGGGCTTCTCAGTTCCCGGGCAGCCTCCTCTTTTAGCAACTTGGCCACGAATTCAGCGATTCCATAGAATTTATAGAATTTGCTCAACATCTGCAGGACTGAAACATTTCTGAAGCTGCTGGAGATTCCTATTTTTGCATCTGCTTCCTGTGGTGTGCAATTCGCGGAATGGAAGGAAGGGGGGATTACCTCCCGTTTTCGATTCTACCACAGCAGATATTGGTGTCGTAGATGAGTATGAAACTAAAAATTGATTTTGGAGCCAAATGTTTCCGATACTTATTTATAAATTCATTGTAGGTTTGTGCGTCGCAATATTTTGAAGTGTTGCAGCCGCGACGTCACTTAGCCAGTTTGACAAATTTTGTTTGTCCCTTCATAGAACATAAACATCATAATGGAACACAGCTTGTATTTTCTTTACATTTGATATCAATGCCGCTGAGAGATCTCAGTCTTTCCAGAAATGCCTTTGCAAACCTCGTACGCCTCGGCTGCTCTAACGACTGCACAAGCCGAATACTCTACCACACCACCAGCTTACCCACCAACGACCACTCCTCCACCCTATGGGGCCAATTACCAAGACGGATTCGGTACAATTACGTCTACAGCTACAGCAGTCTTCGGTCATGAAGATGGTGACGGGTGGAGTTGGCACATATCCGGTCCTACGCGAGATCAAGCAGCAATAATCGCACTCGGCGTGATCTGCGGCCTCTTAACAATCGGACTTGCTGTTCTACTTTTCTTCCACTTCTATCGGGGTGGGAAGCATCTTAAAAGGACGGAAGGCGAGCTTATGATAAGCCCAGGATACCAGCCAATTGGAAGACGGAAACATCATCGTGACCGGAAGGAGTACAGCAGAGGATTGGCGGACGACGGGACAAGCTATGTCGCTGGTCTCAATGGCTTTTATGCCCCTCGAAAACATCGAGTTCACCGAAGGTCGCAACCTGTCGCCCACGGAGAAAATCAAAGGGCTGGACTTTGGGGAAATCCGGGGGCTCAACCTGCTGCATTTGCTCAATTTCCAGGTCCTGGACGTGTGTACTTTCCTCCCGGTCAAGGAAATGATCAAGCAGTTCCTGTTGTGCAAGTTCCAATGCCAGCCCAAACGCCACAACCGCAAAGAGGAATTGAAGAGGTTATGTCGAGTGCTGAGCAATCGGAAATAAGCAGCAGCAGCAGCCAGGGCCGGCCCCCTACCCATCGTCAACCCTCGGTCCGACATTACCATTCGAGGACTTCTAGCTCTCACGGAGGAGTATCAGGACGTAGATAATGAGCTTTGAAAATGTGGGAGTGGGTCATAGGGGGCTTCTATGGAGAGTGGTGGAAGACTTGCCCTGTTATCCCTTCGTCAGGTGAGACATGTCCAGCGCCAGGCATCACAGCTAAAATCATCAGGCAGGTATGTACCGCTTAGCTGTGATGCCTTGCGCTGGACATGTCTCACCTGACGAAGGGATACACCTGGAAAAAATTGTTGAGAGAGTAAATAACTTTGCTTCTGATCAACCACTCTCTCAAATACCTCAAGAAACGAAGACCCCAATTTTCCCGGTGACATGGCTATCAGATATTGCATGTTCTCTCCTGTATTCTGAAGCCACTGGCCCTTTCCGTGATTTCTTCTTTGTGTCATCAGGGCCAAGTAAACGGAGGTCATCCAAAAAGTCTAGAAACCCTGAAGTGGGTCACTTTCCAAGGAGGATAGAATCTTGACTTGAAACTGTGTTACTTCCTACTCTCTTGGAATTTGAGAGATCTGGGGGGATTGGAAACCAAATTTGAGGCGGTGATGACGGCGGTCTGACTAACAACGCTAAACAACACAAATCTTCTCCCCCATTGTCCCTTCGTATTTAGATATACATGCACTCAAAGACTACTTGCCTCGCAACGTCCAAGAGGATCTAGGACATTTAGAAATGGTCTCACTCAATTTCCAACTTGGCTGCTGGGTATTGAAATCATCGCCGTTTTATTCTTCCTAGAGAAGCGCGCTAGTCGTAGTATGGAAGCAGCCTCGTGTCAACCGGAAGAACAATTTCAATATTGCAGTAATCCTCTGACAACCTGTGCTTGTCTTCTACATCTCCACCGTTGCTCTGTTTCCTTGGCCAATCAACCCTGATACACTTGCAAGGAGGTGAATGTAGGTGTTTAGCTCCATCGATCTGGCTCTCGACAACGAATCATCTTCTAACACCTCTTCAGACACGTTCTTCTTCAGCAGATGTCGGTTCTGTCTCGACCCACGACCAGAATACTATCAAAAAGATCGACATTCCTGGCAAAAATCGAAAAAGTTTGCATTGTTTAGATCCGGCTTGGGACTTCCCGATTTATGAAAAGTGTTGACACCTAATGTTCCAGGATTAGAGACGTGATTGGAAGTTTGTCCCTAAGGACACGTGATCAAGTTCGGCATAGGTAAGACAGAGAAAGAACCTAAGAAAATTACAACACAGAAATATAGGCAGTCTGACCACATCTTAGCTTCTCACACCAACCAAACGATCGCTATTCGTGGAAGAATTGCTCGTAAAGGTGTCTACAAATCAAATGTCAATAAGAACAAAGTTCCCATCATCCTAATCACTTGCAAGGAGGCACGAGAGGCGGGCGAAGGCTACCTATCGTTTGACCTTTGAGAAGGAGCTCGCTGGAAAGAAGATCTGGGTTGAATTTTCTCAGGACACGATTGTGTTCGAGGATACCGGCGCCTTAGCAGTATTTCATGGTTTGATCGAGGGCAGTGGGTCATGGGGAAAACTCGGAGATCTTGTCCAAACCCTCCCGCAGGAGACAACAATCATAGAATAAGAGGTCTAAGTTCTCGTCGTTGGTAGCTCGCTGCGCAAGCCTCTCGTTGAGCTCTTGCCTCGATTTAAGAGCCTCCAGAGAGTCGTTCTCCTGGAAGAGGCCATACGCACGGGCTTTTCTTGCGCTGGCACAGGGACTTGAGTCATCTTGAATCTGAATTAATGGACAATTGGAGCAAATTGAAAGTGCTTCCCCATCTGGAGCAGTTGGATAGGTGGGGCTAGCTCGGTAAGTATTCATTTGGGACGGCTTCGTCAGCATCATCTCGCTCCATATCACATCACAGCGTGGCTAATGCGGCAATAGGAATCTTCCGATGAAGAGGACTAGTTCTTGAACCCTCGAAAGGTGGGCAGCAAATTCAATGAATATGATATGAAATGAAGGCAAGAGAATGGAGAATGGAGGCTTGCATTTAAAACCAATTTCGAATTCGCTCTCGTGGTGCTGCTTATAGTCCTTGCAGTTCCGACACTTGCCGCTGTCTTTCTGTCCAGTACTAATTCCTATGAGTTCTTTTGTAAATTAGCTGGCATTCCCTCTGCCTAGAAGTCTACGAATAAAGAGAGCATTTCACCAAAAACCTTGGCAAGGTGGGGAAGTGGTGGGTAGATAACGGACTGGGGCTTGCAGCTCCCGAAAACTTTGGAATCCAGAGTCTGCATTGTAGCAGTGGATTCCAGCTGCTCTGACTAGCTGCACGATGCTGAAAAGACGGGAGCGTATGCAATTCTTTGTCCTACAGTGTGCAGATGCTTGAGGAGAAAGTAAGTACTGAGGAAGGACGCAGAATAAGTGACAGCGCTGCAGAAACTAATATGAATCAAGAGCTTCCCAGACATTGCATTCTTCATCATCAGTAAAGAGGACTGCCTCAAGGTAATGCTGCTGCTGCTGTAAAGTCTCAGGAAGTGAGGTGTCGAACTAGTAAGACGCTAGTCCTATTATGGAAGCCGGATGGCGCCAGCAATGACGAAGCTCTCCCAGTGGCCGTCGCCTGTCAACGTCCACCTGAATACTTCGAATGAGTCTGCCCACGACATTATTCACGACGCCAACTCGCGACAAGCTTTGTTTGCTTCAGAAGGCTCCAGCAGGAGCTGGCTGCCACGCATGATGTGGAACGACGAGGATAACAACCCGTACGGCACCAGCTTTGAGCGTCGCGACTCAACAGCTTCGTCTACCGCCAACCCCAACTCGCCCGGCTCTCGTGAGTTCCTTTGCACTCTTGCTTTTAGCAGATCACAAGATGATGGAACCAATCTGTTTAGATGATGATGAGCCTGACACTGACCCTGATTGGGACTTCATAGAACACGGCTACACAGGTCCCCGCACTCCTTCAACTGTCAGTGACCACCGACCTGAGCCCGAAACAACTTCCCATGCTCAGCAATACGATACCAGTGATGCGGGCAGTGATGAGGATTATGGAGGGGGAGCTCCCAAAAGAAAGAAGGGCGGATATGATAGCAGGATCGAGCAAATACTCTACGAGAACCCCGACCTCCCCATTCTGATCGTTGATGCTGGTAAGAGCTTGGAAAGTGGAGGCAAATATATCGTCTACACCATCCGGACAGGAGTGCGTGCTGGACCTTCGATTTGACCGTATGCGCTGACTTTTGTCAGGATCTAGAGGTTCGTCGGCGATATTCAGAATTTGCGTCCCTCAGAGATGCTCTCTCACGACTTCATCCTACCTTGATCATCCCACCCATTCCAGAGAAGCATACTATGGCAGATTATGCAGCGAATCCGACAAAAGCAAAGCAAGACCAGCAAATCATTGATCTTCGAAAGCGCATGTTGGCTGTATTTCTCAACCGATGTCGGCGCATGGATGAGGTCCGGAACGATGGAGTTTGGTGGAGATTCCTCGACCCAAATTCAAGCTGGGTACGTGAGATATGCATATTCTGTGGGACTCTGCGCTGACCGCTAAAAGAATGAGGTATTGCACTCGCATCCAATCGCTTCTATCCCAAAATCTGTCATGAAAGCCCCTCCTCTCGACCCCGCCAACCCCTCACCTGCCCATGCCTGGCTCCCGGTTCCCGCCTCTTCTGCCAAGCTCAAGGCGTCTTCAACGACAACTCTTAACGCCCAAGGTATGCCAGTCCAACAGCCTACCGAATATGCTGCAAGCCCTTCGACGGCTGCTCATACGATACCAGGCCCACAATTATTTGGTCGATTTCCTCCCGATTCAGCGCATATGAGCGAACAAGATCTCGACCCCTACTTCATCAATTTCGAAGCTGCCACCAAGGAGCTCGAGCTATTACTTACAGGACCCATTGAGAAGGTCAATCGTCGGACCCTGCAACATCTTTCCTCTCTATCTTCCGATCTGGCAGAACTCGGCGCTAGATTCAATGGCTTCTCTCTCTCGGAACCGTCTCCCTCCCTCGCCGCAGCAATTGAACGTGTCGGTCAAGCTGTAGACTCGTCTTATCTTGCGACAGAAGAGCTTTCAGGCTCCTTAGGCGCAAGCTTTGCTGAGCCTATGCGGGAGAGTGCACAATTTGCTGGAGTTGTCCGCGGCGTTCTTCGGTACCGAGTCCTCAAGCGAGTGCAACAGGAAATGACCAATGATGAGTTGGCCAAGAAGCGGGCACTGCTTGAGTCTTTGGAGAGAAGCGAATCTGAAGCCAAGAGAATCGAGCAGTATCTGAATAGCAGTGGCACGGGAAGCATACCCCGACGCTCCACTTCATCAGCCAGAGATCCCCCACTCCAGAGACGAGAAAACAGTCAGGAAGACACCGCATCTATCGATTCAGACTTCCCTCCAACTCACGGCGATACTCCTTCTGCTGCCCAAGGCGCACCGCAAATCGAAGAACAATCGCCAAATCACAAGAAGAGCTCCAGTGGTAACTTCATCACAAACAGAATATTTGGACGAATAAACCACGCAATACATGGGGTTGTAGATGTGGATCCCGAGCGTACGAGAAGAGATCTCATTGGAAAGACGAGAGAATCGATTGGACAGCTCGAGCACGCACAGCAGGCCTCTGAGAAAGATGTTCGGGATGCAAGTTCTGGCATCTTGAAGGATCTGAAGCGTTTCCAGGCGGAGAAGGAAGATGATTTGAGACGGTACATGGTAAGCTATTTGATCCACAAATTTTTATGTCAGTGCTAACATTTCTAGCTTGCATATGCCAAGAGTCAAATCGAGTGGGCGAAGAAGAATAAGGAGACTTGGGAGGAGGCCAAAGCAGAGATCAATAAGATAGATGAGGATTGAGTGATGACTGATGAATGAAGACGCATGGATCGTGGTTTCGGCGGTAATAGTGAGAACTCGGGGCCCTGTTGATGGGCAAGGGAGAGGAGTCAGGAGCTCTTGGTGTACTTTTTATGACTGCCAGGAGGAGCAGTAATAGATGATGATCCTGCCTAAATGACCTCGAATTCGACGTCTCCAATGGTTCGATGATTGGTTCCCCTTTTCTGCTGACTAGGCGCCCTTGAAATACTTATTATATCGTCTGGAGTCTTCACATGCCAAACATAAATGTGGCGGTGGGGGCAAGCCACAAGAAAATCTGGGGTAATGACATCACAGGGTGATCTCCACCTTCTTACCCCATCCGACTAAATGAACTAACTCCTTTATCAACAACGATTCTACTTCCCCAGAAGTGTATTGCGAATTGAAGGTTGCTGACATCGGCATTTCCAGATCACAGAAATTCAAGCAATCTCAGATCAACTCAACAAGATGGCGAATGTTTACAACAGCCAACTTGATGCCTTCGACCTCTACCATCAGAATCGGGAATCTTCTTCCCCAAGCATTGGCCCGGCTCTCCCAGCCCTTGGCCATGCCCTCGCAGGTTCCACTGGTACTGCTATCTCGAGCCTTGCCATCTACCCACTTGACTTGATTATTACTCGACTTCAGGTCCAACGATCATTACGGAGGTCCTCCTCTTCGCCAAACGAAGGCGAATACAAAGGCGTCGTAGATGCATTCAAGCGGATCTACAAGAAGGAAGGAGGAATTTCTACATTCTACACTGGTGTTCTGCAAGATACAGGGTAAGTCCCGGCTCCTCGGAGCATTGATCCCTCTTGGAGCAGTATTCCAACAGCTCTTGGAACATTATCTAGTAAGGTCCAATAGCTGCTTCAAGATTCTACTCCCTAAAACACCTGAATTAAGTATGCTGACTTCGACTTCTTGGGGAAGGAAATCCATCACAGATTCGTTCCTCTTCTTCCTGTTCTACAACTACCTTCGCTCCAGACGACTTCAGAAGCATGGAACCAAAGCTACAAGCTTACCAGTATTGGATGAATTGGCAGTTGGCGCTCTAGCAGGAGCATGTTCAAAATTCTTCACAGCCCCGATTTCCAACGTCGTCACCCGGAAGCAGACTTCGTCCATGATCTCTGCTCACTCTTCCTCACCCACCGCCTCCCCTTCCGTCTTTGATATCGCCCAATCGATCCGTTCCGAAAAGGGTCTGCAAGGATTCTGGTCAGGATATTCCGCATCTCTGGTTCTCACCCTCAACCCAAGCATCACATTCTTCCTATACGAGTTCTTCAAACGGGCTTTCCTCCCACGAGCACAGCGCGATGATCCCGGTGCCAGAGTCACCTTCTTAATGGCCGCTGTGAGCAAGTCTATCGCATCAACGATCACATACCCCTTCTCTCTCGCCAAGGCACGAGCCCAAACATCCTCTTCGCCACCAGTTAATACTGAGTCTGCTGAGGATGTCAAGGGAGAAGTCGAGCATGCCCTCAATAAGACGGAAGCAGAGAAAGCTGGGAAGGATGCGAAGAATGTTGTCAAGAGAAGGACTGTATTCGACACAATCCTTAAGATTTACCGAACAGAAGGAGCAGCTGCGTTGTATGAAGGTATTTGGGGCGAAATATTGAAAGGATTCTTCAGCCATGGCATCACTATGATCGTCAAGGAGAGTATTCACAAGCTGATCATCCAGACTTACTACATCATTCTCAAGGCACTGGATAAGTACCCGAGTCCCTCGGAACTGACCAACCAAGCTGGAGTTGCGATCCAGGATGCGGGCGAGAAGGCTGGACATATGGTCAAGGAGGGATATGAAGGTATCGCTGAGAGGGTTGGGTATATGGTCGAGAGTGGAAAGGAGGCTATGGGTGTGGGGGTTGAGAGAGGGGGGGTGGTGGGGAGCAATGCGATTGAGGTTACGAAAAATGCGGAGGATCTGGCGAGTAAGGAGGCTGGACACTTGCTCGGCAATGCACAAGATATGCTGGGTGACAAAATTGAGAAAGTTGGGAAGGGGATCAAGACCGAGAACAAGGGTTGAACAAGAGTAACACTCATAGTTCGTAGTTGAATTTGGGAGACAAACTGATGGGATACCCGCGTAGTTGATGAGCTTTCCAAAAAAAAAAAAAATCCGAGTTGGGCTTCGCCTTGGATGCATGTTTGGACGGTGCATATGTGCTTTTGGAGCGTGTTTTGGAACGAGCACACGAGATATTCAATTTCGGATCTTTTCTGCGTATAAAATCCAAACTACCTGCTTGATATCTACATGATATATTGTGTATCAAACTTGCCTTCTCCTATCTAGGATGTTCCACCAGTTGTGGAACATTCCAAGATTTTCCCGTCTCATTATTCCTAAAGAGTCCGATATATCGATTTCTCCTTAAAGGAAATGCTGACTCGAGAGTTTCCGAATACACGCTCAGTAGCGCTGTACAATAAATCCATAGGCTCCATTGCTTTCGTAAGCTCTATTTCTAAGATTTATTCATCTGTCCTTGGCAAAATCTGCCCGTACTGTACAAATACACCTCCTCGCTGCCCGTTTGAGACTCTAAAAGCCGCTGCGGCCGAAGTGACGTTCACGGGACTCGTTCCTCACCAAGTAAATTTCTACGAACTTCAAAGAATTTTAGGATTGCAGCGGCGTGCTTTCGTGGGACGGGCTGGTTTCAACAATCTCGTCACCCATATAGTTGAATGTATCAAGCCTCTAACTACGACTCACACCTCACAACTCATCACCTGGCCAAAATTGGTCCCACAGTTTTAGCAACGGCTTCAGCAGTTGTAAACAAGATTCCTACATTCCATTCTCAGTTCCTTCTCCTTAAATGTTCAACCTTATTAACTGGAAAGGAAATCCAGAACCCACCACCACTAAAGACCGCCCTACTCAACCTCACCACGGTTCCCTTCCAAAAACCCCACCCCCCATCCTCAAAATGTTAAATAATATTATAAGTCCCCACCCTGAAGGTCGTCGCGCTCGCCTGCTTCAAAGTCCCCACCAAATCAAGATACAGACTTTTTAATCCGTCTTCTTGAATGATGGTCCGGATACAGTGGATGTTGAAGGTGTACCGTTTTCCCTGGCCTGCGTCGTCGCTTAAAGTGATACGCTCCATGGGCGTGCGGCACACACAAGAGCGACTACTCCGGCCGTCATACCAGCCAGCATATTCCTCCACGGCCTCAACACCCCGGATTCCCTGTCTTTGAACGCATTCTTAACTGTATCGAACACAAGAATCGCACAGCATCTTTGCTCACACTTCCAGTAACCAGAGCTCCGCAGCCTTTATAGAGGGCCCGCAGACCCTCTGATTATAGATGTGAGGCACGATCAGGAATGGGTTTTTTGTGGATCCGAGAGGAGGGAGCAGATGACAGGGAACAGGGGAGACGGCCCAGTTGAACCCGGGTTTGGGGGAATTCGAAGGGATAGGTTATGAAGCCTTCTGCGCCGCCTGCTACTCCAGCTGATATTAAAGAAACCAGGAGCGGGGTAGAGGGTTTGTGGTTTTTCTCTTTGGCCGTGGGAGAGGCGGACATTTTTATCTATTGAATTGTAAAAGTAATATTGAACGAGAAGTCACGATTATCAGGCGGAAAACGTAGGAAGAAGCGTAAAGCAGGGATGGAGGCTTCTATGACGTCTCGGAAATATGGAATAGGGGTTGAGCTGTACCGAGGTACCATACGGGAAGGATCTTTGCGGGAGAAATACTGTACTGTACAGGCTTCGGTCGCTAAGGTTTAGTGATACTCCCCTTTTTTAATGGATCTGGCTTGGCTGCATCAACAAGACTTTATCGCAGAACTGCAGAAGAACACGAAACTTTTCTGATTAGGATTCGATTATTTGGAGATTCGTATACTTTTTCATTATTATATTCGTCCCCATCAATTGAAGTTCGTGCATTTCTTTAGTATGTAACCCATCCCCGTCTCATCCATGAGATAACTCCATCCTCAGAGCAATATCTCCAGTAGTCAATCCCCCACTCATTAATCAAGCCTAGCAGAACTCGCACTTCTGACTGTCCTTTGACCGCTTAGGATACATTTGGAAAGGACTATGGCTAAAGGAGCCAGCCTGCCCAAAGTTGTTCTGAACATCGAGCTCTTGACCCATGACATCGTCCCAGCTGAAATGCCAGGTGCCATTGTCAACGCACCGCTTAGGGGCGTTCCTATGAGATATGTCAACCCTCGGATTCTCCATCAAATCCACCCATTCAACGAAAGCGAAAGGTTGGACAAGAAATAGAGACACCAAAACTTACCCGCCGCAGTCACCCCACCAAACATGTGTGATATTCAATACAAATTCATGAATGGTGTAGTCTGGAAAGAGTCCAAAGGTAACGTTAGTGTCAGCGCACGGGGCGTTGAAAGGCGGCTCGCTGACTGCGAAATCAGCAGCATTTGAATGGAAATTGCAGGTTGTGTTGAAGCCTTGAGGGGCTAAAGTTGGTGTGTCTGATATTTTGAGATTCCAGCTGTAAGGATCAATTGTGTTAGTTTGAGAGAGCATAAATGAAGAGTCGAAGACAGTAAGAGAGGGTTTATGAGATAGATGTGGGAGGAATCTTACAATCCTCCTGTGCCGTGACGGATGTTGCCGATGGAAAGGCCTGAGATGAGCCACGGGACGGGAACCATAAATGGGTTGCCAGGCTGAGCGAGGGTAGTCCCCACGGCTAAGTACATAAATGAGAGAAGAATGGTGGACTTCATCGTGAAACGACAATATTGTTGTAGTAGTGAAAGTGTCAAGTGTGACAGAAGTAAGATACCAAATTATGAATTCTTAACTAGCAAGTTTGTCGAGAAGCCTCTATAAAGGAAACGCAAAACTAAATACTTTTCATAAGGAGACAAATTCCCTCAGATCATCAACCACATGACGGTCTTCGTGTTCCACCTTCTATGGCTTTTGATACATAATTCGCACTAAAGTTCTACCGAACACGAGGTTTCGTACAACAACAACCTCACGAATATGCACAGCTGCCACCCCACATCCCTTGATTGGGCAATCCTTATGCAAGATGGCGGAACACGATGGCGACTTGCATGGAGAGTTGAATATTTAAAATTGTGGCATCAGCTTCTCGCTTGCATCGGGAGACATGGGACAGAGGCATGGTCATCATTTCAGCGATGCTGTCCAGAGTATCAGCTGCTATTTTTGGCAAAATTTGTGGCTGGAGTCTGGACTCCTATTTTGCAAGGATTTAAAATGCCTGGAAGATCCGTCTTCAGGAGAGAATAAAAATAACCTCGTCTGAGGCGAAGAGAACCCAAATTTGAGAACAAGAAGGGGCTAGGACCTCAGGGAAATGACCACACGTTGGCAAAATCTTAGTTGTCATAGCAGTGAGGGAGAGTTTGGCGATTATGGTATAAGAGGGAGGGAAGAGGTGTGGGTGCGGTTTCCGTCCAGCTGGTTCGATCTGGTCTGCGCATGGTGACAAGTAGCATAGCGAATAAGGCTGCCAACATTATTCTTGTGCCTTTTTGGCCAGTTGGTAGAGTTGTTTAAAGCTATTCTCACCACTTCTATGCAGCTTGGGAGGTTTTAGTTGTTCCCTACTATTACTTAAGCTGTCCCCTACTTTTAAACTCTGCATATACTTGTTTATTTAGCTGACTCCAACTATCGCTTAAGCTGTCCTTACTATGGTTCAGCATAGTTCAGCATATGCTCTCATTATGCTCTGCATATGTAAATGGGTTACATATGCCGAGCATATGCTAGAAGCATGCCTGGCAGGCGGTGATGGCGGGATCAATGCAATGGTCGAAGCACAAAGTTCAGAGAATTTCATGTATTGAAAATACTAAGCTAGAGAGTAAAGGAGAGGGGAATGCTTTGACCTTTAGTAGTGCTTTGCCCAACCTCTAGCTTAGTTCCCCGTTTCAAACCCATGTTCTGAAGCAGATCTGTCATTGCAAAGAAGAGAAGAAAACATTGGTAGAGCACGAAGTTCCCAACGATGAACTCTACCAGACGGCTGCGCGTAAGGACTCTTTCAGTCTATGGGTCAGAGCACTAGGGACGGGGAGACAGAACAGCAACCATTTGACTGGCGAGCATAGATGCAGGAGATGAGCTCACTTGAGCCAGATTCAAGCGAACGCTCGATGACAGCGAGTGCTGATATTTTCAAGAAGGACGTTCGATATTTTCTCTCTTGAAGCCGAGCCCCCGAGACATCTTGGCTTAAGAATCAGCGTGCTCCAGTGAGATGTCCACATCCGTGCTTTTCGCTTCCGACCCCTTTCTTACCGAGTCACATCAAAACTCCGCTAGAACCGCTAGGCATACAGGTCCGAGTCTGCTTCAACCCTCTTTTTAAACACAGTAATTCAAAGCTAGCCTCATCACCTGAGGTCGGAGGCAATGTTGTACTGAAACACTAGATTTAGCATAGTGTAGAAACCGCCGCCAACGAGCCCAGCTAAATTCGACATTTTCATTGTGGCAATTTAACTCGGTACAATCACACTGACCCAGTTCAATTCACCATACCCTCGGTCGCCAAGTCTCTGGGTTCCTTTTACTTCTTTTTCTATTCATATCCCTCTATATTGCCACTTCCATTAAGCTTCGTGAGCATCTCCGCCAATTGAGAAGCCTCCGCTTAGTTATCCTCTCGCAGTTTCTTTGTACTGATTTTGCGCGTGTCAAGCAAGTCTGGGTAGTCTTGACTGGTGATTTTTCTCTTCGTCGTCGGTGTGAAACCCCGGTAGCGAAAGGGGAACGCTTTAAGGGCGTAAGTATACCTCTTCACAGTCTGAGAATGTGCTGCACGCAAGGGTAAGCGTTGCATAAAGACTCCCGAGTCTTGGTAAAGGATGCCTGGCTTGCCGATCTATCTGGTGGAAACTAATTGGCAGAAGAAAATGAACCGTTGGGGTATCCATCGCTCGATTAATAATAATACACCATGTCTACTAATTCCCAAACACTTTTGCCCACGCAGTCAACCTTCTTCTCTCGAAAGTCCACACGAACTTACAAGTCCTTGTTCGCCGATGACGAAGACTTGGGGAGATATCTAATTCCCTTCTGTGGACAAGTGCCACGGCCACCCTTCCCAGCAGGATTTGTAGGCACGAATGCGCCAGTTTGAAGAGAACCTTGGATGTTGAACGAGTACCACTAAAACGGAAAGGTCAACGATCGTACAGCCAGGGGAGTATCCTCGCAGGGGTGGATCTTACAGCTTCATCCAGTCTGCCTCCCTTGCACCCGAGAACCACAGCACTTCCGGTGATTTTGGTGAGAGCAGTTTGAATCTCATCAGAGGTATAGGTCGTTGACGTAGAGGGCAAAATTCCAGCTGCTGCGAGAGCTTTGTAGGTATCAAGGCCCTGTCCCATCATTAGCTCGTGTCCAATACGCCTTCCTTCTTGACGCCTCTTAACTGACTTTGAAAGTATCCACGGCCTTATTGAAGAAATCCACAACTTCGTCGCCAGGCTGATATCCATCCCCATAACAGCTCGGCGCAAGAGTATTTATGCAGGTACCGTGTTTATTCCACTCATGCTCCCAGAAGCTCTCTGGGGTGCCAGAATTCGGCAGCCAGTATGAGTTCATGAAGGAGAGGAGGTCGGGGTTCTGAGAGGCAGAGATTATGTCGGAGATATTGCTATACGTTGGGGCGCTGGTGCAGAATTGTGGGTAGCTGCCGTCGCAAAGATCTGGCCTATGGGATGTTTCTTAGTTTCATCTTGAATTGGGTGCGTTGTGAGAGCATACCATAAGCCGTGCAAAGTCCAAGAATCATCTGGCCCGATTGCTGGGCTAGTATCCCAGAATTGGGTCTGCAGGATTTGTCCTCCGGGGTAGATGAAACAACAGCTATCTGGAGCTTCTGTGCTATTGTGGCAGGAGAGAGGGCTGTCAATGGGACAGCTTGGTGCATTGCCGTATGGAACATAGGCTCTCGATGGATTGTTGAAGTTTCCGAAGGGGAGCTGAGAGAGGAGGCCACTGGCGAAAGCGCTGAGAGACCGAACAGAGGGTATTTCGAGAGGCATGTTGATGATGGTATCAATGAAAAACAGTGATAGGCTTGGCAGGTGTTTTTTGTTCGACTGCAAAACTAACTTGAGACTAGAATGAGTAAAGTGGTAGAATTTATATGAGAAAAGAGAGATGAGAAAAGAGGGAAGAGAGAAGGAAAGAGAGACGAGCTGAGGAAGCTCAGCTTGTTGTTGCCCGCAGGAGTTTCAGCCCGTTGCTGCGTCACTGGCGGCTCTTCCCGTTGACAACCCTTGAAATTCTGCCCTACTGTATCAAACCGCACCATTTTGGCAGCCGCTTGGCTCACCACGTGTTACCCCTCGTGTATTTGAAGCGTTAGGAGCCCCGGTATTCTAGAGTCTGCTTATCCGTTCAGCTGCCGCCTGGTGCGCCTTTCCGTGATCAAATGTACCGCAAAATTGTAGCGAATTGGAGGCTTTACATCAAGGATTCTAACGATATGATTTGTAGATCGAGTTCGCCTAAACGTACGGAAGTACACGGGCCAGGGCGAACCTGGTGGCAGCTGAACCGATAAGAAGTTGTTTTCGAAAGAGGTTCTGCAGTAAGAAAACGGCCTGGCAGCAAAAGAGGTATCGGGGCCAAAAGCCTCGCCATGAAGACAATGTTTGGATTGGGAATCTGCAAGCTATGCTGTCGCTACCTATTTAACACAACCCCCCCCCAAAAGCCAAAAGGCAAATCTAGTTATGAGATCTACCGCTTTCTCTTAGACCATGCATCGATAAAAGCAGCCTTGTCCTTCACTGTCAACCCCACTCTCTTGACTCTACCCAGACGAGCAAGTGCTTCTCCAACTTTATCAAGGATTCTCTTCTCCTCTGCATTCACTTCGGCAGGCTGATCGCTCAGGCTTGCCAAAGTATCCGTACTGCTCGTCATCGCCGAATCTTCTCCTAAAGTATCAAGGAAATTGGTTAGGTATCGCTCTTTCTTCTCTGCCACTGGGTCCGTAGGCTTCGAAGTATTATAAACGACCTCTGCAATCCGGACACGAATGCAGTGCGTTGGTCTGGAGAGGAGGTTCCATATGAAAGAAAAATAAAGCCCGGGAACGGGCGTTGTAACGTCTGGCGGGGAGTATCGAAGATTGACGGGAAAGATCTTGGTTCCAGGGGGAGTGGTCAGAAGACTCGGGCTGAAGGGCAGGATTCCTTTACCATTCGTGGTCGTACATTCGGGGAAGACCACAATAACTCGTTGTGGATGCTCAGCGAGAAGATCCTTCAGATCCGTCATTTTCGCCCCTTTGGGAGGATGCTCCTGTGGTCTCAATAGGGCTCGAAGGATTGCGCCAAAGAGCGAGATTTCTTGAATTTGGCGTGTATGGGGGTACGAGACCGTAAATATGGGGTCGAAGATGGCCGCAAGGTATAGGGAATCGATGGGGGAGGTGAACGATGATGCGATTACGTTCGAAGGCTGGGGCACACGACCCTCATGCTTCTTTGCGAGTGACCCTTTCTTGACTCCATCGATTTGTAGATCAATCCACCATATTCCGGGAATGCCGAGCATCATCCAGAGTATTGCCTTCTTCGGCAGCGAACCCAGTGGGAACCATTGTAGGAAGAGGAAGTATGTGGTCGCAACGGTGACGAAGAACGGTAATTTGAAAAGAAATAGGAAGATATGGACGGGAAGGTAGATGCCCGCTGGAGTTGAGGTGACGGGGAAGAATGGAGCTATTCCAGATCCTGAAGGTGATGCATTAGCAAGGGCCCATGTCTTGATGTCCTCTGTGTCCTGTTGGGTGTACACACCTCGATCGCGGAACTGGGAGTACTTCTCCATGGCGAAGGCTTGCGCGCAAAGGTCTCAAATGGTGGAAAGGTCGAAGGCGAGCAAAATGGAGAGATCTTTCGTATCATGGCCTCGTTAGGTATGGGGCGAGCCATGCATCGGGCAATAGGCGACCAGTCGAGATCAAAATGTTGGTTGTGAGATTTTGTCAGGCTCTGTATCTTCCGCCACAGTCTCGGTGAGGCGGCGAGTCACCGGGCACATGTGATTTTGCAAGGGTCCTTCTCAAGGCGGCCTAGCTCTTATTTGGTTGCCAGGCCAGCGCCGTGGCGTCCAGCCTCAACAGCCTGCAGACCAAAACAAAGTTCTCAATCACCGGACCAAAACGATAACAATTTTCAACACAACGCCAATTTCTATCACCTCCCTCGCACGACTCGTTCCAAGCCGACAATCATCCAACCGTACGCCCTTTGATGCATGCAATAGCTTTTCTACGCTGGTAGCAATTGCTACGGATCACGATGGAGCTCCCAGAAGAAAACTTGGTACGGTGCAAAAAGGACCCACGACCTGAGCGCAAGTCAACTAACACAAAGCAATGTCAGTTTATGCGCAAATCGCAAATGGCCCCTCCAAGTCGAATTCCGTCTCCTGGCAAAGGTCTTTCTGAGATCTCCGAATCACAAGGAAATGCGCGGTCGAAGCCAATGTCGAGATTGCCCGCGATGCCGAATCTCAAGCACAAGATGAATGGACCGCGTATGTGGCATGCAAACCATTTCGTCTCTGCATACTGACGAAATTTAGTGAGCGAACCAGAACCTAAACGCAAAACTTTGGTAGAAAGAGCAGGAGAGACTAGGTCCATCGCAGCTCCCACACCAAGCTCACGCGCTGTTGTCAAAACTACCACTCTCGTCGGTGCAGGAGTAAGTTCCCTGAATATAACCATCCCCTCTCCCATCAAAATACATATGTTCTTATGGCAGAACGGCGCCGACGGCAAAGCCCCAACCCGGGCTGTGTCTCGCCCTTTGCTCGTTTTCTTCTTCCTCGAATGAAGGAGTTCGATCCGAAGGAGGTCGGCTCCAAGCATGACGATCAACCCTGACAGAACCTCAGCTAACGCTCTCTTCAGAAGTCAATGTCAAATCTAGGACTCAGTCGAAATCCATCCTTTTCCTCATCCGTATCATCATCGCGCACACCGTCTGTATCATCCCGACATACTTCCAATGGCAGCTTCTCGAGCAGTGTTGGACCAGGTGGTCGACCACAAACATCAATGTCTTTCAACCAATCTACCTCCAGACGCCCAGCATCCGCCGCTCCAAAGTCACGCCCAGCAACAGCGATGGATAATCATTACAACGACCCGGGTATGCGACCCTTGAATTCATTTACGTCTTCCTTTCCGTATATCCAAGAAAAGTCAGGTCTACAAAGCAAGAAGTTACGGGCGCCAAAATCATTACATTCATTGAGGTCTCAACCATCGATGGGAAAGATTAGGGAGGTTTCCGTCAGCACAGCCATGAGTAGGCTCTGTCTTGATGGAGAAGTTAGCCCGCGCCAGCGGCACGAGTATCAAGCGATCTCAAACATGAGACCACCACCAACAACAAAACTATCCCACAAGCCTTCGATCAATACGGGCATGCGGAATTTGAGATTAGACAGCGGTGAAATGGCTCTCGTCCTGTACGAGTCTCCCGGAGACAGCTTAGTAGCTCCGCAGACTCTATCTCATATCCCAGTGTCTTCCAAGGCGGATGCATATTTCTCTCCTGTCACACCCTACAGAACTCCAAGACCATCCCCCCACAAAACTCCATATTTGACAAAAGGTTCTAACATACCTGCATTTACAGCTTGGGATGTCCATAACCGCCTGGAGGACGTGGAGGCGATGTATGCCGAGCTCAAACAAAGCATGCAAAGCACCAGCTCAGAACGTAACGGTCTCGAAGAAGCCGTGGCTGTCTACAAAGCAAGAAGTCAGTCATCCATTTTGACGATTCTAGCGAGATATGCTGACAACATGGCCAACAGTTGCTGAGCTCGAGACCCTCAGATTGCAGCTATCCTCAGCCAACAAGACCTTGCAGAGTGATTTGGATGAAATGAAGTTGAAAGCGGATTCACTTCAGCAAAGACTGCTAACTACAACTACTAGTCTCGACGATCAGATGAGAACCCAGCGCATTGAAGTCGATGATGCCAAGAGAAACCATCGCAACGAACTCGACCAACTCCGGAGAGACAATGTCGATGAGGTTGACCGTCTTCTTCGTCTGCATCGTGATGAGTTGCGTGAACTCGAGCGTAAATCAGCCATGGAGCTTGACGACAGGTTGAGAGAACTTGAGCGACGCAATGAAGCCAAGCTGGAGGAAGAGCGAAGCCGAAGACTTCGCGAAGTTCAAGACCTTGAATCCAGAATAGCTTCCGAAAGTCAAAATCTGGATTTGGCGCTGCAGAAGAAGGATCGTGAGATTCAGAATATGAGGGGCGACCTTGAAGATATCAGAGGAGAGCTGGATCGAGAACAAACGTTGAAAGGCAATCTTCTCCAAAACTTGGAGGAATTGAAAGCCAAGTCCCAAAAAACAGGTGCTGAGACATCTTCGACAATCCAATCGTTGGAAAGCACAGTTGCGAGTCTTCGAGCGCGAATCCACTTCCTCGAATCCGGTAGCAAGGCCCAGTCCGACAGCTTTGCGGAGATGGAAGCAAGACTACAAGAAGCTGTGAAGTCTGCCGAGGTATCGAAGCAGAAGCTCATCAAAGAGGAAACCCTGCGCCGTCTTCTCTTCAACCAAGTTCAGGAACTCAAAGGCAACATCCGTGTTATGTGCAGAGTTCGGCCTGTGTTCAACACTGGTGCAGAAGGGGAAGTTGCCAAGCTATCCTATCCGGATGTTGACAAGGAGTCCAAAGAGCTTGAGATCCTTGGCAAAGAGGAAAAGAGCAGCTTGGGAAATATCACCAGGAAGAATCACTCGTTCACCTTCGACCGGGTATTTGGGCCAGAAAGCCAAAACCAAGAAGTGTTTGAGGAGATCTCACAGCTTGTACAAAGCGCGTTGGATGGTTACAATGTTTGCATTTTCTGTTATGGCCAAACCGGATCCGGGAAGACGCACACGATGTCCTCAGCCGACGGAATGATTCCTCGGGCTACTCATCAAATCTATGAGACTGCAAGCAACCTGAAGGAGAAGGGATGGACATATACTATGGAGGGGAGTTTTGTGGAGGTTTACAACGAGGAGATCCATGATCTGCTTGGGAATTCGAAAGACCTCGACAAGAAGAAGCACGAAATTCGACATGACGACTCCAAGAAGCAGACTTATGTCACTGGTTTGAAAACTGTCAATCTTGACTCTCCAGACACCGTTGAGACAATGTTAAAACAGGCCGCAAATAACCGAAGTGTGGCAGCAACCAAATCTAACGAGCGTTCATCACGTTCTCACTCTGTGTTTATTTTGAAACTCATTGGAAGGAACAGCACCACCAATGAGACTTCTGAAGGTACCCTTAACTTGGTCGATTTGGCTGGTTCCGAGAGACTGAAGCAATCTGGGGCTGAAGGAGATCGGATGAAGGAAACCCAGAGCATCAACAAGAGCTTGAGTTGTCTCGGAGATGTCATTGGGGCTTTGGGTCAAGGCAAGGAAGGTGCTCATATTCCGTATCGGAATTCAAAGGTAAGATCTCCAACACGATTGAAAGGATACCGTCTAAAGTTTTGACAGTTGACATACTTGTTGCAATACTCGTTGGGTGGTAACTCGAAGACTCTCATGTTTGTCATGGCAAGCCCACTTGAGGCTCATCTGACCGAAACATTGACGAGCTTGAAGTTCGCGACGAAGGTAAGTCTCCATGATCGTCTCTAATTGCCTAAGCTTATATATTTTAGGTACATAACACACACATTGGCACTGCAAAGAAGTCAACGAAAGTTCGTGAACGAAACAGCGATTAGTGATTTGACATGAAGCGCGGTGTGGTATTGTGAGACTATCATTTTTGGCTGGCGTTCCAAAGCATTGGGAATTCTCCAATCAGAAATGAACCTTCAATTATTGAAGAGTTCAATGGCGTATGCTTGTTGGCTACACAAAGGACGGGGTAATGTTGTTCTGTTGTATTCATAGGTGTTTGGAGGGGCATTTGGGATACCTCCTTTCTTAGGATGAATGAAAAATGTTTATGATTAAGGTGGCTGTCCTCATTCGCTATTTGTAATTATCCTGACTTTCTGATGAAATTTGGGTTGGAAGAAGGGCCAGTGTTCCATGGTACGCGCGAATTGGTGATCATGCCAAAGCCAATCTGGTATACTGGGGCTGCCCTCTCCGTCACTTACCTTACCTCACTCAGCTCAGTCACGCGTGTGAACTCCCCCTCCGTATGCCTCCAAATCTCATCCACCATCCCCTTCTCTTTTAATCCAGCCAAGAGCTCCAGCACCTCAGCCGAAGCACTCTCACAATCCGGCCCTACTGAATACATCCCACTCCCCCTCGTCCCACTCGTCCCAACCGCAACTTCATCTCCCTCTCCAACCATCACACCATTACACCCCCCTTCGGCAGCCCGAAATCGTCCCGAAGTAGCCAAAAACAAATGCCTCTCCCCACACTCCTCAAGCGGCACAAACATCAACGCACTCATTTGCTCCTCAGACATATAGTTCAACAACGGTGTCTTTACCGTCCCGGGGTAATCGTGCACGATACTCACTGTTGCCTCATTCCTGGCTGTGGCTTCCAGACCGAGCGTTACTAATGTGCTGAGATGGCCTCGTAGTTGAGGGAGTGGGATGCGTAGAGCGGGGAAATCGGCAGCGTCAAGAGGACCTTCCTGGGTTCCGCCGCCAACGGAGATGATGCGGCGGAGGTTGGGGGCTGCACGTAGGAGTGGGAGCAAGGAGGTGATGAAAAGGATGCGGGTGTAGTAGTTTAGTGCTGCGAGTAGGTGGATGCGTTCTAAGGTTTCTGTGTTTCTTAGCAAGTTATTCAAACTTTTTTTTTATCTCTAGGCATATACTGCTACGGTCAAAGCTCGCTACTCCCGGACTGAGGAATAACAGATTTATGAACTTCTCCTTTTGCTTTATTTGGATGCAGACGGCGTCGACGTTCCGCATTAAGCTTACGTCTGCTTTTATGAAGTTGTATTCGCCACCTGCGTTGAGTGTTTTGAGGTCTGTGAGGATAAGGTCTGCAGCTTCTTGGGACCGGCCGATGAAGTAGATACGTGGTTGGGTGGTGTATTTTGCGAACGTTTTGAGGGTTACTTTACCTATGCCGCTGGTTGCTCCGATGAAAACAGCCACCAATTTGGGAGGCAGAGTGGTGGAGATGAGGGAGTTGGAAGCGTGGACGATCGATAGGAAGACCATCGTGAATGACGGTTTGGTGATGTTGAAAGATATCTTTCTTGGTATCAGGCGGTAGCTGCCAAGTGTTGTGTGGGCCTTGTGAGAAGCTTTGGTTAGAGGAAGTTGCCATCTTCTATCGAATGATCCATTTCCAAGGCCGAAATCCATATAATACATCTTGCTTTGTATGCCTAAGGCATACTTTTTGAGTGTCGGGGTATGTGCCGTAGTGGCATCATTTCAAAGCCAAATTCGGCGTTCACTGAAATGGTCGGCGTTGGCTGCCGCATAAGGAACGCCGAACTGCGGGGAAACCGCCGGCCTTCACTTGACTTTCTTTCCAAATGCGGCTCACATGGATTTATCAGCCTTTTCTCTAGATCTCTCCCCTATTCGGCGAAGGTGTATTCAGAGCATTTTCTAAAGTCACGTGCACACCGCTTATTTTGTGGTTCCGGTGGACCAAAAAGGGGGGAGTTTGGTACGCGAAAATAAGCGAGAATCAAAGTCTTTCCTATATTTTTAGCCCACACACTCTGAATTCTTCCGGTTTCAAGAAAAAAGTACTCTCCCAACATGGGGCATCAAGAGGATCCCTCCTCGTTCCGAGTAACAACTCGGATCTCCAACGTAGTTGGCGTTGGGAGTTCATCCTCATTCGGAACACCGATGTCCATCTCGCAGCTGCACCGCATTGTGGCTTCTTCCTCGAGCACAGCCACAACTCCCATCCCCAACATGGGTAGCCCAACCCTGCCACTAAAGAAGTTTCATCTCTTCCCCGATCTCCCTTCAGAACTTCGCCAAAAGATCTTCGCATACGCCATCCCCATCCCACCCATACTCTGCGTCCAAGTCACCAACTCAATTGCAGACCCCGAGCTTGAGATCGTCTCCTTCAAGTTCCGAGTCTTAGAACCGAAGAACATCTACAGAGGTCCTTTCCGCAAGGTCACCTATTACAACGCCTTGCTCTCTGTCTGTAAGGAAGCTAAGGATACCTACAAGAGAATTTGCTATGCTGCTTTGCCGGGTCGAAAGAGAAGATTGATAAGATACAATCCGGACGAGACTACCGTCTATATTACAAACCTTATTACGGCTTTTGTGGTGGATGATGAGCTCGCGTCTGGAATTTGTGAAGGGTGGAAGACACAGCAGTGGTTTAAAGAGATTAAGAGAATCGGTGTTCCTAGTACTGATTGTCTTCGTTACAAGGGTATGACTGATATCAAGGTTCTCGGGCGCATACTTGAGAAGTTTGAGGCCTTGGAGGAGTGGACGGGTTTTTACTACCATTGGGGCAGCCCCTTGCTCTCCTTCCGCTGGGATTATCGGGACTGGACTGAGCGAGATTGGATCGAGTGCAAAGACAATGAGTTTGATATGCTTCGGGAACAGCTGGAGGAATATTGGCGCCATTGCCGGAAGGACTATAAACCTCCAAGAATTTTAGCGAAGGGGGAATAGCTTTCGAATTTTTCACGACACCCTCTTTACCACCAAAGTTACGATATGCAGACTTCTCTTAATCATTTACCTACTATTATTACCCTCTTCCCCTTCACGCCTCCAGCTTCTGCTTTCTCTTCCATCTCTTCTCTATGATCCTGCCTCCTTCTTACTTGCTCTTAAAGTTATAGTGCGGATCTGGCAATTAAACCCTAGGAGTTGGTTTCAAGTCCTTCGATATGGTGTGCGCAGTAATGCATGTTCCATTACGATTATTTCCATGAGGGGGTCAGGTGGGAAGGGAAGCAAAGGCAGAGAGAATGTCTTTGGCTTCCACGCCCACTGTAACAGATGGCTGCTGAAGAACGGCCATTTATTTGACAATTGATCAGAAGAAGCTTAGTGGCCATTGGGAGAGATCGTATTCTTTCTTGTCTTCAACTCCAGAACGTTATACCACCCGACACTAGAGTGATATGCGTCCTCCAACACACTTTTTTCTTTTACAGACCTTCAGAACTCCGGGACACTGCCAAACTCTTCATATACTGTGCCGTGCCGACTCAACATTCTCTTTGAAGGCCTCCTGAAAACGGTCATGACTTCCCGAAGTTTATCTGGACTTTCATGCCTATCCATTTAAGGAACAGGCTCAGCAAAAAGCTGCAGCTCCTCATACTTCATATCAAACTCTTCTGCCATTTCCTTCATCATATAAGGCTTCTGCACCATCAAAAAGTTCTCGTCCGGGATTGTCTCGTTATAACTTGGAATCCTCACTGCCCAGAACACAAATTCCTCTTTCTCATCCAACACTTTGTAGTACCACTTGCCGCCTTTACTTTCCGCTTTAATATGAAATTCCGGGAAAATAATCTTTACTTCTTGAGCGTAAGCCTCTTCAATGAACGTGACCTTCCTCTCAATCACTCCGTTCCAAGCGTTCCCCTTCAGCCATCCCAAAACCCCGTTCCCCGAGCTCAGGTGCTTGTCTAGAGTCAGGCTAAAGATTGCCGCATTATCGCCAGTCCGGCTGAAACCTATGGCTATGATTGCTTCACTCAACGTCGGTCTAAACTCGTCGATGAATGGTTGAAGGTATACCGTGGTAAGGTTGCCGAATTGGCCCTTCAGCTGGAAGGGCAATTTCGTTGTGACTGTTTCGAGGAAGGTTTGCGTCTGACGATAGTCAGTCTTCAGTGTCATGGAAAGGTTGCAGGAGTGCTTACTGCAGTTGTTGCCGTTGTAGTTACAGGCAAGAAGCCTCGACATGAACATACTGACTTGAACTGCTTCGTGAATATTGGATGCTGGTCGGTGTACTGGCGGTCTGCGCAAGCCGGCCATTCGAGCGGGATGTTGGTTGGAATATCTGTTGCGGCAATCGTGAAGCTTCCATCTATGCCTGAATGTATCGATTTGGTCATGGTTCTGGCTCGAGGGAAGTGGTTCTCGTTGTTGTTGAAGATTGTAAAGGTTGTAGTAGATGTTGCACTTTTTCAAATTATTAGATTTTGAATACACTGACAAAATAGGGGACAGTGTAATTTTTGATTACACTGAAATGCAGGAAACAATGACTGATCCTACTTACAACGCCGTAGTGAGCCCAACAGTGGTGGCCAGGAAACTAGAACAGTGGTTTTCAAAATCAATTTTCACTGATAGCGAGTCCATGTCAACGGTGAGCGCGCACATGTCATCGCAGAAACCGTGGCGTTCGCGACGAAAAAGATTATCGATTGCAATGGGCCATCTAGAATGTCCCACGAGACTCGGTACATTGCCGGAGACTGGAGTAGGAGTGGGCTGTCCAGAATGTCCCATCGAGCTCGGTACATTGTGACGGAAGACCGGAGTCGGAGTAACCTCTATAGAATGTCCGACGAGACTCCATACATTGCGACCGGAGACCGGAGTTGGTAGGCCATATCCACGAGTCACTGTGCAAATGGCCAAGGCGCAGAGAATCCCTTCAAGATTGAGAAAAGCGACCATCTCGTGAAACTGTGGCAAGAACTAGAAAGTAAGAGCCGGTTCAACTTCGACGGTTCTGGGCACATATTGAACAATATCAGGAAATAATAATAAAGGCCATGTATGAATAGAAATAAAAGTTTGGCGACTTGAAATCGGGGCCTTGGGAGATAATATCGGTTCCAGCGCTTGTAGAAGCTGGGACCCAACCTCGTGGTGGAACCAAATGTATCAAGCCCAGTGAGAAAATTAGCGCTACACCTTCAAATGTTCTCAGGAGATCTCGTATATTTAATGACACTTCGAAAAGCCTCGAAAGCTCTGGAAATTTCTCTTCTCCTCTTCTCAACGACCCGACCATAGTCCAACTTTGACTGGAAAAAATGAAACTTTGTGTCGCTCTTCACATCAAGGTCGAGGCTAGTATGAAGCTAGCTATGTTAGAACAACTGTCATATTAACGACCAAACAAATGATTTGAACAGAACGAGGGAAACCCAAGAAGAATTGGCTTTATAGGGCTTGAGATAGGTTAAGGAGTTATTATTACACGACGCAGATAGAGGACGCTCTGGATATTGAAAGCTAGACTCTGCGAAACGAGGACAGACGATTGTACTAACTTGATGGTGGACACTTAAGGGGGCTTGATCTGAGGGTTGGGAATAAAATTTAAAAAATGGCGGCAAGGATCAGTAAACGAAACCGGATCAGCGTTCTAAAAGTCTTAGGAATTAACAATGTACCAGAATCCCGCGAATGTACCCTGGCCCCAGCCACTCTAAAGCACCAGTCTACTTCTTTCCCTGCCAGTTGTACACCAGCCTTACCTTCAGTGCCTCGCTACCCTTTGTGATAATCACCCTCCTCGTATAATACCTCTTCCCATCAATAATGGCAAACCCCCAGATCTGTTCTCCAGTCCAGCCTTTCTCCTCATTATCCACAAAACTCTCAATATGCCTCTCTCCATTCGGGCCGCCGTTCTCCTCCTCCCCTTCAATCCAACCCTCCTTCAAGAAGTCGTCTGGGATTTCAGGGCTGTCAATTGTGATCCAGCGGGACTTGCCCTTCAAGCTGCCGAAGATGTGATCCACGTGCGAGCGCTCAGTCCAGTCGAGCTCGCGGAGCTCGGTGGTGCCTTTGATGCCGCCCGTGGCGGTTTGGTCGATGTCGATGTGAGTGTGGCCGTCTTCGGAGGTGTATTGTTTGCAGTGTAGGGTGACGGTTGCGAAGGCGATGGCTTTGCGGGTGAGCCAGCCGATGCCTTGGAGAGTAAGGATGGCGTCGGTGTCGTCAGAGAGGGTTTTGTTCTGCGGGGTGTCAGGCTGCTGTTTGTCGTTGAAGGATTGAAGGAGTTGAGTTAAATGAGGATATTGGAAGAGACATACCATCACCCACTCGCCGGTGAGGTCCTTCAATGTAACTTCTGGCGGTGCTGCCATTGTTGCAAATTGATGTTGTAATTGCTCGTATTTCGCGGGGTAGCTTTATAGTGACGATTTGATCCCAATTTCTGAGTTCTAGGATGAAGGAAGTTGGAGGAGAAAGGCGGGAGGAGGATGGTATTTATTGCAACGTTGATCACAGCCTTTAAGACTGAGATCGATGGCACCTTCCCCTCGTCGTCTGTGGGTATGCCGAGGTGAAGTGTAGGTAGCCTTCAGCAGCATGTGTCGTTGTCCCACTGTCGCGCTGCTGCCAGGAACGGCAAGCTGCCCCCGTTTTATGCTTGTCTAGTGCGAGGCTGTGGTGACCAAAGCCTGCGTTTTCACTGGCTGGCGGTGCTGGGGTGGGGAATCCTTGCGATGCGAGACCAGGAGAAATTTCTGGGGGGAGCGAGCAGCCGTGAATCATACCTCAAAGGGCAAGCACTTCGTCTGAAGGACCGAGGTGACTACGCTTCACTTCTGCAGAGGCATACTAATTGGGATTGAGTTGATTGGGTTTCAATTGAGCTTGCTTCGCGAGGGTCTGCCAAGATGCTTCCACAATTGGGGCGAGGAGCTCTCACGGCGAGAACGGCTGGAAAATACATGTGAGTCAGCTCCCTCTCTCTACAGACGAAACTGACCTTCTCAGTCGTGGCATTTCATCCTCATCCTCCCGTCTATCATCTCATCATGACGAACCAAAGCTCAATAAAGTCTCTGCGGCCATCACGCAACCGAAGTCCCAGGGAGCCTCCCAAGCTATGCTCTACGCAACCGGCATGACAGAAGACTCACTCAACAAGGCACAAGTGGGAATCTCGTCAGTATGGTACACTGGGAATCCTTGCAATATGCATCTCCTGGATCTCAACCATCGAGTGAAGGAGGGCGTTGAACGGGCAGGCTTGGTTGGATACCAGTTTAATACCATCGGAGTCTCGGACGGCATTTCTATGGGCACAAAAGGAATGAGATATTCTCTGCAATCGAGAGATTTGATTGCAGATTCCATTGAGACTGTGATGGGCGGTCAATGGTACGATGCCAATATCTCGATTCCAGGATGCGACAAGAATATGCCGGGTGTCATGATGGCGATGGGCAGAGTCAATCGCCCGAGCTTGATGGTTTACGGTGGATCGATCAAGCCAGGATGCTCTGTTACGCAAAACAATGCCGACATTGATATTGTTTCCGCGTTCCAAGCCTATGGTCAATTTATTACGGGGGAGATTTCCGAGGAGACGAGATTTGACATCATCAGACATGCGTGTCCTGGGGAAGGAGCTTGTGGTGGCATGTACACGGCCAATACGATGGCCACTGCCATAGAAGTAATGGGCATGTCTCTTCCTGGCTCTTCTTCGAATCCTGCGGCCTCGAAGGCTAAGTACATGGAATGTCTTGCCGCAGGAGGAGCAATCAGGAAACTGCTGGAGGAAGACATCAAACCAAGCGATATCATGACAAGAAAAGCCTTCGAGAACGCCATGATTGTCGTAAACATCACTGGGGGCTCGACCAACGCTGTTCTACATCTCATCGCCATCGCTGATAGCGTCGGCATCAAGCTCACCATCGAAGATTTCCAAGCTGTCTCCGATCGTATTCCCTTCATCTCAGATCTCAAGCCATCTGGTAAATATGTCATGTATGATCTTTATAACATCGGTGGCACACCTGCACTCCTCAAGTTCCTGCTCAAAGAAGGTATCATCGACGGCTCTGGCATGACCGTCACTGGCAAGACCCTAGCCGAGAACCTTGAAAATGTTCCCGAACTCCCAGCAGATCAACAGATTATCCGTCCGCTATCAAATCCTATCAAGAAGACCGGTCACATCCAGATCCTACGCGGTTCACTTGCACCAGGCGGATCAGTAGGAAAGATCACTGGAAAAGAAGGCTTGAGATTCGTCGGCAAAGCAAAATGCTACGATGCTGAGGATGACTTCATCTCCGCCCTCGAACGCGGCGAGATCAAGAAGGGCGAGAAGACCGTCGTCGTGATCCGTTACGAAGGACCAAAAGGCGGACCTGGAATGCCCGAGATGCTGAAACCCTCATCTGCAATCATGGGCGCTGGGCTCGGGCAGGACGTCGCTTTGATAACCGATGGTCGATTCAGTGGTGGAAGCCACGGCTTCTTGATCGGGCACATTGTTCCTGAGGCTCAAGAAGGTGGCCCCATTGGACTGGTGAGAGATGGGGATGAGGTTATCATCGATGCGGAGAAGAGGGTGCTCGATCTGAATGTGCCTGAGGAGGAACTGGTGGAGCGCAGAAAGGAGTTTGTGCCTAAGCCGTTGAAGTATAAGAAGGGCACATTAGCGAAGTATGCGAGGTTAGTGAGTGATGCTAGCCATGGGTGTATTACGGACGGAGAGGTTGTGCCGGAAGCATGAACCTCTTCAAATATTTCGGAAACACAAATTTGGGGTGTAGATATGGACAAAATTGATGGTGAATACCTAGGCAGGCGGTGAATAAAAAGCTCTTCCTTCCCCCATTCCCAAGCTTGCTTCAAAAGAATTGTTGCACATCGCATCAATGTTCCAGACTTTCTAGGACAATGAAACTACTTGTTATTTCTGTGTCTTCGGTGATTGATATTTTAGGGTGAATAGGAAGTGGGCAGCGCCTATGTGATTACAATAAGCGATTTTCCGGTAGTAGTGCCTGGGAGGTCAGGAGCTTCTTCACCAGCCGAAGTGAGCAGGTGTTCCGTCAGTGAGTGCTAGGAACGGTGCAACTGCAGTCCTGGAAGCGCACGGGGTAAGGCTTGGACTGCTTGTGAAGCAGAAGCACCGAGATGATAATTATGGCGCGTGATGAAGTTGAGATGACCAGATCCAGAGTATTCCGTTCTCATAAATAGGAGATGGGCTGACTTCCTATTGCATTATCGAGTTCCAGTGTTTGTAGACTTTTCTTTTCGGCTTTTTGTGGCTAAGCGAGGGAAGATCTGGTCCTCTCTCCTTTCCCTTCCCCCTCGCTGGTCTCGCTAAAGAATGGAGTTCATTTGGAGCAATAGAAACATAGCTTACGCGAAAGCACCGGTCACTGCATTCTGTATGGAGCATGCATATATGATCCATGAGACTCTCCGATTGCAATGGGTACCCACATCGAGAACAAACAGCTGGCGCCAATGGAAGGAGGGTCTGATGAACGCTTCATTAATCTATACACCAGCTGAATTCCGGCCGGGGAATAATTTCTCTAAACCAGAACAAATACAAAAGCAACAACTCCGCGAAAGAGGAACAGAAATCACGCTTTCGTCGAGTTCAACATCCCTGCCGCCTTAGCAACGAAATTCGCAGCCTCCGTTGCGTTTTGTGAATACTGTTCAAGGTCGTCAGCAAATGTAGAATTGTGGGCAGGGAGGGAGAGCGGCTGTACAGTGAGATGAGGCTGCAAGACTTGATCGCCATGTTGGCAGATGTTATCTCCCGTGTGGCAAATCACCAACGTTTTCGCCGCAGAGACCCCAGCTACAGCTGTTCCGTTGTTTGGATCACCGAAGATAACCACTTCATATGTCGTTAGCTAAGTCCTGTTCCAAGGTGACATGGAAAGGGGGGGGAGGAGGGGGGAGATAGGAGGAGGGTCTTTACCAGAGCTAACAGCAGCAGCAGTTGATGCATTTAGCATATTCGCCGCATTATGCACAAGCTGTCCACCTTGACTATACCCACTAATAACTACCTTCGTATTTGGGCAATTGGTTTGCGCCTGGCCGACGAGTTGAGCCATCAATTTACTTCCATTGGCATCACCACCCGCCAGGAAGCCTTGCACGGATGCGGGATATGTGACGCCTTGGACCGCGAGGTTGTCTATCCCTACTACGGTCGCGAGGGCAGCGAAGAAGGGTGGACCGGTGAGGGTCCCCACGTTTCCTTGTTCTGTTGTCTGTTGGGAGAAGACTTGATGCACTGCTTGTGAGGGGTGAGAGGAGGAGAGGTTATCCAGATGGACATGGATGAGCGTTAACTTACACCCCGAGCGAACACGACGGTCATCGCTTTGCAGCCTGCTCCATCTGCCAAGTCGTTCTCGGTCGTCGATGAGCCGAGTGTGCCTGTACTGTTTGTTGTTGCTGCAGACATGAACGGCACAGAGAGCAAGAGAAGGTTGAGTGAGGAACGCATTTTGGGAACTGGCCGCAAACAACAAATGAAATTTTAGAATGGGACAGATGATCTGCAGTATAAACTTAGGAGATCGACGTGGGAGAAGGGACGAAGATCTATATATGCGTCCTTTCGCGGACTCGCGACTCTTTCCAGCTGGAAGCTTGCCCACGACATATTTTGCGACCAATGATGTGAAAATTCCTGCGCAACATATACCGGTATGAGTTTGGAGAATACACAAGGGAAAAGTTGCGATTGGGCGCGAGATTAGTGAGGGTGGTTGCGATTGGAGGCACTGGAAACGTCTGAAGCACTCGCTTTGGATAACGGCGTCGTCGTCTGATGTTTGAAACATATTCGATAATTTGAGAGATGTATCCGAGGCAGGTAACCGTGCAGGGCGAGATGGCTTGATAGTTCGGTAACACCGGTTCGACGCAATTTTCTTAGACTGGAGATTCTTGATGTTAGATCAAGTTTTTTATGCTTCAATCGCGAGGAACGACGCGGTGATGTGAAACCCCTGGGCTGGTCCGACATGATGAACAGATTTGCAGCTGAAAGTCCGAGGCAGCCCAATTTTCGCAGCCCACCTCGGTCTCTTTACTGCTCTGAAAGTACTCCAAATGTGATAATGATGGCGAGATCTCATATATCTGGGTAACAGGTGACGGGAGCTTTAAGTCACGAGCTTGATACTCCTATTCGGGCCTCGCTTCGGAAGCGCGACCTGGGTTGGTCTTAAGATCGATTACGGTTATCACCCCAATTAAAAAAAGCATTTATAAGAATCTTCGATGGCCTTCAAGTCCTTGCCGGCGGAAGCGATATGCAACAAAATTGACGATTCCTTTGGCCTGGATAGCCAGACTTGATAGGTCCAATATGGAACAAAGAGTCCACGGTTACGTGTCTCCATTTGTAAACAAAGACAAGCGAAAGAAACCCTCAGAACAATTACATGCATGAAATTTTCTTTAAAACAGAAGTTGAGAATAGGGTCATATGTGCCAGTACTTTAAGCACAAGATTTTCCTCTAAACGTTAGCCTCGCCGCATATTGGCTTTCTCCTCACTCTACAACGCAATCACCAATTAAAAGTAGCAACCTTCGATCAATCAACAGTTAGGCGCTTAATCTCTACTCAAGCATCCACCATGGCAATCGGAAGCAATAAATCTAAATTCAACGGCAAGAAGGACCAAGATGTTGAGCATAAGGAGGGGGTGGATTAGGAAATCTCTTCTTTACTCAAGTGAGGTTAGGCTAAAACAAAGGCTTCACTCTTTCTCTGTGCCCCGTTTTCTTTATTCAAGTTTCCCTATCTTTCTATTGGAAGACAATTAAAAAGGTGTACTAGAACGACCAAAACCCATTTTTTCTTTGTAATATTGTACAAATTTCCCTTTCTTGGATAAATTAACAATCGAGTGATATGTTATTGTTCGGGTTGGTCCTTGCCAAGTGCGATACATTTTGAAAATTGAAGGTTAAACACTGAGAGGTTAGGATTTAGCTCGTTCGGATTACTCAAGGATAATTCTGCAAACTAGCGAGCTTTGGCTGTGGTGAAGCAATGATACAAGGCCAGTGGACCGTCTCAACTGCAGAGGAGCGAGGAGTGAAGTCGTGTGAGTGAAGAAGCAGACGTGATCGATGTCCGGGAAAGTGATGATCAACGAGATAGAGATAGAATTTATAGCGAAAGAGTCTCCAACAGCCCGTTGCCTTAGGTAAACATGTAATTTCAGTGTTTCGTTGAGCTAACAATTGCGGTCGATTTGGGAAAGGGGCACAAGTTTCAGGACACCAGGGGAATGATGCCCTTGCACGTGACTTCTAAAAAGAGCCAAGTCTCGAAATGTACTTTTCTCAACCTTCACCTACACCACAATCCTAGGAATGAACGCTCTTCTCGGACTGTCTTCACCCCTTTGTACGCAGCTTTCGCTCATGCTGTGTTCGGCCTCTTGTAGGACTGTCGCATTGCTCTAGGATTATGGAGGTACAATTACTGTTCCTGAACCCAACTTGCCCCCATCGAGTCACCGTCTACTGCCTGCCGGCCTATCCACTGCTCCCGTCGCAGCCTTAAATTACGATCTCTCGATGAGACTGGGCTTGGCAACGCTCAATAATCATTCTTCCCGGTCCCTGGGACTTGACACGTCAGTCGGTGAGTCGGAGTCGGAGAGTGCTCAAGGCTGCAGTGCAGGCAGTGCAGGCAGTGCAGACCTCCTGGTCAAAGCTGAGACCTTCACAACGAGTGTGCGGCTGAGATTACAAGCCCCATTTTCATCTCTAATCCAGGTGGTTTGAAATCACCCCACGGAATGGATCCTGGCGTGTCTCGTGCAACCTCAAGGCTCTGTTCCTTTGGTTGAGCGGGGTGCGGATCGGAAGCCCCCAAATTTCCAGCGAATAGCCTCGATGCTCCCACATACCTTGCGGAGGCAAGATGCAAGTAAGGCAAACACCGTGGAGGCTCACGGCCAGTGTCAGCCTGTCGCTGCCTGCCCAGCTGAGGGAGCAGGGAATGCTTGAGCTGGCCGATGACACACAAGACGCAAGGCTGGCGCTCACGCCGATTATAACCTTAGTCCATATCCCCAAGTGGGTATTCTGCCTACGGCGCGCACGGTTTCTTCTTTGCTATCGTCTTGCCACTGATATTTTCTATTGTCAACAACCTTGATATCTAGCTGTGCTGAGAAGATGTCTTCGGACGTCGAAACGAGCGACTCGGAGCGGGACAGAAGCAAACCACCCCCAGCACCTTTCTCCAGCAGCAAATCGAAGTCCAAGAAGAAACGAAAGCCTCTCCCACCCCAAGAGACCATCAACAAGATATGGTCACGCTTTTCGGCGCAGAAGTTCAGCAAGGCGACAGTTATCCTTCCTTTCGCATCTCAGTCTGCACAAAACCGCGATGCATCCAAACCTCCGAAACCTCCCCAACCCGAGCGAAACAACCTTCTCGTCTCCGAAGATTACGAAAGAGCCGTGCAAGAATGCCGGGCGAGGGTCAAGAAACTTATAAAGGAATGCAAGGTACGATGGGGAGAAAGTCTTTTTCATGGGGGAATCTGCTAAGCTAATATATCGCAGAGAGTTAATATGCGCTACCGCGATCCGGACTTTGATATTGATTGGGATTTGAAATGGGGGAAAGGATATTGCCTCAACAGCCTTGGAGACAATAAGTTTGAAATCGATGGACCAGCTTTTTCCAACCCGACATCGAACTCCCCCAAAGCTGTGAAGAGGGTTCACGAAATATTCGACAAGCCCACTTTCTTAAAGGATAAGGTCGTACCTAGCGATGTCAAGCAGGGGTCTATAGGAGACTGTTGGCTGATGGCTAGTTTGACGGCGCTGGCGAATATGGATATTGGAATCAACCGGATCTGCGTTGAATGGGACACCAAAATTGGCATATACGGTTTCGTATTTCACCGAGACGGCGAGTGGATCCAAGTTATCATCGATGATAAACTCTACTTGAAATCACCGGATTGGGACTCGCCATCCGTCCAGCGCCATCTATTAGAACAGACTGATAGAGAGGACGTTGAGACAGAGTATCGGAAGACTTATCAGACAGGATCTCAGTCCTTGTTTTTCGCCCATTGCCGAGATTCAAACGAAACTTGGCTGCCTCTACTTGAGAAGGCTTATGCCAAAGCTCACGGAGATTATTCTAGCTTGAATGGTGGATGGATTGGGTATGGACAGAAGTGGCCTCCTTTGTTTGAAACTTGCTGACTTCCTTTAGTGAAGGGGTCGAGGACCTTACTGGCGGAGTAACGACCGAGCTGTTAACATCCGATATCCTGGATAGGGATGAATTTTGGGACAATGAGATTGTGAAAGTCAACAAAGAATTTCTCTTCGGTTGCTCAACTGGCCTCCTCGATGGAGGATACGGCAGCAGAGATGGTATATCCGAATGCCATGCCTACGTCATTATGGAGGCTCGAAAGTTGTCAACTGGACAACGATTACTCAAACTTCGCAATCCGTGGGGGAAGGGAAAGAAAGGGAATTGGGAAGGAGCTTGGTCCGATGGGAGCAAGGAATTTACCCCGGAAGCCCAACGGGAACTGAACCATAAGTTCGGTAATGACAGCGTATTCTGGATCTCGTACGAAGATCTTCTACGCAAATATCAGCACTTCGATCGGACTCGACTCTTCATGGACTGTCCCAATTGGCGAATAACCCAGAAATGGATTAGCGTCGACGTACCTTGGAAGGCCGAGTTCGAGCAAAAGTTCAAGATCGTATTGATGAAGGAATCGCCTGTCGTACTGGTATTAAGTCAACTTGACGACCGCTATTTTGAAGGCTTGCAAGGACAGTACACGTTCAGACTACAGTTCCGACTCCACGAAGTAAACTCGCCTGGAGAGGATGACTACATTGTTCGAAGCCACGGCAATTACTTGATGGAGCGAAGCGTCGTCACAGAGCTTAAGAGCTTGAAAGCTGGCACATATACGGTCTTTGTCATGGTGGTGGCTGATCGAAACACAAGCCGGTCCGCAGTGGAGGACATTGTGAAATCGCAGTGTCGGAGAAGAGTCGACAATGAAAAGCTGGCTCAGGTGGGCATGTCATATGATATTGCTCACAACAAGGGTGCGGCATATACGACGTCGAAAGCAGCTGCTAGAAAAGCCCATAACAAGGTCAAGGCTCGAGAGTCTAGAATCGCGACGAGGAGAAAGAACTGGGAGCGGAGACAGCTTAGCCGCGAGATTGTAAGGAAGCAAGACAAGAAGAACCGAGAGAAGCGCGAGCAGAAAGAAGCGAAGAATGTGGCCGAGGCTAAAGCCAAGGAGGAGAAGGAGCCGAAAGACAAAGCTATCCAAACGGATGATATCAAAGAAGTGGCTCTTGAAATGGAGGACAAGGGAATACAAACTGAGGACCGAAGCGCATCGAGCGCCGAGTCCGACAAGACGGCTATCCCGCCAATATTAGAGGCAGCGAACGAGACCGATAAAGGGGTCCAGACCGACTACTTCTCCGCGTCCGAGTCTCCAGATACTCCCGAGACACCAAAAAGCAGCTCAGTTGCAGGCTCCACAAGCCCGGTAACTCGAATTCCGCGAATGTATCATGGAGGTCCGCCTCCTCCCCCGCCTCCACAATACAGATCCGGTCGGAAGGGATCCGTACCCGGTTATACCCGTGGAGCTTCTCAACGCCAGCAGTACATTATTTCGGATGGCGAGTCCAGTGCCAGTCCGATATCTGACTTCGATGATATGTACAGCGACGATGACCCCACGTTGAAGCCCAGAACTATCAACACTACGGGTGCCTTACCCAAGTCGAAGGGCAAAGATTCCGATGATGAAGATGGACCTGAGCCTTGGAATGCTGTTTGCATCGTGGGATTCAGAGTGTACAGCAAGGATGAACACTTAGAAGTACGGATTTCTGAGGATGGTGATGATGAAACCGAGATGGGAGAAACTTTGGCCCGAGAAGATGAAGGTGGTGAAGCTGACGTTGAAGATGGCGGAGATGAGGTGAAAAGTGGAGAGAAAGATGGCAAAAAGGATGATGAGAATATCCCCGAAACCAAGGTCGATAAATCGGACGAAAGCAGTCTGCCTATTAAGGCAAAAGAAGATGAACGACTCATCTTGGTCGACGACGAGAAGAAAGCTCTTGCACTGGGCGCTGCAGAAACCTCCGCCACTACTGAGAATAATTTCGAAGCGGAAGTCGGCAAAACAGCACCTGTCGAAGAAATATCGACAGTGGCAGCGAGTAAGGAGAAAGAAAAGCAGGCTACTGCAGCTTCGTGAGGGTTTCTCTGGATTTCGTCGCTGGTGTTTGGGATACTCTACTCAATTGTAGCAGGACTACGCTTCTCAATTTGGATGTCTGTTACGAAGTCATGACGTCTATGTAAGGTAAAGACTGATACGAGCGTGTGATCTGTACTTCATTCACCCCAAGTTTAATACCAATTTTGTCTTTATTCATCCGACTTGCAAATCGACAGATGTGGAGACGTGTGGAGCCGCAAGGGTCTTGTTGCAGCGGCTATACTTATTCCCGCCAATTTCAGCCCTACTGGGCAGGAAGAGGTATTTTTGTGCACCTTACCCCTCAGAAAGGGAACCTTTCAACTTCCTGGTTTTATTTCGTGTTCACTTTCTTTCTCTTATCCCACATGTTCATCGAACAAATGTTGCATGGATCAAGCCTCAATCCTTAGCATGTTCTCCCTGGTCGGGCAGACAGCACTCATCACAGGTGGAACACGAGGCATTGGTCAAGCCATGGCTTTGGCACTGGCAGAAGTCGGTGCAGATATCATTCTTGTGCAAGTGCGGGGTCCCTTCTTGAGAACTTTATGCCTGGTCGTCGCTAATATTGGAGAAGCGCGATGTCGAGAATCTCGAGACGAAAAAGGCGGTTGAGGCTCTTGGCCGCAAAGCAACAGTCTACACAGCTGATCTCTCATCGCAGCCATCAGTAGCAGGCATCGTACCGGCTGTGTTGAAGGATGGTCATTCTATTCAGATCCTCATTAATTGTGCTGGAATTAACAAGCGGCATCCCAGTCATCAGTTCCCCGACAGTGACTTGAATGAAGTAGGTTCTTGGTTCTTTGGAAACGAGGAGATGAGTTCTACTAACGCCAGAAAGGTTATGCAAGTAAACCTCAACGCCACATTCTCTCTCTGCCGCGACGTCGGCGCCCACATGCTCTCCCAACCCCTCCCCGCCTCCGGCCGCCGCGGTAGCATCCTCAACTTCGGCTCCCTGCTCTCCTTCCAAGGCGGTCTTAACGTTGCCGTCTACGCCGCTTCCAAAGGCGCTATAGCCCAGCTCACGAAGGCGCTCAGCAATGAATGGGCGGGCCAGGGTATCACGGTTAATGCTATCGCGCCGGGATATGTGGTTACGGATATGAACGAGAGTTTGTTGAAGAATGAGGAGCGGTTGAGGAGTATTAATGAGAGGATTCCGGCTGGGAGATGGGGAGAGGTTGGGGATTTTAAGGCGGCGGCTGTGTTTTTGTGTGGGAGTGGGGGGAGTTATGTTACGGACATGTTTTGGCCATTGATGGTGGGTGGCTTGCGAGGTAGATTTGCTGTGGTTTGAAGGAGAGAGAAATTGGGTTGTATTTGAAGTTTAAGGCTAATTTGAAGAATATTAATGAAGACATTATTTCAAACCATTCCGTTAAGAGACATGAAAACAGGATATCATAAGTCTGTTCCCACAAAAGACTTACGAGCCGAAGTCTCGAAGTCTCGTTCACTCTCTCCTGACCTCCTCAGCCAGTATAACGGTGATGCTTGTTTTCTTTGTCCGTTTGATCTCTGTGAAAATCGGAAGTCAGTATTTTTCGGTCGGTCAGTGTAGAGAGGTTAAATGTGGAACCTACCTAAGACCAGACATATGATCCAGATTATCCACGCCAGTTCTGTAGTTTGGATCAGTGAGTGCTAACTTGTCTCGCCTTTTGTTTTCAATAATAAACGCCGCCCAAGTAGTAAGCGAAGTAATAACGTAAAGAACCGTAAGCCTAACAGATCAAGTCAGTATATATCGAGAAGATATTCAAGTTCGCAGTAGCTCGAAATCTGGAGAACCTACACAAGGACAAAAGTCAACCCTGTATGATACCTCGGGCTTTCACTTCCCAAAAACGTCTGAGGTGTAATGATATCGATGACACAATACATGAAGAAGGTCCAGGAGGTTGTGAACTGCTTCTTTGTAAAACCAGCAATGTTCGAGCCGAGGACACTCATCGTGACTCCGTAATTTACCCCTGAGAAGGCCAGCATGAAACAGCCGCCCAGCCTAAGATTTTGGTATCTAAGCTCATCTGGAGCGGCGTAGAGGATGGCGACTCCGGCAACAGCCACAATGCTTGATGCCGCAGCAAGAGGTTGCCTCATGTGTCGCATTGAAGGGAAGAGGGAAGGCGGCGCTGAGACGAGAAGTTGCATCACGGCCTTTGTTTGTTAGAATGGTCGCGATTGATGATGACTTAGAGCTTTACCTGGATAGCAGAGTTTGGTGCAGTGTATAGCTGGGCTTTCAGTTGAGTATAACCGAACCCCTGGGTATATTGTTAGCTGTCTTGTAAAAAGATTAATACTGCATTGGTGAAACTTACCGTGATAATTATTCCCAGAAAATTTGTGGTAACATTGCCAACAGCTTGCGAGAAGAACATTTGAAGAACAATCAACCAGGAGCGGTAATCTGCAAGTGCCTCGCGGATCTGAAAGGGGTTTGCATCAGAGGAATCCTTTCGGAAGTGTTAGCAACTAACCTGTCCCCACTTGAGGTGATCTGTACTTGACTTAGCGAGGCATTTGACAATGTTCGAGAAACTGTACGTACTATTCTTGACCCCGAGCTGGTGGTCTGCAACACGCTGCACAGCAATTGCTTTTTCTCTTTCGTTGAGCCACTTCACCGAAACAGGCGAATCCGGTATGAAGAAGAACTGTAGTAGCACGTCAGATGCGCACCCGAACGGCGGATCAAGACACATACCAGAACAACCGCAGTGACACAACTCAACAAGCCAATGAGGAGGAAAATCAGGCGCCATGACAACTAGAATCGATGCATCAGATATGAACACGTGTTCACGATGGTCGGGTCAGGGGTACCAAAGGGCCGCTTTCGACATGTCCCAGTCCTGAAAGCAAATCCATTAGAGTTTGGAATTTAGCACTGGAACATTTCTGGATCTTACCGTAGTAAATAAGGATGAATGGGACAGGAAGAGCGCCGTTCATGAAAGTCCAGAGACCAAACCGGAGTGGCTGTTCAGTTGGTGTGTACCTAATGGGACAGATTAGACACGATTAGCTGAATTGTCGCCGACACTGACCACATAGTTGTTCTATATAAGTTAGCATAATGTCTGAAACATGTTTTTTGGGAATACTTACATCAACAGGAGACCTGGTACAAGTGAAGACTCGAAGACACTGTCGAATGTTCAGTGGGACTCTAGGCATTTCTGTATCAGGTATGTCTCTTTACCCAAGGAGAAATCTGAGGGCAATGAGAGTCCCATAATTCCTAGCCCCCGCACAGCCGAGCAGGGTGCATCCCCAAAGGAAGAAACAAATGCCGATAACCTTTCCAGAGTGAAAACGCTGCAGGGCACGTCCAGCAAAAAACGTACCACCCAGATAACCGAAGTAAAACATCTGAATCTGTGTTAAAGATGCAGATTCAAAGTCTGCAGAGGGATTCATTTACCGAGACACACCAAGAATACTGGTTTCCGACCAAGTGAAGGTCTTTCCGAAGTCCATACGTTGCTGCAGCGCCGAGTCCCGACTGCAGACATAAATTTCCTTTCCCATCTCTGGTGCGGTATTGAAGCCTACCTTGTCAACGAACTGAAGACCGCATGACCATGCAGCAAGTGGCATAATATGCCAATCGATCTTACGCAAGACTTTGCATTTTTCTAGAAGGGTCAGATCCCAAATGTAAACAACTTTTATTGTCGTCGAACTTACCTTCTTCAGTAAAATGCAAGTCTTGGCCCCGGAGAGCAACAACGCCGATGTCAACATCACCTTGGATGCCTTTCAGCTCCTCTTCATCCATGTAGTTGTAAGTCTCTACATGCTGTCTGATTCCTTCTGGATCCACCACGTTCTTTTTCTTCTCTATATCCGGCGTAGACATCGTTTCCGTGATTTCTGGTTGAGTTGATTGTTCAAAAGTGATTGAGCAAAACACTTGGCAAATATCCAGGACTAGATCCCAGTGATCCGTGGCATTTCTAGGCGATGCATGCTTGGGACGACCCAAAAATAGACTCCTCGTTTTCTGCAAGCTGGGCAGGGGCTGTAGGTTTGCGAAGTGTGGAGAGCGGGGTAGTCTTGATTTGCTTCTTGATGGAACCAACCGATGGGAGAGTGTTTTGCCACTTTCAAGGGATCCTGACACATGTTTTCCTCGGACATGTGTTCAAGTCACCCAGGGGAGCACCTAATCATCAGCTGTCTTGCTGTGCCCTGTGGTGATAAAGCTGTGGATACCCCGCAAAGTCGAGGTTGGTGACGGGGTACAAAGGCAAGGGGCAAGCGAGGCAGGGGAACCTTGCGGGTTTGAATCTGAAGTTGGACGACTTTCCGTGGTGTAGTCGAGGACTTACGGAAGCGGGCGTTCAGGGCGGGTGAGTCTTTGGTCGGACAAATGATTATTGACGATTGCTCGGGAGGAAAGCTTCTAAGAGGCATTGCTCGAGCTTGGTTTTGGCTCCGTTCCGATGACACCGCAGATATGAACTTGTATAGAGTCAGGTAAAATTTCATTCAAAGGGCGGAGAATCAGTCATAGATTATCATTTTCAAAACTTTGAACAGTCGTTCATTGACGATTTGGAAGATGGAGTTCGGAATATAAAAATCGGGCTTTTATTTATGGCCGGATGAGCCATCCCTGCGGGGCGGAACGATGCATCCTCCTCGATCGAGGATTCGACTTTGCTGGTTGAATCTTCTTCCGCCTGCACCGGAGGAACTAAATCTAGCGCACGCCACTAATCCACGCAATAGTGTGAACAAAGGGCATTCTTGATCGTCTTTTAAAACGTTGAATGCAATCTTCTTTAACTGTGTTGCAGTGAACACGACAACTTCTTGCAACTCATTTCCCTTCATTGCATCTTTATAGCTCCTGGACATGGCTTCAAAAGATTCAAATCTTCCTGAAGAGGAACAAATCCAGCCTCGAAATTTTTACATTTTTGGTCAAGGTATCTCTTTCAGTATGTCTCCAACAATTCATAACGCATCATTCCGCTTCTACAACTTGCCTTACACCTACGCCATCCACGAGGCAGCAACAGTCGATGAGCTCGCTCCTCTTATATCTTCTCCGAATTTTGGAGGATCGAGCGTTACTACGCCGCACAAGGTGGAAATCATGAAATTCTGCTCCTCGATATCTGAGCACGCACAGAATTGCGGTGCAGTCAATACTCTGATTCGTGATGAATTGAGTAGCAGCGCAAATGGCAATGTGATCAGAGGGGATAATACTGACTGGAAGGGACTTGTTGGGGTGCTGGAGCAACGGGCAGAAAAACTTTCAAACAAGGAATTGAAGACAGCGCTTGTGATCGGAGCAGGAGGGGCATCCAGAGCAGCTTTGTACGCGTTACACCAATTCGGCTGTGAAACAATCTATATGAGCAACCGCACACGAGTAACGGCAGAAGAAATCGCTCGGAGCTTTGCTTTGCTCTTCAAGATCATTGTTTTGGACTCTCTTGACGAGTTCTCGAATGAAGGACGCGTCGCTCCGGACATTCTCGTAGCTCCGGATATCCTCATCGGAACGATACCCGCTGACAAGACAACAATTGATTCTTTCCCTCGGAGTTTATTCGCCAAGCCAGAGGGTATATGTGTAGATATGTCCTACAATCCACGTTATACACCCCTCTTAGCAGCAACGGACAAATATGGGGAAGGTAGATGGGGAACTGCTTCGGGAATCGATGTTCTGCTGGAACAAGCATTTACCCAGTTTTGGATGTTTACTGGGAAAGACGCGCCAAGGGAGGTAATGTGGGAGGCTGTTAGGAAAGCAGATGAAGAGAAGAAGTCTTTGAACAAATAGTTTTCGGAGCAGCCGTGTAGGAAACTCAGACGAAAGCCAATCAACGTATTTCAAAGCAAAACCTGACCCTCAAACAGAAAGGCTTGGAGTGACCTAATAGCGTTCCCAAAATGCCCGACCCGGCTCATCGAGTATGGGGAGCTTCACAGAAGGCATGCGTAACCGTACCGACCATATGCTTCTATGTATGTCCCATCTCCGCAGAGCACATCGACTGCAAGTCTTGGTGTTGCCAGGTGTCCAAAACAGCCCACCTCCTTCGCCGTCGAGATGTGTCGAGGGTATGTAACCTCAGCTGATTCCCAAGTTGTCAATGAAGTCGAAACGACCCCTCAAATCCAGGCGCCCAGCAACGGGTTGTTGTCATCTCCGCGCAGCGCGAAAGCAGCTTCGTTGTGGGAAGCAACGAAGTTGTCGTTAAGTAATTGTTGATCTGGCGGTGGTTGAGAAGGAAAGAGGGAGGGAAACTTCAGACGCGAAGAAGTTTTCTGCTCCTGCACGAGCCGAGCCGAGGAAGTCTGGGCTTGGCATCAAAACATCCCCGCCATCTCCAACATCATGTCATTCTACTTTCGTCTTCCTCTCCTTCCAATAATGGTCAAACAACAACCAAAATGTTACTACTAGGTCTCACCGGCTCGATCGCAACTGGCAAATCGACCGTCTCCTCAATTCTCTCCTCTCCACCGTACTCCCTCCCTATAATCGACGCCGACATCCTCGCGCGAAAAGTCGTCGAACCCGGCACTCCAGGCTACAAAGCCATCCTCTCGCATTTCCAATCCACAACTCCCGATCTCCTATTACCTTTCCCTGACGATCCAAGTTATGATCGGAGCAAGGGCGCGCCGCTGAACAGGCCTGCGTTGGGCAGGAGAGTCTTTGGAGATTCGGAGGAGAGGAAGAAGGATCGTGGAGTGCTGAATGGCATTGTGCATCCGGCGGTTAGGAGGGAGATGTATAAGGCGTTACTGGGAGCTTATTTGAGAGGTTGCTGGGCAGTGGTACTGGATGTTCCGTTGCTGTTCGAGAGTGGCCTTGATACGCTATGTGGTACGGTGATGGTGGTTGCGGTTAGCGACCCGGCCATTCAAATGAAGAGATTGAGGGAGAGGGATCCGCATTTGAGCGCGGAGGATGCAGAGAATAGAGTCAAGAGCCAGGGCGATGTCAGGGAGAAGGCTATGAGGTGTGAGGAGAGAGGCAAAGGGAAGGGAGTTGTCGTTTGGAATAACGGAGATAAAGCTGCATTGAAGGCTGAGCTGGAGAGGCTTATGCGGGAGGTTTCAAGGAGTAGTCCAAGATGGTGGGCTTGGCTGCTTCTACTGTGCCCGCCGCTGGCTGGACTAGCGGGAATATGGAATTATTGGCGGAATTGGGTTATCAATCGGAGGTGGAGGGAAGGGGAACTGAAGGCGAAAGCTAAGTTATGAAGATGGTTCTCGACGACATATTTCCCGATCTCAGGGGGCACTCAGACAGACGTTGCCAGTGTGGCGTCAAGCTTGGACAGATCAGCTCCTTGGTTCTTTGGGGGACATCTCTGCAGCCGAGTTCAGGCCAATCTAGCAGGATTAATTCGAGTAGTTGACCGGAGGATTCCCGATAGGTGTTGTACTGTTGCTCACCAGAAAAGCCAGAGCCCAGCTTGGAAACCAAGGAGCTTGTCCCACTGGAACCTCCATCGCCTATTTCTGAGAGTCTGCTACTCAGCTGGCTTACAGGTTAGGGGCTCGATTGGTCGCAAATCCTGGGCATTTGTTGAAAATCCACTATTCAGATCTCCATCAAGATCACCGGGTAGCCTATTTCTTCATCTATAGACCCTTTTAATTTGCCCTGTGCAAAACCTTTTTCTACCTCTCTAGAGAAAAATCGATTCAGATCTTCACTTGGGATTCGAAAAAAAATATGTTGCACATCGCGCCAATGCCCCAGAACTTCCAGTACAGTGAGATTCATCACAGTCTTCGAATGGGAGTGAATCTAAGGAGTCCGACCTTTGTTGTATATTGCATCAACATCCCATGTCTTCCTGGTACCATGAAAATGTCTTCAAAGAGAAGAGTGAATCTCAGAGCTCAAACTTTTGTTGCATATCTCATCAATGTTCCAGAGCTTCCTAGTACATTGAGATTGTCTCCAAATGGTCCTCTGGCCATTTGATCAACTCCTCCATCCCATTAATCTGACTAGCACCATCCTGAGGGACGGCCTATCTGCACGAGCAGATGCAGTGAATTTTGCCGATTATTTTAAAACTCTCTCTCCTAAAGTCTCATTTTGCGATATCATGCATGCCTGCGCTTCTCAATCTATAACGGGGGCAATATAGGATGAGAAAGCCAGTGCAACTTCTGATTGGTAAGTTATGAAAGTCTAGATTAAGACTTGCATGCTTCTAGAATCATAGAAATTTCATGGCAAGAATATCGATATGGAACTTAAAAGTAGCAGACTCTTGCATTTCTAGATGTTCCTTGGGTGTGTATGTTGTAAAAAATGCCAAGACGCATGGCTGATCTGTCATTCCTTCCAAATTGGGAAGCTTCGCTAATCCTAGTGCTGCTTCACCACTTCCCTAACTTTGTTCCTTCCCATCTTCATTTCTTTTCCGGCACTAATGCCTCCCTCATTCAAGCTTGGTGATGTGTGCGGTCTCTCGTATGGGATATTTCGACCTTTGAGAGGCAACACGTTCTTCTCTGCCATTTAAAAAGGCTGCGCTGGCCTACCGGTACTCATCACTTGATATCCCGTGCACACTCAACCCAATTAGTGTCTGGACAACTGCCTCTGGAAATCTGGATTCACTTGTGAGCATTCATCCCAGCACGTAAACAGAGAAAGCATCCCTTTATTGAAGTGTCCTAACATGAGCAGCACCCACCAATCTCAAAACCCCGACATCTCTGTGGAGTGTTCAACCACAGTCCAGCTCCTAGCACACTTGGTGACAGCAAGTTGCAGAGGAGCGTGTATACTTGAAATCACCAAAGAAGTATGCATTGACGCATGTCCAAGGATCCTTTCCCTTCCTTACCCCTGGCTAACTGGTGCCACAAATAGTTTTTCATCCTGTCGTGTCGCAGCCGGTTCACCTATCAACCAAAACCATCCCCTATTGACGATCCTTGTTTCTTTCATTCTCCTGTATGAGTGTGACTCAATCTACTGGAATATATCGATGCCTTACTGAGTAGAGGATCGCATTTATATCCCAACTTTTCAACACAGCGGAAAGTTTCAGGGAAACGCTCGCAACCCACGCAGCATCATCCATTTCGCTGAAGGAAACGCCTTTGAAGATATTTTCATCTGTATTACACCTTGAATGCCTCTTGTAGAGCGTAGCTGATGCCTGTTTCTGCCGGTATTTTTTAGCCAGACTCCATGGGAGTCTTTCAAATTGACGTCCACTATGGGTTTCATGGAGTATGTAGTCGGTGCTCAAATTGCGGCAAAGGCGAGACCGCCGCCACCACCACGACGGCGATCGCGATCTCCCCAAAGAAAGTTGGTTGTCCACGTCGAAACCTCCGAATCAGAGTACGAGACCTCTTCATCCGACGAATCCCTGAGTCGGAAATCGAAGGCCAAGGTTGAGACGAAGGAGGGGAAAGTGGGGAAGAAAGTACGTTTTATCGAGGAGGAAGACAAGCCGAAGTCGTGCTTGAAGAAAAGCTCCGGGGATTCGAAATCGGAGAGCAGTGGCGAGGACTCTGGAAGTGAATGCAATTGCAAGACTTGTGACTCGCCTAAGACTAAGGAGAAGCTAAACAAGGAGCATTCGAATAAGAAAGGCGGCAAAGGTGAAGGGCAGAATTCACAAAATTCTAGCAACAAGCAGGGGAAAAACCAGAACCAGCACCAAAATCAAAACCAAAACCAAAACCAAAATCGGGCCAACAACCAATCTCATGGTGGTAACGGCAATTCTGGCTCGAACAATCAGGGCAATATACAACAGCAGAGAGGACGGAATCAAGGCAACAATCAACAGCAGAGCAACGCAAACCAACCTACGAACCGACCCAATTCCTCACAACCCCGTCAGAACAGCGTAGCCTTTCCAAGAGCCGCAGCAATGGGCCGAATCCTAATGTCATCAAGAGCCAGCGTCGTTCTTCGAGAGGACGTGATGGAATGCCCTTCCGATCCACGTCCAAACGCGTTTTTCGACCCAAACACGAGTGTTCTGAGAGTCTACCATGGCCCAGTCTACGGCAATCCATATGCTACACTTGTTCCCCACGGACTGCCAATTGGAACTGGTCCTCCCCATGCTAGCCAGTTCGGCCCGCCTCCTCAAATGAATGATGGTCCCATGTATGGCAATGGATACAGTTCAGGTGGGCTGTCGATGAACAATGGCAACAAGCAATGGGGTGGATCTCCAACAACTCCTCAGCAGCAAAATCAACAACTTCAGCAGCGAAACTCCCAAGCCACAAATCAAAACAACATGCAAAATCAGAAGTCACCTACAAATAGCGGTTGGGTCACAGTCACACCACAAGAAGCCGATAACATGGCCAAAGGTGAGATGCCAGGCGCTTGGAAGAATGATAGCATTGAATCAAACCAGAACAATTCGGGTTGGGGCGACCAGAATCAAAATTCGACTTCAAACGACAACAACAGCTGGGGAGTCCAGAATCAAAACTCGACTTCTAATGATAATAACTCTGGAGGTAAGGGAAACTCAAATCCAGCTGCGACTGCTACAACCGACAATAACAATTCGACAGGCAGCTGGGGAGGAAATCAAGACTCGAATTCGAATAACAATAATAACGGGTCCTGGGGCAATCAGAATTCAACTTCCAATGACAACTCTGGAGGTAAGGAGAATCCGGACCTAGCTGCGAGTACGACAACCGACAATAACAATTCGGCAGGCGGCTGGGGATCAAATCAGAACTCTAACCCCAATGATAACAACTCTGGAGGTAAGGGAGACCCAGATCCAGCTGCTGCTGCAACCGACAATAACAGCTCTACAGGCGGCTGGGGAGGCGACCAAAACTCGAGCTCTAACAACAACAATAACGACTCCTGGGGCCATCAGAATTCAAGTTCCAACGACAATAATAACAACAACAACTCTTGGGGCAACCAGAACTCCGGCTCAAATGATAATAACAACAGTTCTTGGGGCAACAACCAGAACTCGAGCTCCAATGATAATAACAACAACTCGTGGGGAAACCACGACTCGGGTTCTAACGATAACAACAACAACAACAGCTCTTGGGGGAATCAAAACTCGGGCTCCAATGATAACAATAGTTCTGGGGGCAATCAATATTCTAATTCAAATAATAACAACAACTCCTGGGGCAGCCAGAACTCGAATTCGAATAATAATGGCTCGTGGGGAAATCAAAATTTGAACTCCAACAACAATAATTTCTGGGGCAATCAAAGCTCGAATGCGAATGCGAATGACAATAACAACTCCTCCTCTAACAACAATTCTTGGGGCAACGGAAATCAACGAATCAAACCCTGGGAGAATAACGGAGGAAACAATCAGTCAAACGATTCGGCTCCGGGCTGGCAAACCTCCCGTGGAAATAATTCTTCCAGTGGAGCACACAACAACTCCGACGACACATGGGGAGCACCGGCCAATCCTGCGCCGTGGGGTGATATGTCTGCCGCCCAGAGCAGAAGTGGCAATGAGAATAATAACCCTGGAAACTCTGGGGGGCAAAACAACGGCGGATGGAACAACAACGGGGGTAATGGATCCGGAGGAAATAATGGTTGGGGTGGAGGGAACTCGGGCGCGGCATGGGGAACAGAAACTGCACTCTCTGGAGGAAGCTGGGCTGATGGGGGCATTGGACCGACCGGGTCATCTAAGGTTAATGGCTCCGGCTGGTGAAGGCGATTGCATTTTCACTTGCTGGTCTACATCTGCTTGACATTGAGCATTGGCTGTTCTGGGATGTGACCGATCGAGGGGAGTTTATTTTAGCTTTTGAAGGGTCAGCAGTGCATTTAGAGGTATTGCAGAGAAGCCGGATCCAGGGTTATGTAGCTTTGTTCAAAAGGCTACTGTACTCCATGGGCTGGCCACGTTCTAATTGTGCATAGCTTTGCTTTACCAATCATTCTTAAATCATTGAGAGTGTTATGCAGGTAATGTGATATTATCAAATGCCAGAACATGTTCTTGCTGAGAACGTGGCCTCTTCAAAGCTGGCTGCCTGAAAATGACGAGGTTGAGTCGTAGTTCTAAAATATCTTGTCCGAGTCGAAAGAAAAGGAGGGCTACCCCTTCCTCGAAGGCCAAATTCATCAGCCTTTGAAATTCTCAAAGCAAATTCATGAACAATTAATGCACTGAGCTCCATCGACCAGAAAAGAAGAAGTCGTCTGAAGCTACCCCTGTCGAAACCTACCTATGACGCTCACCAACCCCACCAAAGTCACCTTCAAGTAAATGCCATCTTCAACCACAACCCCGATTTCCCTCACCACGACAATACTCCTCCTCTCACTCCTCCTGTTGTGCTTCTTCCCAAGTCTATTCCACATTCTCTGGTCAATCCCTCTCGCGCTTCTCACCCCATCAACCTACGTCCCACACCCGTCTACCAAGCCTCCACCATCTTCTCCCATACCGCCCTCTCCAGCCGGCACCATGTCCTGGTTCCAAAAGTCCATCACCCTACCGTCGAAATCTCGCGGCTCGTACCTCATTACAGACACGATATTAAAGGAGATTCCGGAGATCAAGGAGTACAAAGTGGGACTGTTGAATCTGTTTATCCAGCATACGAGCTGTGCGCTTAGTTTGAATGAGAATTGGGATGAAGATGTTAGGGCGGATATGAGTGATGCTCTGGATCGGATTGCGCCGGAGGATAGGAAGGGGGAGTTATATAGGCATAGCGCTGAGGGGTTGGATGATATGCCGGTTTGTGCTTCTTCGATTTCGCCCCTCTTCTCGGTGTTTTGACGGATGGGGTTTGAGGTGAAGAGCAAGGGCTAATGGTTACTGATTGAAAGGCTCATATCAAGAGTGCGTTGGTTGGAGCAAGCGTTACGGTGCCGATTACGAATGGAAAGCTTAATACGGGAACCTGGCAAGGTATTTTGTTTTAAATTAGGAATGTATTAAGTCTGAAGATCTAACTTTCTATAGGTATTTGGTTTTTGGAGTTCAGGGCGAGTAAGCATTCGAGAAAGGTTGTTGCTACGATCCAGGGCGAGAAGCTGTGACTGTCTAGAGAGGCTGTGAGGGTATGAAATGGGTCATTTTCTGGAGTTGAGGAGTTGAGAGGTCGGTTCCTGGGGATATATACATTGCTGGGTGGCATCATACACAAAAATGGAGCATATGCCCTGTCATTAATGCTTTGGATTTTGGGAGACCAGATCTGTGCGTAATTACAGACAAGCCCTTCCTGGTATCTGCAGCAGAAGCTCCTCCAAATCTATGGTATCAAGTCCAGATATCCCAAAGCTTTTGATGCCATTCCTCTGAACGCCATACCATGCTAAAATTAGACCATCATTCAGTGGATCCCATTCTCATCTTTGAGGCCATCTTCCTTCATCTCCTCGTCACCACCAGCCAGGACCTTGGTTTTCGGAACATAGTCGCCATCCGGCCCACCTCCAGGTGTAACGGCTACAACTTGTCCATGCTCGTCAATGAACTCGAAGTTGTATCTTGAGAGGAGATGTGGAATTGCGGATAATTGGGGTCCGTAACGGGCTGTGTTGTCATAGAGCTCGAATAAGGGGACGGCGAGGAGTTTCATGTTCTTTGGGACACTCAGAACCTCTGCACAAGAAATTAGCTACAGCTCAGAAGTACTTGAATAGAAGCTTACTTTGTCTCGGAAGCTGAATAAAATACAACTTCTTACACTCCTTGGGTCTGGTAACATGCGCTGGGATGAACGGGTACATAAAGGTCTCGAAGTTCGGTCTCCACCACTGCGCTAGCGTATCACCAATCTCCCACTCTTCATTGACGCCCTCGCCACTAAACTGTGTGCCAACAGGAGCAAGACGCTCATTCAATCGCATCTTGAATCCTTCGATCTCGTCATCTTCGGGTTTGAGGTAGTCTCCAGGCAGCTTGAAGAATGCGTTGGCGATTTGCAGCATCAGAATGTGAGGATGGTTGTGTTCGTGGCAGACTAGGATGCCTTCACAGGTCCGTCGCATGCCGTACTCGACATAGTGTTCTTCGAGGCGCTTAAGGCGTGCGAGAACGGAGGGGTCTTCTTCAGGCTGGGTTTCTTTCGTGCCGAAGGTGTAGTTCGAGAGGGGGTAGAGGCGGATTGTTTTGGGTTGGTTGTCGTTGAAGGATTTGGGGAGAATCGGGGGATATGAGGTTTGTAGGGCGGTTTTTGTAATCGTCGACATCTTGTTTGTGGTTGCGGCTTTGCTTTGTGAAGAGGAGGAGCTTGTGAGCTCGAGGACCCAAGGCGGATGGCTGATCGAATTCTGCCATGAAAGCGGTGAGGGAGGGCGAGGAGGGAGGGACGACTCCATTGCAATTGAGGTTGGTTGCTTGATCCTTGGTCGTTTTCTATGACGAACCATTAGGAAATAAGAGTTTTGACCCTAAAGCAAACATTGCAAGACAGAGGAAATTTATGGGCGACATTTGTGTGCTTTTCATAAATTTCCAACAGAGCGATTTGGTCCTGTGAATCAGTCTACGGACCACCAACAAGTACGAGATGTTCCGACTACAGTCGAAAATTTTGACCTTTTATTTTGGTCTGTCAACCAAATACTATTGCATCCTCAAAGAACATAAGCTGTAATGGTCTTCTTCACCAAATGGCTATATCAGTAAGAAAACAATGACGTCTTGATCAAAACCGAGGAGGCATTTTAGTATTTGGATCTTATTGCTCCATATGTACAATATCACGCCTTCAACTCCTTCTAATACACGTTCTTATCTTTGCCCCAGAGCTTCGTCTGTAATTCGCTGTGATTCCGGTATTTCTGCAGCATCTCCTTGTGCAACCAAGGGATACGCAGTTTCGGGCAAGGACTCGAGGTGCTTTCGGTGATGCTCGTTGGCCTTGAGATGAGTTAGCTAATTTCGGACATATTCATTGAGGACAATTGATATGGGAAACGCCATGGGAAAGAGGAGGAGAGCTCCAGATCCTCGATTGACACGTTATCATGGACAACAACTTACAAATGGCAGACCGCAATATGTGCACATGCAAATCTGAGGCTTGTCGGTATTGATAAAGATTCTGGGATGACCCAATGGTCCACCACCTCCATCACATTCTACAACTCTCTCGTGTGTCCATCGTACCGGCTGCTTGTGAATCAAAGAGATAGCTGCTTGCGGAGCTGGCTAGATTGGAGTCAAAAAAAAAAAAGCCAAATTACTCGAAGTACCCCACCAAGAAGGGAAGCCTTCGATGTCATCCTAAGATTGCCAGAGATGCACATACCTGAAATTCCATGATCGTCTGCTCGAACCTCGGTCCCGTCATGGCCTGCGCCCTCGGATTCTGACTTCGCGACCAAACTCCTGTTCTATTCGGCGCTTGCTGGACTCTAAGCTTCTCGGCATCCTCTATACTCTCTTGAATACGTGCATCTCGGTGTGGTGTCTCAATTGGAAGCTCATTCGACTTCGAGACGTTCGGGACATCCTCCGGGGGGGTTGGATTGTTGATCTCCTGCTTATCGTTTGCAGAGAATGCATAGGCTCGTCTCGCAGAGACCTGTGCCACTCGAGAGAGCTGCCATACGGCTCTTGATCTGGCAGTGGAGAGCATCGTGTTGCTGGTTCAATTGGTTATGGCGCAAAAGAGGGAGAGGTTGTCGGTTAGAGGAGGTTAAAGCCAAATGCTGCCTAAGGCGGCCACATTTTTACAAAAGCAAGCTTGAAAACACAACCAGTGAACAACATCCGAGCACCCAGTGCTCTTGGACAGCTAAGAAACTAATAAAGGGACCACAATACCCAACACATGATCTGTTTCTTTCACTTGTCCTCATCTTCACACCGGCCAAGATGTCGGCGACAAGCGGCCATGTGCCAACACCGCCGAAGTCCATGTCTTCACGTCTCTTGACTATGAAGTTTATGCAGAGAGCTGCTGCTTCTTCCTCTCCATCAGCCCCGACTACCACAGATGAACCTTCACCAAAACGCCGGAGGACAGACTCAAACAGTTCCACTCCTTCGAGAATCAATATCGACTCTTTGGCCGACCGGACAGCAGTCCAAGTTGCCCTTGCTTCCGAGGAGTCCAAACGTCAGGCTGCGTTGGAGAAGCAGGCTGCTGAAGCTGGGGATACGAGATGGGTCTTGAGCTTTGAGGATCAGAAAATCATAGCAGCTTCGTCTCCCTTGGCTTTAAGGATCGTTCAAGCAGGGTTTGCCAACATCGATTCTTCACCTTCAGAGATCAGAATCGCGGAGGATGATCTAGAAGACAGACCCGTTATGGTGGGACGGCGAAGCTTTGGAAGATTCAACAAAGCTTTAGAGGTGAGGTTTTACGAATTCCATAGAATAGCCGCATGTACTTACATCCACAGAAACAACAGGACCCTTCTCACGAAGAATCCTCCGAGTCCGAATCTGAAGGCGATGACGAAGACAACGACTCTTCAGAAAGTTCAAGCAGCGACTCCGATGACCCCACAAGTAACCCGATCAAGGCATCCCGGCGAGAAGCAGCAGAAAGAGCCCGAGAAGAGCGAAAATTCAAGAAGCGTGCTGAGAAGGCTGAAGCAGAAGATATAGCCAGGAAGAGGAGAAAGAACGACATCAATTTGAACGGGCTAACTTCTTTGAGCGGAAGACAAGAAAGACCTATTCCGCCTGATGTCAAGTGCTTCAATTGTGGTGGCAATCACTTCAAGAAGGATTGCAAAGAGAAGAAAAGAAGTTACCATGGAGGAGATGATGGCCCTCCACGCAAAGCCCGCAAGGCCTAGTAAGATTTTCAAGACTTTCACACCATCACTTGAGACTCTAGGTCAGCAGAGCAGCAGCACCGTGCCATTTTACCACGTCGAGAACTGGACCTGCATCTTTCTACGCCACCCACAAGAGACTTGTGATTTGTGTTGTACAAGACATATTCTCATAATCAAAAATTCAATAAAAGTGAGGCAAGACCTAGGTGCTTAGTCTCGCTTAAGGTATCTCGTGGGCATTTACTGATCACCAGTGATTTTCTTTGCCCTTTTCTGCCATTGACACATTTTGCAAGTTGGGATCATTCTCAATTCTCTGCGGGCACCATCTAGACTTATCCCCGCTTTACGTCATACAAGTACAGAGATTTGGCACCCTTTATTTCTTTCCAACCCCTTTATCCACTTGTATGTGTCTTTCTCTCAGCTTGCTCTTTGCGCCTCTTCGATGCGTCCATCAGCACAGGAATGGTTGCAATAACACTCAGACCAGCCAACACCCACGCAATAATCTCGATGATCTTCAGCTCATGGCATTCTGTCAATCCACCCCGAATATGTCCGACACCTTGTTTGCAAAGAATGATGCCCCACATCGAGTGAATGAGGACACCTGATACGATCCAGAGGATTGTCGAAACGAGCAAGAATATCTACTTCTGTCAGTGTCCATTTACAAAGTCAATATTGAAATGGGAACTGAGGAATATACCGTGTGAAACATCGAATGGAAGACTTTCTGCGCGCAATGCAATCCCATGTAAACAGCAGACAACGCAATCATTCTCGCGCTCGAGAAGATCAAGAAGCCTAGACGGTATTTCTCGGTCCTCGAAGCCCAAGTATGTGTCTTTTGTAGATACTGGAAGCTGTCGATGGTGAAGAAGAGCTCGGCGATCGACAAAAGGAACATGATGCCGAAGAAGACCCTTGAGACCCATTAGCTTTGTCTTGACGTTGAGACAAGATGTGGTGTACTCACGGAACATGAGCTGAGCGTGCGAAATGGCCGCGAGTACCAGTAGAACTAGTGTTCCTGGCTGGTCGAGAATTGCGGGAGCGTCCGAACATCTTGTCGGCTTTGAAATTGCTGTTGAGGAGTTTGTCAAAAGTTTGAAAGGTAGATGATTTTCTTTCGATTTTGCTTAAGCTTAAATTGACAACCCGCGATGTTGACCCTCGATATATACTTCTTCAAAACCCCCGTGCTATTACATGGCATGTCATAAAACCCAGGAGCGCCCAGGATGGCAAGCCACAGGCCCAATACAAGTATCTACCCCAGTTCCCATGAATTTAGCTCTCCCGAGATCCAAGATCTCTCATAATCTCATTCGTGGTAAAATTAAGAAATGACGTCGAGTTTGGGTTTTGGGTGTGCCTTGGTCCCTCCTCCTATTTCGATTCGATGCGGGGTCCTGAACCCCTGTTTGAGTGCCACGGTTGGCTGAATCCGATAATTCCCTTCCGTAATATCAGATCGTCCATCACGCGATGGCTTAAAAGAGATTCCCTGTTCTAAGTGCAAGTTCTGGATTGGGATTCAGTCACCTGTTGGATCAGGTCATTTCAAACTGGTACATGATTTTTACCTCGATACAGTACTATCCCCCCTTGAATACTTACAGTGGGTCCTTGGGTAACGCCACCCTGAAACCAGGTTTGTATCCCTAAAGTAGGGAACATCAGGTGCTTTCGAGAATCGATATTCGCTGAAGACCCTTGAGTTGGCCAGTGCTTGGGTGGTGTTATCCTTGGACCCACTGTAAGTATTCAAGGGGGAAGGGTGGTACAGGCTTCAGCCACAACGCCCCAACTTCACGCAAAACAATCCTTCCACTCGCTTTCAAGCAGTTCTTCGTTATAGCTCTCCCAAAGCACGACATCAAATTCTCTTGCAATTTTTGCAACTACAATCCGCATCTCGTTCAAAGCCAGCCGCTTCCTAACACAGCTATGCACACTAAAGCCAAAGGGCATGAATCCCTTCCGGCTGAATTCGTTCAATCGTTCCGGCCGCTCTCCTGTTCGCCGTGCGGGCATGAATTTCGTAACGGAAGGAAGGTACCGCTCATCAGTCATAAGCCCTAATTGAGAAACCGGTACATTGACGTTTCCCGGAATATGAAATCCTGCGACATCGATTCCTTGTGGAGGATTGGCGGCCTGAGCACCGGAGGGAACTGAATTGCAGAGGCGTAATGCCTCATTAATAGCGGCGTTGAGGTACTTTGCATTTTGGACACCCTCCACGGTTTACTGTCCTCCATCTTCGCAGGGGGACTCGATCTCTTTCTGCAGTTTCTAGAATACACATTCTTCACTTCTCCCTCTCTTTATATCTGAATCAACGGCTAAAAGATGGAACAGTTGAGTTAAAGTCGTGCTTGTAGTGTCTGCCCTAGCGACGGTTATCAGCGTTTGAGTCGAGTGGCTTCTGTGGGATTGTTTTACCGGATATTGTATCGGCGGCTTAGGAAGAGTAGGTTAAATAGGAGTCAGACTACAGAACCGTTTCGAGCCATATTCTTCCACCCTATTCGATGTCGGCCGTTGAATGGCAAGACGGCTTCCTCACTGGGCCATGATACAGTATCTGAGTATCTTCCAGACGGGAGGCTGGGCTCTGCCAATAGACCACGGCCTCCAATGTCGTGTCCCAGTACTTGTAGTGCGCAACTGGACCATTATCGATGACTGGCCAAAGGCAGGGTGCCACGTCTCAAAACAATTGAGGTAGTCGTTCAATATCCTGCTAATCCAGCCCAAGAATGGGCAAGATCATCACCGTTGTCAGAAGTTTCAGAAGCCGGGGCATATGCAAAAACAATCTCTTAGATATCTTGATTACACGGGACCGAGGTAAAGTTATGGAGAAGTGCAGACAGGATGCTCTGATGGTGTACACATTTGAAGACAAATTCAAGTCAACCGTTTTACAGATCATAGATCTTGCCCCTGCTTGAGATGGTACCAGTGTACCCATTTCTTGGTATGTCCCTATGTCTTGTTTGGCGAGGGATGGGGTGTAAGACCCGCCAAATGCTATTCAATCTTGAACCAGTCGATCCTGGGGCATACTAAGAGCCCCTTTCTCGCCGTGCAAAAGATCTACTCTTTTGGACACATCCTCTCACAGCTATTGCCTCTGGTTTTGACGGCTCTATTGTTCTCATGGCTTAAAGTCCCCGCAAATACATTCAAATAGCCAAGTTCCCGAGAATCGGTACTATACACAATCTCAATCCCATATCATAGAGTAATTCTCCACCGTCGCTCACTTTGTCTTAGATTTGTCCCCTATTTCAAAAAGAATTTCACAGGTTCAAGCCTGCCATTCCCTGTAGAAAGTGTTTCCACACGTGTAGTCGCCTTCACCGTGGTACGATAATAAGAGCGAAATAAAGAGTTCCCAAGGGCCGATATCCTCGAAGATGCCCCCCAAACGAAGTCAGGACAGCTGATGTGCTCGCCAGTACATAGGGGGAATGCAGCATTGTGCCTTGTTTGCCTAGAATTATTCTCTCAATCTCCTAAATTGTCACAGTAGTCAAATGAAATCAACATTATCAGTGAAGCTACTAACCTAAGATACGTCAAAAGGTGTTTTTGTCATAGAACAAAGAGCCTTACGTATAGTGCATGATTCCATTTGTGGTTTTTGCCCTCCGAGTCGGTCCACAAACCCCTTTTGCTGTTAATCTTCCGGTGAGTGGAGTAATGGTAGACCGCAGTCCATTTTCCTGCTGTTAATCTTGCCTTTACACTAGCAGATTTCTTTGCTTTGGGGATGATGGAATAAATGTTGGTCTCAACCAGATTTTTCATCGCCGTCTGCGTGCCAATTTGAGCTTGATTAAGCCATATTTTAAAATAAGTAGTGAGTTGAAATTGGCGGAGCACCAGGGGGTGCAAGAATTCGTGGCGTGACCCAGATTTTGAATCTACCGCAAGTTAGGGTATATTATCAGAAGTTGTAACCTATTCTCCTTCCGAACGCCCTTTGAGTTAAAAAAACATTCTAGGAAGCAAAGTGTTGAATGTTTCTTAGCTTGTGGTATATGAAAAATCGGTGTGCCGCCGCGGATTCCTACATCACCTGGTAGAGGGCGACACATGAGAATATATAGCTTTAATGTCGGTAATCAAGGTTTCCATTTTCGGTTCCTAGACAGCTCGTAGATCTGCAGACATCTTGCTCTCGCTACACTCCTCCGTGATTCAAAGCTGAATTGAGGTTAGGAACGTGTCGATTTTATTGAGGAAAGCTGGCGTGATCCTCTCTCGGTCGTCCAAGGCTGTTCCATACGAGTGTCTCGAAACGCGAAGACATTAGTATCCGCCCTATTAGGGGAATCTATGTACTTTCTTTCTATATTTGGTGAGTTTTTATAGCACAGATGCATCGTTACAGAAACGGGAAAGACTTGTTAATCCCTAGTAGGCTATTGGCCCATTTCTTACAGGGCTGTCTTATAATCGCTCCAAATTACTTCGCTCGATTACTTATTGCAACAGTTGATACATTATACCATAAACCTCAAACGTGCATAAAACCAAGCCTTCTTCTTCGAAGTAATTCCGCGGCGGTACGATATTATATCTTTAGATCCTAATTATATCGTATCTTTCAGGTTAGATAGCTAGTACTAGCAATACTATTCGCATCCCGCTCTTCTGATTACGATGTCGAAGCTGGTTGATAGGCCCAAGGCTGGAAAATCATTCGGACGTAGAATCAAGGAAGTTTATTGCTGCATCATGGAATTCTTTTGCTGGATGGGGTTGCTTTGCTTGACAATGTTGTTTTGATGGATGAATGGGATGAGGCATGTTACGGGATAGACATCCCGGTGGGCCCCAACGATGGCGAAGGCCAGAGTAAGGGCAGAAAGATGATGTATTCTCTATGAGAGATAGCTAGCTAAAGTACCTTCCGCCCCTAGTGGCTTACGTAACAAGGCAGCGCATTTGCTGATTATTAAGAACAAAGATTGATAATATTAGCACCAAATTGATTTAAATTATATCTGGTTGCGATTTGCTGACTTCATGTTCCCTTTTTAGTCCTCGGTTCTCTCACAGGTGGTCGAGTGACCTTGCTCGAATCTTGGGTTTTGCTTGGATCGGCTCTTCTGCTTGAAAGCTTCCTTGTCTTTTCAATCAGTTTCTTGTGTTGATTTTTGCTATTCATTATGTTATGTTTTTGTTTTATTCCTTCTTGGTTCTCGAACGTGTTAATGGCATTAACATTCGGTTCGCCTCCCCCGAAACATTCAGGCGTGGGTGCGGCTAATTTCAGGGGCTCGCTTATGAGCGTTAAGTCACAGTCTCTACGATAAGAGCCAGTGTCAACAAAAGAGTTCAATCAATCCGAGAGGCTACAAGGGGAACTCGACCCAGTAATCCAGTGGGCGATGTCACTAGACCACCATCCTGTCGAAATATCACAGAATTCACATCAAGTACCCGTCCTTCACCTCAGAGCCATCTCCCTCCGTCCGCAGCCTCACTCGTAGACAAGTCCATCTTATTCATGTTCTTCAGCTGCTCAGTCACGTTATTCGAATCTGCGACACTACCCTATCTCATTTCCAAACGCATCTCGGCTTGGGAGCCAAGCCTTGCCAAGAAAGCAACGCCACAAGTCACCATCATGTTCCACAAACGTAAACAAGATTCCCATATTGTGTCTTGGGGAGTTGCCAGCTATTATTCAAACCTAGTACCGTACCTACACAGCCATTGGCATGCTACTCGATTTGATCCGTCAGGCGGAAGCAGCTTCTCGCCGGTATTCCCTTTCTATTGACGGGCCGACACCGAGCGTCCAACCCGAAGCATTATTGTAGGTTGGGAGCTTGATGATGACGGCGTGTCTCCAGCCAGGAGAGACAGCTTGTCGAGAGATTTGGGGTGGTGGTTACCACGGCCATGATTTAATTGGGCTAGGACCAGAGCGTTTGGCAATTGCAAATTCGGTCCAGAATGAATTTAACAATCTTGCAACAAGGGTAGCTAAATTCAAGGAGCTGCTGTATCGAAAGATTTACTGAGTGGTAATAGCCTGCTGATAACAATCGCAGACGTTTGTCACGGGGTTTGACAGGTCATACGAATCCTCCTTGTTGCTGCCAGCTACCAGTGAGAGGTATTTAAGAGGTTCTTAGGTCTCAGATTCGTTTTCGCTTCTTATTTAGAGCTCTATAGCTATTAACCTGAGCTTAATATAGAAAATAACGTTTTCGCATTCTATTAGCTATTTACTTAGCGTGCTAATATTATTGAGAATACTTTAAAGATTCTTGGAAGTAATATTAACTATACGTTTAAATAAAGTAAGATAAAGATTTTAATATTAAACGTTTTGAATACACTTATTTATAAAAAATAAAAGAACTCATACGCATAAATAGATAAAAACGTCTAGGCTACAACCAGGGATGCATCACGTTTCATTGCGCCAAGGGTCATGCTTTGTCTGGCTGCGGATTGGAGGACTGAAAGCTCAAAGGGACAAAATGATCAAATAAAATTAGATAAACAAATTGGCCAGTCAATTTACTGATCAAAAACATTATTCGTATACCCAGAGCTCGATTCAAGTTGTATGAGTTTGGTGTGCGTGGATGTGTTGGATGTGTAGAAGAAGAAGTGGCCGGGCATTGGAGGGGAAGAAGTCTCGGCATGGAACAGATTTTCTCCGTCTGGCTCCCCCACACTTCACCCCACATGCGCCTCATCTGCAACATCCCTGTTCAATCTACGTCTGGTTTGTCCTTGTTCACCCGCAAGGGCCATCTTCTCATCTGATCGAGCCCAGACCCTCGATCTCATGAGACGTGAGCGTGTTTTCCTGAACCAAGATGGCAAGAGCGACCCAAAGCAGCCTACTAAACCTTCTTCCATCGACACTTGCAGACAGCCACTCCTCAGAGCGAGCGAATTGAACTAGTCTTCTGCAGCCCCGGGAAGCAGGCTCGCTGCACGCACATCACAGCTTCACCACCGCTAATTGTCAGGATGGAGCATATGTTGTAAAAATTCAACCGTTGAGCCTAAAGCACGGTAAACACAGCCGCCGCCATCTCATCGTCAGCAGCGAACCAAACGTTCAACGAGGAACGGTTCGATACTAGAATACATACCCTAATTTGTAAACCGGCGGCAGGCTGACCCGTGCACCAAAGTCGGAGTGAAGATCTCCCTTCTATCAATCAAGGCACGCAGACGACGTCGCACCACGTCGCTTGAGCAGGAACTCGGTACCACGGCGCCAATAGCGGCCAATGGCCGAACTGCCCCCTCCGTTCGTCGCCATCGACGGCCTTGCCAACTTCAGGGACATCGGCGGCTCGCCTATCGAGGACAAGGATGGCAAGACTGTCGCCAAAGTCCGCAAAGGCGTCTTCTATCGTGGTCCAGACACACGCACAGTAACGCCTGCGGGAATAGCAAGATTGAAAGAGTTGGGTGTTAAGGCGGACTTTGACCTGCGTTCGAAGGTTCAGATTGAGAAACTTGGAGGACCGAGTCCGATGGATGACATTGAGAGGATTTGGGCGCCGGCTTTTCCTGATGGAGAGTATTCGCCTGAGAAAGCGGCGGCGAGATATGTGCAGTATGCAAGTGACGGAACCGAAGTAGGACTTCCTCATTATCACTTCCTCATCCTGCAGCTTCAAGTTGAGCTATTGTAGGCGTCGAGTCACATGATTTCTCCTTTTTACCTATTTATCTATACAAATACCTCAGAGCTGACCACTTACCATGCACAGGGCATCGTTCAAGCTTTCACTGATATCCTCACCCATGGTGCGCCTGCAGCCCGCATAGTCATGTTACACATCGCTTCCATGAATCCGGATTCTCCGTCGGCCTGCTACATCCATTGCACCACGGGCAACAATCGCTCCGGAGTCTTCATCGGCGTCATCCTCTCTCTGCTAGGTGTCAAACCCGAAAAGATAGCAGAAGAATACTCACTATCAGACATTGGACTAAGACCAACTCGTGATGCTGCCGTTGAGAGGTTAATGAAGAGTCCAGTCTTTGCTGGAGCGGGAGGGGGTGGAAGAGCACGAGCTGAGAGGATGGTTGGCGCGAGGCCAGAGAGTATGCTCGCCATGTTGGAGATGGTGAACAAGAAGTGGGGCAGTGCTGAAGGATATTTCAAGACGATGGCTGGACTTACAGACGAGGATATCCAGATGGTTAGACGGGTCTTGACCGTCCAGGAAGGTGGCCGAGGTGGGCGGTCTCACAAGAGGCAAGGGAGTGTATGGGATAGTACGAAGGCTATTGCTACCAAGTTATGGGGTTCCTTGGGTTATGAGATGGATTTGTGATGATGAAACTGGCGTGGGAGAGTTGGGGAGTATTTGCATTACAATTGCATATTAAGATAGCATTGCATTTCTAGATCTTCTCAATTGTTCGTCTTCGTTTCGAATGCGGGGTACGCCTCTTCCCTCACTCGGTACCGTCTTCTAGTTTTATGATAATAAATTATACTACTAGCTTCTCCTTTTCATCTTCGACCACACAAGCAATTATTCGTCAAAGTAAACACTTCCTCTGACACAATCACACCCCACCCTTCACCAGTCCCCTCTTCTCCTCAATCTCCACATCCTCCAACACCGTTTCGCCTCTCCGTCCCGCCTCGATCCTCTCCAACTTCAGTACTCTCGTCTCCCTCTCCGTCCTCCTCGTAACCCACCACGTCCCCAAATTAAACAGTATCGCAGCACCCACAAGCGCCATCGCGACCGCAAAACTAACAGTATAATGCGGCGCATACTGGCTCCTGAAGATCTGTGGGCCAAGGGCACCACCAATCTGTCCGTAAGAGTTGACGAAGCCGATGCTGAAGGCAGAACCCGTGGCGCGAGACGTGGTTTGCACGCGCCAGGGCCACATCATGGGGTACCAGGAGGAGGCGAAGGCAGATGCTATGATGGTGGCGGCGTAGACGCCACCGGTGTTGGGGAAGGTATAGAGGACTGAGTAGCATGCCATGATGATTATCAGGAAGAAGAGCGGGAATAAGGGGCGTGGTAAGCGCGCTGTGTCTGCCCAGAGGCCGAAGATGGCAATTATGCCAACTGTCAGGAATGCCGTGGGGATATTCAGGAGTTGAGACTTTGAGATTGAGGTGAAGCCTAAATTTGCTACTACGGTTGGTTGATAGAAGGTTAGACCTGAAGTTCCGACGGTAAAGGTTGCCCAGCAGAGTGTGAAGAGCCACATCTTGAAGTCTTTCAATTGAATGATGATTTCGCGGAAATTGAAGTTGCTTTCTGCTTCTCGGGGAGCATTCTTAGGGAGCCGGGCTTGGATGAAGGCTTTCTCTTTTTCTGTGAGCCATCGTGCTGTTGGTGGGACTGGATCTGGTATTAGTTTCGCTCATTGCCCCTGATTGGCATGATGACTTACAATCTGGTAAGAGGAAGTAAAGGATTACTCCGAATATTATGGTGATTAGTCCTTCCACGAGGAACAACCTTGATTTGTAGGTTAGTACGGGTTCTCAACACTGGTGTGGGGGAAAATATACCATTGCCAGCCTGACAACCCCCCATTTCCTGAAACGCCATCGAAAGCATAGGCGAGAACACCGCTTATGACCGTACTGAAATTACCGAGGATATAGAAGTAAAGGAGTCGTCGCGACATCTCATCAGGTCTGTACCAGTAGCAAAGCTGCAATATAACACCAGGGAACAAGCCAGCTTCCGCAAGGCCAAGGAAAAAGCGTGCTGCGTAAAGTCCTTCCTTATTCTTGACAGCAGCATGACAGGCCATAACAACACCCCAAGAAACGATTATGCGAGAGAGCCACCGCGATGGTAGCATACGTTTAATGAATAAGTTTGATGGGGCTTCGGCAATAATGTAAGGAATCTGCAATGGAGTTAGTATCCAAAAAGCATATGTGAGACCAAGGATCACTTACATAGTAGATGGTGCTAACGAAGTTGAACTCGTTCGATGACATTCCAAGCTGTTTGAGAATATTCCGTGGTGATCCAGTATTCATGATTCGAGCATTAGAGACGTTGGTGCTATCGATGTTCTTGAGAAGGAAAGCAATTGCACAAAGAGGCATGATGTGCCAGTCGATTCTCCGAAGCAGCTTCTTTTCTTCTTCGTATGTGAGCAGAGAGCGGGCTCTCATTTGCTCTGCTCTATATCCAATAATCGAGTCTGTAAAGCCAGCATCATCGGAAACTTCTTGACCTCTCTTTACATAGTGAAGGTGGGAGTTGTCGAGATGGGAAGGCTCCAGTGCTGTCGTCACTACTCCCTTAGAGTCATATTCAATGGAGCTTGAAGATTTATTGCCATTATTTGCTGTGGTGCCAATTGCATCTTTCTCAGTAAGTGAAGGCATTGCTGCGAAATGAGAAGATCTAGCCAAGATTACTTGGAAAGAAAACAGGGGTGGGAAAAGAGGGCATCTATTTCTCAACTCCCACGGAAACTGTTCCTATCTATCGACATTATAATCCCGATTTCCGAGATTACCTTCCACTCCCGACCCCGGTTGATAGATGCCAGTAGACCTGTCAACGCAAGTTCGTGAGCAGGAAAAGGCTCTAGTAAAGTAAAATGCAACATTTGACGTACCCTCTCCCACACCCCCCACTTATCAATGGACTGCCATTGGCTTATTCAAGGATATATATCCACATAGAGCCATCATAACGAAAAGCACGTCTTTGGAGTGGATTCTATCGGAAAGTCGCCCCGCACGTGATCACGTCAACATTGTTGAAATGGCGCCATCTACGCCATCTATGCATTCAAGAAGCAACATCGGCCTGCCACTCGCAAATTCGAAGACCAGGAAGCACCCAACCGAGTAAATTTGGACTCTAAGCGGGGCCGTTCAGGAGAGCTGCTGAGTCTGACATCGATCTTCCTTTCCCCACTTTGCGGAAACCGGCATGGAGGGGTAACCTTGATTATCAACCTGAATGATATCTTCCCTTCAAAGGAATGCCGCTCTCCGGAAGTGAACCCTTTGCCTTTCGGCATTTGATGAGATACATTTTCCATCGATTTTTGCCCAATTTGAGAAATAATCAGGTATCAATATTCTCACAATGTCACAAACCCAAGTTGAGTCATCTTCGTCGAGTGTATTGGGCAGAATACCGCAGTACACACAGGTCCCAGAGACTACCCATGAGCTGGACTGGGCCGACTTGGCCACGCTTGATCTCTCAAAGTTTAACGAGCTTGGTGGAAAGGAGGAACTTGCAAAACAGTTGCACAATGCAATCGAGCAGATTGGTCAGTCTACAGCACCCTTAATTGAAAACCTCGCCTAACTCTCCTCAGGCTTCTTTTATGTTGTCAACTTTGGACTTAGTCAAGAGGAGGTTGATCGTCAATTTGCCATAGGGAAAGAATTCTTCAATCTGGATACCGAAGAGAAATTGAAATACCGAGCGGATTTAGAGAACGGCGGGTACAATGGATATAAGCCACTTGGCCTCCGTGAAATCGCTCCTGGTCAATTCGACAACACTGAGATCTATAACATCCCGAAGTTCATTCCTCAATACGAGAGACTTCATCCAACTTTAATCAAAGATAACTGGGAGGAAATCGAGAAGTTCGGTCGCTACATGCACGATGAGGTCGTCGGGAAGTTATTGGTTCTGTTTGCTATCATCCTGGAACTACCGGAAGATTATTTCCTGACGAAGCATCGATACTCGGAGAAGAGTGATTGCCATCTTCGATACATGAAATATCATGCCAGGACGCCAGAAGTTAACGCCAAGCTCAACAACGTTTGGGTGAAAGGCCACACCGACTTCGGTAGCATGACACTCCTATTTAGGCAACCCGTCGCTGCACTGCAAGTACGAACTCCACAGGAGACCTGGAAATATGTCAAGCCATATCCGGCCAGTATCACAGTGAACATCGCGGACTCTTTGTCCTTCCTCACAAACGGATACTTAAAAAGCAGCATCCATCGCGTCGTCGCTCCGCCCCCAGATCAGGCACACCTCGATCGACTTGGTGTCCTGTATTTCGTCCGCCCAGAGGATGATCTTGAGCTCAAGACCGTGAAGAGCCCTCTACTCGAGCGACTTGGTCTTCAGAAAGATGCTGAGGGGGCAATCTTGACTGCTGGCGAGTGGGTAAAAGCCCGCGTGGCTAAGAATGTCAACAAGACTGGCCAATCGGCGAAGGAAGGTGCTGAGACTGAGATTATCAAAGGTGTGAAGGCCAAATATTATGATTAGAGTGGAAAATTCAATTCGTCTTGAAGTAGAAAATTGGTAACTCCTTTGTTTTTTCGCATAAGTCAGTAAGCATTGTTCCAGTGTGGGTTCTGCAGATGTAAAACTCCGGTCTTGATTAGCTGTTGATGTTTTGACCCTCGCTTAATTAGGGGTCGAATCCTCGACTTGACAATGGTCTTCGACTTGAATTGTTTTGGAAAAGGTCTTCAGCCTTTCGTCTGGAAATGTGCTTGATAACGCAACATCTATGATGCCTGTCAGCTTTGAGATATCGTCTGCGGCGGTCGCAACTTCCTCGCCTTCCAGCTCAAGTGAGGAAGGAGCAAATGTACTTAAGTGATCACCTTCGACACACCCCAACTCCTCAAAATCAAGTTTCTCTACTCACAACCACTGCATCGTCAACTATATTGGTTATCAATAATCATAATCCAGTGGACCATTGCAGATTACTTGCACGGCCAAGATCGTCGCCTTCGCTTCATATCGCTTCATTATTCCCATTGTCACTCGGAGCATTGGAGCTTGGATCGGGATCACCTTCTTCCTGACAGATTCACCTTTCGCCGTCGCAAGCTAGTGGATAAGATACGCTTCAATGTTCGGACTCTTTCTCGCCTTCACAATCATAGGAGCCAGAGAACCCGCGTTTATCCCTTCCGTATACCTACAAGGACAGCCTGGACGTGGGTTTGGACCACGCTGGATGCCCGGAGTTCGATTCATTCGATCGTATGGATCTATCACCAGTAGATCAGTCGAGCGGGTCACCCGCGACAGCGTCTGCGAAAACATGCCCTGGCCAAGAGAAGCTCGACTCCACGTCACCTGCCGTACTTCAGCCTTCCGAAGATGAGTTCAAACGAGAGCCAGGTGGGGATGGGAATACCATGGGTCGCCGGGTCAGCATCAAGCTAAATCTGAGCCCGCAAGATAAGAAAAAGATCGGTCGTCTGGGCATCAAACACGAAGAAGTGGCAGCAATTCTAGTGGGAATAAAGGAACGGAAAGACCAGGAAGCTGCGAAGGTGGGGCTTGAGAATTTACAAAGCTTCCCCGGCAAATTCAAGGAAGAATTAAACTCGTATGATGAGAAGGGATCTTTGCAAGTCAAGGAAGAAATAGACTCGGACGATGAGAAGGGATCATGGCAAGTTAAGGGAAAATTAGACTCGGACGATGAGAAGGGATTCTTGCAAGTCAAAGAAGAATACAAGGGAGATGTCGATTCATCCAGAACGAGTTGGAGCGATCAACGCGGAGTGGCACCACGAAACGTTGCATCTTCCTTGAGTCCATATTGCCAGGTGTTGACGAGTCCGAGTTGGGAGACTTCCGAAGCATATCATCGGTAAGCATGTGTCCTCACTCAGTTTGGAGAAGATTGTACTAACAAGCAACACAGAGCGCGTGGCCCGATGCTGATCCTGCACCTGAAAGAGACCTTCTACAAGGTGCACAGAAACCTCATTCTGTCTAAGATCCCGCGGCTACCCCTCATATACCACGATTTTGATGATGAAGACGAAGACGAGCACACCCTGGACGAATCCCTGCATGATGTCAACCTCATGATGTACTGGCTCTATCATGAGAAACTGCCCCCGAGGGTGAAGATCCAACGCGCTGGGGTTCTTGGCGGCATGACTTGGGATTCGGACAAGCTGGCCAAATTTGCGACCAGACTCTCTGCCTTCGAGTTGATGAAATGTATCATTCGCTCGCGTTGATGGATTGTACCAGCAATGTCTTGCCTCTTCCAGAACAATCGAGAGTGTCTGTATGATAAAGAAGCAGGAAGTAGGCTACAAGCGAATACAAGATACAAGCAAATAAATGGCCAGTGATTGGAAAATGTGAAAGTCCAGTACTAAATAAATAAGAACAATAGCTGCCAGTGTCTAGACTAAGCTTAGCGATCAGAAACTCGCACTCTCCACTGTATAGCAATCCTTTTCTCGTCCATCCTAAGGGCGAGACACACCAGTCCGGAACATCAAGGGGCCGAGGAAAAAGTGTAAAAATCAAATATAGGGGGGCAGTACTGTCCATTCAAGCTCGATCTTCCAATGACTTTGGTACAATGAGAAATTCCTGCAGCAATGCTATGGTGGAATCACTCGATTCATTTCCGGATGCTTGAGAAGGTAGGCTACACTTCACAGCTAATGCAAAGAATCCATCACGTTATGATTTCGAGAGTGGGAAATGTGACAAAGGGGTATGATTCAGCTCGATTATGCCATATTTACCATCCATACCGACTACTCGCCTCAGCCCTGTTGCTCTTCCCCTTCGCAAAGCTCTCCTCCAATGCCTCCTTCTGGCTCTGCGCCGCATTGACTAACTGCTTCAAGCTATGCTTGCCAGGAGCAATCGCCCTAACAGGGTTATGCACGATTTGTTCGCCAGCAGCACGAAGCTCTTCATTGTGAAGATACTCCTGATCTGTGTTGAAATTGATGACTTTTGTGGCTGCTTGCCTTCGTCCGTCTTTTTGGCGCCCAAATAGTTGTCTTCGCTCTGCAGCTGAAAGTTTTAAGTCGCCGGCTATGTCGTCGAGAGACTGCGAGACTGGGGGTGTGGGGACGGCGGGAGGTGCGACGTGCGAAGTTGTTGGGGTGTAGTCTTCGTATGAGGGCTCGAGGCCGAAGGGATCTGCTTCTTCTTCTTCGCCTGCTTCCTCGACTTCTAACATCATCGGCTGGTATTCCCCATTCCCTCTTGGTAAGGAGGGACTCTCTGTCTCCGCCAACATCGAGAATAGAGACACTTTTGGCCTCTGGGCAGGTTTCTCGTGCTTCGGCTCTGGGGTAGCAGGTATTGCTGCAGTTGTGGACGGTGCAGCACCAGGTATGGCTTTCTTCTTCTTTGCAGGCTTTCTGGATACTGATAATGGCTTGAACATCAAAGGTTTCCCGACCAATTTCACCTCCTCTGCAGGCTTCTGTCCTTCGACTTGTGATGCTCTTGGTGGCGGAAGACTGAGTCCAGATCCCCCATTTGTAGTTGCTGGACCACTTTCTTCCTCCTCAGCATATTCTCTCTCAGGCTCAGGCTCTCTGCTGAAGCCTGGTGCAGATCCAGTCTTTAAGCTTACGCCTACTCCAAGCACTCCCTTCTTCGCTGCAGTACCTCCACCTAATGTTACATTTGTTTGTCCAGTCCGCTTTGGTGGTGGCAGAAATGAATTGAACCCACTGAAAGCTCCACCGCCTGTCTTTGCTCGTTTGGTAGGAGGTCCGTCGCTCGAGGTCTCGTCCTTCAAAGTAGCTTGTGGTAAAGAAACTCGGATTTTGCCTGGGTTTGATCGGTCCACTACTTTGTGAAATGCTGGTTTCGATGATGTTGCCGCTGATTTAGGCGCTGGTACTGGTGCCTCTTCGATATCCGAGGCATCAGAGTCTGAATAATCGACGAGACCCATGTTGTTCGAGCTTCCTTCGTTGTTTGTTGATGCCAAGTTGGTTGGAGGTTCAAAAATTCCAGAAGGCTGTCAAATCAGCGCAAGCGAGGCGATCCTTGGCAGCCAGCCAGACAGCCTAAACCCGACCTTACAGTAGCCCCCGTTTCATCGCAAGGCTGAACACGCGCATCTCCCTTCCTTCATGTTTCCTATGATTACGCTCATCATAAAGTAACTTCATTTACAATTTCACTATTCAACGCGCATGGAGCTTGAGCTGTCTGGCACAACCTAAGCACCGCAATGTCAGTCATTCAAGTGGAAGAGTACGTAGATATCCCCGTCCTGACTTAAACCCCACTGATGTTGTTACAGTCTGGTCTCGTACCAATTGCGCACAAACTATCTGGATACAATATCTGACGGTGTTGGCGAACGTCTGATTACAATCAACGATGCCTTCTTGAACACTGCTGGATTTAAAGCCGCTGGCTGGCGACCGAATCCTGCGAACATCAAACGAACACATTCCCCACCAATACCAACAGCGATAGCATCGGAATACTTTCAAGCGCCACTTAGGTCAGCTGGACTGACTTCAAATGGCCTTGAAGATGAAACGGAAGAGGGGACATTGATCACAGGGGGCGGGGCTGGGGATACAGTCGGCCCTGGGATTGCTACGAAGAGACGTCGAAGACGCGAGCAAATGGAAGAAGAAGACAGTAGTGATCTCAGTGATGACAGTGATGAAGATGGAGATCAAAGAGCAGCACAACAGATAAAGTTCTCGAAGATGCCAATTCGCAATCGCTCTGGTTCTTCTCCACTTCGTGGATCGAATCTCCGACAATCCTCCACTGTATCTTCTCCCTCTCGAACTCCTGGTGGACAGCCGAGAAGAGGATCGCAGTCAGCTTTGGAAGCTGTCAAGGAACGTGCAAGAAGAGATACGGTTACGAGCAGTGAGATGTCATCAGAGAACGAATTCGACGCATCTGCCTTTCAACGGCAGAGGGAGGCAACCAGGAACGCTACGAAAGCCAGCAAGGCCTTGCTCCGACACACTTCAGACCCCAATGTTGGCGTAAAAAGGCAACAGAGTGATCTTCTCGAGGAGGAGGACTCGGATGGATCTGATATGGATTCGGATTTTGCTGGTAGTATCGACTCAGCTTCTCTTCTGGACGATGTGGATGGCTCGATGAATGGATCTCCAACCCATGTGGTGGGAAAGATACCTCGAGAGCTGACACGGCCCCCTACTAAAACAACGAAACCTGCCCCTCCGCTGCTGGAGGCACTTCCACCCCCGCGTCCTATCAGTATGATCCAGCCGAAGAGTCTTTTGTCTGCAGCCATCAAGGCTAAGCGGACGAAAGCTGCTCAGCCATTTGAATCGTTCGCGTCATTGTCCGGCCAAGGTGATCCAAATCCCTTGAATCTACGGATATGGGCGCCATTTGCAACGTCAACTACCAAGCCTTATGAAGTTCTCATACGGAGAAGTGTGCACGAAAATGAGGCAAACGATCGACCCACCACTGTTGCGGACCTCATTGGACTCAGTCTGTGGAGATATGCGGAAGAGAAACTCGAACCTGCTATCCCACCAGAGAAGCTTAATGTCAACAGGTGGACTCTTCGAATGGTAGAGGATGAGGAGGTTGATTACGATTTCCCAGCGCTTGAGCGGAACAAGCCAATTATCTCCTTCACAACAGCCAATAACCGTGCTGCAAGATCGCGATCAAACTCCAAACCCTACGACGAGTTTGCTCTGGTTGAAGCAACGGAAGAGCAGTTTCAACAGAATCAAAGCATCACTCCTCAATTCAAGCAAGAGTCTGTTGCAACAGCAAGCATGGACGATGACCTGACACCAAAGAATACCCCCATGCCTGCCCCGTCGTATCTTGGGACCCAAGTTCGTCAAAATCTTCTTCTGACTACAATGTCTGCTCTTCGGCAAAATTCAACCTTAGCAGATGCTCCTGCGATTGGAGCGGTGCCAACGCAGTCTACGACGAGGAATGCTGTTAAAAAGCTTCTTAGAATTCACATCCACTCAGCAGATGCAGCTCCAGGACAGATGATCACCTTGGATGTAACAACGGACACATATTTGGCAGACGTCCTTGATATTGTCTGTAAAAAGAGGCAGCTTGACAAAGCTAACCATGTGCTCAAATTGACAGGATCAGGCACTGTGGTTTTGTTGGACCGCCCTGTGGAATCCATGGGGAATCGCACAGACTTGGACCTGTATCGTCGCAGATTTGCAACCGATGGACCTCTAACAATGACGGGTTCTCCCAGCAGTAGTTCCCCAAAGATGCCATTAATGGCGGAACGCCCTGAGGCCCGAAAGATTAGAAAACCGCCAATGATGGGAACCCATCCACTGGCCCAGGAATCGATTAAGCAAGATGAGCTAGGAAGTGCCAACTACAGAAAATACACTGTATGGCGGAAGCAACCCATGAGATTCGTTGGTATGAACGAAAGAGTACTGGCCATTGACGGCGAGTATCTGCATATTATGCCAGCATCGACAGGCAAGACCATGTTTGAAGGGCAAGGCAAAACAACCACAGTCCACTTCAGCAATGTCGTTGGCTGCAAAGTCACTCGGAGGCACCCCACAAACTTCAAGGTATGTTCAATTCACGAGTTAGTGACCGTCGTGCTGATTATATCAAGATCGTGATATACAAGGCGACAGAGACCAAGAGGTACGATTTTGAAGCCAAAAGCGCCGACGAGGCGGCTGAGATTGTCTTTGAGATCAAAAAAGGTATCTCACCATATCATAACATCTAGGCTCTGGTGGCTGCAATCTAGATCTTTTGCGCGTTCTCTTGGGAAACCGTGACCGAATGACCCGGGAGGCTGGGTATGCCTGCAGCAATCTAATACCCAAGACCTTGGGCTATCATGACAGCCCACTGAATATGACTCTGAGCCAGATATAGAAGGCTTTACAAACCACAGCATCTCTGACATGGAAGGTCATGCAATTCACTCGGAGTCTTTGTCTGCTACTTTATCGACAACCCATATGCCTCACTTCCACTTTTTCGTCGACAACGAGCGTGGGTGGGAACTTGCACAAGTAGTGCTGATGACGATAGATGCTCGGAAGCAAGGGTGTTGGTGCTTGTACCATAAAAACCACGCACGCTAATGTCGCCAAGTATGGGGGGTGGTCGGGAGTCGGTGAGCAATCCTAGCTTCGATCTACAGATCTAGGTACCAAGGATCCCTAGAAATTTAGATCCATAAACCTCGTGCCGTGCACCACGTTCTGTACTGTGGCTAGTGCTGTGGAGACGACACCCGAAGGTAGGAAAACTTCTTACTTGGCGTATCTACGTTGTTTCCACAGCCAACATTACGAGTTAGGCAAAACATCATTGCGTAGTCCGGACCAAGATGCCGCCATGCCGGTTGGGTCATCAGGTTTTCGACAGCTTTCTCTGGGCCCCCACGGCCAGCGCAACCGCTCCCTATGTTTTGGATGTTATGCATACCGCATCGGAAGCTCCCGGCTATTCCCAGGCGCCACCTATCGGTAGACAAGACCTCCACAGAACCAAGTTGGCTCCACTATCTCGGGAAGCCTTCCTGGCCTTAAAGACTTCTTGGGAGTCTTTCCTTGTCCACCAGCTATCACGATTTCGGTACAATGAAGCTGCTACTGGCCAAGATATATATTAGCAATGCAAAAGCAGAAAAGTCTGACCGCGCCTCGGCCAACTTTGGCCAACAGTCCAGAGCAGCTCTTCCATGTCTTGTTCTATGCGTAACCCCGCCTGTGGAGAATGGGCTGTCCCATTCGCTGGCTTCCTCTCAAAATTCGAAATGGCCCATTGATAACTCTTTCACAGACCACGTTGTGACGTAGTCCTGGTCCAGCATATACTGGACTCGCAGCTAGAAGTATCTAGACTTGTTGACTGTCTTGACCCTGTGGGAGTTATATTAACAGAAGTTCCCTTGTCTATCCTTATATTCTTTCTTAAACAAAATCGCCTCCTCATTCCAACACACAGAATCTTCGAATCTTCCGTCTATATACAAGCAAGTCCGCACAGATGCAACTCTCAAGAACATCCTCGTTCGGCTCTTGCCTCCACTGTCGTTGTATGTATTCCTTCACCGTTTGTGTTCTCGGCCAACTAACGATTGTCCCAGGGACAAATCAACGTTCTCAGCTCACTAACCTCTGAATGAGGCCGGAAGCGCGCTGTCTACCGCATCCTCCGTTCTATCCTCCGCAACTTCCGCAGCAGCATCCGGCGCCTCCTTTTTGTATATAGATATATATCAAATTTTCAAATCAATCAATCAGAGAGCCTTATTTTTATAAAAAAAATTGTGGCCTGATTTCGATCCTCACCTCGTTGGCGCCTCCGGGGGAAGCCCTATCGTGCGCGGTACTTCAAGAACGTAATGACTTGTGCACACTGTTCTCTCTCATAAGTCATTCATTTTCAAACGAGTCTTTGAAATTTCGCCGACTGGAACTTCTATGTCCCAATTCCTAAGAGGCCCCAAACGCCGAACTCACAAGAACGCTCCATTCAAATGCAGACCACCGACCCGACAATTGCCATTGCTAAATGCAGATATATGGCAAACAAAAATAATATATAAATCAAGAGGGACGGACTTCCTGCTTCCTGCAATGATGGATGCCTCGTCAGGGACTGCCAAGGGCCTTACTCAATGTTGCTTAGTCCCCTCTTGACGACGGCAACCTCATCTCTCTTCACAATGATAACGTCTCCTTGTTTGGTGACTTCGATCAACAACTCGTTGTTATTGCTCAGCCAGTCCGAGGGCAGCAAAAAATGGCGCATGAGGTTGCCGTCCGTTGTCTCGGTAGTTCCTGCTTTGACTGATGCAACAGAGCAGACCCATCCCGCGCTGTCAAGGAAAACAAGTCTATTTCCGTGTGTCCCAATGAGGAACTCAGCCCTATCCGCAAGATACTCGTATTTGACACCTTCTAGTACCTTTTTGGTTGAGACACTCAAATCAGCAAGGTGGAAAAGGAGGACATGCGGCCTTGGGCGGTTCGTAGCGGAGTCCGAGAAGGCTGCAGCAATCATCGAGTTGTTGAAGCAGGGCATGACGGTATGGATCCTCAGTCCTGGATTCGCTCCGTGTAGTGGAATTCCCTTATTCGCGGTGACTTCGGTCAAGGAAACCCAATCGTACAAATGTACGAAATTGTCGGTGACGAGGATCAATAAGTCCGCATTCGTCGGATGATTGGCCCACCTTCGATTCGGTGCGTCTTTCCGTGAAATCGAGTCCAAGAGTTCGAATTTGCCTGATGTCGTTCCGGACCAAACGGAGTCGGCGGATGTGGTAGAAACGAGGAATCGACTGTGGTCGTTGTTACTCAAGACTTGCCGTACGGCTTCACCAGCTCGATGATCGAGAAGCGTTCTGCCAATTCCCCATCCGATATGCGACCGAAGTAACTTGTGCGTTGTCACACGACTAGAGGAGTCGGTGCTACTGAGGTATGTCTTATTGTAATGGAGCGACATAATTGGCACACCCCCAGGAAGACCATAAAGCTTCTCAACGTCTTGGCCGGTGTTACTGTCATACAACCATACAGAGCCATCTTCCTTGCCACAGAAGAATATGTCCCCATTATCGTGGTAAGCCAATGCCGTGATCAAAACAATGTCACTGGGGCCCATCTCTCTAATCTTCTGCGGGGCTGTAGAGACGGAAACCGTGTCACTGCTTCCGTCATCTATATCTTGTCTAGCCAAAGCCATAGGGTCCCAAATTTGGCACTGAGAACCTCTGATATCGAGAAGGCGACGACTGTCGGCACTGAAAGCTAAAGCCTTGATGTAATAACCATCCAAGCTAATCCTATACAAGAGCTTTAGGGATTCGAAGTCGAAGAGCTGAACATCTCCTTGGTTTCCAGCTGTTGCCAGCGTCCGTCCGTCAGGAGATGACACGAGGATATAAGCACTTCCCATGGTTGTCTCCTTGACTGACATGTCTGATGTGTCAAGAAGAATTAAGTCGCCGTCCCAGTAAGATACAGCGAGCAAGTGAGTGTCAGGTGCACAGCTGAATGCAAGAGCATTGATTGTAGTGTTCACGAGCGGACGCCCATCTGGTGCTTTTCTTGCAAATGTGTCGTAGAAAGCGTCTTTTTCCAAGTCCCGGAGCAACAGGTCTTGGCCTCTGTACACAATTGCAAGCAGCTTGTCGTTCATGCAGAATGCTGCAGCTGTTGGGCGGCGAAATCCATGAACACGCGGTCCCTCGAGGTTTGGTGTCCAATTTCCTGAATTCCTCGGGATTCCAATATCGATATTCCAATTCTTCAGTTCGTTGTTCTTTAGTGCACCAAGTAATATTCTGTCATTATCCATGAAGACGAGAAACATACACTGTGCCTGAATGTCGAATGTCCATAATTGCTTCCAGTTTGAGACGTCCCAGATCTTGATGAAAACCGCTCCGGCTGAGGCTAATTTCTGGCCTCCTTGACTAAATCTTAAGACTGTGATATATTCCCCATGTTCTAGGGCTTGGATCTCTTGGCAGTCCGTATTGTTATAAATGGTGATACTGCCACAGGAGGCTCCGACGGCAAAATATTCCCCGGAGCATGTGAGGGCAGACAGCTGCTGCTGCCGATGGAAGATTGTTGAAAGACATTCATCCCACGTTGTATTTGACTGCCCAATAACCGAGATTCCGTGGGGCTGGGATCCAAATTGCTGATAGGGTGCGGATTCAACGGGGCAAAAAGGAGGGATGGCGTGAAAGATGGACGATGGGAAACTCAAAAGGGTCTTGCCAAATTTCCCCACCAGGCGAATTAGATCCGTACCCCATGAGTCTATGATACTAACCTCCGGACCGAAGGTAAACATATGTTTTCGACGCCTTTGAAGGAAGTTCTTGAGGGCTTTCCCAGTTTGGACCACTCTGTTCAGATCGGAGTTCTGGGCAAGATACTCGATCCAAGATAGAACGTTGGAAGACGACAGAAAGTTTGCCAACTCCAGCAGCAGGTCATCAGCCGTGGATGATGCATGATTGATATGTTCGTGTAGGCAATTGCAGGCATAAGCGACGAATGAACTACGCTTTGGAACTTCAACTAACATGCTCAGTCTTTGGTGTCGCGGAGGTTGCATCTCATCACCACTGAGGTATTGCAAGCAAGTCATAGCGAGTTTCTTATGCCCTAATTTCTTGTCAATCGCGAATTCGGAAGTGATATTTGACCTCAGAAAAAAGTCTCGCGCTGTTGGATGTATCATCTGAACGCGGGACTGCTTGTCGATAGAGAGGAAGTGGCCACAGGTTGCAACGATATCCTCGACGCTGCCTATTGTATCCTTGACATCCATCTGAAGGGCAATATAAAGCTCATCCGTTCTTAGCGGCCGCACGCAGCAGACAGCCCAAGTGAGAATAGCTTTTGCAAGAGGCTTGCCATACTTGGCGCGAGTCATGGAATCCAGTAAGTGTAAATATAGTCCATCTATACCACACGGAAGTTCTTCGAGGAATTGTCTGACCTCAGTGGACATGTGGACCTTTTGGAGCTCTTTCAGAATCAATTTCGCCCATAGAAAGCAACCAGCAGCTTTCTTGAGTATCGTACCAGCAGTCCTCCGCCGTGCTTCCTCGTCAAAACGGAGAACATTTTTCATGTTCGCCTCTAAATATAACGAGATGTCAAATTCAGTATCCTCTGGCAAGATTTCTTCTGTGATGACGTTGGCCCTGCAAATCTCGAAGGGGCTCGAAGTCTCGAAGCCGTTTCTTGAAGTAACAAGTATGTTGATGTTGGCCATGTCGATGATTTTCAGCAGAAATGGAATCAAGTCACTGTCGCCTTGGCATTGATCCAAAGCATCAAGTACCCAATATTGCCGTCGTTCAAGCTCCACTTTGAGAATGCCCTCAAGAAATAATTTATTCCATATAGTCCGCGCATCCATCTGACAGACTTGATCTTCTCTGGTGCAAATCTGAACCACAGTCTGAAGAATTTGTGGATGTGCTGACGCCATCTGCGATGCCATTGACCTCAAGAACAGGCTGGTACTTGACTGGAGATTGTCATTGTCCGCAAAGAAATAGAACATGCAGTCAAGGGCAGAATCCTTCAAGTGTTTCACCACATAGCCCGACAACACAGACTTTCCAGCAGCCGGTTTTGCGCTGATCCAGTATAGCTGTGAAGTGTTTGAGTTTCGCCACGCAGTGAAAGTCTCCTTTTCAATCAGCCACTTGCAAGACTCTCCAATTCTTTGAGAGTCGAAAGTCATGAAATCATCTGCTAATGTCTCGGGGACGCCAAGAAGATGACTGAGAAGCCTTTGTTGTTCACGATGTTCGTCATCATGGCTGAATTGTTGAGGATTGGAATCGAGATCTCGAAAGTTTGCAATCATCGACGCCAGAGCGTTGCGAATGGTTGAGTAATTGGGATCTGTTGGATCAGCATACCTGCATACATTGCGATGATTGGCATTCAGTAATTCATTCCGTTCGTTGGCGTATCCCAAGACAGCTAGGTCCTTCTCTACGATTATACCTCTTCCAGCACCATAGTACATCGGAAGTGTCTCGTAGAAGGAGAACAGCTGCAATTGCTGGCAATACCGTGGAAACTCATCGTTGATCGTTTGCGTGGCCAGCGACTTGGGGTGCAAGTCTTGCACAAATGGTCTGGCTCCAGAAGAGACAGCAAGTAGCTTCGAAAGAGTGGTGGCCAAATCCGCTCCTCGATGTGGAGTGGCGAGGAAGAAGATCGAGCGAACTCGGCGAGCAACAGATTCATATTCATGAAGTTGGTTTGCGAGGATGAAAGCTTTCTTGATCACCAAACCTCCCATGCTATGCCCGACGAAGATCAATGGTGTCTATCACGCTGGTTAGTATGTGGAGACTCCAAGCCTACTAGATACTACATTCAACGACAGCCTAAGCTGGAAAATTTAGCAATTAGCTCAGTCCCAAGTGCTCACTTGAGAGAAGGGGAGTGATGCGATCTTTGGAGACGGGAATCCAATACATACATTTGATCTCCGGGGAATCTGAGGGCAGTCTTGAATAGAACCGAGGAGGGACTTCGCGAAATCATGGATGTTTAGCGTGCTTTCCTTTTGCCAATTTGAATTGTAGCCGAAGGCGTGTATGCGAACATCAATGAAGTCGGGATCATGAGATAGCCATTCTTTTGGCCAGTAGAGAGAAGGGTCTTCTGACTTGGTCCACGTACTTCTGGATCCACCTCCCAGCCCGTGGACAAATATAAGGTCTGCGACCGCAGGTTGCAGAGGTCGAAACAATGTGTTCAATCCGAATGGGCCCTTCAGATCCTTTGGCGGGACGAGAGTGGTGGGATGCCTTGTCAGGATTCGCGTAAGAGAGAGACGTGATCGAGAGGATAAATTTGTCCTCTGCCTTATGAGCTGCCAGGCTGGATCTATGGGATCCTGGTTGGGCTCTTCTATCAACCGAGTCAGAAATATTGTGTTGGAGGGGCACGAAGGAAGGAACTGCTCAAGACTCACTGATTGAACCGAGCTTGGGAATGAGTTTCGCCATTAGTAATTGATGGTCTCTTCTCCCCGAGTAAAATGCATGCTATAGTAAAGCATCAAAAGGGCCATTGGTAGGTGTTAAATGATGATATTTTTAAAAGACTAGAGTAATGCAAACTGTGTTACTGTCAACAGAGAAATACTTCCAAGTGATGGATTTTGGGTTTGAACTCTTCACGACTCGGAAGGATTGACCCCCATTAATTATCCATAACATTCGTCTGCGTGGGGGTCAAATTCCAGTCTGCGAATCGAGACTATCATCGTCATCGAAGCCAAAGAGGCATTAGGAACTTGGGGATTGGTCTGTGAAGCTGTAGGCTTTCTCCCTCACAGGGCGAAACTCTCGAGGCTGAGCGCCCCCGTGACCCTTGCGTTTGTTGCCTCGTCGGCATCATCCAGTAATGAAGCCGGATTAGAATGCGCCTCCCTCGTGATCTGGCCGACCACTCTTTCCTGCAAAGTGGCAACTATCTCCGCGGCGCAGCTTCGCCCAGCTTGGTACAAGTTGGTAGCCTTGGTCCGCTGACGGAACCTGCGTGATCAGAACTCATGACGTTAACTGGAAGAACAGACATTTACACACGTAACGCACCAACAGGCAGAACGGTCAGGCAGATGGGGCGATGCTGCTACTCCGCCTAGTTCATAACGTCTCGCACGAATTGGGAAAGAGCCTCCATGCCTGGGGTGGAGATATCATTTCACTCCCGTCGGGAAAAGATCTGTGAATTCAGCAGCGGCCGATACTGCTCGTGTCAATTCCAACTTTCAAAGCTGCTCGGTATTGACTTAAATGGAGATACTAGACAAGGACGCCGAAGTGTCGGAGACAGTGATTCAGTTTGTCGATCCCAATGTTTTGGCGAGTATGAAGATGTGCTCTAACATAATTATCGGGTTAACCTTCATGGCAGAGCTTCCGGAAGGCAGCATATCAATTGGGATCTATCCGTATGGAGCCACTTACTGGACTCGCACTGCTGAGATCCAGACAAGACAAGCAGATGGGTCGCAGCTGAGTTTCTTTCTAAAGGTTCTTCAGGTCATCTTTAGTAACGTCGATTAAAGACGTACTTACTTCTTTCCAGGTATCCCAAAACGAGACCGGGAAGAAAATGATGTTGGGCGAGATCGTGTCCATCAAACATATCCACGAGGCTGTACCAGACTTAGCTCCTGAGCCCATCGCCTGGGGGTCATACCTCACTGTTCCGAATACGCATTTCTTGCTTCTTAGTTTCGTCAACATGACCGATGATATCCCGGACATCGATAGGCTCCCAAGAAAAGTAGCGGAACTTCACCAGAAAGGCTGCTCACTAAACGGAAAGTTTGGATTCCCGGTACAGAACTATCAAGGACGTCTGTCTCAAGTGACCACTTGGACTGATACGTGGGAAGAGTGCTTTGCTAACAATCTGAGGGGTATGTTGGAACATGAGGAGAAAACCCAGGGACCCAATGCGCGATTGGAGGTCCTTTCAAAGGACATCTTTGAGAAGGTTATACCAAGGCTTCTGAGGCCTTTGGAGACAGGAGGTCGCCATATCGAGGCTCGACTGGTACACGGAGATCTGTGGGATGGAAATTGCTCAACAGCGGTTGAAACAGATGGCCCCGTGATTTATGACGCGAGCGCTCTTTACGCTCATAATGAATGTAAGTCTGCCATGTGGGGCGAGCTTTGGCCACAGAGACTAACGAAGCAGATGAGCTTGCACCATGGCGATGCACTCGACACAAAATTGGGAAGCTGTACATGAGAGCATACCACCGGTACTTCCCAATCTCTGCTCCTGAAGAGGATCACGATGACCGCAATTTGCTGTACTGCATGTAAGACCACCAGGCGGCATACACCAGGTCCCAGTGAATGGGAATAACAAAGTCCTGGGTTGCACAGAACCTAACAGATACAGTCGATTTGACGCATGTTCGTCAGCCTTGTACCCTGGCAACTTGAGATTCAGAGATATGTGAGCTATTGAACATGCCTTTTGAACAATTGCTGAACAAATTCGCAGCATGATCGACGAAATGCAAACTCTCGTCGACAAATATCCCGATGGGTATGAGGGCTGGGCGAGGGAGCAGAAGAGCTGACATTTCGATCTGGTAGTTGGCGTTCCAGGTCTCCTTCCTCTCGAGCTGCGCGACCGTCTTTACACTAATAAACCAATCAAGGCAAAGTCCATACATAGGTCCAATACCTAATGTGCTTTGGGCCTCACCATACCTCTTCCATGGCCACTCCCTATGCTCCCACAGATCCCAAGACTTACTTCCATTCTTGCCCACGCCATAAGCACCCATTCTCGGCTGCTCGCCCTCCATCCTCTCAAGTTCAATCGCAAATTACCATCCTCCCAGGTCTCAAACCTCTTATAAGGACTCGTACCGTGACACTCCTATTCTCCCACCCCTGAGGCCTATTTAGAATTGGTTTACCATAGTGGCCTTGCAACGACATCCAGCATTTCGGCATGGCTCTATCTGTAACCCGCTTTGAAACGCATTGATAATATTCAAGCCGAACGTGGACGCAGACGTACCATCTCACATCACAGGCGTGACATCCATCGTAACCCTCGACCCACCCAAACAGCGAGAAATTTGGACCGGTCAACTTCCTCTTCTCGTGATAAAACGAGAATACAAACACGACACTGAGAAGAATGAGCGAGAGAAATGCCTTCTATATTGGAACGACTGCCCCTATCATCCACATAGCTTTAGAACGGATGGACCAGTTAGGCTGGGACAATGGGTCATGTCATAGGTGGAACGCGGGCCGAGAAAAGAAGGTTATTTTGACGTCGGCGAGGTCGGGCAGCTTGGCGAGGCCACTTCGGCTAAGACACCACAAAAAGTCGAGAAACCCCTGATTGGGTGTTTCTCGTTGCATTGCTGCGCCGTGTGGCGTTGGAAGAACCATTCTTTTCAGCGTGAAATACGGCGAGCGCCTCCAGCCGCCACAAACATCACAGAAGCCCAAAAAGTATAGTAAATTGTCATGGAAATTTGACTTACCGAGCATTTAAATATCGGAGAAATGCGATTTCCACCATAGCATTTGAACTGCATTGTTATCGGGTAACCTACCCGATGCTTCAAGACTATCCTCCATTTCATCTGGCAATTCAAGCGTGCTTTCAAGAGCTATTCCTTGGCTTGAAAGCCTTCCAAATCGTTATTTCAACTCAAGCCGCAATCCGGCCCTGACAACACCGCCCTTGCTCAACCCATCATTTTCGCCGTCCTTCGCCGCCCACCGTTTGACTTCAATAGAGATAAAAACACGCAAGTTGAGTATATGTGCAGGGGTGATGATTTGCGAGGTGAAACAACGAGAGTGGTGTATTAGCGAGGCTCCCTGCCCAAGCATAGCAGGTCTTGTGTTTTAGAAATCCGTGAAGAGGTTCTTATATCTGTAAAAGTGATAAGCACGCTTCTTGATTCCAGGATAGGGGAGACTTACTCATCGTGACCCGTTTGCCCGTAATGATCTGTTTCCTCGGGATACTTGTCGAATTGACTGGCGTCACCAACGCCAGCCTTGACAGGAGGCACATATGGAGCATCGATGTCCTTTTTGGCCAGCCTTTCCCACGTGACTTCTGCAAACCACTGGTGATTTTTGACGTCTTCTGAGCCACCATGCAAATTTCCAAGCCGCTTCGTCAGGTCGGCCGTGATCAGGCGTTGCAGCAAGTCTTGGGCATCAGGGTGAATATACGGTGGATACTTTACTCGGCCCTTCAGAATGTTCTCATAGATTTTCATCGGTGACCCACCGTCCCAGAAGGGAGTGAACCCGCAAAGCATTTCAAAGATTAATATGCCGAGGGACCACCTATATCATATGTGAGATTTTTGACGACTTTACTGACAGCGGCAAACTTACCAGTCAACAGACTTGTTGTACCCCTTGCTGGACACAACCTCTGGCGCCAGGTAATCTGGCGTTCCGCATAGAGTCCATGTAATATCTGGAACCTTCTTGGCGAACCCAAAGTCCGTGATTTTCAGATGCCCATGCCGATCGAGAAGCAGATTTTCAGGCTTCAGATCTCGATAGATGATCTGATTTTTGTGGAGATACTCGAGTGCTAAGGTCACCTCGGCAGCGTAGAACTTTGCTACAGGGTTGGGAAATCGCTGGCAATATTTCAGTAGAGCACATATAATTTTCGTCTCGATACCCTACCTGAGATTTTCTCAACAGAGAGAATAACTCCCCTCCTTCTACGAAGTCCATCACAAGATATAAGTTCTTGGAGTCTTGGAACGTCCCCCAGAGAGTAACGAGGAAAGGATGCTTGACTTCCTGGAGCATTCTTCTCTCATCATTCGTATGTTCCACCTGCTTCATCTTCACCACTTGCTGCTTTTTCAACACTTTGACGGCATAGAATCGTTGATTATGCTTCGATTGGACCAGATGCACCCGCCCAAAGCTACCGGTGCCCAATGTCCGAAGTATTTCGAAATCCCCCAATGAATATTTGCCCTTGGTCTGCCTGATTTGTGGCGCTTGCACAGCTGGTGCGGCCCTTGTGAGTGAACTGTCATTCCCAGTATAGGTTGTGTTCTCGCCGGATGCGGGGTTCGAATGCTCGTTTTTCGAGTTACTGGCACCGTCATTTTGGGGGGGATTAATGAGGTTGCTGATACTTGGAAGGTTCTGCTGATCTGCTGGGACAGGAAGGGCCTGCTGTTGCTGAGGAGAAAGCCCTCGCGTCATTGGCTGCTGTTCACCCACAGTGGGTGGACTGGCTTGATTGAGGGGGGCGTCGGGCTGAGATGTACTCAGGGTCTCAGGGGCAGTGGATTGCGTTGTAACAGAGGCTATCGAATTGTCGAAGCCCCGAGAGGGGGTCGGAGTAATCGGGCTGGTGGGCTGGCTGGAAGTTGAAGTTGGAGAGGCTAGGTCTTTTTGACCCGGAGACTCCCTCGTCCGTTTCTTCTTTAGAAAACCTCCTAATGACGGCATATGAACCCAGTGAAAATTGCTGTTGTCGAGGAGGCAGATCGACGCCAGCGAGCCCAGACGTCAAGGCTGGATGTCGGGAAGGCGACGCGGATGCGCTGGACTAACGGAGAAGCTCTAGGGGTGCGGATCTAGACCATGGGCAGCAGGAGGAAAGAATACCGTATAAAGGTTCTGGAATGTCTGGATTTGCTGGATCGTGGGCTCCGCGATTTGGCAAGCAAGAGCGACCGAGAGGAATGCGGCTTGCTGCAGTCGTGAACAGCAGAACGGCAAGGCCAGCTCCCTTGTCGCAATTGGCTGTCCGTGATAAAGTCAACGGGACGAGGCTGTCAAAGGGAACTCAGCTGTCGCAGAGGGCCAGCAGTCTAGACGAGAGTCTGAGGGGTGCAATTGGGACAGTGAGGTATGTCAATGGTCGCCGATGGAGAAGAGAGGGGGTGCGGAGAGGACGAGGAGGAGGTTGAGTTGGTGGAGGATGCGAGCGGAGTTCAAGACGCCTGCTCACTGGTCTGAACCGTGGTGGGGTGAAGATCCTTGAGCAGCGGGCTTAGCGTCGTGCCCGGCTGAGCCGTCCTCTGGCCATCAATGAGAACAGCACGCCCTTCAAAGCCCGAAATCAAAAAGCAAATTCTGAGCACTGATAATGATGAAAGACGCTGCCGAGTTTGCGCCTGAATAGTTCTGATGCTGTTGGAGAAAGAGGGGGTTGGGCACAGACTGCTGACAGCGAGCCCTGCCGCAGCGGCTTTTTCCTGGTTCACGTGTATTTGTTCCATTATTGCCGGGTCAAGGGTATCAACTACAAATTGAGCTGCAGCATGGATGTGAGGGGCTTAATTGGACTAAAGTTTCTGTATCTACCAAACATTAGTGCCTTAGTAAGGTTTGGTGTGAGTTGGGGAAGTGGGGAGAGACTGCGGTAAAGTCTTCAAGTGTTGGCTCAAACAGTTCATGGGGACTGTTTGAGAATCGTGATTCTTCATTGATAGGCCAGCCCGCCTAAACGCCGCCGCTATGCTACCAAACCCAAAACTCCATGGTCCACAGATATCATTTCTGCGCATCTCGCAGTTCGGACCACATCCGATCAATGACCTGAAAAACTGCCGTCACTGCCTGCATAACATCCTCACTGACGTTTTGCCCGCCAAGCTTTTGCTGGATCTTATCAGGATGCCAACGAACCCTCTCCGCTTTCAAAACCTTTCCCAGCTGGGCTTCCGTAGGCTGGCCAGCAGAGGGAGCGTAGAGGAAGAACTTTTCGACTTCTTTCAACTCGACGTCTTTCCGCCTTCCACTCTCAACAGGCCATGGTATCGATGCAATGGCAACTTTGACGCCTCCCTTTCCGAGAGTCTCCCACTTCTGGGTGTATGCGTCCCATTTCTCTGTCCAAGACTTCCTAGTCTTCCGTTCCTCGCCCCTTCTCAGACTCTCTTCCACTTTCCTTCTGAATTTCTGGGCCTCTCTCTCCTCTTTGGCACCCTCTTTTGCTAGCTTTTCTCTTTCCTTCTTAGCAGCAGCTCTTCGTGCCTTCTCCTCGATCAGATGTTGGTGCGTCTTCTCATACATCTTCGCCCTGACGAACGCTGTGTATTCTTCATCCGTCATGCGCTCCAATTTTCCCTCTGGGCCTTTCTTAATGTCGGGATAGGTGTGAATTGGCTGGCCATAAACACCCTCCCAGAACTGTGCTCCTTCATCGTCTGCCATAGCATCGAATAGACTTTCTCTAAACGCAACATCAGGGTCCAGGTATTGATCCGAGGAGGCATTCGGAAGATGGGTGTCATCGTAAAGGGATGGATCGTCCTTCTTTGTTGTCGAAGGTGTGGATTTGCGCCGCTTCGACCGATGGTGGTGGTGATGCCTTTCTCGATCACGGTCGTGATGACCTCCTTCTGATGGGCTTCGAGACCTCTCATCAGATTTCCTCTTCGACTTCGACTTGAACTTGAACTTCGACTTGATCGGGGGAATTTGCGCCTTGGTACCTTGATCGTTGTCGCCGCTGCTGACGCCAGCGATACGGTCGCCTCCATCCACGGATGTCATCGTGGTCCACGCGCATCGAGTGCGTTCAGATTTTGAGGTTTCATGTGCGTGGAGACGGCTCTGAAAGTTTGTGGCAAGTTTGCATCGGCGTATGGCGAGGATGTTTCGATGCTTGGAGAAGAGTCAAGGCCAAGCTCGATAAGGCTTCTTATCGCGCTAGCGCCACAAAAGTCCAACCTCACCTCAAAGTTCCCCACAGCAACGAGAGCCTCCAAACCAACATCGAAGAACTCGGATTCAGACAAAGTCAAGATGTCTAACAAAGGTCTATCTTATGGACTAAATCTCGTCAAGAAGACTACTGGGAACAGACCTCAACCTGCAAAACGGAAACCTCTATTCGAGGAAGATAATGACTCTGACGGCGAAGGGAAAGGCACAGAGGCTGGAATCGAGGAAATTGGAGAGATAGGGGGGCTGTCCGACCGACCGCCAGCCTCAAAATCTTCAATGGATGGACTTCTGCTGCAGTCAAAAGGGGGCAGGCCGCCACTGAAGCCAGGAATAAAGAAAGGACCCATCAGCATGTACGGCGACCTATCCTCATCGTTCGGCTCCAAAAAGTACACAGAAACGGCAGAAGAACTGGATTCCAATATCTATGACTATGATGCAGTTTATGATTCCCTCAAACCGAAGAAGAAGGTTACCCAGGAAGACATTGAAAGAAAACCAAAGTATATGAGCAACCTTCTTGCTGCGGCTGCAGTCCGCAAACGAGATGCAACGATCGCTGAAGAAAAGAAGTTAGCCAGGGAGAGAGAGGCTGAAGGAGAAGAGTATGCAGACAAGGAGAAATTCGTCACTTCGGCATATAAGAAACAGCAAGAGGAAAATCGACGATTAGAGGCAGAGGAAAAGCTCCGGGAAGAGCAAGAGGCGAAGAAAAGCAAAGGAACTGGCATGACGAGCTTTTACAAGAACATGCTTGAGAAAGGAGAGCAGAAGCACTCGGATGTTATCAAAGCTGTCGAAGAGAGAATCAAGAACGGGCCTGCCGAGGAGGATGAAGAAGAGAAGCAGAAGACCGAGGCTGATATGGCACGAGAAATTAACGACAAGACTGGTGGTGCTATTGCGGTCAACGATGAAGGCCAGGTTGTTGACAAACGACAATTACTCAAGGGAGGTCTTAATATTGCCGCAACGCCGAAGAGTGCAACTGCATCAAGTACCCCCCGTGGGGGCTCATCAATGTCTGATCGAAGCAGAGGGTCTGGGTTTGTGGGAGCTAGTGGTGGAAAGCAAGCTATGCGGGAACGCCAGTCACGGATGATGGAAGCACAGTTAGAACAGGCGACGAAGAGGGCACTGGAGGAGGGCGAGGGAGAGCGGCAGAAGATTGAAAGGGCGTCGAAGAGTAGAAAGACGGAGGGCGATATTATGAGTGCCAAAGAGAGATACTTGGCAAGAAAACGGGAGGCAGAGGAAGCAAAGAGGAGAGGAGAGGGTAATGTATGAATGATGGCATAAATTTAATGGACTTGCCACAAGGAACATTCAAACAAAGCTCTGCCGAACGACGGCTCCCTTAATAGTCTTCTGGCGATAGCGGAATTCCACGATCAAGTATGGATGTGGGACTTCAAAAGCTAATAAGGGTTAATGCCGTATGCCAAATTCCAGCTGAGTCAACGCTTTCGGAAAATTAACAGTGATTGCCTTCAAGAGTACGTTGGTCTTCAACTCTATTCCATTGGTCCGTCCTTCGTGCTAGATATGCCTTGAACAGCTTTCTTGACATTGTTCTTTCAACGATTGTGCATTTCGTCTCTGAGACATTTGAGAACTCATTCCTGATATCGTTCAATCAGTGATTGTACAAGCGATTTCCCGGACAATTTGAGAAATTTATTAAGACATGTAGGGTTGCCGATGCCAAAACCCTGCTGGTACAATGACAAGGCAGGGAAACAGAGCGCCTCTTCTCACCTTTTCATCTTTTGAATTTAAGATGCGCTATCGTGTTTCGTAACTTTTGAATATTCCGTCTTCACGTGGAACATTGGAAAGATGTTGAAATCGGCCCAATTCTATCCATATTCTATCTCTCCCCAATTCTGTATTTCTGATCCAGCATACTTCGATTCCATTGTTCCATTTCAGCTGGGGACATTTGATAACGCTGTCGGTGCCACCTTGAGCCGATATCAGGAGGAGCTCCTTTCTTCACGTGCCTTCCCCTTTTGGCAAGTCAACAACCCCGATTTTAAGAACCTCCGTCGCCACCTCAATCTTCCCCAACCAACAAGAGCAATCAAAAATCGCCACAATGGCGTCGCTGAAGGAGCGAAAGAGCGCTCTGCAAGAGTTTATGGCCAGCCCGAAGACGATGGATGCCATTTGCAACTCTATCCACCTCAACAGCGGCAGTCAAGTACACAAGGATCTCCTACGCGCCATAGTACAGATCACCGCTTATGGCAAGGAACACGTCAAGAAGTGTGGCCTCCTCGAGCCTCGCAGAGTCCTCTCCGATGGCACGCATTGTACTACCTTCGACGGGGAGTTTCAAGCTCTCGTCGACCGGTTCCTAGTCGAACTGAGGGCCGGCGTTATCTTTTTTCCTGTTATCCTGCCCAACTACGATGGTTGGACCGACAGCTTCTGTAGGTATTGGGAAGACACCCCTTTCCTATTCTTCTGAGCGGTATCAAGACAATGTTTCAGTTTTCCCAGAGCAATCTGTTGGGCAATTACTAACTACCCCGTTACCTAGGGACTGGGGACCGCCTCCAGTGGAGCAGCAGCCTTGAGCGTGATGATATACGGGGTGGCATCCTACTGATGTTCGAGAATATCAAGAACAATGGTATCACCATCGATCTTACAGGCGCAGAGGTATGCTATCCCCTCACTTTTCATACTTCCTATCACCCTTCCATTAGGTGCTCCCGGATCACTGGCTGACCCCTTTTTAGGTTTATGAAAGCTTTACAACCGATGACTGCGGTACGCATCCTAACTGAATGTCTCCGGAGTTTGTGCACATTCAAATTCCTTCCTCTCCGAACTTCCTAGTGATCTTGGGACATTCAAAATGCTTCCTCCGAAAGTTCTCGGGGGTTTAGAACATTCAAGGACTTTTACTGACTTTGGCAGATGACTGTGGAAGCGAGAATGCTACTAGCACCGACGATATTGTCTACTGCGATACATGTCACGTAGGGCACCACCAGAGCTGCTATGACATTTACCCAAAGCCGGTTGGTACATTCTATTGTCCACAAGTGATGTCCAGAAGACTAATGTTCGCAGGGACCTGGCGACCCGTGGAACTGCAAGCCGTGCGATGCCGCTAAGCAAGCTAGTACCAGTGCCTCCAGAAAGCGCAAATCCAGTACTACTCCCAAGAAGACTATGCCGAGGAATGTACGACACAAGCAGGAATATTCAGAATATTCCCCTCTTGATTCTCTTGGAACCACCTCGAACATTCAAAGTGCAACCTCGTCACATGTGAAGGGAGGAAAGAGAAGTTTGAGCTTAAATTCTCAGAAGAAGGAGGGATATTCTCAAAGCGGTCGCCGAGCAGTCAGCCAACCCACCAATGTCCTTAAACCCGTGAAGAAGCCATCAAAGTCTCCACCGGCTCTTGCCCCGATTCCTCCTCTCAACGCCTTTACCAAAGACCCAGTGGAGGATCTTACATTCAATCTCGGTGTTGCCCCCAAGAATAGTACACCCAGTCCCAAGCCCCGATTGTCCCATTCACAAATAGAGGGAACGATTCTCCTTACTCGATTGAAGGATCATAAGATATTTCGAAAGGTTTCTTTGACCAACGCTCGGACGGTGGATTCCCTTTTCAAAGAGTGTGCGCAGCGCTGGCCAGATAAGTTCGGTGTTGGTGGCATCTCGAGACTTCTGTACGTCGACGAGGAGAGTCACCTAGTGGAGATTGTGGAAGGAAATTCGGCTGATTACAAAGAGCTCCTCAGAATGATTCAGAGACGTTGGGACAATGGAGGAGGGGAAATAGTCCGAGTTACGGTAGTCTTGCTTGCTGATGGGGAGGTTGAGGAGGTGTGATTGTTCTATTTCAGCAGGAACATCAATGGCTATTGTGTGTGTTCAGATGGTACATTCTCATATCTTGTAGGACTTTACTTTTTCGGAATGTCCATACGGGCGTGGAACATTGAGGTTGCTGAGAACGACAATGTACGAAATGGGATTTCTCATTTTCGGACAATCACTTGTATAAGTACATAATAAAAACCCTACTCTCTCAACACTTGGACTGAAGAATATTGGAGAAGAGGTGATTCGTGCTGATACCGTCTATAACCTCCCATCCGGTGATGCACACTTTCCCTCCCATTTTGCTTGCACAGGTGTGATACAGGCCCCTACTCGTACATCCATTGTTTGGCTCTCTTCCTTCAGAAGAACCTAGAAAATCCCACCTCCACCAGAACTTCTCCCCTGCTCCTGTTGTATCCGGTTGATGTACTGTCTCGAAACCGTGTTCCATGCCGCCATATATTTCTCCATGCATTGCGTGAAGCATGTCGTCTCGCCGCTTGATAACGAGGAGCCAGGCTTGGGTACGCACTTCTCGAAGCAGTGCTCGTTGACTTTCTGCTTGCAGTTAGATACAGCCTAAGAAGCGAGATAATGGAGATTGTGTACTTCAATCAATTGCCGTGCGTTCGTCATAGCAGCTTCTTGTCGGACTTGGTTCATGACCGCAGCCTTGGGATCTGAAGAAGAGGAGCCGAAACCAAGGCCATTGCTGATGTTGTCCATCTTTGCCGACTCTGTAGACCTCTAATGCAATAGCCTGCTCCTGTTCGTCTGCGTTCGAAGGGAGGGAATGGAGGTCGTGTGATAGTTTGCCTTTCCGAACTGTTTGGGTTCGTTTCCTCAAAATTTATCTCGACGTCAATGAAGGCTCGCCTAAGGCAGGGGCAAGGCTCAAGACTCCACAACGAAATTGCAGGGATCTTCAAGCCACCATTCAGGAGCTTTCTTTGACAGGCCACCCCGGACTCCATCAGAAAGGCCAGCTTACGAGAAGGTTCAATATATTTCACGAAACGCTGACCTCGGCCACCAGCCTGCTTCACCCCCCTTCCCTTTTCTTTTCGGTTCTCCATTGCACTTCTACTCTCGGCTCTACGCATTCAGATTGGGATTTTGAGGGTTCCGGGAGTGTGAAAGAATGCGGCTTTCCACGTCGCTGTCGGCCTTGGGGCTGGCAGCATGTGCTCTGGCGCACCCCGACATAACGACAACGGACGAGAATGGCATTCGCAGCATACCTGTTTGTGTGCTCTCTCCCAGTTCAAAGAGTTTATGCTGACAGGTTGGAAATGCAGTTGCGAACACATTCCCTCATCGCGGTCAGTTTTCGAACAGGGAATCAACCCCCCCCCCTTACGTCCCTTCTGACTGAGACATACAGCCCTACCTGGATTCAGATATGCAGAGTCGATGGTTTGATTTTGGAGGAAATACCATTGTGCGCGCAGACCAGTATGCCGCGCAATTCCTGGGGCAGGGGTCGGTGTGCTGACAGGGAAATAGGTACATACGACTTACTTCAGACCGACCATCACAAGAAGGATGGATATTTTCGCGGGTTCCCTTAACTGCTACAAACTGGGAGGTATGCTCGCCCTCCACACAATCCACCTACCAAGTCCAGATCTGACATCAGAACCCAGATTGAAGTCGAATTCAAGATCCACGGTCAGGGCAACCTCCACGGCGACGGCTTCGCCTTATGGCTTACCAAGCAGCGCGGTATGGTTGGCCCAGTCTTTGGCTCAGTAGATAAATTCGAAGGGCTTGGCATCGTTTTCGACACCTACAAGAACAACCGTCCAGGCACCGTCTTCCCCTACGTAATGGCCATGATGGGCGACGGCCACAGAATCTACGACAAGGCAAACGATGGTAAAGACAACGAGCTCATGGGCTGCTCGGCGAGAGGGATACGTGGAGCCTCGATACCGACCAAGGCGAAGTTGACGTATTTCCAAGACAAGAGCCTGAAGCTGGAATTGCAGTACAAAACTGAAGATCAGTGGGAGCTCTGCTTTGAAACGAACGAGCCGCCTACCATCCCTTCTGTTGCGTACTTGGGCTTTTCAGCGGAAACGGGAGAACTGTCGGATAACCACGATATCATCTCCGTCTCGACTAAGAACTTGTATGATACGAAGGGGAGAGAAGCTGTGATGAACAAGCCGGGAAACAAAGGTGCCAGCAAGGGCAGCGAGAGATATAGCGCGAAGAAGGAAGGTGGTAGCTGGAGTTGGTTCTTTTTCAAGGTGCTACTGTTCTTCATGGTCGTGGGCGGTGGATATGTTGGGTTCACGGCGTGGAGAGCGCAGAAGGGAAGAAGTCATCGGTTCTGAGAATTGCGAGGGCGGTCGAGGAGTGAATGATAAATGCAGGGGGTACATTTTGGTTGCTAGCGTGTATACCATTGGACTTTGGAAGGCGAATGAAAATAATGGTTCTCCTTTCCCAAAATATCGTCCTATCAAGTGAAGCTCAGAGAATGAGCCGAGACTTTTCACAAAACAAATTTTACTACAGTAGCTGTCCCATATCCGTTATCTCATTTTCTGGATGAAACCCCGCGACAAAATGTACATCCAGGTGATATTCGTAAGGTTGTCGTGTATTAAATGGGGTTGGTCTCCATGGATTACAAGTTGGCATGCCGATTAATCTTTGCGGAGGGTCAAGAGTTAATATATTATTGTTAAAGAGTCTCTATTTGCATTAGAAGAATTTGTCATGCGTGTCGCTTTATTATTATCCAAAGTCGATTAGAGACATTAGATCCAAAGAATAGTTGAAAGTCACGTCAAGTTCAACTAGCGTTTCTCTAGCAACTTCCTAAGGTACCCGCAGGTCTAACTGTTCGTATTTACATGTTCGAACTTACTACTAAGAGGGCTCGTAAGTTCCCAAAGCTTGACCAATTATATAAATTTGTGTCACCTGCTCTGTGAAAAGGCCTGGGACCAAACAGTGCTTCCCGTTAGCACTTCAGATCTAAACAGCCTTTTCTTCAATTATAAATATACTATGAATCGTTCTTTGATTAGAATTAGGTACTGCATAGGATCCGAACTTCTGTCACACACTCAAAACCAACACCTTTCCAGAAGCCAGAGATCAAGCCAAGATACCATCTCTTAACAACGTGGCTCATGTAACATATCCTATTGCCCCTCAAGAGCAAATCGGGACTATCACATTCTTCACACACTTGAAAGACAGTCACGATACACACCAAATCCAGCTCTTAGAGCACGACTCTCTCCATGTACTTTTCCAAAAATGCGCAGCGGCTTGGTCCGAGACATTCCACACAACAAGTGATATCAAGATGCTTTGTCATCGTGATGGGAAGTATTTGATTGAGAGTCGTCGGTGGTGTGAGGGAGATCTGGGGGATACGGAAAGAATAATGGGACCGCATCAAGGTCGGGGTAGCTCGTTGAGGGTGAGTATTCATCTCTCGAAGGAGAACAACGATGCAGACACATTAACTCAGACCCTGAAGAGACTTGGTCTCTAAGCACGGGCAGGTATGAAACATAACTGTATTCCCGACTTTTCGCAATCCTGATTAGAGGCGGTGGTTTGTATGGATTAGAGCTCTACCTTGGCTTGCAATAAACTGTTTTCTGCGGTAAAACAAAATTAATTACCCCCCACCCCCCAAACCGCATGTGAGCGAGATCGTGAAGAAGCGCAACAACTACTGCCCTCGGTGGACCTCTAACTGTGGACTATTAGTTCAATATACGAACTCGGGCAATATGAGAGATACCGATGTACTAGGGCTGAGCTAAGTTGCTGGCAACGATTCGTATGATTGAGGTACGCTCTACCAGAGTAAACTGCCTTATGAAAATATTTTAATCTCTTCAAGTTTCCTTTGGCCACCTTCCCTTGGGGCTTCAAGATTTCAGGCGTGGTGGATTGCGTTTCGCCTTTTGAAAATGTTTTTTAAGGCCTTATTCTCGGCAAGCGAGGATGGAAAAGGGGCTCGCCGAACTTTTGTTACTGGTGCTTTCCACGCCGCAGTGGCTGAATCGAATGCATTTCAATTTTAGCGTTCACGAGAAGGACTGAGGTGACTAGGATTTCAAGAATTCCATTGGATATGCAATCTCAAGACTCGTCTAATCAACTGAATGATAATCTCTACTCCGTACCCAAGCTATGCCCATAACCAGGCAAACGCTCCCACCCATCATAATAATATCCAATCAACGCAATCTCATCTCTTCTAACCGTAAACGCCAATCTCATGATTTGTTCGTTAATCATACAATGCAGTTATAGTCATGCTTCTGTTCATGATGTGAGTGCGTTGCTCGCACCCATGATCGCCATTCCGAAGAAGGCGAATGCAATACACAGGTTTCGGTTGTGGTTTAGGCTCAAAGCCTCGACAAAAAGTTGTAAAGCGACGCTGACCATGATGCCAGCAGTGATGCCGAACATGCAGCCATAAGCCGCCTCGCCAGGCTTGTGGCCTTCTGTTCCAGCGATTTTGAACCAAATTGCTGCGATACCAGCACCGAGGGGTTGCGAGATGCCGCCTAATAGGGAGGCCCAGAACATAGCCCGGATGCGAGACTTGAGGGCAAGATATAGGGGTAATGCCATGGCGAAGCCTTCAGTAATATTATGTACGAAGAGCGCCATGAAGACGGAGAATCCAAGGGATGGGTTGGCATGGTTGGTAGCATAGGTAATGAAGCCCTCTGGGAGCTTGTGTAAGGCAATAGCAATCGAAGTCTGAAGGCCGATGCTCATGAAGGCATTTTCGGGGACGTGGTGATGGTGTTGGGCTTCGGGGTCATCTTCATCTGCTGACTCGCAGGCTTCATCGTTGGTTTGACGCGAGTTCGAACTAGTCGGCCTGGCTACGCTTTGAGCTACCCCATTTTCCGAAGGAGGCCGGCACTCGGATGGAGAATGGTCAAAGAATCCGGAACTTGGTCGACGAATCCCAGGGCGGGAAACTGTCGATGGCCTAGCTGAAAGGTGCTTGAGACATTCTTGACCACAGGGATCAGAGTACCCAAAACAAGGCCCTGTAGAGTCACAATTGGACTTGGTATCCTTGACAAAAGACATGACTCTCCTTTGAACCTCGATCATCGAAGGCCTCCGGTCAGTGGGTTCGCCACGTCGACGACTTTGACCTGCCCCGTCGCCTCCAAAATGCAGTGCAAATTTTGGAGACTGCTTCCGTTTCGACTTCGACTTCGACTTCGATTTCGATTTTGATTCTGGTTCTGGAGGGGCTAATAAAGGTGTTGATTCGGCCGTCTTTCTATTTCCCTTTCCGTTAGAGGGTTGCGATGGTCGGCCTCTGCTGTGGGCCGCAAAGGATGCCGATCTGCTTGGTTCCTGGTGCTCCTGACCATCTTCGTGGCTATGATCGCATTCCACCTCGTGTGACGGTATGTATTTGTGCAGGGCTCTCGATAAGATTTGTATTCCAACAAAGCCAGCCGTAAAACAGGCCAGGAGGATCCAAGCAGCGTCGGCGGGTGAGTAGCCGCTGTTTATTAGGTATTTCTTCGAGGATGGAAGCATGCTATAGAGCGCGGAGAATGACTGCTTTAATCAGTACATAGCGTGAGGTTGTGGAAGGGATACTTACCATGACCCCGAAACTCAAGCTCAATGATGACGCCAGGAAGACACCGCTGTCCTGTATCCTGAAATTCCTCTTGCTCGGTATTAAACGGACTAGTATATCAATGCAGATAATACTGGCTCCGAGGGTGCAGGCTATTATTCATGTTACTTTTTGATCCCCAAGGCTTGCACGAGACCACTTACCAATCCCACTCACGGTACACATAATCCAGCCCCGAGTATCATTGTCCATATCTCCCGCCATGATGGCAGAGAAGCAGCCACAGCAGTGAACTTTGGAATATGTTTGAAATCTGCCGTTACAAGCGCTCTCCTTCGAGGTATTCTAGGCTTTAAAGATTGGCCTTGCGCAAGTCGCATAGAACTTCGAACTCGATGTTCGTCGTCTTCTCACAATTTATCTATAAAAGGAAGGAAATCTCAAGAGAGGTCGAGGTTATAGGAGAGACGAATAATCGGATCAAAGGGACTTGAGTCGTCGCCTTTGTCACAATCAGTCGTCTGTGATTGAAATCGCTCTTGGAAGTAGACATCAAGGTTCTCAATCGCAGGTCGAGCCCACATAGCGCGACGTTTGCGAACAGGGGTCGCTTCCGAATCCGTCAGCGAGTCAGAACCTCTCTGATTGGTTCACTCCTTTGCACCGAATTAAAACCGCTGTTTCCTCGATGACGGCTAAACTTTATATACATTCAAGCGTCATAATTGAAAATCAGTGAGTCGCACAGAAGGCCGCAAATTTGGTGGCAGCCTCGGGATGTTTGTAAGACATCTTTGTCTCAACTTCCTCACAACATCAACCTCTGGCAGAACCCGGTGAAAGGAACGCACCTTCTTAGCTTCGATCAATCGTCTTCAAGTTTTGTTTTCTGCGATATCCATTGGCCATCAATATACAGGACATGATCTTCTAAGTGGTCGGCCTTGTTCTTGCTTGACCCATTCTCGAGTTCGGATTATTCCCGGTAAGGTTCTACGGAACGGATCAAAAGAAGGCCGAGTATTGTGGGGAGATGCTCCATGGAGGGGTAGGTTCTTCCATATAATGTACCATCCAGTAGATTTCGGCTCCTTCATTTCTATCTGTCTTCAGTAAACAGCTTGCTCCGCTTGGGACAGCATTCAGTTTCCTCTATTCCTTCTTGCGTTGTTAGGCCCTCGCGAACCCTCTCTCGTATCACATTCAGTCACACGATCAGGAAGTCAAGAGACCGACATTTTCAAGAACAGAATAGGTTTCAATTATTAATGATACCATTTTCAAGCAACCATTCTTACGCCCCCAAACTCCGCTGGGTATAATTCGCGCCGCATTCGCCTCGGACTCATTTCAAAATTCTCAGGCGTAACCATCGCCGGTGGATCGTCCTTCAGCTCTGGGTATAGTACCCCTATCATCGCATCCTGATTGGGAGGCCTCTCCTGTCTCGCTCGAAATCTTTTGGCAAGGAAACTCCTGATCGCTGCGATTATTGTACACACAGTGATGAAGCCCAACCCTAACGCCAACCCTATGATGGTGGCCCTGCCAAATGGTGTTCCACCGTCTAGTGGAGTGCTTGCAGTCGTCGATGATGAGCTCATTGCTGAGGCCGGAGATGGAGATGACCCCTTCGTAGTCGTTGGGGGTTTCATGATCTGGGTCTCGGTCGTTTGAGGGGTCGACGTTGAAGCTGGAGCAACGAGGTATCCATTAATGTGAAAAGCCCAGACCTCACTCACCACTGCACTTGATGTTGACCAAGAGTCTGCGGCGGCGGCGTGTTCGATATAGGTCACCGCCTTTTGGGTAGGCAGGGCAGACCTGCACTGGGTTGGGTTTGGATCTGCTGCAGCTGAGTTCCACGCGACAAAATCGTAGCTCCTACATTTCAATCGTCAAAGCAGTCCCAAGGCACAGAAATACGCACACTTACAATGGACAACACCCCACGAGTGTGCTGGAGGAGTCTATCACGCTAGTCGCTGCTGTTGTATATGCTTGCGGGCAAACCAAAGAAACACCCCCCAAGACTGTCGGCGTGGCACCAGGGGCCGTGAACTGATCCCACCATGCCGTTGCCTCTGGCGGCAGGCATTGAATTGCACTCTGAGTAGGGAGGTACGGATCGAATGCGTATAGACCACTGAGGGACGTTTGAGAGACGAACAGCGACGAGCACTCGCCGATTAGCGGCCACGGCGTGCTCAGCGGAAGGAACGAGGTTGTGGGGCTCGAGATAAGTGATTGACCCGCTGTAGGGCTCATGGGTGTGAGTGGGAGAGCATCGTGGATTGCAGAGAGGGCCATTTCACTGCACTGCCGTGCTGCTGTCGGTCCGACCGGGCTAATGAGTGACTTCGACAGAATAGATTGCTTGCGAGATGCGTGAGGGTGGTGGATGCAGACGATTTACAGCTGAATAGCCGGCCTCACATCACATCGCAGAGCAGAGCAGAGCAGAGCACAGCACAGCACACTCACGCTGCTGGGCAGTGGCACTGACTGGCATGGGCGCTGGGCTTCTGGTTCTGGGCACGGGGAGGGGATCATGCGACAGCTGGCCTTCTTGTGGTGGTGAGCAATGAGCATTGCCATGGCTGCCATGGCCGCCACGGCGAGCGAGCAGCATTTGCGTGCCGCTGTGCCCCTTCCTTTGGCTCTGCAATCCGATCCCTATTTTAAGATTGGCCGCCCCCCAGCAACAGGACATCACATGATCACTTGGTTTCTGGGCGTTGCCGTGACTGAGCATGGCCCAGGCATGCTCGTCTCCAGAAACTGGGGGAGCGCTGCTGGGCCGTTGAAATGCCGTGGACGGCTGAGTCTGGCTGGGGTCGCACAGGGGTTGTGTGTGTCCGCTTTTGGCTTTTGGGCTCGTCCTCGCTTTGGCAGGCGCTCGCTAAATACTCAAGTAACTTGACATCGCCTGTAGGTAGTTTCTCACTGACTGGATTGGCCCGTGACTTGGCCATCAACACATCAACACCACCACGACTGAGCCCTCACGCGCGTCTATGTCTCGACCGTGATCATACGCGCGCTCTGCCTTCAACACAATAAATACTTCCCTCAGACGCCCGCACACCCTCACGATGTCAAAGACCACAATAGCTATAATAGCCGCCGTCAGCGCAGCAACTGGTGCAGGGCTCACGGCAGCAATGTACTCCACCCGCTCCGAGAAAAAAATCCAAGCCGCACAGTCTTCCACTTCGGTATCAGCAACATCAACAACCTCTGTCCCCGCACCCATACCCGGGCCTCTCCCTCTCTCAGCAAAAGACATAATCCCGCCAGTCGACCCAGCAGGACTCTTCCAATACGGCTTCCCCGGTCCCATCGCCGACCTCGCAACCCGACCCGCACTCGTCTCCTCCTTCGACCGACGCCTGCGCAACCCCTCCTGGGTAGCAGAGCACATCACCCCCGCGTCGCTTGCCTCTCCAGATGGAGACCGCAAGCACTCCGTCTTCCTCGAGGACCCCTCCGTCCCTGAAAAGTTCCGCGGCAAGCTAAAAGACTATTTCCGCTCTGGCTACGACAGAGGCCACCAAGTGCCAGCCGCAGACGCAAAATGGAGCCAGGCGGCAATGAACGATACTTTCTTCCTTACAAATATGTGTCCGCAGGTTGGAGAGGGCTTTAATCGCGATTACTGGGCGCATTTCGAGGATTTTTGCAGACGGTTGACGCAGAAGTACCCCTCTGTTCGGATCGTTACTGGGCCTTTATACCTCCCTAAGCGCGACCAGGTAGACGGGAAGTGGAGAGTTTCGTACGAGGTTATCGGAAACCCCCCAAATATCGCGGTCCCGACACACTTCTACAAGGTTATCTTTGCGGAAGATGGGACGACAACGGGACCGGTGGCCGTAGGGGCCTTCGTGCTGCCGAACGCGGCGATCCCGAACCAGAAACCGATTACGGATTTCGAAGTTCCTGTGGAGGCGGTGGAGAGGGCGAGCGGACTGGAGTTTGCGACGAAGTTGCCGGTGCAGAGGAGAAAGAGGCTCTGTGCGGATACGGTGTGCGCTTTGGTCATTAGGGAATATGCGGACAGGCAGAAGGCTTTCTTGAAGCCTGAGGAAGGAGAGAAGAAGGAGAAGGTTCCTGGTGTGCCGACTAGGACGAGTCCGAGGAATGCGAATTTGTGAAGTGATAGAGGGGATGGGTGGAGCGAAGTGTAGGATTTAGAGAGGAGGATAAGCTCGCGAGAGTTGTATTGTATTGAATTGCATTGTAGAGGTTGCATTTGGGCGGTAGCGTTGCATTGAAATCGTAGCATGGCGTTTCGATTGTTGATTTGAGGGTTGACCTCGCTGCATCAGGATTGCAAGACTTGTATACAAATAGAGATAGCCAATGAAGAGAGAAGACACTGGTGAAGTGTGGTGAGTTACCGGTTCAAGTATATCCGATATCCCCAGGCGATGTAGGATTTTCAGTTCTCTCACCTGGGTTTACAATGTACCATACGTTCTTCAACATTGAAAATTTCAAAAAACGTTCACATCTCGAACTCGTTGCTGTCCATTCATCAACCCTAATTTGTGAAAGGACGCAGCTGCTAAATGCCAGGTATCCACTGTTATACAGTTTACCCCCTTGACCGCATCACCTCGCTCGGGTGTACTTCCCCTTCCTCTGCTCCATCTGCAAACTTTCTTCCTGACTCGGTAACGGTCCTCTCCTCCGAATACTTCCACCACCCGAAGACGGCGGCTCCTCCTTGTTCTCACTCACACTCCCTCCACCTGCCATTCCAGGAATCTGGAAAGGAGGAGCACCCATCCCCATCCCCGGCGGCGGAGGCGGGAACCCACCAGGAAATCCAGGGGGCGGCAACAAGCCAGGCGGTAGCATTCCAGGAATCTGTGGTATTTGGCCAGCACCAATAGGTGGTGGAGGTGGTAGCCCAGCTTTGCCCAGCATCTCTGCCAGCTTGGCAAAATCTGGAGGGTGGCTTGGGTCGAGACCAGGCAGAGGAGGAGGCACACCGTTCCCAAACATAGGGGGCGGAGGGGGAGCGGAACCCATACCGGGGAATATTGGCTGAGCGCCTGTATTGTCCTTTCCAAACTGCGGTAATTGTAGACCGGGCATACCAGGGAAGGTGGGGGCTTTAGATGGCATTTTCTGGTCGACAAGACCATCGACCTCGTCTTCCATTTCCTGCTCTTCTTCCTCCTGCCGGTGACGACGAGCACCGCGACGGTCCCAGGTCCCTTTTGCTTCGGCGGCTGCTTCGCCGATGTGCCATTTGTCGTCGTTGACGTCGACGTCGCCGGGTCGGGCACGAGTCCAGAAAGCGGTGCTGCGGTCGTTGGAACCTGATGCGAGGATGTGACCCAGAGGATGCCAGTCCAGTGACCATACGGCGTATTGGTGAGCGTGCTGGATTTTGTGCGCTGGGTAGATGACTTGTGCTGGAGTGGTGGTAGGGTCTGGACTGTCGTAGGGTGCTATGGTTGTTGCCACGCCCGGTGGGGTATTGGGCTCGTCGAGGAGGTAGTGGTAGATTGGTCCATCGCCTGCTGTGCTGAGGAGATTTGGGTGGATAGGGTGGAATACTAGTGCCGTGATGTTATCTTTCTCGTGACCTTTCAGGATACAGATGTCACGCATCATCCGAAGGTCGAATACACGTGCTGATTGCTCTCGTGCTGATGTTGCTAGACAGTTTCCTCTCACTTTTTCAAACAGAGTTTTGGTGATGGTATTCTTATGGCCGTGAAGTGTCGTTAGACATCGGCCTGTTCGAGGATCCCATAATTTGACCAAATGATCTTTTGATCCGGAAACAAGAAGACCTTTTGTTGGATGCCAATCGACGCTCTTGCATTCCCATCCGTGGCCTGTTAGGACCTTTTCTTCACTCCCTCCAGCAAAATCGAAGATTTTCAGAGTAGAGTCGTCTGAGGCCGTGACAAATTTCGAGTCGTTCGGACTGAATGCAATATCTCGAATTGCATCATTGTGCCCTTGGATGACTTTCACGTTGTTGAAGTTGGTTTGCCAGTACTTGATGATGCCTTCATGATCAGCTGACACCAGCCATTCGTCATTGTGTGAGTAGGTCAAGGCTCTGATAGAAGCATCATGTGCTTGCATGATGGTTTCGAAGTTAAAACCAGTTCCATTCCATAAAGTAAACTCGCCACTGGCTGAACCCGTGAGTAATCTTCGCCCCTCTGGTGTCCATCGGACAAAGTTCACGGGATGCCTGTTCTTGTTCAGCGAGGCATGAAGATGTTTCGTAGGGATCGAATCTGCTGGGTTTGAAAGCCTCGATAACGGCGGTAGGATCTGAGTTAAATTAGAATAATTTTACTGATAGGTCTGCGCAATTGAAATCGGGCGGACATACATCCACGATATAGCTTGGACTTGGTCTTTCCATCTCTCCTTGGTAGCCACCCTTGAATCTTGGCTGTCTATTTCGCATCCAGTGGACAATAGTTGATCCATAATCTGTAACGGGGCCTAGTTCATAAAATCTTTAGCTATATTCTCTGAAATATCATCCAAGTCTGGGGTCCAACATGCAAGATGGATGTCACGTGAACCAGCTTGATCGCGAACGAAATGATATCGACGTTTGAAGACGAAGACAGAAACTGTCATATCTGGGGCAGTGCTCAAATGCCATAGGGTCATAGAGCGTTGCCGGGCAGATAGATGACGAGCACGACTTGGTCCCAGCTCAACGAGGTCTCGCTGGAATCTATCCTCCCTGAACGGGCCTTCACTCGAAGCTACGGGCCCTCATATCCAAACATTTGACTCACGTTTGCCTCGTCCACGGAAGGTCATGCCTTCATACCCTCCTCCACCACCACCTCCTCCTCCGTCTCGGCCTCCTCCGCCTCGGCCCTGCCCTCCATGGTCGCGCTCGCCGCGTGGATCGTAGGCCATTGTCACTACCGGGTCATCCTCAATGGTTTCACGAAGTCAGATGGAGACCCTCTGAAGGTGATCGGTTTGTTGACGTAAGATGGTGAGTTAGAGCAGAAGTCACAGGAGAGTCGCCCAGGCAGTGTTCAGAATGGAAAGTCATCTGCTTGAGATCACGTTTCGGCTCGCTTCGCAGTTTGCTTCATGGTCTTGTCTTGTCTTGTACGCTTCGGATTATTGTTTCGCCTAGCCTCCGCTCAACTTTTAGCATCCCTGCCCTCGACTCCCCGCCCTGTCGCTCTCGCCCCTCAACATTTGGGCCAAGCACCCCAAGCATTCAACCCGATCCGCTGCATTTTTATCCTGCCAATTGGATTCCAAGGCTCTTGTATACATTCCAATACTTCAAAGCTTCCTCTTGCCATGTGCAGTTTCTCCTCTTCGCATTCGTCCTCAATAATTCGTGTTTCATCACTACTCTGTTTCGCGTACGAGTAGTTCTAGTGCCCCGCTCCCATCTCTCCGTCCTCATCCTTGTCACAAGATTGCTTCCTCGTTATCTACCTTCCTCTCTCATTCTCCAACAGAATAACTTCTCTCGAGGTGTTCCACTGACTGCAGAGCTTCGTGCTCTTTCTCGCAGCTCTAGGACCATGGCAACGAAGCTGGATACCGCGACCGTTACAGGTGCCGACCTGCAGAACGATGCTCCAATCAAACGATCAGGCGGTTCACATGTCAGTCTGAACGGTTTCAAAGCGCCACAACCACTTGCGCCCATACGAACGCACATGAAAAAGAAATACAGACATGTTGCAGCAGTGCATTCGAAGCCTAGAACGTCATGTCTCAGTCACGATTCCCAGGTGTCTCCAAGTTTCCTTGGTTTCAGGAACTTGATGGTTATTGTCCTCGGTATGTCGAACAAACCAGCAACTTTAGGGGTTGCATCTAACAGCTCTACCAGTTGTCGGGAACTTGCGCTTGATGATTGAGAACTTTAAAAAGGTAAGCACGGATTCCTATTTTAGGAAGCAAAGCTAATTGGGCGCAGTACGGGGTCCTAATATGCATACGATGCCACGATTATCGAAGACAAGATCTCATATTAGGGGCAGCTCTATACTTTATCATACCATGCCATCTCTTTTTAGCGTACATTGTTGAATTGGTAGCTGCACAACAAGCCCAGGCCTCGTTGCGAGCGGGGAAGAAGAGGGACGGGACAGCCACACCTGGGGGAAGCTACATTGCATCCGATGAAGAGCGCCGAAAGTTCCAGTCAACCTGGATCTTGATAGCTTGGATCCACGGCATCAACGTCAGTTTGTGCCTACTTATAACCTCTGTTGTGGTTTACTTCTTCATTCACCACCCCTTGATTGGCACATTGTCAGAGGTTCATGCGATCATCGTTTGGTTGAAGACCGCGTCCTACGCTTTTACCAATCGAGATCTCCGCCACGCATACCTTCACCCGTCGAGGCGAGAGGAAGATGCACTCCCAGAGATATACAGTGAATGCCCGTATCCGAAGAATATCACACTCGGCAATTTGACCTACTTTTGGTGGGCTCCAACTTTGGTTTATCAGCCCGTCTACCCCAGGACCAAGAAGATCAGATGGGTTTTTGTCATCAAACGTATGTCTGAAGTTTTCGGATTGAACGCATTCATGTGGATTGCTAGTGCTCAATATGCAGCGCCGGTATTACGGAATTCGCTGGATAAGATGGCTTCACTTGATCTACCGTCGATTCTGGAGAGATTGATGAAATTGTCAACAATTAGTTTGGTTATTTGGCTGGCTGGCTTCTTTGCTCTGTTCCAGTCCTTTCTCAACGCATTGGCCGAAGTTATGAAGTTTGGGGACAGAGAGTTCTACACTGATTGGTGGAACAGCCCCAGCGTGGGAGTATATTGGAGAACCTGGAACAAGCCAGTCTACCAATTTATGAAGAGACACGTCTTCTCGCCATTGATTGGTAGGGGTTGGAGCTCTGGTGCTGCAAGCATTGCAGTTTTCGTATTCTCAGGGGTGCTTCACGAGCTACTTGTAGGCATACCGACACACAACATAATTGGTGAGTGTCTAAATTCCTTCGAGTTTTCTTCACTGATCCAGTACAGGTGCGGCGTTCATCGGCATGGTTGCTCAGCTCCCACTAATAGCCATCACGGCGCCTTTAGAGAAAATGGAGGGTATCAATGGGCGAATCATCGGAAACTGCATTTTCTGGATTTCGTTCACACTCATCGGTCAGCCTTTGGCGGCGCTGCTTTACTTTTTTGCCTGGCAAGCGAAATATGGCACTGTCAGCAAACAGCTTGTGAAAGCGTAACAACTTTTGGATACCATCAGTTTAAACACTTTTGACTCGTTTTACATTACTCATAACTCATGATACTCTATCATTATCCGCTCTAAGTTCGGCCATCAGCCCTCCCTTATCTCTCTTCTTTGCATCTGCTTCCAGCCGTCCAGCAATAAACTTCGATAATTCTTTAACCTTCACTCCGGCCACCTTCACACAATTTAAAAGCGCCACAGCATCAACCGGCAACCCTCCCAACTTCGCAATCTGACATACCTCTCCATGTCTATTAATCCCCACCGTCACACTCCCTTCCCTCAACTGCTCCTCCATCAAATTCGCATCCACAAGTACCGCCTCCCCCTCCTCCTCTCCTCCCTTCCCCAGCAACCCCTCCCCATAGAAGCTAAACGTCACACAAAGCGGAAAGTGCAACAAGCTCAACGGCACCGGCTCCCTCTCCCTCACTGTATAAACCGTGACTTGCTCGCCCTCCGTACTCGTATCTGGCTTCCTAAAATGTTGCAACGCCGCAATGACCGCGATAGAACTCGCATCCACCAGATTTCCATCATGGCTTAAAACATGAACGTCCGCGCGGATGGACCAACATTTCGAGCCGCCGATTAAGCACAGGGATTCGGTGTCTAGAGCTCCTGAGCGGCGGATGGTTTTCTCGAGGAGCCGTGAGAGGAGCGTCTCGGTTTCCGAGGGTCGGTTGAGCTCGATTGAGGGCGAGGTCATGGGGGAGAGCTCGGTGGTTATGGTGAAGATGCCGTCGAAGGGGCGATCGGGGAAGGGGGTTGTTACTTCGGCTGTGATGTGGGTGTGGACTCTGCGGGGTTGTTAGCAAGGGTTCTTCGATTCCTTTGTGCAACAGTGTCCCATTTCTAGAATCAATAACTAATGTAGAAAGGGAAAGGTAAAAGAGGATTCCATCAGAAATTTTACGTACCTCGTCTTCCCTAACTTAACATCTGCAACTCCATATTCGTCTCCAAAATCCAGCTCCAAAGCTCGAAACTGGTCGAGTGCTCTGCCATCTAGGCGTATGTTTTCTTGTAGAGCTTTGGCAAAAAATTGCTTCTCGTTGAGAGAAGGTTCCACTTCTCGAGGCATCTTTAGTCAATTCGATGTAAAGTTGACATGGGAATGTTGATTTGAGAGGTGGATTTGGTATGAAAATCGGTTTCTGCCGGGCGGTGAAGCTAGCTCCGATCTTAGCGCGTTTTCCAATCTCGAAATCTTGAGGTTTAGTGAGGATAAACAGTAAAGCGACAGAATTACTCATCCTTGAAAGCACAAAGCAACGATGACTACCGGTAGGTCTTTTTCAGAAATTGGTCACGTATAGAGCTATGCTAACTGTCTGCAGCACATAGACCCACGTTCGACCCTGTAAGAAGCCTTCGACTTTCACTTCTACGCCGAGACTGACTTGAAACAGGCAAAGGGAAAAGAGGCACAGAGAGGACCGGCATATCATCAACGGCTGCTACCGGCTCATACACAGCTGAAAGTTCGGTATGCGAGCTTTCTTGGTCTACAGAGGAAGGGTCTAACATTGCATAGTAAACCCGGTCAAGGGGGAGATGCAGATCACCAAGTTCGCGACCTTCGAGCAGAATTACTCCAAGCTGAGGCAGCACATTTCGCAAAGATTAAGGGAGGACCTGTTCCGGTGGAGCCAGAACCTGCGACGAATACGTCCAAGAGACAACTTGAGAATGGTGATGGAGAGGAGGAAGAAGATCTGGAGGCTAAACGGAGGCGGATTTTAGAGGAGACAAGAGATATCGATGCCGATTCAGATGATGCTGGCGAAGATGATAGTAGTGAGGAGGATAGGTTCGTTTCCCGGAAAGCTGTGTTGGGATTAGGTGCTGATCTTTCGACAGTAACGACGACGAAGACGAGACAGCAGAGCTACAGCGCGAGTTAGAAAAGATCAAGCGTGAGAGGGCTGAAAAAAGAGAGCAAGAGGTCAGAACAAGCTTTCCAGCACCGCCCTTTGTTTCAGTTTTCTAACTGGACCCTGCAGGAAAGAGAGAGGACCGCGGCAGAAGAGGCTGAGCGGGAACATGACATTGCTCTTGGCAATCCCTTGCTGAACTCAAAAGCCGACTTCAATGTCAAGCGCAGGTACGAAGGGTCCGCAGTCTTAGCCACGTATTTGTGTTACTAATTCGGCCAACAGATGGGATGATGATGTGATCTTCAAGAATCAAGCTCGCGGTACAGATGATAAAGGCAAAAAGAAGGAATTTGTCAATGTGAGTTCTGGTTTAGGGAGGATCTGCCACATCTGCTACATCAATGATACAGTACTGATGTTCATTTCTAGGATCTGCTTCGATCTGATTTTCACAAACGCTTCATGAGGTTAGTCGATCTATTGTCTCACATTTACGCGCGACAGGGAAGAACTTGTGGCTAACTTATGTGGCACAGCAAATATGTGAGATGACGAGCGAGCTTTTTAGCTTCTTGATAGCTCGTTGTCAGACGAACATATGGAGAAGAGCTTCTTGGGGGCCCGCGAACGGTGACTCAGCTCGACAGTGCTCGGCTTGTTTGATTTGGGAAGGAGAATATGGGTCAACAGCGGAGCAATACAGGTGGCTTGCATCGAGTCAATTTTGATACTGGATCAGCTGAACGAGCAGAAATACAGTTTCCACTGCCACACCGAGTTGTGGGCGTCTCCGCGCATGTGGACATCTCAGATCTTCCCCGGAAACAATTTGTGCCTGAAGAAAGTGAATTATTGCCGTGGGGCAGTGTAAGTACCGAGAGTTGATTGGTCCCATCACCAACCCAAGCCACGATCTAACAAGACAGGGATTCACTCGCTTCGCATTGACGGACTGACGGACTTGCCGATCATGACGCTCTTATCGCTCGCAGTGAGAAAAAGTAAAATCACCCTCCCTGAAGGGGGCAGCCGAATGACAGCACTGCTGCAAAGCACGCCTCCCCGAGCACGAAATCCTCTCGACCTAGCTTTTCTGATCGAAACGGGCTCGGCAACCACGCAATTAATGGAATCTGGCTCGGCTCTGGCCATGCAGCTACCCTTGAACACCACCTGCCAAGGCTAGTCAAGCAAGCTGATGCTCCATGTCCAGCGGAAGTTTAGCCGCCCATGGTGCCATTGGGATTCCAATTGTGCAATAGCCGGTCCAGTTTTCTTTCAGATCTTGTTTTACAAGCTTGCTTCTTCCAGTGAGGGTTGTGCCTTGTTTCAGCTGCTGAAGCTGTTGGCACAGCTGTATCGATCATCCGTATGATCTGTGCTCACCTCGAGCCAATCATCATTGACGCGAGGAGGCAGGTGAATCTACTTTTGGAACCTGCAAGCATACGTGGATGACGCAAGTGCTTTTTCTGAGGGAAATTTCCCTCGATGGCTTTGGAGGTGTTGGGAAGTTGGCGAGTGGTCAGGTCTTACGGCCACGAGCAAGCTAATTCAAGGTAACTGGTTTGGGTGGCACGAAAGAGGGGCAGCTTTCCGCCGGATCGTATCATGGGGTCTATCCGTTGGTATATAAGATTTTTCCTTCTCCTTAATCTCATTACTTTTTGAGCAACCAATTCTCTCATCCATCACAAGACTCTCTCACTTTCCAAATTTCCAAACAAATCAGCAATCATGTCTAACTACGACGAGAACACTGTAAGTGCCTAACATACAAAGCCAGTTCTTCATGGTTCTTTTCCTCTGACAGACTTCCTTCCCTAGGGCAACTATGGCGATGACAGCTACGGCGTAAGCCTAACTTCACCAATTGACCTACACTCCAGCCATTGCTGTGAAGTGTAGTTTCGACTTCCGTCTACTAACTTCCTTCCAGTCGTCAGGACGTCAAACAGGCCAGCAAGGTGGTTTTGGCGGTAATGATGATAGCTACGGCGTATGCCTACCTTTGTCAATTGTTTTACACAGAAGCCACGGCTGTTTAGCTTGGGTCTCCTTTACTAACTGTTCCTAAGTCAGGCAACCAGGGAGGCAACTATGGAGGCAATGATGATAGCTATGGAGTAAGCTCTTCTGCATCTCAATCACACTTACACCATACCCAAGTCCTACCCAAAGCCTCTTCAACGCAAAAGCTAACACATGCTTCTGCAGTCCGGCAACACCGGCTCCGGCCGCACTGGAGGTCAATCAGGTGGCTTGAACGACGACTCATACGGCTCAGGCAACACTTCAGGAGGATATGGTGGCGGAAACACTGGCTCTAATGAGTTCTCATCTAGCAAAAAGCAAACTTCAGGGGGCTACGGTGGAAGCAATGACGACGAGTTCTCTTCCGGCACAAAGAAGACGTCAGGAGGTTATGGAGGAAGTAACGATGACTCCTATGGATCAGGAAACACCGGCAACACATCAGGCGGCTTCGGAGGAAGCAACACCGATGAATACTCTTCCGGCGCAACGAAGACCTCAGGAGGCTATGGAGGCGGTAACGATGACTCCTACTCCTCAGGAAATACCGGCAACACATCAGGAGGTTATGGAGGCAGCAGCAACGACGACTCCTACTCCTCAGGAAACACCGGTAACACATCAGGAGGTTATGGGGGCAGCAGCAACGACGACTCTTATGGCTCAGGCAACACCCAAGGCCAGTCCGGCAGGACTGGAGACAGCACCGCCGGCAAGTTGATGGAGAAGGCTGGCAACCTCTTCAAGAACGACAACCTTGCCCAGAAAGGACAGGCTAAGCGCGCCGAAGCTGGGAACGATGATTACTCCGGTGGGAACACTGGCAGTGGCAACTATGGAAGTGGAAACAACAATAATGATGACTACTAGATAGTCGAGGTGATGATTGTACGATGGGATGGATTTCTTTTGGGTGGGATTGGATGGGATGGTAGGCTGGGAAGCTTAGGCATCATATCTTAATGCAATGCATTGAAGCTGATTCTTCATTATTGTGCTTCGCGGTATTTTTGAAAATTGCGACAGTGACGTGCGAGTGGGGAAGATCGAGCAAGCTGAAGTGAACCCCTCCCCCGCATCGATCGCGCAAGCGCATCCCTGCACGGTCACTGCAGGGGTAGCTGCAATGGTTCGGAGTCGATCTCGATCGCATCTAAAATTATAGATTCGCACCTCAGTTATTCTCCTCTCCTCATCAACAGGTCTAAGAATCAAAATCTATCATCTTGAGACGCTTCAAGATATTCCTCGAAGCGTTCTCTCTCCGCAGAGGTCCAGCAAACAATGCTCAGCTACGTATGTTTCATTGCCTCCCCGACCTTACAACACAAAGACACGATCCGAGACCTAATCAGCACCTCCCTCCAAAACCAGATATCATCCTCCCGGCCCATGCCAAGCTGCACGAATTGTACTTAGAGCTATATCCTCATCTTGCATGTCGAAGTAAGGATATCAATCTAGACCCCAGGGAAGAACCTCCACCGTTCTGTGGGAAAGAGCACCTCTCCACTCTCCACATCCCGGCAGAATCCGAACACTAGAATGACCTGAATACGCCCTTTATCAGGCCTTGGTTTTGGACGGGTGATATTTGGAGGGTGGCCGAATTGAGATGTGGGAGGGGGAGGAGGGTGGTTTTGCAGGGTAAGAACTAAGACGAGGGGCGTGTTGAGAAGGGGTAAGGATGAAGAGTAGTGTTGCACTGGCAAATGGTCCTCAGTTCATCTTTCTACACTGACGTGGACATTCGGAGGCATAAGTTTCCCTGGAAACATGTGGGGCAGTGCGTAAAATAGGGGTGAAGAGTGGTATATGTTGAACGAAGCTTTGTAGAACTCTGGTTTTAAAAGAGCATCTCTGCTGAGACCATCTCAGGGGTGAGATTGCTTTTTAAACGACCCTAAGCACATAATTATGTGGAAAGTATTTTCATTCGAGCCAAAGGTCAGTGTGCTGTCTTCACGATGAAGATCACTCACCGCTCGCTTACAAAAGTGACCCGAAAAATTGCAATAAACACCAAAAATAAAAACGAACTCAAAGGGCCATGAAGTTGTTCTAAGTAGCAAAACAGTTCGGCACACCGCCTTTTTTTCTTCAAAGGTCTTATGTTACGTGTGCCTACATCTGCTTGGATTTACAAGATTTCTGCTCGAAAGCTTACTCTCTTAACCAACTCACCGGACATTCGCTAACGTACTTAGGAAAGTGAGGTACCGTTCAGCCACGAAGCCAGTGATTGAGAGCAAAGTTGCTTATTTCAATATATGAGACCCATCTGCGTTTTGAACAGGGCGATTCTGGAGTAAACAAAGCTAGCGCTGTTAACCGAGCCCGTGTCTCTCAAATGAGGACAGTCAGAGCTCACATTAGTGTCAAAATGTTCTCCAATGGTTCGTCAGGAGAATTGTACTCAAGATTTTGAGAGACTGGAGTTCGATCTCAGCTTACAACTTGCTGGGATTTATTGGGTGCGATCTCACCATTGGGGATTGTCAACAGAACCTGATAACCATCGTGAACTTGAGAGAACTTCTACAGCTGGTGGGGAAACCATGAGCTTTTCAACCAGATGTAAATCTTTAGGGAAATCAGTTTGTAAAACTAGAACTCGGCCGCTTGGCTATCTCGAAATCCCGAAAGCCCCCAAGCCTCGAAGTCCTGTGATATCATGGGGCCAGTCCCATAGATCCCGCAGTGCCCGCGCAATGGCTGCGCGATTTGTATTTCAAAGGACAATCAATACGTGCGATGATTGGGAAAGTGTCCTTGAGGTCATTTATCATGAGTAGATTAAGCACTAGATATGATAGCTTGCGGAGATCTCACGGCAGCATTGAGGAGTTCTCAAGACTTGATTCACAAGTAAATATACAAGAAATCGGTAGAAGTGGTTGACGCACTTCATGACCAGACCCTCCAACCCAAGTACATCTACACTAAACAGGAAGACAATGAACACAGGTTGCATGGGCTGCATCCCATCGTCTTTCCCTCCTCTGCTCCTTCGCTCTTGCTTGGTCCTGTTGCCCTACCGGCATCAAGGCGATCTCCTCCCTTTTCTGCGAACGGCGGAACAATTCAGAATGTCGCTCTGCATCGTGTGCTTCTTTTGTGTTCGGAAGTGGTGTGTTGCCGGCTTGCTTATGTTTGGAGCCGCGAAGCTTGGATGCTAGCCGCCCAAGACTTATGAAGATTTTGAGTTCGAAATTGTTACTTTTACCAAGAGAAGACGAGGACATGAGATCTGGGCAGCGATTAAAAGCGTCGAGCTGATCGAGAAGGTCTCGGCCAAAGATTACGTCGCATGGGAGGCCTGGAAGAACCTGGAAAACGGTGCAGAATGGACCGTCATGGTGTTCTTCGTGCGAGCTGCCGTCGCCCATAATTCCCAACCCGTTCCCAAGATCTGGCAGTGTTTGTTGAGATACCGGAGTTTCCGTTGTCCGCCAATCGAGACTCAAATCATAGACGTAGACTTGCCCAATGGTCCGAGTCTTGCTTTTGTCCCCAAATTGTACCCACGTTCTTGCCTCCTCCCGAGTATCGATACGGAACTGTTCTCTCTTTGCGCACTCGAAAGACATGATATTCAGGTCCGATCCGGTGTCCGCAACAGCAACCAAATCACGACCGTCCATGGAGCATCTTAGCCGATTCTTAACAGAGCCCGGTGAATTGTCATCCCTTGGAGAGCCGATCCACAGGAGTGACGAAAGGTTCCGCAACTCTGCAGGGCAGCTTTCAAGCAGATGCCGATTTTTAGAGAGAATTTCAGCTTCTTGCAAGAATTCCATCCCCAAGATTATGTCCACCGGGCAAATTTTCGAAAACGTAGAAACACCGCTTGGCTTTCTGGAGTGTTATGCCAGGCAATTGAACAGACACCTGTACCCGTCCTACAGATCTGTCAGGTTTCCCACTACCAAGTTCGAAATCTTTCAAGTCTTCGGCTCCTCGATGGATCTCGAAATTCTGCTGACTAGCGAACGATTCGCTCATGATATTCTTCTCGGAACCAGAATCCGGACAAGCAATGTGCTCCTTCGAACCTATCAAAACCCGAAACACTTTTCGCTGGTTGGATATAGGTGGGATCTTTGCCCGATGGCTTTGCAGGGTTTCGTTGGCTCTTTGTGTGGCAGCCCCCCAGAGGTATCGATCCACAGATGCGCTAACGAAGGAGCAGGATATGTTATCATCTATTTTCCCCGGAGCAAGCTGTAAGATGCGGAAGTCGCCTTCTTGTGGGGGCAGGCAAGATGAAGCTTGGCGGTAGTCTTCCTTTTTTATCAGCAGTTTAGGATCCTCGGGGACAGTAGCTCCAGGCTTCGGTGGCTCGTGGATTTTATCCTCCCTTTTTGCTCTTCCCTCATCCCGTGTCTTGTCTTTTAGATTCGGCCCCCTTCTCGAGCAATAGCTTAACGATATCGACGTGCCTGTTCGCAAAGGCCCGGTATAGTGGCGTCTGTCCATCCCTATCAGCCGCGTTTACATCGGCCCCCTTCTCGAGCAGTAGCTTAACGATATCAACGTGCCCGTTCATAGAGGCCCTGTATAGTGGTGTCCGTCCAGTTCCATTAGTCTCGTCTACATCAGCCCCCTTTTCAAGCAGTAGCTTAACGATATCAACGTGCCTATTCGCAGAGGCCCGGTATAGTGGCGTCTGTCCATCCCTATCAGCTGCGTTTACATCGGCCCCCTTCTCGAGCAGTAGCTTAACGATATCAACGTGCCTGTTCGCAGAGGCCCAGTATCGTGGCGTCTGTCCATCCTCATCAGCCGCGTCCATATCGGCCCCCTTCTCGAGCAGTAGCTTAACGATATCGACGTGCCTGTTCGCAGAGGCCCGGTGCAATGGCGTCTGTCCATCCTCATCAGCCTCGTCTACATCAGCCCCCTTTTCAAGCAGTAGCTTAACGATATCAACGTGCCCGTTCATAGAGGCCTGTATAGTGGTGTCCGTCCAGTTCCATTAGCCTCGTCTACATCAGCCCCCTTTTCAAGCAGTAGCTTAACGATATCAACGTGCCCGTTCATAGAGGCCCAGAGCAGTGGCATTCGTCCAGTTCCATTAGCCGTGTCCACATCGACCCCCTTCTCGAGCAGTAGCTTGGCAGTGTCGACGTGCCCGCCCTCAGAGGCCCAGTGTAATGGCGTCCGTCCAGTTCTATCAGCCGCGTCCACATTAGCCCCTTTCTTGAGCAGCAGCTTGACGACGTCGACGTGCCCGCCCTCAGAGGCCCAGAGCAGTGGCGTCCATCCACCCCCATCAGCCGCGTCCGCATTAGCCCCTTTCTCGAGCAGCAGCTTGACAATGCCCTCGTGTCCGCGTTTAGCAGCCCATAACAGGGGCGTCCGATTGTCTATATCCACAGTGTCTAACGCAGATTGTCCCGACTCAATTAGAAAGGAAAGGAGTATCTCATCGCCATACTCTGCAACATACGAGAGAACACCCCTTTTTCGTGAGAAAGTAAAGCCGAGTCCAAGGGTGGCCCATTTCTCTTTATTCTGACAGTATTGTTTGCATAAGTCATGAAGCGGAGACATTGAAGGCTGAATTTGCGCTTGGATATTGAAAAGTACACGAACAGCTTCACTACTGCTAGTAGCCAGCGCGGCAAAAATTGGCGGCCCATAACGCCCATTCTCAACATCGAAGCAGGACTCCCTCTGAGGATGGATTCGAATTAGGTCGGCCAAGTTCTTCTCTGCAAGAATATAAAGCATGCTGACTGGATCGTTATATCGCCTAATTTGGTATCTTTCGAGGGCATTATTAAGGAATTTCCACCGTTGGAGAGGAAACTTGGCCAGAAAATTCGCTTGCTCTATAGCATTATGTTGAGCGCTGTTGGCGTGGTGTAGGACATTAAGAATCGAATATTCGAGAAAGGGAAACTTGAAGTTAATAGTCTCCCGCAGCTGTGCTGCCTTGGATGCCTGCGGTAGAGGGTCTGGGATATCGACGTCTTGGCTGATTGAAGCTTTTAGCTGAGCCAGGCAGCAATCCCTTAGAGTTTCGTGGCAATGACCTACGAAGTTGCCGGAAACCCCAGACCACTGACCCTCATATTTACCAAATAAGAAGCCTCGAACAGACTCGTGGATAAACTGGACTTCTGAGGCCTTGTTCCGCGTGACTTCGGCCAAACCCTTCGAGGAACTTCTCACGTAGGTCTTCATTTGATCCAAATCCACATCCTCCTGGTCCCAACAGCCGGAGCATGATTTATCGAGACCAAGCTGAATCGCGAAGTAGAGCTCCTGCGGTTTAATAGGACGAGTCGCGAATAGAATCCATTTAAGACAAAGTTGCAGCCGCTCAAGTTTTTCTCCATCGCGCATAAGAATCATCTCAAACAAGTCAGTCAGTTTTGGCGGGATTTCCTTAAGGCGCTCACGCATCTTCTTGATAGAAACGGAGTTATCAGGGTATTCAGAGATAAGAATATCGAGGACCAAGACGACCCAGAGAAAAATCCCTGAAGATTTCTCGAGGATTTCGGACCTAAGAGGCTCGGCTTGCTTCCGCTTGCCTAGCTTGAGTTTCGACTTGATATATTGTTGAATGTCTTCCGTATGTCCGATTTCGTCTTCTAGAGTGATTTTGATGCATTTTTGAATAAAGATAGTCGGATAATGCCGACTAGAGAAGCAAATTTGCAACAGAACCTGTGCCTCTCTCGCGCGATCGCACAGCTCCTCAAAGAAGGAAACCATGCCCCTAGCCTGGTTGTCATCGCACTCATCTAGCGCATCTATAAATACTGTTAATAACCGACTCCCAAGCTTTTGAACAGTATGTGTTAACGTCTCCTTTAACGCTTCCTCATGCCATCCATTCCGCTGGATAACCCTCGCGCTATCAGCTGTCATCCACTCCAAGCTCTCTCTTAAATCTTCCGCCTTCTCAAAGAGTTGGTGGAGAAGAGAGCGGTATAGACCCGTCGTCGACTTCTCCTCGACTGTGCCTCGCGCGAGGAAGAAGAACGACAGCGTGATTTTCGAGGCATCACTTTTTGCGTTAAGTCTGGCCTCATCGAAGAGGAGTTTCATTAGAGTTGACTTCCCAGTGCCAGGATTACCTATAATCCAAAGGAACCCGCCGTGGTCTGGCTGTTGCGTCACGTCGTGCCAGGATATGTATTCAGGTTTGGTGAGGAACCAGCGGCAGGTTTTCCCTTGGGCTGCGGTCAGGCTTATTAAGCGCTCGTCGATTTTAGTGAAGTAGAGCTGGTCTATAAGTGACTGTTTCGTGGTTGGAGAAGGAACGGAGGAGGACTGGTCGCGAGAAGTCTTTAGTCGTTTGGTGGGATTGAAAGTAGCCTCTGAGACTTCGTCGCGGTAACGTTTCTTTACATCCTTAAAAACCTCTTCTCGAAGCCTACCGAATGCCTTCTTCTCTCCCTCGCCATAGAGAACTGGCATGCTGATATCGAAAAGGCCTAGCAGGGAATAAGCCTTGTCTTCTGCCTTCTTGGTCTCACGATTTTCTGCCCATGACATTCGCTCCTCAATGCGAAACGCAGATAGACTAGTTCCTCGAAGAGCCGGCACCGCAATCCCTGTTATTTCATGAAGCGGTCGCTCTAACGAATTTTTGTCACCGAGTCGATTGCTATTCGAGCAAAAGAAGACAACTGATTGCGGAGCAATTAGTTCTTGAAGTGTCCAACCACGGGTAAACCATCGACTCTTTCGAAAGGCTGAATGCCACGACTGTACAGATGAGTCAACTTGATCATGACAATTTGTCGAAACATCTGATAGGTAGACGTAGCATATAGCAGCTTTTTGGTACCAACGAAACATAGAGGTGATAGCCTCTGCGAGCTCGGAATTATTCGCTTTATCGATGCAACAAGTATCAACCCAAAAGTGTTGTATGCCGTCCCGCCTAGCCTGTTTTGCGCAGAACCGGATCTTGTCATAGCCTGCTCTATCCTTGCCGGTACCATCCGTCAAATCTCTGAAAGTGACCTCCTCGGCATCCGCACCCCATGTGTGCGAAAGTATAGCATAGGGGGGAATGTTGTCGTGGAGGTCCTCGGTGAGGCTGAACTCGCCGCCGTCGATGCTCTTCAGAAGACGCATTAGATGAATCAAATCCGAAGAATCTCAGGAAGGAAGGTTCTCAGTGTCGAAGCAGGAGCGGACTACACAGCTAAATGCCTAGCAGAACTAGAATGGCTGGTTCAGAAGAAGGAAGAGGATGAAGGGACGACTCTGGATCTCGAGTAATGCTTGGAACCTTGTTTCCTTGAGGCTGAGGGTTGCATGTTGTCGCATCTACGGAAAGCCGCTTGTGCCAGCGCCAATTTACGAATCACAAATCACGATTCACCCCACCAAAAATTGCCTACGCCCACACAACGCCCCCTTCCCCCCTTCCCTAAGCCTCTACTACTACTTAAAATATTTACACACTCTTTTTAATTCTTATCTCTATATATATTAAGTATAGGGGTAAGAGAGAGAGAGGGTATAGGGAGGGGAGGAGGAGAGGGGAGGGTTAGGAGGGCGAACGAGTAAAAGTGAAAAGTGAAAACTAAAAAGCGAGAAGTGAACTTCGAGACTTGTGAGTGCGTTGCGAGGAAAAGGAAGCCTTATAATTATAGGTTGCTTGTCGCTAAATTATAGGAAGTACTAAAAATTTAGTACTTGACTTTTTCGTGGGGTGCGACATAGATTTTTAGTATAGTCCCCTCCCCTACCACATTCCCCCTCTCCTAACCCCCTTTTTTTTTTGGTTTTTTTGTGTTCCATAGTCATTTAGCTGCCAGAAGCGCTATGTAGACGTACTATATACAGGCTTCTAAGCAAGTCCTACTCCTTAGAGTAAAGCCCTCGAAAAGGACTCCACACGCGGTGGAAGCTCAGTATTTGTCCCCCCTATTTTGCTCCTTTAAATGATTGTGCTATGACAGACTTACGGCCGGTGGACAGGCCCAAACGTGGCTACCCTTATTCCATGCGTTCAATCTCTTCCATGCACGTCTGCGGACACCATCCTCCAACGTAGCTTAGTCTAGGACCTCCCACTTCCTTGTTGTAATGGACCCTTTCCTCCTTACGCTCCTGTTTGTGCCACCCAGGCCCCTCATTATTACTTAGTCACCGTTGCTGGAGGTTCCAAAGCCCTTTTCTAGCGATTCTCTAGACTTGAACGTCGTGTTTTGAATTGCCTTATAGTAAAGGCAATCTTCGCGGTGACAGGAGTCCCAAATTCAAATGATTCCTTCAACCCCGAGTCCCGACAGAGTTAGGGAGGAGCAGTAGCGTGAGCAAGGAAGTACCTCTGTTGAAACTTTCCCAAATTTCGGGCGGCTTGGGAGACAAAGATCATACGAAGGGAACAATAAGGTCGGACAAGAATATACGTATTGTACAGCCCTGAGAGACGTCCAGATTTCTCATCGACTGCTAGCTTCCGCCTCTCCGTCCCTTGCTCTGTCTCCGCCTCCACCTCCGAGTCGTCGTCCTCACCAGAGCCTTGCTCATTAGCAATTATTCTCCTCTGCCTGTTCACACTTTTCTCGTTCTCTCCGACAGCGGAAACTGAACTATGACTGCTCCCACTCCTAAGAACAGCACACTCCTCCAAATCAAACGCCGCACTCAACTCCCTCAACGTCTCCAACGCCTCTACCTTCCCATCTTTCCCATCATCTCTAGCCTGCATCTTCCTCCTCACCAAGAACCTCTCAAACACCTCCACTCGCTCCTCCCCTCGACTAGCGCACTACAATCCACCTGCCCCCCCCCCCCAGATAATACCTCGCCTTCCCCTTCCCATCCCCCAACGGCGCCAACAACAGCAATTTCACAAATGACTTCCCATCCTTGGTATAATTCATTAATGCTTTAGAATTCTCTTCTTCTTTCTCAATCGCTGATTTCAGCCTCGTCACACTCTCTATATCCGTCATCAAGGCCTGGAGAAAGTGGTAGTTGTACCCGATTACCTTTTCTTTCGGGCAGTTGGCCAGGGAGTAGAATTCAGGAGAGGCGAAGATGATGGGATTATCTGATTTTGTTGGATCGGTCAGGCTGAAGACTTCGCTGAAGCCTTTGACGAGATCTTGTATGAGGGATGTGGAAGTGCTTATTACTTCGGAGGTGGGGCAGAAAATTCTGGTTTTCGTGAGGAAATAGGTTATCCAGGCAGGGAGGGTTTCATCCAGTAGGTTTTGAAAAATGGATTCGGAGGAGGGTTTGAAGCTTGGAGAGAGTTCGGCAGCTGGAGAAGCATTTTTGGATTGGAGGGAAGGTGCAACTGCGTTGGCGTAATTGACTGCTTTAATGACTTTATTGGATCTCGAGGTATTGAAGTACTAGAGAGAGTGACGGTTCTGTGTTTGGTGAGGAAAGATGTGGATTGGGCGAGAAGTCGGGGGTCATTAGTGAGGGTGTTGAGATTGCCTTCCGAGTAAAGGAGCCCAAAAAGTCCTTCCGAGGAGGTTGAGTCTGGCTTGGTTTTGAATGGTGCGGGGCCAAGATCATAGCCTTCTGCTCCGGATCGGGAGAGCTGGGGTTCTGGCTCCTGGGGAATTGGAGATTGCTGGTTGGGGTCATTCTGCTCGGGAGCAGTTCCGCTGGTGGAAGGAGCAGCTTCAACCAGCCCTAATCGCACGGTGGCAGTAAGTAAGCACCCTCCCTCCTTCCTTCCTTCCTTCTATTATTTCCCCTATTCCTTCCCTCTATTACAACTTCCCTTACTCTCTCCTTCTTTTCTTTCCCCTCGACCTCGAGGGTATAACTGCCCACCTTTCCCTCTCGTTTCCATTTTCTTTTCTCTTTTCCCTTTATAACCACCACTACCACCACTACCACCACCACAATGGGTCTTTTAGACCATTGCTTAACTCTCTCGGGGCGGGGGATGACGATTGCAGCCCTCAGGCTTGCAGTGTTAGGACGTTTTTGGTCCTCATTTATTTTCTGGGTTGTTCGATAGATAAGGAGAGTCTGCAGGTCATTATTTGTTAATACTTTTGATTACTATTACTAATCCTTTACTTTTATAGTATCGGCCGCATTTGTAGAAGGCTTCGGCTTTCTTCAAGGAGCAGGAGACTTTTGCGGCTACATTAGAAGCTGCAGAGCCTCCTTCTTTTCAAGTTCTCGTTTCGGAAACCTCTTACTCATATTGGTTCGACCTGCTCAGTGTGATCCTTGACTCGGTCTTTGTACGCCTCGAAAGAGATACTTTGGGTGTTCTCTAAGATAGACTTCTCAAAAGCCTCAGCAATTCTATCGGGCAAGCTTTCTTGGTGTTGGCTGATCTTGGTTACTGTATTCCCGCGAAGTGCCGTGATCGTAGTTTGAGTGTCGATGTGTTTTGAGAACACATCTTGATTGGACACCAACGCGTTCAACAAGTCTTTGGCCCGGGTACTGAGCTGTGCATAACGATCAGATTCCTAGAGCTGAACAATCTTGATATCGTTTCTAACTTATGTTAGCCACAACATCTCAATAAGAGCAACTTCAACCTACTTGAGAGTCAACAAGATACCCACTTCCAGCTGACTTCTAAATTCAGCCAATTTGGCTGCAAAACCTTCGAGATACCTCTTGTCCCATACGGTTTTCAGTCCTTAACGCAAGCTCTCCCACTTTCGGCACTTGACGCTAGCTGGAACCTTCAACTCTTGCAGTCTGTCGATTAATGCCTTGCCAGCATCAATGCAGTTGTTGGTCAGAGCTTCAAGCATTTGTTCGTCTTCGGTCAAGCATCTTGACTTCGGTGAAATTACCACCTGCTGCTTCAACCTCGATATAATCCCAAGCAGCTTCTCAGTCGCATCTTCCAGCTCCAGGTTCTCAGTCGCAGCGCCGTTTGATCGGATCTGACTGCCCTTCGAGACCACCTTACCGGCAAACTCGACGAACTGGACAATGCTTCCCGCGAGCGAGATTGCAGAAAGAGGGTCAAGAACCATGGTTTCCAAGAGCTGGGAAGTCGCTCATTGACGCTGGACGTTGCTGAACGAATCCAGCTGCCTTCAGCAGACGACTCCTTATGTTCACCGATTTGTTGTAGCAAACGTCTCTATTTGTAAGTCAGATCAAGTCTCGAGTGCTGACCCGCTGGTTTGGGTGCGAAGTTCGAGGTTGCGTCGAGATAGTTCTTGATTGAGGTGAAGATCTTTGGGGATAATCACGAAGAGAGGCTGGCCCAGCTTCGTGGCCGTTTGCTGTCTCGATGTGATTGGACGAACTGATTGGAGGGTTGTCTCGTCTGGGCTTCGTCCAAAGAGGAAAGAGCCCGTTGGGGAGCCTGTTTGAGCCGGGGTAAGAAAAGCAGAGTTGGTATCAATAAAGATAACTTGACCATTCACCTTTCCATGGCTAGACGGAGCCTTTGAAAGATTTTACTTCATTTAGTAGCAAACAGCTAGTCTACCATATTATGGCTGCAATAACAACCCACGGCCCGAAATTCCAAGCAGCCTGCGCCGCATGCTCATACAAGCAATAAGATCAACCCCTCTACTCCGCAGTCGTGGCTTTCGGCTTGCTAGAGTTCATCCATGCAAACGCCGAGGCGCCTCCAACTGGGTTATTGGACGATCTCGGAATCGTCGAAATGGTCCGTGGTGCTTTCTGTTCATCCGAACTGACTCTTTTGGACTCCCATCTCAGGGGCACATTCTCCACTCCGCCAGCCTGACTCTGACTCTTCCGTCTGGTTTCTCCCGAAGAACGAGCCGGTGCTGGCTCATACGTTGCGCCGGTGCGTGCAGCAGAGGATGAGCGGCTCTTGTCAGTAGTAGTTGTCGAGGAAGAGATGGCCTTCGAGGGTTTGAGAACTTTCATGTGTCTTCCTCCTCCTCTTGTAGCTCTTTGGTATCCGCTCGTGGATTCGTTTTCACTTCCGGCGGCACCATTTGCTTGACGCCACGAACCCCAAATTCCTCCTGACGATTCGCGACGTGCCGAGTCGGCCGAGGCTCCGGAATCTAATGGTTCTGACTCCTGAGCAGTGCTCTCGACTAGACGTTGCTTCTCGGATTCAGTGGTGTTCCCGTTCGCCTCGGCACTCTTCACGCTGGAAGCCCTATTACGACTACTTACATCCGATGAGAAGTTGGAGATGAATGGCGATGGCGGTTCTGTAGAAGGACCCGAACGTTGCTCTTGGTCGGATGAGTTCCCTTTGGTGCGTTGGCCGATTTTTCTTGTCAGCGCAGAATTGACAGCTTCTGGCGTTGGCTCCACTTTTGGCTTCGACTCAGTTGGTGTGAGAGGAGTTGCGGACACCTTCAATTCACTTCTCTCGGGTGAGATGTTAGCAGTGCGCAGATTCTTGAACAGATTCTCGTCTTCAGGCCTCACGAAGGGAACCGAAAGCTTGTTTCTGTCATCAGCGTAGAGCGTCATAACATTCTGAGAGAACAAGATGTCTGCATTATGCGCTCTAAGGGTATCACTGCCGAGGAAGACACGGATTCCTTTCTTACGGTCGAAATTGCTGCGATGGGTGAGAGAAATGAGTTCGAAGTCCGCCAAGAGGGTGGGAAGGTGAGGAGCAGGGCTATTAGATCTTGATGTTGGTTGAGTGATGACAGCTTCAGGAAGATAGACGGGGAGCCTGATGGTATGACGTCCAGAGGCGTCCTTCTGAACCTGATCAAGTAGTCCCAGATCTTTGACGAGGGAGAAATCAAGCAGTGACCTTTGTGAGCCAGTGCAAACGTCAGCGTAGAGGAGCGAATTGTGTGAAAAGTTGGTTGTCAACCAACACCGGATAATAGAGGGGACGGATCCCAGAACGAACAGTCCTGGGGGAGGATCAGGAATGTCCAAAGGCGAGTCATCGCCTTGGCCGCCAATGAGGAAATTAGTATCAAGTCCTAGGCTGCTCGTTCGGCCAGATGGGACCGAGTGCATTGAATGCACTGAATGGCCAGCAGAGCTATGTCTACCATCTGACTTGTGTGACAGTGAACGTTCCGTCATGGGATGGCTTCCAAATCCGCTCCCTGGACGTACAGGTCCAAAGTCTCCCGAGTTCCGCGAACCAGCAGCCCAATTCGACCCTTGCAGCGCACTGACATCAAATCGAACGCTGTTGGCTCTTGATGCACCACGTCTGACAGGTTCCTCATCTGCTTCGAGTTGTAGACTGTTGAGCAAATTCTGTCCTTGTTCATCATCAAAGTCGTCGAAAACGTCGACCGGAGGATTTGGAACTGGACCTATTTGGGTTCTATGTATTAGCAGCGTCCTGAACGATGAGAGGATTGGGATGAACTGACCTTGCTGGGGGGTACCGCTCAAGACTCCTGGAAACGGCGAGCCAGTGCCCCAAACGGACTTCAATGCTGCATCATCCGCCTGGCGCTTCTCCAATCTTAAGATCCGGTCTGCATGGTTGATCTGGACAGCCTGGACATGCTTGACGTCCATCTGAACATGGTATAATTCTTCTCGGGTGGCAGTGAACTGCGAATCCATGCCCACCTTGCGTTTGTATGCCAGACGACAAGTAGGTGTTGGTGACCTTCAACGAGAGAATATTGTGGCAGTGAAAGGTGGATGTAGAGATCCTAGAGATATTAAAACCAAGATGGTGAGGGGTGTTCGATAGCAACTCTTCGGAAATGAGAGCAGGTGTGGAGAGAAGATGAGGAGATTGGTGTGGTTTGGAGGGTTCCTGTTGAATTGCTCCTTTCAATGGCGGGCTCCCATGAGACGCAAGTTTAAGATAGCGACTAGGTCACCTATCCTAGATCTGCAAGGCCTCCAGCTCTTTGTACTCTAGTAAAGGGAGCTTCTCTCGACGTTGTCCCTCGTTTGGAAGCAAGTCACGCGGTCCACCTCCCCCGCCGCATCGACCTGCGACCGTCGGCCACTGCGGTCGTCTGTATGCCTCAGATTTTGGATCGGATCTTTCACTCTGGAATGTCTCCTCTGGGAGCGTGTCGGGGGTATAGGTTGTCGTGTTGACTCGGTGGAGTGCCGTTCGTTTGGGACAGGAATAGAGGATCGCGTGAAATCTGCCAAGTCGTGGAGGATGATGGTAGATCACGGATGGGAATTGATTAGGAGGCTAGAGATGACCCTATCAGCACCAACGTGGCCGAACAAAGGCTGCCTGGGAAATTTCTGGGGGTTGAGATGTTACAAGATACGTAGTCGAGCAGCCGAGGCGAACACACTTGATGGATTCACGGACCGTTGGAGTTGGCTCTTGCGTAGATGGAACTGTAGGATGCTTATCGTGATGGAATGTTGCTTTTTGGACGAATGACAGTTGGTGACAGTGTAGAATTCCTTCTTCAATCAGATGCATCAAACTGAGTCGAATCGGACGAAATGAGTGATGTCTGGGGACCTGCCGGGTAAAGGTAGCCCCGGAATGCAGGGATGTGCCCAATCAGGTCAGGGCTGGCTGGAAGTGCGTCATGGACATCGAAGAGTCACAATTGTATTTTTTTGTACTGTAGTTTTGTTTTCAAGATGGCTGCAAAATCAGGCATGTTTGCTATGCTGACTGGTTTTGCTTGCTTGGCAAACACACATCCGTTGCTTTGGTGTTTTGCTTGGAGAGCTTCACCATTTTCATCTCATCTGCTCGCATGTCAATTGCCACTGAATTCTAAAGTTCACTCCGTCTTTGGAGCAATTGACCAGTGACTGGAATATGCATTAGTAATACAACCACATCAGCATATGAGTAACAGTAACGTACGGGAAAATCCATGAAGGATTGTCCAGGGGTTCAACTGCCCATTCCTTTCCTACCTGTTCCCAGGAAATCAGAATCAGCATACTTCTTTCAGGATGTTCTAAGAGCTGCTGGACATGCTACAACCAGTACTCCGAGAACTTGGGACTCACCAAGGGCAAGAGCTTGTCCAAGAAGACCTTGTAGCCATCGCCAGTAAGATGCAGACCGTCCACTAGGAGGTTCCGGAGTCCTTCGTCATCACGCTTCTCACATTGTCCCACATACGTTGGGGTCAACCTAAGTCGTGCGTCCATCAAAGCCTCCCAGAGGTCCACTAGTACTACTTTTCTATCCTCGTGCTCTCTCGCAACCTCGCGAACAACGTCGGCATATTGAGCCGTGACTTCTTGGTGTCGAGTGACAGAACCGTAACCCTTCTTCAAGTCCAATTCCTGCTTCCAGATAATCGGAGTCAGCATACTTCCATGAGATATTCTTAGGAGTAGAATGTCCCAGGAGCTGCTGGATATTGCTACAAGAGAGATTAATAACCTGAGAAGTTGGGACTTACCTCCAGATGGACCTCATTGATGGGAGGTGGAGTGACCAGGAAAATGGTTGGACTGTGAACGGTTATTGAAGAATGGTTGAGAATTGTCTTCAGATTTTCCCGGTATATCTGCAATGGGACATGTTGACTGGTCGGACCGTCTTTGAGACAGGCGTCGTTGGCACCGAAGAGAATGAGCTTGTTGCAATTAGAATGGAAACGTAAAATAGAATGTATCGATAGCGACAGTGAAAAAATGAATAGCTGTGCTTGAGCTATGGACCGATATTGTCCCAGAGACAATTTACGAATTTAACAGAAGACTTTTCAAACTTACAAGATAATCCACTTTAGCACATGAAGCCGATGGAATGAGATCTTGAAGAATGACCAAGGCGTGGGCCGTATTGTATCCGCTCTGAATGAATGTCAGTCTCGACGAGACAAAAAGAAATGAGTGGACGATTTACCAAACCCCGGTTGATGACATCGAGTCTCCGCTGGCAGTCTATTAATCATCAGAGGCTTGCAGTCCAGAAACGAATTGATAGAGATGGGAGCCAGCGAGAGTGCATTCGAGATATCCCAATAGAGACTCACGTTCTTCCAGCCCAGCACCAAAGCAAAAGCCATCACGCAAGAGACTGCTGAATTGAACGATGGAATCTCCTATTAGAAGGAACTGGGGATATCTCTTGGCCGCCATGACCTGGGGTTGTTCAAGGGCGGTTCTTGCACCGTTCCACACCAAGAAATTGTGTGGAGAAGCTGAGGTGAAACGGAGAGGTCAAAGGCGTTCTTTCTCGAGCCTTGTCCCGGCCGGCCCTTCCCTTCTTTCCCTTCCTTTCCCTTCCCTTCACCCAAGCCTGTGACAACGCTGCGCCTGCTGACTCCTTGGTAGCGACAACAACTTCTAACTAAATTTTTCGCAACTTGCGGGAGATCGCTCCGCTCTCCTCCTAAACCTGCAAGGCGGCACAATAATAGAGGTACTATTGCCGAAATGAAGCAGCCTCATTGCCCTGCAGAAGACCCTGAAGCCACCCCGGCAGCACGCCAAGAGAAGCCACAATGGCTGCATGCAGCCTGCAGGCCACCTCGGAACCACCTCCGGACGGAAAAAGTGCTCGTCGCCTTGCTTTTTCGCGGCTGCGGCGTTGTCTCAAAAGGTATTCATCTCAGAATGCTCTTCGTGGACTCGCTTTGGAGATGTCCGTTGATGGGGATGTCCCTCTCGTAACCTCGTTAAATGATTACAGTATCTACAGCTGCCCGTGATGCTCGATGTCGTGCAGTTATCACATGGGATCGGCACCAGGCCAGCCCAGAAATGGTGCCCTGGAGTGGATGGGATACGGCAAGCTGACGGGCATCGCGTCACGCAGCTGGAAAGCTGCCGACTGAATTTCAATGCTGATCCAAGCGGTCTCACACACACGCACCACACACACCCCTCCCCCACCGTGATTTGTGCAACCCATCCACCGAAATAATACGCATCCATGGTCCTAATCTGCCTCTGAATCACTCAGTTGGGCGTGTTCGAATAAGACATTGCCTCTCGAAGGCCTGAAGGCGTGGATCGGCCGGCAACGGGTGTGCCATCCGTGATTGCTTCACTTCCTTGGCAACCGCGTCCCCAGATCTTAATAAATACTGCAGTGCTCCTCCTACCCGGGGTCTTTTCCACCTTCAACCGTTTCCACCCCTCTTCTTATGCTCCCCGTATTTGGACACAGCATGTACAGTAACACTCGACTCCCATCATGACGGCGCGTCAAAGGACTAGGTCTGGCCACTCTGGTCGTACAGCAGCGGAAGACTTGAGCATGACACCAGCCCTTCGCTCTGCCGATTCCAGTGGGCCCCCTTCGCCGACTTTCCTGAGGGCCAACTTGCCTCGCAACCAGAGCAACCTTTCGACCGATGAGAGGACACCTCTGCTGCCAAGTGCAGGGCGATCCCGAATCCGAGTCCAGTCTGCCCTCGAGCCCGGCAAGGCTCGATTGTCGAGGGGCCACAGCTTCAACAATGGTACGACGTCCCCTCCAACCCACCCCACCTTTGCTGGCACTTCGCAGACTGATATAATTTGTCGCAGGAAGCCTTAGGAGTACTCGACATCATAGCCGTGCTGGTTCTTGGGGGACACGACTAGTCACCGCGTTGACACCTCATGATTCAATGAGGGAATCAAAGGGGTCGATCCCCGGAGACGATCGAGTCTGGTATGATCAATTTACATCGACGGACTGGGTTCAAGACAGCATTGCAGATGCCTACCGCGTCAAAGCTTTGCGAAGCCGTACGGATCTACGAGGCCGCATAGCGGCATTCTTCGATGGCACACAAGGTTGGATATTGAGTGCACTTGTGGGGTTCCTAACGGCCATATTAGCATATCTTGTGGATGTATCCGAAGCTCCTGTCTTTGATTGGAAAGAGGGCTATTGCTCCACTGGCTTTTTCACCAGTGAAAAGGTAAGTTGCTATCAAGTCTTCATCTTCCTTGCCCAATTTCTGGGGCTTCATGGTCCCTTTTCAATCCCATGGGGTTATCTACAAGGAAGTTCGTCTTTCATCAAGAGAAAAATAGATCCCTCTACTTCATCAATTTTTACTTGACCTCTGGAATGCAAGCAGCCACCTTGACCTAAATGCAGATCTCCGAGACAATATAATTCACAAGCAGGATAAGTTATGACTGACTTGAAATCTAGTTGTGCTGTCCGGATGGAGGCCGTTGTCCGGCTTGGAAATCCTGGTCGAATTTCATCAAAATTCCTCGCATCAGCGAGCAGATCATCGAGTTCGCAATCTTTGTTTGTTTAGTGGTGGCATTCTCAACCGTATCTTCCCTAATGACGCTTACCACCAAGACGATTGTTCCCTCCACGTATCACATGTCCACTCTGGATGAAAACCTCGCAGCTCTGGCTCGACGACCCCAGTCTGACCAGGAGGATGGAACCGCCAGTCCCAGGCAGATCGTAGAAGAGATTGAGACCCCACCACCCATGATTTACTACTCTGCCGCTGGAAGTGGCGTTGCAGAAGTCCGAGTTATTCTGAGTGGATTCGTCCTCCATGGTTTCCTTGGAGTCAAAACTCTCGTTGTCAAAACAGCAGCTCTGATATTGAGCGTCGCCTCCGGACTGAGTTTGGGAAAGGAAGGCCCCTTCGTTCACATTGCCACTTGTGTTGGTAATATTGCTTGTCGATTATTTTCGAAGTACGACAAGAACGATGGAAAGCGCCGAGAAGTGCTTTCAGCCGCAGCCGCAGCCGGAGTGACAGTAGCTTTCGGTGCTCCCATCGGCGGTGTTCTCTTTTGCCTGGAAGAAGTTGCATACTTTTTCCCGGCCAAGACTCTTTTCAGAACATTCTTCTGTTGCATAACCGCAGCTCTGACGCTAAAGTTTCTCAACCCGTACGGCACCAACAAAATTGTCATTTTTGAAGTGAGATATCTCATAGATTGGGAGTTCTTTGAGCTTGGTGCTTTCATCCTCGTGGGAATGCTCGGCGGTGCCGCCGGAGCCATTTTCATTAAAGCATCTCGATCTTGGGCGCGAACCTTTCGAAAGATAAATGTCATCAATAAGTACCCGCTGGTTGAGGTAATGTTGGTCGCATTACTTACTGGACTTGTCAGTTATTGGAACCCTTTAACGAAAATGCCAGTGGCAAAGTTGCTCTACAATCTGGCAAGTCCTTGTGACCCTAACAAGCGAGACGAAATGAACCTTTGTCCTAGCGATATCGATGAAATCTTCCCCGTTATTTCGAAACTCGCAATTGCCTTTTTCATCAAAGGAATTCTCACAATAATCACATTTGGCATAGTGAGTCTTTCTCTCATCCCATACCAGTGAGTCCAAATGTCATTTACTAATCCAACTCGTAGAAAGTTCCAGCTGGAATATATGTGCCGTCGATGGTTGTCGGAGGCCTCGGTGGTCGAATCATCGGCCACCTGGTTCAATGGGTCGTTCTTCGATATCCCACTTGGCCCATCTTTGGGAATTGTGCAGCGCATGTCACCGGCCGCTCTTGCATTACTCCCGGGGTGTATGCTCTAATTGCAGCAGGCTCAACCATGTGTGGTGTGACTAGGTTATCAGTGACCCTGGCCGTCATCCTTTTCGAATTGACTGGGAGTCTTGATTACGTCCTGCCGTTTTCGCTTGCTATTCTCGTGGCAAAGTGGACAGCTGATCTCATGGAGCCCCTCAGCATCTACGTAAGTGGCCCCAGTCCGGACAGCCGTGTATTTGGCTAACTCAGGGTAGGATTTGCTAACAAACTTAAACTCTTATCCATTTCTTAACAACAAGCACAAACCAATCTTCACGTCAGATCTAGCTGACATCGTCCCTCGTGTCCGCCGTGAGCGAGTGATTGATATCTCTGCCTCACCACTTGTGCCAGCAAGCACTCTTCGGCAGAAATTAGAGATTCTTCACAGAGCAGGAGAGGTCGATGGCGGCCTCCCCATTATCCGAGATGACATCCTCGTTGGTCTCATCTCAGCTCCTGATCTGGAGTTTGGTTTGGACAACCTCGAGGATGAAGTCGATAGCTTGTGTTTAATGACAAAGGTTGCAAGCATCGACGATTCGGACAACGAGGCTATCGTTGACCCGACAGATTTTTCAACATATGTCAACCAGGTGGGTTTGGCCAGCACTGTTTTCACCAGAAACCCTCTAACGATACAGGCACCGTTGGCACTTGACATTCACTCCCCAATGGATCTTGTATATGAGTGTTTCGTGAAGCTCGGATTGAGATATGTCTGCGTGACGAAGGAAGGGCGCTATGCTGGACTGGTAGGCTTCTTTCTCGGAGTGTAGAATGGCTCAAACTAATAACTTGCAGACGCACAAGAAGACATTTGTAAAGTACATGCGGGAATTAGAAGAAAAGGAAGGTCAAACGTGAAGAAGGTTTTGCATCTGCATCAGCATTTTGCATGAGCATCAAGGAATGCATAGAAGGTTTTGGCGCTGGAGTCGGGAATTGATATTCATACCCCTTTCTTGTAGTGTGGCATTGGATGCATTGGCATTTGGAATTGCATCGAGCGGCGTTTCTACCATTGCGTGGCTTTAGTCAAGCCTAAAACAAAAGAGATATAATAAGAGCATCACTGCACCATTACTATAATCTCATCTTATCGTACAATTAAGTCCTGTAAATGCCGTCCTAACTCAACGCTAAACAAGACAATGCAGGCAATGAGATCCTTCAGATGCTCGCTCCCAATTACCCAATAGAACTAGCAGTAGACCTCCGATATGCACGCTTCCCACAACGCCCGCAACACTAACACACCACCAAGTCAATCAATCACCTAATCCCCGGGATCCCAACCCACGTCCTCGCCCTATACTCCACATACTCCTCCCCAAAAAACTTCACCAGCAACTCCTCCTCCCCCCTAATCCTGCGATCAAAGAACCGGAACAGCGCCAACGGGTACGCCACAAGGAACACCCTGTTCCCACACATAAGCTGCGTGCCTACCGCCCACCAGAAATACCCGAAATAGCTCGGATGCCGCAGGATAGAGTAGATCCCGGATGTGACGAGCCGGTGGGATCTTGCTTTTGTATGCCGCACTATGTGCGAGAAGTTGGAGCCGGCTGTTAGCATTGCTAGTGCGCGGGTCGACTGCCCGATTACTATGAGAGAGAGGCCGAGGACGAGGAGGATGGTCTGGATGGGTGGTGGGAGGAGGGAGGGCGCGAGGAAGTACGAGATGAGGGGTTCGAAGAAGAAGGCAGAGTGTGCCATTGAGTATGCGGAGCCATTGGAGGAGAGTAGGAAGGAGCCCGTTGTTGCTGCGTTACTGTTTGCGTAGGCTGTGGTGTAGAACTCGAGGAAGTGGAAGGTTGACAGAGTCGCGAGGAAGAAGGGGGGGCGCCAGAGGGGATGCCCTGTCCAGAGGAGGACGAGGGAGAGGGAGAGGGAGAGGGCGAAGACTATGCCGAGGAGGCAGGAGCGCAGAGCTATGCCGGAGAGGGATTTCGACTGGTGAGGAAGGAATTGCTGTTCGTATCGATCGAGGGCTGCGAGGATGTCTTCTGGTTGGGAGGGTGCTTGGGGGCCTGGGTTATGCGCGGCGTGACCGAGACCACCGCGGTTGATGAGGTGTGCGGCATCGTTGAGGACGTTCCATCGAGGGGGCTCCCAGGCTTGAGGTTCGTAGTCGGAGTGGTGGGCTGAGTCGTTCGCGGAACCATTTTCTGAAGTCGACATGTTGGAGATGGTTAGGTTGAGGAATCTATGTGCAGAGTGAGTTCGAAAGATAGATATGTTCAAACTCCGCAGCTGGTAGTTCTAGATTTGGCGGTCAACAACCGCTGATATGTCACGACTTCCATCCCAAATGAGGCTGTTTTGAGATAACACATCCCATGTGATGATACGAGGAAATTGTTTCCACGCGGCAGTATTTCGGAGCTATTCTGCTTTTGTCACGCATATCAGGCTACACCGCCCACGGGTAAAAGTGGGGTGACATGCACTCCCCAGTCACAGATCTCATGCAGGAATTATTCGAGTTGCGAAAATGAAGTTTTATTTATCCCTTGTTGCCACCTGTATAATGTCATTAGGGACCGTAGCTCAACTCATTTTTCAGTAGCTACAGGTAGAAGAAACTTGCTCAATCCGCGTGCCAACTGTGGTTTTCAAAGAGTGACTGTGTCTCTTTCATGGCAACTTTCATCGTTGAAAAGATTGTCACGGAGAGGATGAGGACGGTCTGTTCGACTAACGCTCACCATTTGATTGCGAGACCAGCGTTTACCTCCTCGAAGGGCTTCAGCCACCGGTTCTAACGGCGTTGAATATCCTCTGTCTCGTCCGTCTTCAAATCCATTTGAGAGAGCAATCTTCATCCACCTTTCACTCAATATCCCCCGAGTTGAAGGCGTTCCTATCGTTGATGACGTGATTGAATACTCCAAACTGTCTCTTGAGCCAAGAGGTCTAGCTTTCCAAATCGTCGACCACACTCCAGTTGAGATATACAACAAGACTGAAGGTCAGGACTCTGGCCAGGCCATGGTTATTTCAAGAGAGTATAATGTCGTGGCGGCGGTGGCTGGGTCCCCTGGATATTGAGATGATATTGCAACCATGCCAGTGGTGCTGTGTTTGTATAGAGCCGTCGGATGTTCACGTTCATAAACCTCCTTGAATGGAAAATGACGACAGAATCAATATCAAGACGTTGATCAGCGCCCATATAAATGGGATCCATGTCGACATTTTGAAGTATCCCGCATTGTATACTGTGCCAAGGCTTGAGAGTGTCAGTCGTGCGTATGCCGGAATGAAGAGGGCCATCTCAACCAGGTCCACAAGCAATGACTTACATCAAACCAACGATACTTCCGGCTAACAGAGCCTCAACCCCAGCAACCAGAGAGTAGAGTAGTGGGATGGCCCAAACATATTGCCAAGCTTTCTTGCCTTTTCCCAATTGCATCAACACGGCAAATGCTGCCACAGCCAGATGGAACACAGCAAATATGATAAGGGTCCAGAGAAGAGTATGGCGCCAAATATCGTGGGCATAGTAAAGGTAATTCGCAACGCCTGGCTTTGCCTTGTAGGGCCAGTACAGAGATGGAAATGGAGGCGTGGTGTAACCAAGCGGTGCGGTACTGGAGATGTGGACGCTATTGATCAATTAGTTCACCAAAGAGTAGAATGGCACGGCGATACTGACTTGAATGGCATGACGGCCGTGGCCACCCTTGTTGGGGGTTGACCAGTTTCGGGATCGTTAGATTTTGAAGTGTCGTTGAATTGAGGTTGCGCTTGAACGCGAAATCGCGGAAGGCTGGAGATGCCTCGGCTGAAGAGCTCCGAAAACATTCAAGCTCACACTGCCAAGAAACAAAACACAAACATCAATGGCAATTCAGTAACCATGCCGGCAGATCGCCTTCTTACGAATGTGCTTCGCGCATATCAAGGCCTTCCTGATCCAAAGCAGAATGATAGAATTCTGTCCAGCACGACCTCGCTGCTTACCACGCTCTCTAATCCTCTGAACGTGACGCTCCTGACCTCACACCTGCTTACCGCGCCGGCAATATGGAATCGAGTTGATGGGTTACGAACATGCCTTCGAATAATCAGCGTCTTCAATACTGCTGCCATCACGGTGCACAAAAACCAGCTTGAAGGCCACCCAAAACCATACGATTTGTACCAACCAAGACAGGGAGGTGGAATAAGCTGTGACGACTGGGCAAAAGCTGTGGTCAAGGGCTTAGATGATCGGACGCCGAGATGGCAACACATACTGGCCATAGCAGGTGTACTGCTTGGAATGGAGGGACAAGAGAGACATGGCCTATCCAGAGGGTTGAGGTCCACCCTTGAAACTGCTATGGTGACCGCTGCAAACCTCGCCTTGGAAAATCAGGCAAGTGGTGGTATCCTAGGAGCCGAATCTATTGTCCTGGCTCTCAATCATACATTTCCGCTCTTGTCCGATAATGTCAGACGAGAGCTAAATTACGATGCCCTGGTTATGATCATGATTCCGGCCATGACATCCACGGAAGGATATGAGGAAGGATACTTTTTGGAAGCCATTGACCACGATGTCAGACCAGGAAACAAATTCGACTGGTCAGCAAAATCGCCCTCGTTTCTTCATTTACAGAAACTGGCCTCCAAGCCTTTAATATCTTCCATGGGACCATTATCAAGGCTTATCGCCCATTCGATTGAGAATATGAATGGTTCATTGAGATTGGTTGAAGTCCAAGAACATTTGCTTAAATTTACAGACAATTTGTTGCAAAGATGGCAGACGAATAAGCTGTCTGAGATTGACACCTCAGGAGAAGCTACCTTTCTCACTCCCGAAACACTTCGAGTTACATTTCCAGTTCTTTGGCAAGTTCTAAAAACTGCCATGTTTGCAACAGTTGTCATCCTGCGAGCAGTAATAGGAAGGACGCTCATCGATCCCATCCTGGCCTCTCCACAGCAAGCGCCAGTCACCGCTTCCCAGACCCTCCTCATCCTCAAGAATATCCACTTCATCTCCTCCCGGCTTGGTTCAAATGCCTTCTCTGCATACACATTTGTCAACCTCGCCTCAATCGATATCCTCACTCGCTACCCCGCCTCTTCACTCTCCTTCCTTCGCTCCATATACCCTACTCAAGCCGGGCAAATACCTGCTCATCCGTTAAAACGCAATCACGACCTCTTCTACCTCAACACAGCTGAACACTTCACTCTGTCCCTCTCTCCGGCCGATGCCGAATTACTCATCGTGGCGCCCTGTACACCATATCTAAACCCAACCGCCAACGCTCATCTTCTCGAAATCTTTGAAGCTGCACACAGCGCCATGTTATCTGTCCTTGCAGAGCCGCAAAATGCAGATTTAACAGCAAAAGTATTACCCTTTTATATGGAAAGTCTTTTTGCTTCTTTCCCAAAGAATCTGAGTCCAAGGCAGTTTAGATTTGCCTTCAAAGCGTTAATGCAGATCTCCACGCCTCCGAATCCCCTATCAAGCTCACAACCAATGATGGCGGAGACGTTGCTAGAGCTGCTGCACCATCGGGCTTTAGGCGCACCTACAACGCCGCTTCCGCCATTTATGGCTATCAAAAGCGAAGCAGATGCTAAAATACTGGAAGTTCCACTCTCAGAGCAAGCCGTCTTGCTCCTGACATTACTTGATGCCCTACCCAACGTTACGTTGAACGTCCTGGGAGAGTGGCTTCCTTTGGTAGCGGATCTTCTGAATGTGATTCAGGATAGGAGTATGAGGGAGCATTGTAAGAAGAGGTTTTGGGAAGTAATGGAAAGTGGAGAAATGGATGTCGAGAGGAGCGCTGTTTGCGTTTCTTGGTGGAGCACGAGGGGTGGTAGGGAGAGGGTGTTGTTTGGTGATCAGGGCGAGGGAGGTCCGTTCATGAGTGGCGGACTTGGGGTGAGAGATGGGAGTAGACTATAAGTTAATGAAAGCGAAATGATACCAATGAATTTGTACGCTAGGTTATGAAGGTGATGGTAACACCATTTTCATCTTTGTTTGAGAAAGCAGCAAAACATCTTATAGTTTCTCGTCAATTTATTAAATACCCATTCTACACATGATCTAACCTAATTCTTTTTTGTATACCTCTTTGATTGAATACTCATTGCAGTTTACCTTCCACATCCGAGTCGGTTTTAGGCACATCACTTCCAGTAAGCTGACCATTGCTCTTCAAGTCGACATCTGCTGTCTTCACAGTACCAGACTCCAATACCTCACTTGGTCCCTTGTCAACTCCCTGCTCTGTATTCAAAATCCGATCCAGACTCAACTCTTCAGTAAAGAAACTCGAGATAAGGGCTACCGCATTGAACGCGATCAAGGTAGCCCAGATCAGCTTTAGAGAATCTGCGAAAACTTGTCTGAGCACCAGCTTGTCGTGGGAATCATTCGGAAGCAGCTTGATGACTTCCACGACACCAAGAACATTTTGGGCAAGCCCCTCAGTCTGGCGACTGAAACTCGAGGCCTCGAGCTTATGCTGAAACGCGTTTTGGAAAATGACACCGAGGATAGCGAGGCTCAAAGACATTCCCAAGGTGCGGGAAGTCATAACCATAGCAGCCGCATGAGCTATATCCTCATCTTTGGCGCTGGCTTGTATCGCAAGCCTCATAACCGGCATCAATATCCCAACGCCGATACCGGGTAAGCAAGTGGTAAAGATCCATTGTGGGATGGTGATATTGAGGTCAAGCCTCATCATGATTCCGACCCCCAAGACAGCCATAGTCCACCCAACCCAGAGAATCTTGCGATATGACCCAAGTTTCTTTAATGTGAAACCTGTGATAGCTGCGGACGGGGAGACAGCCAGGAGGATGGGAAGAATAGCGACGCCGGATATGATGATTGAGTAGTCTTTGACTGCTTGGAAGTAGAGAGGCATGTAGTAGATGACGGCCCACATGTTGAGGCCGGAGACTAGACTCTGCCAATAAACTGTTGTTGCTGTTCTGTTGTTGAAGATTCGCGTTGGGATGAGAGGGTGCTTGGCGCAGTATTGCTCCCATACCACGAAGAGTGCTACACCGGCGATGCCTAGGAGCAATGGGACAAGCGTGTGGTAACTTGACCAGGGGAACATGAGACCACCCCATGATACGGCGATGAGGGTCGATGTCGCAGATGTCATTAACAGAAAACATCCAATCCAATCCACCTTTTTAACTTTGCCCACAAGCGAGCCTTTTGTCGGGCGAAGACGAAGGGATATTGGTAGCAGTATGAGAGAAGCCACTGCACTGTTGATTATTAGTCCAGTTACAAGATTCGAAAAAGGGGACTTACAAAGGCAACATTATCCAGAATATCCACCTCCAAGTCGCCTTCTCCGTGAAAGCCCCTCCAATTAACGGGGATATTGCGCATCCTATTGCCCACGCAATAGCGTTCATGCCGAAATAGCCTCCTCGATGCCTGAGAGGTACCAAGTCCGTGATGATGATCTCAATGAGCGAAAGACTTCCACCGCTACCCGCACCTTGCAGTGTTCTCCCAACCAATATCGTGGGAACATTATGCGCCAATGCACATATGATTGAGCCTGCGATAAAGAGCACGAGTGTTGAAATCGCAACTGGTAGTCGGCCAAAGGTATCAGAAAATGCAGCGAAAGGGGTTTGGCAAACGGCACTAGCGAGTAGATATGATGTGCCAATCCAAAATGCTTGAACTGAAGAACCATGGATGTCTTGTGCTATGCTCTGTCATCTCCAATGTTAGCATTTGTACGTGTATATTCAGAAACGGGTCCTAGAAGGAAGACTTGCGGGTAGGGCAACTCCGATGGCAGTGCTTTCCAAAGCTGCATAGAAGGACATTACCAACAAGACTGAAAATGCAACATTCTCTCTTGTTCCAAGCTTAAAATCCCCTTCAAGAACTTGTCGAGGTCCATTTGCCATCGTATCGTCATTTTCGCTGGATGTTTGTGAACGTGATGTCTCCTGTGTTTGTATCATTTTTGCGATGAGACTGGCAGCCTCCTCCCTGTTGCAAAGAAATTCAAAATTGTATCTTCCAACACTGACTACATTCCAACGCTGGAAGGATATATATAGCCTTAGGAAATAGCAAGACCCTTTAAGATTTTCGATCGGAGCTGATGTGATGTATGAGTGGCTGAGTAGCGTCGAATCCCCGCGAAACGCCCCGAGACGCCGGAATCGCCTTTCGGCTGTTCATGAATCGGCTTAAAATGGTCTTCGTATTCCCGAGGTTTCCATTCAATTGATATCTTGCGAGCTGCCCATTTAATCTACCCTCGTCTCCACAAGACCCTGGAGGGACGTACTGAAATTTTTGCTCACGCAACACCCACTCCAAAATTGGCATGCTCTCTCTCTGGGTATTTCTCAAAAGACTTCTCTAGAAAGGAACCGATGCCAACTCCCAGCTGGATACTTCCACGCATTCTAGTCCCCCATAACTCTATAAGAAAGTGTTTCTGCTTCAAACTGTACATCCGACCAATTTCAGTAATCGAACTTGCCACACAACTTCACATCAACATGAGCTTGAAGTGGAGACTTGTCATTACGTCCCCCCAATACCCATCTCCGAGAGAAGGGACAGGATTGTTCAAGCGCCGCCTCTTCCAGCACTCTTCCAAGAATTTAAGCACGTTCCACCCTAAACCAACGGACGTTTCGCTGACGCCGGCTCCAGAAATCATGTTCCTGATCATTGTGTGCTCGTCCTCCTCCAAAGCTAACGACGCCGTGATTAATATGGGCCAAAATGCTGAACGTGGCAAAAGCGGATTTGGAAGTCTTTTGAGCAACTCCATCGTCTTGCAAACGTTCTCTCGAATCTCGGGCAGTTCTGGGCATGGGCCAGAGACCACCACATGAAGATAAGTCAAAGCTGCACGCCCGTAAAGCTCAGTAACATAGTCTGCGTGTTCTGAAAGCGGCGTTAGGTATGGCAAGGCTGGCCTATCACGAATTATGGGATGTTTGCGATCCTTCGTGAACTTGTCAAAGGCCTGTTCCAGCTCACTTTCTAACAGGGTTGCCCTTTTGGCAAGCTCGATGATGCTCAGTGTTCCATTTGATTGTGAGGTCCTTTTCCACGAATCCAGAGAAGCAATCTTTCCGATGGAGATCAAGGCCCAGTTTTGGATGCCTCCAATTTTATCCAGACGAAGAGGAGGATCGTCGCCACCAAGCAAACGCTCATGATGTTCTGCAAGAAAAGGACTTGAGCCTAGGGAGACAGCGCTGGCGATGTCTATCCATGTGAAGACCGCCATTAAGAACTTAAGTAATACCTCATCCTCATTGAAGAGCAAAGAACCCTCTGAGTCATGTGGGGATATGGAAGATTGTGGAGAAGGATCGGGTTCTGGAAATGGTATTGGTGAGATGAGAACGTTTACGAGCCCTGAAACAACGTCTGTGGCTCCCTTCATGTGGATCTGCCAGTTTTCAACGCCTCCAGCAAACCCCTTCACGTTGAAACATGGTTAGCGTACGACCTTAGATTTTCTTGTCATGGATGACAAAATTGTAAAAGAACATACAATAAAGGCGATCATTTGAAGAATGCATCCGAGGACTTTCATACTATCCTCCAAACTTCGAGTATCCTTTTGTTGACTGTAGACTCGGATGTATTGCTGTAGGTTCTGCAGTGCTGATCCAAGTTGTGCCAAGCTAGCCTGTTTTCGCTCCTTGGCTCCGTTCGGCACTTCAATCATTTCATAACAATGAGCACTCATTGCTAGGGTCATGTGGTACATGGGAGGGGTCCGGAGGAGGAGGGATAAAAGCCATCCCCTTCCTCCTTCCGCGGCGGTTGGATTGTACATCCTGAATTGGATAGGGAAGACGTAGTCTAAATAATACATAAGCAGCGAGGCTTCGCGTCCTTTTAGCGCTTGCGGCAAGCTATAATCGACAGGTCGTGGGGTTCCCAAGCTAGTGGTTGCTCCTTCGAAGCCGTTGAAGTTCTCGTTTCTAGACAAGGTAGCAAATGAAATAGCAGGCCCGGGACGGAACCCAGTCTTCAAAGCTGGACCAGTGGGAGTATTTCCAGGTGTTAATGTGACACCGGCTTGCGAGTGTTCCCGTAAGACTACATTTGCAAACTCTTCCTCAAGCTGCGCGTTGTCGTCTGGTATTGGAAAATGGTGTGGAGACAGTGCATTAGAATTGCTTCGATCCGGTCGATCCCGCGCAGGAGCTGGTGGAGGTTCTCGTCTTGCTGCATTCTTAATTTGACGTCGGGTTTCTGCTGTAGCTGCCTTTTCTTTCTCACCGCCGTCCATCCACTCAGGTCTCAATCCATAGCCATGGCATGCGATGCCTAGACCTTCACAAGTCGCACACACTGGCCTGAGCTCATCACACTTCTTCCTCCGCAACCGACAAGTCCAGCAACCAAGTCGGCTTCGCGACCCTCCTGCCATCGGTGGTTTTAAAAAAGCGTAAAGATACGTAGATCTACTTAGAGTACAAAGAGCGAAATTTGAACTCATGGGTGGGAGCGGATGCGAAACGCAGCGAGACGCAGCGAGACGCCTGCAGAACGTCAGCACTAGCACTCATGCTTAACTTCGAGTTGATTGGTTCATCTACTCGTAAACGAGACCGGGGAAGCAGCTGCAACCTCGGCTCTTCGAGATACAGCCCTGCGATCCATGTATGGAAAGCAGATTTCTTGTGCGAGAGTTTGCTCTGAATTGGAGGTGCAACTTTGCAGTACAAGGATCTGAAATATTTGCTCAAAAAGTAAAGCTGCGAGACACTTGAGAAGTCGAGTCAGTGCAACGCGCATCTTCAAAATCAGAACATACAAAGAGAATGTCTCGGTGAGCCTGGGCATCTGAGAGACATATCTTGCTCGATCTGGCTCGAGTTGAATGCAGCGGCCTTTCCGTTTAATATGCCCATATCGCCGGGGTCAGCCAAACCTCAGGAACGAAGCTGGGAAGATCATCTGCGAAGTCCTTTCCCGGTAGCTTGGGCGTCGAAGTGAGGCCTTGAAATCGATCGTTGAAAGGAAAGTGGAACATTGAGAAATGGTGACTACCATTCTACTCTATTGTGCAGCCATCAGTCGGGCAGGGTTGCCGGACCGCCCAGCTAGAAACTAACAGTGCAGGGCTGGACTACTGCTTGATTTGTGAAGCATTATTTTCAGCTGGTCTGAGAGAGCCACATTGCTGGCTGGAGGTGGAAGATGTTCCTGAAATTGAGAGAGCAGAGGATGGGTGAGGATTTTGAGGAACCTGAAAGATAGCTTCAATCGGGAACCCCTGTTTAGATCACGTGATTCACACGACGACTGTCTCAGGCAGCATCTTTTGCAACAACCGACTCAAAAGCTCGCCTTCTTCCAGCTCTCCGCGCTCAAACAGCCCTCACTATTACCTCAGGCATATTTCCCCAAACTTGGAATATTGTGGTTATCAAAGCCAGCAAGGAGGGTTACGGGTCCTCCCCAAACGGCTGAAACGGGACGACATGCCGGACTCAAACCAGCCATCTCAGCCAAACCCCAGCAGTCTCGGTCGCATGGCGTGCTCCTTCTGTCGAAGGAGAAAGTTGAAATGTGATCGTAGAACTCCGTGTGAGTCCTGCCAGAAGTTTGGATTCGATTGCAAGTACGCAGCCGGCATATCTTCAGGCAGCTCAAGACCAGATCTGAAGTCGTCACGTGTGAGGCAGTTGGAGGATCGGCTAGGTCTGTCATAGAACTCGCCCATGATGGCATTTTTAAAATTAAGAATGAGTAGGGCGAGTTGAGCATCTGCTTCACTCGAAGAACAAGCGTGACACAGGAACTACTCCGACGAATTCAACTGGCAAGGATGCAGCGGTTGAGACGGATAGGGACGACACTTCGTTAGATTCCGATGCCATCAGAATGCTGTAAGTGACTGAAACTTGCCATTACGGTTGATCCAGAGTCACTGATCCGTTCAGGGAGGAGAAATACTTCGAATTCGTATGCATGCCTCTTGCCTTATCTCCCCAGTCTTAATTTCCCACTAGCTGCAGCAACATTCAAAGAAATTCTTAGATTGTATCAAAGCGAAGTGAACTAGTCTATCATTACTTACTGGGAGATCCTTTAGGTCCATCCTGTCATAAATGTCATCCATCCGGCCCGATATGCTGAACGCATTCGGGACCCTGATACTCCCCCACCAATATACCTTCGCCAAGCGATGTGGGCGTTAGCAGCAACCACAACCGACCTTTACTCAGATCGCTGCGAAGCTCTCTACCAATCATCAAGAAGGCACCTTGAAGAAGATGAGCTGAAGAATCCCGGCATGGAGGCTATAAATTTAGCTCCTGCCCAAACATGGATTCTGATCGCGATGTACGAACTGAATCATGGATATATCCATCGAGCGTGGATGAGCACGTCACGTTCAGTGAGGTTGGTGCAAATGATGAGACTTCACCGACTTGACGGTGTGACCCAGGTTATGGACCCAACGCTTCGCTTCGTCCAAGCTCCACCAGATCTTACCGATGCCGAAGAGAGGAGACGGATCTTCTGGCTGACTTATATTATGGATCGCTCATCTTGTATCTCAATGGGATTTCCAGCTCTAATTGATGAGAGAGACGTCCGTTACTATCCCCCCATTGTTCCTTGGCTGGGCACTGACGAGCTATATCTAGATTCGCACATTGTTGCCTGTTTCAAATGCTGCGTTCGAGAATTCGACGAAAGAACGTTGCTTGTTCCTTTCGGATGCCCTGACCACCCAAACCAGCAAAGACTTATCTGCCTTTGCTGCTCAGATTGTCATCGTTTCCTTATGCGGCTCGAAGCTTGCTGAGCTCCAACGCTATGACCCGACAGCTGCCCCACTAGAGTCAGCAGGAAGCATCTGGCTCCAACCGCAAAGGCTAGGTGGTGCCCTCACAACAGAGTTTCGAGTTCCAGAGCATCTATCCATACCGTTCGCTCCGTTAGACCCAACTACAGCTTTTCTAAACATGTCAGCTTTTGGCTGTACAATCTCTGTGCATCGAGCAGCCCGAGCACAGCTTGGCCAGGATTCTGTTTCCGAGGTTATCTTGACTCAAAGTAGGAAACGGTGTGTTGAAGCTGCGTCGAAGATCGTTATGATTATGAAAGTGACGAGCCACTGGGATATCTTGTCCGTAAGTAACAAAGCTCAAACTACTCCTTCACAAGGACAACCTAACAGCCAGCAGTTCAATCCATGGACGAGTTATACTCTCTACTTAGCCTGTGTAGGATTCGCAAATGCGTGGCTTGAAGAGCGGGATCCTGCTCTCGAGGCTCCATTGAGCTTTCTACTGGAAAGTTTGAGAGCTTTCAAAAAGACTTCGGCACTGGCAACAATGATGCTGTCGGATATCAATATCGAATTTCCGAGTCTGTTGGGTCAGCTTGACAAGCAACTTGCTGAATCATTAAGTGATGTAAGTACATTCTGTCCCATCGTTTTCCATCAGGTACTAACGGGACAGGATTTCTTCGCCTTCTCCGGAGCATGTGTTCCTGTTCAGATAGGGACTAGAGAACGATCGACTGCTTCCGATTTTTCTGTCGATCCAGACTTCACGAACGGGACCGCAGACATGTTGAATTTGGAGGAGTTCGACATGCCACAAGAGAACCCTGATGCTTGGGATTTGAACCTCTATGGGCTGAGCCCATTTCCTTTCGGGGGCCGTCTGTGAATTCAAGGACATTGAATTCTTCACGAGCATGGTGCCCACGCGGGGAGAAACCCGTTGCGTGTAAGACCTAGAAATTTCTCTCTTACTCAACTACATGAGTTTGACATAGGAAATAGTATGGGTGTAAGGGCCCTCGATCAGCAACCTAGAAGCAAGACCATTCGAGCCGGTCATCATACAACCACACATCCACATCGATTACCGCCACTCTCAGTGTGCTTTCCCCAGTAGTTCCTTCCGACGTTAGTCCCCCATCTTCGGCCCTGAACTCCATGTATATTGGAAATGTAGAAAATCGGTCCGTCTCAACGCAATCTGTGGATTCGATCCACCTGCAAGTCTCGTATTTGCAAGATAGAGTCGAAGGTATTCGATGATAACGATGAAGTAATATATTCCGAGCCCAGTCAGACATGCCACCTGTTGGGTACAATACCAGCCAATCTACCTGGAAGGATGGGGATGTTCCAGCTACCAGCCGTAGAATTCAGTCACAAAACCCAAACGGCATACCAACGACGTCCTAATCGCTCGCAACTCAGGGCAAAATATGTTGTTTATAGTATCTGCTCACAAACGTCACTTGAAAGTCAGCTCCGATCGAGGAGAATCAAGCACCAATTCCGTAAATACCATTCCACAACACCTCTTTCGCAACATGAGGATGCGTCACGCTTGTCCATGTCAACCAGCTACATTGAAATAAAACCGCTACGACCACGACCGCAAACAGGAGTCGGAACGAGTTTGTAAGATCGAAATAACTGTTTGCAATCGAGGCACAGAGAACAAAGCAGGAGAGGACATTCGCGAGCAGGAGCCGACATCCTTTACCCAGTGTGATACTGAACACCGCAAAAAGGATCGCAGCTGTGGCGTACAACGTCGACGCATCAAGAAGGATTCGGGATCACCTTTAAGCAGAAGCTTGTTCATTATTGGATTCTAGCAATCTCTTCCGTAGAAATTTCTTGGACTAGTCATTTCATACGAGTTTTGTCCAAACAAGGATGTAGTGAGTGAGCTTTCTTCCGCCCTTGGTTGCGAGCAATTCAGGGGCTCGCTCGCTCTGGCAAAAAATATGGGGTTCTTCAGCGATTTTGCGGTGAATCAAGGGCGTCATTGATAATCAAAACAACTACGAATGTATTCAGGATAAAAGTTACTCTTCTCGTAGCGCATTTGGAGATCCGCAAGGTTGCCTGCAATTATCCATTAATTAGTCTTCATCCGGACGTGGTACAGGCGATGCAAATTCACGAGATTGCACAATGAACAACTTTTGATGTTCCGCCCCCTGGCCCTCTTGCCCAAACCTCTTTTCGAGTGAAAAGCTGCGAGGGTCTTGCTGAAAGAGGATTATATTAGCGTAGTCAAGTGAGCCCGACTTCACTTCTGAAGCTTATGGCTTTAGGTGAACTGAATTTTGCTAAGCTCTCTAACGCCTGGACGGGAAAGATACCTCTTATAGCGGGTTTCGGGGCGTCCCATGCCACAACACTCGAACTTTACAGACACCACCGATATGCGTGGGGTGGCGTGGGACAATCAATTGTTGACATTCCACTTTCCGCCGACCCAGAGCTCCATCGCAAGCTCTCCATGTGCTAGCTCAAAGCTATAGCTCTCCTGAGCAGCCTTTTGTTTTGAGAATTCCCCGATAATCAAACCGCCAATATCCCTTTGCAACTACATGATTGTGTACTTGCATGTCAACTCCTCGCGCCCACTGTAGTATCATACGCACAGGCTCATACCAGCGATTTCCTTCCACATTTTCTCAAGGAGCCCATTAAAACGCTCATATCACAGGGCTATGCTGCATATCAACCTTTTCCGGCTGGAGTGGTAAGTCCTAACTTCTCCGGGTATTGATACCTCTTGGAGCAAGCATTGTCCAGGAGCCTCTGGAACATTCTACTCCCAAAGACACCTCAAGACGTATGCTGACTCCGTTTTATTTGGAATAGGTAACTGTTGAAGGCATCATTGATTCCTGGGGTCCAGGAGTACTCATATCCAATTCCAAATCAGGAGTGCCTTGTGGCGAAAAGACCAAGTCGGTATTGATAGGAAGAGGCGCCATCACCTGTGTTCCAAACCAAGACAACAACTGACCACACCCCTTATATCATTTTGGGCGCTCTTGCGACCTTGCAGCCGACTTACCAACCTTCAGTATTTGGGACAAGCTAACCATTGGAGCTATCTCCGTACAAGAGTCATGCCTGTTGGATCCAGCAAAGCGTCGAAAGTCTTCGGAACCGTACCTCGACGTTCTTGGCGCTTGCGATGACTACTGGGACTTGGCAGATCGGTAAATGATGTTTCAAGCTGGTCAATACTTTAGTCTCCAGGTCGGCAGCGTATACAATAAGGTTAAAGGCCGCCGACTAAAGACGACGATATTAGAATTATAGAGATTACTGCATGATTTCAGAATTCTTCTTCAACCGTGGGGAATTTCGACATTCTGGGAACACTCACAAGGTCAGCGTGAAGAAGGAACCCATTCTCAGTACCGGGACGATCAAATCGCCTCATGTCTTGGAGCTCTCTGGTATTGGAAACCCTGACGTCCTGTCTTAAGTCGGTATCAAAAGTCTCGTCGAGAATAAGAGAGTAAGGGAAAATTTCCAGGACCACCCTCTCATAGGTACTGTGTACGAGCTTGCTCCAGGAGAAGCATCACTGAACATGCTCCAAGATGTGCAAGAAGTGCAAAAAGCTATGGCTGAGTATAGCACTACGAAATCTGGTCTCCTCGCAAGCAACGGCTCTGGTAACTGCTTCACAAGCTATGCCGCCCTTGCTTTCCAAGAAGAAATTACTACTATAAAGCAATCCATCATCTCGCCTGATACACCAACTCGTCATTTAGAAACAGCGAAGGGACTTCTAGCGGATGCACTCGCAAGTCCAGACCACGCAAGTCTCCACATAGTCTACGTCGCAGCAACCGTAAACATCGACGCTTTCCCGTCTCAATCCAGTATGTTGAAGCCTCCAGAGAGCATGAAAGGCAAACCGGGTATCAGCTTCACCATCGCTGCAGAGCGTCCGCTTTCTGTAGGCTCCTGCTACATACTCAGCAGCAACCCCGAAGACGACCCGCGATTGACCCGGCGTACCTCTCGCATCCCGCTGATGCTGAGGATAGAACTTGCGGAGAAGATGCGGACGACTAGTCCATTCAGTGAGAAAATCAAACAAAGAATATTCCCGCCTGAGAGCGTGGAATTGGGGAAGAAAAAGGAGAGGCTGGCGTATTTGAAAGGTGCTGTTACCACGTAGTATCACCCGAATGGTACCGCGGCGATGGGTCCAGAAGGGCAGGGAGCTTGCGATGAGCGGTTGAGAGTGAGAGGGTGCAAGGGCTTGAGAGTCGTGGATGCGAGTATCATTCCGGTGCATGTCAGTGGAAATATTGTGAGTATGGTGTACGCGATTGCTGAAAAGGGAGCGGATCTGATCAAGGAATATTGAGGCTTGTAAACCGGGCATGTCAGGTTATCGATCAAAAGTTGGCAGACCAATTTCTTTCACTTGAAGGTGTTCGAACATGAGAATTACGTGGTTTCGTTTTGATTTCGCTACTTCATGAAGCAACTGATGATGATTAGCCTCGGTTTCCGAGAAGTCAGGAGTAGAACATACTCATATTTGGAACTTTTCGCTCAAAAGGGCTTACTTGATACATCATACAAAAGTCTTCCAAAGGTGGAGCTTGCCTGCGACTTCGCCATTTCCGGCCGTGGCGGTCTTGTTGGCCTCCATGCATTCCCAGCCCCACCCGGAGCCGGGGTCACGGGGCTGTTGGCAGTTGGGGAATTGAGATTCCCCACAACCCTCCCTAGATGGCCTGTCTTACCACTACTAATGGATCCCTTCTCATTCACGATGTTTGTACGACCTAAGGATGCTTCGAAGTTCTTGGATAGGCGCTTCGCTTTTCGTTTGCGGTAGACGAAGATACCGAGTATGAGGGATGTGACAACCAGAATACTAGCGGCTGATGCACCAGCTACAATAGCCGCGGAGACTCCCTTGCGAGAATCGGAGGAGTCGGGATCATCTGCCCCAGCTATCAGAGACGTTGCAGCTGATGATGTTTGAGCTGTCGAACCTGAGACCGAGATTGATTGGGGAACGATCGCGAGAGTTGATGAACGGATTGACTTATTGCAGTTAGCATTTCCTTACAAAGTCAGGTGTAGAGGAGTAACTAACAGAGGTTAACTGGATGGGAGAAGAGATTTGAGGCACTCGTTGAGATGGAAGTGGACTGGATGTATCCGGACTCTGCGTGACTGGAACTGCTGAGGGTACAGAAAGTGGACTCGATATCGAAGAGGGTTGAGTAAAAGACAAATCCTGGCTTACAGAGATTGGCGTCGATGGCGAAGGAATTAGTGTTGTTGATGGAAATGGCTCAACGAATGTGCTGCTCGGTATCTGACTTTCTACAGACGGCTGGGTCTGGATCGCATTGGATGATGACGACGTGGTAGCGCTTATTTGTGCTGGAGGAGTAAGCGTTGTCTTTGTGATTTTTGGTGTTGGGTTACTTGGTACTGGCCGACTTTCGATAGTTGGTTGGTTTTGAACGGATGAAGCTTCGAAAAATGAAGATACTTCAGCGCTACTGCTTGCTGCCGGTATCTGTGAGAACGGAGTTGTGACAGGATCTAAATTCGGCATTGCAAGTGCATTCGAGCTTGCGATGGTCGTTGATGTTTGGACATCAGTGGAAGCCTGAGAAGAGGTTGTCTCGATGGAAGTAGTCGCCGCTACCGTAGAATCTGGGTTTGTAGACATCGAAGTAAAGTTTACTGACGGTTCGCTGAAAGAAGTCCCGACGCCAATCGTTAAAATTGAACTCTGAGCAGCACAGCACTGGAATCCATTGCCATTATCGCAGCAAAATTCGCCGAGCGAAGGAGATCCGCATGGGAGTACTGTGACTTTGCCGCTATCATTGACTATGAATGAACATGAGGCGGTAGCTTGGAATCCTGGGTGATATTACTCACTCCCTTTACAGAAATTCGGGCAAGTGGAGCCGTATGACCTGTCCAGACACGACCCTCGCGAAAATCTGTTATGATCTTCCTTCGAGACGCAGAGTTTGTTTGAGGAACACAGCTCGTCCGGTGCGCAACATCTGCTGGTTCCATCGTTACTGATGCAAGGGACATCGGTGGCATTGATGGAGCCATCAGGAAGAAAACAAGAAGCTGAATCGACAAGTTTTGGCAGGGCCAAAGCCCCAACTAATTTCAATATTCGCAAAAGCATTGAATTGACATGAGGGAATAGAAGGAATTAAGGGAGACAAATATGAACTCGGCATAAAGCATATACGTGTATCCCTACTCGCAGTGGACCATTGACCTCTAGTTTATGCTTAGCTCAACTTGATACGCGCAGAGTAACGGCAAACAGATGATGCTCAGAAGGATATCCATGAAGCTTCAGAAGGAAGAGAACATTTCTAGAACACCCAAAACATACCATTTCAAGCCCCAAGTAAGTTTACTGCAGCCCTATCTGGACGATGGTAGATGGATTTGAGGCGGTCGGTGGGCTTAAAGTACCGGCCAGACCTGTGTCGAGCTGCCCCGCTCTTAGCAAGTAAAAGAATATCAGACTATTTCTAGCCGAACTCGAACCGGAAGGAGCAAGTGTTGCGTGGCAGCTCTGGATAAACTTTTCTCGGTCGTTTCAACCAAACTTAGATCTCTTCAATCATCTGCATTTCCAAGATCGGATGAAACGAGTCCATATCCTGCATGAAGCAAATCGACAAGGGAGCCACGATCTGCACTTCGACCCTAGATCCTTGACATTAATGAGACTCAAAGAACCAAGTGCTAGAAACTCGCAAGTCTCTAGTGAGGTGGTTCGCTCTTTTCTGGAAGAACTCGGATCTTCGTTTGAGACAAGTCGGGTATCCTTGAGAAGTAGGGAAGGGTCTAATAAATCGGTAAGAATTGGACATTTCTTGCAGAACTCCTTGCCGCCAGCCTTGACAATGCAACCGAGGATTATCCACCAGGAGCAAGCCCGTCGTTGCTTTTCTTGGAATTGGTGTACGTGTGATCACGTGTGGGCTATCACAACTATGTGCAACTTGCGCATAGCCACAGAACTTCCAAGAGGCGAGATCTACGAACAAGTATGAATGAAGAAATGTAAGGTCATGGTTTGCAGCTGAGGTGCGCTCTTGACAAAGATTCTTCTGAAATGCTTCCACACCTCCAAGGAGCGCCTCGATGTCAGACTGCGCTCGACAAATCGGTACCGTACCGATGCCGGATGGAACAGATAATGCTTCACTTAATCGATGCCCAAGACCGACTCTGTGTCCACGACCGTTCCAGGTCACGACCAACCAAACCCCACGATCTTAGCTCCCGGTCGAACCAGAGAACTCTCACTCTCCAGTCTTGCTTATCCAAGCACAAGTGATGGAAGCATTGCAAATTCATCATTCGGCATTGGCGAATCCGGCATACGGCTGAAGCTTAATTAGTGGCATCGATAGAGAGATACTGCTCCCTACTCTGCTCATAAATGTGGAAACATCATTTCTCGTTCTATTCTGCCCTCAACAACGGGCCTCTCTTGTACGGCTCGATCACCCGAGAGTCGAGGGCAGTCGGGACCTCGTCCTGAGTCCAATACTTGGTCCCGTGTCGAAGCCAGTGCGCATATGTTCCTGGGACATCGTCTGAGCCGTCATGCCTCCTCCACAGCGATCCAAGTGTGTCCCCCATCACCCTCAATATCATACCATGGGCCAACTTGAACCCGAAACTCTTCTGTAGGCACCCCTCGACAATCTCCCTTGCCCTTTTCTGGTCCTCACTCTCCTGCTTGCCCGCCTTTGGAAGCGAAAGTGACATTAATTCGAATGCCTTCGGGCCGTTCCACGCCGTGAATACGTTGATAAGCTGCGACCCAGCCATATAGTCCATTGCGTAGATATGCTCAGCGACATATTTCGGTCCGTCCCAGTTGTCCTCTTTGTCGATGAGTCCCATAACCATGGTCATTACTTGACCTTGAGTGATGTAATCAGATAACATCTTGCTGACTTCCTCCGCCTCAAACTTCTTTCCGCCTTCTTCGAAAGCCAGCGAATCACCCTGGCCGAGTAGTGGAATACCCTTCAACAATGGACTGGCATGCATTCCTTCGGTGCTCGTCTTGCCACCATCCGCAGCCCACAACTCCAGGAAAAGCTTGTGACACCGCGCGAAGAGTGGATTGTTCCGCCCAGAGCAAAGGAAATAGTTCGTCAGACTACGCTCTTTAACACTGCCGGCATTATAGGTGAGAATCTCAAAGCGGGAGGCGGGGTTTCCCACGGTTTGATTCCATAGACGGTCTAAGTCGCCGATCTGCATTAAACCAACGTCTGCGTAGACGCCGCCAAACTTGAGCAGCAATGGCCACCTCACAAGGTCGGAGGTGTGCTGGGGCGCATAGTCACCGCCGATTGTTCCATCCACGAAAGCCCGGGGAAAGATGCCCGGGTCAGAGATATCGAGGAAGTTCGCAACGTTCAAAGGGGACGAAGGTAAACGGTCGAGGACACGGATGGTCCAGCCTTGCTTGGAGAACCGCCGATGCCAGGCTCGTACGTTTCGCTGGGTGTAGGGATGCATGTGTGTGAACCCGGAGTGCCAGAAGAACCATATGTTCTTTTCATCCGAGACGGGCCTCGGGTGGAGAAGGTCGTGATCAACTTCAGAATCCGGCCGCGTGTCGAGGAGGTGAGAAGGGATGGCATGGATCCCTGATGGGATTGGGTAGTCCTGAAAGTCCATTGTATGCTGATCTAGTTGATCTGAAAATGTGAGATTGGAGAGCAGTGGCATCAAAAGTGACTTATCCAACTGTCTGGAAAGAAGAGGTGCGCGTGAGAGAGCTGATTCGCGACAAAGCAGTATGACGTAGATGAAGATGAAAAGAAAAGCTGCTGTTGAGACTGGTCACCTAGGAGACTTGAGTCTCATATTTATATCGAAACCTCTGACGAGATACTCAACCGTTACCAGATGCGGGTCAATGTAACGGAAGAGAGAGGAGACGAGACTCATTATGAGTCTTGATGAGCGAGGCAAGACCAGGGTGTTACAGGGGGTTTAAATAGGCTGTTGCTTGCCCCTAACCCCACTTGCGGCCGCTAGATCGTTTTCGTCTTCACTGTGCGCGGACTCCGTAGGCGCAACACTTGACTACAGTAGCTGAGCCAGCATCATTAACGTCACGTGTGACTCTTTGTCCTCACCTGCCTTTTACCTCGTTGGGTCCTTTGCTGCTTTTCGTCCTCCCTTCGCATTCCCTCCCAAAATTTCGGATCCACTAGAGTCAACCGAGGTGCTGACTCCAGGACTTCACCGATCCCTTGGCCTGTTTTGGCCGAGCACTCGAGGTATTGCTCCGCTTTGATGATGTGTGCGACGTCTTGATCCTAGCTCCTTTGGACATTCGAAGAGCAACACTTATGCGTCCCTGTCCGGGGTTAGCGGAGTTCCTGCGTCCACGTTGGGTCATCGCAACAATGGACGGATGTTAATCCAACAGAAGGCTGTCAAGCAATAGTTCCTCAGCCCTCAGGAGGAGAAAGCACTCGTTACTTATCTCCTGCGAATGGCCGAGAATAGCTTTCCATTACCTGTCAAGTTCTTAAGGAACTTGGCACTTGTTATCGTGCGTCGGCAAGTATCGACTTTCCAGATTCCTGCAACCGATAACGATGACATTCGACCACCAGAAAAGAACTGGCCACAAGCCTTCTATAAACGCCATCCAGAGCTCAAAGCCATACGAATAAAAGCACTAGATTAGGAGAGGCACGAGTATAATATCTACGAGAAGGTAGTAGACTAATTTATAATTATTAGGAAGAAGTTGGCGAATCCCCTAATACTTGCAGAGAATATTTATAACATAGATAAAACAGGAGTTCTTTTAAGCGTTCTGAACTCTTTAAAGGTTCTGGTAGGTAAGAACGAGCTCAGGAATTATAAAGGAGCAAAAGTAAAGTATACTTTAATTACTATAATCGAGGGTATCTTTATAGATAGTTAGTATCTCTATCCCCTGATTATTTGGCTAGTGTGACGGCTGGTGTCACATGGTTGATACGGACGTGGTTTCAGCCAAAGGGGTTGGTTTCAGCTAAGGTTCCAAGCTATGGTTCAACCAAGCTCGCTTCCAAAGCTCGGCGTTTCAGTGGTCTTGGCCATACCTACTTATCCACTGCCACACCTCACTCCTTCCTCCTTAGCTTTAAATTCTCAAGACATAGGAAATCATTGATCTTTGAGCCTCGTTCCATTGCTCTGTTCCTGCCGTCACAGCTAGCTACTACTTACCAAAGCACTTGGACGGTTTATCTTACTCCTAAATAGCATTTTGGCTATTCGGAAATAGGATATATAAATATAGTAATTAGCCTATACTAGATTTAATATGTCTTTAACTTATGGACAAAAGCTCGAGCAAAGAACAATTTGCGAATCTTAATTAATAATAGATTTGGTATATATAAGTCGCTCGAAATTATGAAGTTCTGCTACGAAAATAATATTACCCTTTATTAGCTTTTATTATATATGTCCAATATACTCGAATCCTATAATATTAGTATTTTTGGGCCACTAAAGATAGCATATCGGGAGGAGGTTAAACGCTTATACTAAGAAGGGTCTAATATAATCGGAAAATAGCACTTTACCCTTCTCTATAATCGTATATAACATAAAGCACTTAACCTTCGAAATATTATATTAGGCTAGTCCAAAACCGGACTATGATTATTTAACCCAGAAAGGGTACTAAAAGACATCCAAAACCCCGGTATAAATATTGACTTAATCGCTACTGAGATCGAGAAACCCTATAATATTCTTTACCCCTAGCTTAAAACTCTAATAACGTTAGAAAGTTTACTGTCCTTGCGTAAGCGGATCGAAGAGAGTATTATATATAGTAGAGAAGTTAATGGCCCTTGTAAACGTAATATTCAAAAATTGGCTAATATAGCGGAGAATGCCTTTACTGACCGAGCTATTCTCTTAGACGAGAACTTGCTTCTCTTTGAGCAAAATAATGAAAAGGCTACTCGCAAGTCTATTAGAGCGATAGTAGTAGGCAGTACAAGAGTCATGAGTTATGAGGATATTATTGAGGCGCAAAAACAGCGTGATATCAAAGAAGCGGCGGCCGAAGTAACCCGGGGCCGACGATCAAAGCGGAATCCGCCAGCCCAAGTCCTCGGGAAGAGATCGCGCGGTCAAGAATTAGAAGAGGCGGAACATGAGATTACAGCGTCGGGACTTGGGAAATACTGTTCCGTGTTAGATTTTAAGTAATATTAGATCAAATTACAGTACTGCTATTATAAAACGATTCTTTTTCTTATCTTTCTTCGTCGTTCCAAACCCCCAATCATCTGGCTCTACTTCTCGTAATCTTACATCGTCTTGCGGGTCAAACACAACGTCTCTCAAAACTTCTGCGGCAAAATCACCATGGCTCTGTAGCAGTGCTACGAACTAAATTTGGAGATCATCTTTCACTCCTAATTTCACCAAGATCCATTGCTTAATGATTTTGCAGGGTTTACAGTAGGAAGCCGGGAGTGTTGCGATTCGGGTCCCGGACTCGTTTCAGCCTCAATAAGCCAGGAATAACCCTGTGTAGAAAGACTTTATGTATTAAAATATGGACATGGCCCTCACTGTATCTTAGGTAGTGGACAGACGTCTCTCTATATTGCACTCTTCCAGAGAAATTGCTCCAGAGATTGCTTGCCATCAAGCCCATTGAAGAAGAGTTTGGCGTTATTCACAGGCTTCCAGTATGGCAGGAGCAGTCTCAGTTTATTATCTCGCTGGTGGTCAACAATCTGGACTAGTAGAGAGTCGACTACCGTGAAACCTAGGTCCCTGTCTGGCTGGACCTTTTGCTCCTCAATGGCGCTAAAGGACTTACAGAGCTCCTCCATCGAATTTGCACTAAAGACGAAGACCGCTAGATAGTTGATGCGAGCAACAGGTAAAGGTCCGTTGAACTCTTGCACAACATTCTCCTTGACCTTTTCCAAGGAGACAGTAAGAGGTGAGCTATAAGCGCGCTTTAGTGCCTCGTTTTGTTCACGTCTGGTGGTGGGTTGCCATCGAGGTTTGGCTTCAAAGGTAAAATGCCAGAAATCGGCTGACGGTTCGTAGCCAAAAATGTGCAAGTCATAAAATTCTGACAGCCGCGTCGATCCAGTTTTGCGCATCGAAATTCCCGGAATAGGTTTGGAAAGCTCCATCTGGTTGCTTCTTTTGACGTTCGCCTCCCAATTAAGTGGACCGCCCATGGCTCGCCGGAAATGAGAACTGAAGTTCTCGGTAGGGAAAACTCCGAGGAAGAGCTTATCTAGGAAGATCTCGCAGAGTTGGTCTAGCAGCTTAATTTGTCGAAAATTAGAGTCTATCTTCCGCAGGGCATTGTAGAGATGAAGCAGCGCGCATAAGTATCCTGTATCGCAGCACAGATGTAGACCTTCGAACATCGCGACGCTGAGAATTTCGACAATATGGCATCCGGCAGTCCAAGGGGCTTGAGAGTAGAGGTCAAAACGGTTTTCTCTAGTATAGCCTTCCAAGCCATCAAGGACACTCTGCAAGTCCGACAGATTGAACGCTGACGCAGATTCCCTTCTCCTCTGAATGCACCTTATGGTCTCGGAAAAAGACTTCTGGACCTCGAGCGCGAACTGAAGCACTAAGATACGGCAGTTTTGTCTGTTTAACACGCCATCGGGCCACGTATATCCCTTGTATGAAGCGAGCAGCATTTCCATTCCAAATACCAACTGAACATATATAGGTAGCTCTTTGTCGGAAAATACCTGGTCGATGAAAGGGAGAAGTGGCTCACAGACGGCTTGCGGAGCTCCCGGTGTCTCAATAGCGGCGATTGCACGTTTTGAAGCGAGGAGTTGTCGTATGTGCTCTAACATTAGATATATGGCCAAATGATCGTGGAAAGCAGATTCCTTATTATCTTTCGAGAAAGGAGCAATAATCTTGCTGAAGTCCTCATATCTCCCAGCCTCTGGCACAACTCTGGCGTTTTCCTGCAGAGTCCTGTAGTGTTGAAGCAGGCTTCTGTGGAAAGATAATCCTTTGAGATCTGTGAACCGCCGTGTCTCCGACTGCAATCCCGGAATATCGTTGAATCGAATCTCGATCCGTTTCATCCGATGTCTCGTCCATTCCGAAAGCAATGTGTCATAATCACATTTCTTGTACCTCCTCCCCACCTCATGGAATGCGGCAGATGACAGCCATGCAGCCAGGCAAATAGGAAGAATCCCGTTCGCCCCCTCCGTCCAGTATTTCTTGGTTTGGTCGAGAATTGCATCTAGTGACTTTAAGGGTCTGTTAGTACCCGAGACGTCAATCCTGTCTAGAGAGACACAACTCACGTATATGAAATAACTAAGTTCAATCCACTCCCCCAGATCGTCATCCTCAAGAGCAAGGCGATCGTCGGGGACCACTGTTTCAGTTTTTGCGGGACGATTTTCATCTATTTTGGCAGTCGAAGCTGTGTCTTCTACTTCCATCGCATTCTCATAATTGGCCGTTCTTGAGCCAAGAGAAGCGAAACGGTTACAGTTTTGGTTATTTTCTGACGCTTTTTGCGAAATAGCAGGATTGTATTTGCTATTCGACTGGAGAATATAGAGTGTCTCCTCGAGCCTTCGCAATTCAGTCTTCATTGAAGCGCGTTGCATTATATCATTTCTCCTTACCTGGCGATAAAGGCTTCATGAGCGTCGTCGCTGTCTTGCGCAAATGCATCCGAAGCACTTGCATGAAGCTCCTTATACATCTGATGGACTCTGCGACGGGCCTCGATCGCCTCGCGCAACGCAGTTATCACGAATATAGGTACCTCGTATCTATCGGGTAGGCGTTTTACGCAGTCAATTATTTCTCTTGTACTCCCAAAAGTTCCCTTCGATTCCCAGTTCCCGACGGAGCAGGTTTGAGTTGAGAGCCAATCGAGCGCTATCTTCGTCGTTCTTTTATAAGAGTGGTGAAAATCTATCAGTGTGTTTGTTAAGGTGGCCATGTTGCGTGTAGCATTCAGTAGGGAAAGTAGAATGCATGATTTAACATGCATTCTAGAAAAATAAAAATAAAAAACTGACAAATCGCTTAGTAAGAATCCATCATCTCCAGCCACAGTTGATCCTGTTGCCTAAGGCTTAAAAATCAGAAAAACAGCAAATTTAGCCGAGCGATAGATATTCCACGCCCCTACAGACTGCCCGACTCTCTTGCACGAGACTTTACTCCTTTGCTAACAAAATAAAGAAAATATTATAACTTGATTAGACTGCTTTCGCTTAACTTTACTAGAGTGTTGGGCTTCTATAACACCTCTAAAAGGTGAGCGAACTATGAGGTAAAGAAATAAGTTACAAAAGAAACAATAAATCAGGACACAATTAACAATTCTTTATATGAGTTCTTCCGAAAGAAAATGGTAGATAAAAATGACAAAATATGAAATATAAGTTCAGAGCATCGTGAATAGATTTATATTATTTGGTGTTGAGATATTACGCGATTCGGTCGAATTTTCAGTTGTACTACGGGATTCTCGCCTCGCAGGGATGTCTGTTACTTGTATCGACCATCGGAAAAGAGGGTGGAGATCTGGGAGGCTCGCCACTTGATGTACGGAAAGTGTAGCCGGGGTCGGTCACGTGTCGCTATAATAAATCCACATCTCAACCTCCGTGACAAACTGCCGAACCCAACCTCATCCTTTCTACTTCAAATTCAACATCGCCATCTGCCAGTGCACAAGACTGAGACAAAGCTTGATGCTGGCGGATACGCCCGCCTTTCGATTTATAAAGCCTTATGGCAGAGACTCAAGCTCTCCCAGAGACCGACTCCAGCAAACACACACTAGTTTCTGATACCGCTTCCGTCTTGCCAAAAGCCATCGCCGGAAGCCTGCTTTCTTTTGATTTCAGCACAGATGTTGCAAGCTCCGGGGATGTCGAATGTCTCAGAGAGGAACATCCTCAGGTTACAGTCAAGTACTTAGTCGCTGAGGACTGGGGAGAATTTGTTGAACAGCGGGATGCAAGGCTCTGCTCAAGGTGCCATGCCTTCTTGGAGAGGTTGCCGCAAATCGCTACCAAGCTATTGTTAAAGAAGAGCGAAAAATGCGAAGAACTTCGAGCCACGTTCGAATGACTGGAATGTTCAGCAAGTTCGGGCTGCCCCCTCTGCGCTATGCTCGTAATGGTATTGGCACATTATCCACCTGAAGAACGAACCTCTGCAGGTGTAGCCTGTTTTCGCTGCCGGAAGCTTCGAGAGGACATTTATCTTGACTGCAAACTCATTGCCTCTTCCCGAAGCCCTTTGAAGATTCAGTTGTGTGATACTCGTAAGTGCAATCATCCTCGACTCTGAAGGTCTGCTAAATACGCTCTTCGAAGGAAGTCAACCCGTACCTAGACTCCTTGGGGCTTCCACGGGCGGCAATTTTTCGATAAAAAGAGCCAGGGAATGGTATGATTATTGCAGGAATTTTTACTCCGAGTGTGTTGAGACCGCCGGACGAACCTTGCCTACCAGACTACGTTACTACAAGAATGTCTCCCTTCGACTCTGTAACAGCGTTGATCTGGATATCAGCACCAGATATGCGACTTTGAGTCATTGTTGGGGGAAGTCGCCAATGTTCAAACTAACGATGGAACGAGTTCAATCATTTCAAACAAATATCGAGATCAAAGATCTAAGTCGAACTTTCCAAGACGCGCTTCAGGTTCTGGCTCATCTTGAACTCGAGTTCTTATGGATTGACAGCCTTTGTATCGTGCAAGATGATCCCGATGATTGGAACAGAGAGTGTTTATTGATGTCTTCCGTTTACGGTTATTCAGACATCACGATCGCCGCGGCTAGTTCTACGGATGGCAGCCAAGGATGCTTCTACGAGAGAAAGATGCCTGTCGAGCAACTTTTGCACGTTAGCATTGTGGCTTCCTATGGCTGCAAGAGGTACATAATTACGCACCCACCGAACCCGGAACTTGTTCAAATTGACTGGCTACCTCCATCCGCTCTGAACAATCGATCTCCTCTATTTTCTCGAGGTTGGGTATTTCAGGAGAGAATCTTGACACCCCGCCTCCTTACTTTCACCTCGTCATATCTGTACTGGCAATGCGCATCATGGAGCGGACCAGAGTGGAAAAGACCCGGGATTGACGAGTCACAAGGTCGCCACGAACTCCGAAATCTCACCATGGGCAAGGACTACAACTGGCACGAAGTAGTCAGGGTGTATTCGCGCACTCAGCTTACATTTCCCAGCGACAGACTGGTGGCAATATCAGGAGTCGCGAAAAGGATTCAGAAAGTGTTTCCCGATCAATATCTTGCGGGAATGTGGCGAAAGGATCTGGAGCGCCTCTTGTGCTGGTCCGTTGTCACACCCCAACAAGGAACTCCTCTCGAATATCAAGCCCCATCGTGGTCATGGGTTTCTCTCCTTCCTGGCACAAGAGCTAATCTACCACAAGATTCCCGTGGATTCGGGAGATTACTTATGCAAATAGTGAATATCGACATGACGCTTGCAGGCCCAGATCCAATGGGTGCAGTGACTAGAGGGGTATTGAGGGTCCGTTGTGAGACGCTGCTTTGCGGAATGGCTGTCAGCGGAATGATTCTAAGTGGAAACCGAGATAATTTTCTGGCAAATTTTGGCTCTGTTTAATCTCCGTCCGTCTCAGGTTGGATAGCCAACCAAATATAGCCGATCCTTTCCCCTTTTATCTACTCCCTGTTTTGCAAGCCCCAGGAAACAAAGGAGGAAGAGTGTATATACGAGGACTCGTTCTAAAACCTACCAACAAGTGTAAGGGGGAATATGAGAGAATCGGGCAATTTCGAAAGGGCGATAGCCCAGGAGAAAACCGGCCGAAGATCTTCAAAAAGACTGGCAGCATGGATTTTGCAAAGTTGAGTTACACAAAATTAGATAGAGAGTTGTTGTTTGAGAGTAGTGAAGGCGAGAAGGGCCCACACTTCATCACAATCGTCTGAGCTATCCTCAAGAGAATCGTCAAAAATTTATATTGGAGATATTTACAGTGGACCTATATCAATTGGCCATGAGAAACGTCCTTGGAGAAGTCGGTCTCTGCTTGCAGCTCCCGAGTCACGTTCCAAAGTCTGATATTTGGTTGGAGGCAATCCCAATAGACTGCGACCAGGCTCGCGGAATAAATTACAAAGAATTGGTCTGTATTTCCTGCTGCGGATGCCTTTCGCACCGAAAGGATAGCTTGCAGATATACCCTGATTGATTAGCGAAGCCTCCTTTTCGATGTCAGTCACGTGGAGTAAGCTGAGTGATATCAGAACTGCCGTGTGGTCAGGCACCAGTATAATTACAGCACGCATTCTGACACGCGTATATCCTATCCTCTTAATACCTCATAATCCCCAGATCAAGTCTTCGTAGCAATTTCTCGTCGCATACAGACACCACACTGCTCCAAGGCCAAACCGATATGTTGCCATTCATGAAGCTAACTTTACTTAATCTCCCCGGGAGTCCGACGAGAGATACTCATTCATTACCTCTTACTTTCGGCTCCAGAATTTGAAGCACCTAAAGGGATTCATGCCACGCCGTTCAATCGACCTCTCCTCGCCTTCTGCGATTCTAAGGCCGAGAGTGGATCCAGCCCCCAAATTTTAGGAGAAATACCGAGACAAAACCACCCACCGTTGGAAAATGGTCAAACTTCTATCTCACAGAGGCAACAATGAACCTGATGCAGGTGAACAAGCTCCTCTACAACGGAGTCTCATCCTGCGTCTTCTCAGAATTCGCCCTCATCCCGCCTCGTCAAATCTTCCGCTTCGTTCACTGGTTCCCCTTCCTCCCCAACCAAAATGCTCAAATCTTTGATCTCGTCCGGCATCTCCAGCTCCGCGTCTCTTTCTCCCTAAACGAGGAAGGAGCAGAGTCTCATTACCTCGATGCCATGAACGAAGAAGACGTGACTAGATTCAAGGGGTTTCGGGACTGGTTCGGTGGTCTGAGGAGCGTGAGGTTGCAGATTTGGTTTAGAGGTGGGAAGTTTGAGATGCTCGAGGAGAAGAAGAAGAATGTTGTGAGGAGGATTATGAGGTGTGTGGATGTTTCTAGGCGGGTTGAGGTGCTGCATTTTGTTGAGAGGACTGAGGAGGGAGGGGGATGGTTTGGCTTATGAGAGGAATAGCGTGAGGGAGCGGATTATTGAGGAGATTATCGGGGAGTGTGAGAGGCAAATTGGGGGAAAGGAGATTCGAATTTGGCATCCGATAAAATTACACTGTTTCGTTAGTGAAACTGGATTGGGAGAAAGAACATTCGGTTGACATATCCTCTCCTTGTCATGTGACCAACCAAGGGTCACAGGATATCAATATTTCTTCGATTGTGTCAATTTGAAGATTATGGAATAGAGTTTTGAGAACATAGTTGTTTTTGATCCCCGGATCATTCCAATGCTAAGTCCTTCGATCCGAAAATCACGTGAAAGCCGGTTCCGGCCCCAAATCTTACCATTCTCAACGTTCTTTCATCAGACGATAGCCGGCCTCCACCTGCGCTATAATTACCAATTCGGTTCAAAACTCACTGGAGCATGTTCAATTGCAAGATGGAACCAAAAATTTAGATCTACCTTTCATCAGCATCAGTTCCTGCACCTCACGATTCACGACAATCTCAGAGCTTCAAAATGGCCCACTCAACACTCTCCTCCAAAATGACCTCCCTCCTCAGCGCCCGCAAAGCCAACTCCGCCTTCCGCACCCTCACAGTATCCCCCCCAACCTCAAAAGACTTCTCCTCCAACGACTTCCTCTCGCTGTCCACCTCGCCTGTCCTCCGCACCGCCTACCTCTCAGAACTCACCTCACACCCCGATTTCCGCCTCGGCAGTTCTGGCTCCCGCCTCCTCGACGGAAACTCCCTCTACGCCGAAACCCTTGAAAAAGAGATTGCGGAGTTTCATGGTGCTGAGGCTGCGTTATTGTTTAATTCCGGGTTTGATGCAAACGAGGGCCTTTTTGCTTGTGTGCCGCAGAGAGGCGATGTCGTGGTTTATGATGCGTTTATTCATGCTAGTGTGCATGAAGGGATGAGGTTATCGAGGGCGGGAAGGAAGGTTATGTTTGAGCATAATTCTGTTCCGGATTTGGAGAGGGTTTTGAGTGAGTTGGCGAGGGATGAGGAGGTGAGGGACGGCGAGAGGAATGTTTTTGTAGCTGTTGAGAGTTTGTACTCGATGGATGGGGATTTATGTCCTTTGAAGGAAATCGTTGAGTTGGTTGAGAGGATGCTTCCGAATGGGAATGGCCATATTATCGTGGATGAGGCTCATTCGAACGGTATTTATGGCTCTCAAGGACGAGGGGTTGTCTGTAGTCTGGGGTTAGAGGACAGGATATTTGCAAGACTTCACACCTTTGGCAAGGCAATTGGTTGCAACGGAGGTCAGTTTCAATTACATATTCAAAGAGGCAAACTGACATACCGTAGCTGCTATTCTCTGCTCCCCCCTGACAAGGGCATACTTGATCAACTATGCTCGACCTCTCATTTACACAACAGCAATGTCCTTCCCCTCCCTGGCCGCCATAAAAGTGGTGTATGGTCTCATGAAAGACGGAACAACCGTACCAGTTCGTTCCCCATTACCCATTTTCAATCCATTTACTTACCATATCCAGCTAATATGGCACCTTAACTCCCTCATCACGCACATGTACGAGCAGCTTCTCACGCTCCAACCGCTCACTACGGACTCAGCCCTCTTGCGACTCCCGCAATCTCTCCCCAACTCACCAATTTTTGCCCTCCTCACCCCAGAGCCACGGAGTTTGGCGAAGTGGTGTCAGGCTGCCGGGTTTGTGGTGAGACCGATAGTTCCACCTACAGTGCCTGAAGGAACGCAAAGAGTCAGGGTCTGTTTGCATGCAGGGAATTCGAAACAGGAAGTTGAGGCATTGGTGGCTAGTATCAGGGCGTGGCTGATTGCCAGAAGGAGGGCTGAATCGGCTGAAGGAATTGTGGAGAGCTTAGACGTGAAAGCTAGATTATGAGATGACGACAACGAGGCTGGATCTGACTGCGAGGAGAATCTGGTCCTAAGTCGCGAAGGTTAGAGATCAGCACACGCTCACATTGCATCATAGAGCAGAGCGCCTTAGAGGTCAACTCCAGAGTGATGTGTATACTATTTTGAGATGCGAAAGATAGAACTTGTCGCTCGCGCTGAGCCCAGTACTGTATATATCTTCACCTCGCTTACATCTAAGCGAGCTCAAAGAGAAAAAAATGCAACTCTACCACGCCCCACAAAAAAAATTCAAAACGGCAAAAGAAATCCTTTCGGACCAAGAAACTCGCTTTTGCTGGTTTACTTGTGGCAGAGCATATCTCTTCTAAGCCGGCTGGTCCCTATATTGCTCGAACCTCGCGGTTACATAGGGCGTTACTAACAATCCTTAACCTTGAGCAGTTTAGTGCAAGGAATTAGAAGTTGCGTTCACTCAAACTCACTTAGAGTTTGCTGACTGGAGATCTCTGTACAAACTTGCCTTATTTCGGTATATGACAGCCGGGAGAAATCCACTTTGTCGGAGTTCGGAATGCCATTGAGCGAGGCTAGCTGGATATCAGCGATTGCAAAGATAGACTGGAAGGATAGTAGGAGAAATGATATCAGACGAATATATGAGTTGCAAACGAAGTTGTATTCAATGCTATTTATCATGCCACCGAAGCAGCAACAGGTCTATCTTTCTGGATCTCTAATGGAGCAGAACTCGACACCAGCTCTCTCAATGCCTCAACCTCAAAGCTCTCCATAGGCCGTAATCCCCACTTCTCAAAGATAACTCTATCCTCATCCCACCCATTACAAGCAGTCGTGAGCATCTTCTCTCCCGTGAAGACAGCATTGGCGCCCGCCATGAAGCAAAGAACCTGCTGCTCTTCCGAAAGCGTAGTTCGACCAGCAGCAAGACGGATGATCGTCCTCGGCATGACCATCCTGGCTGTTGCAATCGTCCTCAACGTCGCATCGAAAGGAGAGGTCTCCTTATCCCCAATCCTGTCACCCAACGGCGTCCCTTTGATCGGAACCAGAGTATTGACCGGGAAACTCTCAGGATGCGCAGGCAGGGTAGCGACCGTATAGATAAGGCCCACATGATCACTTGGTTTCTCTCCCAGTCCTAGGATACCCCCCGTACAGACATTCAGCCCCGCATCCCTAACATTCTTAATGGTGGCCAATCGCTCATCGTAAGTCCTCGTCGTAATGACAGACGGATAGTGCTCCCTAGACGTATCGACATTGTGGTTGTACGCCGTGAGACCTGCCTCCTTTAACTCCTTGGCCTGCTCGAGATCGATCATGCCCAGTGTGACGCACACCTCCATTCCCATTTCTCGGACACCGTTCACCATCTCCTTGATATTTTTGAGGTTGGTTTTCCGCCCGCGCATGTCACGCCACGCGGCGCCCATGCAGAAGCGTGTGCTGCCGTTGTCTTTGGCGATTCGGGCTGCGGAGAGGACGGAGTCAACGGTCACCATTTTGGAGGCTTTGAGGCCGGTTTGGTATTTAGAGGACTGAGCACACTGCGAAGAGTTAGTTGAAATTCTGATCGACCAGTTGAATCGTCTCTGTGTGCAGAGTGATTGTTCGTAGAACTCACGTAAGAGCAGTCTTCACTGCATCCTCCAGTCTTGATATTCATGAGAGTACACATCTGGATCGAGGAAGGGTTGTGGAATTTCCGGTGAACTGTGCCCTGCTTGCTGTCAACGGGTACTCGAAACCTCCAGTGGAAAACGGCATACAGCTGCAAAAGCCAATTTCATCAATGACGTATCATAGATCTCTTTGATCTCCTCTTTCGTCCAGTTGTTCCTCGGCGCGTTGGCCTCGAGAGCATGATCAAAAATAGCCGACTGCGGGGTCGGCCCAGCGGAGACAGACGAGACAGTGCCATATTTCCTCACAAGAGACTGTGGCTTGGTCTCCTGGAGCAGAGCTCTGCAACTGGCAACAAAGAATTGAGGTCGGTGGCCACGCATGATGTTGTTGGTGAGTCAATTGACTCTTGATGGAAGTGTGTCGTGGGTTGTATATCGGCCAGAGGCTATTCGATGGTGGGGCAGCACCTCGGATGGATCGAGTTTAGGCGGGAAACGCCCCTGAGCCCGGCGATTGTTGAATGCCCCGCCCCGCCCCCTTGTTGGGAGAGCCTTCACTCGCTGAAATTTCTTGAAGCCTGCATCGTGCACGTGAGCTAACGCGCGCTATTACCATTGCCATCAAATAATACCGCAGGCTCGGCGCTCGGCTCGTCCAGAGGAACGGTTCCTTCCATTTTCTTTCAACCCAATCACAGTCTCGCTGCTCAGGGACTTCACGGTCGACAACATTTCATCTTCGAGCATAAGTGGAAGGTGGTGACAATACGAGAAGCTTCTCCAATTGGTATGAGGTTGGCATAAACGTTCCCGCTGGGTTTTGGTGGAACTTTACGGCTTCTTTGAAAAGGCGGGGCAACTCGGGGCATTGAATTTTCCTCGGACAAGTATATCTCACTTCAGATAGACGAAGATTCCCGGACAAAATCTATTCCAAAGTGTCCTCAAGCCGTAAAGTTCATGGCTTGCTTTCAAATCTAGAACTTTTCAAGAATAATAATACTAACAGGTGATAGAATCTCGTACCCAAGACTTGCCGAAAATGGCCTCCAAAACCTCTCTCCGGAGGACGCTCAGAGCCTACCAAATCTATGGAGCCAACACAAACGTCGGCAAGACGATAATGTCAACGATAATTTGCAAAGCCTTCAAGCGCCAATTCCCTTCTCAGAACGTGTGGTACCTGAAGCCTATTTCAACTGGCCCTTTGGATGAGGCGGATTACCGACATATTGCACGGTTCTCGCCGGAAACCAAGACAAAGTGTTTATTTCAGTTTGATGAGGCTGTGAGCCCTCATATTGCTGCTCGCTCTAGCAAGGTTTGGTCTTCAGTCTTCAGAAATTAATAAAAATATCTAATCACGTGACAGTATCTGTCCGACTCCGAAGTTCGTGACGAAGTCCTCGCACATCTTATGGCCTGTTCGGAAGCCGGAGAAGGAACATTACTTCTGGAGACAGCAGGAGGTGTCCATTCTCCCACTCCCAGTGGCAGTTCACAAGCAGATTTATATAGACCGCTCCGACTCCCTATTTGTTTAGTTGCAGACCACCATCTTGGTGGGATCTCTGCCTCGATCTCGGCTTTCGAGTCACTTCATATCAGAGGCTATGATTTAGATACCGTACTACAGTTTGAGGATGGAAAGTATCAAAACCACACCTATCTACAAGAGTATTTCGAGCAGAAGGGAATCTCCTCACTTTCACTCCCGCCACCACCACCCCGAGGACCAACCGAAGAAGAAGATCAAGAAATTATGTCCGATTACTACGAGAAGATGAGCAAACTCGACAAGGTCGAGGAAGCCATCTTCTCCTTATCCGAGAAGCACACAAAGCGACTAGAGAACCTAGAAAGCATGAGTACCAGAGCCAACGATACGATCTGGTACCCATTCACGCAACACCGCGATATATCCCCACAGAGTATCGTGACCATCGACTCCGCATCGGGGGATTTCTTTCAAACCTACACTCCCACCTCTAAAGCCGGTACGTTGATCCCGACATTCGATGGCAGCGCAAGCTGGTGGACACAAGGCCTCGGCCACGGAAATCCAGAACTGTCCCTCGCAGCAGCCTACGCAGCAGGCCGCTACGGACACGTAATGTTCGCAGGTGCAATCCACGAGCCTGCTCTCCAACTCGCGGAATCACTTCTCCACTACCTGAACAATCCACGTCTCCAAAAGGTCTTTTACTCCGACAATGGGAGTACGGGCATGGAAGTCGCTGTGAAGATGGCGCTGACGGCTTCATTTGAGAGATATAAGTGGGATGTGCCGAAAGAGGAGGTGGGTGTGATTGGGCTGAAGGGTAGTTATCATGGGGATACCATTGGGGCGATGGATGCATCTGAGCCGAGCACTTTTAATGAGCGAGTACATTGGTATAAAGGGCGGGGCTACTGGTTTGATTTCCCGCAGGTGAAGATGGTAAGAGGGAAGTGGATTGTTGAGCCGCCTGAGGGGATGAAGGCCGAATTTGGAGAAGTGACTGAGTTCGCTTCTTTGGCGGAGATCTTCGACATTCAGGCGAGGCTTGGATCGTCGGCTGGGCGGAAGTACAGTAAACACATTGAGGAGACATTGAATGGACTGATCAATAAAGAGGGAAAGACTTTCGGCGCGCTGGTAATGGAACCTGTCATCCTAGGTGCGGGAGGAATGCTCTTCGCGTAAGCCCCTGTTACCCTTTTCCATCTCAATTTACTTACATGTAACTCTAAGCGACCCCCTATTCCAACACCTCCTCGCCTCCACCATCCGCACTTCGCCTCTCTTCCCCTCTCCCCCTCACGCTTCACCGGAAACCTGGACCGGCCTCCCGGTAATCCACGACGAAGTCTTCACTGGCCTCTACCGCCTCGGCACCTTCACACCCTCCACCCTCCTCCAATCCCACCCCGACATCTCCGTGCACGCCAAGCTGCTAACCGGGGGCCTCGTCCCGCTCTGCTGCACTGCGGCATCGCAATCCATCTTCGACGCCTTCCTTGGGAACGAGAAGCGTGATGCGTTGTTGCATGGACATAGTTATACCGCGCATCCAGTGGGTTGTCAAGTTGCGGTGAAATCGATTGCGAAGATGGTGGGGATGGAGAACGAGGGTGCGTGGGATCACGCGAAGGAGGATTGGAAGAGTGGGTCCAGGCTTGCTTCTGTCTCCGATCAGGCGGTGCAGGCTTGGAGTGTGTGGTCGAAGGGGTTTGTGGGTAAAGTGTCGTTTTCAAGGGAGGTTGAGAGTGTGATTGCTCTTGGTTCGGTTCTGGCGATAAAGCTTCAAGATGAGAATTCTGGTAAGTATTCGATTTCAACCCTGCAAGAAACGGATACTTACAGGCGAATAGGGTATAGCTCAACAGCAGCCACTGGACTGCAGAAGAAGCTTTTGGAAGGATCAGACGGGTTCAAGATTCATGTTCGAGTTCTTGGGCATGTGCTCTACGTGATGGCTAGTCAGACGTCCAGGACTGAGGCTTTGCGGAGTATCGAGAAAACTTTGCTCGATGCTCTGTATTGAGGAAAGAGAAAATAATGTATATATGAGATGGAGAAAATGAGAAAGCAGTTTGTACACATATTGCAACACTTTCAGGCTCTAGAGGAATTCCTAAGATGAATATGGCTGGCAGTCGTTTATCTAGACGTTCTTCGATTTTTGCTATTGAATCGTGGTAGTTTTCACCGTGACCATCGTTCTACTAGCTGCTCCCGGTTTATATTCTTAGCTTGCAAGGCATGTAGTTCCACGGCGTCCAGACTCCTCTGCAAGTCCTGAACCTCGTGATCGAACTTCGAAACGTCTGACTCAACATCGGGATCAATCAGTCGAACTTTCCCATAAAGTGTCTCGGCCAACAGAGAATCCCGCAACAAGCCCAGCGTAATCTGAGCATCCAGCAAATGCGAAGAAATGGATGTCTCTGCCGTCGATTGCAGACTGTTAGCGTGACTCTCAAGCCTCGTAATCCTTTCAGAAAGCATCTTCTCAAGGGCCTCAACCCTGGCAGTATCAGAAACTCCTTCAGCTGGGAGAATGATACCCAAGTTTCTGGCCAGTTGCTGTTCTGGCTCGATGTCCTCATCGTGCCCGGATGATCGGCGTCGGGTTGTTCTGGCACGGATTGGGGATGTTTGAGAGCTTGACGATTTTCGTCTTCTCTGGGTGTTTGGTTTAGTCGGGCTCGAAGGCTTGGTTGTAGAAGGCTCTGGGCGTGCGAGCTCTTTCTTTGCGGAGTCGACTACAAATTGCAATGCCATTCTATGGCATTGACTCTCCTCAATGCGTTCTAGGAGAGTCTCGATTCGATTTACGAGGAATGTGAGACACTCACATATCTGGGAGGATGTTAGTCAGGTCTCGAGAATGGTAAGGGAAGCTTACATATTTCACTGCTTTCACAGACCGCTCTTGTCCCTGTCCATTAGTAGCGGCAATAGTTCTTAGAGCTGGTTCCAGATATTGCTGTTCTGCAGACATCTGAGCCACAGGAAGTATTTCTGAATACAGAGACTCGAGCTCTTCTTGTAGATCATTGACTTGGTTGTCCGAATCGTGTCCGTTTGAAGTATTCGATGATTTTAAAGTATCCAAATAAATTCGGTCCAGTCTCGTTCGTATGCCTTCTACTGTGTGCTTAATCAATCTGGATACGTTAGAAAAAGTATCTGACATTTCTTGCGAGACTGAATACCTTGCACACAAGTCTCTTATCCTCGCTATAGTATCATCATCTCCGGACTGCCCTGGATCGAGGTCACTGGCCAGCTTTTGTAAACTTAATAGTAGTTTGTCGTCCGATTTGAGGATATTATCCACGGTTTGCCTCACACCCGCATCCGTAGCCTTGGATTGTTGTTCTAGATCCACAATTTGGTACTTAAGGCTTTGCGACAATTCCTCAATCTAATGTATATTAGACAATACTATCCGCAGGGGAGATGAAGGCCGTACGGCAGCATTGATATGACCTTTCTCCACTTCCCATTTCCTGACTTGGCCTTTCTCAGTATGTGCACGCGTCTGGCTAGTCCTTTTATCGTTCTTGACCAGCGAAGCCATAGCATTCTGCTGTAATCGCAACGCTTCGGTTTGCTTTTCGATAGCTGCCGTCGATCTTTTTAGCTCTTCGATTGCATTTTGGATCTCCTGGTGAGTGAATGCTTGAGCAATAGACAGGTCTTGGGCTGCCAAAGCTTCAACCTGTCCATTCTTCAATAGGGTAGCGTATCTAGCTCAAATCAGCATCGGCAATTTGTAATTTGAAAGATATCTCACAGAGCGGCTTCATCTCTAGTGAGGAGCGTTTCAGGAGTCAGATATTCTTGAATCCACGTTTGAATAGCGGTCTGGTTGTCCGGGTCATTGAATGCAGCTTTGATAGCATCTCGATCATGCGGCACATCTCGATCGCGCAGTATCGAAAGGAGGGTCTGGTAGGAATCTTCTGCCATGGTGGTTGAAAAGAAGGCTGAAATAGTGCCTTGTAGATCGTGTTGTGTTGATCGCGCGAAAGGCGCGCCCAAACCTCAGCCTTTCGTCTCGGCAAGCAAAATTCCGTGACCCCTCCGATCCGGGCCGAGGGAGACCACTCTATGAAGAACAAGAAGAGTGTTCCGAGTCAAAGCAACTTCCTTTTCTTAAATTTCATATATATCTAATAGTATGGCTGGGGATAATGGCTCCACCAGCATTGCATCAGCTACCCTGGAAGCCTTCAAGTTGGTCTGCAACTGCGCCATTGACTGGATGACATCGGCAAGGCTGATAATTTACAGGTTGCCCGCCTATCATGGCACCGGAATTTGACTGCATGGGTTTTCATACCAGTTGGGGTTTTGGTTATCCTTTTGGCATGTTTTGGAGTCAATTCTCTCATTGGACTAAGCTCTGTATCTTTCCCAGCTTCAGTTGCGTGCTTGCTTGTTCTGTTTTTGGCCCTGATTGTATTGGATATGATCATTGGAGACCGGAAAACAAGAGCCGTTGTCAATATTATTGACGTACCAGTAAGCATTCCGTTGTTCTACATAAGGATATTTTCTGAATATTTGGTATGAAGGCTGGATTTGCTCTTCGATGGATAAATATCTTTTTCACGCCTTCGTATGTGTTCCTCCCAACCCCCTTTCACTCTCTAGACGCTGAATAGTACAGCTTCGTTCTGCTCCCATTGAGTCCTCCGATTGGGGGTGTCGAAGTGGCAAAGATCATAGCAGTATTCCGTAAGTAAGATCTCTTGCTTGAACCCAGAGCCCATTATTCGGAATTTTACCTATATCTAATCCTCCTTCAAGTCATTGGGTTCTTCGTGGTTTTCATAGCCACGGCCTGCATAGCAAGATTTCTACACCTGATCTCGGGCACTTCAAAAAGAGCAATAACCGAAAGAGCAGAAGAGATGGGTGACGAATCTGATGCAATTCCTCTCGCAGACTCAACTCCAAGAAGGCAAAACTCCGAGACCACTCTTACAAGCGGCTGGAGCACACCTGGCTTCCCAGGCCTCCCAGATGACTCGACCAACGACTTGATTGCACCTCAACGAGCTCAAGATCCCTCTCGAATCCGAGGTACCGGTGGCCCACCAGAGAGCGATACCCCAAATCAACATGTTGCCCGGAGTCAGATCTTGCAAGCCCCTCTCCCACTCACCCGTCCGCAAAGATGGGCAGCGTTCATCAACCTGAATTTCGATAGACTTACATACCTCTTCCTCTTCCTCTTCATCGGACTTCCAATCTACTACTCAACCGGCTATGCCATGCCAGCACAGCTAACCTTCAACATCCTCGCCTACTTCACAGCTCTGTCTCTCCCCGCTCGATGGAGACAATTCCTGCATCCGGTCTTGGTCTCATCCGGGATTACAATCCTCGGAATCTGGATCCTAGGGCTCATCCGCGGCGACAGCCTAAACACCAGTCTAAGTGCCTACAAAACGGGCACAAACTACCTCGACCTCTGGCACGGTGAGAAACAGCTCAAAATGCCAGGAACCGGTGATCTCCTCGTCAGTGCCCTTGATGCAAGCATCGTTGCACTCGCTCTCCCGATGTTTTCCTACAGAATGGAACTTAAGCGGCATTTTTTCGCTATTGTGATTCCAAATGTCGCTGTCTCAATAGGCTCTCTCTTTGGATATCCTGTGGTGTGTTATGCTATTGGGATCTCTGCAAGACGGAGTCTTGCGTTTGCGGGACGCAGCTTGACGCTTGCTCTTGCTACGCCAGCGGTTAAGAATCTGGGTGGCGATGCGAATACTGTCGCTGCGTTGGCGATTATGAGTGGGATTCTTGGGGCGCTGATCGGCTCCAGGGTGCTGGATTGGTTGAAGATACCTGAAGGTTCGTGCTGCACTCTCTTTCCACCGACGTAGATATTCCAGGATGTTCACTTGCACTTGCACTGCGGCATTTCTTGATGTCTGCAACCATGAACCCCTGAGGCGGCCTCCGTGATTCGGCTGAATGGCGGAAATTGCTGGAAACCACTGACAAAGAAAAAGACGACTATGTGACTCGAGGTGTCACACTGGGAGGGAACTCCTCAGCGATCGCAACAGCAGTCTTGCTGGTTTCAGACCCGCGAGCAGCAGCACTATCAAGTCTAAGTATGAGTTTGTTCGGTATCATTACTTTGGCTTTAACATCAGTTCCTGTCATAGTCAAAGCGATTGACTCGTTAGTTGACTTGTAAGGAAGGGCAGATACCCAGTAATTGAGATCATGACATCGATATTTCATACTCAAGCACTTTTTAGATATTGACACAACTGTGAATACAGCCAACTGCTAGGATCTGAATGTCCAGCAATAGAGAAACCAGCCTTATCAACACACTATTTAGCCCAAAGCAAACGTCCCAATAATACTCAGACAGCTGCTCATTCCAATCTGAACAGTCATCAGTAACCACGAATCGGACAAAAGGCGCAAGTCTTACCTCTCAATCAAGTGCAGCCCAGAAGCAGTCTCAACAACGCGACTAACGTCTCCTGGTTTCAGTTGGAAGGCAGCATCCTCGAACTCCTTTTGCATGTCGCCTTTGCCAAAGAAGCCCAGATCTCCCATCTTTCTCGCACTGCTGCAATCTGATTCGCTCACAGCAAGCTGTCCCAAGGATGTCTGACCACTTCGGATGCGAGCTTCGTGCCCAAGGATGATGCTCATAGCCTCCTCCTTTGTGCGCTTAATCTCGGCCTAGTAGTCTGTCAGTGATGAGAACTCTAAAAGCTTCGAAATGTGTAAAAGTACCTCGCGCCAGCTGCTGGGACGCCGGCTATCCTTATGCTTCACCAATAAGTGACTTGCCCTGATCTTGCCATTATTCCCGGGATTGCCGTTCGCCCCTCCAGCTTCGGGTCTGATCTCAGGCGCACTGTGGTGCTCAGCCATGTAAGTCTTGAGTTTCTCGGTATCTGTTCCTGGCGGTGGTTCCCATCGTGACAGCTTTTGTGATTCGTTGAAGTAGTAAGGGAGATTCTTCGAATTCGAGTGGCGGACTTCCCAGCCAGCGGGCAGGCCTGCGTCTGCCTTTTGCATCTGTCAGCAAGCTTCGATGTTGTTTGGGGGCAAGTATAGAGGAAGTAAACAAACAGTTAGTGAAGCATGGCACATACCATTTCGTGGAACGCGAGGACTTGATGAGGGTGTGCTTCTGAGAGGAGGATTGACACTGAAGAGGTTGCCTTTGAGGTTGTACAAAGGCGTTCGGGTTGATGGAGGGATGTTGAAATGTGCTGCAGGAACATTGAGGGCAGTCCGAGGGTCACAGGACCTTCGCGGGGCTGCATTGCGCTTGCTTGATTCGGCGATAGCAGGCCGGGAACCAGGGTGCCGGCGCAGACTCTAGTACCGTGTACCTTTCGCCGCCTCATCCACAGATCTGAATCACAGCCATCTTTTGATACATTCAAAGAACAACGCCAGCACCACAGCTACATATCCTCGTGGAGGGATCTCGACTGAGAATCGCAAACGCTTCCAAAAGCAACAACTTCCCCCATCCCACCGAATCCACAACTACACCCACCTGCAACACCGACAATACCTTGAAAAGACCCCCACCATGGCCACCCCCGAACCAAGCACCGTTGACGAGACCAAGAAGATGGAACAGATCACCTTTCGCTTCTGCAGCGAATGGTAAGTTATATCCCCTCCATGGCACAATATAAGATGCTAACTGCTCATAGCTCCAATATGCTGTACCCGAAAGAAGACCCCGAGAGCCACCGACTGAACTTCGCCTGCCGAACGTGCCAATACTCCGAGGAAGCCACCTCGTCCTGTGTGTTCCGGAACATTCTCAACAACGCCGTCGGTGAGACTGCTGGCGTGACTCAAGACGTTGGATCGGATCCAACTGTGGGTTTACCTCTCTGTTTGTTATGTGGCTCTGTCATCCTGTGTGAAGGCCGCCAGGCTCGAGAAGAGGTGGATAGTGCCGCAGAGGAAGAGTCGCACTAGGAGAGAGGCGCTCCGACATGGAGGTTGAGGTGTTGAGATGATGTTAAAAGGCTCTCAAAGACTTCTACTGACATTCTTATGACTTTTAGCTTCCTCGGTCGAATAAGACTTGCCCGAAGTGCAAGACGGAGGATGCAGTGTTCTTCCAGTCTCAACAGAGATCTGCGGAGACTGGAATGGTGAGTACCCCCAAGACTTAAGCGTAATACTTTACTAACTGCGCCTAGAAACTCTTCTATGTGTGCTGCGGGTGCGGTCACATCTTCTCATGATACCCCCGTTTTGGCGATTATTGCATTCTGTTTTCTTGTGTTGCGGCGTTCAGTGGATCTGGATCTAGACAAACGGAGTTTGGAGTGGGCTCCCATCTCAAAACAGAGACATAGCATGGGAGGAAAGATCTCATATTTTCAATGACAAAGGTGTCAAACGCCGTTTCTCCTATGCTCTTTACCCATGATTTCTATACATATTCCTACAAGTGCATCGGTGCCAGTGATAATATCTTTGACCATTTCATCTTCCTCAACTCGGTCCCAACAACACCTAACAGGGAGTGTTAGCAAGAATCCAGCCAAAGCATACATGCAACCTCACCATTCAACCGCGTCCCTATCGGTTCTCCCGCCTTATTGATCAAGACACACGCATTATCGTCGAACTTTACAACACTGCCGTCAGGCCTCTGCAGCTTCTTTGCCGTCCGAACCACGACCGCATGCCTTAGATCCCCTCTTCGCACCTTATTCGCAGCTGAGGTAGAGACGCTTGCACCTGGGCCTGACTCCGGACCGAAATTCCGTTGCTTTTGTACCACGACAATGATGCGATCACCTAGAACTGAACTCAGCATCACTTCGAAGCTTGTTTATAACAATAGTCGTACCAATCTTTGCGTGACGCTTCATCTTCATGACATTCACGCATTCGACAATCGCAGCGCCGGAATTGTCGATGCAATTCAGCATCGTCTGTGAGCTCCAGTTAGCACTTTGCACCAAAGGCTGAGCTGATGTGAATATTCAGACCTTTAATTGTATCATCGTGAGATCATGTTACGCTGAATTCTGGGAGAGCTCGCTGTCGGATTGCGATTTCAAAAGTTCACGTGGCTGTTTCCGGATTAGCCTTGCGCCTTACTTAAGCGCATGGCGCCCAGCCTCCCATTAAACCACCCCTACGGTAAGTGATTTCTCACAATATGATCCTACTATTGTTCATTTACTATTGTCATCTTCTGTTAGGCCTTCAATGGATCTGACATTTTGGATATTTAAATCATTTTCCTCGTATTTTTGCCCACTGTCGTTTATCAAACTTTCTCACACATACATGCACGCTGTCTACCCCTTGTATCGATTTGAGACCTGCAGCTGAGCGGAGAAGAGAAGAGGAGGCTGCGCCAGCAACAAGGTCAAGACGGACCCCGAGGCCAAGTAGCTTACCTTGTGTAGACTGGAGGAGTTCGGGAACGATAAATTCACTCCTTCAAATTCGAACGGCTGTGAGAGAGTTCTTCCATTCAACGCCACTACCTATCTTACTCATTGCTCCACCACAGCTCCTCAGCATATTTCCATGATTGCACTCGTCGCATAAGCACTTCCTAGTTTCGCAAATCTTCGCCATGGCTCCTGGAAACACTTCACCGAAGAAAGAGCGCCTCACACTTGCGCAATTAACGTCTTATGACGACATCTTGACAGATGCCCTGGTAGATCATGTAAGTTCCCCCTTATCCACGTCTCTCGTCCGGATCCTGATGTTCGGGCCAGGTCTATTACTGGACGAATATTCGGAAGAACAGAAACGCATATCATTCATCCCGAGGAATCAAGGAGGATGAGGTTACTTCGATTCTCCAGAAGCGAGTTATTATCGAGAAGGACCCGGCGAAGGCAGAGCTTGAATTGCTTGCCCTAACTGGTCTCAAGAAGTTCTGCGACGCCCTGAAAACCGAGAAGGAGAAAGATGACTTCCGGAAGCACCTGAGAAAATACATAAATATGTACCTACCCGATTGTCCTTTCGAAGTTGCAAGTACGAATCGATACACGGTTGTTACTCAAGAGGCGTCAGTCACAGCACGGCAATTCATAAAGAAGGGGCAGGTCGTCAAATACTTGTGCGGGATCCAAGTGATTATGACTGAGGAAGAGGAAGAAATGATCAAATCAAGCCGACGAGATTTCAGCATTGTCGTGTCGAGTCGCAACAAGTCAGCCTCCTTGTTCCTGGGACCAGCCAGGTTTGCAAATCATGATTGTGGCGCCAACGCTCGACTTATGACGAGTGGAAGTGCGGGGATGGAAATTCTTGCTGTAAGAGACATCGAAATTGGGGATGAAATTACAGTTTCATACGGTAAGTCCAATACTGCCTCGATTCCATGGAAGTGAGCTTGCTAATAGCCTCAAAAGGGGAGAATTATTTCGGCGATGACAACTGCGAATGTCTCTGTGAAACCTGCGAAGACAACTGCGAGAATGGCTGGTCTGCCGGAGCAGATGGCGAAACTAAAACGATTCCCAAGAAGTCGATCGAAGAGGAGACCTCGAGTTCTTACTCATTCAGAAATAGGCGACGACTAGGCTCTTCCGTCTCTTCTCGGAATCAGTCCGAGACCCCAGAAGTCAATATTCGGCCACACGTTCCCAAGAGAACCCCGCGGTCACTCTCCCAGTTCAAGAATCAGGAATCTTCACCCCTTGGCAAATCGCCCTCTCGAGAGCCGAGTGAAAGCGCCGGGACTGAAACTCCACGGAAGAGAAAGAGAGAGCTTGATAATCTGCTCACTCCATCACGACAATCCAAGAAAGCCCGTCCGAGTCCTCTTGTCAAAATGGAGTCCAACCCATGCTTCTCACCGCCCATGAGCTCGAATCAATCCCCATCCAGCTCAGTTCAAGGATCTCGGCTCACCAGCCTTTCACCATCAGGTACAGATGGCCAAAACAGCACCGATGCTACCTCTGTCGATGAAGATACCATTATTGTCCAACCCCGAATCGTCAGTCCCACGGTATCGAGATTGAGACGATCCCGTGCCACGAAGCAATCACCGCTGGAGCAGGCCAAGTCAGGGGAGCCAATCCTAGTCGGGAAATCTACAGAATCATCGCATCCAGTTATCCAAGACGATTCAGACTCGCTTCTGTCCGAGCTTAACAGCGAAATGTTCGACTTTGACGACCAACCCACACCCTCAAAACCCAAGGAGATCAAGAAAGAAGTCGAAGAGGAAGACGCCATCAACACTACGCCGAAAGCCAACACTACTCTGAAGAAGAAAAAGAGCAAGGGAACGTTCCAACCAAAGACAGACTCTGACCACGCTCCACCTGTTCGAAAGCCAGGGGACTATGTTCTCACGCATCGTCTTCTGGCTGAGCCAACATCGGCGTGGATCAACTGCAAGATTTGTGAGGAACCATTTGTCCAACAAAACGCGTATTTCACTCGCTCATCGTGTCCGCGATGCGAGCGACATAGTAAACTGTATGGATACATGTGGCCTAAGACGGACAAGGAAGGGAAGGACGACAAGGAGGAAAGAGTCCTTGATCACCGGACCATCCACCGTTTTGTCCGACCATCCGAAGAGCGGACCATCCGCAAGAGAAATCGCAGTGAGACCGAAAGCCGTGCTGTGACCAGAGAGATTAGCGAGCTTGTTGTCGAGGAAGTGGTAGAGAAGGGGCGGAAGAGAGCGAAGAGGAGCCGTATTACGATGTGAGAAGATATGGATCGGTGTTGTTTTTGAGCGAGCATGAGCATTTGATGATATGGTGGCGTTTACGGTGGCATGGATGGGTTGGAAGCTTTGCATAGCCTGTATCAACACGGGCGATTTGTAACAATAAACTTGGGAGAAGAGCCTAGATTCAAGGGATGTACAACACATAGGGTGGACGTCGTACCGGTTGCTATCTGGTTGGATTGCGGATTTGGGAATGAAGATGTTGAGAGGACTTCTTCAAATTTACTAGTGAAGTGTTATCAATTGTATCGTATTGCAACGCACCTTACATGACGCCTCCGTCGGGCACTCTTTTTCTCACTTCCTCATATCCCTTCCAGCCCTCCTCTCAATTTCGCACAAGTCTTTGCATGGAGGACGCCTGTGCCTGTCAACCCAGCTCCTTCCCTTCCTGCCTCCATGCTTTCGTGAAAGTGGCACTAACTCCGCCAAAAGCTACACCTGGCAATCTCAGAGACACGCAACAGCACACGTAAGAGCAAGATACACTTCCACAAACCTCTACATCGTCTTCCCCTCCCTCGCCCTCTCAAAATCCTCCGCAAACCTCCCCCAACCCCCGGCGGGCTCAGCACTCATCCTCAGCTCATGCACCACAAAGTCATACCACCCCTCCCCGGGCAAGCGTCCACCACAAACATTCCCGCCCATCGCGACATTCAAAATAACCCTCCAATCACTAATCCTCCTCGTGCCCCTCGGAATCCCGGCCTTCATGACCGGCCGCCCATCAATATACCACACCAGCCTGCCTCCCTCCCCGTTCCCCGGCTGATCCCACGCCAACTCAAACGTATGCGCCCTCTGCCCCATATCCGGAATCGGCGTCTCCACAACGCGATGCTTGTCCCAATCCGCGCCGTTGTAATGCCCCCAGTGCAAACAGGAATGGTTCACGCAGTCCCCGTTCCAGCTCTCGAAGATGTCGATCTCGCCGTCGTCGGGCCAGGTGAAGGGTTGCGAGGGGAGCAGCCAGAACGCGGGCCAGATCCCGGGTGCGCAGGGCGCGGTGAGCGTTGCGGAGAGGGAGCCGCGTTGGCGGTCGAGCGTTTGGTGGGAGATGAGGCGCGCGCTGGTGTACTTGTTTTCCGGGGAGGAGTCGCAAATTGCTCGTAGGACCAGCTTGTTGTCGGGTGTGAAGAAACAGTTGCGGGGGTCGGTGGTGTAGTTTTGGGATTCGGCGTTGCCCCAGCCGTGGGCGCCGGTTTCCTGTTGGAAGATGGTGGAAATGGGGGTTTGGGGGTTGAAGGCAGCTTGCCAGTAGGGAGATGTGGAGGGAGAGGGCCGCGTTGAGGCGGGTATGAATGGGGAGGGGGTGCGTTGGGGCTTGGTTGAGGAGGGAATCGGCGGTGGTTGTCCTCCGTATTGAGGTTGATACTGGGGCTGGTACTGAGGTTGCTGATGTTGAGGCTGAGACTGATACTGGGACTGATACTGCTGTTGATATTGAGGTTGAGGTTGAGGCTGAGGGCGATTATTGGTCAATTCATCTAGCTTTGCTTTCCCTTTATTAAAAAGGCCTTCGAGGGTATGTTGGAACGACATTTTGTTTGTGTGAAGAAGAGAGAGCAAGCTTCCAAGAAATTGTCCTCGTTACCAGCTGGTAAGTGACGTACTTCTCGCCTTATCGGGATCAAAAGTGCGTTGCGTGCTCATAATTGCGCATACGCCTGATCATGGGAATTTTAAACTTGTAGTCCTGTTTACAACGATATCAGCTGCGCCCAAATCTAGCGCACTTCTGGACTTCATTACTCTCCTCGCTGTCATGTGTTACTTCAAGCAAGCTTACTATAAAGCACAAATTAGGGAGAGTATAACTAGATTCAAGAGGTGAGTCTCTTCTTCATGCTATGAGATTAAGAGCAGCTTTGAAGACACCTTCAAGATCTTCAAAATGGATTGGAATTAATTAAGGATGTGCTGCGCCAGAAGCTAAAAACGGTATCCCAGTCCACAAGGCCTGCAAATGCAAGAACGCCTGGCCAGGAGCTTGCCCCAAGTTCCGGGTTGACCCGGACGATGAAGTTGCAGTATAATTGACATTTAATCCATGTACAAACTCACTTCGGATTATATGAGACGGAGATGTTCGACAATCTATAGTCCTTTCGCGAACTGCATACCAAAAGAGGAGATGTTAGAGCGGAAGCGTGCGGCACAGGAATCGTTTGTCGTGTTCACAAAACTCTGCGTTTTCGGACACGTAGGGCATAAGCTTGGGAAACCTTTACCTAGAAATCACTATTGCTTCGTTCCGCTTTCCTGGAAGATTTTTTGCTTCGCCCTGCTGTTGGGCTATTTTTGAAGCTCCGGTATCTTCGGGAGCGGGGTGCCTTACTCGTTACAAGCCCACCCTCAAAGTCCGTGTTTTTAGGGCATTTCGCTAAGAAGCGAATGCCAAACCCAATTTTGTGCCTTTTATCTTATTCTCTAAATCGCTTTAAAAGAGATTTAAAACTCACTCTAGCTTCTTTAATCATATATATATATATATTATAATAGGTTACAATTAATAGTTATTGTATATTTGTCAAGTGAAGTGGGAGACTTTGGTTTTGCGATACCTGAAAATATCGCTAAAAACACGGACTTTTGAGGCCGGGCTCGTTACGAGTTAGCGAAGTAGAAAAGGGGTTCCAGTCACCTACCGCCTGTGTCAGCGTTTTGGGCCCGTCAAATGGGCTGAGGGACCAGTTATTTCTGCTGACACTTGCAGGATTCCTTTAGGATCACAACGTCAAGAATGTGACCAAGACTTCATATCATGTCGGGTATGAATGCTGAGAGGTCCAACGCGGCAATCAGCTGGCTCACGCTTGTCGGCTAGGATCTTCGCGTTCTCTTCAGCTAGCAGAAGTAATACAGTGTAAGATGTATCCTGGGATGAGCGGAACTCTTCGGAGTGAAAGAAGAGACTCGCAATCAGATTTTCTATTTCTTCAATGTCGAGAAAAGGAAAATGTTCATCAAGACTGATGGGGTGGTAAGTGCATAGCCTAGGATCTGTAGCTTCCAAGCAAGCCAATTATTGTTCTCCAGCCATAGACATCCTCTGTTGGAATGTAGTTGTAGACTGTTGCCACTGCTGCTGAGTTTCGGATATGTTTTGGTTCCACGGGTAAGGATGGATTCGATCTCGTCGATCATCCAAAGGCACTTGCATCGCCATCCCTGTCTCGCCTTTCCTCTGCCCGGCACAGTCTGTCCCCTTTGCCCAGAATTTACTTAAACGTTGAACTGTACAGTCACTTACAAAATCAGCTTCGTCCCCTTTCGCCCAAAAAAATTCTGAGCGCAGACCAGCCCGGCCACTTTTGGTGCTGAGACTTGTTCGTATGTGTCATCCCATGTACTCTACAGTACCAGGCCACTATATCGATTTTGGAAGGAAATACTTTCTGACCACAGATGCGAGCAAAACTGGCTTCCCCTTTGTGCGCAGCGGCTGGAACTTTTACCTTGCTAAGTCTATAGAAGTAATAATTTTAGAAGTCACATAGGTTTGAACTTTTTGATGGGGTAGCACGGGGCATAATAATATGTGCTTGTATGACACAGCACATGATGGAGTACATCTTACAAGTATTTGGCGTCGCGCTGCGCGCTCCGCTTCTGAGCATGCTAAAGATACCATTATTAAGTAGAATAAAATAATTGAAATGAAGTGGTTATATTACTGTAATATATGGATAGTTGAAGCCTCCTTAAATGTTCTTGGAGTAGTTTCTAGAATATACTAAATACGTCGGGTGGCAACATTATATAGTAAATAAAGATTAGCTCCCCTAGGACCCTCTCTATCAAAGTTATTATAATAATATATATATATTAATATTGCAAAAAGTAAGGAACAGTGATTTTGCATAAATGGTTGTCTGATTAGAAGCTCGCAAGGAGCCTCTGGATCTAGCTAAATAATGGGGAGCTGCTGAGTAAGCGAAGCTAAGCTCCCTAGTACCCGTATCCATACGACAATTAATATAATAATTTCCGAATTATGGATTATTATAGTGTCTTGCGCCTTTCTCTAGCAGCAACTTCACCACCGCCTCGTGCCCCTTCTCTGCAGCGCATGACAGCGGTATTCGACCAACAAACTCGTCTTTGGTCTCTAGCTGGGCACCTTTCTCTAGCAGCAGCTTTACCACCGCCTCGTGCCCCCTCTCTGCAGCCCATAATAGCGGTGTTCGACCATAATCCTTGTCTTTGGTCTCCAGCTCAGCGCCTTTCTCTAGCAGCAGCTTTACTACCGTCTCGTGCCCATTCTCTGCAGCCCATGACAGCGGTGTTCGACCATAATCCTTGTCTTTGGTCTCTAGCTCAGCGCCTTTCTCTAGCAGCAGCTTTACCACCGCCTCGTGCCCATGCTCTGCAGCCCATGACAGCGGTGTTTGACCATAATCCTTGTCTTTGGTCTCCAGCTCAGCGCCTTTCTCTAGTAGCAGCTTCACCACCGCCGCATGCCCCTTCTCTGCAGCCCATGATAAAGGTGTTCGACCATAGGTATCCTTGGAGTCCAGGTCATGTCTATTTTTGAGCAAGGCCATCGCCGTTTCTACCCGTCCGAAGTATGCTGCAAGGTGTAATCCTGTCATTCGCCTTGGCACAATCTGACTGTAGCCGCTGGAAGCCATCATAGCCTGGCTAGAGCTAGATACCTTGGCTCCACTCTCAAGCAGTCGTATAATCAACTGTTCCACCTCCGCCGAAGCTGTGCGACCATGATATCCCCAGTTACGTGCAGCGTAGTCATAGAGCGGATTCAACCTGAGCCGCTCCTCAAACTCGGCGTTCGTTTCACAAAACCCGCTCTCAAAGACAGAGAACGAAAGGTAGGTGACGCAAATTGCTATGATATCATTCTCCGCATTTGGGAACCATTGGTCTTGTGTCTGCTTGAAGTATTCCTGTGTTGTATAATGGACCAGTCTGATGATATCAGTCTCTTCATCGACCGTGACCAATCCGGCACACACAGAGACCATGTCTTCAATCTGTGTGAGGTTTCCCTCGTCAAATTCGGGCTTGCCAACCTCTACTGCAAGGGCGTGCTGAAGCTCCAATGTAGTAAGGTGCCTTTTAGTACAGATGATCCACGACAGAATACGCTCTGCAAGCTCCCGAGAATCTGTATCTTGCGCTTTGATTCGCTCCATAGCGTCCTTGTACGCGTGATTATATGCTTGGGAACCTGTTGGAAGGCCTTCCAAAGCCTTTTCGACTTTATTGGGTGTTTTCTTCGTTCTTATAGAGTCGAAATAGAGGTGTGCTAGGAGAAACCTGGGCGAATATTAGTTTGGTAGTCCACCAAAACAACATTAGGAATAGACGTTTATTCCACTAACTGCTTTTGTGATCTCAGTTTTGATTTTTTCACAGTAGGTCTTTAAAAGCTTCGATTCCGATTGTGATATACGGCCATCCAGATATTTTCGCACATCTTCATCATGGGCACGGATCTCTAATTGCACGCTACCATTGAACTGATCAATAATCTGTGGAATGGGCCTCGAAGTTGCAAAAATGTTCACTTCGTGCCGTGTCTGAAGGCTGAAAAGCTCTGACAGAAATCTCGCCCGGCTATCATCAGATACTTGGCATTTATCAAGTGCGTCGACGATAATAAAGGCTCTCGAATACATTTTTGCTACAGATTGGAGAACTCCCAAGATCTCGTCGAGTAATGGCCGTGTTCGCTTTGTCCTATGCTGATCATAAAGATCTTTTACGCTCCCTGGCAGAGAAGACTGGCCCTGAGCTAATTGTATTAGCAGACTCGCCATTAAGTCTTCGATCTTCTGCGTGCCTTGCTGCTGGAAGTTGCAGTAGATATACGCCACGCCAATGGCTGGGTCGCTAGAAGCCCGTGTATCGAGGTCATTAACAACGATAGCTGTGAGGATTGTCTTTCCTGCTCCTGGAATGCCTGGACAGAACAGCGTCTGCTTTTTGGTCTTTAGCCATGCTTGGTACTCTGCTGAATCTAAGAGCCATTGGCCAGTTCCTGGTTGTCGCCTCTTTAGGTAGTCGCTCTGCTGGGGGCCGTAATTAATCGGGGTAAGCCAATTAAGGATCTTTATATCTTTATTATTATTTAACTTATATCTCATCGTTTCAAGATGTGCTTCAGTCCTAGACGTATTGTGAAGAACTAACATAATATTAGCAGTCACAAGACTTGCAGACGCTACAGAAGAACTAACTATGCCGAAGAGTTTCTCCAATCTCCTTCTCAGCTTCGATTTTATTAGGAGGAATGCGACAGAGAAGATCTTTCGCATATGCCGCCGCAGCCATCGCTGCATAGCCTTGCCATTCTTTGTTCTTATGCGAGTCTGAGTAGTCGCATATGCCCCGGATAACCAGGCACGGGAAGTGGCTCATCAGCCCTGCCGCTTCCATCTCAAAACACAGAACGTCCATTTCCGCTGCAAGTCGATCTCGAACCGTAGCATCTTTCATTAACTGGTTTGCAGACGCAATCAGGCCGTAATGAACTTCTAGGTTATCCTCATCTTCGCTTCGTTTAGGTCGCAGAACTAACTTTGATGGATCATTGCCACAGACTATCTCACAGCTTGTTGCATCGTTCGCCGGGTGGGTGATTTCTGATCGATAGAGCCTTTCGTTGCTCGGATCTGGCCGCTTGTACTTCTTATGTAGCCTTGGGTTCTCTTGAATAGCATGGCTAATAGCCGTTTCGAGCTGATGCCCTTTTAACTCGTACCGTGCCTTGAGTCCGTTCATTGCAGTTCGCAAGATCGCTGGTGGCTGATTCAAGAACCCCGTGGTTTGAAATCTCTGATCTTGTATCGTCTTGCCGAAGTCATACTGGAATACGCCACCCTTCCCATCACGCGGGGCGCTCACCACAATGTCGCCAAGATGGATGTTGTGCGTCGGGCTTGGCGCACCGCCGCCGATGCCAACCATCAGACCGATCTTAATATTCGGGAAGCTGTGCAGCATGTCTCTTGCCACCATCGCCGCAGAAGTTGTGCCGTACTCCCCGTCAGGTAAGACGGCAATAACGACGTTGTGTCTCCCAACTTTGCCAAGTGTATAATCGTTGTTGTCATTCGGGGACACATATTCGGGTCCATCGTGGATTTCGTCGAGGAAAGCTTGCGCAGCAACGTACTCCGTGCTTATGGCACATATCCAGCCGACGGTATAGTCTTTAGAGTTCGACATACCCGCTCGCCGGGGATATGATGAAAGGTTGGCCGGACGTGAGAGCTATTCAGCTCGAAGCAAGTGGGTTTTGGTTAGGTTCGTTTGGTCGGAGGGGCTTCCTCTATAGATTCGATTGGCAGAGCTTCCTAGAATAAAATCAACTGCGCAGTGTCACTAATCCTTGCAAAGGAAAGCAAATGATTGCGAAAATGTAAGAGAAAGGAGAATGGATTGAGAGGGTAGATGTCGCGGATTCAGCCTCACGGGGCTGAATCCTGCGGGGTTGGTGTGCACACCTGCAGCTGCGCAGCACTTGCCATGGCACCTCCAATGAATGGCTTGCGGCCACATAGAACCAGAATAGAACAGAAAGATATCGAATCTTCACCGTGAAGCTCTTGCAGAGAAGAGCATAGATAAGAAGCCATGTTAGAATAGAGTTCGGGGCGTGAGATATGTAGTAGCAGGAATGTGGCGATCTTCCAGCCCGACCAAAATGATCGGCGCAAGGGTATCTCCGCGCGTCCGGAGGCTGAATCCGTCCATGTTTCGTCCACACTACGAAGGCGGCGGGCATTAAAATCCGTTCAACTCGCTAAGCGAGGATTTGGGAAGTCTAGGGGCTATGCGGTTATAAATGTCTCGCAATTTCTCCCTAAAATTAATCGTTATAAAAATCTTGGAAAAGATTAATGTGCTATTTTTCTATTATATAACACTCTTATGGAAAATTTTAGGCGTTGCGTTGGGGATTAGTGCCACTTTCCGCACAAGGCAATTTTGGTGTTCTTGCGCGCACTCTGTAGATGGACGATTTTCAACGCCCGTCGCCTTCGTAGCCAGCTATTCGTGATGTTAAGCGCAGCTCTGTTGTACTTAATCGAGGTTGCCCAGGTATTGTGAGTTACTTCGGGGTACACGGGATGACAAAGGAGCTACAGCGTAGCGCCAAAAACAGACGAAGCTCACAATTTTTTTCACACGAAAAGGTGCGAAGTCGATTTTGCAAGCGACTGTACGGTAGAACCTCGATGTAACGATATCCTTGACAGTACGATACAGCCGTAAGGTCCCACGTTTTTTAGCCCTAGGCTTACGATATACCCCCCACAACGACTATCGTAAGAATTTATCATCCGGAGATTCTTTTTTTGGTGTAATATCGTTCTAATCGTCCAACCCAATGCATTAATTCCTCTCTTCCATAGGGCCTTCTACCCCCCAAACCCCAGTAATTCGGAGTCGCAGACTATCGATCTCACTGTTTCACAGCCTGCAGTGTTTACCACTGATTCTACAGGCCCTCGGCAGCCTAAAAAGCGTCGAGGAGCAATTACTGAAGAGATTCTTTATTAAAAGCCTGATTAAAAGTAAGGTTTTGACTTGTCAAAGCGAGGTTTTAGTTACGCGCGGTGGGCTGGTGTGGCAAAAAACACACGTGACATTGAAAATCCAATGCCACGTGATTTGTAAAATGGCTTGGACCGGCTCAACAAACTCAATCCCAAAATGTACACAGAGTACGGCAAATTTCCCGGTTGGCCAGTGGAAACTCCTAAACTCGAGGAAGAGACAAATGACGATTTGTCTTATTATCTGCAGATCCAATCGTCATTGTCACACATCCAAGGAGGTGTCGAGAATAGGAAATGGGAAGAGCAATTGCAATTGATAGAAACAGTCAAGAATGACTACACCAAGCAAATTGACACTGGCGCACTGGTTCCGATAAATAATACATCCTATCTCGACTTCATTCCTGATAGGAAAATCCCCAAGCTTCCAGAGCTTCACTTGCGCATGCCCACGGAAGTTATTACGATTCCCGATAATTAGGAAATGCGCGACGTCGATCCCACACCTCCAGTTGCACAGCAAACATTACAATTCCTAGCCATCTATACGGATCCTGAAATGAAATTAATAATAGCTGCAGCTCAAGCCAGCAATGAGAATATCAGCACAAATTCCCAACCACTAAATATATTTACAAATTTCCAGCCACCGAATATATTCCCGAATTCCGCACACATCGCTACATATGGTTTTCAGTGGGGGGATGATTCAGTACGAGAAGGTTCCTTGCATTCCCAGCGTCCTTCTCCGGTGCAAAGTTACTAATCCCAGCATACAATTGCCTAACCCTCTCCGGTTCCAAGTTTCCGTATTCAAGATCGCGGCTCACAACGTCCCTACTCAAGCATGAATGACCCCCAGTATTATCAGCAACAATATAATCCCAGATCCTAACTTCCAGTACGGATACCAAGGACCACCCTTTGCCCCAAGCTTCCCAAACTACAGCCCGAACTTCCCAAACAACTACAACCAAGCAACCAGGATTCGACAGGAATTACCGTGGATAGGAAGATGTGGAATGTGACAAACATGGGGTTTGATAGCAAGGAATGGAGACATTACAATATATACTTTTTTCATTTGCTTTTATTTGTTTTCATTTGCTTTTCACTCAGAGGCATAGTTATGGAAGCACTCTGAGTTACGGAATACACATGGATTCATTGAGGACGAGGACGAGGACGCTGCGAATAGCAAAATGGGGCGGATATGTTGCGTGGCAGGATGGCACGTGCACATGTAAGCGAGGACTTGCCCTACTTAGCTAGTTTCGCAGACAGAACTCAATCCTTCACCACAACACCCCGCATTCAACACCCTGGTATCTTTAATTTTTATTGTCTTCACGTGGGTGCACGTGATTCTTGATAAAACGATACCTCGGTGTAATCGTTAGTAAAAGAGGCTAAAATCGATATCGCTACATCGAGGTTCTACTGTAGTCCTGAAAGGTTTGTGTCGTATGTGTGTGAGAAAATAGCCGCGTGGTCATGGTTCACCACGCGGATTGAACGCCAAGAAACTCAAAATGGTCCGTTCGAATCAGGAGTGAGGGAGAAGTGAGGTGCTGAGAAGTGAGAAGAGGGGCCGTTAAACGAAACTTGCATTGTTCCGGTATGGCTGACGTAGCCATGCATAAATCTCCTTTTGTCGCTTGACATGGATGAACTGCTTGCCATATGTGGAAAAGTCAACTCAGACCCCTGAATCTCGTTGCCGGATAACCGTGAACCGCCTCCCAGGACCTCTGTGTACCTTTCGTACCAACCCGAAGTTGAACCTAACTGAGAAATTTTGAGTTCGAATAATTCATTGAATTGCACTCGCATTTTTGGTTCTTTTGAAGCTTTCTTCTTGCCCCTTCATTTGCATCCACTCCACATCTGCCAAGATGCCGGCAGCAAGTTTTGCACCGGCCGGGTGTTCCGGTCAGATGCACATCCACAATCGACCAAAGCCACCCGCCTCGCTCGCCAACCGCGTGGCTGAGAGCTGGAGATTGGTCCGGTGGGGGGGCCAAGTCCACCACTGGGCTGCAAGGCTGCTTGGGCCGCTCCCAGTTGGCCCAATGCCAAGCTCCCGCCGTCAACTCATTTTGCATGTGTCGCGTGTGATTTTACTGGAACGGGGGGGCTTTGGCGCCGGGCCAGTGAGCGGAGGACAGCGAACAAGATGTGGTGGTCAGGCATTCCTAGGCTGCCGTTGAAAGCAGCCTTGAGAACAGGACGGAATGGCGTCAAGTGAACTGTGAAGGGAGCCCGCAGGACGCAAAGACGCAGGACGCCTTGAGGGTTGAGATCGGATCGATACTTCAGCAAAGTCGCAGGGGAGGTGGAACGAAAACGACCGGACTGGACGGGAGTGGCGCTTGGACTTTTGAGTCTGGGGACTCGGGGAGAAGTGGATTGGTGGATTGATTGATTACTGGCCTGCTTGAGGTTTCGTCATCGTCACTAACCGCGGGCGACTTGCTTGCTGTTTTCGGCCTGAATAGGAACGACAAGAATGCAAGCGTTGTCGACTCCAAAAGGCACTCAACTGCTCGACTCGATTCGATTCCGGGACCAAGGGCTTCGCCGTGCTTAAATAAAGGTTCTCGTTGTGGATGGAGATGCGAGGGGTCCACAGTAGTATCGCATGTCCCGTGTCCCGTGTGAACGTCGTCGTAAGCCTCCGCTCGTTTGCGGTGCAGCCAATAGAGATGCCTGCCGCCTTGCATCAGGCAGCCCCTGCCATATGACGAGGCGAGACGTCCGCCCCATAAGTAATCCAGCTTCTCCTTTCTTGGCCACGATTGCGACTCTGCGAGACTGGTGCTGCACTGCTGGTGCTGTATCAGATCTAAGAATAAAGGGCTGATCTTCATGACCTATGGCCTATGACCAACCCCCATTCCGCCAAGAACCCCCCTCCGTCTGATATTACATAGTATTGACGTGAGCTTCGCCCAGTTTTGCGGAGCAGGTACTGTACGTCGGTCATCGGATCTACCTTTCCTGCGTCTCTGGCACTCTGCGTGCGGCTTTTCGTTTAACTGTGCTTCCTCCCGCCTTGCCTGCGTTGTACTTCTCGTACGACCCCTCGAGTCGTCCTTGCCTTCCTCAGTATTCGGCTCCAAGTTCCAACCTCTGGTGATGATAGCGTGACAGGGCGCAAACGGCCGACACATCTCAACTCTGGTTCACTTGAAATTTCTTTCCGCCACCTAATTTTTTACAATCGACCTCCATTCAATTTTCAAAGCACATTCATTTCGGTTGCAGCCATTCTTTAGAGCGTAACTCTCAGCAATAGCGATTCCGGGAAATCCGCCACTCCCAACGAGACAGCATTCTCCTTTCTTCTAAGAGACCCCTCCCCCGACTCAGCAGCGCCGGGTCTGTGATCACAGAGACTGCTCACCATGGGCCACCCGAACATGACGGTTCCATACGAGCCGCCTCAATGGAATTCAGCTCCCGCTTGGAAACTGCCTGGCTGGGGAGAGCCAGTGGTGAGTGCTTTCGCTTCAGCCCCCAAAGGCCGAACTGACAAATCATGAAGATGGTCGCGAGTATTTTAATTGCTTCGATGGTATTCAATAGGAGACGCGGCTTTCGCATTTTGGACAGGAGGAGACGGAGGAGGGATGGTCTTTTGGACGACGAGCCAGATTCAGCCCGATCTTCCGACGATCTCTTGACAAGAGATCAAATGTTGGCCAATGAAAGCGACGACGACGTGAGCGCAGAAACCCTGTCCACGGTGAAGAATGCGCCGAAAAAGAGAAGATGCTGCGGAACAGTACTCTACACACCAAATACGTCTCGATTTGCGGACCACTTCCACAGCAGGATCATGCAGAAATTCCCGTTCCTGATGGAAATGTTCTACTGGATTATCACCTTCGCCTTCTACCGGATTTCGAAGATCCTTTCGCAGGCCGTTTTCTCGAAAACTGGAATTTGGGAGATAGCGATGGATCACGGGCTAGCCATTCTCGAGTTTGAGCAGTTTTCGTGGTTGAGCTTCGTGTGGCCCGTCCACGAGCGGGACGTCCAGCAATGGTTCATGCATGGACATCAGTCATTGTTGACTATTCTGAACCGATCCTATGCCTTGATCCACATTCCAGGGACCGTCGGGTATGTTCTATTACGTCCATAGCCTAGAGCATCCAGCAACTGACACTTTCCAGCTTCCTTGGGTGGTACTATTATGTTGCGCCTTCGTTCAATACCTTCGCAGTCGTCCGGAGAACCATGACTTTGACGAATTTCCTTGCCTTCACGATTTTCATCTTTTATCCGTGCATGCCACCACGGTTACTCCCCCCGGAATACGGCTTCCTTGACAGTGTTGGCCGAAATAACGGACAGAGTGTATGGATGGAGGGCAAATACGTCAACTCCTTGGCAGCCATGCCCTCGATGCACTTTGCATATGCCTTCTCCATTGGTTGCGTCATGATGTACCATTCCGGAATCTTCAGAAGGACCCTCGAGCCAGGAGAGATCAGAAAATCGAAGCTTTGGGTCACATTTTACGTTTGGTTCGGTCTTTTTTATCCTCTCTTCATTCTGGTAACAATTGTCGCAACGGCCAATCACTACTATCTGGACGCTTGTGTGGGATTCTTGGTTACCATCATTGGTTTCTTATGTAATAGGGTGTTTTTGGTGTTTTTACCTTTGGAGGATTTGCTGCTCTGGTGTTTGAGGCTCGAGAAACCTGTCCCATCAACCGCAGATGGGGCTCGAAGATCGATCCGGGCGTAGGTGTTCTGAGTAGAATGCATTGGATATGGCGTTTGGTATAAGACTACTGGGCATTTATCATTCTGGTTGATACCACAGCATGGTTGTCACGGCGTTGCAAAGGGGGCGAGAGAAGTTGAGGAGAGAGGACTGCGGACGCGTCCAGAGTCTGGATCGATGGAACGATGAAAAGCAGAGCAATGGTTCGGGCTTTGAGAAGAAAACCGCCGTAATGGATGGTAAATAGAGATATAGAGAAGAGAAGAGATTTACCGAAGAGATTTTGAACTTGGCTTACTTCCTTGTCGTTAGAGCGATGTCGCTCTTCCTGCCTCATTTGTCTACAAGGTATTCGTTCAAATGGTCCGTGCGGCTGAAGTGAGCTCGCCCAGCCTCTCGAATATTTGGGGTAAAAAGCTCCGAGAGACAGCTCCCCCACCATCCTTTTCTCTTTGGCTTCAACAACAACGTCTCAAATCATATACTCTTCTGACTTCACAGTTTCCAGTCACTCTTTCGCAGCTTCTGCAACTTGATTAAATTTAGTGTTCCCCAAAACCAACTCGTTTCTCCTTTTCATCCGCGAGCCTCGTTGACTTCCTCCCAACCTCACCAATTCACCTTCAAAGCGACGCAATGGCGGATTCCATCGAGAATTTTGCGGAATTGATTCCGGGAGATACGCCTGCGGACGTCGATATGGGCAATGAAGTCATGGTCGAAATTGATGCCAGTGGTGCTGGAGCCGATAACGACGACCACGAGAACGGCCTCCCCTTCCAGGAAGAAGCCATGGAAGACGCTCCGGTCCGTGTCACGTACATTGACTACCTCAAGTCTCCGGTGATTGGATTGCTGGTTGGGCAAGGAGATGAACAGGCGCTTTTGACTGCTCATCAAGCTCTCCTGATAAGCAGTCCTTGGTTTGCGGATGCTTGTGCTAAGTTCAGCGATGAGGTTTCTGTTAGTATTCCAAGCTGTCACTTGTACAAAACAATTCTCTAATGCAGTTGCCAGGAGCGCCGAATTGACCTTATTGACGAAGACCTCGACGCCGTTGGATGCTTCCTCGAATTCCTGTACACAGGCGACTACTTCCCGCGCAAACTTCCCGGCACACGAGATCTCGAGAAAGACCCGCACACGCCCGACGTCGACGAGACAGGCGACCAGCTCCTCAAGCACGCACGAGTCTACACGCTCGCCGAAACGCTCAGCCTGCCCATCCTCAAGACCCTCGCCTCCTCGAAGATCCACTGCGTGAACTCGACCGCCAAGGGCGAGATCGCATACGCCAGATACGTCTACGCCCACACACACAAGGACGATACCGCGATCCGGGCACCCGTGGCGAATTTCTGGGCTACGAGGAGTCACACCCTGCGGACGGAGGCGGAGGACGAGTTCAGACAGATGTGTTTGGAGTTCCCGCAGTTCGGATACGACGTCCTCAGTAAGCACCCCATTACCAAGATGTCCTATATCTATATAGATGCTAATGAATCAAACAGCGCGTGTCTTGGACGAGAAGGTCAAGCGAGAAAAGCAGGAGAAAATGCATCCCTCTTCAGCGCACACACCAGGCAGCTCTCGAAAGCGTGCTCGCGGCATCTAGATCCGAGCTTGGGAGGATTGTCTTCGCTGGAGTCTGGAGCCCGTTTCGGTCGCATTTCGAGCCTTCGCTTTTCTGCACATCTGTACAACTAGAGCTACCTTTTGCCTGCTTCATTCGTGGGGAATAATCACATAAAAGGGATGGGAATTTGCGGGTGTTTCTCACAGGTGTATCAACAGACAAAAAGCTCTTATATAGGCGCTCTGAAAATGTGAAGATAGCATGCAAGAAGAGAGCCTCCGGGTCAATTTTCGTTTTCATGTCAATTTTATTTCGTTGAATGATGCTGTGGCTACCCTGTTAATAAGAACGAGCATAAAGGTATCCGATTCCAATTGCACGCCATTTTTCTCGCCCATTTCTCAACCCAGAGATTCTCCCCCAAAAAATCGAAATACTTGAAATCCGTCAGTCATAAGAATAGGAGAGAACTCCGCCGCGCAGGCGTCAAAAAGCGTAGAGCAGTCCCCGGTCCCTGTTGCACCGTTACACCAGAAAGAATAAGCTAAGAGTACAAAGGCGGGAGTTGCTCTCCGTTAGGGCCCGTTGCTCTGTAATCGCCAGGTTGCGATTGAGGTTGGGGCTCCTGGCTTCGTGGGATTTGCGCAGCAGTGGGAAAACCGCGGTTGATGGGGTGGTAGAGAAGAGCTCCGATATTGTGAACGAAGAGGGGATAAAGCAACTCGGTGATCTTTTCCTTGTTGGCGAATTCGAGGGCGCGTTCAAAGGGAATCCTAGAAGTCAATGGTCAGTTTCCATCATGGCCGATACCGTGCAGATTGACTGACCAGACGCCTTTCAAATGCATTGGGCCAATCTTGACGACGTGCTTCTGTTTCTCGCTCTTGAGAATACCGTCGCGGCGGCCTCGGGTCATACCTGCAACATTGAGGAGTTTGGTGCCGTTGATCATATGATTGTCTATTCCAATTAGCAACGGAATAAATCTAGACTTGCTCCGTAAGCAGATTTACCTTCTCGTCGGGCAACGCAAGTACCCTTGACATCAACTTGAAAGCACAGAGTCCCCTCATCCTCCCAGAGAGTAGCCGTGACTCGCGGCTTCACACCTGGAGGAGCAACTTGTCCCGTTGTATCTCCAACCATCTCTTGCTGAGCATATCCTCCTTGCATGTCCATTGTAGCCATTGGGGGAAGTTGAAGACCTTGTTGTGGGGGTGGTGGATAGGGGCGATTCGGATCTTGGGGGTAACGCAGCTGGATGTCGTAGGAATATTGAGGGTATTGGCCTCCAGGTTGGACCTCCTGGCCCTGCTGAGGAGGTGGGAGAGCGTAAGGCTGGCCGCCGCCGCCGCCTTGTGGGGGTTGTGCGTACGGTGAACTGTGCGCTGAAGCCATTGGAGAAGTGATCACGGAGTCGGTATCGGACGGCTGGTCAGTTCTTGACCGTTTGAAGGTATTTGGAAGATGGTTCAGGCCCGACCTATCGAGACCATCTGTGGTTGTCTATTATTAGCGTTGTGGGGTGCGGAGACGGGGATCAAGCTTACTCCGCCTGGATTGAAGCTGTCTTCTCGCGTCGCCTTGCAAGGAGGTTCCGACAGCTTTCCAAACTCAAGAGTACGACGATGGGATCAAGGAAAGTAGAATAGAGGAAGAAAGAAAAAGAAAGTCGTTCGACACAGCCTTGTCAATTGTGCTGGCTGGCGCCTGGCGGGTGAGACGGCTTGGGGTGCATTAGCGAAGTGCGCTGCGTGAAAGCAAGCCATCAAAGAGGCACAGCCCCCATGTGAAACACTTTCGATACCTTCCCTACCTTTGATCTGGGTTGTTTGCTCTCCGGATAGCTGCTGGAGGCTTCTGGAGGCTTCTGGAGGCTTGCAATTACGTGAGACAATAAGACGAGAGTGTGGTAGAGACAACTTGCAGCGTTGGGGATGTACCCACTAAGTACATCCGAAACCTGTCAGCGAGGACCGAGGAGCATGGCAGGACAAAATATTGAAGAGTTGAAAGCGAAAACACATTACCAATCTCACCGACTCTTTCGTAAGGGGTAGCGCAATTTCCAAAGTTTCTGTGCATGATAGAAAGGAATCAGCGTTACAGGAAAGTTGGGACGGAAGAAATCTCTACATTCCCATACTACTGTCCTCAGCGTCATTGCGTACCTTGATTGGCTCGGTAATGGCTTCTCACAGCGGCTGCCCCACGCTGGACAGAACTTTTGAAGCACAACCCCGCCATAGCACATAGCACATGACTGAACTTGACCTCTTCTCAGCAACGCCCAGCTTCGACAACCGTGCCAGGAAGACCGGATCTGGGATATCTGATGGCGACTTTTCAATAAGAATCTTGAAACTCTGACAGCCCGTGCAGGTCAGCCGCCACCATGGCCTCCAACGCGACGGCCACACTCACGTCGCTCCTCCGTGGCTCGACGATTGAGGACCACGAAGAAGTGCTCAAGGCTGCCAATGCCGTCCTCAAATCCTCCAAAATCAATCCCGAGGCTCTTCACACTCGAGTTGTGGCACTCCTAAAGTTGGACCGCTTCAACGACGCCCTCCGAGCGCTCGACGATGGGGGAGACAAACTTGCGGAAACCTGTGTGCTGGAGAAGGCGTATGCGTTATACAAGACGGGGCAGCTAGCAGAAGCCGAGAAACTTGTGCAAGGAGCGAACACACGCGGTCTGAAGCATGTCGCCGCCCAAGTGGCTTATCGCGCAGAGAAATTCGAGGATGCCGCAAGATTATACAAGGAGCTGAGTTCAGGAGCTATGGCAATAGAAGGGGAAGAAAACGATTTAAGAATCAACAGTTCGGCGGCAGATGCGCAGTTGGAGTGGCAGGGAAACGGCGACAAGGTGGAAACGAGCAGGAAGAAGCCATCCCGCGAGGATCTCGAAGCATTTGAGACTTCCTACAATGCTGCTTGCGGGTGTATTGCAAGAGGAGACTTGGGTGCTGGAAGTGTGTTGCTGAAGAGAGCTAGAGACTTATGCGAGGCGCTTGATGAGCTAAGTGACGAGGAAAAGAGAGCTGAAGTTCTGCCGATCATGGTTCAACAGGCGTTTGTTTTCACGAAGCTGGGCAAGCTGGAAGAAGCGGAAGTTCTGCAGAAGATGATAAACATTGCTGAGTACGTTGGGAAAATTCCAAAAGGAGATCTATTAATATTAACACGAGTATAGTGTCCCTGAGCCACCGTCCCGAGTCATTGCGCAAAACAATGCATTGGCAGCCACGACCCATACCGATAACCCGTTCATGACCCAACGCATCTTCGATTCAGTCCCCAACTTATCTCACACCGAAAAACATTTTGAGCATCAAGCGAGCATACTACAGCGCAATAGATACACCATCGACCTACAAGCACAGAAATATCCGGGAGTCTCAAAATCTACTTCTTCGGCCATCTTAAAATCGCCTTCCCCCACGATTTCGCCATATATCAGCTCACTGTCAGTTCTCAATGCTGCAGCACATGCAAAGAGTGAGACGGGAAAAGCGAGTTTAAAGTCAATTTTGCCCCTTTTAGAGAAACGCCCAAACGACGTTGGCCTAATACTCGTTGTCGTTCAGCTCTATCTCCTAATCAACAATCCTGGTCCTGCCATAAGTCTTCTAGAAACCTTCTTCAGGCGCCTAGAAGAGTCAACCACTCCAGCAGACCAAGATGTACGCTACGCTCCCGGACTCGTAGCACTCATCATCTCTCTCTACCGCTTATCCGGACGGAAATCGCCCATAAAAACAGAGTTTAGAAAAGCTGCTTCCTACTGGCGCAAGAAATCGAAACCATCTCTCTCCCTCCTCCGCGCAGCAGGCACCTCGCTTCTAGAATCTTCCAACCCTGAAGAACTCTCTGCGGCAGGTGAGATCTTCTCCAGCCTACGTTCCCAAGACCCGAACGACCGCACTGCGATTGCTGGCTACGTCGCCTCCTATGCCACATCCGACTTTTCAAAAGTATCCTTCAACCTAGACAAACTAACACCTATCTCTCGTCTCATATCTGGCATCGATGCCGCAGCTCTCGAAGAGGCGGGGGTCCCTACTCTCCCTGCACCTTCCGCTCTTACCAGCAAGAAACGCAGTCTAGATGAAAAGGATAAAGAGAAGCCGGTACCAGTTAAGAAGAAGAAGATTAGCAAGTCGAAGATGCCCAAGGACTTCGAAGAAGGGAAAAGGATGGATCCAGAGAGGTGGCTGCCGTTGAGAGATAGGAGCACGTATCGGCCGAAAGGCAAGAAAGGGAAGAAGAAGGCGATGGAGATGACGCAAGGTGGTGTGGTGAAGGAAGAAGAGAGCTTAGAGTTAGCGGGTGGTGCAGGGACGGTTAAGGTTGAGAAGGCAGGTGGGCCGGGTGGAGCGGGCAAGGCGAAGAAGAAGAAGGGGAAGAAGTAAATGCCATGATTCTGAGCGTAGTGAGAGCATAGCATGTAAATTGAAGAGCTACGACGTTTGAGCAAAAGAGTTCCGAACACTATTCAACCATCTCAAACCTTGTTCACGGGAACATGAGTTGGTGCAACAAACGTCTGTTCCGTCATTCACAATCTACCGCCAATCTCAATGTACCAGAACTTTTGGAACATTGAGTAGATGTGCAATAAAAGTCTTTCGATCATAGGATTCACTCGAAGACCTTGACCTAGAATTGGTAATGAATCAAGTTGAGTGCCAAAATTCAATGATGAAAATGTATTCAATGGAGCACAACTACATTGCGCCGTACATAATCTTTACGGCGTGTACCGCATTTATCTTTGCCTGTTTTCCTGCCTAGAATTATCAAATTGCCGCCCTTGCGCCCCAGATAATATGACACCGTGCTTCGTAGAGCAATTAACCCAGTGCCCCTATAAACGCCGGAACTCGAGTCATTCAATGAATGAGACACCTTAGTATCATCTCCTCCTCCGTCTCAATTCCCAATTGATTTCTGCCACATAGTCTTCAACCTCTTCATCTTCAACAAGCTGCTCTTCTTCTCCTGTCTGCACCTTTGAATGGCTCACAACGCCGCGGTGCATCTCCTCGACGAGATTTGACTCGATGCCTTTATTCCCCAGGAGGAAATCGCCAAAGTACTTTACGGCATTGAAGGCCTCTTCTCCTGTAGGCACGATGTTTTCTTTCGGCAGTAAGAAGCCGTAGGCTCCAGTGTCGCGGAGCTTGACTTGGTAACTGTAGCGGACGCGCATCTCGTGGTAGAACCAGTCGATTGCTGAGCCGCCTCCGGTTTCCATCCTCGAGAAGCCTCCCGCGGGGGTGAGATTAGAGGACACAGCGCCCTCGCATGCTGAGGCTACACCATATTGCTGGCCGCTGGATATCCGGATCGCCTTTGCCAGGCCCATGCCTAATTCTTCGAGATTCTCCAGGCTTGGTGGATCGGCGCTGCATGAATAGGAATATGGGTATAGGACCTGTTGTGAGTATGAGTGCAGATCCAAGAAACCCACGAAGTTCACACCGTTGCTGTCGGTTTCGTTCTTTGCCCATTCGGCCAATCGATGGGACTCCACGGCCTGGAACGGTTCGTCACCTGGATAGCTCTCTGAGCATGGATTGCTTTGATAGGAGGTCCCATCCCATTCAAACCCAAATCCACGGTCAAGGTCAAGTCCTCTGCAAAATCTCAAGCTGGTTTGCTGGCGATTCTTCCTCCATAATCGATCATTTTCCCATGTATATACATATCCATCCGGGTTCGCGGTCGGGATCAACACGAAATCGAATTCCTGAAGAAGCTTGGTAATTCCTGGCGACTTTCCATACGAGGTAATAAGAGACCATGCAATATATGTCACGGTGCTCACTGATATCCATTCGCGGGCATGGAAGCCTCCGGATATGATAATAGTCTTCCGGGGTTCTTCATCTTCTTGCGGGAGATTCGGGGACACTCCTACTCGAAGCGCTGGGATGTCTCGACCTTCGTAGGTCGTCCCTATGTTGATCATCCGCACATGGGTTGTGAACATTGAGGCCATAAGCTTCATCCATGGCACAATTACCGACAACGGTTGGTAGTCGCGGAAAAAGATATTCTCCACTCCATCCGACGTCCTTAAAGCTGGTGTAAAAGACCGGTCTGCACGATTCGGGGACAGGGACGGGTCCGCAAAGGCAATTGACGGGTACGACTGGTAAATCGTCTTAGCCAGGTCCGGCATCAAATTTGAATATGCCTTCTGTAAGGATTTCGGCAGTAACCCGAGAAGTGAGGGGACCTAGAGACCTAGTTAGAAGAGGGCCCGAAGATTCTGGGACGACTCGACGCACATCATCTTCTCGAAGACGAATATCTGCCCAATTTTGGGTGAACTCCCACACATCCAAGAAGAGGGTATCTGCCGCCTCGGCCAAGGCCTTCTCCTCAGCGGGAGTGCTCAAATTGAATCGAAGAACAACGTCCCCTCCATATTTCGCCAACAAGGTGTTGGGTAATTCGGAGCTCGATGGGTGTGGGAAAGAGCCTGGTCTGACTGGGCCAGCCTTGACCGGTTTCGGCACCCGAAAAACTTTCTCGATGGCGAAGTCTCGTAGCCATGTCAAATTTGGGAGTACGTTGCGAGACTGGTATGGCCGTTGCTGTCCTGCAGAGTCATGACGTTGAGGAGCGGAGAACTGTGCGCTGTCGCTTCTGCTCCATGGAACGACAAATGCTTCGATGGAGACGGCAACGAAAAGCAGGAGAAAGGCGGGGAGAAGGGACAGTGGATGGCGCATGGTCAGCGGAGCATCTGTCAGGATGACAACGTACAGTGGGAGAGGGAGAGGAGAGGTTCGTGGCCGTGGCCGTGGTCGTGGTCGTGTGCTCAGTGAGCTATCCTGAGAAGTGGCAGGTTATGATTCGGAGTGGGATACAAGTACCGTCGATGGTTGCCTCCGCACGGGCACCAGCGAGACAAAGGTACGCAAGGCTGTGAGTGGCTGGAGTGGACTTTGGGGCGCCGCTAGATCGAGTCCGTCGGTGGGGGGTCGTTCCGGCTGGGTTATGCTGACTGCTCTCTGCTTCTATGCCTGGCTTCGAGAACGGCGCTAAAGCCACCAGCACCAGCGCCATTTGGTACGCAGACTGTCACTCTGGACTCAGACGACGAACTCATCCGAAAATTCCTGAACACACGCATCACTCGTGGTACCCCGATCCTCGGCGCCAATGGCATCCTGATTGCACATCTCGTTGACGGTGACACGACGCTGTTGCTGCCATTGTCACTCGTTTACAGCATCCCCCCTAGTGCTCTGAACGCCAGGATCTCCCAGCCCCAGCTGAGCAGCGTAACGAACTAACGACCAGACCTCCACCTGCCACAGCGAATGTGATTCTCTCGCAACAATTCTTTCTCATCCAGCAGGCTCTCGGGATCAATGACTTCACGGCCTCAATTCCATCATGCCTCTAATGCAGGGTTTGTTGCGTCGGCGAGGCCCTGCCAGCGATGCAGAACTGCGAAGACATAGCTTCTACTCGGCCGATTCGACCAGCACCCACTCCGCAGTTCTCGATGGGAGAGCCAGCGAGCAAATACCTCGGCGGCCTTCAGCAGCAGAGTTCTTGTCTCCTGAGTCGGCATTGGAATGCTCACCAGTCGCCAGAACATCAGCTGAGAGTGGTACCGAGTCTGCGGACTTAGAGCGTTCTGTCTCGCCTCCAGTTCAGGAGGAGGATCATAAACATCGTCGCTTCAGCATGCTGAAGTTTCGACACGCTTCAGACTCTCAATTATCGGCTAGGGGTGCGTTCTCTAATCATCTTTTGGTCATCTGACGTACGCTGGATGCTAACATGGTTTCAAGCTCGTCTTCAAGCCCAAGCCGATCCGACCCCTCCTGTACCACAGAGTGAGTATCCCAGTAAAGTTTCCCCTTTCTACCATGGACATCGGGCTGATAAAGACGACCTAGCCCCTGCCGCCCCTGCCGCCCCCGCCATCATTACCACAGCTCCGACAATGGAAATGAACGCTCCAAAACCTACCAAGAAGAAATCTCGGATAAAAATGCCTGGCCGTTCGCGGACTGCCACTTCGACCTCGGCGGACAGCAATCACCTAGAAAAGCCGTCATCACTGAGGGTTACCAAAAATGAAAAGAAGGAGCGAAGGAAGACAATGACGGAGACTGCTCCCTCTGGAAAAGGCCGGGTGACATTCGACGAGCCTGAACGTCCTGCAACTCAAGCAGGTAGCTCGCCCCCAGCATACGGTGACGAGGCCAATTCTACGTTGGCCCTGCCCGTAAATCGATTATCCGAGTCTTCGAGATCTGATGGCAGCTCTGGGGACCATGGGGTGTACGCGACTACCACAACCACTACACATACAGTTCATACGACCACTACATTTTTCCGGCTTCCCCGTCGCAAGAAACCATCTCCGTTGTTTGATCTCTCCCATCTCCCCCAAAAGAATACCTCTCGAGGACTAGGAACCGAATCCGCAGCTGTAAAAGCTCTACAGTCTCCTTCGGCTGACGATGTAGCAGTCAGTGGTGGGCTCGCCTCGCCTCTTCCATCCCCATCACACAGTGTGATAGCAAAGAGCCCATCTGCAATTGCTGCCCCTGGTGCACAGCTGTTCCGACAAGGGTCAACTGCTTCGTCTTCTAAGTCCTCTCCGACTCGTGCCAGACTAGGAATGCGGGGCCGATCATCGACCTTAAGCTCTTTACGAAATATGCCCAGTGATGACCCTTTACCAACCCCAACACTACCGTCTACTCGCACCTCTACGTCCACTGGTCGAAAGAGCTTCGGTGATCTATTCGGGTTGTCCCATCGTTTACGGCAAAATTCAGAACCGCCGTTTCCACGGCAAGGCTCTGGCCTTGCAACCCCTGGATCAAGCACGTCGAAGAATAATTCAATGCAATTAACGCGAGAGCCCATTATAGTCTTGCCAGAGCGACACGAGGATGATACCCCTGCCAAATATCTTGTTCGTCTGGAAGAGGCTGTCAGCAGAGGTGTTGTGGCTAGTGTTCTTTCGAAAGGCACTGACCCGTTCTCCCAAGCTGTCCTTCGAAGCTACATGCGTGGCTTCGGTTTTTTCGGTGATCCTATGGATATGGCGATTCGAAAATTGCTGATGGAAGTTGAATTACCAAAAGAAACTCAGCAAATTGACAGATGCCTCCAAGGGTTTGCTAACCGTTACCATGAATGCAACCCGGGAATCTATGCATCCCCTGACCAAGCCTACTTCATCGCCTTTTCGCTTCTCATATTACATACAGACGTGTTCAACAAGAACAACAAACACAAAATGCAGAAGCCAGACTACCTGAAGAATACCCGTGGGGAGGGCATATTCGACGAAATTCTCGAGTGTTTTTACGACAACATTTCTTACACACCTTTTATCCACGTCGAAGACGATCTTGACATCAACGGCGAACGCATCATTCAACACAAAACGAAACAGAAGTCCATCCTGTCTCGTCGAAATGTGGACCCAACCAAACGGCCTTCCAAGGATCCGGTCGACCCCTACACGCTCATCATTGACAGCAAGCTCGACACACTCCGTCCGAACCTGAAGGAGGTGATGTATTTGGAGGAGCATTACAGTTATCTTGGGACGGCGCAGTCCTTGAACCTATTTGATTTGCAGAAGACGTTCTTCAGGACTGGCGTGTTGCAGATCGTTTCAGCAAGATCACGACCTGATGCTTTCATGTCTGACAAAACTGTGAACAATCCTGAGGAAGCACACCCTGGGATCGTGGATATAAAGATCACGAAAGTCGGGCTACTTTGGCGGAAGGATGCGAAAAAGAAGAAAACAAGATCGCCATGGCAGGAATGGGGAGCCATACTTACTGGCGCACAACTTTATTTCTTCAGGAACACGGCTTGGATCAAAAATTTGATGCACCAGCTCGAACAGCATATCAAGCAAGGCCATGATGGCTCTCCAGTCATCTTCAAGCCTCCTCTTGATCAGTTCAAGCCAGACGCTCTGATGTCGACTGACGACGCAGTGGCATTGCTTGACTCCACTTACAAGAAGCACAAAAATGCTTTCGTTTTTGTCCGTCATGGGGGTTTCGAGGAAACGTTCTTGGCTGATAACGAGCAAGAGATGAATGACTGGCTGGCGAAGCTGAACTACGCAGCTGCATTCCGGACTTCTGGAGTGCGTATGCGAGGTGTCGTCGGCGGAAACTATGAGGGCCAACGGTCTCGTGGTATTCGTCGGCTCGAGAGCCATAATGACTCGACAAGATCAGTGCAGACACCGTCAGGAGAAGTCACTATCGTCAGTGGCAAGATCGATACAAAGATGCAACAAGATATTCTCGCTGCTCGCCGGGAGATTATGCTGCAGAAAATTGCTGATGCTGAAGAAAAGCTCGTGGTTGCTCAGAAACAGCTCGATGCACAACTGAGAAACGCTCGTCATCTTCAGATCCTTGCGCCAATTCAGCAGAAGACTCGAGAGCAAGTTATTCTTGCCGCAGGTCGGATGGCCGCCCAATTGAAGTGGGGTAGACTGGAAATCTGGCGGTTGAAATGCCATAAAGACATATTGACGATGGATTTGGAAGAAGAAAGAGCCTTGGATGGCAGTTTTCCTCGACCGGACCCTGCCGGCGAAATTCCATCCTCTGAACGGGCTGCTCTAGCACGGCTGCACTCGAAGGCGAGCACTCTCGGTCAGCAACGAACACCAAGGTCCCCTACAACACATTCCGCTAACCGTCCATCTACGGCGACTCAACCATCATCTCAGCAAGAAACAGAGAACGCTCTGGATGACATTTTCCAGGCCCCACCAACACTCACAAGCTCATCAAGTTTCCATAAAGCGCAAGCATCTTGGGAACTCCCTCCTCTTTCTTTCAACGGACGCGGTGAACGAAAGCCCTCGTTTTCTAGTGCAAAAGCGCCTGCGAGCCCCAGTATAGCCCCGACACCTTCCAGGGGAAGTGCGAGGCTGGCAAGTGACCCTCAACGCCCGGAAACTCCAACAGTCGATGCTGCAGAGCAAGCAGTATTGGAGCAGGCCGGTCTTGTGGATACAGATAAAACGCCAGAGGGGAAACGGCCTGTGACTGGTCCCGACAACGAGGAAAGTAGAGATTTGGTTCAGGAAAAGGACAAGCTAGACCGAGGCAAAATTCGACGCAGTCTGCATCGTACTTTGCGAGAAGCTCACGTACCAAATCATAACCGTAGTCGAAAGGGGAGGGATTCGGCATCAAGCGGAGCGATGTCCGAGGAAACGAAGGAGGATGTTCTGTCTCGCGGCACTGGAAGTTTTGTGGTACACGGCAAGAAAGCCTCTGTTATAACATTCGGTTCGGAGCTTCAAAGCATGTCACAGGAAGAACGATTGCGACTTCGGAGGCAGCCTCACAAAGACGAAGCAGGACTCATTTCCCCAGCAAGCATTGACGATGATTTTCACTCTGTCTTAGCCGAGCCCGTCGAATTTCATGAACGACACGGGTCGGCAGCTACTACAAGCACGGCGACTGCGAGGAGCTTTAGGGACTTGCACAGGAAGTTAGCTGCACACCACTCGGGCGGTCCTGCTATTGTGGTGTCCGACGGTGATGATAGCGATGCGGCCGTCAGCTTCTCCGAGGGCAGACGAACACCACTGCCACCAATGAGTCCATTGGAGGACGAATATGAGGAGGCAAACGATAACCCTGCGATGCAGGCGATGTTCTATACCCCCGAAGCTTCGAACTCACCTACGAGGACGGGATTTTCGGAGAAACACCCTATTGGTAGTGATCATGATGAAGTGGGCGAATCTAACATTGAGAGATTATCAAGTCCACCACAAACCGCAGTGAGCGCTTGATATTCTTGGTACAATGCATAAGATCACCTTGTTCCTTTTATTTTTTGAAGTTACTCAAGTCACCCCAGTGTCCCAGCTTTCAGCCCGGACAATGAGGTAGACCGTGACGATGACAACGCGGTGTTGACGAGGCATGGTTTACCGGAGTGTGCTTGATATTGATTTGGTTCTGGACAGCGATTCATACGAAAAGCATGAAAACTCTCTTGGGTTCTCATCTGTGGTGTATATTAGAAGGTAGCTACAACAACTTGATTAGCTCTTTGCTTGGGAATGGAGACGGGAAAGGCGTCCAGGGGAACGACTCGACCCAGGGTCTACACTTTATTTGGAGTTCTTGGCCAGACGTTGGCAGGAAGCATAACATTAAACAATTCAATTCCATGATCAATTCGAAACTGAACCTGTATTATGTGACGGTCGAAAGACTAACTACTATCGCTAAGACAAGGCCATTTTCTGCGCTTCTGCCAGTTTACCCTTTGGCCCCGAGATAGATACGAGACACTTGTCAGCAATATCGACGGCTACATTCACCGTACACCCCTTCTTCTCCAATATTTTATTCATCAACGCCCCCTTGTCCTTTTTCATCTTTTTCGCAACCTCTTCATCCACAAGGATCTCAAGTGTTCGCCATTCTCCGCTCGCAATCCCAATCGCTGGCCTCTCCCATTTGAACTCGACCTTCAAGAACTCTTTCAGCGCAACTTTCAATTTCCCCGCCATCTTGAGAAGGTCTTCCTTCTTCTCGTCATTATCATCATTAAGCCAAAAACACTCTTGAAGAAGATGGATCTTCGAAACCACTTTGATTTTCTTCTCCCCGGCCTCGAGAGTCGCCTTCATCTTCTCTAGCCGATCAAACGTCTTCCTTGCGAAGCAAATGATGTGCTCATACCGCTCAAAATGGGTGTGAGTAAGGCCTTGAGATTTCTGTTCTCGTACCCGCTTCAAGATGGTCCCCTTCTCGTTCGGCCAGTCTTTTGTTTGAAAGTGGGACTCTTCACCGGCAATGGCCTCAATCGCTAACCCGCTCATTGGTACATTAGCCTTATTTGCCTGCAATTTTCCGGATTCGATCATAGACTTGGTGAATGGGGATGAAGTTAGAATGCCGATAGAGTGCACACGCTGGAAGATCCATCGTTTTTGTGTGTTCATAGTCCATCAACGCACAAACTCAAGGTAGGTCTGGGCCATAATGGAGCGTGCTATCGTCCGAGGAGGTTAATAACGTGTGGACTGTTGGAACCTTCAAGAAAGGGAGGGACTCACGTCCGTTGCGGCTGTCCACACAGAGGATCCATATGTTATTTTTCTTTACTTCGGGCTCCTGACCTGCCTTTGCTGCTATTTGGGTTTTAACCGCAGTAGGCTTCGAGGCCGGAGCTCCTTTTTTCGCTTCATCAGTTGCGGCTCGTTTTATTGTCTGCTTCTGACATTGACTCTCACTCCGCACCGCAGACATCGTCGATTGCACGCCGGCTTTAGCATCCTTCCTCTTCATCCCTCCGCTGACAAGTTCATCCACCAAATTCGCGGCCGTCTTCCCGTCTCCTTTGCCCAATGCAATATCTTCCACAACTTTTCTTCCTTGCTTGTCCAGCAATTCGAAAATCTTCTTCGTAATCTTCTCTTGCTCCTCATTCGCTGCCCTATCTTTCTTCTGCTGTTCTAGGACTTTGTTCATTTTCTCGTCAAGCTTCTTAGCCTGTGCCTCAGCTTTCTTCTGTGCCTTTGCACTCGCTGCTGCTTGCTCTTCGGCTTTCTTCTGAGCCTTTACGTGGGAAGCAGCAGCCCGCTCAGCTGCGTCAGCTAGCAGTAGTTGAATCTTCTTGTCGATGCTTGTTGTAGTCGCAGTGAACCCAGCAATGATGTCTTTCAATTCTGGAACCCGATACATTACAAACCAAGTCTTGGAACCGAGTTCAAGACTGTGCATGCGAGCCCGTTCGTCTAAGATCTTTTTCGCCTGCGCACACCCCTCCTTGATATCCTTGCTATCTTCTTCAATTCTCGCTTTTCTACCGATTTAAACTCAATGATGTGCTCGGAAAGAGAGAGGTGGGGTAATACATTCCCGCGTCTGATTGCCCAAGTGGCGATTTGGGATTCTTCATGCGTGTTTCGATGTCGCTGAGGTCATTTTTCACTCTCCTAATTTCCTTCTCAACGAGGGCGAGCTCTTTACTCTCGTTTTTAAGCTTCACTGCGATGTCGAGGACGATTTTCATGGCGCTTATCGCTTGGGGGATGCCGAATGTAGCCATTGTAGATATATGTAAATCCTCTGATATCGTTGATGGGGATGGAATGAGAGGAGATAGAGAAGCGCCTCTTGGGCTCCTTCATGCATCCGGTGCATCCCAACTGCTGACCCCACCGCACATCCTTGCAGCCAATCAATTCACTGCAAACATACTTAAGTAACACAGCAGCTCTGACGTACTGCGAGAGTTTAACTCAAGCGGCCGAGTATAATTATGATAATGTTTTAGCCATCTAAAGTTAACCTTACCAAGGAGACAATGTTTGTTGGTAGCAAGGGTCTCGAGCCGAGGTGGCCGCTGATTCGATTAGATGAAAAGAAAAGTAGTTCGAGAGCGGATTGAAATTTCTAAATCTATATTCTAGGTGGTCCTTTTCCCTTAATATTCCATAACCTCAGCAACACCCTCCGGGATTTCCAGAGGCCACTTCACAATCCACTCCCAATCCTAGCTCACCAACCCAGCCAGTCCTCGGACTTCAAACTCGGCACCTTCAACCACCACAGCTCCTCTATATACTTCAGCAGCGCAAAGAGCCTCGCCAAGATAGCCAAAGCAAGTGGGTCGCCCTCTTCCAACAACCCCACGAATCCCGCTGGAACCTCTCCTGGCAATATCGCTCTCCAGCTTGAATGCACAATTTGACGCGCTCTAAGTATTTTAAAGCTTGGGCGTAGATTTCTCTCCGCCCTGTTGGAAGAGATGGGTCGTACCAGAGGTACAGGAAAGGGTCATCTGGAAACTCCAGGGGAGACTCTTGTATCGGAACTAAAATCGCATCCAAATCGGGGTTCAAAAAAAAGTAGGCCCTGATATCTGAATCTCCGATATGAAGTAGAGCCTCGTGGCCAATTTTTCAAAGGCTAGTTTGCAGATAAAACCAGTTCAGGGGAGGCATGTAACTCATTGCTCGTTGCTAGGCAGATTGCTCTTGACTTGGTGTGGGCTTGCAGTAGGATAAAAGTGGTGAATATAGATAGAGAGTTTATGCTGGTGATCGATACCATTTCTCCTCTCTGTCTGGAAATGGTCTCATCCAGGATTTATTATATTGCTGCTCGTAATGAGATGTCATTAGGCATAAAGCTCAAGAGATGAATGGCTGCCAAGCCTAAAACGGCACTGTAAACATATTGACAATCAAAGGCGATGGATGGGATGGATTTAGTCCACATGTTGGCTCCACAAAGTTCTTCACAGAGGGTAAGATGTGATCTGTGATTGTGGCATAATGGTAGAAGAGCCGCAATTCCATTGAACGTGATGTGTTAGTAGAACGGGATGGTCGAGAGCCCAAACCTAAATTTGTCGTTGAGTCCCTATCGATCTTGTTGTTGATGTGAGTGTGAAGTCAAATCCACTCAGCTGCAAGTCCGGCTTTCTTCGAGGCATGGGGACTTCGCATTGCCACTGGACTAGCTCCTGGAAAATGGAGGGGTCGAGACAAGGGATATTTAACCTGGGTAGATGCCTTCGGAAGTGCGGCTACTTATAATTATCCGGATAGCTACGACAAAGAAGTCATATGGTATACTGAAAATGTGAGGCAGCCCTTGGCTGCGATTGAGCTGTTCACGCTTAGCACGTTGCCCCTTAGGGCTTCCAATTTTGTCCGCCCTGTTATGGTAGGTTAAGACCTCCAAGTTGTGAGTAAGGAACCTCATTTTGATCAGATCATTAGAGGCGGATTTGACTTCGGCGTTTGCGGTGGAGACTGCAAAGGAGTGCTGAGCCAGGTACAAAGGAGAGGGACTCTTCCCGACCTCGACAGACTTTCAAGCAATTGCCCACCCTGGTGTCGGACATAGCATTAACTTCAGCTATAACGCAACAGGAGCTTATGGCGTGATGCCTGGTTATCTGAAGAAGCATTGGCTTTGAAAGACTGTAATCTTGCTTGAGACGGCGATAGGAGAGGCAGAATTTTTCGGAGGGTAAATGATGTGAGAGGAATAGTTGCGCATTAATTCAAATAGTAATGATTATCTTTCACTTAAAGAATCTTCAGGGAATCTCAGCAACCTTTCACCATAATCCACAGTATCCCATCTCTAATCGATAGTGCTAGGATTCATGGTTAATAATGATGAATCTGACCCCTCGCGCTTGGGAAGCTCAGGAACCTGTCAACGTCAGTACAGATGAGAGCTTAATCTACCAGCGATCTCCCGGCAGCTGGAGTACAGCCTTCCAAGAAGCCGCGAAACGGCTGCGTTCACCTTCCGGGAGTTCATCGTGTCGAACAAGGCAGCAGGGTTGAGAACCGTTGGCATACGCGAGGGCAGCCAAATGAGGTGCAACTTAGGCGGGACCATCCTGTTGCTCAGAGACAGCCTCGAGGTGACATGGATGATGGATGAGCTGAGATTGAATTCAGTGCAGAAGAACAAGGGGATCATAAAACCACCTTATGTAAGGAAAGCCATAGTGAAGATGTGTCAGCAGCGTGGGAATCCTGTCGATCGCGGGGTAACTAACCTTAGGGGGCCAGCCTCGGTTACGGACGTCATGGAGCTCTAGAAGTACCTTTGGTCGATGTTGATCACAGAAAATTCTGAGGTAAGCTGTCTCTCCCCATGTAAGCTTAAGTATCAATTTGGTGATTCCTTTCATGGTATAAATTCCAAGAAAGTATAAGAACCGCCTCAGGCCCTCCAAGCCGGAGAAGTATCGCATCCAGACACTTCATACTTTCATACCTTCTCAAAGACCGAATCACGACCATGACTCCACAACCTTACAAAATCTCCGTCCCACAGGAGAAAATCGATAACTTGAAGACGAAACTTGGCCTCGCAAGCTTCCCAGATGAATTGGACTCTTCAGCATGGGATCTCGGGGTTCCCCTCGCTGACATGAAGCGACTGACGAAAGCGTGGGAGAAATGGGTTTGGCGACAAGCGGAAGAGAGACTCAACAAGGTCCCTCAGTACCACACCAGCATTAAAGTTGACGGCTTTGATGTGTTGAACATTCATTTCGTCTGGCAAAAGAGCGAGACCAAAAATGCTATCCCGTTGCTTTTTGTTCATGGATGTACGTTTTCTATATTGTCCTTCCTCCATTTCGTCTCAATTTGTTTCAATTCTCCAGGGGGTTACCCCTTAAACTCTCGACGCATCTTGGTACAACAGCATGACTTACATTCAAAAAGGGCCAGGGAGTTTCATCGAAGCTCTCCCCATTCTCGACCTCCTGGCCAAACCCGGTGGCCCTGCTTTCCACATTGTCGCCCCTTCCCTCCCCAACTACGGGTTTTCCGAGGGTCCAAAGAAAAGGGGGTTTGCACTCGCTCAGTACGCTGAAACGTGCCACAAATTGATGCTCTCTCTCGGGTACAATGAGTATGTTACTCAAGGAGGAGACTGGGGATTCTGGGTCACAAGAGCAATTGGTGCTCTTTATCCAGAACACTGCAAGGCGAGCCATACCAACAGTGAGTGTATTTCCTTTCCAACGTCTTGTGGGTTGTATCTACTCTCTACGCATGTATGTGAGGGAAAATAATTGCTGAAATATTTGGTCACTTCACAAAGCTCTCCTTTATCTTGCAATGCTAACCCCGAGACCACATAGTGATTCTAGCTCGTCGTCCAACCTGGTCAAAGAATCCATTCTTAGCCCTCCAGCATACCGTCATGCCCTATTCCCAGAGAGACAAAGCTGGATTCGAACGCTCAGCATGGTTTTCAAAGGAAGGCTATGGTTATAACTTGACCCAATCAACAAAACCTCAGACATTAGCCTATGCTCTGAATGACAGCCCTGTTGCGTTATTAGCTTGGATATATGAGAAATTGCATGACTGGACTGATAACATGCCTTGGAGTGACGAGGAGATCTTGACGTGGGTCAGTATCTATCAGTTTTCGAGAATGGGTCCGGGTGCTGCTCACAGGTAAGTGGATGATGGGGAATATCTTCTCCAACATGAAATTCCCCCAAGGGCAATGCCTCGACAATCTTCATTGCAATTGCTGACTTATTTATTAATCTAGGATATACTATGAGACCTTGCATACGAAATCGGGACTTGGAAATATCACCACAGCTGATCTGGGAGGATATATAAGCGGGGTCAAGTTGGGAATGGGTATCCCTTGCAAATCCAATATCCTCCAAGAAAGATACTGATTTATTGTAGCCTACAACCCAAAAGAGCTCGCCGTATTCCCCAAAACATGGTGTAGGACTCTGGGCCCGGTTGTTTATGAGGCCGAGAACGATTCCGGAGGGCATTTCTATGCTACTGAGAAGCCAGAATGGCTTGCAAGAGATTTGAGGGCGATGTTTGGGAAGGGAGGTGGAGCTTATGGGGTGGTGAAGAAGGGGAGCGGGTACGATGATGATGCTCGAGCAAAGTTGTGAGTCGGGCACGTGATGGTCTTTCATTGTACAGCACTTCTGGCTTCAATATATATTTCTTAGCACCAGTTGAACAGCCATAGAGGATGTCTAAACCTACGGTTCCACCTCGAGTCCGCAAGACAATACAGCTGTCAAGTTGTAAGCCCAAAATATCACATCTTCAGGTGTACCCTGTGCCTCACGTGATCTCTCCGAACTCCTGCTCCACTTGATTGGAACAACTCCAGTGGATGTGGGTTCCATTCGATCTTATTATGTATACATTAGTGCATTTTTTGGATCCTTGATCCCTGGACTCAAAGTCGTCACATGAAATGTCAAACATGTCGAAAAAAGAGTGGAGTAGTTCTATTCCCATGTGTGAAACCTATCCGCTAATATGCATTCATGAATCTAATGCTTCTAGAACAGTACTGTACAGTCTATTTTATGCCCGTGCCGTCTATGTTCTATGTCTATTTTGCACCCTTCTATTCTCCTACAATCATCTCATGCCGGTGCCGTTCCCATCTATGAATCTACACGTACTTGCACATCATGGCAACCATGAGATCGAACAGACCGATAGCCTCAACGAAGGCAAAACCCAAAATAGCGTACGCGAAGAGTTGTCCTCGCATGCTTGGGTTGCGGGCAACGGCCATCAGGAGAGCTGCGAACACCATGCCGATACCGATTCCGGCACCACCGAGACCGATGGCTGCTGAGCCCATACCCAAGTTTTGGGAGACTTGGACCATGGCTGTGGCGATTTCGGAGGAGAATGGGCGGACGGTTTGACGGCCCATGATGTTGCGGGTGGTGGCATTGAGGATTTGAGATGCTTGTTGACGCTTCAGGGTTTGGAAGGGGGCATTGGAGCGGATGCCAGATGAGACGCCTGTGTTTGATATGTAAGTGAATGCTGGGGCGATGTGAGGCATCGAGGAAGGTAGGACTTACCAGAGAAGGCCCGTTGAGAGCCATTGGCCTTGACGCTGCTGCGAAGGATAGGGCGGGCAACCTTAGCAGAGGTTGAGCCCATGAGGGAGGCCACCTTAGGGGCAAACATGCGTGTGGCAGCCATTGTAGAGGAGAGAGTGAGAAGGGCGGAGATGATTGGAAGAGAGCAAAGTCTGGAGAGAATGAGGGGAGAATGGAGGTGAAGTGTGCTAGAATCGTAGAACTTCAAAAGAGGCAGAAAGAAAGGATGGGAGCTCGAGGAGGAAAATTTTCTTGAGACAGTGGACAGCAAACTGAGAAGCGGCTCCGTCTCTCATTTAGATCCCGGTTGTTCTCATCAAGGTGGGAACAACCGCAAGGTGATCTGAGAGTGATGTGCAGGGTTGGGAGGCGTAACTTCTTTGGGTTTGAGACATTACACTTGACTGTCTCCTTGACTCCTTGAGGCTCAAATCCCTTTTGGTGGATCCAATAACGGGTCTGAATCCACTGCTGGTGGATTCAAGAATGGATCCATCCTAGAAGAAAAAAACTCAAAGCGTGGGACGTGAGAATCCACCGAGTGGCAGAAAAGGACCTGGGCAAGGAGGTAGCTACGGGAAAACGCGGACATTCGCATCTCAGGAAGATTGATTTTTTTTTGGTTTTGGGTCTCTCTGACGCTTTCATTTGCTTCTTCCCGGCAGGCTGGGTAGCTTGTGCCGGCTGGCTGCAGTGCTGCACTACACAGCGAATGGCGTTCCGGCTCTACCCAAGCCTGCAACGAGTCAACACCACAGCCCACAAACGAGGCCAGGAACTCGAATAGGGTGGGGGTCAACTTGGGGGTCACGGCCGAAGTCCAAGAAGACACGTTCCAGCTTCCGTTGGCGTCAGCTGCTGGATGGATTGGACATGGAATAATGATGGGTCAGGAACATTGAAAACAAGGATCTGACGCCACCATGCAAATCTCATGTCTTACTGGACTCACTGGAGTCTGGAGCGAGGAATGCAATGTCGGTGCCGCTGCTGATTGCTCGAGGTCAGGTTAAGGATCCGGGATCGCAGCCGCAAGTGCGTGCTTGACGGAATGAACGTCGAACAAGGGCTGCGCTAGCCCGCTTGCGCCGACAATTGTCCGATCCGAAAGCTCCCGACACATCTCAAATCTCAAAGCTCCTCGATGAGCAAGCAATTTTCGTCCGAAGGAGGCAGCATTTTCAAGGTGTGCTGTTGCTATTCGTATGAATCGCATCTCGTCCTGTATTCGAGAGAAGCTGCCGGAAGCCTTGCGCGACGCCTTCTGAGCTCGGTATTCCAGCAGCAAACAGCTTTTCTCCGAGCAAGCTCCCAGCCCGCACCTCGAAGGCTTTTTTTTTTGTTCAAGGATGCCCCTGTCGCACGCTAAATCCAAGATCGTACGCTTTCGTACAGTAGCTTCAGGGGCTCGCTATGTGCCGGGGAACCAAAAGAGTGGTCCGCGGACCGCTGCCATGGCCCATGGCTGAGAGCCTGAGAGCTTCTGAACCTGGCTGCAGGCGGCAGCTGAGAAGCTTCCATGCAGTGAGCTCCCGAAGCCGAGATGACATCTGTCTATTTTAACATACCGAGGCTCCTTGGCAGCCTTGTTGTATGGCCATTGGCCCTCCCACCTTTAACTTGTGAAGAGACACAACTCAAGTGTGGCTACTTGAATATCTCCTGTGCCAGTGTGCCATATCCGCTGCCGCAGCGCTGAAGGTTAGGAAGGCTTATATTATCAACAACGTCGCTGCTATATTCTTAGTTCATTCATACAGTATCCTCGGCAGCTACAGCCTCATACGCTTCACCGCCGCCTCGTCTCCTCATAGCCAACCGAGGACTCTCATACATGCTCGTATAGTCCACTGACTGCCCTCCCAGCATGGCCGAGCCATTCTCCCTCTTCCCAAATATCGGTGCTGGATCACACCAGAAGTCCTTGCAATTTCCAATACAGCCATTCGAGAAAGGATTGCGAGCTTGTCGTGGCCGGTTCTTGTTGCCTCCATATGCATCCAAGGCGGTATCGACGAAAGTATCAATTCCCAGAATCTTTTTCCATTGGGCAAGGCAACCAGCTTTGTGGTGGTGGTGATGACCAGGAGCGTGTGTAGGTGGTAGAGCCGGATCAGGGCCCATACCCGCACCTCCCACTTGAGCTCCTGACCATGACCCTGCACCGGTAGTGAGTGCTGAAGTGATGGCTTCTGAGGCTTTGCCTTGGGAATGATGAGCGCCGCGCATATTCTCATAAGTCGTCAGAGCCCTCGAAATCTGCACAAATTGCACAAACATCAACATAGTTACCCACGTCAATTGCAATGTCGCCCAAATCACAAGTACCAGAGTGTACGGATCTGAATTCACAACGCGGCATAGGCCTTCTCCTAGAATATTGCACTCTGGATCACCTGTCTCTTGTATGGACTCAAAGTCTTGTCATCGTCAGCTAGGATGTGTGCTCGGGAGATCAGTGGCCTTACATCCAATCGTTAACCTTACTAGAACCAGAATACCAGCTTCCAAGTTGATTAGATAGAGGAAGAAGTGGCGGTGATTATTTATCCCAATGCAATTATTGACCCATGGGCAATGGCTGTAAAAGTTGTTAGTAGTTTCCGCAAGGATACAAATCGGGATACTGACTGATCATGCTTCGCCACGCAGCGATTGCATCTTTTACAATGCTTGCTTCTCAGAGGCATTCGAACCATGCAGGGAACGCAGAAATTCTGCTCATCAAACTTCCACAACTCTAACAGCTCATCGATGACAGCCTTTTGCTGCGTGAGGCCACCGAGTTTGGGCACGAACCCAGGCTCATAGAACATTGTGCAGAAATAGAAATACCCGCAAAGACTATAGAATACCCCGAAGGCAATGTTGCTGATGGGATATGTTGAAAATGTTCCTAGGCCTGATTAGCGATGATAACGGCCTTATGATGGAATTGCACATACCAGGGAGGATGGTTGTTAACCATCGTAATCCTACCCAAAACAGAGTGGCGGCAAAGATACCCGCGAGCCAAGGCTATTTGATCAGCGTTCTACACTTCACCAGAGACATAAGGAGCTTACCGTTTTATGGATATGTCTCATATCGGACGGAGCGTACTCCATGACCTGCATGGCAACCCATTGCAAAGCATAGCCAGCGAAAAGAGCAAGAGGTATACCAGCAAATACCACCATGTGACTTGAGACCATTACCATCACCCACAAGATCAGGAATGGCCAGAGAAAGAAGAACTTTGACATGAATCCCCGTTTGTCTTTCATCAAATATGAAGACATTGGAAACTCGAGCGTCTTCTGTTTGGCGTCTTCAGTATAGCCAGATTCCTTCAATGCCTTCTGCCACATCCTCTCCGTCTTCATCTCAGCTGCCAGGGTGTCCGGCGATCGACCGTCTGCCGTCTCTGCGAATCGATCAGATCCATATTCGATCAATTTCTGTATGCAGCCCGGAGATCCCTTCACAAGAGCCCAATGTAATGCGGTGAATCCTGTCTCGTCGGTTGCATGAACGTTCGCACCCCATCTCAGAAACAGATCAACGTGAGCCGGGTACCCCTTATACGCCGCCCACATAAGACAAGTATGTCCATGGCTATCCGGAATGTCTACATCGATGTTTTGGTGCAAGAGTAAGGTAACGGAAAGGATGCTGCTTTCGAAGGTCGCCAGATGAAGTATATTATAACCTTGGACATCGGTGATCAGGGGGTCCGCGCCATGCTGAAGCAATAGGTTAACAGTATAGTAATGGCATCGTTGTGCGGCCCACATGGCTGGTGTAGCTACCGACTCTCCCCCTTTCTTGTTGACATCGGCGCCGGCCTTCAGGAGAAATTGGCACAACGCATACCGATTATTGATTGCGGCCCACTGTAAATGGGGTCAGTAAGTCCACCGCCAAGGAGAATTGCAGGCCAAAGTACATGTAATGGGGTAATGCCCTCGGCGTCGCTATATGAAGCGTCGAATTTCCCACTGTCGTAGAGTTTCTCGACCCCCTGAATATCGCCCATACGAGCAAGTTGCATAATATCATCTTCTGGACTAAAATCATGCCCCGAAGGATTGATCTCCTCGAGTTCGACATGATTATCATCGCTCAGCTTGGGCGCCACGACCGACGCCTTGCCGTTGGGCATGATTGGAGAATTGTTGTGCGCTGTCCCAGCTGTATTTGTTGGAGGTTTCGAGCCCGCGTGTGCCATTTCAGGATGACGGCGCGATGGCGATTGAATTCGATCGGAAGGAGCAATGCTGGCAGTGGGAGACTATGAGCTTCGCGCAAGAGAGGTCATGTCATATCGTTGCTGACGAGCGGTTATTCGTGCAATTGAGGATACAATCATCAGGTCGCCTGCACTTGCGTAGGGGAGCGAGGCTGAGCACCAAGAAAAGGAAATGTGACAGGGGTTGAGTGGAGTCAATCTTCACTTGCCCCGAAGCCTTGCCTCGCCATCTTCAACAGAGACATACTTGATACCACAACCAAACTCCCCGCAGCCTTTTGACGGCTTTGGCCAGCTGAATCTTTGCAACCCGGGCATCATGGCTGCCATGCAAGACTTGCTGCATGCCCTGCTAAATCCTTCCCCTCTGGGTCTGGCAATTGCGATCCTGCTCGCCGTCACGATCCCCATCTTCCTCCACTCAGTCGTCTTCCGAAGCAGCGGCCTCACTACATTACCGTCAATTCTCTTGATCGGCCCCAGCGGCTCTGGCAAGACATCTCTTATTACTTTAGTGAGCAGCAGTCCTTATCCTCCCTAGATATTCGCTGACTTTCCTCAAGTTCGAACGTGGCACAAAGGCAGCTGCCACTCACACTTCTCAAACCCCAATAGCTGTCGAATGCTCATTACCAGTTGGAGCCGTAGCTAGCTCGGACAAATATCGCTCAGACAATGATCCGACGAATCAGACGCACAAGAAGTTCCTCTTGATCGACACTCCCGGCCACGGAAAGCTCAGGCACCACGCCCTAGCGAGTCTCACCAACCCGCAGAATCTGAAGGGGCTTATCTTCTTGGTGGATGCTGCTACACTATCAGCTGGAGATGAGGGGTTGAGGCAGACAGCAGACTATCTCCATGATGTCTTGCTCTTATTGCAGAAGAGAGTGACTGGGAGTAAAGCTGCGAAAGCAATGAAGGAGATCCCAGTCCTGATCGCTGCGAACAAGATGGATCTGTTCATAGCGCTTCCCGCAGCCCTTGTGAAGAGTAGCCTCGAGGCTGAGATTACAAAGGTCAGGACATCTAGGTCAAAAGGCTTGCTGGATTCGGGTATTGGAATGGGAGATGCTGAGGACGAGAAGGATGACTGGCTGGGAGAGATGGGTTCCACCAGCTTCAAGTTCTCTCAGATGGAAGAGTTTGATATCTCGGTTGAGGTCTTGGGTGGTAATGTGGTGGGAGGAGAAGGTCCAACGGTTGATAAGTGGTGGAAATGGATCTCAGAGAGACTTTGAGAAGCTCCGAATACATTATTGCGAACTATCGAAAGTGTTCTAGCAGTGCCTCTCAATAGACCTGGCGAGTTAGTACTCAGCAATAAGTCTAGCCGCAACTTGATGCACTCCGGGCATTCTCCGAGTCCCATCCTCCAGAGATGTTCTTGTGTCTTTAAGACGCATAAGTCTCCTCCAGGGATGATCGTGTCTTTTCTCTTCTCTCCCTCATACGGTGAGACTGAAACTAAATCTCATTGGACCAGAAACTGTTGGCACATTGATACGATACGCCACAAAAACTGGAGGAGCTATTCACTTTACTCTAAGGGTATTCTCAATGTACCAACGTTTGTTAGGACATCCGACCGATATGCAACAAACTCTTAAATGATATTCACTTTTGATATGGAGGACCAGATGAAAGTCAACTCTGATCTCAAGACAACTTTATCTTAACATAACTTTCGCTTCAGATCGGAGAAAAGCTCACGACATAGAGTAAATGGACTTTCATCCCATGCCAAGTGATGAGATGAGATCAAGGCACCTTTCATCTGATATAAAAGGAAGATATAAAGGGTTAGTTGGGTACCTCAATGAACCAGAAAACCTTGCACTAATAAGATGCCGGGGCAATATTGGCAACGAGCGAACGTGAAAATTCAGCTAACTTGACAACCTCATTGCACCAGAACTTTTGGAACATTGACGCAACACGCAACAAAAGGTTGGCTCCAGAATTTTTCACTTTTCAATTATAGGGCAATCCTCATGGGCGGACTCTCCACCAGCACCCGGTGGGCCATCAAGAAACTCTTCCTGCAACCTCTGGAGCTCACAAATTTGCATCAATTTGTCCAAAATAGGGAAGTACATCACAAAATGGTTGGTAAATCACACTGATCACTGGCAGATGGGACTTTGCTCAGAGACAAGGCACATAAAGCCAGTCAATTCAGTTCGTAATTAGCAGTTAAGTGCTTGCACACTCTATCTCTCTACCATCATTCGGACTGTAGTGTTGAATCTACCTGTAAGTCTTTTCCGTAACGCCTCGCAATTTGCATCGAAACCCTTCGACAAATCATAAAAAGCGTAAAGCATAAATACGTAAATAAAAAAATTATACTTTAGACTGCTTGACCATCCACGACAACAGATCAACCTTGGTGACGACGGCCACTGGTTTCGGAAGCCCTCCATGCTCAATAGAGCCTTTTTCCGTAACAACAGCAGCACTATTCCACTCGAAGAATTTGCTCAGTGCATACAAAGGCGTGTCCATGGTTATCTCCACGAATTTTCTCTTGGGAGTCTTTTGCTCTCTTCCTTGACTACCGTTAGTCACTCCATTTGTTTTTGGGGGCTGTGGCAAGTTGCTGATATCCCTGGGGTCCGTGATGACTTCTGGGATGGAGGAGAAGTCAAACATAACATTAGAGACAGGTGATTTGCCCGTTGCTCTCCCTTGACTGATCCAGCTCAGAAGGTTACCGAGGGTTATAAGGCCAACGAGCTTTCCGCCGGCAGATGCAAGGACTGGCAATTGATCGAAGCCTTTTTCTCGCATTGTCTCGATGGCCTCGGAACAAGAAGTATCCACCAAGACCGTGGTAACAGGTTTCAGCCGGAGAGCTCGGAGGGTAGCACCACGATATGGGTCATTTCTCCTCGATGGGTCCAAAATGGGGGAAGGTGGTGAGGTAGCCGGAGGGGTTGGGGGGAGAAGGTCGTTGGCTGCCAACCAATCATCATCGGCGAACTTGCTCAGGTAGCTCCTAATGCTGTCAGGCAAGATGACAACTACCATATCACCCTTTCCAAGGCCCAAATCTTTTACACCTCGGACCATTGCAGCAATTGCACTTCCACTGCTGCCACCAACCAACAGACCTTCTTCAGCAATGAGCCTTCTGGCATAGGCAAAGGATTCCCGGTCATCCGTCTTATACCAAATATCCACCGAGTTTCTGTCGAGAACGTCCGGAATAAAATCGTACCCAATGCCCTCCACCTTGTATGCTTCATTGGCATGTTCTTGATTGAGACTTTCTGGCAAAGCCAAGATCGAGCCAAATGGATCCGCGGCAATGACCTTGATGTCCGGATTATGCTTCTTCAATCCTCGAGAAAGTCCAGTGATGGTTCCGCCAGTCCCTGCACCTGCCACTATAGCCTTGATCTTGCCATCGGTCTGCTTCCAGATCTCCTCCGCAGTTCCGTATTCGTGCGCCAATGGGTTGTTCTCGTTGGTATACTGGTCCAGAATATGGGAATTGGGAATCTCCTTCTGCAGACGTCGTGCAACACCAATGTGGGATTCTGGAGAGTCAAATGCTGCCTGTGTTGGTGTGCGAATGATTGTTGCCCCAAGTGCTCGAAGCACAGCTACCTTCTCCGGCGACATCTTCTCAGGAAGGGTGATGATCGTCTTGTACCCTTTAATAGCACCCACGAGAGCAAGACCGATACCACTGCAGATTGTTAGAATGCACCAACGTATCCAAGATTTTTCGCATACGTGTTTCCACTCGTGGGCTCGATCAGAGTGTCTCCTGGCTTTATTCTTCCAGATTTCTCTGCCTCCTCAATCATGCGTAGTGCAATGCGGTCCTTAACACTTCCACCGGCATTGAACAATTCCACCTTTGCGTAGACATCTGCTTCGATTCCCAAGCTCTGCGGTATATTGTTCAGGCGAACGAGCGGTGTATTTCCAATCAACTCAGTGGCCGACCTGGCCATGACTGGAGGGCCTGCTGGCTTGGTTTGTGTTGACATTGTTGCCATTGAGGGAACCGTGCGGGTAGGTCAGGAAGAAGGACAGAAATTCTGTTCTAGAGAAGAGAGAAGTGGGCGATGGTGGAAAAGAGAAAGAAAATCATGCAGGTACTGCAATGAAGCTGCAGGAGTGGCGCAATGTTGTGTTGAAAGACGAGATCAGAAAATCAGCTCCTTGTAAGCCGCAAATATCCGCTCCGCGATAGAGGGGTACCCGATAAGGATCACGTGGCTGGGAAAGTACCGGTTGTTTTGGATTAAACTTCTAACCATTATCTCGAAGCCTGAGTCTGAGGATATACCTGAGTACAAGGAACAATGGATTCAGCGTGGTATCGCGATCCTGCGCGTCTGCATTCCACTTGCCGCATCCTTTCTTTTGATCGGATCGGACAATTTTGAAGCCGATGTCATTCCCATCCCAACCGGCTAATTTAGAAACAGGGATGGCGGCTTTTGCATGGGTCTAAAACGCCCCCATCTCAAATTCAAGATTCAATCTAAGCGAAGTTCAACCTTCCAACATCACAGTCTTTAAACTCACTGTCGCCCACACCGCTTTCGCACCCCAGTTTCGCACATTCAACAAGTCACTCGTTTTGTAGATAGAGCTCTCCAAACCATCATGCGACCATCGAATGCCCTCTACTTGGTAGCGGCCTGCTGCCCCCTGGCCTTTGCGGACGTCAAATTTACCGTTCCAGCTGCTGGAGCTTCTGTAGCAGGTGGGACAGCATTCACCGTTACCTGGACAGACTCCGGATCTGCTCCTTCCATCTCGGATCTTACTTCATACCAACTATTCTTGGAAGCTGGCTCGAATACCGCTCCGCAACAACTCTACTCGCTGACCACGGCTGGATTGTTCAGCGCTGGGAATACAATCACTGTCACTGTCCCTATAGGTACCGGAGGAATAGGAACAAATGCATAGTAAGCTCACAAATAGCCAAGTCCCTCCTCATTTTCTGACGGCTAGTTAGCTTTCTTAAAATGATATCAGTCGCAACAGCAGGAGGCACAGTCACGAATTACTCAAATCGATTCACATTAACTGGAATGGCGGGCACGTTTTCCCAAGCAGTAAAAGATGGTCTTCTTACGGTCTCTGGAACCACTGGTCCTGCTGCCGTCAACAACGTGGCGGCAGCAGCGGCTGGAACAGCGAATGTAGAAGAGGGGGTTTGGGGAACGCCTTACAACCTACAAACTGGCCCGACAAAATACGCTCCCATGCAACCAGTTCCACCGACTGCCATTACTGTGACGAATACATCCCCTCTGTGGCCAACTTCCTCAGTTGTTTTAGCAAGCACATACCTGCCCATTCCAAGTGTTCTGATAACACTAACCCAGTCTCAAACCTTCAGCGTGTCGAGCCACGCTAACACTGTGAGTCTAGTGATTGCCGTTTCCCATACACATATAGATGCTAAAATTTAACAGGCTGCCGCGGCCTCACAACCTACCGATGACATGCAACGATTCCTGAACAGGTGGAAGGATTAGGATGTGTATTCGAATTTCGGGGTTAGAATATGAGAATATGGGAAACAACCTTAGAAGTCCATTCACAAAGGCCTCGGATGGAGTTCAGAATTGGCCGATACATTGAATTATAGGAGGAGGCGGTCATGTGGGTATACCATGCAAGAAGCGCTCATCACATAATTAGATCGCCAAGGGGCGAGGAGTTCAGAGGCGATAATCAATTAGACGAGGTCCTGGGGATGGATCTCACCAAATGAATGACAGTGGTAAGCCAAATTGTCAGCAGAGATCTGATAGATTTGGCTAGCCAAGCACATAGACTTGAGATCAAGGAGGTCTTGCTGTCCTTCAGCACATAGTATCAGTGTACAAACCTGGGTTTAAGTGCAGTTCGCAATCAAGAACCTTAACAATATCTGTAACCTCCAAGGGAGTCCTAAGTTTTCTTTCCATCGCCATTTTCTTCGAATTCAAGTCCAAGGTTTTGATCGAATTCTGGTTAAAGGTCATGCGAACCGCAACCAAGTATTGTTAGTAATTCCTCGAAGTCCGCATTCGTCCCATTGCAAATTCAGTTGTTCTATGTGATTTCTGTACATTGTAGCCAGGAAGTTTCGAGGCGACCCTTTTGATGGGCCACTTCCATGAGCAAATACTTGAGAAAGAAACAGGAATTTCATATCCAATGGTCCTATGAAGATCTTGGCAGCTCGCCTCGCGCCTTGAAAGCTGGACATGGACGATGAAAGCACGACTAATCAAATTTGGATTACAGTTGATATTGCAATCTCCGATGTTGTTTCGTTTTTACGATCAATTGTACGGTTCGAAATCATTTATATGCTTACATATCTTCGGCATTTAAGGTTACTTACAAGTATCTCATTGAAGTCGTTCAGCGAAGGGCCGTAGCACTCTCTATGGGAATCGCACAATAGGGGGGTCATACCCCTGCAGGAACTCCCGAGTCTCAAGCACCTTTCAGAGTCTGGCCACATACAGTAATCACTTTGGCACCCTTCCCGCGTCCGCTTCCTCGACATAACACTCGAAAAACTGGTCAATTAGTGATGGTTTCTCTGGTCGAAATGTATGTGCAAATATCTCCCCTAATGCCGCCGATTTCAAGGCAGCTCCGCCAGGTATGGGCGTGTTCTTGGCAAAGCAGACAACACGCGTTATTAACCATGTCGTTCCTTTGCGACCCAGACTTCTCGTCGTGGAGCTGGTCGCCAATAACGCCAGTGTCAACTTGAGACACGGACACTACGCACTGTAGATTCGCACTGTCCAGGGATGCATCAGTGGTTGGTTCTTTGGGCAGAAGACCCATCTTTCGGACCTCTGCCTCGCCACTGGTATCCTAGGTGGCAGGAGTCTTCTGAAGAAATGCTAGCTTTAGGGCATAACAGAATCAGTAGCCGGTGCTTGACTGCTCGGCGAAGCCTCTAACTCCTACTCGAGTTTGATCTCTCGAAGATGCGACGAGATACGAGATTTCTGGGCTGCAGTGCCGATTGGTTTCGCTCAACTGTTGACGGCTGGTGACCAACCTTGACACCCATCGAAGTCATTCCCCGGGCTTTGGATTAGCGGTTTGAGGGGGTTGAGCTGCCCAGGTTGGTGCAACCGAGAAGGCTGCGTTTTCTAGCTTAATTTGACTTGTCCAATAGTGGCTGGAGCTTACTGTGTTGGCAGGAACGGTGCTCCGAGTGGTTGACTACGAGTCGTAAGTAAATGCAGATATCGAATTTGAGCTAACTCAAGTAGGCGAGATGCGAGTGGACTCCCAATAGAAACAGTATCGAGGTGAATAGTGGATGAGGCTGCGGTCCCCAGGTTGAGCATCTCGTTACGCGAACTGTATCGAGGACTCGAGCAGCTCGTGACCAGGTGCTGTGGACGGAGATCCTCTGCTTACCTACTTTGGGTGCATCACGATAGGTTGGTACAAAATTCCCACGTCATCTCCACAGCATCACGGAGAGCCTGATCGTAGTTCATGGTGTTGATGTTGGTGGAGCCAGTTGGAGGAGGGAAAAGCTTGTATGGTGGGTCCGGTCCACATTCGGAGATGCGGAGCAGAAGCACTCTCCTGAGGAAATTCCACTCGCAACCCTCCTGTCGAGTGCTGGTAGGGGACATGAAGTGCCGAGGAGCAGGGCATCGCCGCCTAGATGTCCCACGCAGCCCAAGAGAACCTCAAACATATCAGCCCAGGTCAACCCAGGCCCTCCCACGCCATGGAGTGACAATAAGCTCCTTTGGTGCGTTCCAACGTCCTATTTACTTTTGCTTTAGGATCAACCTATTCAAGGTCCTCAAATCGCTTCAGCTAGCATTGTGTCTTACAGTAGTCGACCTTGCTACCGAGAAGGGTCGTCTGCCTCACACTCAAAAGGGACCTGACCACTTCTACTACATCATCCGTCCCTCGAAGGTCATTCGCATGGCCGTCATTCAAGGCTAACACTCAAGACAGATACCATTCGATAGCAGTATCCCGGTGGCCACTAGTAAGTTCCCCAATCCTTAACTTGACAAAATGGTACTCGATATTCCAGGCTTTCTTGATTATCTCGTGCGCCAATGGCCTAGCCAAGCATTTCTTTTTCATCAAGGGCAATGTTGCCACCCCGCTTGACAATGTCTCGTTGCTAGAAGGGTATCTATGTGCCCATTGGTCTGTGTAATGTAATGTAAGTCTCCCAACTCCAACTATCCAAAAAGCATCGCTGACAATCCTCGGCCGTGTAGGACCCACTCGTGATATGGCTCGCAAATAACAATCCTCAAGAAGACACACATTCCAACGTTAGGCTGCCGATGCGGTGGGAAATAACCTTCATCTCCTGTTCGCCAAGTGCGGATCTCGTGGTGGTTAGGGAACGCTCCCTCAGGTTTCCAGGTACGTCTGCCTTTGCATATTTTGTTTTTATTTTGATATTTCCTGTCTGCAGGTATATAGCACATTGTAAAACTCGTCACATCTACAATGTTTTCGATTACTGACCTCTCTATCAGGGATCCTAATCCCAATATCCACGGCCAGCTCCTGATATACATACGAAGGGCATTGAGGATAACTACATGAAGGACACCAATGGCCTTGGTGAGATGGTGAACATCTCGGTCTTCGACCAAGTGCCACCCAGACTAGAACACGGAACACTCGACAGGACGATTCTCGTTTACAACAACTATTTCAAACTCACGTTCCCGGGCTTTCGGAGGCACCCTAGGGCGGCCATGGCCTTGGTGACCGAGGTGATTGTGTGGTCTCCGTAGCATCAGAGGCGGCGGCGGCGGTCGTCATTGTACTTGGCTTGTTGATATTTGATAATTTATATGCATTCCTCGCAAAAGGTGTTTCGTCCCCACTACATAATAATTGCAGATTCGTGAGCCAGACCTCAAGCCTTCAAGCCTCTCCGCCTTCTCACGACCTCCAGCCTAATAGCAAAATCCGGGATGTCATTATGTCCCAGCTCTCTAATCTCCACGGTGCCATTGTTCCGGAAGTTCTTCCTGTAAGTAGGGGAAGCCATCGTCAAGTTCCTAGCACGGTTCATTGGTCCCTTACCCAATCCCCCTATAACTCCCACATAACGTCTTTGATACTGAGAACAGCTTTGACACCAAAGAACCCAACTGTAATTATCTCTCGTCCTTCTATATACCTACAACTATGTCGGATACTCTTATATCTAAGCCACAGTGACGACCACAATGGAGAAAGCACAATTCATCCAGCGAGCCATCCGCCTACAAAATAACCACAATTATGGACGCATATCCGATGGCCCAGAAATTGAGGAGATATGTGGTCGTAGCCAGTATCAAGGTCCCCCCCCGGACAGCAGCAATGAACAATTACGCCACTGGTCAAAGCCAACAAGACCAATCCAGTAGTCTGCCCTCCAACGGTCCAGCTCCCTCGCAATATCAAGGAGAACAAGCTGAAGCCTCGACGTATCCCGGGATATGCGACGACCGCGCCAGTCACGTAAATTTGACCCCGAAAAGTTGAATTGAAGGGCATCTGCTCCAACGGCCTCTTCTCGAGCGACTGCAACTGAAGTGAAATGGAGCCTTGAACGACTATATTAATGAGGTAGCTTAGCCAGTGCTCAGTCCCTTGATTATCCCCCAACACCAATGGCGTGCAATATCCAATTGCAAATTGGTTATTGTACGGCGGAGAAGGTCCCTCAACACCTATCTCTACAGCTATGCAGATTAGCCATTGCAAAGAGCTAGTATTGCTCCGCATAGAGATCCTCCCGAGGCTTTAGGGCCGTTGAGGCAATGGTTGCAATTTATAGTTTTGATACTTGGCCTCGATTCACTCTTTTTCTGTCGTGAGGAGAAATAATATGGGCTTTGTTCAATTATGGCGTTTTTCATTCTGCGCCTGTCAGATAAGAAAAACCGAGTTGCCGGAATGAGCCCCTGAAGCAAGCGAATCCCTTGGAGGCCGGCCTTAACCCACCTTGCCCGTGGCCAAATCATCGATTAAAAAGCTACGAGACTGACCCTTTCACAGCAAACCTATATTACAACGAACCTCCCCTATACCGACACCAAGTATCCAATATCTGAAGGAGCTGCAGTGAGACGAGCCTACCCCTGGACCAGCAACGGAGGCCCCCAAGCCGCATAACATTCAGGGGCTCGTTTGAATCACGTGACGCTGCGCGTGGAAGTCCTGTCAGTCGAGCAATTGAGTCGCAGCATCCGTTCCTTGAGTAGCCCGAGAGCCTTCCCCTCCGTTTTGCTCGCCGACTCCAACATCGTTGACCTGGCCCTCAAAGTTGAGATTGTGGTCGCGAGGTAGGAATTTTGTTATTGTGGCTTCGGCAGCTTGTGTTAGCGGTGCAATATTGGCGGAGATTTCTTTGGTTGTATTCAGCTCGTGGGTGGCCGTCTCGTTGAAATTGAAGGCCTTAACGTTAGTGGATAGCATTTGTAGGCCAGGGGCCTTTCATAGCACGAAGAGAATCAGTTATAGATTGATTAACGGCTACTTTATCGATACTCGGATTGGCTATCCCTATCTCGCTACTGTAAGACCGAATCTTGCTTTGGAATCTCGCTTAGTAAAAGAGGCTCTGTGCTTGCTGTTCTTCTGAACGGATTATTGAATTGGCCCCAGTGTGGGTTCCGATAGGCTCGATAACCGATCGATAAGTAATCGTGCTAATTAGTCGATAGTCGATAATTATAGATAATAATTTATCGGAGTCCACACTGATTGGCCCTGCTAGTTGAGGAAGAGGGTAACATTGCCGTCAAGGAGGAACACATTGCTGTTGAAGGGGCGGACCGCGATGCTGTTATTGACCACAGTTTGTAGACTAGGGAGGGACATCTCGTTGGTGCCGAGGAACAGAAGTCGGACAGCCAGAAGGTTGAGTGGTCGGCGCGTGGTGGTGAAGGAGGTATGGAGGCGAGGGCGGGGGTGAGGATGTCTTTGGTTTCTTTAGTTTCGTTGCAGAGAAGGGAGACCTCGCCTCTGGGGCTGTTGGCGGACTCGGTGCCACGAAAACAATATCTAAACACTCAGCGGCTTTCCATCTCCAACAACCAAAGCCACCTCCTCGATGCCCCGTTCTTGAAGTTGAATAGCAAAGTCGACCAGCTCATCGTCGCTTTCATTACCCTCGAGCAAAGTATTCCAGATGGAAAACGGCATAGCCAGCTTGGAAATCTTTTAACACCTAAGATTTATGAACGCCGTTCCTCTAGACCACTTGCTGACTTCCATTATTTCATTCTTGTATGTTTGTGACATTAATTGCTAAGGTGGCTTCAAGCTTGTTCGTATTGAATGGCTATTCCATGCTCATATATTTCACAAGAGGTAGATTGTACAGGATGACTAGCCAGAAGTTCCATAATTTCCAAGTTGCATTGTCGTCTTCCGCGGATCTCTTTGTTAAAGTGCGTAACATTATTATAGCCCCCGGGGTTAGGCAAGGAAGGTAAGCTAGGACCGCGGATTGCCAGTACCATGGACAGCCAGATGACCAAAGAGCAATAGGGAAGCAAGTGATGGTCCTGCTTCTGCTGTCCCCAAAAACCAATGGTAATGTCTTTCGACCACGAAGAGCGTCAGCCGCTTGATCCCCCATATCTTGCGTTTGGACAGTTGTAAGCACAATTGCCCAGATAATCAGAAACTATTGCAATAGGTACCCGTATTGTGAAATTTCAAAATGAGGTCCTAGTGTTACTTCTGTTGCACCTGCTGCATAGCATACGAACCCGCAGGCATTAAGAAAATTCCGTGATATCCAGCTAACGTCGCTTCCACCAAAGCCATTGTACCAACAACCAAGCAACATTAAGGATATACATGGTCTGAATCCGCCAAACACAAAACTCGTCAAAACTGCAATCGGGTATAGTGCCAGCATAAGACTCTTAGCTTGCCTTGGTGTAAGTCTGTTCGAAGGCATCGGCCTCCAAGGTTTGTTAAGTCCATCTTCAAGAATGGAACTTGGCCGTCGTTGGTTATCAATGGTCATGGGAAGCAAGTTTACCCAGACCCAGAAAGTAACTACAGGAGTTCTTCGTAGAATCGAGGAGTATGAAAGCGCTGCCGATACAGGTATTCCAAATGCTGGAGCAGATATTGCGGTGATAATTCCCAATGCTGTTTCCGGCACCACAATAGTCTTGAGATCGTTAAAAGTAAAGAGCCAAATATATTTCAGATGAAACATCCAGGTGTTCGTATTATCGGGGGGGTTGCGGCATTCGAGGACTGAGGTGGCATCCTTGCTTTCAGACCGTTCAAAGTACCGAGATATTGACTGTAGCACAAGTCGTTGCTGAAGATTTTGAAACCGGATTTCCTATAGACTTTTAGTATCAAAAAGCACCAGTCTCCGTTTATTGGCGTAGTGCTTACTGGAATGAATATTGAACTGTTTCTTCTAATTGTATCTGTTGTGACGTCAGCGTCACATGACCTGGCCCTAGCGTGGCACCCTGTACTTAGCTCGAGCTCCCCGCTCCTCTCTTCTTTTCTCTCTTTAGACGTTTACATACACACCCAAATAGAGCTGATTGCCTTCAGGTCTTCCGCTCCGGGTCGTGATAGTATCCATGATACCGAGACCTGACAAAGTATAGTTTACTGGATTGACCAAGTCCGGGTAGTCTTCGTGCGAGATTAGTTAAGAGTTGAAAGAATCTGCAATAAATCAGTGATTTATATAGTAACGGTACTGGCGGTACCCGTTTTAAGAAATATCGATTTAGGCACACAGCTGCATTAGCTTCATTTTCCGCTATAAAACAGTGCGAATATAACCAGATGATCCGTCACTAAGTTCGGAGCTGAAGTCCCTTTATGAAACCATTCTAGGAGGGAGGCTTGGGACTACACCAGATTTCCATCTACGATTGGTTACCGAACATAGCATATGACTCTGTGCCTGCCATTTCAAGGGTACTATGTAGATGTGGGGTTAGGGAGGGCTCGAGTGGCTAATCGGGGTAGGGGTGGTCCTGCCTTTACGGTAAAGGGGGTGGACACATCGGAGCGAACTCCTGTACGTGCAGCTATATGTCGGAGACGGGTGTTGCTATAGTGAAAGCACGTGCACACCCTGTCTACTAAACTTTTAGGTGTAAAAGCCTCTATGGCAACAGCACAGCGACATATGATCGTCTTACAGGAGTTCAATCCGATGCGTCCACCCCCTTTACTCGTATTGCTCACATGTCTGGAAATACTCCCCGTTCTGCACCCCCTCTCTAGCTAATAGGTCAATCAGGATCTCGGAGGATCTACACCACTCTTGGTGAGTGGCGCAAAATGTATCTTCAGACTTATGGGCGGCACGACTACATACAAGTAAGCAAGTTATTCTGTACGATCCGGCCAACCACGCATGCTCTTTGTCCATTACTCATCCCCCCTTGAATACTTACAGTAAGCCCAAGGATAACACCACCCAAGCACTGGCCATCTCAAGGGTGTATAGCCAATAGCGATTTTGGAAAGCGCCTGATATTTCCCAGTTGGGAGTTATCCCTTCGTCCGGTGAGATAGTCCACGCTAGCAAGGGGGTCTGGCTCTTGGCGAAAAGGCGATAGATGACTAATAGATTTATAAACAAAGGTATGACTTTACAGTCCGAGCCAGGCCCCAATGCTAGCGTGGACTGTCTCACCGGACGAAGGGATAGTTATGTGAACCGGTAAAGGCTTTTAGCCAAGTATGTAAATCGGGTCTCGACCCGTTATACTCTTCTCCTTCTTTTTAGCTTATAATTTCAGTAATACGAGCTTTTTCTTTTAACTCCTTAATTTATAAAATATATTATAATAATATAAATTTATTGAAAATTTATTGAAAATTAAACATACTTCCATTATTTTAATTATTCCAATAGCTTAATATATATTAAGGGGTTACTTTAAGCTTATAAAATTAGGCGATGTTGTGGTGTTGGACCTGCTGTTTTCGACAGGTTTAGTCGCTGTTTTATGGGGGGTCGAACCCCAGGAAGACCCATCACGTGTCGAGCCTGGCCTCGTCAAGCGGCTGATCGTCGGAGCGAAGCAACTCCAGGAACTCCAAAACGTCAATCCTACTTTTGGACTCGATGGTCCCCCCTCAAGAAACGGGGGGTCTGTCACTATGGCGGTTACCCTTCCGGCGTTTCGAGTCCTCTGCCCTCCGAATATACTTATATGTCCTCCTCCGTCCCCCTATCTCTCTCGCAGCTATTACTTCTCACCGATCATAACGCCCCCCTCCTACTCCTCTGCGCCTATTACTCTTCACGACGACGGTATTGTCAAGACTACTCCCTACTAAAGCAGAATAACTCCGTCGTCCTCATGGCCCCGAGACGGTACGCGCCCGTCGACCCACGACCGCCGAATACCTCGGTGCAGGACCTTCAACTCCTTCATTGTCGTGTCGAACGTCGTCGACCCAAACCGAAGAGTAAGCGCCCGCCCGGGTATTACCAGAACCTCATCGAGCGACACGATAACCTGAAGGCTACGATCAAACATAGGTATGCCGATGCGACGAAGGACAATCTTTCGGGTATCAAAAGCAAGTTTGTCAGGTAAGATACCCGCAAATAAAAGTGCTATTGGCGTGGTCAACTGTCCTAACCCTCGAGCAGGTTCTGTGATGATCAGCTCAGGAAGAATTGGCGCTCTGTGATCCGGGACTGCTCCCTGGGGACCACGCTGGCATTCCTCAAGCACATCCACGACGAGGACAGGGTGAGCAAAAGGGGTGCGATGCAACAATACATAGCACAGTTCAAGATGCTATTCAACCGAGAGAATGGCCGTCACATGGATACCAATATTGGGAAAGAGGCCCTGAAGGTAAGCTGCTCCCTGATTATTTCCGCTCGCTCAATCCAAGGTTGCTAATATCTGTAGTACATCGACACGTTCGGGCTTGATAATACTGTCAAGTCGAAGCCTGTCCTGGGCGTGGACGACCTGCTGCTCTTACTCAACCACCACTGGGCCCGTGACACCTCTACATTCCCCACCGAGCGGCACCGGGTGCAGTTCGCACTGATCCTGCTCCTCCTCTTTGGCACCGGTTGTCGGCCTGCCGAGCTAGTCGATGCCAAAAAGAAGAGAAGAGACGATACCGGTTCTGAGGACGATGATCTGGACGACGACGATAGCCTTGCCGTTGAGAAGAGTGATAACGGTTTCGGTACCGAGGGCGATACGGACTTCCGTGGCCGCAACGACGATGCTCTTGAAGGCGTCGCCGCTACGAGTGGGGTTGAAGAGGACATTAGACATTATGACGCGATCTGCTATGAGGATGTGCGCCTGCTGGTTGTGCGCAGTCCCGGCGACGGAGAGCGGGATGTGCTCGCTATGGAGGTTACGATGGCTCACCACAAAGGACACAAGAGACGCCCAAAGCCGTGAGTTGACTGACTACCTCGAACATGCGCTCCAAGATCGAACTAACGGATACTCGCAGTACGATATTCTTCTTTACCGAAGTAGACGACCCGATCTTCTGTCCCATCACGCACCTCGTCTCCCTCGCCCTCGCAGACGGCGCGTTTGAGGCGCCGAGCCTGACGACTCCCAGGCGGGTCTTTGAGCACAAGGTCTGGGGCCCAGTCTTGTGCACGCCGCTGCGCTGGAAGCAGGAAAGGCTCAAGACGCCCATCTTCCGTCGAGAGGAGGGCAGCGCTAACCCCTCGCTAGAGAGGGCTCTTCCATACTCTCAGTTTAAGCACTGCCTTAACCGCCTCGGGCTTGCGGCGGGCTTCAAGGATACGCTGACCAGCTACTGCTTTCGACGTGGGACCGCAAATGTCGTTGATCGTAAGTTGTCCCGCGGCAGCTCGAGGAGGAGATGGCCTTGCTAACAAACGTCCTTGGTATCTAGGTACTGCCACCGATGCCGTTCGGGACCAGGTCATGCGACACAACCCGAACTCGGCCGTATATAATGGGTCCTATATCAATGAGCGGGTGTGGTTTGACGTCCAGTCCGCCGTCCTCGAGCGTCCCTCGGCAGACGGCGTCCTTCGCATGCTGACGCACATGAGTCTCATGCGCGATCCCCGCGCCCCGATTCACGTCCCTGACGACGTCCTGGCCGCGCTCCCTCCCGATCCAGATGTCACCGCACTTGAGCAGGAGCGAGAGAAGTTGAAGGCCGGGGCATACAGAGTTCAAGGGACGGACGTGGAGGCAGAAGTCCGGCGACTCACCACCGCAATCGGTAGTGCTAGGAGCAGGCGTCGAAACATCATCTCTGAAGAATACCGGGCAGACTACTTCCGCCGCCGCCCGACGGAAGACATTGAGAAGCAGAACAGCGGACAGGAGGAGGAAGAGTATATCGAGCCAGTGGTTCAGCATCAGATCCCCCAAAGGACGCAGCTGGCTGACCTCATCTGTACTCGCGTTACAAACATCACCCCGCAAGACGCTATCGATCGCCGGATTCAGGCCGCCGATTTCATGCAGGCTCTCTGCGGCTGTCGTGAGGTAGCCCCACGATACCGACTTCGCGTCGCCCTTCCTCTACCAACTCTTTTCAAAGAAGAGTCCCCTGAGGTCGGACCCCTCGCTCCTGTCTTCCCCCTCGTCTGTGGCAAGACTCAGTGCCTGTTCTGTATTGGCGACGAATTGAAGAGCTACGAAGAGCGGATGGGCTCCTTTTGCCGCGTTTCTAAGATGAGGGATCACGTCGAACGTATTCACTTGCAAGGTATCGTACCGGAGGAGAAATTTCCCTGTTACCATCCCGTATGCAAGTCTCAAGGGCTAGTCCTCGAGCACTTGCAGCATTTCAAAAATCACATACAGACCGTCCACGGGGTCAGCCTTCGAGAGTAGCGGGTACTCCTCTCGAATAACCGGTGGAAGGCGCCGCTTTTTCTGCAATGATAATATACCAACCTAAGTTTTCATATATTCTATAGCACCTAAATATTTGGTATTTCTGATTTGAATTTATTATATTATTATAGAACTATTACGAGCATATTTTATAACCTCTTAACAAATCTCTGATAGTTGGGCATATAAAACTCGTCTGAGTCAGTACTCTAGCGTCTTACGCTAAGTAATATAATCTTGAAACCCATTATTCTTTCGCATCGCCGTTATATCTCCTTTAACAATATCAAAATCTGCCGGGGTCTTTATCTCTAGTAGAGGGTAGCTCTCTTTCTGAGAGCTTATCAGTCACGGTCTTATACGGCAGTATAGAGACTCACCAATCTACTCCTTAGTCGGCGGCCAGTGAAGCTCGTCTGATAAGATGTTTACGCAGAATATCTGCCTCTCCTTCGGATAACTAAGAAGACAGCTGCCCCAAAAAAAGCGGTAACGATTATCTACTTTGCTAAGAAGGCTGGTCTTCCTTCGTCGAAACTTTACCTGGATATTCCACTTCTTTCGCGGTTATTTATATATGGATTCTTGGCGTATTAGGGATTCCCTAGCCTAGGAACCTGATTAGAAAATTACCATTTAATCGTCGACTGAAGAGAGAGAATCTGGTAATGATTCTGGTAACGAATCCAGGCTTGCCACCCTGGAGGCACCGGCTTTTGGAGGTCTTGGGGGTGATTCTGGGACTGGCCATTTCTGGAATTGCCATTTCTGGAGGCCATCGGGGGAGGCGTCACTTCTGGAGGCGCGTTGCTAGAGCTCAACGTCTTGTACATTTAAGATTCCAAGCATGCTGAATACCATGGCAACTTTTGGCTTCTAATTTGAACGCCTTCCCACTAGCCGATCTATCGGGCCCGCGCCGTTTCTTCTGCACTATACGTCCAGTCTTCATACTATGTCAATCCCACCAAAACCCCTAGAATATGGACATTACTCAATGGTATGCCGTAGCGCTTGTAGCCATTACTGCCCTTTCAATTGTTTTCTATATGTTGGGGATTTCGATCGGCTTTCTACACACCTATACGACATAGTATTTTCTTAAGCATGTCTTTTATCCACGGTCCACAAGTATAAGAGGTACCACTCGATATTATGCGGTCTTGGTTATTGCTCTCCCTGTAGGTAATGTCGTTTGCCTCACGGATAATGCATAAAGGCCTTGCAGCAAATAGGACTGTTATTTATAGTAAACCTCATTCCTCTTGCTCTCGGAAGCCATATGAACTCCATTATTACTAACGAGATTGGAGGACATGAGTCTGCTACTAGTTCGTAGAGGGAGGAAGCTCTATGCGTGTTCGAGTGCATTGGATAGCAGGTAACGTAATAATAATTTGAAATTCACTTTATGATATAAAATCGAAGGGAAGACGGGGCAAAGGTCAAGAAAAAGCTGTGAATTCATAATAATAATCGGCTGTACCTCTCCCAAACTCAATTATATAGCCGTATCAATTCAAATACAATATCTTCCTATTTGGCACATGGTAGAACAAGCTTGCTCTTGACGTTGAAATCCTGAGGCAGCAGATTTACCGGGAGTGGATATGACATTTGCTTGTTTCGTATTAGCACCGTACATGCCTTTCGTTACGAAACTTACGATCTCATCCCATGATGGAGGAAATGACTGTCGGTTAGTAGATCTGTATGTAAACCAATGCCCAGACTTGTATATAAAGAATGCTATATCAGCGCCGCTTAGCTCTCCATACTCATGGGCCTTTTTAATTAGAGTACGCTTCCGTCTTCGAGAGTTCTCCCCTTTGCGATTTCGTATACGAGACATAGTTATTTGAGGAAAGCGAATATGTTTGGGAAGAAGGTGCCACGGTATATTTTTAAGAAGCTCAGGTTTAAATTGGTATGCAATAGATTTGCGGCAGCCCAGGCGACAGTATTATGTGCCGACAGATTTCTGACCGCCAGATCCGTGGTCGACCAAGGATTCTGCTACCCGACAGATTTGATCTGGCTCTTCGTAGGAGAAATAAGCGGCCGAAATTGGCGGCTTGGCCCCTGCGCCAATACCAAACCTTCAACTTCCTGCCCTCTTTTTGAGACAATACAAGTCAATTAAAGGTACAAACGACGTATATAGGACTTGCAAGATCTGGTATGACTATAGGAAGTCGTAGAGAGAGAAGAAGTTAATTTGCTGTCTAGTAAATACTGGTTTTTTGGTGTTCGTTGAATTTGTCAAAATCGGCCATTTTTTTTCTCCTCCCACTTAGTTTTGGTATGCTCCTACGAGCTACTTGCTCATAGGAATTATCTCCTACGAGCCATTTTCTCCTATGAACTATTTTCTCCTGTGAAGTTTCTCCTATGAGGCCGTGGGCTACTAGGAGCTTTCTAATAGGAGCTATGGTCTCCTATTAGCCCCACCCTCCCAGGAGTTTGCTTTGTAGCGCTGGAAATCGCGTGGAAATCGCGGGGGGTAATGCGGCTTGCATTTGTGGCTTGGGCTCGCAAATCATGCTTAGCCCTGCGTTATCCTCGAGATACATTTTCCTTTAATAAAAAAATTAATCTCAATTACCTTCTTTATATTTACTTAAATAGTGAAAATTGTACTTTCTTTTAATATTAATTGAAATCTAATAAAAGTAGAATACAGTAAAGTTCGAAATCGGCTTCAGTTCGGAATACTCAATGATTTTATTTTTGGCCCACTTTTTATGCGCACCACCTGAGGATTCGGTGACCTTGGGGCCCGACGTCGGCATTTACTCCTGCTGTATCACGTGATTGACACAAGCTTCTGCCTGACGCTCTTTTGACAACTATCTTCCTCACTACTACGATATCATTCTCGCTGGTGTTATCTTCCTCGCCTCCCCCATCTTCCTCATTTGTGTTAACTGCCTCTCTGCTATCCTCCGAATAACCTGCTCTAAATACGAACTATCCTTCTTTAGTATTGAATAATTTCAATTATGTACAACCTCGCGTATGTTAATTTCTACTGCAATGCTCCCACCAATATTAAGTATACCAGCACGCCCACGCCCCTCTACTGCCGGCTCATTAAGGCTCAACACTTCTTGAATTTCCCTCCTCTTATTAAACTCTATAATCGCCTCTAAAGACTCATTCTCCGACCCAACGAAAGTCCCAAAATGCACTGCTACTGTATTCCTCGATAATACATCATTGTGAATACTAATTGCGTCTGCCGGTGTTAAATGCAAGGCAGAAGGGATATTGTCATGCGATAGCCTTAAGCCAAGATAAGATATAAATCCTAGACTACCACCTCTCCATATCGGCACGAATGATAGGTCAAATGGTCCAAATTTCTGCCCGATTTCCTTAAAGATAGGGCATATGGCGGTGGACTTTGATGTTCTTCGGTAGCCCGTATCTCCTGCATGATATATAGCGCCTTTTCTTTTAGTGTGAGAGATCTCGGCTTCATATTTCGATACGAGCAGTTGTTCAATGACCCACCCGCACCAGAGCGTATTACCTTGGTCAAAGGCTCCTCTTCCGGAATTGTGTTGGGCTGGAACACAAGTAAAGCGTAATATCGTAGAGTCGTTTGCATTCTGTGTTATCGTATACCTAAAGTCCTGTACGCTATATTCCGTGTTTTGCCACCAGTCAAGCTCATGGACCCTATTCTGCGGTACACCAAGGGAACAAATCCAACCTTTGTTCCCCAAAGGAACAAAGTACCTAGCCTTAGGGAATTTTTTGAATATCGCCTCGATAGTAGACAAATCCAAGTGATCATAATGGTTATGTGAGATCATAACGGCATCACAGCCTACTTTCAATTAGCAAGAAATAAGAAGAAACCTGGTTCCTATACCTGGTAAATCCGCCACCTGACACGGCGGTGGTCTCAACCTCTTTGGCCCGGTATATTGTGTAGGCCCTGCCCTCAATGAGAAAATCGGATCATAAACAACCCAGAAACTCTTCCCCCCCTCCAAACTTCTAGTCCCCTCCAAAGGAAACTCCGTAATTACACCCGCATGCCCGAGCGTCGTGCCTATAATAGACCTCTCCCTATTCAGCCCATTTTTCTCTAAATCCGACGCACCCCAATCTGGCACAACGACTAATACGTCTTTTGTTCCTGGGTGCTTTTTCGCAAGGTCTTTATAACATCCCAACGGGAATTTCGCTTGGAGAAGTTCAGCGAATGTTGGTGCTTCGGCGGAGGGCCAGGGGTTTTTGAATGCTGTGGCGGAGTCGTTGGCGTGGTGTGAGGGGCGATTATTTAGTAGAGGAGAAGAGAACCAGGGAGAGCAGAAGAGCGCCATTTTGAATATGTCTAAGAGCTAAGTAAGTGGGTTCATTGCTTTCATCTAGATAAAAGACTTATAGAGGATTATGCCTGTCCTGTTAATTGCTTCCTCTACCTTACTAATATGAAATGAAACCTTATGTTGTTTAGTGTTTAAATTAATACACACATGCGCTCGATAGCAAAACCGTTGTACTGGGAGATACGCAGAAAATTATTAAAGCTGCTTTGACGAAGTACCACAAGGCAAAAATTGTACAAGTATCCAGTGGCAATGTATCTGACCACAGCTAAGTAAGATCTGTTGGGAGTTTGAAGAGTGTGCCGCAATAGAGCCGAGTTTTACTATTCTTAGTATCGTGAGATCTTACACAATCGAGGAGCTATTGTCACGAAGCAAAAAGTGGATAATTAAGGAGCTAGAATCTGCCTTTGCTCAGCCGAATAAGTAGAGTCAGCGAGTTGTTGGCGCCTGCAGAGCTCTTAGTTTATCCGCCGACATCGGCTAATCCAAGTAAGTGCGCATAAAAAGTGGGCCAAAACTAAAATCATTGAGTGTTCCGAACTGAAGCCGATTTCGAACGTTACTGTATAACCATTGCGGCTATATATATATAATAACTAAGGCGACTTAACTTGTATATATAACTACCCTAAATGTAATAGAAGTCAAAAACCATTTAGCCGCAAAAATCACTATAGAGATCACCTTCGTAACTATTACAAGGAAGCCATCGGGGGCTCAGAAGACGGAGAAAGGCACATATAGCATTGGAGATGTGAGAAGTGTCTCGGACATAGGGGTTCTCAATCACAAGACTGTAGTAGCTGTGGGGAAGCGGCCGGGCTCAACGGAGACAAACCTGGGTGCTGCTGACACGAAAGCGCTGACTCTGGCGGGATTGAAAGAAGAGGGATGGAAGGATACTACTGTAGAAGGATTGGTGGGGCAGGATGGTGGTAAACCGCCAATTCTGCCTCTGCTTGCTCTGCTCTGCGGTCGGCAGCGGTACCCTTGAAGTACAAGGGGTGCGCAGCCCCAAGTATCCGGAAATGGACCCTGCTTAAAATAATTAACTGAAAAACCAGCGACACCCAATTCGCCTTCTACTGTATTACATTCTTTACATAGTACTTTCTATAATCTTGCGAAAATGGCCATTGCCTTCAAGCTATGGCTTTCTGTTATTGAATTGCTTATTTTCACGTTATTAGGGGTCTTTATCGTGGTATATGGTATCCTGGCGTTGAGTTTTCCGAATACGGAAACTGCAGGCATACTCACACTAATTGTTGACTTCTCTTTATTGTTCAATTGAATTTTGCTAATAAACTTCAGTTTGACTTCGAAAGTCTCTCTCAGCCAGGATTCGCATTATCTGGACTAGGTGAAGGCAGTGGCTTCTCGCAGTCCTTGCAGAGTAAGGCCCCAAGCATCAGTATTGCCAGCGCGGCACAGACAGTAATATCAAGCGCTACTGCTTTTCAAAGTGATCTGGGATCTGTCATCCCTGGAAATTGCACTTTAGGAACCACATCTTTCTGCCTCGGAAACGTCAATAATATTACCTGTAGCAGGCTGCCCCTGAATATGTCCGACCTTCTATCTAGAGCATTGCCTGCCTTAGGGAGCTACAAACTCAGCGGTCTAGAATTACTTGGCCAGGAACTCAAACGCTTCTCCGCTGGAACTATTGAAGGCCCATTCATCCTCGGAATTATTTCAGCGGTCATATTAATTCCGTCTTTTCACTATGCGTCCTGGAAAGGGGGTGTAATTTGGGGCTTACCTTGGGAAACCGCCGTGGGTAGTACGGGTAGCGCGGTTTGTCTTCTGTCTTTTCTCTGCTCGACAATTGTTCTGTCGTTTTTATACTCCGAGACTAAGCACCTGCCCTTCATTACGGTGGCAAAGGGGAGACTTTGGCGCAACTCTATCACAGCTCTTTGTTGCGCCGGAGTCATGGTTCTCTGCGTAATATCGGTATTTGTACGGAAGCATATACTTTGAGGGGGAAGGATAATCAACGATGTCAAATTATTGCGACAAAAGGCATATTACGTCGAAAATCCCCCTAAAATAGATCCGCAGTTCTCAGGGAATTTCTTTGAGAAAATGTGCCCATCCATGTTAATAGACTTTAGTATCAAATGAGTAGAGCAATAGAATAAACCACGCAATAAGTTACTCAAAGTACTTAAGTATTCCACTCTATTTAACTCAAACTTAGTCAGGGGAGCCATACGAGTATTTACTTAAGCAACTTAAGTGGTTTGAGTATTCCTTTGACACACTATTGATAGTATGTGGCATTTCTTGCGGCAAGAAGTGACTTTCAGCGACTGTTGGGATCTTGCGCGGCTTTGGGGCAGGATCCAGAAATGGCCATCCACAATTGTACCGATTATAGTCCAAAGACTCCCAGGTAAGCCAGAAAGAGCATGCAAATCGGAAAGAGGGTCCTTCACCTCTTCTGCTCGTATAAGTTGCAATACGAAGCATCTATTTATCACAGTCTCTCCAAACATACCAAAATCTGCTTCTTCAATCATCCATTAAACAATACTCCAAGAAATGGAGAGCATTACTAATACTTCGATATCAGTGCTTGGGCTCGCAGGGACTAAGCGTGCCGCGTCACCTACTCCATTCGTGAGCCACCTACCCCCCCAACGTACCAAACACCAGCGAAATTCTCATGAGACCCAGAGAACTCGTTCCGCACCTGCAAGAAGCCCTCGTTCTGTCATTTGGCATGATTTCCGAGATCAAATATCCGAGAGTACCGAAGATGCACGAGAACCAGATCATTATCGGGGGGAGCTCACTGCGGATCATGAAGCTCGTCAAGAACAACCGTTAGCCTGTGCACCACCACAAAATAACGATGAGAACAGCAAGATCCACAACTTCTTTACCAAAGGCTCGATATTTACACCGAGGGGGATAGCGAACTTTCAGCGAGTCCAGGTTGATGAGAGAAGTTCATGCAATCTGCTCCCTTGGTCGATCGCGATTACACTCGGGCTCATTCTGTATCCCAACAGCCTAGGAACAACAGCTACCTACTGCCGTCTCACTATTCGCGTAGCAGGTGTTGAAACGGCAATCAATGCGAGAGTGCTTCACGGATTGCACACCATCCTGCTCGGCCGAGAATGGATCGAAAGCGTAAATTTATTGAGCGATTTTGGCAATAGGGGTTATTATATCCCAATCCCTCTTGCTATCGAAGCTGAGGAGCCACTCAATAGTGATCGTTTAATAGATGGCCGTCCGTCTGGTGATGAGCTCTCATTGGACGATGAGCCTCCATCTGGTGACGATCTCTCATTGGAATCTTCATCTGGTGATGAGATCTTATTGGGCGATGGGCCTTCATCTGATGAGACAATCCTTGATGAAAATCAACTCGCAACGACCAATCAGGCTGAAGATGAGCATGAGATCGAGGATGATGAGAAAGGTGAAGAGGACTCTGATGCTGATTCTCAGGAAACCATAGAATATCATCTTCTCGAAGCATTCACCAGAGATGCAAAAGCTGCAGACACAAAGGAAGTAGAAGACGAACTTCAACTTATCAGTTCTCCCGGTAATCAGTCAGATTGCGTTGAAGCTAAATCTGAGCGAGTAAGTCCAACCGTCGTTCTAAGACCCTGTTTGTGACTGTCGTGTCATCCTAGGCAATCTTCAGTCCACACTCGATGGCAGCGACCCTCACAAAATCCCAAGCGAAAGGAGTTCAGACTCCAGTTATAAAACGTCAATCCAAAGGGATCACCAAAATCTTAAATCATGTTAGCCGAACTCTAGCAGGCCAGAGCTTCAAGGCACCGGTGAAGCAGCTGTGGCCAGAGTATGCGAACACTTATGCTGCAAGGGTTCTTAATCCAATCGATCTTGGCACTATCGAGATGAAGGTGAAGAATGATACGTATCTTTCTATAGATGCATTTAGAGCGGACATTGCCCTTCTTTACCAAAACAGTGTCGACTTTAACGGTATCGAGCACATAATCACCAGCGCGGCTCTTGAGGTCCGAGACACGATACTCAAAGCAATCAGTGACGTGGAGGAAGGCAAAGGGACGACGAGGGCATCGATTAGAGGGCTACAGGGTTCGAGAGGTGACATGTAAGATTTCGGGAGAGCGCTTGGATGTGGAGGAGTTTCATTTGTAACTAGATTGAACTAAATTACACATGAACTCTCAGATTTTGCTGCTCCAGTCTCGCAGATCTTCTAGGCTTGTCAAGCTCTCCACTTCTTAATTCACGAGTCTTCGCTGTGTATTGCTTCCGCTTCCTCCCAAGACGCACTGATTTGGTGGGCTCGACTACCCGCTGAGGTCTTCCTTTGCGCTTCATCTTTGCGCCCCTTAAATGAATTGTTTGTGCCCCCCCTTTGCCCTTCGTGTTTAATGGCTTGGTTATTTCGTGATCACTGTTAGGACCATCAAAAATGTCGAACTGTTCAGAATGTAAAACCATTTTTTGAATATCAAGCACTATCTGATCAAGACTGATGGACTTTATATATCTTGCATTATGCAGCAGTGTCCACAAATATGGGCCCAAAATGGCTACTGTTCTCAACAGTGGAGATCTGGACCTGCAGGAGCCAAAACTGAAAAGGCAGGTCAAAATAGGAGGGAGGTCCACTAATCTAGACTAACGATAAGTGCTTAAAGAGTGGAGGCCTGCGGAAGTGGATGACTATTAGCGTCTATACATAATAGTATAGAACGGTCCAAAGAGAAAGCCGGGCTAGCGTTAATTCAGTGCGACCTGGTAATCGCTTAGCTTTAGGTGCCAAATGTCTCAAGTACGTTAACCACTTTCCAGAACTGTAATCTCATTCATGCAAGGAGCGTGAATCGATAATAGTGGTCCTAGGCAAAAGCAGTGGTGATACTGCAATGCGCCGAATACACAAATCCTTTATACTATTTAGTTCGGGTAATCGGGGGTAGGAGTAGCGAGACTCCAGACATATTGAGTCTGCGGGTTCCCGTTTTGAGCGATTCTTGCTATAGCTTTATCTTTTGACTTCTCTTTAATATTACTCTAGTTATAGGGGGGAATTCGCTTGTAGTTCTCCTTAATATAGTCTTTCTCGGACGTTAGCCACTTATAGACTATATCCGTTTCTTCCTTACTGCTATTAAAGAGTAGGTCTCCGGACTTATATTAAGATACTTTAAAAGGTTATCTTTTCTTTGGCTTATTAATAGAGGTGCAAGTACTGCTATACTAGTAATAGAGATGTGCGAGAGAAGTTATAAATTGAAGCTACCGCAGAGGAGATATATATTATTATTTGGGTTACTACTGGGAAAAACGCATAAGTAGATAGTTTAATAGGTATCTTGAGGAGATACCTTGGGAGGGGAGGTAGTAGTAGACAAACTTGCAGATGAGAAGCAGTTCGCGAATGTGAATATTAAGGGAAGAAAGTGAGGCGCATGCTGAGCGTCTTATCCTACGTCGGATATTCATATGAGAGCAGCCAAAAGGAATCTAGCTCAGACTCAGTCTCAATTCAGTGGTGTCCGAAGGAGCGGGGGTCATCCTCACAGACAGGCCTGCTGCCAAAGTGGCGTCCCAGATAACCCGTCTTCCCCCATCCAATTTGTGCGACCCGTGTTCTCTCAAGTCATGATGCCGAGTTTCATTCGATTGGCTATACCACATGCGGATTTAAAACCATGTACATGAATCAAGATAGCATCAAAGGAAGACTCTTAATCCACCACAATATGATCGAAGCGTCTTCTTCGATCGGGAGTTGGCGAGACGGATATCAAGATGTGCCACTGCTAAAAAGCACCTCGAGACCGCCTTGACTCTTCCGAACTTTAATGGAAGCCTTGACCGCAGGAGCTCCGTTGGCGGAAGAGATCAAAGTCTTGGAGCAAGTTTTACAAGAGAATTTAAAGGGCGAAAAGGGGAGATTTTGGTGGGATGCTACCAAAAATCTCAGATTTGCTTATTGCTGAGAGGTGATCAGGTATACGTGGCACTCTGCATATGAATTGTCGGGGAATGGCTAACTGAGACCTATAGCCTTTCCAGCGTTAGTAATATACCGTATCCTTGTTCGGGATATATTCCCACGTGGACAAGACGGGTGCCGCTAATATTGTGCGAGGCAAGAAGCGGGGAAGGTTAAGTAGTTGGGAGGGGGAGGTAGTCCGCACATTCAATATATTTGGCACCTAACAGAATAACGGAGGTCGCCTGCTAGCGCTTTCTCTGCCCACCACTTGACCTCTGCCTCCCATTCGACCCTCTCCTCCCTCTCCCCCACCTCACTACCCAGGAACCTTTGTAAGAAGTGTCTCCTTTCAGCCCTCTCGCGTTTAACCACCTCCATCTTCGCCGGGGTTCTTTGTCCCTCCTCCGGTCCCCAAGCTTGTATAGTTTCCCACTCAATCTCCCACTCGCTCTTGTTTTGAAAATACCGCTCCCTTCTATCCAGAATGATCCAACTGGAGAAAAGAAACTCATCTTGCGCGACAAGCAACTTAATTGGAGACATCCGTGGCGCTAAATTCGTATCACACTTGCGCCATTCTTCTGTGAAGGCGCTCCACAAATATGGTTCTATTTTGCGAGGTAAAATAGCCGTAAAAGTCTCCATCTCAGGAAATCGACTCCAAGCTCGGTCGTGACATGCCTCGGCTTTGTTTCGTATGCCATCTACCGTAGCCTCCGATACGAAATCTGCGATGTGCCTGGGAGATCTGAGGGCCTCCTTGAATGCTCCATGGTCTAGACCCCCGTCCAGAAGTTCTCGTACCTTGGGCCTGTAAGAGCCAGACCCCGGAACCCACCCAGTCGGCGGGCGATCGAGCCTTGCATCGACCACAATCACTTTGTCCTTTTCTGCATTAAATCTCGTGGCATTAAATTCCGTGGCCACCTCGCGCGATTCTTTACAGGCCAGAAAAATACCAAGTGTTGGAATGCTAGGCACAACTCGTTTTGCGATTTGAAGTTGAGTGTCTGTCTCTCCGTCCTGTTCAACAAATCACATATTAGCAAATAGACTTTTGTAATTAGCAGATAGAGATACTCTTCCTCGAAGTACAACTGCCCCTGGGTTGCGCTCATATATGCCCGTCTGTTGGTTCTTTACCCGTGGAACATATTCAATACAGAGTTCAAATAATCGCTCTGGAGCAAGCAGCTTCCATATTTTCTGCCTTATTTCGATGGGTAGCTCATTGAAACGAGCGAAATTGGGAGGGTCCATCGAGGGCGCGCTGGTCAATTGTGCGAGACGAGTTAGAAGATACGGACGATTGTTGGAATCGAAGGAGATCTTAGCACGTCACAGGTATTTTAGGCGGGCAGCTTATTAACCAATATGCGCTGTATTTTTTTTTTTTAGCGATATTAGGCCTAACACCGCCTTTATGGCAGAATCGCTAAATGTGGCTCGCTTACTAGAAGTATCCACTAGCCAACCGCCCAATAAAAAATTTAACTGCCTGTTAAGAAAAATTATTATCCTGAATGTAAGGGCAATCCCGATAAGCTCCCTAAAGTAGTGAGGCTTTAAATAGTTTATAACCATTATCTCGACCAACATAAGAAGAAATTAATATGCTAAGTTACTAGGGAGTATAGAGTTCGTTAGGAAATACTTTAAGATCGAATCAAGGGAGTAATACCAACGAATCGGTTACCGCTTTGGACTATCGTGCTCCAATCAGTACTCTTCAGCAGTGTTGATCTAGAGGTCAACCCCAACAATGAACCCGTCGAGGACAAGGAAGTTGATGGTTCTCCCCGTCATTCGAAGCGTTGTAGGCAAGTACCAAAGGAAAATCCAAGAGTCTCTAAGCCAAAGGCCCCCAAACCCAAATTCCAGGAGCCAAAGGAGGGATGAAGAGGAAATGGAGGATGGTACCGGTAGATACCGAAGAAGAATTCTTGAGATTTTCTCTGCGCACAGACGAATGGAACGATCTTGGCATAGGGCGGTCATGAATGGTATTCTCAAGTCATTCCTGTAGTTTTGCTTTTCTTTCGTTTGCCTCCCCTCTACCTCTCCCGTACTTGTGCGTGGAGGTATTTCCATTCTATAAATCAAATTCTCAATCCTGATGACCGCAAAATTTGGAGGACGTTACTAGCTAGATAACCGCTTCCTGCCACAAGAACCTCAGCTCGTTTATACTTCTCTTGGATCAGACGGACAGCGGCTTTTGTTGTGTGTACTACTATAGTATCTCCCGATCCACCAAGTTCTTTCCATGTCGTAGAGTTGGCTCTCTGGGCATCGAGGGAAGATACAGCCTTCCTATCTATCCGAAAGTCGATCAAATCTTTCCAGGTATTAGATCATAACGATACGTAAGGAGGGCTCATACCGGATTTCTCCTTTCCAATTTCGTCCAATTGGTCTGTACAAAAGACCACGCCTTGGAGCACTACGGGAGTGTCTGCGCATAGGGCTTCGTGAATGATTTGAAGCAGAGGAACTGGATCCCTAGGCGACACTTTGCTGAAGTTTTGATTAAACAGCAATACTCGGGGTGCAGTAATATGTCTACGAATACTGTGAGAAGAAAACCGGAGAGTCGGAGGGGTGCTTACCTCTTCGAATGTTGAACACTTTTGAACCATGAGAGAGCCTCCCTAAGACTGATATCATTCACCGCGCTGCTAATAAACCAGGTGTTATCTCCATCCTCAACGACTTGAGATCTTCCTAGCAATACTACATCCTGCACACTACGGGCAATGTCAGCCGTCACCGAAAACCCTGGATTTTCCGACCTTAAGAGCGTCTCCGCCAAAAATATTGCAAGAGCAAGATTGGACCTCTGGTAAGGCATATCTGGATCCACCTTCGCTCCTGATTCGATGGCCCTTCGGTCCGTAATAACCTGCAGTTCGCCAGCCACACGCTTTTCTTCTGCCCTCTCCCGTAATACATTTAATACAGCCTGATCTTGTACCACAGTACCTGCAACTGAACCTGATTTGAAGATTCCCGCTTTGTGCCAGGCTATTTTTTCAACGGTATCTCCGAGGACATGAACGTGATCGATTCCAATACTTGTGATGCCGGTGGCCACCGGGTGAGGGAAAACATTGGTCGAATCCATTTCGCCTCCCATTCCAGTCTCAATAACGGCCACATCAACCTCCTCCAAGAAAATGGATATTCCCAGCAACGACATGAATGCGGGAAACCTTGGTTTCATCAAGCCCAGCTTGCTAGAAAGCGACTGAATCTTAGTGTCAAGCATTCGAACGTGATATGAGAAGACCGGCTTAGAGATCTTCTTATTGTTGATGAGAATCCGTTCGCGGACGTCGAGTTTGTGAGGGGAGGTCAAAGTACCGATGTTCTGGGGATATCCCTTAATCCTTTGATGCTCAACCAACATCCGGGTAATGTAAATACATATCGTTCCCTTCCCTTTCGTCCCCGCAATATGGATCACCTTAGGTCTCCGAAGACGATCAACCTATTAGCGGTTAGTATAGACGGAGATGTGAAGGAGCCCCGAGTACATCAAAACCGAGATTGTTGAGCCAAATCTTAGTCCTTTCTCTCGCAGGCTCGTCCGGAGGGGCTGAGGGATAACGCTGGTATCGATTGAGGATGGCTAATGCCCCCTCATTAGGGTTAGCGAGAGCTGTGGATATCTGTTCGGTTCAATTACCTCGTATTCAGCATCTTCCGTAGCCACCTCTGCGCCGGTTGCCACATCTCCCACCCCTCTTGACAATAGTCGGAGGGAAGGCACGAGTCTTCCAACAGTGAAATTGTAGGAAAGAAAGGGACGACAGCTTGGCGACTTGAAAAGCTGCATCGTGACGTTCCGGTTTCCCTGGTTTGTTGCATCAGAGCGTTGCGATGTCGCGCGAAAAATCTGGGTGGTTTGGCGTTGAATTATCGATGCCTAAGGCCCCCAAAGCTTACCTAAATTACAGGGCTTTTTGGTTCCCCTCTTGCATAAATTATGCATAAATTATATATGGCAGAGGTCCTTGCCATTCCGAAAAAGAGGCTAAAAGATTTAGCAGGAAGAGTTCCTCAGGTCATTTTCGACATTTAGAGAGCATCGTGATGTACGGCCACAGAACGTGCTACGGAATCCCGAGAGTACAAATGTGCACGTCGCAAATTCCCGACCGAAAGCGTAACCGTCGAATGATGGAGCGAGTCCAGCCCAAATCTTTAGTCCGGCATATAGCAAATAACAAACTTATAATTCATATAAGTCAAATGCGAGAGAAGTTTATTATAATTTAGACTACTATTGAGATATCTCTTTTACGATCTCCGAGTCCATTCTCCGACCGTAGTACCCATTTATCTGCCCGACTCTCCCATCGTTATGGACTGTTTTACTATAGCGTATTCGATACCAGGAGCTGCTTCGCTAGAGTCGATCAAGATTTAACTGACTTTACCCTCCCTCGTTGCAATTTGGATTACGATACCGATATTGATATTATTAATATGCCCGCGAAATTTAAAAGCCGTTTGCGTAATGGTTGAAATTGGAGGGGTTGAAGTTGGAGACCAAAGTCTGTATGAGTGAGACGGAAAAGGTATAGTAGAATTCGAAATCGGCTTCAGTTCCAACTCTTAATGATTTTATTTTGACCCACATTTTATGCGGCACTAACTATTTATGGCTAGACTCATTCAAGACACCGCACTCGCTTAATTCCCTGCTCTAGATGTCATGTGGACTCAGGCTGCAGGCCATCGACCTCGAAATCCTCCTCATCTGCTACTCACCTCGACAGGCTATCTTCATCGATATCAAACATCAACGATAACACGCTGATCCGAGGCGAAACGTATGCCTGTGAGGCATGTGTGAGAGGTCATCGTGTTCGCAATTACCAGCACTCCGATAGACCGTTGCGCCACATCAACAGAATGGTAGGTTTTTCTTGTCAGCCTACTCAGCCTTCTGCTGAACTTTCTTCTACAGGGCCGACCACTCTCACAGTGCGCCCTCTGTCGAACTTTACCCCAGTCAGGCTCCAAGGGGCCCTGTACACATGGAAGGGGAGATTCACAGGGTTCTAATCTTTCACAAACTTACTCCAGCCTGCATCTCGAGGAATCTACTTCCTCATCTGAAACTGACGGCGAATTCTCGGAGGGTGTTGAGGACGAAATCTCTGAGGACGTAGGTCTTCAAGCAGAATCGGATAAGGAAATTCTAGAAAGGGCAGACTTGTTCGCTCAACTCCCATTTGCTCAATCTGAATCATTGAGTGATTTAAGCCGCACACTGAACAATATCGAACCCAACACCTCGCAGCCAGCCTGGAGACTTCGAGTACTCCGGGAATTGAAGGCGTACTTCTCCTGCTTCTCGCCATCGACGCCCCCCATCCCGCCAGGGAAAACAAGGGTGACCTGGCAATGTGTGAGTAATGTTGCAAGTCTATACTCTGCTTCTGGCTGACTTTAAAATAGGTATGCGGGGCAGAGCTTCACGACGACTACACCGAGCTCAGAACCGGCGCCGCAAGAGAGCTTGAAAGCTTTCTGAGACGTTCATCACATAGTCTCCGTAGAAATCTGCAATTTTCTTGGAAGGAAAACATCAAACGAGTTGGAGGACTACTGAAAATAACCTTGACCACGGGACAGAAGCTTGGAATTGGGAGGGCAGCTCAAGCACCAGGGCTGGTTAACACCGAATGTGCAACTCGCACTCCTGCCCACTCTGCATCAGACGTTTCCTACCTCCTCATATGTCACAGTGCGGCAGCGGGGCAAGAGGTACTCAAACTTCGGCAGCTAGATATCTGTGATATCGACAGCGACAAGAAACTATTTGAGTTTCTCAGTAAGGAGTACAGCAACATTCGGAAACGATGGTGGTCCTGGATTTCATTCTGGACACTTCAAAATATCAAGTTCGCTAGATTTGAACTGTATGAGAACGAATTTGTGGACATCAGAAAGCCGGATGAAGTTCCTCCACCAAATCGGGATCACGAGTACCGGCATGGACCTCCCAACCCACCGGAATTACAACCACCACTTGGATCAAACTTGCTCATGCATTCCTTTATCCATCCCGAAAAGATTGGATGCGGGAAGAGACGCCTAAGGCAAATTCCACGAAGACTCAAAGAGAGGCTATCACTCGCTGAGGATGATCAGGACAATATTGGCTGGGGCCTTCAATTCGTCGAGGGTTGGAATCGCAAAAGGCTTGTTGCGATTGTCTCAACTGGGATAGCGAGTTTGCTTATCCCGATTATATTCCCTGCCCTGGATCATAATATCCAGAAGGCCGCCGCTATTTCGAGCTTTATGCTGTCGTTAGTCACCCTCCGCATCGCGGCCTTAAATTCGTCTTAATATAGGAAGTGATGGGAGGAATGACTCGTATGCAAAGAGAGTTTTCCTCAGCTTCATTTTTTGCTGTCAATTGCAAGGACGTGGACATGCCTGAAGTTGAATCGCTCAAGTACTGCTCAAGCACGTTTGGGCAGCCTCCACGCCTTCACAATCATCAAGAGAAACTATCTGTCAGCCGAATTGGTAGTTGTTGGCACGTGCTAGAGCACAATAAGTCAGCAGCTTATTCGCCGACATCGTCAAATCCTCAGACAGAAGTTCACATGACATCCAGAGCAGGGAATTAAGCGAAGGCCCAAATTATGCGCCGTAGAAAATATGGGTCCAAAATAAAATTTATTGAGTGTTCGAAACTGAAGCCGATTTCGAACTTTACTGTAGTTGGCAAATCTTTATAGCGCTTGAGGGGTCAACATTGGTTGTTTGACCACAAGCAAAAGATTCATCTTGTCGTTCAAGGCATGATAGTCCCATGTGTGTAGAGCCCTATGAAACCGTCGAATATCCTTCCCAATAACTGACACAGTGCCACCACTCTCCTTCATTCTCTCCACCCAGATGTCATCCGAAAATACGCATCGGAACAAATTCAAGTACTTCGATCTTTCCCAAGCCGTTGTCGTGATTCGAGCCGCAAGGACCAGCAATACGACATCGACCGGCTTCAACATTGAAAGGATCGTCCTCCTGACTGGCTCAAAATCCGAAAGAACGCGCCACATACAGTTCAAATGTGGTTAGGATGCACAAAGTCCAAGACTCCCCTTGAAATTCACAAATGCTGCACCAAACGGAAACCCAAAACCGTTATTTCGGTAAACAATCACTGTGGCCCGACCGGAAGACAGACAACGCATATTGGGCTGTTGTTGGGTTTGAAAGGACCGGAGGATTGTTTTTAATGCGCCATTCAGTTGCTGGGATTGAGGTGATTTCAGAAAGCGGTGCCCATGGGAAAAGGGGCTGGAGAGAGATCTGTACGAAGGTCGGTGTTGGGCAGAGACGGATTTCGTTGGGGGGGGGGGTTCAGCGATGGGAGAAACAAAAAGGCCGGATTGCTTCAATTCGGAAATATCACGAGAACATTTCCCAGCAGGAGGTTGATATTGCGAATCTCGTTACCAGGAGGGACGTGCGAGACTTGAGTTGTTGAATGTTGTAGCAAAATGAGTGCTGGAATTCACAAAGTGCTCACAACTTGTTTCTGCCCAATGTTGGGGAGTGCAGTATATGAAAGCGCAAAGTGGATGGGGCAAGGAGCCAGGAATTCATTTTCGAGCTGTGATAGAATTGATCAAGATGCAGTATTATATGAACTTAGTTGGGAATTAGCTGGACAACAAAAATCTTCAATATGCTTCAACAAAGTAAATTACTGCATATGATGTAAATGGTCCTCCAACAACCTACCGGGTAACCTGTCCTCCATTCAGTGCGCAGTGTTCCTTCCAATATGGCTCAGTCCAGGCTGCATAAAGCAGGTACATTATCAGAGTAACCAGTGTAGTAGTTGCCGTAGCAGCAGCGGTCACGACAGATATTATGGACCAGGTACCGCGTTGGGTCGTATACACATTAACCAAAGTTGTGATCAAGCCAATGGTAGAATTTATCAGACCAGGTCTACCCTTGTAAACATCGTATAACTGTGGGACTGAGAAGATACTTACAAGAAAATTCGATCTCCTAGCCAAATATAATTCTGATTTTGCCCCCACCAGAGCCATAATAAACCAGAAGCTCCACAAACACAGCATGAACCTGCTACCCACAATACTGGGATATTCTGGGTCGCGCTAATTACAGCCTTCCCAGCCTTGCCGATGCCATCAAGCGCACGAGAGTTACGGATTGATGCGAATGTGGCGGGAAGTACGATAAAGCTAACAAGGAGGAGCCAAGCGAACAGACCGGCAAGCATATTTGCGTATACTATTTTGGATACCTCAATTTTCACTCGTATCAAATCGTTCGCCAATACAGGTTGAGGCTCCGAGTCTTGAGAATTGGGGCCCGGACGTTCTTGGTGAAGAATGGCGGGACACTTCCGACTACAGAGCGATGGAGATGATCTACTTCGACGCGGACTTTTGTTGTTCTCAACAAAGTGAAGATCAGGGGGATCTTGAAGTGAAAGAGGGGATATTTGAGAATAAGTCGAATGGGCGGGAGAACCTGACATGGCGACGAGACCTGGTCTTCCGCAACCTAAGGAGAGCAGGAAGGTTCTTTTATCCCTAGACGAATGGGCAAAAAGCGACTGGGTACTATCCGGTACATGGCTCTTTGCCATGTCAGTAAGTTGAAAGAGCCATTTTTGGAGGTTGCCAAAAGGTGCGGGTTTTAATATCCTGACGCCAAACAGACCACCTCATCCAATTTTGGCGCTGACACCTAGCGCACGGAGTTGCTTCCCACAATGGCGCCAAGTCTTGATAGGTGCACAAGACGCAGTGGCATTCCGCAACCTTTAACGTAGGTACCCAGGTAGTACAAAATACACTGCTTACGGGGAACTACGGTATCAACGCCAAAAATAGACAGGGAGCGAAGCCGATTTTGCAAGTGATTGTATCCAAAAATATTCAGAGCGCCTGGTAGACGAATATATGAAGGTATAATGGAATGGAGGGGAGCTGGGACTAAAAATGGATGCGGCAAAAAGCGGCGGTAGCCAAAAAAATCCCTCGAAATCCGGCATCCTGGTATCAAAAATGTCCACGCAACTCGGGAACCCCTACATATTGTTCTACCATGCAAATGGTTCAAATCACCTTATAGCAGTCTGAGTTAATAGGAAATAAGCGCAAGAGAGTTGAATAAACGCATTATAGGCAGTATAGGGGCGTTGAGCTACAAGGTACGGAACAACCTAACCACCACCACAAACGGTTTGGTCATTTGTGGAAGCGTCGCGATGATTGAGGAAACTATAACAAAAATCATCCATTTCGCCTACGACAACAAAATTTGTGATACCACCAACGTCGTGAACGTGGGCGACAATCATGGAGGAGGTTTCAGGACCGAGATGTATGGCCCTCGCTCTAACTCAAAGGTCTATCCTAAAGAAGGCTACTCCAACTTTAACCACCGTCCTAAAGCCGACAACGCCAGAGAGATTCAGATTTCGCACTACGAATTCGATGGTCTCAAGGAGACGACCAAATACCAGATCATATTCGTATACGACCGAACCATGGGCCCAAATACTCCTCCGGACAGAGCAGCCCTTGATTCTCACTCCAGAATTTGCCAGGCGTTACGTTTCCTTGGTGTCGGGATATTCGAATATAATAAGAATAGCCTTACAACCCCAGAGGCCCTACTCGCAAACTGGGTGCACGAGTGGAACAAGCTGGCCTTTAACTGGTACGAGGCGGAACCAGAAACTGCGAAAAGACTACAAGAACAGGCATCCCGCCGCTGCTGGGGCCTCGATGAACTAATGGCCATTACGGCGATGTGGATGCAGGGGAAGGACGAGGACAGGCTACTAGAGCCGGGGAGGAAACTAATAAAGATTGACGACGAGAACAGATTGAATTAATATAACGGGTTTCTCACGTAACGTCCATCCTTACGTGCCGAAAAAACCGGTGTACCGAAAAAAATAATAGGTACTTTGACTTGAAGCATCTTAAAATCTGTGCACAACTTAATATCTTATATAATTTTTTATAAGTTATATTCCGTAGCTACTTCTAGACACCTTAAACCCTTTTAATTAGAAAATCGCATATATATCGTCGCCCTTACACTTGATTTGCAAAGGGTCTCATTTTATAGTATAATAATGTTTCTCTATTAGAACTTTACCACCGAGCTTATACTAACCCTAATACTTCTAAAGGAGTCTTATCTGAGCTCTAAGGCCTTGTCACTATGCAGGAAATAGTCATCAGCCTTGTGGTGCTGTGGCGGGCAAATTCAAGTAAGGTTTGCCACGCGGATCAGTACCTCGGCTGCCAATTTTGGATTAGTGCGAAAGAGCCCCGCACGTCCCGTAATATTTACGCTGTAATTTCATTATCAAAGCCTTAGGCACAAAGGCCAACAGTGGCTGGAGGGACTTGGTACTGCCTGGTGCGCCACACCTGGCTTGATCGCCAGCTTAGTCAGCCGCTCTGTGGCAGCTGGTGCTGTCGCCGGCGCTTACCGAATCCCCCCACCTTTCGACCTTGAACTTGGTCCTTTTCTTGCGCCAGACTACCTCCCATACCTGCCGTACGCTTTCCGGCTCTTTCCACAATGGAGCCTTTAACTAGTATGTCGGACGCTATTGCGTCGGTTAAGGCGCTCAAGGAGACATTGCAACGCTATAAGGGTCGCGACAGAACATTAGGCAGACTGCAAAATGCTCTCGAGGATCTTGCCGTCATTTTATGCTTCCTAGAGGCCGCTGATAGTGAAACCCCGGGTATGACTGCTCTGAAAGGCGTTGCTAGCCACTGTAGCAAGATATGTTACGAGTTGAAAGGTACTATAGAAACATTTAGCGACAAGTCGAACACGGACTTGATACATTTGGCAAAGAAGGAGGGCAATATCGACGAATTTATCGATACTCTATCGGTTTACAAGTCGACGATCGCGACTATCCTCAGCTCAGCTCAGAAACCAACCGAAGAGTTCAATGAGATGCTCCAAGACACGATTTACAATCTCGAGCTACGCCGTCAACACATTACTGAGAAGACAGGGAGCGATGCCACAGACCGCCCAACCATCTCAAACGTGGATCCACAGCTTCAGGAACCTGCAACAGAACAGTGCCTTCAGTTCTGCGAATCTGCCACCTCTGACACTACATCATTACAAGATATGTAGCTAGCACTGCAGAAAGAAGCGCCTCGAGACCGCCTTGACTCTTCGAACTCTAATCAAGGCCTTCATCGCAGGAGGACTCTGTTGGTGGAAGAGATCAAAGTCTTGGAGCAAGTTTTACAAGTTGTCAATCGGATCTCTCATCAATTATCTCCTCAAAAGATCCACATCGTCGGGGAGGTCATTGCCCCCGAAACCGGCACCGTTCAAACAGTGATCACAACTGATGCGAACTTGTTTCGAGTCGGAAGGGTGGAGGCAGGGAGAGGATCGCGCCAAATGGTCGCTTCAACATCGGACCCCACATTACGGGCTCTGCTCAACGTCCACTACCAGCAACATACGACGAACCATCCCAGATGAAGTGAGCGATTACATAAGAAGGAAAATGACCTGTGCCGCGCCTGGTACTGCCAGGACCTACGTGTCCCAAGAACTGGGAGCACCTACTCCTGCAAGTCGAACTTCTAGCCACATCTATACGAGACGGATGTGCATCGTGCGCATGTACGGACACATACAAGAGTAGGACGGCGCCAGCTGGTGATGGAGTGGAGATTCGAGATGGTACTGCATCGGGCACTGAGCGGACCGCGGGGTGGAGAGTTTTCAGATGAGATGTACTTCATCTCGTTCGCGAGATAATTGTGTTTAGTGACAGCGGATATGACTCCTGGTGGCACGGCAGGATAAATAAATTTGGAACTCTTCAGATCGAACTGCAGTTGTCAAAAGACCTAACTTATACGAGAAGGCGTGGACAAGCAGGCTACCTCCTTGTCATTATCAGCATTTATCTGAAATACACAGTTTCTAAGATCGAACCATATTCTTTCCATGTCCTCGAACTTGCTACAGGAAGCTACGTATGAACCATGCTGCATTTCGCCTGATCTGCCATCTGAAGCCACACGGAACTTGTTCGTCCCTTATATTTCCTCTTCCTCCTTGGTATCCCGCTCCAACTCTCTGCTTCCAAGCTTAATGGCAAACTCCTCCCATAGGTCCCGATTTAACAGACGAGTACGCTTAAAATTCTCTGGCTGTCCGTTCACCCAATCACCAAAGAACGAATCAATCGTATTCGTGGCAAGCCATTGATATACTCGTTGCTCAAGCTTCGGATCTCCGCTTTCAATTTCGGACCATATCGCGGTCAGACCGCTGCTCATTACATTCTCGAAGCTCGACTGCGGAGTAAATCCTTCATCGATGATCACCCCAACTACCGCTCGCCCAACCCAGACTTTAGCATCTTTTGCTATCGCCACACCATAAAATTTCGACATAGGTGGTAGAGCACCTCGCAACCCCACACCCCAGTCTTTCGAGGTATAACCAGTAGGTATGACCCACTCTACTAAAAAATCTTTTTTGAGCACCATCATTGTGGCCAATTTCAACACCCTTTCCAGAACAGGCAGCCGTGTTGTGTTGCTTTCTCTGTTGACGGAGGTAGCTGACCTGTGGCTAAATCAGTTCATTTCTCTGCTTAGGTGATGATATTGGAATGATGGAATACGTACAATTTTTTGTGACCAAACTCATATACTTATACAGGTCAGCACAGTACTGGGGTTGTTGAAAATCGATGGGTAAGATGGAGCTGTTCAAGTGCGGGGTCATTTTCAAAGCCTTCCAACGTTGGCGCTTCGGCCAACCGCCCGAAGTAGCGTATGCGCGCGCTTACCTCAAAAGCTGTTTCAAACCCCACGAACACAGCACCACGGCGGAGTCTATTCCCGTCCTTGTCCTGTACCAGTCACCGCCTGGAAGCTACGCTTACATAACTCACCCAGTCGATAAACGGAAACCCGAAGACAAGCGTAGGGAGCAGGCCCTCTTAGTTGAAGGGGCAAACTCTCTCGGTCGTTCCGCCTCATGGCCTCAGAGCGCTGTTTACGGACCGGATGCGTGAATTATTCAAGTTATTCAAGTTATTCAAGTTATTTATGAGTATTTGTAAATAACTGAATAAAATATGAGTAACGAGTAGCAGAGATAGGGCGACGATACAAGACAACTTGCCATTTGCGGTGAGATGAAATGTCATGAATGGGTTTCTCTGGCTATTTGCTCTGGATACCGTAGCTGAATAGGCCATTTGGGCGCTAGGTGGACTGTAATCTCAGACAACTTCGCTATCCACCTAATGTCGGCATTTTGCCACTGGCACTTGAACAGAGAATGCTTAGACATATTAGAAAGTAGTCGATATCAAGGATACGATTTTTTTTATACCTCTTGTAATTTCTCAATCGAACGTGCATCTTTTATCTCCGATATAAACTTGGCCGCGGTGGAGTTAGGAGGCCACATGGGAGATTTAGGAACTGCTAGTTCCCCCCTATCTCTGATGTCTTTAGTAGCGGGTTTTTTGTGCATCAGCTCCCATATTACATAATAGATTGCCTTAATATCTTTAGTAGCGACCTCATTTAAGCCAAGTTTTGTGCTGTGTTCCAGGCCTGCTGTTCTGTGTTAATAGAGGTTATTGCAACGGAGCAATGACTCACCTATTTTGATAGATCCCCTGTCACCAACGAGAATGTTTGCACATTCTATTGAACCATGTTGTAGGCCTTTCGAATGGAGGTATTCAAGACCTTCCAAAATCTGGATTCCATTTATTAGATTAGGGCGGGCCATCTGGGAGGCGGACCCACCTGCCCAAGTATTTTTGCTAGTTGGAATTCGTCAATATAGGGATCAGACAAGGCAAATTGAGAAAGAGTAACAACTATTGTCTCTTCCTTACTGATATCGTGCTCGAAAATGGCATACAATGAATTTTCGGAGCAGAAGCAGCCCAGTAATGCAATGAACTTGTCGTGCTTAATTCTCCACAGTGTTTGAACCTTTTTCTCCGCGTCCGGGCCTGAGAATTTCCTTACAGCAACCAAACTAGTGTCCCCCCGACTAGCAATAATAACTTTATCATTGAGATCCAATTTCCATCTCGGTATGCAGGAATCCACCACCCATGACGATCCGTCTTTCACCCACGGCGACCCCTCCTTTATCTTCAATTCACCTGTTCCGGCCGACGACTCACCTCCTCGTGGCATGCTAGGCTCCAGAGGACCGATTCGAGCATCATACCCACCTCTATCTGAAGCTACCCGCTGCATCTTATGTGGTTGGTTGCCATCTTGACTCGCCTTCGTTTTCAACCTCTTCACGGGATCATTGTCGCGGGAGGATGTCGCGTCGCTCGACTGATTGTCGGGCTCGGGGTTCCGCTTTAGTAAGGATGGTTCAAACCGCGTGATACTCCTGGACAGAGGCATATTTTGCGCAGGCAACACGGCTGAGTTAGAGATCTGTTAAGTCTTTAATAACTCGTGGTGGATCCAAAACCGGCACCGGAGCCAGTTTGTGCCGGCCAAAGATGGTGCAGCACATGAGGACCTAAAGACGCGCACTAGTGTATACATGTTGAAACCCCAAGAAATCGATAGTGTCACGCACGCCGACAATGTGGCAGACACAGGCTCAGGCTCGTGCAGAAGACTCGAGACTTGCCTCCGAGCGGCAGCTCACTTCCAGAGGCTCAGCTCTTGTCAGGTTCGAGTATTTACGTTGGAATGAGAAGAGAACGCCAGACGAGAAACGCGTGCAAACTCTCAAAGATATATTCAAACGGGAAGGCTGTCTACCAATGAAAATAGGCAATCACATACCTGTAACCATTGATCAACAACTCCTCGACGCCGCTTTGGAAGATGCTCAGCAAAAACGCAGGTGGCAGACGAACACTCTGCCAAACAGTTATTCCATTATCAATTCGCAGGGAGGATACCCGGAGCTTGAGTTCCCAGGCGGTCTTGAATACCTCCACGGATGTCAAAGGATCCAAGCCGGGCGGGAGTATCTCACGCCGAGCGAGAAGTGGTGGATTGTGGATCTGTACCTTTCAAACATCAGCTATGAATTGAGAACATTCCTCGTTGAGGAATATACCAATGAAGAGAAGCCGTGTGACGGTGAGATTTATCGGAAGATCCGTAGATACCATTCTCTGCCAACAGCCGTTGACTGCATGGTTTCATCTGCTACCTGTCACAGCCTCGAAATGCGTTGGTGGGCTCGTTTAAAAGGAAGAAGAGTGGATTATCTCAAGGGTATGCTCAGGATCTCCCAATTGGCCTCTGCGTTCGACGCTCTAGCGAGAATTACCGGACTCTGTGATAGCGGTATGAAGATCACTACGTTGCATAAAGTGAGGGGAATGAGGTGTCACGATGTCAGTATATCACCAAAAGTAGGCGCTCGCTCTGCTCATATTCTAGTGGATAGTAAACTACCTTGGGAATATTGAAAAAACATGGGCCGGGTTTTTCGGCGGGATTTCACAGTGGCAACAAAGGGTTGATAAGGTTGATGTGAAGGTTTTAGAACTCAGGGCTCCAGGGGCATCCACCGTGGATGCTGAGTATCTTCAAGGCCGGATTCTAGGAGGGGTCGTTTTCAAAAATTTCAGCCCTCAAGAACGCGTCATCATATGGAATAACATTTGGGTATTCAAAGGCATCATTCCTTCCCTATCCACGTTCTTCCTGGACATCATATTCTTGGAGAAATGCATTGACGGCGTGAAGCGATTGGTTGCAGTCTCTCCAGATGAAACGGTGTCTTCTGCTTTAGATCATTCGTACATAAAAGAGCAAGGAAGCCAATGGATTCAGACCAGTGAAACAACCTTCGATTCTGAAAGGGGGAGTTTGGAGACCTGTAAGAAGCTTGGTATTCTGGGATTAGTCGCTTTTGTTATGCGTCTACACCAGTATCTCCCCAAAGATCCTGTCAAGAAGAACCGTAAAACGACGCCAAGGGCCAAGGCCGATAGAGGCGTGCTCCAGCAACTTGCTGCTCTGGCTGAGATACTGGGGTTTGACTCTCTTGAGATCAGGGCTCTGAGTCCGGGTCCAACTCCTATAATTCGGGGTGCTCGGGAATTCGTACCTTTCCTCGTCACAACTGGCCCAGGAGTAATCATCAAGGAAAGGTGTGGAATCCCACACGAGGATAACTTTAAAGATGATATGAAATATCTGTTTCTACACGACCTGTGCGAAGATAGAGCTGAAAGTGGCGAAGGTATCACTTCATTTTTCGTTCTCAAGTCCTGGTTCACGAGTTTTTTCGAACCACCCCGGTGGAGCAGACCAGTCGTGACCGCGGAAAGCCCGAATTCTCCTCTCCCATCAGCCCCCAACCAACACGTCGGTGGGGACAAGGATATGGCAGACGCAGGGCCACAAAGTCCCGGAAAGCAAGAGCCAGAGGTCACACAAGTGCGGCAAAGAACGGATTTGTCTGAGCGGATGCGAGAAACCATCGAGCTTGTACAGCACGGGATGAGCGGGCATGCAGTCGAAGCTAACCGGAGGCTCGAAACGAAAATGGAGACAGAGTCGGCTTTTAACCAACTCACAGGTACTCGCCCATTTCAAACGTGGTTTCTATTGCTAATATAAAATCCTTTAGCGGAAAATGAAGCTGTGACACAGAACCAAGCTGTCAAAGGAGCAGATACTATTACCATATACTTTATAGAAGGGAATGTTAAGCAAGGGGATATGATGGAGTCTATGAACACGTGCGAGTCTATACAAGAGCTGCATGTAGACGATGGTGACCCGAACTCACTCGTCGAACAAGCGGTCGGGGAGTATCTACAGAAAGGCAAGAGAACCTGCAATAGATACCAGCGCCGTTTAGCTGCAGACCGGTGTTATGCCACAGCGACTCAACCGGAGAATAAAAATACTCTCTTCTTAATCCCGTGCAAATCTCAAGCTAGAGTGTGGGAGCTAGAGGCGCAAGCGGTACACGTCGAGCAACAAGAAGCCGAGACACTAAGGGAACAGGTTCTTCAGCGGGACTTGGCCGGGGCAGAAAATGATCATGAGCAACAGCGAGTAGAGCTTGAGGAAAAAGCAATCAAAGATCAGAAAGAGGGTAAATTGGCTAAGCAACAGATACAAAGCGAAGAAGACGGTGACACTGATCTACTGGATAAGGAGAGTGATAACTGCACCAAATCACTCATTCTCGACAAACAAATCGTTATTTACTTCAAGCAAAGGCTTGGCAATTCTTGCGATACATCGAAGCCAGCCGAGGAATGGGAGTGGGAGAATCTGGCTTCTGTTAAGGTACCAGTTGGGGATCCTCATCATCAAGTTCGCAAAAAAACGAACGCATTTTGGGCCACTGATCATTTAACGCCTCACAATAGACTTCTGAAGTCATTGCAGGACAAGGACTGTTATCAGGCAGCGGAAGACGACAGACATCACACGCTGTACATGTTGCCAATTCGTCCACTGCCTGCTTGGGAGCACCCGCCCAGAAGAACTCGAGGAACTCGTGATAGAAAAATCGACAGATCTCAGAAGGTGCCATTCCTTCCATTAGAAGTTCCGCAGCTTCGGGTTCCGAAATTAAATGCAAAAGTCAGAGACCAAGTCGAGTCTTCAGAGATGACCCACATAGACAAGAAATCGAGAGGGCCAAATGGACCAGATATGGAACCGAAAGTATTCGGGTGGAGTGACATAAAGGACACTTCGCCACAGATAAGGAAAAAGGAAAGGCAGAAGAAGGTAATAAAGGCGCGGGGACACCAGAACGAAGACTCTTCAGCGGTCCTCACAGTTTCTCAGCCCAGATTAGAAGCGCCCTTGGATCTTCCCACAGAACCAGCAGCACCCGCAGCACAAATGCTAACATCGGATCCGGAGGGCATATATAGTTAAACAGCGAAATTGAGGCCTCAATTTCCGCTTATTTTGAGAGCTGGCCATTGTAGAGCGCTAGAATGTAGCCGGTATTTGCCTTTCCGATCCCGTGCTAAACGCAATTGGATCAATGGGGACAGGGTCGAGAGCCGCACTCGAGGGATACAGGATGGGCGCATCGTGCTTCTTTGATACGGAGACCCAGATGTCGTTGAATCTACCAGATGATAAATCTACGAAGTTGTTGCCAGTGTTATTGGTTAAGCATGGTTATCTGCGGACTGGAAATGTTAGTCGTTGGGGTGCCTAGTCGAGAGTGAGGTAAAAGTTCCCGGATCGAGTTGTAGTCATTTTATATATCTTGATTGAATTGCAACAACTTTTTGTTTTAGCAGGTGACAGCAAGGAGATTCGATTCGATTAATGACAGCGGGCTATATTCAATCTGCTAATTCAAGTATGCAAAATTTAGACAGGTCAGAAGGAGGCCACTTTTGGCCGAGGTGCCAAATCCCAGGGTAGAAAAAGCCTCCCAACCATCCTCCTCCTCCCTCTCCTCCATCGGCTACGAGCTGAGTGACTGATCTCTCAGCACGGTGGAGGCGGACCTGGCGAGCTTTTCCAGAGATTCGATTAACGTGCGGCATGGAAATTTATTTTGGGTGGCTGGGCTGCCGGCTCTTCATCTTGGTCTCCAGCGCCGAATGTACAGTACCATCCATTCATATCATTCACTTTTCCTCGGTCTCCCCCGTCCCCGAGGCCCCGCTGGCGTGCCCGTTGCCGCCGGCCCTCCTCTCCCGGGCCCAGCTAGAGCGGGTGTCCTCGCTGCTTTTTTCTTCGCCACGACAGAACGCGTGCCTGGCCCATTCTCCTTTCTTGGGCGTCCCCGTCCTCGCTGGTGTCGAGTCTCCGTCTCGATCTTTGGTGGACGCGCTTGGACGGGCCTTGTCTTCCTGCGCCGAGTCTCCCGCGTGGTAGGCTGAGCGGCAGGCGCTGCAGCCTTTGGTGCTGCTCTGCCCCTGGGTTTCTTGTTTGACGTCGCCTGCGAAGGCAGTGGCTCGGCGGGGCGTTTCATGCCTGCGATCCTGGCACTGCATCGAGGTAGTGGTGGGGGCTGGTCCCGATTCTGGGCACTTTCCGTCCTGTGCGGTTGGCGCTGGCGCTGACGCCGTGGCTTCTGCGGTGGGGGGCTGGTAGTGTCTCGTTGTGGCTCTGGTGGGTTCTGTTCCAGCTCTTGTGGCGAGTCTTCGTCATGCTCCTTTTCTGATGGTGTCTTCTCGAAGATAGAACGCCCGGGTAGTGATCCTGGGGGTACGTAGAGAAGAGACCCGGGAGTCGGGAGGGGCGGTTGGAAAGGTTCTAGAAGCTGTCCAGGAAAAGGGGCCCGCAGGCCTGAGTCCTTCCGCCTTATGGTCCAGAATCCCTTCGGTTGGTCGCAACTCGGAAGCTCAATGGTCTCTAGATCATCGATCTCGGAGGGAGTGAAGTCCATGTCCGTAGTGTCCAACGGACTGTCTTTCATGTTATTGATGGATGTGAGATCCTCGGGCTCTGGGGAGGGAGACTCGTGCCGCCATTTCCAGGAAGTAACCCTGTTCTTCCTATCGAACTCCTCCTTCCAGTCTCCACGCTCCTTCCACCACTTGATGACTTGCTTCCGGGCCGAGTGCGGATAGCGCCTTTTTTCATCGACAGAGAGGCGATCGTACCTCGTCCTTTCTTCGGCTAATTCAATCCGAAAGATGAACCAAGGCCTAGAGATGATGAATGACTCGGCTTGGGAAGCAGTCGCATCTTGTTCGAGGCAAGACTGTGGGAGCACGGGGGCTTTCTCACCACGGCGCAGATTCTGGCGTAGGCGTAGGGCGCGTGCAACGAGCTGCTCCGCGTAGCCAGCAGACTCGGAATCATCGACAGCTTGTTGGTCCCACCTCCACTTCCACCTATAGGCGTCGTCATTGGGCTGCACGTTGCGCCCGGCAAACCCCCACTCAGGATTCCAGATACCAAGTTTTTCCCAGCGGCGCTTGACATTGTGACGAACGAGGACGCCACATCGCCGAGAGCCCTCAACTCCTCCAAATATCTTGTTCGAGCGGTATTCTTCTACCCGGCTTTCCTCTCTCTTCGCTTCTGTGTGATAGAAATCGACAGGGTCTAGGATGGATCCCATGTCGCATGCAAGATCCTTCATTTCATCGTCGTTGATCGGTTGCTCCATGATGGCTTTCAGCTCTCCTGGTAGCTCGCTGCATGGTGGTGGTGGCGCAAGGACATCATCGCTGAACTCTTCCGACTCAGTTGACGATGCGTAGGGCGGAGGATCCTCGCGCTCGAAGCGTCTGAACGAACGGTTGTGCAGATTGCCGTTGGCAACAAGTGCTTCGAGGACGGGGATGGCTTGGTTTTGCAGGGCATCGTGAAATTGGACTCGGTCGAAAAATGGAGGCATGGGTATGGCTTGGGCGATGCTAGCGATGGGGAGGGCGGAATTGGGAGGAACGTTGGAGATGGAGATGCTGGAGGATGAGGAAGGGAGGTCGAGGATGGGAGGTTGGTGGAGTGGGCAACCTTTCTTTCGCGCCCAGACGCCAAACGACCACACCACTCAACCGCTCAAACCTAAATTTGGCCACGACAGCACTACAATTTCGAAAAACTAACGTTGGAATCGGACTTTTTGGGGCATTTTCGATATTCTGAGAATTTTCGAGAATTTTCTAAGCACTTTGAAAAATCCATAAATTTTTGGTGTTTCGGCAAGGGTATAACTGGGCGGTTGAGTGGTTTGGGCGTTTGGCTAGTGAAGCCTTCTTGCGGGAGCCCCTCACCAATCAACCAAGGTGCCGAGCTGCCCTTTTCCCCGCGCAGTTCAGTCGGGAGTCTTGCAGCATCCTGATGATGGACACCTGTTCTTCGTTCCTACTACAACCTTATCCTCTTCTTGCCGTCCTCATCCGTCTCGCCACTTGCCTCTCGCCATGGCTCGGGAAGCCCATCCAAAAACACTCTTCCACCTCGTACCTACTGACAAGGTCGCCCAGAATTCCCTCCATCACCCCGATAACAAACACCGCGTCTCGAGCTCCAAATACGGCCCTGGCCTTGAGGTTGGTTATCATGTCCCGTCCGGCCCTCGAGGCCATGTCATCACCAGAGTCGGACGAGATGCCGATCTGATTCTTCCCGAAAGCACCTGCAGACACCCCATATCCGCGGTTCACGTCGCTTTCGAGATCAATCCTACAACACACCTCGTCCTTCTGTCCGTCCGATCGAAGCGCATTTCATCGGTCACGTTCGCGGCACTTGAAGATCTGAATAAGGATGAGAACATCGGAGAGAACATCACCGGAGACGGCGTTATCCTCTATGGGCAGAACTACAAGATCTCCATTGCATCTTACAACTTTAAGTTGATCTGGCGGACCATCTCTAAGACCAACAACGCCGAATCTCTCAAAGCCCTCACCGTTCAAGGCTACAAAATATCTCAACAACTGTTGCAGGATGTGAGATCGCGCGACCGACCAACGGAGAACGACAATTCAGAGGCACAGTCGTGGCATATGACCAGATTAAATACAACAAAAGATCCCATTTTCCAGGATATTAAACATCTTCGTGAGAAAATAGGCCGGGGAGCCTATGGTACGGTCTACGAAGCGGTCGATCGGACCTCTGGCTACAAGTTTGCTATCAAAGTAGTCGATCTTAGCGGCCAGGACGATGTTGAGGCAGCTCGAGCTATCCTACATAGAGAAATTAGACTTATGCAGCAAGTGAAACACGTTAGTCCCCTCTAATTGCTATCGATTTATTATCAATACTGACAATATATCCAGGAACATATCATTGAATATCTAGGTCACCAACTTTTTGATACTCTCTATCCAGAGATCTTAATGCCCCTACGCTCCGGGTCCCTAACTTCGCTCGCCAAATCACCGCCGCCCGATATCGACTATGAACAACTCTGCTTCCAGGCGATGGGACAGATGCTCAGGGCTCTCGACTACCTAGCAAGCGAGAACCTGATCCACCGGGACGTAAAGCCCGACAACGTTCTCTACTCCCTCTTAAACGGTCATTACCATTTCCAGTTGGCCGACTTCGGACTTGCCCATCACCGCTCACTAGCTACAACGTTTTGTGGCACCGGCTGCTACCAGGCTCCCGAGCTCTGGCCCTCCATCTCGGGGGTTAACGCCGGCCAGAGCCCCAAACTAGACATCTGGTCCCTCTTTGCATGCATTGTTGCCGTTCGCTCAAGAATGGAAGAGTTTCCACCAGATACTGCAGACTATGGTGTTGTTCTGGGCGCACTCAATGCTAAAATTCCAGCCGTATCTAGACTCGAGCCTATGGCGAGGTTGCATCCAGATCGCCGGGCATCGGCTGCGCAGATGCTAGTCCTCCTCTTCCACGGCGAAGGCTTGACAACACCCAAATCGAAAATCCCTCCCATTGAGCCCAATGTCCCAGCCGCAGAGCCGAACAGCCGTCCACGGACAAGGAGTGATCGCGGCAAGGCTCCCCAGCCGGCGACAGCAACCGCCCGCCCGTTGATCATGTATCCACGACGCAAACCTCTTGCCCGCCTGCCACCACCCATCCGGAACCGAGGAGGCAACCTTGCGCAACCAGCTGCAGCGCAGCCCCAGCCGACTCGCGCGAGTAGGGATGGCGTTGTCAAGCGCCGGACCAGCACGCCCAAAGCGAACATTCTCGCCAGAACCTCGCAGGAGCAAAATCCGCCAGTTCCCATGGGATCAACGTCCGTGCAAGAGCCGCCTCTTCTCACGGGACCAATTCCCGGATCGTTTGTCGACTGAATTATATAGAAAGCAAATATCGAGAGAGATAGTACAGTGGCTTATTCAAGGCAAGTCACTTTTCCGATCTGACCTGGCTTGTATTGAAGTACTAACTTCTACGACTAATAGTGGAACAGTGAGGGATGGATCAGATTCATGGGTGAAACACCACAAAAGAAGTGGAGAGGTTGACATCGAAAGAAGGCAAGAGGAGGAACGTCTTTTGCCTGAAACCGGAAATTTCGCAACTGCGACGTGCACTATCAATAAACAAATAGGATATACTAGCTGAAAAATTCGTGTTCACTCCTTAAAATGTGTCATCTCCAATACCAACACCACCCGAACACCCATCATCACCCGTGGACGCATCACCACCTGTCAAAACATCGAATCCACTACCCTGAAGCATCGAATCGACCATTTGATGCAGCGGTTCGACCGTTTTAAAAACGAATGCAAGCGAAGAACTTGTGGCCTCGATTGTTGAAAACGCCAAAGGAGACGCCCGTAACGAATCGCGGTTCTTCTTGAAGAGTGTCCACAGACAAATGACTGAAAGGCTCGACGCAGAACTGGTAAAGAATTTGAATCAAGAATTCGTTAGTGTCTTTAGATTGGGGATGGCGTGGAAGCGTGAGGCGTGTTATGGCACCTTGAAAGAAATACGAAGTGCTGTTCAAAACCCTGACGCGGTTAAGATGACTATGGTGGTAGAATATTAGGAAGGCGAGCTCCCTGAATTTGAGTCTTAACGTATTAGAAAGTGTTCTAGTTGGCAGTAGCCCCGGCCATCATTACCGTCTTGGTGGAGACTGCCTCGAAGTTCACAGAAGCTGCGGAATATTGTAATTGACAGAGCAATTACTTTTCGGGTTGCAAACAATGCTCCTTCGCGCAGTTTTGTGCTACCCATCACGATTCCCGTCATGTTGAACACCATTTGCGACATCATGTATCCAAAAAACCAACGCGCAATGTTTTGTTCAAACTCCAACACTCCAAAGTATATCACAGTTTTATCGTAACACGAAGGATCATTTTCCAAAAGCCAACTTCCCACTTTCCTGGTTCGGTGTCATACTTGACAAGCCTGAGTCTTGCATTATCGGGTATAAACCATTGACCCCCCCCTCTTCTTCCTTGTCTATTATCCACGTTGAGGTCTTCGTAGTCGCGTCAATTCTATCCCGGCTCCGTCTATTAGCATACCATCCAAGACATTCCATCCCTATACTCTCAATCTTCCAACTCCCCGTCCTCCCATCTCTCTTGTATTAACAGACGTTTTCCTAATGCACGCGCATCCCTTCCAATTGGTGAATCTAAAAATGCGAGGCAAACAATTAATCGTTCGGAGTTTGGAAACTAAAGCTGATTTGCAGAAATGAGCCAAAAACAACAAGCCGTTTCCGAGAGGAAAGCTGTTTAAGTAGTGATGTACGAATAACTCACGAGGGAACTCCTTTTAGGAAAGGGTATCATAGCATCAGCCTATACATGCAAATTGCCCTAAGGTAATGGCGCTGGCCCATCTACCGCCCAACCTACGTAGCGCACATCCAGACTTGGGAGAGCAGGCACCTCAATCGTCCTACGTTTGGTTAGCGTACGATTAGCATACACCCGGAAGGCATCCCTGTCGTCAACCGTAAGGACATCCACGGAAATCGAAGGGTGGAATTGGCAATTAACGCTTTCCAGATTCCGAAGTTGGAGTAGTTCAATCCCAGGGAGGCCAAGGAACTTCTGCAAGAAAGGCGCGTCTTTGGTAACGTAGATCAGATCGTTCTGATCTAGATCCAAGTTCTTAGCGCGGGAGAAGAAGAACCAGGTCTGGAAATGGGAGGGGTCAAAGTCCAGAAGTGGGTTACCCGGGTAGAAGTTGAGATGAAGCTTCCTAATCCTAGTGTTCTTAACCAACCTTTGAAGCACATCTGCCGCCCATATTACCTCAGGGTACCAGTTGATAGTAAGTTCAGAGCCAATCGAATTTACGACATGCGTAAGGCCCTCCCCATAGAGAGCGTGTATTTGAAAGTGATTTTGCTGAAATATTGGTATGGCCTCCTGATACACCCACCGACATGTTAAGAGGATAGAAGTATCAACGACAGCGTAATGTTCCCACTGGAATGTTGAGTCCCCCGGCTTGAGAGGAACTGGAGCCCAGAGAACGGCTCTATATATTTTCAGGCGGAGCTCGATTGGGAGCATTGCTAAAGGAAATTGCCCGGTTTGTTCTGAATCTGAAGACAGGGAAGGTTAGCCTCTGGCCTTGGCAAGGAACGAGAACGCTAACGGCGGGGTTTCTCTATTTGGACATTGATCCTGCACCGGTCCGGCTCCGGTGTTGACAAGATGATCGGAAAGTCGCTGGTATCACCGGGAAGGTCACTCAAGTAGAACATTTTCATGATGTGGAACGGGAATGGTCTCCCACTCGCACGGCGCAGGCCCTGACAACGCCTCAAAACGCGCAACATCTTGTAGGTAAGATTTGCCGGAATAATGTTCTCCACGAGGTGATCTACTGTCAGGTCTGCAGCTGCTCGTGCTACCAGGTAATCGTGGCGTTTCTTCCAAAACGCAGGCTCCTCATTCGCTACTGGGCGATTCCATTGGTCCCAACAGCTAACCGATGCAGATGCTGCCCAGTGTTTGCGACAGTGTAAGAGGTCAAGAGCGTCGAGGATGTCATCATGAAGCTTCGCCAACTCGAGAAGTCCAGCTATAGATGCTAGGGATATGAGATCTACGTTCGACGGTAAGCCACCGTCAGGGGCCGCTAGGTCATCCGTATAGACCCAACGCAAGAACAAAATTAAATCTTGCTCGCTGCTCCGCCAGTCGAGGATACCCGCCTGAAGTTGCTCCGCAGTTCTGAGATCGAGGAATTGCTTCAATACGAGTGTCCCTATGTTGCGTCCAAAGAGTGGGCCATCCTCAAACGTCTCGAAGGAGTGTTTAATAAGAATCGCCTGATCGTCCGGGAAGCTAGCGACATGATCAGCCTGGATTCCAAGTTACTCAAAAAAAGACTCACCAGAACATTCGAGGAGGCATTTTGCCGACGAGATAGTCCAAGTCCTGGCCACGGGCCCGTATAATAGGTACTCTCTATGAATCGATTTAATCGTGTATCGCAAGGCGGGCACCGATTTTAACACCCCTGCACCGAGGAAAGAGGCGTTTCAGGCTGGCTTTCCAATCAAGCCAATTTTGATGCCAGGAAGAAACCCCAAAATTGACCAAAAAATTAGGCTTTTACACCAGAGCCATAGCGCCATTGAGTATGAAAAATATGCAATAAAAGGCTGTTGGAACTTATTTTGTTTGCGGCTCCACAGAATTAGGATCAATCTCAATAGTCTCCGATTCGTACCGGTCCAGCAATTTCCCAAATAAAACTGCTCTCCCCTCCTCAAAATACGTCATGCACAGACCGATATCTCCCAAGATACTCCCAAAGGTCTTGGACAGCTTGCATCCCTGTCGAATGTCCTCCTCCTCATGCATAACGTCTTTGATATACTGCCTCCCTTCATCATCTCTATCGGTAATAGCATGGAGCGTCTTTGGATCAAAACAGGAATAGATATTTGTCAAAGCAGTAAACACTTCGAGTGGAGCGGAATGTGCAAACTCCCAGTCGATTACGCCAACAATATTGTATGTATCATCGAAAAGTATATTGTGTAGCAGGAAATCCCGATGGACGATCGGATAGCGATTTTCGTAAGCGGTTGGATTTCTTGATAATCTCTTCTCCACTGCCGACCTGAGGCGTGGAGGGAATGAAATCACTGCTCGTTTTAGGCTTCGAACTCTATCGTCGTCGTCTTCAACCCGACCGTGTAGAAAATCCAAATTCCCGAATTTTGCATGAGCAGCCCATGAGAGAAAATAGTCCGCTGCTGACGTAAACGGTCCTTCAAAGCCAAACGACGCTGGGAGTGGGCCAATATCAATCGTCCCGTTTGGCCCCAAAACAAGGGATCCAAGTTTGTTAATCGAGGCGGTTGCCATTTGATACTAGGTACAATACCAGAAGAAGTCAGCGAGATGGAAATAATGGCTGGGGCTCCACAAACCTGTATTGAAGCTATCGACTTCCGGATCCTACTCTTTTGCTCGCCAGTAAGTATACCGGGACCCCCAAGGTCGAACAACATATTGCCTCTTATGCATTGCATTAGCATATATGGCAGCTTAATAGGGTTTCCATCAATAGATGTCCTGTGCCCAAAGATCGTTGGGACTGGTATGTCGGTGGACTTCGCGATGAATTTCATTGTTGCAATCTCGCTCTCCATGGTAAATCGTCGTTCGGCCGTCCACCATTTTAGTATTTCGTTCTGATCAGAAGTGGAAGAGGCTGGAAGAATAGGAATGCGTACAAGCCACAATTGGCCTGTATCGATAAATTCGAGGCGACGAACAATATGGCGTCCTCCAGCATGATAAGGCCCATCAAAAACGCACAATCGTCCACCATTAAGAACCTGCGCTTCTTTGAGTAAAGCTGTCCAATCTGTATACTTAAAGGTCCGCGCGGATCGCTTGTCGTTATGCTGGCCTTGCCAACGGAAGATGGATGGTTGAGTCATACGGGAACTGGATTGGAATGCGGATGTTGAGTTGGATACTTCGTACATCGGTGGGGTTAAATTTGTAAATGCCTCAGGCAACGAAATCGGACTAGAAATGACTTGGAGATATTCTTCTGCCACCTTCCAAGGAAGAACTGACGCATCAGCATCACGACGATCTTTCTCTCGACTTCCCGCAGAACCTTACAACACTCTCGACATAAGCAATATCGCCATGCTTCCTCCTTATCTGTCTCAGGCATCTCTCCAAGACCCCCGCCACAGGTTGATTTCTGGCCCAACGAAGCTATCTCCTCTCAGCCCATATGACATTGCTGTGGATGAGCTCAGCCTTTATGGCAAGTGCACGAATCCTATATACTGCGACGAGACAAATATAAAGAGGGGTAATGACTGCCCCAAGTGTGGTCACAAGCGCGAGTAATGGTTAGTCGGCGGCCTTCTTCTGCCTTGTCGAATTCCAGCTAACCTCTGTTAGATTGCTCAATTGAATATTGAAAATATGCATATGGAGATTGAAACATGATTGTATCGTCTGGAGGATACCAATAGCAGTTAGATGGCAGGAAATGCGAGTATCATTATCATAATACAAGGGCAAAGTTATGATGCGACATACAGAAATCCCAAGCAGCCAGTTCGGCGGCAGCCAACACAGAGGAGATTCCTGCAACCTGCTTGATCGCTCTCCGGCCTAATTCGGGACCTTGCCAGCGGCAACCTCGATCCTCTCCTCTCCTTTCTCATAATGCGTGTCGGTCTTGCGCCCACCCACTGGGGCGTCCCCGTCCACGCAATGGAACACATCTTTTGCGAGGGCTATTCCCACCATCCTCAACGGAAATTATTGTGGTCGACACCCTGCGTGCCTACCATATGTCCGATATCCAAAGGTTTGTGCGCCACTCGAAGGCGAAGAAAGTTGGCGGGAGGCTCGAGAAGGAGTGGGTATTAGACCGAAGTGACGAAGAATCAATCGCCGCGCTCAGAGAAATACGAGAAACCGTACGTCTATTGCTAATACAATATAAGTTACTGTGTAAATCGCCGCATGGGCTGCTAGGTAAAGGCTCAGGTGGTACTTACCTCGGTCGTGGTTAGGTAGCGCCAGTTGGGAAATAATAAAATGAAATTATCCCTAATGCGAAAACCCGAAAGGTGGCGTACGATGGAAAGCGCACGGTGTAAAGGTCGACGAATATTGTAGGTCGTTAAGAGTTGCTGTGCGGCAGAAAGACGTGGCAGATGGTTGCCTCGGGAGAGATAGAATGAACTTTGTTCGCAAAAAGGTCGATGAGGCTATTCATTAAAAATTGTTGTTTTGCGAGGCGATGGGGCTACATGACATGTGATTTGTCAGCAACCTGATGGCAACGTCCCCCAGAATTTGCTCAATAATCCTTTGCATCAGTTGAGGACGCTGTGCGGATGGCTGCACAACCGTCATCCTCAAAGGCCTCATGTTTCGGGCGTGTGGCTACATCACCGTGAGTTACTATTCTTTGGTGGTAATCAAAGGGGCAAAGAAAACTGAGCTAATTAATTGGCTTTCAAGAAACAGCGGCCATGTGACTTCGCATCTCGTACCTGAACCGCGATCGTCGTCTTCCGTCAATCATCCCAATATGGCCGACGAAATCAATTCTAACTTGAGCCTCGCGATCGGAGATACGAGAGCTTTGAACGCTATTACGGATATTGATCTGTATAATCTGGAATATATACCCCCAATTCATTTGAAGCTTTCACTGCTTTGACTCCCTAGCCATCGTAACCTTTTTTTCAAATTCCTGGCTACTCTCGAAGTATCTCGCTCCATCGCTCAAAATCGCAGGTCGCATTTTCCTATTTGTGATAAATTCTAGAAAGAGGAAGTTCCGAATGCGATCGCTGTCTTTGGGTGATATATGTTGCTGCTGGTCTCTATATTGCGGGATGGCTGGATGGGATCCCTAGGAGTGATTGGCTTCTGAGAAAATGTGGCTGCTGCACTCGCCCTTTTGTTGCGATGTGCAACAAACTATTTTTGACTTCGCTCATTATTCACGGTAATGTCTGCAAAACATGTCGCCGCATATTCACAAATTATTGTATTGCTCCCAGTGTGAGAAATGAGTAGAGTAGAGTAGAGTAGTGGGACCTACTCATATTCTACTCAAATAAATTTCTCACTACTCATACTCTACTCAATACTCTACTCAACTACTCTAGAATATTCTAGAGTAGTCGAGTAGTATGCACGTGACGTTACACGTAATGTTACACGTGACATGCTAGCCTAATTAGGTAAGGCTCCGGGGTGGCCCGAGTCTAGCGCCACTGCACTGCCCAATCAAGTAGTGGTAAGGCTTGGTAAGCAAGGTAGAACCTTAATATATTCTTAGGCTTCCTTAGCTATTAAGGGCAAACTCTTCTCTCAAGGTACTCTTATTATTTAAATTACATAATAGACTTAATAAGAGTACTATTAAGATAATATCTTACTTAAAAAGCTGGGGGTTATTTAAAGACGAATTAGAAGAAGTAAAAGGAGAAGAAAAAAAGCAGGAAAAGAAAGATTTCGAGGAGGGAAATCTGGTTTTTATAGAAGAAAAGTGGTATTTAAGTAGCCTTATATAAGCTCTAGCTTAAATTATATAGTACTGCTTAATATATACCTTATTTATTTGTTAATAATTAAATAAATATCGATTTATTACATTTACGTGACTTGCACGTGACTACTCTTGAGTTACTCTAGAGTAGTACTCTACTCTACTCTACTCAAGACTAGAGTAGAGTAGCTTGAGTAGCTTGAGTAGTTTTTGCCCACACTGATTGCTCCCCACTCCCATATGACTTTTAGCAAAACTCTCATATCCGTTGGCGCTTCCTCTGTAATCCCTCATCATGATCCTTACGCTTCCTCTTCACGTGATCCACCCTGCCGAACTGTCGTCCCAATCCTTGCGCTTCGATCAACCAGTCAACCGAAAACGGAGAGCCACTGATATTATATGATTCCGAGTCCTCTTCCCGAAGATGGAGTGATACTAAGTCTTGTTTGCTATCAACTTCAAAACATACCCTCTTCCTAAAGTTACCGTCCCTTGCCAGTGACGAGCGATCCCGAACAGAGCCGGGAAGTGTGCGACCTCTAAGGAGAAACTTTGCTGATGATTTTGACAATCTACCTAGTAGCCCCTCGAATGCAGGAGTACCAGCTCGGTGGCAACACAAAATAAAACCAGTGCATGAATATCGGCCATTCTCCTTTCTGGGAACACTCTCTAATGCTAACTCGAACACAAAGAGCTCTGCAATAATACAGTGCGCAAGCCTGTCTAACTGTTTCGAGTGAAGCATTGCGTCTCGTGCGAGGGTCTTCATTTCTGGCATCTGGCTCGAGTCATCCAGCCTAGGCTCCCGGCCACCAAATTCGACGTTAAATCGGAAATACTCCCCTCGCCTTCTCTTCCCCCCAGTTTTTAGTTCTTCCGCATAGCTATTTGCCTCCCTTCCATGGGCAGCATCACTACTTTCTTGGCCGTCAATAGATGACCAGAGGGCTCGAAAAAGGCGAAAAAACCACAGGTCTTGCCACCAAGAACTCGAGCCATACATCTCAGGATCGTTGTCGGGAGCTTTTCCAGTACCTAAAGAAACCTTCAAAGTAGATCTCTTTACTGAGGGATCATCGGGAGATAGGGCCTTTATTTCTTTTAAAGCAAGCTTAATTGGATTATTGTACTTTAAACCACCATCTTGAAACTTTCCAAGGCCCGCAATGCTCTTTGGGGTAAAGATCCTTAAAAGGTTAGTAATTATATAAAGGGGCAGAACGCTTCTGCTTTACCCGGGGGCCGCGGATGTAGATCTTGCACTATCTTAAATTAGTTAGAATCTATCCGAGCATTTATGCGTCTTACATTTCCCACACTAGTGCATTGCCTAGTAAAACACCATAGTTCTTATACTTCTTGTCTTCTCGATCTCCCAATCCATTGTAATTCGTGAAGATAAACGGTGCTGGCTTCATTGTAGAGACGGTTATCCCAATCTTTGTACCCATAGCTGCTGCACTTGAGTAGTCAAGGATGCTTTTGTTACTACCGAAGGCTTCTTGTAAGACAGCCTCCAGATTGCGAGCTGGGTAGAATCCATCGGTAACCAAGGAGATTAATATTGCTCGAAGCTGAGAGAACCAACGAAAGTATGAGAAATGGTGAAGTTTGAACGCCTGTTTGGCTAACCGTTCAAAATGGTCAATGCAGTCTTCTATAGACCATCCATTGTGACACAAAGCAAGAGCGCTAATTCCGCCTGCATAGGATCAGTGTGAGATAGAGCGCAGGATTTCCTCTCGTAGCTTGACTAACCAGAACTTGTACCAAATACAAAATGGAAATTCCCCTGAACTGGATATTGCAGCCCAATCCTCTCTTCTAAGGCTTGTAAGAAGACCAGGGGAATTATTCCTCTTGCGCCACCTCCATCGATGCTCAAGAGTCTGGCAGTAGCGGTAGGGGGCTTGACTTTTATGTTGACCCCTAACGTCTCCCGTCTACAGAGAAAGCATCGACGGACATCGAAAGTCCAGTTGTCACGCTGGGCCCCGAATCTCCGTATGCAGGTGTCGCATATAATATGTCCGCATGGGAGACCGTGTTGAGGCCTTCCCGCCATGCACACAAAGCAGGTGTCATTAGAAAAGAGGGTGAGCCAGTCGTGCGTAAATTCAGAGAGCTTTCCTTGATGCCATTCAGCGCTTGAGCTATTAGATAGCCTGTGAAATGCGTTCACCTGCTTTACGAATTGGTCTTCAAGCAGCTTGACAAAGCCAGACGGGAGAATTAAGTGTGATGAGCCTTCATGGACAAGAACCCCAGCTCGACAGACTTGATAGCATATCCCTTTATAGAGCGTCCGAAAGACTTCTAGAGGGCTAAAGGCTGCTAACGAATCAGTTTATAATATTGGTCCTATGTGGGATGGTAAATAACTCACGATGCATATCCGGTGGATGGCTATCGAGAAGAATGCTAGAAGCAATAACGGGGATTGCAAACTCTAATAACTTGCGAGGAGTCTTAATATTGTGAAGGAAGTCTATAAGGTGCTCCTTCAGATTGCGTGCTACTGTGTTCCCGATTCGTGACGTGCTAACGAAATTAAAGGGCTCTACGGAAGTTGCTGCCAGGTGATTTAAAGCATAGTAGAAAAAGGCAGCAAAGTGATGAGCAGAGAATAGTGTCTGTGTATTTATCCTGGCTTCCCGAACTTGGTCAGAGAAGTTTAGCAAATGCTCAAACAATTCTCGATGGCGCGCTTTATTCGAGAGATCCCCCTTGCGCGTTGGCAAGCTAAGAAGCCGTATGTCCGAGAACTGTTCCGAGACATCCATTGTTGTCTCTTCGTTCAACATCTGTTTAAAGACTCTCAAGTCTAACTCGTTATCGCTTTGAGCATCCTTTCCTTGCTCGGTCACGATTAAGACCTTTGGGCGAGTAGACTTTGGAAGAGTAGATGGCTGACCCAAATCTAGCCAAAGAGCTAGACGTTGTACAATAGGCCTGAAATTCCCAATATCATCTGCGAAGAAGCAGAAGACGTCGGTAAACGGCGAGAGAAGCCTGAAGTAGACCTTGTCAGCGGATTCAGATAAGGTAGGGGTAGCTAAGGTCCCTGTGTTAAGCTGCCTGCTAGAGGTCTCGTGACATTTCTCCGCAACCAGCGCGCTTCTTAGCTTATCCAGGACAGGTAGGTCTCCCTCCGCAAGTAGGATAGGCCTGCTGCTAAAGGCACTTGGTGTGTGAATATGGAGATGTATCTCCCCGTGTGCCCGTCTGCCATTCAAGTTCGCCTGGCCCCTCTCACTGGATTCATCATCGTGCTGGGATTGGCAGCTCGGGTCACGGCCGTATCTTGGCGGCGGAGAGAATGTCTTCGCGAGCTCTTTTATAGCCATGGCCTTAGATTTGTTTCCAATAAATACAAGGAGACTTGGGCACTGTTCGTCTGGGTCTGGAAGATCCTCTAGAAGGGTATTAAGCCTATCAGTGCTCTGTAGGAAAACATCGCCGTCGTTCGTGGCTAAGCTGAGCCAATGGGTATGCTTACAATACCGCATATTGAGGGGAAAAGTGTGCAAAACGAAAGGAATAATTGAATGCGTAGTTTTGCTAAACAGTTTTAGAGACCGGGATTTTATCAGTTTTGTTCTCAAGCTGTTTTGGCCTTGGCTGAGCAGGTCAACTTGTGGCACAACCTGTGAACCGGAGCCATTTATGGCACACCTGTCCTTATTTAATAACAGTCTAATGAAGGATAATTATGCAGGCAATCTCAAATTCCATAAAATTATTCAAGTTGCGAAAGCGTTATCGTGGAGCACTATGTCCACGAATGGTCCAAACCCAGTAAGGTATATATGCTACGTCTGTCAAGGACCAAGGTCCTCCACGTTCCATTCAAGGTATCCTCCTGGAGAGCCTCCTCCGTCTCAAGGTGTATGTCGTAGGTGCGTCAGAGAGGAAAGTTGCCAGCCACCTCCAACAACGATCTTCGAGATTCACCACTATCACCACGATTGCGCATGTAAACATGATCAGCCTCGTGCAAGTACAATGGCAAAACTTCCACCGCCGCCGCCATACCTTGGGTGCGCGGAGCTGCCGGCTGAGGACTTGCGATATAGGAAAGGCAGTCCACTTGTGCCACCACCAGTTGGGCCTAAGCCTCGCATATAGGGGCAATTCAAGTCTTTCAAGGTTAAGAGCAATAATTGAGCGAGATTTCGTGCAAATTTAAGAAAGACAAGCCGTGTCAAATGGTCACAATGAAGTTGGGATGTAGATCGGTCGGAGGCAGTAATATCCAGTAATGAATAGGTGTTCCCAAAACCCGAGACACTGATTACACATCCAGTCTCTGTTTCTCAGGGGTATCCCCAAGTTCGCCAGCCCGGTCGCTAGCCCTGCTCGGTTTGAGGACGGCAACTGCTTAATAATGCTGCTAGAGTTCTTTCTTAACCTACGGAAATGCTCGAAATTGGCTTCAGTTCCATCTCTCAATGATTTTATTTTTGGCCCACATTTTGTTTTATGCGGCACTAACCCTCTAAACTAGCTTCATCCCCTTCTCAGAATTTGTGCCACCCTCACGGTCGATAAAACATATAATGATTGGAAGTTGAGTTTACACGCCCTAGGAAGTATAACTTCAGACACATATCCTACCACAACGTGGTATCTGAAGAATAAGGAATGTGATTGGGAACCTGCACCTATCTTCTCCGAAAAACCCAGTCCCACCCCTCAAGCAGCTCTTTTCGGTCAATCCCCGTCGAGACATTCGATTTGGCCGTTCCCCAGACTCCCTTACCACTTGGAAGAGGCGTCCTTGGCAAATTGAATACATGTTGGCTTAGTGTGGAAAGAGTAGCTGCTGCCTCTATCGAGTCACCTGCCCCGAGCATTTCGGCCCCATCGAAGTCTACGCCATTCTTTCCTTCCGCCATGTCTAAATCCATCATGTCGTAATCGAAGACTAATGGATCTGCTTCTTCTGCGTCGAGTACATTAATTGCCATCGACTCCCCTATCGCTTTATCCATCCCCACAAGTGTGTCGGGTGTTTCGTTGCTCCATTTCCCAACTGCATCGTTGTCGGAATTTTCGAGATCACCCATCGTTTCATCCAGTTCCCCATCTGCGTTGAGTGTTGTGTTGCACGGCTTCGCAACCGTGGGGACTGCAGCATTATCAGACTCCGGAAACGTGTCAGTTACAATGTTATCTGATGCAGCGACCTCCGTCACTGGCGACTCGAATGTTTTTATTTCTATGTCTTTTGATGCACTCAAGTGGAGCTCGATTTCCTTGTCCTCACGGCATAAATCGACGGTTATGGTACTATCAGATCCAGTTGGTATGTCTGCGGAGGCCGCCCTCATTGCCCGCTTCCCTTTCTTACCATTCTCGTCTTCTATCCCTTTCCAGCAGCCGGAGATAGCATGCTTCTGGATGTACTCGTGGGCACCTGAAGGGTTTTTCTCCTTTTTGGCGCTGGTTAGCAAGATAAACTACATATTGAGATATTGCAATACTTACGATAAGATCTATAATTGAATCCGGCCAATAAAGACTATCTGATGATCTGAAGGACCGGACTCTACCAGCTCTATCACGAACAACAAGGGCAACAAATGCATCGGTATCTAGTGCCAACTTTTTCACCTTGTCGAAGAGACTCCCACTCCTCTTTCTGAACTTTTCTTGGCGTTTTTTGCGTTCCTCGGCCATCGTCATTTTCGTCTGAATTTGGCGGCGTGACGGCATAGCAAACGAGGGCAAAAGCACGTCAGTTCTAAACAGTAGAGGTTTAATGGGCGTGTTCAGACTCTTGAACATTAAATGGCGGAAGCAATTTCCTGACTCACCCTCAACTAGTACGTCGAGCTGCCGAGCATAATAAGCCATTTCCTGGCCTCATAAGCTTGGTTTCAAGAAGCCAATTTCTGGAATTCCTTGGATGTCCTCACTAGCGCCATCAAGCTGGAGCACAAACATCAATTGTTGAATGATCCAGAAATGGCTCCTCGAGGGTCCCAGGCCCTTCCAATGCTATAGAATTATTTCTGCTACGAACCTCTTTCATCATACCTTCCATCACATCTGCTCAGAGGGTTGTTGCCCTCTACACAGGGAAGAGGGAGAGGATGTAAAAGTGTGGCGGCAGAAGTGGCTCCTTGTTGGCAGAACGTGGGAGCAAAAAATGGCTGCTTGGAAAGTGGGGTGTAATGTGTGACGGCAGAAGTGGCTCCTTGTTGGCAGAAACGTGGGAGCAAAAATGGCTGCTTGGAAAGTGGGGTGTAATGTGTGACGGCAGAAGTGGCTCCTCATTGGCTGAGGCACCTGGCAGAATTGGCTCCTTTGCCAGATGGAAGATATGGCGTACGGCAACCAGTTCTACGGTATTGGTTCTCCAGGGCTACTTACAGATGAATTTGATCACGGCCAAAGTTCGGGCAGATTAGGTACATGCAAAGTCAAATTGAAAGGTGTAACGCACCGCGTTATCTGAGGCCGTGAGTGAGTGACTTTGATTAGACTACTTAGATGAATTGACAATTATTCCCAACATCGGCCCCACTTCCCTGCTTCATTTGAGCCCATTCATGGCTAACTTGTTGCTGGATCTTGCCAAACTTGGATAGAATCTCCTCAAGCTTCTCTTTTAAACCCACCATATCATCGTGGAATTCCTTCCAATATTGCTCCATATCTCGATAGTATGCTACTTCGTGATTTAAGCTGCTGCTACGCTGTTGCAATTGCACAATCCTTTCTGGTAAGCTGGGAATTGGGTATTGCTTAGACTCCTGGAGTCGTTGAGGCGTCGCTTCTATTGCCGTACTCGAACCGTTGTGAAGGTCAATGATCCTGTCAACTGGGCTGAGTGGAGGTGGTCGGTCTGTGGGGACTTTAACGCGCTGCTTGGCTTGCTGCGGACGCCTGGAGTGAGAAAAGTCATCCATGATAGAGGATATCCACAGAGTGCGGCGGGTTTAGGTTGGGTGATATAGGGCCAGAGAGCAGGCTTTGGGGAGAGACTTCAGAACCGGCTCCCCTATCGGAGGACTTGAAGCACGATGGCCAATAATTACCATGCATGCCACCATGTTATCAGGCAAGTCACTTTCATATTACGCATGCCACTTTAAAAGAAATAAATTTAAATTGTAAAACTAACTGACGAAAGAACGCGGACGCCTGAATCTAAACTGCAGGTAAACGAGAATGGCGTTCACCCTGCCATGGCGGTCACTTCATTCTCCGCTTTTTGTTTGGCTTCGCTCCCTCGTCCTGGGAAATCCTCTTCAAACCCCCAACAGCATTTGCCGGAACCTCAACATCCCGCTCAGCGGATACAGGGTGCAGTATGGATTGTATGGATGGGATGGATGGGATGTACGAGTTAGATGTCTGTTGCTCGAACACAGGCGCTGGGTTGGACATCACTAGCGGTGATTCGCAGGAACTCTCCATGGAGGTTTCAATATTGTAGTCGTAGTTACCGACCTGGCGGAGAGTAGGATCTACGACGAACTCTTGGTTGCGTGGTTGGTAATAGTGCTCGTAGTAGGGTTGATTTTGGTCATTATAATTGGGTAGTAGCGGGCCGACCGTGGCAGGATGACTTGCAGATTGCTGATGGTCGATCATCTCCTTTTGGGACACGATAAGTTTTTCGGCCAGTTCAAGATCCTGTCGAATTATGGACATATCTTGGTCGTGCTCCTGGAACATGGATATGCACTTCTGTTGTTGAACTTCAAAACCTTGTTGGAAGGTCTGGCTTCTCCGCACCTCAGCCTGGTACCAAGTTTGCCACTTGAAGACTTGTATCTCTGAAAGACCGAGCTTTTTTTGCAGCTCAGTGAGCTTTCCGTTCACCACGTCGAGACGCAGAGCCGGAGCGATGGCAACCTGAGCGAGTTAGAGCAATCTAGTTTCTCGGGATACATCAGCAGAAGACTCTGACCTCTGGTTCTGGAGACGATGGCGGGGTCACGCTTGCGTTGCACACCGGGTCTGATGGTTCTGGGAATGACATGATCGGTTTGATGATGTGGAGATCTGTCACGGATGATGTTTTTTGTACACCTTTGAGGCCCTGACGCGTGTCTTAAATATGAGGTGTTGCAAAAACGAGCTTTTGAGGGTGTTCACCACCTACCCAATCATGACTGCATTCGACATCTCCTGGTCCATAATTACGGCTGAAAGTCATCCATAATGTGCGTATCTCTATGCTGTGGGTACCAATTCTGGCATCTCTCATCGGCGTTGGTTACAATTAGAATCGGCGACAGTCACATTTGGCTCCCATCTATATGCGGGCATCATATATTGACGGCGTCGCTTTTGGCGCCCTCGGTTCGTCGGCCTCTAATTTCTTAGAGATCAAAATACCCACTCACACAACCCGACATTAGTTCCTATTCAGGTACTGGCCATCGTATAAGGTAAGAAGCAGCGCCGGGCTGCGACCTGCGTCCCCCCTCTCCGACAGCATGTCAAACTTTAGTCAACCCTCCGATTTCGCAGCTTTTCGCAGGTACAAGCAATGGGAATCCGAACACCACCACTTGGAGAGCATCCAACCTCAGCAGATAGCCGGACCGCAGCATCCCGTATCCCAAGCTCGGCGACCCCCCCTGCAACGTCCATCTCCGACTCGTCCCCAGACTCGACAAGCTCCTCACCAGAATCCTTCCGAGTTGTCAATACTGTTTCAATACTTGAATGAGTTGAAAAAAAGGGTAGATGATATATATACAGTGTAAGCATCTCATCGATTGTAAACAATAGCTGATTCCAAGTGCAGACTTCGTAATTTACAGACAATGTACGCATTTCTCAAACTTATTGGACGATCACTAATTCCAAATACAGGTCAGAAGAAACCAAGACGTATGACGAAATTTAACTTGAAAGAACTTCTATTAACAGTTTGAAGGACGCTCGTGGAAAATATGGAAAGAATGCATGGGAATCTGGAAAGATTTGAGGTTTTTGGCAGAAGCATTCTCAATAAAGTCTCGCAATCATCGAACGGCTCTTCAGCTCAGCCGCAGGCCTCTTCTAACCCTCTACCCTTTACTCAACACCCGCCCCAAGAGCAAACCTCCAACCCTCCGCCCTTCAACCAATACACATCTCAACAACAGACAACCTCCTCCCAGCCTCACAACCAATATGGCGAAGGGCAGGATGTCGCTCAGAATACATCGGCATTCGTCGCCTCATCCGGTGCCTCACAACCCTCATATGTCCCACCACCTCCGCAGGTTCCTGACCCATACGCAGACCAAAACTATGTAGATTATAACGTTTTCAGTGAGTTTTTGGCAGGCGATAGTTAGAGCCAAGGTGGATGTGAACCAATAGACTCTTTATAGATACCCCAGAATGCCAGCCAGTCTTTCTCTGCACTTGCAACATTTGCCTCAATTGTGATGAGACTATTTTCAATCATCGTGATGGCCCTTATGACTTCGTCCGCTAGCATAATGGTCCCAGTCCAAGTCATCCGGCGAAGTTCGATCTCATCCTCAAGCGCCTGATTCTCTCTCATATAACACTCAATCGTACGGTACTCTTGTACCCTGGTGTCCTCCGAGACCTTGCGAACCAGACTGGCCATTATCGATATATCATCGCTGTACACGCTTGAAGTCGGGCGAGGATTCGGTTGCGGAATCGGGTGAGATCTCCAGTCCATCGGAAATGCGTTCCCGCTATGTGGAATCGTATCAGGAATTGGGTCCATCGTTAAATAATCTCTTGGATGCAGAATCCAAATCTTGTTGATGGCAGATTTGTACAGGAAGTCAGTAGGCCAGAGACTGGATTCCGGCTCCCTGTCATCTTGGCAGCCAAAAGCTGAGCCTCCTTGGGGAGACGACCAAATGTGCCAGACCGACGGATCCCTAAGGAGGTAGATCTCTCCATGATAATTCACTGGCCATCTTCCGATGACTCGTCCCGTTGACATGGAGCCCCAGAATACTTCATTGGTGAGAAGGGTGGAACCATTCTACTTCGGCAGTCTGCTGGACCAAACCTCAGCACTTGCACAGACCACCGGACAACAGAAACTTAGACGTTTGCTGAGGATTAAGTTCAAGAATCCAAAGGAAGACTATACATATATCCATGAAGTTCCTTCAAACCAGGGCGTGCTTGTGTGCGATCGGAAGAATCGTTTCCACCTTGGCGTCATCCGGGAGTCATTCTCACCAACACCACTGCAAATGCTTGAAGTGCTTGCTCACGTTCAGCATCCAAATGTTGCTGACATCCTTGACGTCTATTTTCACGACAGCAAACTATGTATTGTTAACGAGCACCTGGAAGTTTCAATGCTTGACCTAGAGTTTGAGAGGTTGCCCCCGGAAGAGTGGGAGATTGCAACGATCATTGGAGAAGTGAAGATCTTTTAGTCGCTTAACATTACAATGCTAAAATTGCATAGGTGATTAACGCAATGACTTATCTGTTGAATACCGTGCCGGCTTGTGAGCTTCACATCGACAGTGTGAGGTTGTCACTGCAAGGAGATATCAAGCTTGGTATGACCAATCCACCACCGTCTATTTGGCTAACCCTCTAGTTCCTGATAGCCACTACTACCAGACTTTGCCAGAGGATTGCATTGCAGACCACCAGTATAACTCTACATTCCTGAGTGGGGTACTGGAAGTCCTCATGTTGCACGGTACGTCGAGCGTCAAGGGCTGGTCCCACGAAGCTCTAGAGTTCTCTTCTCTCCCTTCGTCAGACTCACTGGAGCAGTATGTTCAGGTAAGTCTCGCAGTGAAATCATAGGGAGACTAGTCCTGAATAATTACCAGCATGTGTTCTTGAGCAAAGCTGTGCCTTCATCAAGGTTGATTCCACGTATCCGCTTGGCGAATTGTCGAATTTAAATTGGACAATACTCTATAAGATACGCTTAGAAAAAGAAATAGCAAACTAAGAAATGTAATCCTATTTTGAACCAATTGAGGCAGGAATCCTAGGTTCAATTTTCACTTTTCACTTTCTCGCCCGCCCTCCTCACCCCCCCTCTCCCGGGAATGCGATCTTTGCTTTCAATTCAGACTCAAAGACGCGCTGGGTCTTCGATGAGGCTGTATGACGGCTCAATTTTCATTGCTCTTAATTGGATCTCCCATCATTTGTGGCTGCGGTACCGAGAGAACACTGGTTGAGCAAACAACACGTTGTTATTTCAAGGGTATGGAATTCAATTGCTGTGTGCTCAAAAGAAAGGGACTCTGTAAACCTTCAACCCTCACGTGCTTTGCCATCACCACCCTAATCATAGAACCAGTATTCTGCTGCATACTGCACGATCATGATCCCAGCAATTGTACAGTTGAAAGGCTCTCCCCCAGCTGTCACGACACGATAAGCAAGCGAAACGCCGTTACTCTCATATCCTGGCTTGGCTGTCAATTGCAACCAATCCACCGCGCCCGTTCCTGCTGGTCCTTTATTTGCTGCTGCTGGAGCTTTGATGTCGCTGGTCTTCCTCCCGTATAAGGTCTTATTCACAGAATAAAGATCGAAGGTTGGTGTGCCTATGCTATCGAAGAAATGGTGCCCGAGTACGATGAAGGGGAGTGTGACATCAAATCGGTATGGTAGAAAAGGTATGTAGACCGCGCGTGGAGGAATGGCGTTCAAAGTAGACTCATCATGATAAGCCAGCCAAGTTGCGTCAAAAAGGGTCGCTACAGCGCCTTGCTGTACAGGGAGGGAGCCCGAGGAAGCGCATGTGTAGTTCTGAGTCCCGCGGCCCACTGCGACGTATTGGAGGGTCAAGTTGGTGGAAGGAAGTTCGGTGGCATCTAAAGTCCCCAAGATTAGAAATTAAAGAATGCAATGGAAAAGATATGACACAGACCACCGCTGAGGGGGGGTATGGGGGTTTTAGCGACGACGTTAGAAGACTGAAGGAATTCGAAAACGGTGGCGAGAAAGAGGAGAAGAATGAACATCACATTCATGATGATATGTCGTAGTACAAAATTCATACAAGGAATTTGAAGCTGAAGTTGAGACCGCTCAAGACTGTCGAGACACTGGTAATAGGCATATGTTGCGCCGCGGTGGGCATATGGGCGCGCTTTTACGTTTGGCCCTATTAGAGTGAGATTCCCCAGTTTATGGCAAGGCCTTGCATTGCTGTTGTGCATGTTTTTCGTATCCCAGATTGGCGTTGGCGCGCTGAAAAACTGTTGCTGTGATTATTCTTATCGACGCTAATTCACCATGCCTACCGACGCTAAATCCCCATGCCTCTCAACGCTACCGGTAATTCACCATACCGACGCTAAATCCCCATGCCTCTCAACGCTAATTCACTATGCCTACCGACGCTAAATCCCCATGCCTCTCGGCGCTAAATCCTCTCGACATCAATCCCTAATGCAAGTACGCTAAATCCCCATGCCTCTCGGCGCTAAATCCCCATGCCTCTCGCCGCTAAATCCTCTCGACATCAATCCCTAATGCAAGTACGCTAAATCCCCATGCCTCTCGGCGCTAAATCCCCATGCCTCTCGGCGCTAAATCCCCATGCCTCTCGCCGCTAAATCCTCTCGACATCAATCCCTAATGCAAGTACGCTAAATCCCCATGCCTCTCGACGCTAAATCATCTCGACAATCCCTAATGCAAGTACGCTAAATCCCCATGCCTCTCGACGCTAAATCATCTCGACATCAATCCCTAATGCAAGTACGCTAAATCCCCATGCCTCTCGACGCTAAATCCTCTCGACGTCGATCCCTAATGCCAAAAATATGTGGGGAAGTCAATATCACATGATCTGGCCCTGGACGGCTCTCCATTGACTGCTCAGAGCAATTGATCGTGGGCGCTATTCCTGCACGTGCAGCATAATACATCCATTGTCAAATGGAATCTCAAAATACCAAACAAATGCAAGAAGTGAGAGTTCACGCCTCAAAATCGTACACTATGGCCCAACCCCCCCCTTCACCGTTTCGCGCTGCTTTCTGCTACCTCTAGTCAGTTGACCGGCGGTAAAATTGGGAGCACCAAATTTTACCTTCGCTCTTTCTTTGCATCTTCCCATTCGCTAAAGTCCAGCTCGCTGTCCCCTAATTGATAGCCCTCAATATATCCTCTTTCTCTTCTCTCTTTCATCCGCAGTTCGTCCCATACGGGTTTGTATTTTCGTCTTGTTATTTCAAGAGGGAAATCATCTATCTTCTGTCGTTTTCTAAGTCTCCCCGTGATCAAGTCCCGAATGTACCCCGATGGAACCCGGTCAAAGTTCAAGCGAGGAGTCGACTCAGAGCTGCTCTCTTGACCTAATTTCGTTGTCTTTGCCCCGAAAACGGCAGCAGAAGACCCTCCCATGAGCGTATATCCTGAGAGATCCGCAATAGGATTACGATGTTTTTATTGTAGGTGTGGGTCTGGACATAAAAGAAAACAAATTGGCGGAAAGGCCAGTTTCTCCCCAAACACAACAAGTAGTATTATTATCTTAGTAGTTGCAGTGAAACTTAAGGATAGAACTTTGCAAATCCTGGCATGTTGCCACTTTTCCACCGATTGGAGGACATTTGCACGTAAAGGGGGGTGGCTGAGCTTTACCAATCCAACAAATGGATACCAACACCAGAAGGATATTTAAACCTGGTACATGCCCTAACCCAGAGCGTCCCACCCCCTCTCTTCATTCAAACGCCGCCCTACGATTTCTGGCTATGGAGCCCTATCAAAGACAATTCGAAAATTGGAAGAACAAATGGGATGAGAAAGTTGAGGTCCTATCGATGAGAGAGCGCGGAGAGGACTGGGGCGATATACTGGCTTTATTTTCAAGGAGGGGAGTGGTAAAGAAAAACCGAAGATCTTGGTATCACGACCAAAGGAAGGTCATTGAAGCGGTCAGTATTCCTCCTTTTGTTTGAGATACAGCTACTAATTCTAGAATAGATACAGAGAATAGCCAGTGCAGCTGCGCACGATACTTTTATGCAAATATTTCGCATGGAGGAGGTTTCCTCCATTTGCCAGCTACGCTACATCGACGAGGCGACTCTTCAGCAAGACTATGATGACACATGGAGACGCATAGCAGAATCGATGCAAAATAATGAAAGAGATGGGAAATGGACGGCACAAAAGGTCAAATATGCATGGTATCATGGCGTCTCGGATCGCTGCGAAGTCAATCTAGAACCTGTTCCTTGGTCGGAGACAGTTTATGGTTTTTTAGCATAAAGGAAAACTTTTGCTCCTTTGTCTGCATTGGTTTTGACCCCCTCGATCGTTTGAAGGACCCTGCATGACCAATTTCGCGTACTCGCATGAAATTTCAGTCACATGACAAGGGATCAAGGTCCCCTTGTCATAGCAGGATATCGTCTTCGGACAGTTTCCCTATAGGTGGTGGTCCGATTGGGTTCTATATTATTTGCTGCTTGGAAGTCGCAGGATATCCGGGGTATGGAGGAGAGGCACTAGCCGCCAAATCACCATCATTCAACCTTCGCGTCTCAGGATTTGAATCTTTCCCAACCAGAAGTCGCATGCACGCTTTCCAACCCTGCAGAGTAGAATGCAGGAGCGTAGCAGGATGCCAACAGAAGGCGCTAAGCGTCTATCATTGGTTGATGCTCGTAAGGCGTGCCAACAAAGACGGGAGAGATACTACGAGCAGCGGCCAATAAATCTGGCTTTGCAGCAGAAGGATCAGCAGAAAATAAAGGACCCGGCAATCCGGTACCTGTCACAAGTGGATTGAACAAGCGCAGTCAGAACACCGAAAACAAGCAAGACACCCTCTTGTGTCAAAAATTTACAAATAGTTTACTTGTTGATTCGTTGTCGTCCCAGCTGTTAAATTCACCGGACAAGCAGAGGAACACTTTGTCCATTCAGACCAAGGGCGAAACGGGGCTATACACTCGATTCTGTTGGTGAGTGGCGAGATGTCAGCGTTGTAGTGCAAGCATGGGAGGTGTGGGTAGCAGGAAAGTTGTGTGGCAGTTGGTTGGTATTTGTGTACTTATTATTGGCTTTTGCTGCCGTGCCAAAGGACCCGACAGCTCGGTACCTAGTGCGCACCTGACGGCGCTTACCCCGCATAATCAAATATCAAAGTCGAAATAGGCCTCCAATCACAGTATATCCGGGTACACCCTCCAGCAAGCATGGCAGCCGTGTCTGGACGACGTTCCACAAAGGAGACAACCGCCATGGAAGGCTCCTCGAAGGCAGGACTGAGTGATCCCCACCAGCACTTCTAGACCTCTTCATGACAGTGGTTTGGCTCCTCGTCGGCCTTCCTATGGAGACTTCTCACTCGACTTCCTAAAGAATTGAGCCTGAAATTTGGCGCCTTGCCCTGTGTGATTGAGCAGAAGTGGGAATTCGTTGAAAAATTCCCAAGAGTGCTTCACAAACGCAGCCGCTCTTTCATATCGAAAATTCGACGACGTGGGGACGGCGCCTTTATTTCTGCCCGGAGATCGACACAATCTACGTTCCGCATCACTGTCGGTCTTGATGATTATCTACCCACAGTATTTCCACAGTCTTCCTACCAGTCATCCCACCATTAACTAACAATGGCGTACTTCGACAACTCGCCAGCTCCAACATTTATTGGGCATATTTCCGCAAAACATGATGCTAAAATTCTGGTCGAATGCTGTATTCGCGGCTTGCTCAAACCAATCCCTCGTCGCCTCCGAGAATGTGAGCGAGACAAACTTATTCAGAGCGGGAACGTCTTCATTTATGAGGAGGATTCTTCAAGAATCACACGGTGGACTGATGGGAAAAGATGGGGTCCGAGTCGTAAAGACGGAGACTTTCTCATTTACAAGGAGACAACGGAGCTTGTAACGAAGAAGAAATCGAAGACGAAATCGAAGACGAAACGAAGCAATCGGGGTATCAGCAAACCAGAACCGTACGGCAGAGGTTTGGCTGTATCACCCAGGGCCAGCGGACTGTGTGGGAGAAGAACGGCAAGTCCTTTGACAACAAAGAACGCAGAGTCGGGGCCGCAGGGAGCGGTCAACAACAAGCCCCAACAAACACTCACAAAGAAGTCTGTTGCTATTACCTTGGGGCAGTCTCGATTCCACCTCGTCTCATACTACACTCTCGAGGACATCGAAAAACTTATCACGCCATCGGGAACCCCTCTCTATCAAAATGTCCATCCTCGCTCGGATCTCAATGGACCGACTTTGTGCACCGAAACCTTTCGCACGAATCGCGCCCTCAACCCTACCAGCAACGCCTGCTTCCCGCATAAGGCCAATTCAGCATATCTTCCATCTTTTAATCCGCTGGGCGGGTATCGTGATTACATGGATGCCGCTGCCAACACCTGCGAACAGCACTGACGATAATAATAGCACTCCCCGTCATTTCTGCCTGGAAGCGGGTACTAGATCGAGAGATACAACTCTGGCATACGGCCATTCCATGAAGCTGGATGAGTCTTGACACCTCCTAGTTTCTATTGTTTGGGGGGTAAAGGTCGACAGCGTGTGGCGAGGAGGATCTTGTGCCGCGTTTTGCTTGCTTGTCTCGTTCATCTTCAACTCTTGGTTTTCCATTTTGTCGCTTATTTGCTTTGGGAGTTGGTCTTGTTACGTTATCTACTTCCATTGCTGCTGGGCGTAGCTCATTCGCCCAGTTTGAACATCAAGATAATAGCCACTTAGTGCGGTGAGAACACTTTCCCTTGTATTACGTTTTGCGAGGCGTTGCCGCTCTGTTATTCATCACCCTGCGCAAATTTTTGGCAAGGACGAATGGCTGAGATCTTTGTAGAATTACTGCTCGCTTTAAGTCCGGGGGGTAATTAACAAAGGAGATCTATTCAGGCAAAAAAGGTGGACTTCGGAAAACTTGTTAGTGGTGAATTCCTTGGTCTTGGAATTACAGTAGCTCCAACAATGAATGATTGACCACACTTCGTGAGCAAGTAGAAATCACATTCCAAAGCAAGAGAAACAAGTAAAATGCATGTGATCCCGATCTCCACCTTCAGATGATATCTTCGACGGCGATTGGAACTTCCTCGGTGTTAATGATAATAGCAAATCATTTCCGCGCCCCCACCCGCAACAGCGCTTCAAACGGCACACCTTACTCACCTGCTTCCTCCTTGCTAAGGAGCTGCAGAGGAAAGGGCGCCGACTGGAAGAAATAAGAATAGAAAAGCAGGCTGGATGAAATTTGCTGGATTGGATTGGATCCTACCGCACTAAATCATCTATTCTCGGAAGCTGCTGATGAGCAAGGGAATAAGCCATATTTAGAAGGGACGAATCATAGCGGCTTCAGCCCACTTTTTATCAAGTTCTTTTCATAGCTAGGGTAGGTACACGGTTTAGGGTCTAATCCTAGAATGGCTGTATTAAAATCGTGTGTGCTGCATCAAAAAGGTTGTCGTACCCCGCTCCGGAAGCATCTCGTGTCCAAAATCTAGCGTCCACCATCCCCCATCCAGTATTCGCCGTCCCCTCTCCAGTACTCAGCAACCCCCCTCCAACATCCCACCATCAACCATCCATTATTCAACCATCCATTATCATCCATTATCAACCATCCATTTTTCACGTACGGAGATATGTCCTCTATACCACCGTAAGTCATTTAATATAGATTTATTCTCACCTGTTAACACCTACCACAGAAACGAAGATCTTGAAGTAAAATGTCAACAAGGCGCAAAACGTCTTTGCCAGGGTACCAATATTAGTCTGGGTGTCAATTTTGAGAATGCTGAGAGAGATATGGAACTGCGTCACGTCCGACGTAAGGTCCCAGCTGTCCAGCGTAATGAACCTGTGGGTTCACAAATCGTTAGTATCCTCTGTTGTCACTGGCGAGTATTCTCTCACAGTATCATAAGCAGACAGCTCGCGCTGCTTTGCACACTGGAGCGGTCATGAAGAAGGCTCGTTATGCAGCTGAGGACAGCAGGCTCTGGCAAGATCAGTTGGAAAACTCGGCATCCCGTAGTGGTGACAACAGGCCTTTCTCCTTAATTGCAACTTCCAATACAACAGAGAGTATTTCCAAAGGTTGGTCAGACTCTTGAATATAATCCCTCAGACTGCTGACATACAAAATCAATTCAGGTCGAGCCGAGACGTTCCTACCAAAGGTCAGAAGTTATTTGAACCCCCATACGAAATCTGCAGACATCGAACAGCCATCTTGGAAGAAGTTTTCAAACCGAAACCAGGGCTGTAATACGATTTCATCGACCATGGTTCACACTCAAAACATACCTTGCCATCCGTTGACTCTGTCCAGAAGAATCAAGATTGATGATTTGCTGGGTTCATCTATCAGTCCTACTAAGCATGTACCTCTACACCCGCCGCAATCTGCTATTTATACTACGTCAAGTGGTCAGAAAAGCAGAGATTCAAGCCTAGGGAACCTGCAGGATGAGGCACCAGCCCCTCAATCCGACACAAGGGGCTTGATACCTTCCAAAAGAACATCCTCAGACACTGTACCCCTCGAGGGAAAATCTGAGCGTCATGACCGAGCAAGCGTAACTCCTGGACCAGCTTCGGCTCGCGGCCCCCAGGTCAAATCTATGTCTAACCCGAGAGAGAAGAAGCCCATCTTGGATGGAGGTCTTGTTGCTGAACAGCTCAATATCAAGGGAAAGCTCCTATTCCCACACCCACAATGGCAGACCCCCAACCAATGGGTTTCGCTTTCCATCGATACTCTCCTTACGCGCACCCCTCCCGAATTCTTTTGCTTCTACTCGCAGATTGCTGGGGCTGGTGAGATTTCAGTACTCTCATTCAATTTCCCCGATGTGACTTGGCAACGACTCCAGTGGAACATTTCTCGGAGCGACTCTAACGCCTTTTACGCTCTAAAGAGAGCGGTTTGGGATACCTTTTGCCTATCAATGATATGGTTTCCAGGGACTGCGGTCTTCAGGGTGACCGCCGAAGCTGTTGGTGGGGAAGGACTGGGCAAAGCGCCATCCACGACGAAGACGCCTGCTCATGATACTGGATCTAGCAAAGGATCCAAGCCGCTGAGGGCGCTCATGACTAAAAGGATAGCAGTTTCAAGCAGCACAGAGTCGGTAAATCTCTCACCATCCGCCCCTAACCTGCCTGGACCTATCACCCGATCACCTTGGCATGAACGTCCACGGCAAACACCGATCTCTCCGGGCAAGATCGCCGAGGCAGAAGACGCAGCATGCAGCTGCAAACGCTGAACTAGGGTAGATGTATTTAGCGAGATCCAAAATGGGTAGGAGTTAGTTAATACTTGTCTGCTGAAGTTGTTGAGTCTGCAATTTTTGCTGCGATTCCTGTCTTCCATTGAGAGCCAATGCGGTCGTACCTCGACATATATACGACAACGAATTTGAGGATTGGAAGACTTTTTTGGGGATATGTTGAAATAATGAATACATAAATGTTTGGCGGACCTGCCTTCGTTTGCGCGAGTGTGTTTGTAAAGAAACTTGTCCCGCCTCTTTATGCCGACCCAACTCTCTGAAATTAGATGTGCCGTATTATGTTCGCACTTCTTCTCTCCTCACTAAGTCGGCTTACTATCAGAACACGATGGCTTGCAACTCCCAAAAATTCATATTTTCGAAGCCCGTATTAATTACAACAAAAGCACAAATGCTCTCCCAAGCCCATCCCTGCCGGACATGATTCTTACCCCAGAGAAAGGGAACTTTGATTTTCAATCCTAAACAGTGCGCAAAATTCTAAAACATTCCTTCTCCAATATCTTCTTCATGTTGCGGGCTAGCCCCCCGTCGAGGCGTTTCGAATGCCTCCGGTGTCCCTAGCTCAGAGGTGGAAAATTTTGATCTGAGCGCAGGATGTATCTCACCGGGAGCGGTTCTGGTGATTGTGGGAGACAGAATTTGAGGCCTCTGAAACATTCCCCTCGTTACAGTATTCGCATTGTTTCTCGTATGTACCATTTCCCTCTGCTCTTGAATTCCATACAAGCCTTCTACGTCTTCTTCATATTGTTGATCCCCCTGAATGCCCTTTAGTGCTGCAGTCTCTTTCTCGCGTGCAAGCGACGATTGGCCATCTTCACGAGTCTGATCTTCCACTTCAAGAGCGCCATCATGCTTTATTCCCTGTTGGTGTTGTTGTTCCCGGTGTTGTTGTTCCTGGTGTTGTTGGTCCTGGTGTTGCTGTTCCTGGTGTTGTTGTTCCTGGTGTTGTTGGTCCCGGTGCTGTCGGTATTGTTGTCGGTATTGCTGTTCCTGATGTTCTCCCTGAAATCTGCTGCCAATAACGGCGCCGTTTACTCTCGAGGCAAATTGAGCATCGTACCCAACATCCCGGCCATCAAGAGCTTCGTGAAATATTCCGCGTTGGCCATTCTGACTGTGCTGATCTGCGGTGATCTCTCCTGCTGGAGCTCGCCCGCTGTTTCCCTCAAGCGCTTTGCCTTTCGCTTTGCCAATTTCGTGCTCTTCATCTGTTACGGATGGACCCGAATGTCGGAGTTTCCCCTTGGAATAGAGAAAGATGTATAACGATAGAGCATCAAGCGTGGAAACTATTGAGAGCGGAATGATTCGCCTTATTCCATGCCGGGTAGGTTCAAACCACAGCGCTCCAAGAGGGGCACTGGGACAGATTAGTTCAGTCTTCTATAATACTGGAGCTTCTTACCTAAAGCAAAGATAAGCTATGAAATATGTTTCTGACAAGACCAGAGTTGGCCGGGTAGATAATGCCAGAGTCGTAACGTGAAAGAATGGACATATCGCCAGGAGAGTGACCACGGCAGCAATGTATTGGATCGTTTTGGATGTTGAATCGACGAGCCATACGAAGTATACGCTGAATTCGGCTAGAGCCTTTGCAAAGTAGCATATGTAAAGTATTGTAGTCACGTCCATAATGCAAATGGATAATGGAATTGGAAATTGCCTTGTCAGTGGCTCCCAATCACTTATTAAACACCCCATTGAAACCATGATGTACTCAAGGAGGTCGTCTGGTGAGAAAGTGTATGATTGTTGGAAGACTGAAAATAGACTCGGCTAGGCACGGAACCTCTGCGACCCGTGCCTTGCGCAGCCTCGTGGTTGCCGCGAAGTTGCGACTGCGCCTCAACGTTTAATAAGGGGGGTCAGCCAGTCGCTAGAAAGTATCAACAACTTAAATGTTGTTAAAAATAATTGTCAGACAGAAGTGATTGGTTTGCGCCGTTATCTACCAACTTCCAAGGCTTCGAGAGCCAGGACGATACTCCCCATCCTTCGGGAAAACCCAGTCCCACCTTTCAATAAGTTGACGAATATCTATCTTTGGTTGCCTGGGATGTTGGTCAACGAACACCCACTCTGATCTATCGATCAAAACCCGAGCCTCAAGCATGCTAGCTTGCCTCACGTTCTCCTGATCACACCCCTGCAGATGGTTCTCATTCGCCCCTTCCTGCCCTGCCAAGCTATCGCTTATCGTACTGCGCGCTTCGTTTACAGATCCTGTGCCCCAGACCGATATCTCGACCCCGATGTTGGTGTTGCTCCTTTCCGGAAGCTGCGAAAGAAACCGAGTGCGCCCCGAGTCTGGCACACTAATTTTAATCGTGTCGTAGTCGACGGGGGAAGTTGGTCGCTCTGGAGAGGCAGGCGGAATCCCAGCCACGAGCGGATTCCCGGCGGCCTCCCAACAGTTGGACTCGTCCGTCGTGTCTAACATTGGCGACCGAATTTGGGACTTCCCCGAATCTGGCACTCTCGAATCCATCATGTCGCAGTCGGCTAGTGTAGACGGTCTGGCAGCAACCAAATGAGTGGCCACCAGCCCCCATTGATCAAGTTCCTTCGTCCTCGGGATGTCCGATTCAGGGACCGCTGGAAGGCCCAAAGTAGACTCTGCAATCCATGGCAAGGTGCTAATTTCTGCTACGCAATCCGGTGCCATGTCCTGGAGGTCGAGAGACTCCAGTCCTTGAGGATCTTGGATGTCGGAATCCTCCTGGATGACTTTAAGGGTGCTGCGGAGGTGGAGCTCGAGGGCGAGTGATTGACTCCCATCTACCACGATCGATTCGCTAGCAGAATTGCCGTCTGCGATGGAAGAATTGACTCTCTGCCGACCTGTGGGAGGTTCTGCGGCCCCGTTGACCTTTCAGCGGTTAGTTCGGTCAGGATTGTTGAGGATTTCAATCTTACCGCAATGTTCTCGAAACGCGCATTCCAGGCCGGACTTGTTGAAATGTACTTTTCGCTCCTGCCACCTCTATCGCAAAGGAAGAGCGCAACTTGGCCGTCGGTCATTTCTGCCAGTTGTTTTGTCTTCCTACGGAGACTCCGGCTCCTTTTGTTCCATTTGTCTTGTCTGCTTTTCCTGTCAGCGAAGGGCATTTCGATACGGACTTGAACGGACACGATGCAATTTTCAAGGTCCCAACTTTATGTGTGGGAGGAAATGATTATTCGCTCCAAGTGTGCTTTCTGGCGCCCGTTACGTCTTGATAGAACTTTCATTGTCATGTGAATATGCAAGCCGATTTCGACTCCAGCTATTCTAGAGGTTTGGACTGAAAGCCAATTCTGGCACAGTGCATCTAGAAATCGAGTCCACATGCACTGGTATCCAAAATGTTCCCCTGCATGCTGGCTGCCACACCATGAATCCTGGCTGTTTGTGTGTCGTCAGGAACGGGCTGCGTTGTGGCTACTTGTCCGAATCAAGATGAACGAGCTGCTCTATGGCTGAGAGGGAAGCCCTTGATACCCGTCCTTTGGCCAATCTCTTCGCCATATGGCTAGGCCGCCGTCGCACCCTATCATCACCAACATTTCCCTTTGCGCGGGAGCACCGCCACCCACACCACCCAAACTTCGTCGAATATCTTAAATTCAACCCTTAGCCTCATTCAACAACTGCATCATTACCATCTTACGGCATTGTGATCGAATCCTTCCCCACTTTAGGCTTAGCACATGTGTTGCGGATCTACCTAAAGTAAAGAAATGGTGCCCCGCCTTCGCTCAGGCAGGTTTATTATATCTTACGCCGGGCTGTGCTGATTCGTAATCACCCCCCAGTTAAACTTGGCTTCCAACCCAGTCTTGATCGAGGTGTCACTGAACTGTGCCCAGATTATGTCCTGCTAAGCCGGACTCACGTCACCTTTGAGACAGCTGCGTTACATTTCTGGAGTTGGCTCGATCTTTGTCTGGATTCAAGTAAACATGGAGGTATTGCCTCTATTGGTAGAGGTTAATCCGTGGTACACATCGATGATGTTATCAACTCAACTGAGCTTTGGAGTGCGTCTATAAACCCTTCGGGCCTTATTTTACGGTTCCCAAAGCGGGTCCCGAGAGCAAGGCATGCTGTGTTTCAGACTCGAATCTTCGTGCGGGGTAAGCAATCGGACACGCTCTTCTGGCCTCTCACAAGGGTAAGAAGGGTTGGAAACAGGCCGGATGCCGTACCACTGTTAATGTTGGTTTCAAGTCCTACGTCCTTTGGCGGCGCACACGGTCACTTGAACGCTCATTTATGGGTCGCCTCTTAAGAAAAGGATAAATCGAGTTCAATTAACTAACGAAGAAACAGGTAAATCGCTGCCAAGCCATCTCAATCGACGATCGATGATCCCCCTCCCAAGAACTCTGGCATGTGCTGTTTCTTGCTCTACATACACCCTTCGGCAGCTCTCTTTACAGCATCGCTCAAGTCGTTGGAGGGCGCGCGAATGTTGCTCTCGGCAGAGAATTTCCACCGTTTGACAGGAATTGATATTGGAGGATGCAAGCATGTCGACGGCGCACGGAACCCATGGCAGCTCGGCTTCAAGTTTGAGGATCACCTGGTCCTGAGCGTCGATGAGCTTCCGAGTGATTCAACGCTTGTTTGTACGTCTCCTTTGCACACCTTGGTCGTTTGGTAATCACGCTCCGACTGAGCGAGCTTGAGCTGGACATCCTGGAACCTAGCCTCAAGCGCGCTGGGATTCTGAATCCTAGGTCGAGACTGAGCAGGTCAGATCCGCGGATGCCATGACGCGAAGTATGGATTTCAGTGGTAGGAGAGCTGTTGCAAGTATTGACTTGAGTAATTATTCCTTTCTGATGGACTAAAATGAACAGTTTATATACTAGGGCAATAGAGGTACACATATTTCTAATGAGACTCGCGTGCTCGGTATGAAATGTTTATATTGACGATAACTGCACCCACCTCTAATACCCGTAATGTCATACGTTGTCGGCGGCGTTCTCGCGCTTGAGACATGGACCTGCCTTCCAGTATCTCCTTGAGTGTCTCCAGTTTCCCAAGGGAATTCGCTTGCTTACTCTTTCTCCCAGAGGCTCGCGTCCCTCTCTCTTTGATTCAATAAATGAAATCATCCTTCATTAATTTTCTGCTATTACATCTTCCAATCGGTCGTCCGTACGCACCAACATGCAACACCCACCTCCGCATTTACGCCTCAATCGCCTCCGAATCCAAAAATGTCTAACACAGCTTTAAGTCGTGGGGAGTACGGACGATATCCACGATTGTCAAGTGACAGGCATCGCCGCCGGCATACTCAGCCACAGTCTGATCGCTTCCAACCTGGCCAGGATGCCCAACGATCACAGCCGTATCGCCAGTGGCTTCCGCGACCCTATCAACAATTCCCTCTGCCGTCTCATCCACCGTCGTTCACGCCATTCGAAGCGAGAGTCATACAGATTTTAGAAGAGCAGAGCAGGAGCCTTCGTGAACTAAGCCTGGAGTAAACATCCAAGAGAGGTATGGTGGACTCGCTAATCATGAATCGTAGGCTGGCGGAAAACTTTGCATCCATGAACGATCGATCAGCTGAGTAAACATTCAAACGGGGTATGCTGAACTAGCTAATAGTCCAGGCTCGTGGAGAGATTTGATCAGTTAAAGAGGTTTGAAGATTTTGGCAGAGACGTTCTCCAGCAACTGTGGTCATCACAACAAATCCACCCACAGTCGCAAATGTCGCCTCCTAACTCGTCTCCGGCGCAGAATATCTTCGAAGTTCCTCACGCTCCGGTATATAATTCTGCTGCTCCCGAATCGTACCCACCGCCTCCCACAGCCGAATTCGACTTTGAAGGGAACCTGGGGGATTATCTCAATCCTTCCAATGGTCGTTAGACCAAGGATATGTTGGATCCCAGGGGCTGTTCATAGGTGCTCGTCATAACACTATTTTGGAGCGCAAGGGACATGCGCATGTATATAAAAAGAAAGGGTGCAGAACCTCGATGTGCTATCTTTTCTACACCGAGTCTCGGAGTGGCATACGTGATAGCTCGAAAACTTGATTTGAGCCGTTGATTCTGTTCACCGAGCTATTCACTTGTTGGAAGTTGCTCCTTGCTGTACATTTTATAGCGCTGAAGAGAGAGTACAAGAAAACCCAATCATCAAAACTCAATCATCTTCGAAAAACTCTTCCTCTTCCATGTCAGCCTTGACCGAATCCAAAATTTTGAACTCGTCCTCCACTGAGTCCGTAGCCCCAAAAATTTTCTCAATGGTCCCTCTGCCCCTCGTAGAGAGACGACTGAACAATCCGGGCTCATGTTCTCCTTCCCTTCGCGGAACGATAATCGCATAATCCAGGGTGACAGTGTTCATCCCTCCAATTGCCCTTCAGTTTTTTAATAAACCACTACATCCGCCGGTCTCTATCCTTCTTTGATGTATCGTCAGATTTGATCTTCTTAGAAGGATAAGGCTTGTCTGCTTCTGGTCAGTCAAGGCCGTGGGCAGCTCGGAATAAAACATACTTTGGCTTTCAGGAGAATCCCCAGGATCTTCCCACCAACGCTTGCGGCCTCCTTGGGCCAGTTTATCAACCACAGGTATAGGGGCAGCAGGCTTTCCAGAGTGTTGCTAGGAGAGCCGAGCCTTTATCGTCGTGCTTCCTAGGCAACCGAGGACCACGATTTTGCACTTGGGCACTTCGGTGAGTGCAAGCTTTTCATTGTATCCTTGGTTGGTCTGGGCCTGTAAAGACCCAGGAGGTTGGTGATACGAGTATGGCTGGTTTTCCTTTTAAGCTGGAAAATTGAACGGTTACTCACCTTCTCCGGCAAACCACAGTCCTCTAACAGCTGGATTGTTTTTTTTTTGTCCCTGACTCGCAGTTCTCGATAATTACCGATATTCGAATTGCCACGTGTATGCACCCTACTACTTACCCGGACCAATAAAGCCCGGTCTGCTCTGTCATTCCATTGCAAAGGAGCATAACCTCGCTCACGTTGGGCCAGTCCTTGAAGAAAGTCCCAGGTCCAGCAATTGCCATCACATGTTTTTCAGCTGCGAAGTTTCGCTGTCGGAGGCAATCTGTGGACCATCCAACATGATTAAGATCTGCTCCCGGGAAGGTGATCAAGTATAAAGGTATAGCCCTCTCTCTTCCTCACACAGATTCACGAGGCACATTACCCTCCTCCGGCACGAGGCACCATACCCGAAATTTGAGATACTTCAAGTCTGAGCACCCACAATGGGCTGAGCTGCCTTAGAAAGCCGAGTTCAACTGAGGGATATTCATATTTCCCACCTCGCCCCCTGTGGAAGCCTATATCGAGCATCATCACAATAGCAGGGTTGAATCCTTCACGCAAAGGACCGGAATTGACGGCTGAGAATGAAGCACTCAACCAGGTCTGCCAAGGAACTTGCATGCCACCACTTTGTCACCATGTTCATAGATAATGCCCGGATTGGATGGGAATCACCCCTCCTACGGCATGGTGGAGGCGATCGACTCGTGATGGTATCGTTCATGCTTCGGAGCTGAAAGGTCAGGTAGCACCATGAAGCGTGAGCAAGGGTGGTGCACCGCATTACAAGACGGGCAAGAGGCCTGGCTTCATGGCCTACCTGCTCCTGCTAGGGACTCTGGCACACACTGTTGGCCTCTGTTAAGTGCGATTCGTCGACATGAAGCAGGATCCATGATGTAGGGTGTCAAGCTCGTTCTGAAGGTCGGATGAGGTGTTGCCACCTCGTGTAGGTTATCTCCAAATCTGTCATATTGGTTACTCTACCTAGTCTTTCATTGGACTGTCTGCTGGGATGCAGGCCCTCCTTACTCCAGCGACTAGGAAATCCTTGCACCCATGTCTATCGTTTCATTCGAGCTGAGGTAGGCACTCCATGCCACGCGTGTACAAGGTCAGATCTATAAGAACCTTGCCCTTCCCCTCAGCAACCCAGCATTCCCTCCCTCGTGTTGTCCAGATTTCGAGTACTTGAGATGTCAAGCCAACAAAATGGAGGGGCCGTGGAGCAAAAGCCCCTACTTGCTGGAGGTACGAACGCCCAACTGTGTATCCTTTCTGGAGAAATGAGGCTAACGGGCACACAGCATTAGTCTTATCCACAACTCTGCCCATTGCCTGTCAAAATAAAGCCGAAGTTGCTCCTCGCTTGCGTGCATATCGCATTACGCCCACTCAGCTTCGTGACTTTGACGATATTGCAACGGATTTGCTCATCGACAGCGTAAGATGGCTTATCACGTGTACAAATATCCACCGCTAAATTCAGTATACAGGTGTACCCAGAGGTAACGATTCGGAAGAATTGTAACACATATTCATCGACTTGCGAAAATCGAAAGGATATAGTTTCGATAATAAAAAATGTTGCTATCAAGCAGAGAGACCCAGCGAGGGCAGTTTCACAGCTATTCCAGGTCCCGGACCTGAAAAGATTCTTAGACAACCTCGCATCGGCCGATGAGAAGGAAGACCTCCAGAAGCACATGAGAAAATATGTCAATCTCTACTTGCCAGACTGTCCATTCGAAGTTTCAAGGACCACCAGATACTCACCTCTACCCGAGGCCGCACTCAAAGCACGGAGAGACATCGAGAAAGGCGAGATCACATACTTGTGCGGAGCTCAAGCTTGCTTCACAGGAGGGGAAATACCCGATCAGGATGATCTCAGCGTCACGCAGTCAAGTCGCCATAAGCTTCTCTTTAGAATGGCTGGCCCAACGCGTTTCGCAAATCACGAGTGCGACCCGAACGCCTGCCTAAAATCAACCGAACCATATGATGAGGTCAAGATAATAGCTTTGAGGAAAATTTGGGCTGGCGAGGAGATTACCGTTTCCTACGAGAACAACGCCTTCGGGAGAGACAATTGTCATTGCCTTTGTGAGACGAGCAAACCTCGCATGGCTAAACACGCTTCTCGTTATCTACGGTCTGTAAGGGAAGAAATTCCGATCAGCAAGGCAATACTTGCCCTGATGGAACGCCGGCATAAGGAGTTATATGGATGGGAGTGGCCTAGGACGAGGTGATGTAGGGATTTCAATATTGGAAGCTCTAGACAGCGTGAATGGGAACTAGAATAAAGGAAGGTGGGATGAAATTGGAACACGAGAAGGATAGGCTTGGGGTACAGTATATAAGTATAAGAGGTTGTCGGTCAAGCGTTGTTTCAAGTGAATAATATCATCTGCCTCCAAAGAGGGGCAGGCAGGTGTTGCCTCTGTCACATAGCGAGGCAACCATTGCTGAACTGTCGGGGAAGAGGCAATTTCCGGCTTAAGCCAAATATTGAATTTTAGGACGGACGATTTTTTGATATAAGTTTCATGACATCTTTATCTACCAATCTCGCGTGTTATATACCCACACTCATTTTTACGTCTTCTTCCACTTCGTCACGCTCGTTATTATTTCCTTCTCTGTGTTGAGAGTTTCAAAGTTGCTAGTGAGTTGAGATGCAATTCTTCAAAATTGTGACGTTCCTACTACCAGCGATATCACTCTCCTCCGCTCAAGCTGGCCCAGTTCCAGCCGCCCAGAATGGTGCTGCGATTATAATCAACGAGTGCAATTTTCCGGTTTACTACAAGTCCGTTGCCAGTTATTCGGTACTTCCGAACACCATTCCTGCTAAAGGGAGCTATAAGGAGATCTACCGGCTTCGCATCGTTAATGGAACCCTGAATGATAATGGAACTGTCAATGGCTATCTCGGCGGCATATCTATCAAGATCTCGCCAAATCAAAATATTGCAAATTCAGTCAATGAGTCCGATGCTTTTGATGCAAGCACAATCACACAATTTGAGTATACATATAATCCAAATGCAGCGCCGGGACTGTGGTATGATATTTCGAATGTAAACGGCTACTTAGACAAATCTTATACAGGATGGCCATTCGAAGAGTTTGGAGGTCTGGTCCTTAAAGGCACTAGCAGTGATTGTGCTAGTGTAACTTGTCCTCCTAATAATGCAACCTGTTCTGCGGCCTACACTCTCTGGGATGATAATAGAACCCTCAGTTGTCGGAATAACAACTCTATTATATTAACTCTCTGTTCTATAGTCAGTGATCCGAGGGGTTTGGAAACGGGTCTGCTAGCGGGTAACTCGGGGGTTGTTGCTAACAACGTCTTACCGCCCAAAGCAACGAGTTGTTTAGTTAGATAAATATTAAAAATCAGCTAGAAATGTGTGCAAATTAAACATATCTCTGCTCTTTACAGCCTCGCCCTATTATGTCATGTGATTCAATCCCTTTAATAGGGAGCAATCGGTGAGTTCGTGCTTACAGATCCTATCGCCTCTTCCTGACTATTATGGGTGAGAAATTTAGCCGTTCTTAAAGCTTGCTAACAATCCGGCTACCGGCCGAAATAATTGAAGCAGCTAACGTCTATCCCTGCGTACCGAGACGCACCCTATAACGAGACAAAACGTAGGTACTTCGAGTTCGAGCGAATAAAAATCCGTGAACGTATAAAAGTTTCTATTTATTTTTATTTCAATTATATTATATACCTCTCTCGAATACTCCTGATTTATTAATTCCGAAAATTATAACCGCGTCGTCGCCGCCCTCTTGAATTTATAGAAGGCCCTCCTTTAATATTATAATGGTTTCTTTATTACAAGTTCCGTTACCGGGATAGCAGAAATCGAAATCCTATAAAGAGCTCGGTAACCGGGAAGTACTACTCTTATGGCTAGGGTTAGCTCAAAGCACTATTATTATTAGTCTAAGGAGTATAAAGATTATTACGAGTATAAACCTTATCTCACAGAATCTATAACTTCAGGTATATATACTATATTAAATTCTCCCCTCCCTTTTATCCTTACCTTAGATATATAATCAGGGGAGTTAGTAGAGAAATACAGATTCCTCGGTACCAAGCTTATTACATTACTATACCAATCCATAATACATGTCTCCGTTACTAAAGTTCTATTCTGACTCTCTCGCAGTACCAGTTTCTCAAGCAGATGGGGAGCTGGACGAAACGATGGCAGAGCTTGGGAAATCCGACAGTATGACAGTCGATGCCGTTGGAGAATCGAACAACAAAACACTGGATGTACTTGTGGAGGCGGATAAAGCAACAGACGTGCTTGGGGAGTCGGTGGCCATCGATGTGCGCGACGCGGCTGAAGTGGATCCTACAACCTTCGATTACGATATGATGGATTTAGATACGGCAGAGGGAAAGAACAGCGTAGAAGTCGATGGGGTCGAAATGTTCGGGGGAGGCGACTCGATAGAAGCAGCTGCTACCCTTTCCACACTGAGCCAACATAATATTCCTCCATCCTTTGATAATCTTGGCGGTTGGCAGGTAGTCAATCGGCAGAGGACGCCGCTTCCGGATGGTCGAGAAGGTTGGGGAGCAGCCAAGTCGAAGCTCTCGACGAGAATAGATCGAAAGGAGCTGCTTGATGGGTGGGATTGGGTTTTTCAGAAGAAATAGATGTTATTGCGCGGATGGCAGAGCTCCCGGCAACACCACAATCGTCGAGGTCTGTGTATAGATGCGGTCAGCACTGGGATCGGCTCTTTACTAGGGTGGATGAACTCAATTTCTTCTTAGCTTCTGATTATTAAACGTTTATTTGCATCCTGATTTTGTTGTTGTGATGTCAACGCTCTTGAAATAAGGTTGAGGTGCGGAGTTCAGGTGTGGCGCCTTGCATAGCCGACGTGGCTGCGGCACAAGAGGCGCAGTGACACAACAGTCCGGTTTTAGATCAACCTCCCAAAGATGCGCGGCAGTATTGTTACATTGAAAACGTAAAACTCAAAGACGCTTTAAATGGAATTTATTAACAGGGCTCTATTCGCCCGAGTCACTAAACCTGTCAAGGCCTGAAGAGGCTTGTGCGGATAATATGGGTGTATATTGGTATAATAGTAAGGAATGATGGTGCCCTAAGGGCGGTAAAGATACTATATATATGCTTGTGCGTGGCCTGCTGCCAGGAACAGATAACGCCGGAAAGACTAGCAAGAAACTCCAGATTGGGTTGTGTTGAAGCTATAGGAGACAAAGAAACCGTCACTCTAGCTAGAGTCAAAGCGTCATTCATCTCTTGCGGGTACTCAGAGGCCTATTTTCCATATCAGATAGACAAATCGAGATGCTGGGCACGATTAGGTTCATTCTGCTCGATCCCCTCAGGCCAAGCCAATTTGACGCCGATGAAAATAATCAATTGCACTATAAAGTCGCCGAACTCGAGGCCGCCGATGTGATTTCCGAACACTACGTGAGAAGAGGTGCGGAAAAAGGCGCGGAGGAGAACGGCGTAGATGGCAGCGAAGACGGCTAGGAGATTGGCGATGTCACTAGAATTGCGCAGCTTGTCGGCCTCGACCTTGATGCTGTCGGTGTAGATCCAGTATAGGAGAAAGGGACCGCAGATCAAGGATAAGCCTACGGTGATGAAGTTGAGATTTACCTGCGATCCCATCCAGAGCGACAGAGGCCAGAGGATTATTACAGCGATAACGACTAGAAAATTTAAGCCGTAATAGATCCAGTACAGCAGAGCGTAGATCACAAGTAAGCCCAAAGTGATCAATTTGAGGTCGTATAATGCAATCCAGAGCGAGAAAGCCCAGAGGATACAGGTAGTGGCTATGAAACTAGTCTTGCGCAGCTCGTCGACCTTGACCTTCCTGTTGTCGACGTAAGTCCAGCCCAGAGTTAAGAGAGTGCGGAACATGACGAAGCCCGAGACAATCGTGTGGACATTGTGAGATGCAACCCAGAACGAGATAAAGTAATAATTATCAGAAGGCGTCAGGTGCGCGTCCGATCTGCGGAGCACACAGAGCATGAAGAGCACGGAGAGAGGCACGGAGAGGACCTTGAAGGCGAAATCGATAGACGTCGGGCGACATAAGATGTAGTAGGCAGTGAAAATTCCAACGAGCGTCAGCGTGAAGCGGGGCTCGTACTGATTAATGACGGTCATATCCAAAGCCACGGTTATTGATGGGAGTCCGCGATGGAAGGCTGGTGTTTTCAGCTAGCTTTCTGGATGAGAGTGTGCAGTAAGGCTGAGTTCAATAGATGAAGAGAAGAAGAGAAGGAAGGGTTCGAAGTCGTTGCGGAAGAGTTCTAAGTCGTTGTAGTCGAAGATGTTGTGGAAGGGTCGAAGTCATTGCTGGGAGACACTCGTCATTGAAGAGAGTCGTTGATTGATGACGAACTAAGCGAATTGGGCTAGATCAGCGCATTGACCACCAGGGCAATCGTTTCCCTTCAATGGAAGTCGGCTCGCTTTCACCATTTGCTACTGGAAAATGAACTATGCCTTCTTACGATATCATATTTGCCTTCCCTACGAAGGCCCACTTCTCGTGGATAGAAGGCTGCACGGGTGTTGATGAGAGCGATCTCAAAGCACTCACAGCTGTGTGTGGTTATGCGCTTGCATCGCTGCAAAACGAACTCTCAAATCAGCAAGATTCTACGGCTCTCAAAGACTATAATAAGCTCCAGCAAAGCGCCAAAAGAATTCGACGAGTAGGACTAAATTTCGACGAAAATGAACAACTGAATAAATCCGCAGGTCCGATAGCAGCAATAAAGCAAGGGCTCAAATTACATCCAAAGTCCCGCGACGGATGGCAAGAAGACGCCTACCACGAGCTTCTGTGGCTAGTCTCAACATTTGTCAGCCCTGCACACGCGCTCCTATTCTTGTGTGTCATTTCCAAGAACAGAGTGAAGAATCTAACAGCCGAAGGAAGGGCGAAACTCGTCCAGTATATGAAGCGAAACAAGGATTCGCTCCTGTGTCCCATATTTCAGAGCAAAGCGACTGAACTTGGGCTTTGCAATAATGGTGTGTGATCCTTTCTGAGGCTCCCTTTATTTACTAAGGCTCACCTCCCCACCAGTCCAAGGCCTTCCTGAGCACCAACAGCTGCAAGAGAAACATCATAATGGGCGAGCAAGCAGCCCCACACAGCAGTGCATACCTACTCCGACATCTAATGCCTCTCCCTCCGGGCAAGATCTCAATCCCTTGGCTGCAGAAGCAACACCAAGCAACGGCCTTGGAGTCATGCTCAGCCGTGCAATATCTCCACAGCCGCGGTGGAACGAGCAGGGAGTGTTTTGTGAAGTTACGCCACACGATGCTGGCCTCCATCGTACATTAGCCACTAAGATTTCGGGAGACCAGCCACCAGAACAACTACAAGTCGCACTAGCGCACCAGAAAAGTACCTTGTTACGCAAAGGATTCGTCTCCGACCGTTCCAGAGTGTCACATTCACCGTCCCCACCTCAGACTCTGCTGGTTTCTGAGAAACTGTTCCATAATATCCAGGTATATTTCGAAAACACTTGTCGAAATATGATTTTAGACGACCATGGGACCCTCCTCACTCCAAATGGCGCCAAGTTACATAATGACCTATGTAACGATTTCGACTCGTACTGCTTTACTGCTACCATGCTCAAAGAAAAGGGATTGCACGTCCAGTTTCGCCGCGCACTTTCCAAAGCCTTTGCTCTCATCGAACAAATCCTTCGAGCCGAGCATCCTCGAACCCTAGCCTGCTTTCTCGAAGTGTTCATTCACCTCATACAAACCGGGCTCCCTGAAGTAACTTCCTCTCTCCGTGGCTTCATCAAAGAAATGTCCGCAACAGTCACCAGGGAGGGGCATCCTTGGGGTCAAATATGTCGGCTTCTCGGTGAACTTGACTCGGAATCTCTTGGCCAGGCCATGGCACAAATTTGGAAATGCACTACTGATACTTTTGATAGCGAACTCGGAACGTTCAGTCGACTCGCTGTGTCTGTTCGTCTCGATTACATAAAGCGCGTGTACGGGATTACGGATTGTCCTGAAGAAGAACGGCTTCTTCGAGATCTCCTTACTCAATTCGAAGGCATTCCTACCCCCCCGCCCCCGCGGGTGATACTCAACCTAGCGCATAATTTGAACAGACAGGGACGCCATGGCGAAGCGGAGGGAATGGCGCTGAAAGTCCTTTTGCTGCTTCAAGAACACGAGATAGTCGAGACGATAGAATTTCTGAAAATCATTTCTCGCAGTCAATTTAACCAAGGGAAGACTCTGGTAGCAGAGCAGACTATGCGAATGGCGATACGAATGATTGTGGATCAGTGGGGAAAACAACATTCTTGGGTCCCTGAATTTATGAATGTTCTAGAGGGTTGGCTTCGAGGTTGGGGCCAGGAGGAGGACGCCAACACACTACGGGGAGAAATAGAAGAGTTGATAGGGAAGAATGAAATTGACGAGTAGCCTAATAGGGTATAAGGCTTGCTTTGTTGAGACGACATCGGAAGAAGCCTGAATTATATACACCCTACCGGAAGGAGTTGATTCAATAATGACTGGTCCTCATAGGTGGTTGCATATTTATATCTACTTTCTGTCGTTTTATTCAGGTAACTGAGAAAGCTATGCTGAAGGCAGGGCGTGCCCCAAAATGTGTTCCCCTTGTAAACATTGTTCTTTTCCTCACGTAGCGATATCAACTTTAACTCACTACACACCTTCTGCCTTCATCTTCTTCTCCAGGGGGATCAACCACCGCTCCACTTTCTACAAGCACCAGCTCATCAACTCTGTTCATGGCATATTCGACCCGCATCCAAGTCTTCAAGCTCCCGGCACTCGTATCGAGTTCCAAAACCCGCATTTGTCGGTGAAATCGCTTTCCGTCGTACGAACAATATGCCCCGAACCCACTGCAACTTCCATAGCATAGCCAAGGGCCAAGCTGAGGGGTTTTGTCGCCATCTTGCTGCGTTTGTTGTGGCAGCAGACCGCAAAAGTTATTCACGTGATCGTGCCCGCAGCATAATGCTAATATGCCTTCTTTGGCCAAAGCGTCGTAGAAATGGGAATTGAAGCGGGGGCCCTCGGTCGGTTCCCTCCGGTGGCCGTTGCGTATACGAAGATCGCTGTCTCCGAACTCGGGAAGAGGGATGTGTTGGAAAGCTACAGGCAAATGAAAGGGGTTGTTGTAATCGTCCTTCTCACGCGCCCCTCGTTGCGCTTGGGAAGTGTTTGTGAACCAGTCAATTTGGCTTTGCTTGATAGGGTCATAGTCGGGATTGTATATCATGCGCGGTATTTGACCATGCGAATCCAGGAAATATAAAGTCGATAACGGGAACTGCGACGGGGCGGGAGCCAGGACCTGAAGGTAGAAGTTGCCTATGCCGTCGACCTGCTCTGGGCCAGACTCGCAGAGGCTAAAAGGTAGATTCTGAAGTATTGACATCTGTGCCGTGCCTGTAATCTAGTCAGCAAGAATGGACAGCTATCATTCCCAAGACCCAGCTTATTGGAATTGCATAACTATCTTGCTGAGCAAGGCAGTCTACACCTTTTGCGAGAGTGTGACAAGTCCGAGTGAGTTGTCGATCGCTAGCTCTGTGTATTGCTACCTTATGAAAGAAGTTACTCACGTGATAATGCGTGGATGCCCTCACTATCATGATTGCCAAAGACGGTTGCGAATGGGATTGAACGCTCGATGATAGGAGCAACCACCTTGAAGAGGGCAGATTGGCTGTCGGAGATGTCGTGGTGCAACTGATCTCCGGTGAGAACCACAAGGTCTGGTTTCTCGACATCCAAGATCTTCCCAATGAAGTCTACCGTAAGTGGGTCAGCCTCGCTGTCTGGCAGATTCTTCCCATGGGCATCAATAGCATCTTTGCATACCCCGACACCAGTGACCATGTGCGTGTCAGAGATCTGGACAATCCTGAATTTGCCATCCTCCCTGACTCTCAAAGCCGCCCGATCTGGGCTCGGCTTGGCCCTGCCGTGGAGTACGCTTAGTCTTGCAACCGGTACCTTTGGCTGAGCGTTAAGTTGGAGCGATGATCGCATAAGAGCCCATTGTGGTCGTGGGTCAACGGCATCCATACCAAAGAGAACGTCCACCTCTGTCACAGCCTGGTCAATCATGCCAGAGAACGCGCTTCTCAGCACCCAGATTCCGCCAGGTCGACTCTCCCATAAATAACCTGAGCTAGGGTTGGGAGGCGGCTGGCCGACACTGATATCCATAACCACCAGGTCCTCAGCTGCAAGCTTTTCCTCATTCGCTAGCGCTACATACAGCCATGCACTCTGCTGAGATGTATATTGGTAGAGGTCCTTCTCTATGCGGTGCCACCATATTCGCGGGTCCAGTTCGCAGGTGGAAGGAGGAACTGTCGGAGAGATGCATACGGTCAGATCCATGACAACTGGGTGAGCAACAACGGCCGTAGTATGGGGAGTGGACGACGTCGCCGTTTTGGAGAGGAAGTCTCCAAGAGCACGAAGCATTACGGCTAGTAAGACAACTACTGCTGAGGCAAGCCTCAACGCAGACATCTGTCATTATTTCGTCGTTTCGTGCCAAGAAACGCGATGTTGGCTACAATGCACGTGATTAGAAGACTAATCCCCATCTGTACTTAGCTTATACTGTCTCACCCGCTTCTTGGCGGCTGCGCAGGCATTTGGAAGTAAGCCCAGGCACCGCCCCTCCATTAATCAAGTCTAAGAGTTGTAGGTTCTATCGAAACAGTCCGACCCGATTCTATTGAGAAATACTCGAAGGTGTGAATCATGTGAAAGGTGAATCATGTGGGGGAAGAGGGGGTGATGGGAGTAGGGACCCGACAACCGCCCACAACCCCTCAACCGCTCACGCCTACCCCACCAAAATTTTCTCGATTTTTCAAAGTCTTTGGAAAATTCCGAAAACTTTCCACATTATAGAAAATACTCGAAATGTTGCGAATATCGTGTTAATTCTTCGTAGTTGTGGCGTTAAGGTCTCTAAAATTCAAGTTGAGCTGTTGAGGGGTGCGGGCGGTGATCCCTTCTACCGAGTGAGGAGGGACTGCCTGAAATTTCTCCGCATTAAAATATTTGAAGTTTCCGAGATATCTGATACTTATTCATCTTCCTTTTCAAGGTACCCAGACTCTTCCACCATTAGGAATCCTTTCAGCACGCGGAAAGAATTCTCTGCCGGGGCATGCGAGACTGGGGCAAGAGTAGAAACATTGAAAGTATAGGCATTATGTAAATCTGCTCAGAAAGCAGCTTAGCCATTCAAACTCATTTTTACCTCCTTTTTGTGTTAGTAAGACCAGCCTCAGTCGTAGCCTTTCACCACGCCCCCAAAATATTCCAGTCGTCGGTGAGACGAAATACAAACGAGCAAGCAAGATCGAGGAGGGACTACTTTAGCAGGATTAGCTCTTCGCCAAAACTTTGTGTCGTCCTCATATTTTTAATCAGGCTGTGGGCCAAGATCGGAATACTGATCAGGTTTGTATTATTGTAGATTGCTCTCTTGGCCGCATAATGCAAACACCTCCAAATATTATCGATAATTCAAAATCACTACCACCTTCTTCTCCTGCTTTCACTTCGACCCTTTTTTCTTGAATGTCTCTATCCAGTCCTCCACCTCAAGTAGCGCCTTCCTCGGCTCCTTCTTCCGCTTCAACAAAAACCCCTGGATCTCGGCCGGAGAGAACACACGATCCGGAATTTTCTTTGCGAATTCTTTTGCCATCTGACTTAACTCCTCCGTAACTAACTCCTCCTTTACACCACGTTCAGCAACACTATTGGCAGGGATGCCAGTAGCAGTTCCATTGGAGTTGGGGACATCCTTTGCTTTCGTCGATACTGCCGTCGTGGTATACATCCTCTCAAACAGCTCTTGGGCTTGTTTCTGGGTAGCGTTCTCGAATTCGACCTCGTGGTCTACACGACCTGGGCGGATCAGTGCAGGGTCAAGTTTTTCGCGGTGGTTAGTTGTCATTACTAGGACGCGACCTTCGTGGGATGCGACACCTATAGTCTCTCAGTTTAAAACGAGAAAGAAAAATGTGTAAGAGAAATACCATCAATAACGTTGAGAAGACCAGAAAGCGAAATCGTCTTCTTCTTCTCCTCTTCCGAAACCAGGCTGGCCTTTTGAAGTGCTGCTAGGTTTAGAGCCGTACCGCCCGCTTCGCGGCCTAGTGTTTTTGTATCATAGGTCAAACGTCGTTGGCACGGGTTCAAAAAGAGGGCTAAAATGAAGTCTTCGACATGATTTGGTATTGTTCCACCTCACCCCACCCTACCCTGGAAAAGAACTACCACCACCACCACACCCTTTCTCCTCTCTTCCACCGTGAATGCTGTTACCCTAGCGAATTAGCTTCAATGGAATGAAGTCCAGGTGAAGTATGCTTTTTTGCATGCAGTACATGAATATAAGTGAACTACTATTTACAGAAGTTTCTCTTAGCTAGGTACGAAATTTTTATTCGGATCAAGATTCAGTCACTCCTTAAAGAGGTGACGTTGGGAAACGGTCATCACGTGAGCAAACACTACTTGAGGGAAGTAAGATTTTGAAGATACTTGGGAGGAAAGCAAAACGAATATGAATATTTTTGCCACAGGGAATATCATCTTGAACAGACCAAATTTTGCTGCCTGATACCTCATTTTGAGTCCCATTTTTCAAATCTCAGCTTCCCACCCGGTCTCGGTTACTTTGGTACTGCCCCTATTGAGATTTCTCCGGATCTCCTGAAGAGTATCTTGTCGGTATATACCAGCTTCGTGCAGCGTTACCTTACTTCGGTAAACGAACTCGGCAAGCTCCTTCTGTCTTTCCTACCTGCTCTTTTCATGCTTGTCACTGTACCGGTGCTCCAGCAAAATTTCACAGCGGGATCTGGTGGGGCAAGAGCTCTGGTTTCCGCGGTCACGTGAGAGCAAACTCTCCGCTGTTTTTGGCTTGTGCCTGAGGAATTCGGCAGAGAACATGTCGAGACTCTGAGCTCGCTTGGCGCTTCCAGACTTGATCTCTTCGTCACAGATGGAAAGCAACCAGGTGGAGAGAAGTACCTGTAAGTCAAAGCCAGCGCAACAGCACTCGCAATGTGGAAGACATCTGACGCGAGCGTGTAGGTCGTGACTAGTCTGCCGCAGGATTACTAGTCCGTTGGATAGCAATACGACCCCGTTCGACTCTCGTTCCTCCTTCTCCGATTGTTCGACGCATCTCCTCAGGAGACTCGGCAGATAATCGTTCCCATGACTGATTCGAACGAGCTTCAACTTTCCCAGAAAAGCTTAGAGGACATAGAAGAAATCGATGAGATTTTGCAGGAATTAGGGACGATGCTTCAAAAGGCTAAATTTGAACCCGGGAAGACGGAGGGGACGGAAAATTGTGCAGATGATGACTTGCCTGCGGCAGCGAAACGACTTCTTCACGCGCTAGGTTTTAAGGTACCTAGCCTCAGTTGACTGATTTTATAACCAAGCTGACAAGAGACAAGGGACGCAGGAAATACAACGTACTGAGAATCCATGGTCCAAACACTATGCGTATCCGTCAAGTAGATATAGTTCCTATACAGGGCTGGGGATTCGATCCAATGTTAGATGGGAAAGAATTAAAGCCAAAAACAATAACATATATCACGAAAGGGGTTGAGGTAAAGGTAGTAAAGGGGTCAATTTCGGATCTGTTCGTTATTACTGATAAGTAGGAGAATTATAGGTATCGAAGTCCCTACAGAACAAATCATTAAAATCCTTGTCCATATTGTATTCAATGGAAAGACAAGGATCAATGTTGGCGCCGATATCACGTCCTTCATCTCGTATAGTTTCAGCTTTTATCTTTCTTGCACAACAGTCATGATTCACATACCTTTCTTGGTTTGATCCTCTTGTCCTGTTTCCCCCACAGCCTCTTGATCCTCTCGTCCTGTTTCCCCCACAGCCTCTTGATTTTCTTGTGGTGTTGCCCCCGTAGCCTCTTTCCAGAGGAGTTTGGGCTGGTGCAATTTCGTCGCACTTGTACATACCGCTGAAAAGAATTTTGGATCGAGACCTTTCAGGTATGAGGCCGAGCATCCAAGGGCGGAGCCGATTATTTCGCGCCTGCATTGGCTCAACATTAGTAAGTTGTGCTTGCTCACTGGCCCATCATACTAACTTCACGTGGTCACCAAGCAGGACTATCACAATCTCGATCAGATCGGGAAGTCTTCTCAAGGCGGGCAAGTCTTTCCAGTACACTTCAGAGCTGAGGGTCGATACAAATTCTCCTGCACCTGCAGGAACGGTGGCTTGAAATATCTCTCGCAGAGCTGATTCGCCGCGTTCGCTCACTGATACCATATTGTTAGCAGGTACTTCAACGTAATGCTGTGTGTCCTACGTAGCATGAATAACAGGGGTAAATCTCGACCCTTCCAACGAGATAAATTCGCCATCGCCCAACACCAGGAGCGGACAAGATTGCGAGTCCGCGTCAGCCAATCTTTTCGGCCAGCACCTAGTGACTTCATCCAGGATTCGACCTCCCGATGTCAGCGTGATAAATAGAACGATATCGACTGTACTTACCTCTTTAATAGTAGCTTCCTCAGCCGCTATAGACACCTCCATTGAGGCGTATGCCACCATTCGCAGGACTGCCTCCTCTCGTCGAAAGGTCCCACTCTTGTCCTTGACCTTGAATTCCATCGCGCGACGGAGAGCGTGTGCGGCAATTCCCAGTATCGGTTTGTTCTTCTGCCCTGGTTGTGGTTTCAGAGATGGCTCGTGGTATACAAACGCGTTCTGGAGGTTTTTTTCCACCTCTTCCGTTGTCAAGTGGTACTCTTGAGTCTTGGCTTCCCATTCGACTGCTTTTGGCACGATTCGAATAGTCAATTCAAGCTTTCGTGTTATGTCTTCCACTTTTTTTTCGTCGAGCTCAGCGCGAGGGATCGATGATTCGGTGAGGATGTAAGGATCCCAGAGTCTTGCCTTGGAAGACCCATCCAATATCGAAACCAGCTGAGGCTCTCTATTATACTTGAGTCGACCATCATGAATCAGAGAGCGGTACGACTCTTGAACCGCGTCAATAGAGTTCCATGTCAACACGACATCGGGCTTTCGAGGAATCGCTGATGGATAAGGTTTTTGAACATCTTGACTGAAGTTCTCGGCTGTCTCAGCACTGGGACCCGCGCGTACTCGGTTGCCTTGAAGAGATTTCTGGCACTTGTTGGGAGGCTGTTCAAGTGAAGTGAGTTGATGTTTGGCTCGGTTCGTGACGAGATCCGATTGCCAGGAAACTTCAACTCTGGCAAATAAATTGTTAGCTTGAACAACGGTAATGTCTTGACTACTTACCCTGCTTGAGATACTGCAAAGTTGCAACCAGTGTGTGTAGTTGTTGAAAATTGTATTGTGGTCTCGTTTTCGTGAAGGGTTTGAAAATCTTCTGAACAGGCGTCAAGATTGCATTCGGTGGGATTGGCAGCCATACTGGACTTCAGACACGGAGGGAGTAAAGGAGAGAGTCCAGTTTGGGGCGTTCGCCCAATTTGGGGGGGTCGATCTCAAACCCCTGTCAAAATCGACCCCCCCAAATTCGGACTAGTATACACCAGGTGTCCCGCACTGCAAACAGGGCGCCATGGGTCGCCGGTGTCTTAAAGTTGTACAACTGGAGGGAGTTCCTCTGCCCCAATGGCGGATCATCCGACAAGTGGACACACCCCACATATTCCCACATACGCCCGCTGTGCCTTCATGCTAGACTCGATCGTAAGGGCGCTTTATGCGCCTCATCTCAACTTGGGAAGAGGCCGCGGTACTGTGGGTACTCATCTGTTTTTGCCAACAGCTGGCTGTCAGGCTTGTGCATGAGTGAGCAAAAGCCTCAGGAGGAAATCCCAGGGGCAATCCCCGGGGCAATCCCTAAGGCGCTAGCCCGCCAATAACCCCTCCGCCTTGGAGCTCGGATGGCTCCAGTGGGCCTTTGGAGGCCGCAGCACTGTGGATCCTTTGGAAGGAGGGATCATCTGTTTTTGATTTCCTCTTACTTGCCATCTACCTCATTTTGTTAAGTATCCTGCAGATTAAACCAACCTGCATGCGCCCTCCTCTCTCCTGCACTGTGTCTGCCTCACTTCATCTTCCCACTTGGTTCGCCTTCTCGTTACGGTGGCTGTCAAAATGCCGGATCTTCCCTCTCCTCTCACTACCACGTCCAATGGAAGCTGGAATTCTGATGTGGCGGCCATTATTAGATCTCCATGCAGCTCAACTGGCGCCATAGTAAGTGCCAACATTCATCACCTGCTCTTTATTTATACTGACCTTAGATATAGTCTAATCCGTTTGGTTCTTTCAACAGTGTGCCTGGGAACATCTACTGCCTCCCGCGCCCACAGGAGCCAGACATGTATAAAGCGGTTCAAGGGTTCAAAATCATCTCTGCAACAATCATCTTGCATATTCAGCTCTTCGACCAACTCCTCGATTTCAAAATAGATTCATTAGGGGCTACTTGGGCTGGATGCTGGGTCCTCTTTCGCCACGGGTACTGGATTCACCTTTGCACTCAGCTTTGCACTCAACTGTACCGAACTTTCCGGACTTGGTTAAGACGCAAGAATGAGACAGTAGAGAATGACGGGACACCCTTCAGAGTAGAGAGGAAAGGAGATGAGTTCATTATTCGCGGAAATTGTTCCCCTCATGACTCTCGCTTTAAAGAGGCAGTGCTAGAAGAATGTTGGACAGGCAAACTCCTGCTTGCAGAGAGCAATGGAGAATGGATGCGCCTTTTCCGCTGAAATCAGACAGGAAATGAGATTCCCTCAAGAATTATGGCCAATCCAAAAGAGACAGCGGAGGAAGCGAAAGGAGTAGGGGTACAGGGGTGGTTGCGGTTGAGGTTGCGTCGTTTTCTCGGTAACCTTGGCGTGAAGGATTTGGAATCCTCAGAATAAGCCCTTTAAATATGTACTTACTTCTAAGCGTGTCAAATCAAACCTTTTTCCCAGCCTGCTTGACTAGTTCAGAACCTGGATTTGCAGACTGACATCCAATGCCGTACTTTCCAAGCCCTGGTCAAGCTGGGTCTCAGAAAGCACAGTGGCGTGATAGGGTGAGACGTGGAAACGGTTTCCGGGTGGTCATAGCACTGGCCCAGCCGCCCCCTTGACCCGGGATTCGGGGCATGACATCCCCCGGATTTACTAGCTGCAAGTGCATGCAAGTGCACTCTGGACTGGACTAGTGCAGCCCCACTAAGCCTCTATGCATGCGAGCTTCATTAACCGATATCTAGTGTGGCTCCACTTGGTGATGGCGTGTACGAATTGGAGAAGGGGTCTGGTGATCGAAAGCTGCGCGGTGGAGATCTTGTGAAACTTCAGCTTGGCGGTATCTAGACAGCCTTTACTTTCCCAAAGTTCATGGAGAATATTGATATCTGGTAAGATACTTTGTAAATTGCCGTTTGCTCTCATCGCTTGAAGAAGATAGGCTGATAATTCTTTTTGCCCCTTGGGACGGTAAGTAGGCCGGGTGGGCGGGCAACCACTTGTACGTTCGTACACCTTCATCTCTAATTGAGATGCATCCCTTCCGAGTCTAGTGTGTAAAATACATTCTGGACCTTTCTGATATTTTGGGCTTGCATTTCAATCAGTGACCAGAAGTTCCCCGATCTCTGCGTCTCCTTCCAATTGTTTCTTGTCTAATATTCTTTACGTTCTTCATCTCGTGGAGGAATGCCACCCAAAGATGATCATGCTAGTCAAGCCAACTCTACGAAGAGCCGTCGAGTCAGACATCGAAGATGCATATGGAGTAGATGCATGTGGAGTAGATGCATGTACGAAGATCACGGCATAAAGTGACGGGATTACAGGGCATTTGGACCCTTGGCACCCCCCAGGGCACAATTTAGGGAGTTCGGCCCGCTGTAAGGCCCTATGACTCCAGGCCATACGCCCCAAGCAGATCTCAAGAGGCGCTGTGAGACATTCGCAAGGTATGAGAAGATCTTTAGGGGGAAATAGCGCTGCTGGCGGAGTAACGATAGCGCTTGGACGCTGAATAGGTGGTTACTATAGGGCTCTTTAGCGAGGTACCCCTTGTAAGTACAGGGGAGAACCCCTAAAAAGGTGTGGTACCCCTTGCTCTCGCCTTCTAGCGTGTTTTCAGGGCAATGGCCTAGAATTGTAGGGTAATTTAGTGACTGAATGCGCTAAAAAAAGACACTGAAGTGCTGTTAAAGCACAAATGCCCTGTAATCCCGTCACTTTATGCCGTGATCTTCGTAGAGTTAATGCATATGGAATGGATGCATATGGGTGTGAATGCAGATAAATGTGGCAAGGATTCTCGCAGCCCCGCCTCGGAGCCTCCATGGTGGTGTCGAGTACATACATAAGCCGGAGTTTTGGTCATTGTGATTTTCCGTGTGACTACTCCTGCATCTGCCAATCATTCATTTCTTGTCTGCTTTCCCCACGCTTTTTTTTGGTCTGGGTTTGGTTTCTTTGCGTCTCCTAAAAGGGGTAGCCTCTTAAAGAAATTATGAAAGGCGAGCTGACGCTACGAGAAGCTAAAGAATCCGATATTGAAGCGATTAGCGAAATTGCTCTGTTATCGATGTCGTTGGATCCAGCGTGGACTTACCGGTATCAATTTGCTAAGATCTACCCTATAGAGCATAAAGAAAATACCCGCAACCGATACGACAAGTATTTGGCAGATCAAAGAGAGGGCAGGTTCTGTATTGTCGTAGCCGAACTACTGTTGCACATTAAGGACGAAACTATTACAAAAGTAATTGCATTCGCAATATGGCAACTTCCAAGAACCCTCTTAAAGGCCATTGACGAGGCGAAGCCAAGTATGTGACGGAGAGCAGGGTTATGACTTTGCTAACCTAAGATATAATAGAGCCCACTTCTGATTACCTCGATCGAAAGGATGTTAGCCCAGCCAGGATGAAAGCTTTTCGAGCATATCGCAAAGTCAAATTACACTGGTTCGATGAGAAGTACGGTGAAAAGCAATGGAGCTTAATGACCTTAGCGACTCATCCCGACTATGGAAGGGGAGGTGTTGGAACAGCGCTTTGTTATTGGGCTATCCAGAGAGCTATTTCTGATAAAATTGAGGCTGTGACTCTTTTTGCAAGCCCTCTTGGAAAGCTACTTTATACGAAGTTAAAGTTTATTGTGGTGGGAATAGTGCGTATTCAAGTTGAAGGCGAGGAGGAGTTTGTTGACCTTCCTGGTATGACTCTTGAACTTAAGGGGAGGGATCGGAGTGAGTTCCGACTGCCAAAAACCTTCGTATTTAATCAAGGAAGTTTGGGCGAGAAGATAATTTGTACACTCGCTCAGACATGTTTTGATTGAAGCTTATGCTTGTGGTCTGGCAAGACAATGCCATTATCACTTAGAAAGAGGCTGCAGGAAAGTCGATATCACGTTTAGTCATAGTCCATCTAGTCCCTAGCCCCGGTCTAGCCATCCAATACCTATACCTGAGTAAAACCCCATAGCAGGGCGCCATGCATAATGCATATGTATGTCTCTGACTGTAGCCACCCATCAAAGGCGGCTTGGGTAACTTTACTAGTGCCTAATCCATTCTCCACGAGCTTAAGTACAAGCGCTTTCCCTAGTAGAGCTGAGGCCAAGACAAGCTTTCATGTCATCCTGAACAATTTGACAACTCCCCAAATTCCCTCGCCAAAACCCTTCCTAATTATACGGTATTCTCCTTATTCGCAAAATTTAGCAACTCCTTCAATAACACACCTCGGCACTCGACTATTTCAACAATGCCCCAGCAGCCTTCAGAAATGGAGGTGAGAAATTAACATTTCTATGACTCTTCCCTTCCTAATGAGTTTATCAAATATCTATTTACAGCTAACAAGTAACAGGTGCCGGAACCAGTCGTCCGAGAGGCCGAACAGAAGGGTATAACATTTAAAGGGAAGGTTAAGGATGTCCATATTTTAGACGTTAAGCAGTCGGCGGGGAAGGGGGTGGCCGTTTGTCAAACGGGGGTTGAAGGTTGGGAACCGAATGGTAATCCCGAACCTAAAGTATCGCAGTTCGCGGCAGGAAAGGTGCTCAAGCAGGATCGTGTAATTAATGCTAACTCCGGATGATCCGAGAAATATTTCCTCTTAAAGGGAACACTGATTCTTATTTATTTACATCTTCCTATCACGGTGATGATACGTCATTTCCCCCCCAGTTTGATTGTAACTGATGTGTTCAGGGAAAGATCGGATCGGTCGTGGAATCGTGGACACGCCATAGAACGACTTTCCTCAAAGGCCACAACCCCTCTTTTTCAAAAATTTGCACTTCACTTGACTCATTTTAATGCAGGTTTCATGCGTGAAGAGCTAAGTGTTGCGTGTCTCCACCCCCTATCTTTCCCGTACAGGCTCTTTCTACTCATAAATTGGGATATAAAGGACCCCGACCATTCCGGTCTCTGGGCCTCTGGGTATCATCCCGACGTCCTCCCCTTTAGTTTCTCAACTCGAAGCTTCACAACTGCGATCCTGCCTCACTCTCATTACATCACACTTGAAGTTCAGATCATGGCTCTTCCCAGTTACTGTAACCATTCGTTCAACCTGCTCAAGTCCGAATCAACGCTCATACAATGGGTTTGTTCTATGTGCCACGGCGGGCCTCATTGGTACATCTTTGAGTGCAAGTATTGCAAGTTGAAGACTTGTCGGCCCTGTACAAACAAAGTTTAGGCAGGATATCTTGCCGCTACTATTTGTTCGCTGAGTAGGTTTGCAAATCCGTCATTTTTCCTCCAGCTTGATTGTAACTTATGTGTTCTCTAGGAAATATGTAGTGATGCGTGATTGATTTTGATCAGTGCGGTGGAAGGAAGGCTGTAAGGGAGAACATTTCCCCGGCGGCTGGTGAAAAGAAGATAGGACTCTGGGAAAGCTGAGGTGTTTTGTATTCTGACTATTGCCCTCTTTAATTGATTTGGGATCTTCTCCCTATTTCATGTAGCATTCACGTTCAGTCACTGTTGATCCAATCCAGTATGTACAAAACAGATTAGAGGCAGTAAGTCGTTCTGCAAGGTGGAATGAAGAATTCTGATTGAAAGGGTGGTGTGCTTTGAACCATGGAAACTATGTAACCACCTGGGTTCTATCCCGATTTCGCCCAACAGGACATCTGATATGCTTACAAGAGAAACATTCAAATTCTCCAGCAACTCCAGTATCCTCTTCGCATGAGCAGCAAAAGAGTCTCTCTCTCATTCTAAGTTTTTTCGGGATACTAATCCTGTCCTCTCTTTCTAACTTGAGTTTCTCAAGTTTAACTTTGATTAGTTCCAGATCTTCTTCCTCAACCATATCATCTTCCTCAGCCTCATCCTTCCTCAGTCTGAGATATTTCCGACTCTTTGACTGTTCCCTCTTCGCCCCTGTAGAACTTCGCTTTCGTACATCTGCTCCTGATTTCTCACTGCATTCTTCTGGTTTCCACGCCTTTGGGGTTACGAGATCTGTTGTCGGTTGTTTACGACCTTTTTATACGTCAGCATCCGTAGAATTTCCAAATCAAGATCTGGAGGTGCACTCCCAGGAAGCAGCTTACCGTCACGAGTCCTTCCCCATCTTTTGTGGCGATCCTCATGTGGCTGCATTTTGCCCTTTACACCTGCTTCCGATTTCACTTCCATTGGAGGTTCTATTAATCTGTACGCCTTTGGACTGTCTGGAAAGTTTGTTGGTTGTCCCCTGTCATATATCTCTCCTGTACGTTAGAAATAGAATTTTGGGGGGTGACCTGTCTCGAACCTGGTATCTTAACCTTGAGGTTTGGTTTCGGCACAATGGGCTGTTGTTCCGGTAGATGGCTTTCCCTTTGGGCGCCTGAGGGGTCGGAGGTGCCCATAGATCGGGCTGGCGTTCGACGTTTGAATAATCAAGATCAACACGGTGCTGCTACCGCACCTATGAATTAATCATGCTTCCTGCAGCCTCCCGAGCTATCTGTCAAGATGTTTTGGATTGGTGATGCGGTCTGCAAGCCTCACGTACGTGGGTCGAGGCCAAAGGTAAGATTCCGGCCCCTGTAGGTAGATTCCGGCCCCTGTAGGGAGATTCCGGCCCCTGTAGGTAAATTCCGGCCCTGGAGATTCCAGCCCCTGTACGGAGATTCCAGCTAACAATAAGCAAAACTTAGAGAATCAGGAGTGGATGTGTACCGCTAGCTGCAGGCCAATGCGTTATGCATGTATATATTTCTTCATTCTTCCTAGGACGCCCGGCTTTGCAGGCAAAGATCGTATGCTTTCTATTGAAGGTGCATTCTTCACTCACCGACATGCGTGCCTCGCCCACCCCTGCTCCCGCACCGCCTCCCCCACCGCCATCTCCAATATTAGATGAGAGCTCAATTCTGATCACAACAGTAGTTGAGAAGGTAGGCCTCTCTAGGTTTATTGAGGACCAATTATTTACACTTTCTCAACAGAGCTATGAGCCAATCGATGTTACCAAATCGTGGGTGCTAGGCCGCATGCCAGTAGACCAAATTGGGCCCCAGAATTCCAATTGGAATCGAATAAAGCAAGCGAAATGGATATTCGTCTGTGGGAAAAGCTACGATAGCAAGTTCTGCTGCGTTGCGGTACATGAAGACTATCTTCCGTGGCTTCGACGTTTAGGGTTGAAGTTTGAAATCCCCCTCCCACTCGAGCCAGAAGTGGGGATCCGGATAAGAGGCTCATATACGGCTGCAATAAATGCCGAAGAACGGTGTTTCAATGATGCTGTCAACGCAATAATCACCGGGTGTGACCCAGGACTCGGATCACGTTATCGTGAGCTCGTCCCACTACGACTACGAGGAACGCTCGAATGGGTAATCGTGAGCCACGAGGTGCTAGTAGGTGTACTATCTTTCATTCATTCGCACCAGTACTAATCTTTTCTAGGAAGATTCAATGGTCCGTACCAAATTCGTCCAAAATCTGTTCTTTATCGTTCTCAACGTCCTTAATGACTACGAGACACCTCTTGCGCTCGAACTCCTTGGGAAAAGTGAGAACGAATTACTCGAGACCTTTTGGAAAGTGGGTAATATACGTGGCTGGCGCCCTAAACGTCACTTGGTCGACGCCGATGACCTTCACTGGGTTTCAGTTCTCAGATTCGTTATTCAATTTTCTAATGGGAGGGAAAACTTTTTGGAGGGATACTATGACCTAGAGTCCACACCCATTCAGAATGCCACCCTATGTAGCGTCTTTATGAGTATTGCTGCGTCAAAGCCCTTTGGAAGTTTTGATGTGCAGAAAATGCGCAACGCTCTCTCAAAATCCAAGGTATTCGATACTGTCGATGTTAGTAAATTGGAAATTGGGACTTGGACTCTAAAATTGGGGAATCTCCTTCCATTTGGGAATATTCAATACGCGGTAAGATGTCTTTAGTCATACCTCCTAATTAGTACTAAGGTTCTACAGGTTCTTCCGAATATGATCCAAGGCGGACTTGGCTCCGAACAGCTGAACCTAGTTCGAGTACAAATGTAAGCATTCGTTCATCAATATTGGAGTCTGATGTTAATTAGTGACAGCGCACATATTTACCAACAATACCCTTTCTTCAACAGGAGAGAGAACGATGTACTAGTCCTTCTCACATCAGGCCTAATTAATTCAATAGTGCGTCGAGTTGTCACTGAATGGTCACTCTCAAACGACGGTCGGAGTACATTTGAGGGAATGATCAACAACCTTCAGGGGCCACAAACATGCGAGGACCTCGGATTAAACTTGGCAGCCTTATTGTGTTATCGACGACTTCGTGGTGTTCAAGACACCCCTAGAACCACAAATGGCTCATACCTTTTAGACTTCGACGCTCTCTTAAATTTCAAGCCTCTGTATAACGAGCAAGCGACCCTCGAACAGATGATGTTATCCTTTTTGAGGGTTCTTAAAACATTCAAAGGCCGATTTCAGGATCTCCATCGATTCCTAACCGCTACCCTCGGCATGGAGGACACGCCTGTACTGCATCCCCTTGACGGATATTCGGATCAGTATTTCAACCGCAGGATTGAGTACCGACCGGGCCATGACGGTGCTTTTGAAAAGGCAAAGCTCCAGGCTTTGATGAAGTTCATAGATTTGAACCCGGTGGAAACGGGAACGGATGATGATAACGATTGGGACACGGTCTCGTTAGTGGGAAAGACAGAAAAGCTCGGCATCAAATAACCAGCAGCTCTGCTATATGCCTTGCTTGGCTTGAAAATACGTTTTGCTGCGATAAAGCAGCGTTCTCCTTTTGTATGAAGAATGTTGTTCGCGGCACTTTTAGCAAATTACATCTCCGTCCTAGATTTTGATCTGTCATATAAATCCATGACTCCCAATGGCCCAGGATACCAACACTGCGATTGAAGCCATTTAATCCCCCAACCAAATTCTCATCCCCGGTCCTACTGACTCCAACTTGTCTAGAGATGTGTTCACTTCTGGATCAATAAAGTGTTAGGATAGATCATACCTGATGAAGAGTTAAGAACGCCCAGATTTTGATAAAACTGTGGTAATAGCCAAAGAGAATCGACAGTGGTAAGAAGAAGATATCCCAAGGGTTGCATTTAAAGAGCCCGATTAACTTGACAACCTTGGAACTGAACAACCAGATCAGGAACGCGGCTCGGTACCAGTAAGATGCAGTACATTGACAGCATAGCCAAAAAAGCAATGGATCAATAATAAGAGCAAAGTTTATAAACATAGTGAGGTGCAAAGCGTATAAACACCAAAGGTGCAGTCTATATAATAGTTAGTCGTTGTATTTCAGCATCAAAACATTAACTCGCCTCCAGAGCCCTTGCTTTAGAGTTGTCCAATTGCTCCTCCAATTACTTCTCGCCCATCTAGAACACTGCTTGAGAAATTTAGAACTGTTCTCAAGGGTGGTTTCAACCTCGCAATACTGATTGTACTGGACCCAAGTTTTCCATCTATTCGCGAACAGCCAGCGTGTCACGAAATTATCGTCATCGGCATTGAGGAGATGCTCTCCCCATCTTTCTTCCTGGAATGCCGATAAGAAGGCACGAGAATTTAAGATCTCAGTTCGAACGGCATGCGTCCTTCCAGACATACATGAAGTGCCGCCGTCAATCCAGTGTGTTGCCGATATTTCGAAGTTGCGCCGCTCGATATAAGCTCTACCCCACCAATTCCAACATCGCTCTATAAATGATCCGCTCTCGGGACGTGTTACACGCTGACTTGTCCCAACTCCGCCTATTTTTGGATCTTCAAATGGTGCTAGTAGCCAAGGAAGAATTGTAGAGGGCCATTTTACGTCGCCATCAGCCAAAACCAGGATTTTCGTCTTAACCAGAGGAATAGCCTGGCAAAGTTGACGACGCTTATTAGCAACGGGAACCTTGAGGACTTTGAGATCTGCATTTATTGATTTTGCAAACTTTTGGAGAATTCCGTATTCACTCTCTCGAGTAACGAGAAAGATTTGGAACGGATGACAAGCCAACATGCTTTGTATCGTTTGTAAAAGATCATTAACGTCGATGTTAATTATGGGAATGATGATCGTAGGCGGTGCAGCAGTCATCCAGAGTGTTGTTGGAGACGGGTCGTATTCTTCGTTGTACTGTTTGTGCAATCGATTACGGCGCTTTTGCAGGCGGCTCCTTCACTGGCATAAGCCTGCGTGGTCACAGGCTCTCCATTGTATCCTTCAGAAGGAGTAAATTGAAAGCGGGGTACTGGCTTGTCTAATACGTCCCCTTTTGTTCCGTGATTGCCGTATTGGTTGATCTCAACCCATGAAGATGCAATGGGGTGAGAGTCAGGCTGGCTTTCCGGCTCGAGCTGAGAAATTGGATGACCGTCATCGTCAACCCAGCGCTCGTCTTCGACGTCCCACCATGGTCCGGGGACAACCGGATCAGCAGGTTTGTTCGGTTCGCCAGCAGCTTCGGGGTTGGCAAGGGGAGGAGTCTCCGACTCGTCATGCGCCGATGTTTCTGCATATTGTCAGGAGATTGCCTGCTAAACAAGGATAGAGGGTCTTCGGGCATACCTCGAATGCCTTGGCGATCGCGTGCACCATTCTCCAAACTTGGCTGTGTTGGACTAAGAGGGCTTCCCTTTGTTTTGGGAGCAGGCTCGAGATGATTAAGGGTGGGTTCTTTTCGGATGTCCCAACAATCCTCCCTGCGTAGTGGATAGGCCATTGTGGGCACTCAGACTTGAAGTATTCCAACTTCTAGTGGTAGAAATCTCAGGTATAATGTCTCGTGACGCAGGGAGGCAGAATGATGTGCTTGCGGTGAAGTGAGCGAGAAGAGAGAGAGGAGAGGAGATGGGAGGAGGGAGAGGCTGCCTTTATACACTGAATACCCTGAGACTTGCATAAGAACCAGCCCGGCATGGACACGGCTATGCTCCTCTGCAAAGGGGCAAAGCTTGCGCGTGATTCAACATCCTTGTTGGGACAAGGCGATTTGTATACCAGGTGAAAGAAGCTTGGAGCAGAGTCGCTTTGAAAGCACAGTTTCCTCGAGAAATCTATTTAAAGATCGAATCATAAATCCATTAATCCCATGATATTATCGCTCGTGAACTTTAACCCTGACTCTCATAGCCGGACAATTTGGAAGTGCCTTGTCCTGAGGGACCATCTAGGAACCCTCGGTGGCCACTCTGAGTCTTTTGGAACTGCGACTTGGCTTAAGAACATTATTCGGAAGGCCCTCGACTATCCTCTTGCGTTTCTTGGAAAGGGGACTTGGCTGAAGAGCATCGCCTTCAAGGAACGTCTGGCAATCCCCGACTACCTCCTTCGTCACCCGGTCTGGATCCACCTCGTCGTCCCAACTGCCAACTGGGAGTCCAATCATTCGCCGCTTGGCGTTGCGTATGACCATCAGGCCACAACTCCGTCCGTCTCTCTGCTGGGGAGTAGGCTGGCCACCAGATTAGTACACGGCGGTGTATTAGGCTGTATACTTACCGCCTCAGTGTATCCAAAACTCAAGTACTTGAACTCCTCCTGTGGCGGATTAGTACCGCCTTTGAATGGTCCGTCCAAATCCACTTACCTCTACTACTCGTCTTACTAGGGTAGACTTTGTTTTGCGATAAATAATCCCATGGCTTGCCATCGAATCAAAGTGATATATCATCTTCGTTTGTTCATTAATCTCGAGCAGCGTGAAGTGGTCGGCGTTAATATTCAGCGGACAAATATATACCTGTGGGTCCTCGAGATCGTTCTGGCCTTCGCACTTATAGTCGTCGATCTTCTTCCTCCAGCGACGGAGAGGGTTCGAGAGAGGCGTGACCTCGCCGTTTGCATCTTTCTTGTGGAGTGGGACGCTGAGACCGAGTCTCACGAACACTGGCCTATCGATCATCTCCAGAGCGGCTGCAATATCCCAACAATTGAGCCATGCCCTGGAGCGGAGCCTGTCGAACATGCCACATGAAAGTTCGGCTGCACCATTTACCATAATAGAATCGTTATTACCGAGCGTGTGCTTGCCGAGAACGTGGCCGATCCCTTCGACGACTCGGGCAACGGCGGTATCCAAGCAGCCTTGTGGAACCGGTTCCTGTTATTGCGTCAGTATATGTGTCCAATACCCAAACCAAGCACCAGCTTACTCTCTCTCGGCCGTGCTCAGCTCGTAGGCTTGAGACCTCCTCCGATGGTATAATAGCATGTGATTCAAGCGAGTGAAAGAAGCGAGAGAGGTCCGGTCGCCCTTCCTTAGCCAACAGCTCTACCTGTTCGTCGAGGATGGAGAGCAACTCCATCTTTTGCGGATCTGCTCGAAATGGTATAGCTATCTTGTCGATATTTTCTTTGCTCCCCTTCGCATAGCTCCTAGTAATATAGTTAAGGTCAATAATTATCAGGATCCATGCATTATAGGACGTACCATATATCTGGATCGAAGAGAATCCCTAGGCGGGTCATCTGGATTAGTTTGCGCAATGTTCGCCCTCTGTGGAGAATATTATTGAGCCTCTTCCTCCTTATATCAAAAATCCTCTTTTGGATTCCGGCCGAATTTGCTGACGAAGGAGGATCTTCATTGCCTTCGGAGGCGAGTTTTCCCGGACTCTCCATGACTGTGGTATCACGCGCCTCCTTCAGGTATTTATCCAGAATTACGGTGGCCAGACGTTTTCTGGGCGTCCCTCGTTTCGTAGGAGGCGGCGCCTTCTCAGCTTGTTCAAGCTCGGCGTCGTACCACTCTGAGGCGCCCATCCACTCTATCATGTTGAGGATGGTTGCTTCCTTGGAACGAGCGTGACCTGCTTCTAGCATGTTGATCCACATGGAGGCTGACCAAGTTGTCGAGCTGCTTGCGATCCACATGGAACCTGGCCGTTCCGCCACAGCAATCGTAGCCGGTGCTTCACCAAGGCTAGGTCGTAACGTGCTGAGGATTCTTGAATGGACCTCCGTTGGTACTTCCTGGCGCCTGCTCATCTCGTAAATGATATGAACTGCGTTAGCGACCATGTCGGTTAATGCAGGCGCCACTCTGGGTGGGGAAGGGGGCAGGATAGTTTGGCTATCTTGAGTTGGAAGCGGTTGTTCTCTGTCGACCTTTTGCGCTTGCGCGGAAGCAGTGTTGTATGGGCTCGTCTGTTGCTGTCCCGTCCTGGGCGATGGTGGCGGAATCCTCTCTGACAAGGTCATCTCTACCTTATCTGGTGGGGAGGTGGGGAGGCCACCTTCGGTTAGAGGTGATAGAACTTCTCCATCTACTATGGGCGTGAACAGGGCCGTATGTGGTGTTTGATCGTCGGACAGAGGCGATTGGAATCCTCTGCCGATTTGTTGTACGGGTGTAGATGGGGCAGGACCCGGTAGGGTACTCTGCTGCGGTTCTGTCCCGTGTGCGAGGGAGGGAGCGGATGTAGCTTGATTATTGGATGCATTTCCGTCGATTTCTGGTAGGGCCGTCCCTCGCTGTTCTGCCCCGCTTGGCAAGGGAGGGCGGACGGTAATCATCTTGGCGCTGTCGCTGCTGCACGTGGCCTTCAGCTGATGGAGCGCTGACTCGCTGCCGATGGATGGCAGGGAGCGGCCGTGGGCAGAAGACTGGCCTTGCACTCCTTCCTGAGCAACTTCCTCGGTGACGATCTCTGGAATGTCTCCCTCGCATTCTAGAAGGGGTTTCTCCGTCACGAGACTGTCGCTGCTTTGGTTAATGGTCACATCGTCGTGACCAGGTTGACAGGTGACCGAACCGTCGCCGACCAAGGGGCTGCTGCCGGAAGCTGCGTGTGAATCCCCAGGTCCGTCTCTGGAGATATGCGCCTGCGTCTTGGAGGACTTTGGAAGCCGATAAGTGAGGTCTAATCGCTTCCTCCTTCTCGATGGTCTTGTAGGGCTGATGCCTGACTGATGTTCTGCGGGTCCTTGAACTTCAGGTTCAGAATTGTCCGTAGAGTGTTTGAGGATTTCTTGGACGAGATATTGAGCAACGGACGGCGCCTTCATGCACAAATCCCGCACAAAGGTTGAGAACTGTAATTGGCAATCAGCTTTCCTGAAGGAGCAGAACGGTACCCTTCAACTCACTTCTGACCGAAGTTGGATGTCCTTCAAAGCATCTGAAGTTACGGCAGAGACAAATTGTCCAAACAGGCGTACAGGATCTTCGATCGGCTTGTCCGATTTGACGATCTCGTTCTGCGAGCGACTTGATAAATCTTGCTGGACGTCCATTGTCTGAGTGATATCTAACGTTCCGCACGAGGAGGTGAAGGGTATACTTGAACTGAAGAGAGTGGTTGAGGCATGGCCACTGGGGGTTGCCTGGCATTAAGTACTCAAGCCCTCCATCGGTAGGGCTGTCAAGATGCCGCGTCGCCTTGCTTTTGGCTGAATCCCGTGATATGTTCCGCTGGGCGGACGGGATGGGACTGTCCAATGCCCACACCCCAAACCTCCTGCAGACGGTGCTGCTTAATGCGAGGGTGCATGATGCCAGGCATCTGCGGTGCCCTGAAGGAGGTTGTGTGCTGTCATTCGCTCTTTCCTGTCATGATCAGGAGGCAGAAGTGTTGGTTCTGGTCCACGATCATGCCGGTCGAATCAGCTAAGGTTGCCAGACACCCCTATCGTTGTCGAATAACATGGATGGCGTTGGATATGCGAGAGCTGATGGCCGCGAGACCCCATGCGAGGAGCATTTCGATCCTCTAGGCGGCCGAAATGCACAGCAACGGCCAGTCTGTTCGGTCCCTCGCTGCTGAGCCCACAACCAGGCAGTTTTGACACTCCATAGCTTTGGGATCCTACTGGCGATCGTTTCTGAGTCTCCTAGATGTCTCGTCTTGAACGTGAACGAAGGACCAGACTCGGCTGTTAAGCATGGATTGAGGAAAGGATCGTGAACCTTCGATCGTCCAGCCTCTTCCCCAATCGGTATGCCAACTCTCGGATCAGCTTCGGTGTCGGTGCAAAATTAGACCAGACTCTTTCGTCGGCGTTCAACCCCCCCTGATAATACCATCCTCTCGACTATACACACCAATAGAGACACCGCAGTGGCCCATACCTCGTGTCTGAAGGGCTCTCGTGCATGAAAGAGCTGCTCAGCTGTAGATCTATTGACCACCCTCGGTCTTGCTGAAGCCCGACGTTCTCGTCATCCATGTCGTTGAGCGGTGGCCAAAGGGTTAGACCAAGGCGCTCCAGCTTCAGGCTTCAGGGGTCATCATGCTCCTCCTCTCGTTCGCATACCAACCACTACGGTTTGGAGCAGGCGATGTCTAGGGATCATACCATCATGCGCTCCTAAACTTGGTTGTGGTCCCTTTCCGAAGTTCCAACAGTGCCGAAGGCCACACCGATATATTATTACCAGCTCTGAGTATGGATACACCGCTGTGAGCAGCCTCTTGCATGTTGCATCGGGCGGATCAGCTCAGCCGTGAATATTGTTCGCACCGCAGAACTTTCACGATACCTGCTGGCACGGATCATGCGTCACGAAGAGAGTAATCACCGAGGGGAACTTCCAAGGCGTACAGCCCGTGATGGTGTGTTGCCGGGACGGTGAGCCGGCACCAGCGCAGCGAGCCCATCCCGATAAAGGCGCAGCATCACATCATGAATGGCCGGTGGCCCTGCAAAGGGTCATGCGTACTACGGTCCCTGATTTCCTTGATTTCTTTCCTACTTGGGAACGGAGAGCGGTTTGTAAACAAAAGGGCTAAGGAGTATTAAACCAAGCTTCACATTTCCTATTTCAGCGTTCTGCTTCAACTCATGCCACGCGTGCACACGTTTAGCTTCGAAGGGCAACTCCAACGTCGAAGACCACCTCCAAACCTTGCTCCCAGCCGACTCAGTGAGTGGGAAAAGCCCAGTCCAGCACCTTCGAGGAAGTAACCGCCGCTCGAGAAAGGAGTATTAGGTGGTTTCATGCAGCCTGGTTTCTTTATGATCTGCATGGTGATAACAATGAGCCGTTCGTTGTCGCCGGAGAGTGCAGCCTTGGTTGCGGCTCAGAGTCGCAGTGCGGGGGTCGCTTGGTTCTTCTGTCGTGCCACGAATTCATCGGAATCGCACATCCACCCCACCCTGTTCCAATGAGCAAGGACGAAAGCCTCGATTCCGCAAGCCAAGCTGGTTGGTTTCTCGCCGCGAGACGGTGGTCTCATCCTTTTGGCTGGCATCCATAATGTCCGTTAGGGTCTTGATAATTGCAAGTCCCGTCTCTGCACCAAGTTTTGCGATAACGTGCTGGCGTGTTCCCACATCCTCGCTCTCAATGAGATTCCAGCCCATCTGGAAGAACCTTTTTATGTCCACAGCAGCTCCGAAACGTGAGGAAATCGTGTCGGGCCCGGGAACCCTGTATGTCTATTTTCGGCAGACTGCTTCGGTTTCAGTCTCTTCGCGAAGCTGTTGATTTGTGGTGCTTGCGGTGCTCGTTAATGTGTTCATGGCTGAATCGATAGTGGGTGCCGCGATGGCAACGGCCGCGTGTGAAGTCGGAGTAGGGCCCTGGTCTATTGTGTCTTGAAGTCAGTGGTTATTCTCATAGACAAGGTAGAGCATCGAGTACTCACGGTATTCTGGAAGGTGTATTGGATGATTGACTAAATATTGTAAGCAAACGAGCAGCTAGAGGTTGCGGTGCAAGAGCAGCCTTACCCAAATCATCCCCGCTTCGTCGTTTGCCCAGAGTTATGCTCCGACATGGTGTTCTGTTTCTGCGGAGGCTAGAACCTTTGTGTAATGCTACCAGTACTGTATACTGATGAGCTTGGGATCTCCTGAGGGCTACGGAGCGTTGTGCTGCAGTTGTAACTGGAATGCGAAGTTAAAAAGAATACAAATGTGCTGAGGTAATCTCGTCCACTTTCACGTGATGCAAACATCGTGAGGCACTTCGGTCGCTTACTGCTTCTACCAACGACCAGATCTATCCACGCACCAAGGACTCTGGATCAAGCGCACATTCCCAGTCAGAGAGCCTACAATTAGTTCAACAAATCTCTCGCGCATTGATCGAGAACAGCGATAACACCGACACCGTACTTATCATCATGGATATGAATTACAAGGTAGATCTCGATATTCAGTTGAGTTTGCCGTATCTGACTAGAGCAGAGAGCTATAGAGATCTTAAACACAAAGATACGCCCACGGAGACCAAGCATCGCGCCTACTGGAGGCTTTCCTAGCTTAGGCAGGGCGCCTAATACGGACGGAGAATCCGGCCTAAGGGGGACGCCTAGCATATTAGGGATGAGGCAGTGGCTAAATAAACTTGGCCACTCGGTATGGGTTCGCCACGACCTAATATACTCTAATTCTAACTTTAATAGGCGTCGGACATTAATAGACTTAATATTGTTCACGTAGCTGGAACGAAAGGCAAAGGAAGCACATGTGCATTTATTAACTCCTTCCTTAAAACACACGGCGAAAGAACCGGGTTTCCACGGAAGGTCGGTCTTTACACTTCACCTTATCTTATCTGCCCCGAAGAGCAAATTCGTATTAATTTCAAGCCGCTATCGAGAGACCTGTTCGCAAAGTACTTTTTCGAAGTCGACAATATCTTGTCACAATCTCTTCCAGAATTTGATATAAGGCCCCGGTATCTCCAGTCCTTTGCTCTATTATCCCTTCACGCTTTTATTAGGGAAGGTGTCGATGCTGCTATCATTGAGACGCACCATGGCGGCGAATTTGATTCTACGAACGTTATTGAGAAGCCCCTCGTTACTGCTATTACTCCGCTAGGCATAGATCACATCAAACAACTCGGTTCTTCGATCGAGAGTATCGCGTGGCATAAAGCGGGAATCTTTAAATCTGGCGCTATAGCGTTTTCGGCACCGCAAGAGAGCACTGCTATGGAGGTATTACGAAAGCGGGGATCTGAGAAGAGTATTAATCTACAGTTTGTCGACATAGATCCTTTGCTCCCGGCCGACATAGTACAGCTTCAGCCAGACGTTCAACGAGTGAACTGCTCCCTAGCTCTTGCCTGTGTGCGCTCGTTTCTGGCTCAAAAGTCAAAGGGGAGCTTGAGTATATCAGATATACTACAAGGTATTAGCCAATTCTCCTGGCCCGGGCGCTTCCAGCTCGTTATCGAAGATCGATTCCAGTGGTTCTTAGATAGTGCACATAATGAGATGAGTGTTGGCATTGCTGCCAAGTGGTTTCTTGAGAGCTCTCAAATGCACAGGTATATATAGATATAATTCTAGAAATATCTTACTGCCTGGTTCTAATTAGGTTACAGGACTACCTCACCTATAGCGCGAGTTCTGGTCTTTAGCATGATCACGGAGCAAAGGGATAAAGCAGCTGTGTTTGAACGGTTGGCTGCTTCTCTTAAGTGTAGTAGCGTACAGCACGCTATCTTCACTACATACGAACGAGACAGTGGGGGCAGTAGGTAGTTACTATTTTCTTTATACTTCTCTTGCTAACTCTAGGTTAGTGCTACAGTCTTCTCATGACCAGCATGTATATCCAGAGATCTGGAAAAGGCTGCATCCTGGTTCAACAGTTTCCTTTGAGGCCACTATTCGAGGAGCTCTAGAGAAAGTGAGGGAGATTGGGAAAGAGTATGGGAGTGTGCAGACTCTGGTTACTGGGAGCCAGCACTTAGTTGGTGGTGTGCTTTCCCTCTTGGAGTCGTCAGCCAGGGTTTGAAGCATCAAATCAGATAATTCATTCTTGCGAGAGGACTTTTGAATACAGGTCGCATTTTCAGAGGGCAAGCTCTTTAATACACTCGGATCCAGGAGAAAAAGGGCGGTTCCAACCACGTGAGTAGAGCCTGCAAAGTTCAAGGCCTATAGAATTGTGCCTATGAAGTCCTTTGTATTGGTCTCTCCGACTGAGCTGTTCTACATTCTACTATATACACAATCTAATGCTATCCTTTCCATAAGGGAATCTGCTCTTTCTCTGCTCTGTCATGTAGTCATCATAGAACAGCTCGGATATCCGACCCAAACCATTTTCTGCGTTCCACTCCTGGACCATATCGAACCAGATAGAACCCAGAGCATAGTCATGAAACTGGCGGCCTGTGTATTGATAAAGCGATTTCGCCATATCCATAAGTTCAACTGTTGTTTCCCGTAACCCAAGCTGACTTGTGATATCGCAAATAGTATAAGAGATTATCATCTGAGGAAATGGTGTCCCACCAAGGTTCCTCCTTGACTTCTCTCCAAGATCAAAGGCAGCTCGCCAGTAGGAAAGGGCCGTCTCCCCCCTAACAGTAGTTGTGAAGCGCCACTCCAGGTGCGCGATTATTGCAAGTCCAGCTGAAACGGAGAACTGACGAATAGCAAGACCAAGGCTAGCATTCGAAATCTTCGAATATACTTTATCGATGGCTTCGTAGATAGCCTTCGCTTTAAGAAGCCATGGCTGAGCATCGCTGAATCCCTTGCTATACTTCAGTATCCATAACCCGTTCATAAGATGCGTGCCGGCTGCTGCGAGGCTGACACGTCTTCCTCTGACACCGAGGCTCTGCCAAGGCTGGTCCACAAAATTACACACTGGAATGGTTTCCATGGCAGCACCAATTGCCCCACACTCGCAATTTGCAGATACGAGATACGAGAAATAGTGCGGCTGTAGGCTCCGGGATATCGGGGACTCGCTGAGTTGCTCCAATAATTTCTTTCCATCACCAAATTCCCCCGCGAAAAGACAGATTTTTATCTGGAAGCATAGTTTCTTCTGGAGTAGACGTCGCTCTTCAGGTCGATTGGGGTCCAGCGGTATCATATTTTGCAACTCGTGCCACGCACTTGAGAGCTCATCCCGGTATATCATAACTTGCACACGGAAGAGAATATTCTCTGCCAGGAAGGCGTTTGAACTTAAGTCAGTCGGAGATAAGCCGAGCTCAATACTATGCCGGTACGCGTCACTGAATTGAGTCAGGTACAGATAGCACAAGACAAGTCTCCGAAATCGTAGCTTTGCCGATAATAGGGAATCAGCGTCGCTGGCTGCCATGATCCTTTCCGCGGCCGCAAGGACGTTCAGCTTCCAATCCAGAGTCGTAAACCCCGAAGCCGATAAACAACTGCAGACGATTCGTTTACGTTGTGGCGCAGAAAATTGATTGATGAAGTCCGGCGCTTCGAAGTATTTCAGAACGTGTGCGACATGAGGCAGTTGTGATCTGCACAGCTCTTCAAAGCTATTGGTAGATGATCAGTGGAAATTCACAATGGCTCGCTTTGCGACTTACCTGTTGACACCTTCAGCACGATCAACATCCGGATCCTCAGGGAAGGAGTGAAAGACGAGTAGCGAAGCTTTGCATTCCATCCGTCGAGCATCACCTAAAGTGCATTCAACGAGCGATCGCAGCTTTGGTAGGACTGTAATTGATTCTAGGGCCCTGCTGATGCGAATAAGTGCAAGAGCCTCCAGGTGTTCGAGAGCTGAGTCAAGGTTTTGACTGCATGCGAATAAAGGATTGAGATCTGGAGCGGGTGCGAAGTCGACCTCCCCTGAACGGTTGAAGAACCATTTCGGCTCAGCGGCACGGAGGAGCATGCTCTTCGGTATATCGGCTTCACCCAGGAAAACTAAAAGCGTTGCTAAATCTCTGGAATGATCGTTCAATTGTTGGAAGGTTATGACAAGCTCTTGTGAAAGGGTTGGGGGAGGCGTCCAGTGTTGCGGATATGGAAGCGTTCTGTAGCGTTGTAGAGGTGAGATGTAATCTCCTGTATTCAAGATATGTGCCAACGTATTACTTGCAATGGATCTGCCGGGTAGTGGAGGGGATGGAGGGAGGTCATTGTTGGCGGGGAAAGAAGGGCTGCATCTCGGATCATCGTTGTCGGTAATGTGCGTAGGACCTGGAGACTTCGAATTATACGGTGACGAATAGGGCGGGGGAAGGAGCGAGCCTAATAAATGGCGAACTCTTTGGAGATAGATCTCCACTGAACTGCCAGTGCGGAATTGAGGGGTATGTTGAGGCAGGATGTGGAATGGGTTGTTTGCTCCATTTTTGTTGGACGATAGCTGTCGGTGTTGCTGAGGGAAATCTTCTCCGGAGGAAGAGGAATTGGCTGTCGGAGTAGATATGCACTGCTGTGTTGGACTGCTTGCCCGCCCATTATAGTGTTTCTCTTGCAGCTGTTGGTGCTGAGGAAGGTCTTGGATGGGCGGCAATACATTGCATCTCGTAGAAGGCAAACCCTGTTGGGATTGAAAACTTCGCTCCTCCCACTTTGTTCGCTTATTATCGAGCACTTGATCGGGAGGAGAGGGAAGAGATGTCGGGGTAGGTGGTTGCGAGCAGCTCGCTTGCTCGCCATCATGTCTTTCTTGTGGTCCAGCTTGTGGTATGACTCGTCTGGCTGCGTGATGCCCGAGGCGCTCAAGTCGATTTGGGTTGTCCGGTTCTAGATCAGTTCTGTTAGCGAAGAATCTTATCTCTAAAGAGAAGGTGTACTTTGTGGGATGAATCCTTTCATCCATTCGTTTTCCTTGTCCCTCATGAGATGAACAACGTTCTCCACCAGCCACTTCCGCGAAGCTTCGTCTTTGATGGCTGTCCATTGATTTACGATCGAGTCGGTATCTCTGAAGGCTATAGCGAGCGCAATAATGCCCTTTAATCCTCCATAGTTGAAGAAAGCACCTTCGATATGGTCTGGATAACATCCATGCCACGCAGCTTGGATGATCCGTTCCTCCTTCTTGGTTGGGACCCAGTTATTTGTAAACTTTTTCAAAACGCTGCGAAACAGTGATTCTTGAACTTGAAGGGCTTTAAAAGCGTCTAAAAGCAATGATCGATGTTCTTCTTCAAGATAAGTAGTGAATGTTGCGTGGCGAATTGCGTATAAAAGAGCCGATACCGTTTTCCATGGCGCAAAGGCGAGACTGTCATCGAGATTCAAGAGGCTCTGGGGCTGTGTTGGCGCTTTGAAAACGATCTCCATTGGTTGAATTCCTGGAGGCAGATCTGAGGCAGATGAATGAAGGAAGGGAACGGTGAAGGCAAGGCGAACATGCGACCCGTCCGGAAGATAATACGGCCAGGCGCCGGGAGCTGCTCAGCTGAACCCTATTTTCGGTTGAAACGTCTCCAGAGAGCCTAACCCAATTCGGTTGCCTCCGTTTGATGCCGCCACTAAAACCGCATTTCACACCCCAATCTGAGTGAGACAATGTTATACTGGACTGCGCACCCCCAGAACACGCGGTTGGTATTTTGAGAGATCCATTGTGTATAGTTGCCAGATAGTGATGCAGCCTTTCCCAATGCGTCAACATCAATCTCGTGAACCCTTTCTATCTCCCCAATTCACGGCTCGAGAACCCTCCCCCCCCCCAATGCGTTTTCCTTGATTTGTTACAGTCAGGACTAGAAGGGAGGAGGGGTTTCATCACCACCGTCACTTGTTTTCTTTGCCGGAAATCTCTGAAAAGTGTTGTAAATTGTGAAAATCTAATAACGTGATATAACAGTTCTGAGCCCTTGGTGAAAATGTGAATGTTTCCCAAGAGACACCCAATTTCGAAGGGGGAGCGTGGTTTCCTTTTTCCAGCGAGACCTGCATCCGAGGCTCTGAAATCATTTGGGGTCCCGACATGCAATATGAGGGTTCTTGCAGGAAAGCATGGTTGGTCGCCTCGTTTTCTTCGAAAGTCTGCATTCTTTGCCCGGTTTCCCTCAGCCAAGCCAAGGCAATGAAGTTGTAGTCCAATTTATGGGAAACAGCAAATACCACGATGTTGCCCAAGTCAATCGAGAGGAGTTGCGCAAGGCCACTGCCAACGCTGACAACACTCAAGTCCACAATGCCACTTCAAAGTTTCAGATTTGCTCAGTCCTCGTCGAGTCCTCATTCGAAACACCGCAAGAGCCCCTTGTTATAAGCACACATCAACTACATCTTGATCAAGAACTCAATCTCTCTTCTCCTGAAAAAGAGCAAATGGCAATTTATCAAGCAATCAAAGGCATAAGCGACGGAGACGGTAGACATGTCATTATCCTCACCACTCTTCCGAACATAGATTGGTGGGCCGTATCACTAGTCGAATGCGTGAACAGGGCTCGAGAGTGTATTAGAACAGAAGTCGAAGAAGGAAGAATCACACTCAAAATACGATATGAGGATAAAGTGGAGGTGACGAGTAAAGGGATTTTTGAGGAATTTACTTGTAGAGAATGTTGGGATTTGAGAGAGGACGAAGTGAAGGATAAAGTGAATGGAGGCGACAAGATAGAGGAGAGAGACAAGATATGGGAATACTTGGAACCAGACTGCCCTGAAAAGAAGGAGGCGACGATGAGCAAGTCGCGCCACACTCCCCCAAAGCACACCAAGATAAACGACGAAGAGCGCCAACTCTCCGACCAATACTGCTCTTTTCCTCATCGTCCACGATTTTGTCTTATCCCCATCCTCGAAATGCAGCTCCTCAACCTCTTCCGCCTCCTCCTCATCCTCCTCATCCTCCTCATCCCCGCCTACCTCATCTGTCATGACGAATTTTGAGCGATGTTTACATTGGATCGAGGACACGGTCTAATGATCCATATTCGGAAGAGTGGTGAGGATAATGTCGTTCGTACCATGACGAAGCGAGAGATAAAGGGAAGGATTGAAGTGTGATAGATGGAATGGATTTGGGTTTCGATAACATGATTCAAAAGAAAACTCCGCAACGCTGGAATAGTACTCTTATCTGGTGAGAGGGCGTTTTTGCATTTTGATTATCACTCTCTTCCTCTGAATTTACCGCCAGTATATGTTAGCATTCGTAAGAATTTTGGGTCACTGTCTGCACTTCTCTCATGTGGCCTTGTAATGTTTTCCCCATAAAGTCAAATACGATGAGGGTCGGCCACTGCCAGCTTCATCCAAATAAAATTAGCTTCTAGTACATGTTATGTGATCAAAAGATGAGAAAGAAACCCGCCATTTGGAGAGTCAGAAGAGTGTTTATTTCCTAGCCTGCTCTTCCAAAAAAAAAAAAAAACTACTTATCAAAGCGCGCGTCATTCTCCTTCTGCCCAATACGCCTCGAACTGATCCTTCTTCCGTTTCAGGAATTCTTCCTTCCCAGCAAGTGTTGCCGTATCCAACATCGCCTCGCCTAGGCCCTCCTTATGCAGAACCTCCCAGTAAAGTTGGTTAACGTCAAGCTACTCCTCGACGCAAGGTTAAACCAGTAATGCTCGCTATCCCACGACTCCCGCATTCAAGCTAAGAGGGGCGGCTCCCCAAATTAGGCAATCCCGAAGATCCACAATTCTCAACGACACCTTCATCAAAACCTTCATCCATAGTGTTGTCATTCATGAAAGCAAGCCATGACAACTTGAAGTCGCCTTCTCTGTGATAATTGTAGTCATATCTGTTATTTTGTGAACATCTTGTATGATTTTTATTACAAAATTCAAAACACCTCATCTGCTTTTCCAGAGTGCTATCTTCTTTTCGCACCAAATGTTCTCCCTTACGACCCACCACCGGATCTTTCCCTAAGAACACTGGAGGGAAACAAGTCAATGAAATCAAACTGTGTGTCATGTGGTGCCGATTTCAAGCAGTACGCCGTGAGACTGTTCCATGAATTCTCTATACATGGTTCAGTAGATGCATCCGATGCAAAAGCCTAATATTGCAAACGCCAGAGTCAATCTGCTGCTTCGCTAACATTTTCTTGACATGTTTGTTGTGAAAGTGCCTGCTGAGAGAACCAGGGGTAGCATAGTCACAGATCCTCTCGCGAATCAACAATTACGGGTTTCCAAGGCACACTGTCAGCCTCTTATCCGATATTACAGATAAGATTGCCTGACTTAGTGCAATGTCAAGCTCAGACCGTGCTTGCTCTTCGGGATTAACAATTATGGGAACACTACCTCCGGCAAGCCTGCCATGCTAAACATGGGGTAAGGACCTCCCCTTCTCCATGCCGTCGTATGGAACTGGAAAGACGCTCATTGCACGTTAAATTGGAAAGGTTGAATTCTCGAGAACCCAAAATCATTAACGGTCCTAAAGTACTAAACAAGTTCGTCGGGGTGACTCTTGGAAGGGTAACAGTTCGTTTGCTTCGGTGCCCAAAGTTGTGGTTGAGAACTCGAGAAAGAAAGGAAATGAAGCGAGGCGGCCGCTCGCTTCATTTATCATGCCAACCTCGGCGCGAGGCGAAAAAGTCTTCATCACCATCACCACATCGCCACATCACCGCTCTGCAAAACCCAATCTTGCGGACGGCAATGGCCCTTTGCGGCATGGAAGTAGGCCTGTCAAGTGAGTAAAGTGTCACCAAAACTCACTACTTCATTGCTAATTGCTAGATTAGGATCAATTAATCTTCACTCGAACTGTCGTAAAGTAGGACAAACCACAATGACATTCCCAAACGACCACACATAAAGTCATATCTTGCCCAGCGGCCTTCCTCCCGCCTGTCCGCCCTCGCAACCGAAGTCAACTCGCGTGGACATACGAGAGGGACTTCGGCTCACCAGATCGAGAAGGGGATCTTCCCACCACGAACTCGCCAATTATGGCCTTCGACCTCACCTTCGAATCAGTGTCAAGTTGCATGGAACGCGAGAGCGAATGGGGGAGTATTGGGTGAAATTCGGAGACTGGATAGCAGGCAAGCCAAAGTTGGTGACAATCGGGCGATGGTTCTTGCGCACCGCTGACCGACTCAGGAATCTCTACCCTGCGGCAGGGATGAAGTTCACTGTCCACGGCTTGTACCCAAATGCTGACCGATACTCAGTTCCACATTCGATCCCAAAACAGCATGAGTGGCAACTTGAGTGGGACTTGGAGAAGGCGTGCACAAGGTGAGCCTGATAGAAGAGGGGATTGGTAAAGTGCGCCCATACTAGAGGGAGGTCTCCTGCGGCAGGAAAGGTTGTGCAGTACTGCGTGGACACGCGGCTACGAACGAGCTCTATAGTGAGGTTGTTGGAGTCGATTATAGGCTGGTTCATGAAGATCTCGTTGATGAATGTTGGATGTGGGAAGGTTGCTTTCCTGTAGTTTATACGGACCGCAAAACTTGCCTCGTAGCTTAATTATCTTTAGGAAGGGGTTATTTAGTCTTCACTCAGTAAATGACTTGTCAATATTGCTTCGCTTTTGCCACCGTGCAACCTCTCCCTCCCTTCCAAACCCCCCACTCTGCGCGCTGCCTCGAACACCACCCTCAGCCTTGACGGCTCGGCCAAGCAACAAGAACCAGCAAGAAATCCACTTACTTGGAGAGGGTCTTGGGGGGAGGGTTGATTGCCTGGGAGGATGTGTAATCATGTCTAAAGGGGGTTTATGGTAGTGCTACGTTGATTCCATTCAAACTTGCTCTGGAAGCATATAAAAACCCTATACAAACTCTTATCTATTCCCATTTCCCGTGAACTCCTCTTAGAACTTCATCAAACCTTCTCTCGTTCCATCTCCTATTCATATTCCCTCCACACCCTCCCAGACAACTCCGGCATATGCGCCACGGATGCCCCCTTGGCCATGTGGTGAAATTATCCGAGAATGGGTCGCAATGGGCCTTCTGCGACTCAGATATCTCCTCACCTCCCAGAGACCACCAACCTCTCTCCAAAACCCCATCCTCTCTGCGCTTCACAAGACAATTGCACTACCCTCTTCACCCCCTAATACAGCTCCATACCGCCTCCTCCACAACTCCAAACAGATAATCTCTAACTATCCCCATCGGCACATCTAAGAGGATCCTTAACACATCTCTCCCGAGTTCGTTTGAGCCTGCCAAGGACTTGTGAACGTCGTGGACCTGCATCGAGGAAAGGGCTGGTGGTCGTCGCAGCTGCGCAGCCTTTTGTCAGTGTTCCCGCTCCCCAAGACTTTCGCGTATTCATACTGCTCTACCAAATGGAAATGCATAGCAGCAATGCTTCCTTGAGACAAGTTGATAGAGGAATCTTTTGTGGTAGAGTGGATGAGACGGCTAATGTTATCGCAAGGCAGCAAGCGGTAATGAGATCGCGCGGAATTGCGAGGACTGATGATGGTGGGGTCCCACAAATTCTTGGGAACAGATTTTTCCAACATCCAACAGGCGGGCTCGTCGCCATTCATTATGGCGTGTCTCCTTCAATCCAACCAAATGGTCCAGGAGCTATTCAACCGGCGAATGGCACCGGATCCCCTTCGCTCGGTGGCCTTTCCAAATAGGTGTTGTTGCATGACACGTCTTCCCCGGATAAAAATCGAATTGTCGCAAGCTCTCACAACTATCCTCCACAGCAACCCCCAAACCCTACACGAGTAGGTCTTATCTGCAACCCAATACCCAAAGCCACTCACCAAGCCCAATACCAGATGAAGAAGGATATCACAAATAGTTTGACTCAAGCGGTGGCCTTTTGGGTAACTGTGGAAGCTGAGGTCCAACAACTGGTAGGTCCTTTCCTCCAAGAAAATCCAGTGTAGCATACGGTGCTAATATCTGGTGTTTATGCCGCATCCTATAATGTCTCGATTCCCTCAAGTCTCGCCGTTTCTCAAGAATGCCTTACAAGGCCATCCGACGCCATAAAAATAGACACAGAGATTTGCGCTATCTTGATCTTGGATGATGACTCTGTTGCTGGAAAAGTTGTTATTGAAGGCATATCCGGGGCTGATGATATTATTAATATAGGGAATAATGATAAAAGATATTGGATTATGCTTGTAAAGCCTGAGCAGAAATGTCAGGTTTTTGGACGATGTAAATTTTGGTTGTACTCTTGGAAGAGAAATATACCAAGTGAAGCTGGTTCATCTTCCGGGTATATATCGGCTTGGAGTGACTGGGCATGGGATACGCGTTATAATAAATGGGGGAGATATCGTTTGTCCGGGAGCGAGTATGAGTATGAGTGGCGAGATCCAGAACCTTCAACTTCATCCTAGGTACCACCTTACCAGATGTTGTTATAGGTTTTGCTGTTTAGGGTCGACTCCTTGACTCCTGAGGCGATTTCGGGCGGAAGGATCCTCAAGACGCCATTCCAATTGGCTGTAAGGGGGAGAAATAACTCAACAAAGGATGGGATATGTTGTATGTAACTGAATAGCATTTCTGCCCTTAGAGGGATCCAAGGCAGCTTATTCAGGAAGGCGGCAAGAGGCGTGAATTGACACAGTACGGGTAGTTCAATATGTAGTCGAATATTTTCTTGGGTGATATTTAACAAAGGTCCGTCTTGTTGCGAAGGTGGCATTGCTGGTTGCCTCGCATCTGGTTGAAGTGCGGGTATGGGTCCGCCTGGTTGCGAAGGCAATGTTGCCTGGAGCCATACATCTGTTTGTGAAGGCGCCATCGCTGTTGGTGTTTGCCATCCACCTGGGTGTAGCCTTACGCCTCGTGGTGAAAGCGAAGTTACTGGTGGTTGAGATGTAGGTACTGGTCCAGGCTGCAAAGGCGACCTTGAATATTGTGGCGATGTTGCCGGTAGCCCTGTATCTAGTGGTTGAAGTGCAGGTACCGGTCTGCCTGGCTGTACAGACGTTGCTGGTAGCTTTGCGCCTGGCGAGCCTGCCAGCCTTGCATCTGGTGGCTGGTCTGCCTTTCTTCGGGAAGCTAGCTGCACGTGCTCTGGTGTTCCGTCAGTTTAATTCTGTACAAATGAGATCGGGGTGTGGACCAAAAAAGGCTTTGAAAGTTTCAGAGTCCTTCAAAGTGGTTTCCATTAGCTCGTTCAAGGCCTCGTTCAAGGCCTTTGAGACCTTTTCATCCCAGGGCGGACGCAGCGAATCTTTGAGCCAAGCTTTCACACATTTGTATAGCTCAAAAGTCATGTGTTTATCAGTCCATTTCCCTGTTCGCACCGTACATGCAAAATCCATTAAAAGGTTAGGGTCCTCGGAGGTTAAATCTTCGACAATTTGGACAGTCGGAGCTTTGTGTTGATTGTGGAATATATGAGTGAGATTTGATCGAATTGATGCCACATCGTTAAGATCATCCATCCATGGCTTTAACAGATCAAACGCCTGCCTCGCCCGCCCCGCCTGTTTTGCTGCAACTCTCTCCTTCAACAGCGTGGCCATATTCGATATGTTGGCAATTTCGGTAAGAAGTTCATCCTCTTCGGGGCCTTGCATCGGTTGTTTCACTGCCTTTTGCAGTTCGGCATGGCATTTGCGCAAACGATCTAAGAGCGGCATGGTCGAATGAGTGGGAAAATTGGTCGAAACGAGCAGGAAGCATTTTCAACCCAGCCGAGGACATTGAACAAGGGGGGATTCGCTTATTCCCCAGCCTGGGCCCACCAGCGTCCGCCGCTAAGCAATATACCCTTGTAAGCGGACGACCAGCTCCCCACGAGGCGTTTTCCCAACCAGTCACTGCCATGATTCTTGTGGTGTTGGCTTTCACCCGTGTTTATCTTACCGATGAAACGTGAGGAGTGCGGTGAAATTTGGCGTTTCTTTGGACAGGCTGATTTTGACAATATCATTCACTCCACTTCACCAACTGCGTTGCATATCCCCGTGATGGAACTCGGTGTCATCGCTTCTGTTTATCCTATCGCGGATCAAGTGAGTGGAGTCGTTGGACCCTGCGTATTGATCACTCATGTGAGACGAACCTGCATGAATGGGAAACGGGAAGTAAGACAACCAATTTGTGCAGAAGGAACCCAGGATGCTTGGAAACCCGTGCGGAGTCAAGACCCATCCCCACAGAGCCGTCAAGCTGTAACTTGCTTTGCGGGCTGAGACTTGCAGCTCTCCACACAGATAACCCCATCAACGCTTAATCATGCCCCCAGCCGACACGATAAACCAATCACCCGCTCAGAAGAACCATTAGCTGGTTTGCTCATCCAATACGACTCATCGTTCTTACCAGAAACGCATCATAATTTCGGGATAAAGACGTGTTTATAAGTTAAAAGAATGTCTATAACTACAAATGAATAATATCAAGCTCTATCGTATTCGGGCTTTTCGTGAGTTCTCTTATATTCGATAGCATTTCTTGTGAAAAGTGGGCTCGCGTTGGTCAGGCTCGAAAGAGTTCACGGTCGTGAATGAGATGGATTTCAGCTGCAACCCACCATCACGCACGCGGGAAGCCGGGTCAGCAAGCCGTCCCCTGACACGCGGGGCGGGCGTTCGCTTAAGCGAACCAACGCCTCATCACGGCAGGGGACGTCCCGAGTTCGGCGCCGTGTTACGGAGTATACCGAGCATTTTGAGTCGGCTCCCGTTCCCTTGCTATTTCCGTTCTCCCCCCCCCCAAATAAACGTATCGTGACAAGGCTGGCACAGCCTCTCTAACATACCCTGGCCGCGCTGATCTTTATCAATTCCCCTTCCCGCCTTGGCATGCAGCCTTGAGGAAGTTTACCTGGCGTATCTTGGCGGTTGGATGCAACGCCAATGCCCAAAAAAAGCGCTAAGTCGCTCTTCACCACCAATGTTTCTTGGCTAAGGAGTGCGCCGTGCCTCTATCCTCCAAATGCGACAAGGGTTGAGGTGCTCCGTGGCATCCTTTGGAGGGCGTAGCAGTGGGGGATTATGCAGACTTGGCGCTCGGTGGCTTGAAAGGCTCCAGATCGCAAACTTCCATCGTTGCACGAACCTATCATAATGGTGGATAGTATCTGAGGATTGGCCAGTATCGAGAACCTGCCACGGCTGCTGCATGCTCCCATGTCTATTGGTCTGCTGAAAGAGTTCCTTGCCATTACGCTAGGATAGGCTGCCGTGCCCAGATACTTATCACTCTATTGGCTTGCTTCAAAGCCAGGAGATATTGAACTTTTCTTCTCATCTTTGCCGTCTTTACGAATTTCGTTTTACTTACATCTCGATCACTTCCTCAAGACTAGTAGGTACCTTGGAAATTCCAGGCCCTTGCTTACAATGAGAATTGTTTGCGTTCAAGTACGTCAATGCTACGTTTTCACATTCCTCCTACTAACTGGCAGGTAGTTCGCCCCGCAAGATGGTGAGGTGAAGAAGAATACGGAGCGTGTTGATGAAATCCTCAGGAAGCTGGCTCCAAAGGATATAGATCTCCTGGTTTTGCCCGAGCTAGCGTTCTCTGGTAAGTTGATTCTGAGGCCTTAACTAACTATTCATCTTCCCCGGGGCTTGGTCTTGAGTTGCTACGTATCAAGTGCAAGTTCGAATATACGGCAGGACTAACAAGCAGTAGGGCTTACGTCTGGACCGTTGCACGCCATCAAGGGTTGCCTTGAAACTACCGAGAGGAGTATTACTCGAGCTTGGGCGTCACTCCAGGCCTTGAAATACCGATGCGTGGTTAGTGTTGGATACCCAGAGGCATTCACCCCTCCAAATAACCCCGCAGTACCGGAATATTACAACTCGGTCATTACGGTCAACGCAAACGGAGGAACTATCGCGAATTACCGCAGGTCCATTCTATACGACAAATATTTGGACCTAGAAGGAGCGGATAGTTTCTTGTATAAAAAAACATCTGGGCTAGGGAATGTCGCGATGGGGATTTTTACGCCGTCCATGAAGGAGTATGTTTCTGGCCTTTCTAACTGCTCGGAAAAGAATTAACGTTTTGTAGCGGATATACATTTGCAGACCATGTGCTTGATACACAGGCGGATCTTGTTATTCTTCCAATGGCATGGCCGGCCACTCCGGACCGAAAAGATATAGACATGGATGCGGTGACTTCCTGGCTCGCCGCCCTCAAGCCGATCATTGAAACTCAAATGAGTCGTGAAATTATTTGCGTCTTCGCAAATCGAATTGGATCCAACAACAAACCCCAGTATGCGGGCACGAGTGCGGTATTAGGCATTACAGGCGGCCAAGCCCGTATTAAGGTTTACGGCATCATGACATGTAGCGGCGAGGGGCTTCTTATCGTTGACACAACCAACAAACCAGAAAAGTGGCTTCAGCTCGAGACATCAAATTCCACGCAAGGCGGATCGGATTCACCGACCATTCCTCATGCCGGGAGAGAACAGCTAGGGAACTCAGAAGTTCCGAGATCGAACAAGCCTCCGACGCAGTATCACAAACCAGATCCTCAAGGCTCGAGCATCAATACAAAGGCTTCCAATTTCAATGCGCAGAGCCCCGCCCCTATCAAAGACACTCCTGCCTCTCTCCCGAAGGCAAAGCAGCAGCAACGGGTTATTGTTGATACAAGCGGGCCTCCGACGCAGTATCACAAACCAGATCCTCAAGGCTCGAGCATCAATACAAAGGCTTCCAATTTCAATGTGCAGAGCCCCGCCCCTATCAAAGACACTCCTGCCTCTCTCCCGAAGGCAAAGCAGCAGCAACGGGTTATTGTTGATACAAGCGGGCCTCCGACGCAGTGTCACAAACCAGATCCTCAAGGCTCGAGCATTAATACAAAGGCTTCCAATTTCAATGTGCAGAGCCCCGCCCCTATCAAAGACACTCTTGCCTCTCTCCCGAAGGCAAAGAAGCAGCAACGGGTCAATGAAAGCATTATTGATACAAGCGGGCCTCCGATGCAGTGTCACAAACCAGATCCTCAAAGCCCTACCCCCATCGAGGACACTGCTTTCGAGGTTCCGAGTCCCTATTTGCGACCATCTCCTAGACGCAGGGCCAGCACGTGATAGTCGTTTGTCATGATCAATTTCCACTTCTTCCGTAGCAATTCTATTAGGTAGTGACCATTCAATCAATTTCTTCTCTGCTTCTTCTCTCCGGACTTCATCTATCTGGCAGATAAGGAGGGATACACAATATACATTCTCTTACATCAAGCTGGGGTGCGCTTCATGGAAAACATGAATAAATACCTCCACCATGAGTCCCCTCGCAAATTTCGCGTGAACTCTATATTTTGGATATCTAAGACCACGTTAATAGGAGCTATGTTGGATTTGATGCTCGGAGTAGTCGAAGAGAGGACAGGGAAGAGAATTACCACGAAGTACAGGAATAATAAGATGAATATAAAAGAGATACGGGGAAACGACCAAAAAATTGAAATTCCTCATCCAACTCTTCTTTAGCCCTTCTCATTTGTTTCTCCACGACTAGCCCATGTGTGCATCCACTGTGGGGACAAGTTTGTTGGATGTCTGACTGAAGAGGGGAACATGGAGGGAATATGGAAGGGATAGAGGATGTGCTCCTCGGAGCAGGAAAGAACAGAAGAATCTTGGAAATGTGAATGTTATGGACGTATAGCGTCACAAGAAGACCAAGTAAGAGTAGGAAGTAATTTGAATTGATAAGACTTTACAGTTCACCTTGCCCTCTGGACTAAGCAAACGAACAATAGTAGCGAACAAACAAATTTCCGCCAAAGGAAAATACAAGAGCTACATACTCGGATGAACTCAGATCCTTACTTGGGTCGTGTCATTGTGTCCATCAGGCGCGGGAAAATCCATGTTCGACTGTCTCGTGGCAGGTTGTGGAATGAAGGGTTGCTTGCAAACATTAGCTATAAGAAAATCCAAGGGTTTATATTGCAAACCATTGCGGTGATAGAAACGTCTCCAGTTGGGTAGTGCATCCCGGAGTACAAACGCTGATAAAGACCCTCGAATTCAAATTTCACCTGTTGAAGTTGTTCACGGGCATGTGCCTCTGTCGCTTGTGCCCTTTGAATTCTTTGCATTCCCTCTACTTGCCACATTTTGTACTCTGTTTCCAAAATTTCAAATTTCGCTTTGGACTCCCTTACCTCGTCCACCGCAGCCTGCCTCTGTGTTTCGCAGAGTTGAAGCTGTCGCTGCAAAGTTGAAACTTCCTCTTCTAGTTCCCGGAGATTCGTTGTTGCTTGCTGAGATAGTACTTTCATGTTCTGTTCGAACAGTTCGGGGAATGGCATTGATGAAGCAGTTGGAATCTGCGAGGCCGAAGGTGATTGAGAGGGGGGCTGTACATCTCCTAGCGCTGGCGGTTCTCGTGCTGTTGATTCTCGTAGTGATAGAGAATCAATTGGAGTAGAGGGTTGTTCTTGTTCGGCGTGATCTGGATAAATCTGCCGTCGCGCGGCCGTGGAATATGGACATCCCTCAGCTCTCGCAATACACTGCCCACAGGATGGTTTCCTGATGTCGCACCAACGCGCAGCATTTCTGTGGGCGACACGGATAAATTAGTATGCGTAAGCGTGCGTTCCCAATAATGATAGAGAGATTCTCATACCTGCAGTTTTGACAGCTGTCCTGCGCCGTTGCGTAGCGTCTCTTTGTCGCAGCTGAAGCAGGCATCCTAATAAGGAACTGTGTCTTAGCAGAAGCCGTTTACAAACTACTTGGTCGTAAGGAGACGAGCGAGGAGATAATGAACGCTGAAGAACGATGAGGAAGGACTTTGAGCGAGGAGGAGGATGAGGAGTAATGAGGATGCAAGGGAGATTGGGGGCAGTGCGGCCCAGGCTGGCGAATAAGCCAACCCCCCCCCCCCCCCCTCCCTCGTTTTTTAATGCTTTCCTGCGGAGATTGGCGGGGCGGGCACCACCCAGCATCCTCATGGAGTATGCAGATCGGAGATATGACGATTTAAGTTTGCATGAAGAAGAAACATCTCGGCCACCTCGTAAACACACTGGATTGGGGAAAACTCCCGGCCGAGGATATCACTAGCATGAAACGGTCCAGTCGTGGCACAGGCGGGCCAGGCGGCGGGATGTTTTTCATCGTCCGTAGGGGTACAGCACCTGCGTGCTGCCACTTGGACGTATTAATTTTATATTTGGAATTAATTTCGCAGGCTTTCTAAACTTATTTCGGCTTCTTTCATTTCGTGCGCTTGAATTATATATAGTTTTAATCTATAGTTTCCATGAGACTGTGAAGTGAAGTCGGCGACTTTCGTTTTGTGAGGGCGCGGAAATATCGCTAAAACCATAGACTTTTGTCAGTAGCGATCGATCGTATTTCCGAAGCCTTCCTTGACAGGACCAAGGAGACGGGACGTGGAATAATGCAGCCGATAACTCAATTCCCAATAGGCCGGTGCCGTGTGAAATGATCCGGCGCATGTCAAGTGGATCGATGGAGCGGCCAAGGAAGCGGAACGTCCCCGGAAGACACAGCTGGAGCCGTCACTGAAGGGGCCAAAGCTATTCGGTTAAAAAGTCTTACGCTCTCCAATGGAGAGCAAGTGGAGACGCGCTCAACCAAATCGGGTTACGCTACCCACTGGGTAGCAAGTAGAGACGCGCTCAACCAAATCGGGTTACGCTACCCACTGGGTAGCAAGTGGAGATGCGCTTAACCAAATCGGGTTACGCTACCCACTGGGTAGCAAGTGGAGATGCGCTTAACCAAATCGGGTTACGCTACCCACTGGGTAGCAAGTAGAGACGCGCTCAACCAAATCGGGTTACGCTACCCACTGGGTAGCGAGTGGGGACGCTCTGAACATGTCCTCATCGTCATTTTTGAGTCTGTGCGGCTTCTACTGCGTAAGGTTCGCGGGTAGTGACCCGCCAACATTTCCCTTGCTTGCCGCTCTCTACTTTCCCCATTTCGTATCAATTGTCTTGCAGTCCTTCTCGAGAAATTTTACTATTCTTAGAGGAGTTTGATGGAATCTAGTTGGGGTGGTGAGTGATTTGGGACTGGCAGCTTGCGAGAAATGCGCCACTGCTGTGGGTTCAAATTCCGCCGACTTCGGCTGTTCGGGCTTGCTATTATGACCTAGAGTGTTCTTCCAGCGGCGAGTGAAGATTGTTCCACGTAAGGTGGGCGGCGCATCTCATGCACGTCTTTGCAGGGCGGCTGTTGATGATTCTCCACGGTTTTTACGAATGAAAAAAGGCGCATGCTCGCTGATGTGGGCACGCCTGGGTTCATCGAAGCCGGATCCCTTCTTCCCTCTTTAGACGTACATTACACACCTAACCTTCAAAGAAAAATGGCCAGACAAGGGCATCTGAGATCACGAAATGTGAAAAAGAGGACTCGATCTGGCTGTGATACATGTAGGTCTCTCTCGGGATATGTTACATGCCCAGAACTAACCAACGTCTAGGCAAGTACGTCTTCGAAGTGAGGCCAACCTCCTCTTTCATCCTCTTACTAACAAATTATTGCAGGAGAAGACACGTAAAATGCGATGAGAACAAGCCTGTTTGCAGTTCGAGCTCCTGATTCTTTTCCCCCCTTCATTTTACTTCATTTGCACCCTCTTCTCATACCTTTAAGACATCCTGAGGGGTCTTTTTTTATTCATGGATATCCTGAAATAGATACTAATTATCTAACCTTGCAGATAACTGTGGAAGTACCGGCTTTCAGTGTGATGGATACTGCTACAACACTTTGGTACAAAGACCAGCCACCGGCAAGAACTCACGAACCCCTATACCAAGAGCGCACTTCCCCATTTTCACCAGGTCTTCTCTTCAAAACGGCAATCCACCCCGACAAGAAACCTTGGCGCAAAGCAATCAATCGGGAAATACAGAACAACAAAAAACCACAATTGAAAAGTTTGAAAACGAAGGAAACCAAGAGCACGCCATCCCCACTACTCTACTTACCATGCCTTCTCTTCAAAACCACAATCCACCTCGACAAGAAAACTTACGATTACAACCCTCTGCCTCCCAAACGCTCCCGCAACGAAGAACCACAAGCATAAAAGAGCACGCCATCCCCACTACTCTACTTACCATGCCTTCTCTTCAAAACCACAATCCACCTCGACAAGAAAACTTACGATTACAACCCTCTGCCTCCCAAACGCTCCCGCAACGAAGAACCGCAAGCATAAAAGAGCACGCCATCTCCACCACTCCACCCACCTGCGGACTCCAGCCGTCCGCAGGCCTTGAATTCAAGAACAAGCGTGAGCACCAATACTTCGCGGTCTTTCAGGAGAGCGCAGCTGCCCAGCTATCGGGATATTGCGATTCTTCTCTCTGGGACTGCGATATCCTTCGGGCCTGCCACGAGAAGCAATGGGTTGTAATGCTAGTTGTCGTTATCGGAGCTCTTCATCAATCCCTAAACACCCTACCTACTCATGAAGCAGACAGCAGGAGTCACTACAGCTTCGCCATACAGCAATACCGACTAGCCTTGGGAGAATTGAGAACCGACTTCGAACAGGAACATCGAACCGAGTCTAGGGTTCGACTCGTCTTAATCTCCTCCCTGCTTCTAACTTGTTGTGAGACTTATACGGGCACTCGAGACCAGGCACTTACCCAAGCTAAAACTGGTATAGACGTTCTGCTTGAGTGGTCAAGGCAGGAAGAGCCTACAGACGACTTGGTGGATGACTGGTCTCATATAAGGCATGTTGCATCCCGGTTCCCAAACCTAGAAGATGAACTCTTGAGAGCATTTCAGCGACTAGACTACCAAATACTCCTCTACAGAGGTTTTCAACCTAACCGTCATATACCTCAATTTCCTACTATCGCCCACCAGTTTACATCCATCAATGAAGCCTATAACTTCTGGGATCTAGTCATGCGCCGAGTCCTATACTTTCACGCCATCAACAATATCACAGAACAACATAGCGCAAGTGGATACGAGGACGATAATACTCAGGCAAGCGCAAAGGCAATGGTTTATCCAAGTCATATACGAGTCGAGAGCGACAAGTTTAAGGCGACTACCGAGCAGTTTCTCCGTCATTTTAATCCTATATTCCAAAGATCTAGACAAGAGCCTGGAACAAAGGATTACTTACTTGCCAATCTCGTTATGATCAGAGTCCTATCTCGCCGTGCCGTTCTCTCCCAACGTCCGTCGAAGAGCGAGCTATATAGTGATTATTTCTTGCTAGACTACCAAAAAGTTATCCAGCTAGCGCGCGAGCTAATCAATGATCCGAAGACGACTCTAAAGAAGGCGATTTTTGGTTTCGATATAATTCTCAGTATTTCTATTTTTAGCCTCTCACGCCTTTGTAGAGAGCCAGGAATACGTCGACAAGCTATTGACTTGTTACACCGGTGCCCGCAGAGAAAAGGATGGTTTAATTCACTGGTTTTTGCGAAGGCCTCGGAGTGGCTAATGCACAGGGAAGAAGAGCGGATGGTTAATGGGTACATACCTGACACTGCGAGATTGAGACTCATCAAGCATGAGCTTGGACCTCGCGAACGAACAGCCATGCTTTATTACTCACAACTCGTACAGAAAGATGGAAACACGGCAAGGGAATTGCTCGGTCCTGTTATGATAATACTGTAACAATTTCACGTTGGCGTTTTGGAGAATATAACGGGAATCGTGATGGGTAATACAGAACCGCGCGAACGAGCACTGTTTGCAACCCGAAAAGTTGCCCTGTATGTTGTTGGTGTTATCAATTACAATATTTCCGTTTCCCTACGGACATTCTCATGTTCATTGCAGCTTCTGTGGACTTCGAGGCAGTCTCCACCAAGATAATGAATAATTCGATTGGTTCCGGCAGTTAGAAGGGGCGGAACTGGGGTGGTGGCCAAATCAAATGAGCGGGTTCATTTGTATCTTAATGTGATTTTTTATTTCGAAGTTGGAAGTTGATTTCCGAAAGTCAGGCAGCTTAGCATTTACGGTTGAGGCATGCCAGCTCGAAGTTCATTACATTGGCGGACGAAAGATCCTCGGTGGTCTTTTCGCCAAAGAAGCTCAGTCAACGCGGAAGGGCTTAAAAACCAAGCCTGGAAACTCTAACGATGGCCCAACTACATGAAAAATTTATGGTTCCCAATATGTATTATCACAAACATAGCATCCCGATTTCTTGACCCAAGAATTATACTGGAAGCAACTCAGTCAGATTACCCCATGCCTAAACTTCGAAAGTCAAACCGGCCCTCATGCACAGTGAAGGTAACACAGTTTTCCTGCGATGGTCGGAATATCGGGAGCCCGCCCTGTTCCATTTTCCGGGGTCGCATCCCGCGCACGGCACTTAAAAATCGGCTTTGTCGCATTTCCACCATCTTAGTTAGCAGCACTTGGCCCAGAATGGACGTGACAATGCCCAAGAGCAAGTGCTTCTGTGAGATATTCCGGCTGGTGACAAGTTGTAAAGGGGGCGGACGCATCGGAGCGAACTCCTGTAAGGTGATCATATGTCGCTGTGCTGTTGCCATAGAGGTTTTTACACCTAAAAGTTGAGTAACGTCCATCCCTGCGTGGCGGAAAAACCTACGTACCGGAACGACTTCATGGTTTGGGGGTCTTAAATCTCCATCACATAAATATATAAAGTTATAATTAGTTTGCTCTTGTTCTTTGGCTATTTATCTGTAAGGATTCAGTTTGCAAGTGTCGCCTCCCCTCTCACACCTCCCACAAGCTCCAGCCCTTAGAACCCATTGCTACCATTGCTATGTCCCCACGAACGCATCAACGGTTAGAGCAGACCCGCTCACAGGTGCTCCATGGGTCGTATCCCTAATATTACATTTTCGAGAGAGAAAGATCGCGAAGTCTCATACTTGGAGGCGAAGGTTGACTCGATTAAGCGTCGATTGTCGAAGTCCGCTGTGAGCACGCATCGTCAGACGATGGCAAGCGCATTAACGGTGAGTCCTACGCATTCGATACTGTGACAGAGTCCTGATATCGTGGGTGGAACAGAAACACCCAGATACTATGGCAAGAAGTAAACAGATGGACGTTGATGGAGATGAGAGTGGGAGCAGTCACGGTCGTGAGTCGAAGAGAACGAAGAGCAAAGGGCCTAGTGCCAACCGCAGTGATACGATTGGCCATAGCAACGGAAACCAAAGGAACGCCGAGTCTGAGAGAATCCTTGACCTTGGTGCGTATACTAATACCGCCAATACGGCCATCCGAAGCATGTTAGCAACCCAGAACGCGATGAACGACCTCGCCCAGCTATACGCAACACACGTCAAGAAAATTGAACAGATCAATGAGGTCCAGAAGCGACACGATAGCTTAGAGGAGCAATGTAGAGAGAAGGACGAGAAGATCAGGAAACAGGATACCACTATTGATACCTTATGGGAGAAGACCCGCGACCAGGAAAAACAGCTTGCGGAGGAAAAGAGAAGTCTCGAGGAGGAACGAAGGGAATTGGAAGAAGATAAAAAGAAAACGAAGAAGGATAAGGCTACTGCGGCGAAGAGACTCAAGGTGCAGGGGGCAGAACAGGAGAGTGAACTACAAAAGGCATTCGAGAGGCGCCTGGCCGAGCTTGAGAAGCAATTTAGAGATCGCGAGAAGGAGCTGGACCGCGGTATACAGAAACGGGAAGAAGAAAACAAAAGTCGACTAACCAATCTCGAGGTAGAGAACACAGCACTCCGCGAGAAGATTGAACGGCTTGAGAAGGAAAAGGAAGAGCACAGGACGGCGCTGACCAAAGCCAAAGATGACTATGACGACATGACGCGAGTGAAAGAATCACACAAGGCAGAGGCACGAAGGTTAGAGACAAGGTTGAAGGCGATGGAGAACGAATTTGCCTTTAATAGTCGGGCATCGGACTTTTAGTAAGTGCCATTGTCTGGCTTGAGAATCGGTTAGATTGACGATATGCAGCACAGAGGAGTTCGCCAAGATCTCTCGTACTATTGAACAGATATCTGAGAGATACTTCCAAGAGCTGAAGACCGAAGTATACTCCCTATCATAAATATTATCCAATGACTCACCAGGCGCCAGGACGCTAGCAACATCCACCAGAAACTCATAGAGGCTGACATTGCTTTCGCTTCCATCCCTCTCTCTGAGAGCCGAGAGTCAAGAGACCTCCGAATCGCTCGTACTCAAGTCATCATTTCGTCCTCACTCTGTGACATTATCTGGCAGCCTTTCTCCTCCGAGAAGACCGTTCAGTACCCAGACCTTGTCTCCGTCCTTCGTGACATCTCGGCTGAGCTTGCTAAAGCCAACCACGGGAGCACTTCTGGCCCACGGGCAGCAGGTATCTGGCGTGCACTTACAATGCGTGCACTTCAATCGTTACCGCCTCCTCCTCTGCCATTGACTCAATCGAACCCGCCACCCCTTTCCCGCGCCGAGAGAGTCGCTAATAAGGTTCTCTCAATCCTTTCACCCCTTGTCGCCCCATCACAGGAGCCTCAACTTCGCGACGATCTCCATGCCCTAGCCAACTCGGCCATTTCCGTTTGGTCGTCCGCACAAACAGGGGGGCTCCAACTAATCGTCTCCTCAAGCCTGGACCTCGCACAACGCAACGAATGGCGTTCCTTGTTGTTTGACCCACCGTCCACCGATGACATCGTGTCTTCTACATACCCTCGTATCTTCACCCTCTTCCCGCGTGTCACGGCCTTGAAGATGCCTGTCCCCGCCGAGGCGCCCGCGAGTCTGCCTGGAAGTTGGCCGGAGCAAAACCAGGAACCCCACATGATCGAGACCCGTATTCACCCGGGGACAGGGCTCGCCGAATGGTCGGTGCTGGTGTTGAAAGGTAAAGAAGAGGAGGAATGGAGGAAGCAATGTATCGAGGAAGAGCGTATTCAAGACAAGCTGGCGGCCCTCGAGAAGGAGAAACAGGAGTTGGAAGCTCGTGGCGGGCGGAATGCGCACAGCAGGACTGGCTCGGTAATAGGGTCAGCATCGGGGCCGACGAGTCCAACAGCGCAGTGGATGGGGAGGAGAGCAGTGGCTGAACAGGACTAGGGATGCGATTTAGTAAGGGAATACTTCCACGATATATGGTATGTCTCCGCAAGACCACAGGAAACAGTTCTGCGTTCGACCGAATTCATTCTCGTTCCTTTCTTAATACTAGGAATTTATTCGAAGTGGCGTCGCGCTTGATGCCTTTGCCAGATAGTTGAAGATGTAATGTTGATTTGTCGTAGTTGATGAAATGATATAATTCCACGCAAGCTTTTTTAGATCTTTCCCATTTTGTGAATAGGATATTTCTGGCACAACGCCAGGGTATTCCGCGTCTCGGTGCTGAAACTGTGCGTTGGGCTCGCGCCTGTGAAAGACTCTTGTGTTTTAACCGTCTCTATCTGAGTTGTCCTCCTTCAGGAATATTCGAGCGCACCCCCATTGGCTATCCGAGCAGCAAACTCGGCAGCTGAGTCTCCACGGTGGCTTATAACCTCGAGTCGTTTACTGATCTCCAATCCGTCCCGACTCTCCACTCCCTCGCTAGCTCGCGACGTCCCCCCGTGTGTGTGTCCGTACATCCCGCGCGGTGTACAGCCGTCTCGTACAGTTACTTGGGGCACGCAGGGTCGTTGCAGTGCCATGCCTATCGGCGTGCGCTGCACAGGTCAGCGTTGTCCCGCATCGGCGTCGCTGTTCGTCAGGTAGTCGAAGGGAGTGGATAAGTCGGTAGGAACGTCGACGATGTTTGGCGGTGTCGAGTGGCTCCGTCGTGAGCATCGCTTGGTGGTTTTAGTCAGAAGTGTTGAGTACAAGTGCTCGATCGAGTCGGCATTGTGAGTGCGTCGCCGAACTCGTTTGTCTCTGTAGGCAGAGCTGCGTGAATCGTTTATACCTTGAAACATCTTCGTTAGGACTGCTCCTTCCGTTGCCCGACTTCATTAATACTGACCTAAAATAGTGGGATGATCCTGAGTGGCTGTTCTTCTTCCACTTGATAATTCTGGCAGATCTCGCAAGGGGTATGCTCTAAGACCTTGATCCGGAACGGCCGAGAGAGGATGGCCCACATGTCCTTCAACCATGAGTGCTTCTGCTCCTGCTCCTTGTACTTCTGCTCCCTGCGCTTGCAACGGTCGCAGATCTCTAGTGCTATCTTCGGGTTCCGTTCATCGATGGTATGATTTATCTGAGCGAAGCTCTGTTGACCAGGCCGTAACTGGTACAGGATGGGACAGGGACGGGAATATACTCCGCCGTGGTTCGTGCAACAGGAAGGGCAGTGGTTTTGGAAAGCCGTGCACATCTTGTCTCGAAGGACGAAGTTGTTTCACACTAGCGATCCTCCGGCGAGGATTGGTGATGACAGAATACAGTTAATTCAGAACGTAGCACTCTGTTAGGCAGGAAGTGTCAACTTTTCGAAGTGAGGGGTTGAGCTCGGTGCAGAAGTGGGCGTGGAAAGATATTTCCTGCATGAGGTAAGTAGGGGTAGCCATGGTGAGTGCGGGGTAATATCCACAGCCCCTCACCAATCCGGTACCGTCAACCACTGAGCGCGAGTCATGAAAACAAAAAACACATGTGTGGTTAATGATAGTAAAGAGAAGGGTTGCATGGAAGACCTTCAGGGATATTTTGAGAGTGTATCGAATCCGAGGGGGGACGATTTGGAGAGGTGTAAGACGCGGTGGCGTTTGGCAAGTGGAGAGGTCGAGGCATAGCCAATCTATCTCTGCCGCCACGATGCTTCTTCTCCAACGAGTCACTACGACCCGTGCAACTTCTGATAGACTTTAGAGTACATCCAATAAAGGCGGCCATCTTCCTTTAGTGAGATCCAAAATTGTCTACACCATACTAGAGTATCACCAACCGCGCGCCAAACTATTGGCCAAGGGGCACGTAAAGATGCAGCGCCGCGTTCTCTTTTTTTCTTTTATTGGAACTTTTAGTCTCTGGCGGGGACCTCCTGTGCCTCGTGTGGACCGATTAGGGCGTATCAAATGGGATGAATTTTGCAGGGGCCGTTCTCAACCTACACGCCCGCCTTAACTCTTATCTAATCATTTTTAACTTTCGACTTTGCGTTGGACTAGAATCGTGTCAAGCTAATTAAACTATATAACTAATCGCAGATCATTTATACCTCGCGATTCTGAGAAAAGAAGTTTTTATTTTATTTACCTAATCTCTCGGTAGACCTTTCTATTATAATCCAATATGGCAGATATCAAGCAGGACGACTTACCAATGGAAATTAGTGAATCACCTGTAGAGGAACGCCAGAAAACGCTTACGCTTCTGTGCCGCCTTTCCTTAATTCTTTCAGAAAGTAATAACAAGTTCCAGGAGTGCAAAGAAGTTAACTAGGAATTAACTAGCAGGGCGTTAAAGGAATATCGTACGTTTATCTAGTGTCGCGAGAAACGACTACTAAGATCCCCACCTCAGAAAAAGCATTAGCTGGAGAAGGACCTTCACAAGTCACCCAAGGCATAGACGACGGTACGCTTTATTACTCCCTTATATGACACCTAGATCTAATCCGCCGTCTATCAGAGAAATTTTCAAACATAGTTCAATTTCAGAGCATTCACCGCGATCACCAGATTTTCCGAAGCTTTGAAAAGCTTCAAAAGGAAAGAATTAGAATTTGCTAGGAAACATATAGTATACTATCTCGAAATTTTCTAGGTCCAGGACCGTCTGACAGTCGTTTAGTGGAAGCGGTCACAGCGCGCGAGAGCAGCAAGAGATACCCGCGGGTTCCTGATACGATATGGGATGGCTTCCAATGCTATTAGTACCAGCATCTCCCTCTTCACTTGATATTCGGGGCGCCGAAGTTGGATCGCAGTGATCTAATTATCGTTTCACCAAAAGACTATATCGGAACAGTAAGTGCATATCCCTCCATACCAACGTTTATATACTCATTGAAAGTAAAAGGGCCCTTCTATTGCCTCTTATAAAAAAGAGACCAGATATTATCCATACTCTCGTGAGATGGAACTTACAGACCCGGTTTAGTTCGACAAACACTTCGGACCTAAGCCGACACTCGCTAACAGGATTCGAAAAGGGGATGGGATTCAAGAAAGGAGAATCAGAGACAAATTAATATTAGGATTTGCATGGTTACTTAATTGGTTTTTTGCTTAGATCTGGCAGCTATTTGGCTGCCGGTTATTCTTTGAAAAATGAAATATAACCATCTCACGTACATTACGGTCAATTACTGCTTCAACATCCAAAATTTCGAGACCTTCCTCGCCTTCTTCCAAATAGCGCGGCTGCCACATCAATATTCGGGCTTCCTTGTTCTTGCCATACCCCAACTCAAATCCCACATTAATATTTGCGTTTGAGTATTAGACGTAAGTCCACGTCGCCTTGCCTAGCTCTCTGCCATCTTGTGAGCACGCTATCTCATATACTACCCCGGGATACTCGGCTTCCTTATGTTAAAACTGCTCATCCGGCTATCATTGAATATAGGGTTGGTCTATTTCGATATCATCGTCCGAGTCGAACTCTAGTAGCTATATGCTTCCAGACCCCACGTTAGATATCCGTACTGCAAATCTGGCAGCTTCATCATTACCGCTTGCGATACGGTCCAGTTGAGTTTTGGTCTCCTGCGACACCTATTCTAAGAAGCTTTCGTGGGTTGCTGTCGGCATACGTGGTGCGTATAAAACCTTCTCCAGAGGATCGTATTCCAATCTGGTCTGGTCAGGTTGAGTTTCTCCTGCTAAGAGGGCAATCCTCATGGTAACATACCTAAGTTTGTCGTCCACGAAACTTTTCAGTCCAGGAAGCTCTTCTAGCCTCGCCAAAATATTCTTATATCCCAACGATATTACCTTAATTGTCGCGACTGACCCGTTAGTTTATGGCGCTGGCGTTATTTGAATCCAGTACCGCAGAGACTGGGGACTGAGGATTAGATATTGACTGCCATTCATCGGTTACTGGAGGTATCAAAGGTAATATGATCTGCCTTCCCGGTAGTGTCCCATCCGCAGGTGCAGGGACAGTAGGCGTCGAAGCTGAGAATCTCTTCTCATTATTCATTGCTCGGGCCGGTCATGAGCTTCGTTATTGTGTTGCATTACTAATGCGGGGACCCGTCGGTTTATCGGATAGATGCAGTCTCTGCGGCAACCTGGTCGCTTATGAAGCATTATCACGTGGGTCGAGCACCAGCCACAGGCCCGGCAAATAATTATGTAAGCGGAATTACGTCGGAATTACCCAAATGCCTTCGTACTTCTTAGCGAGGTCGTTTCGTTCTAACCTAAAATCGCTAGTCGCTTCGACTCGAGGTACTGATCCCGCGTGGCAACCTTGCCTAAATTTACACGCCGCAGCAGCCACAAGGCTAATAACGATTTCCTGCATGGAAGGTGAGGCCTCAGAGCTCGGATAAGACTCCTTTATAAGTATTCGGGATGGTATAAGCTCGGTAGTGGAGCTGTGGTGGAGGAAGTCTGTTACGTTATAAAAGGAGACTCTTTACAAATCAGGCGTGAGGGCGATGATGCGAACGTGATTTTCTAGTGGGAGGGGTTCAGGGTGTCCGGGAGTAGCTACGAAATATAACGGAAAAGAAAAATACAGGAGATATTGAGGTATGTACAGATTTTAAGATGCTTGAAGTCAAAGTACCTGTCATTTTTTCCGGTACGTAGGGTTTTCCGCCACGCAGGGATGGACGTTAGACAGGGTGTGCACGTGCTTTCACTATAGCAACACCGTCTCCGACATATAGCTGCACGTACAAGAGTTCGCTCCGATGCGTCCGCCCCCTTTACACCTATAAACGATATCTCCATTTCTATCCTTTCTCCATTATATGCAAGGGTCTAAGGTATGAAATTTCCATTTGAATCTTCTTTTTGAGGCAGGTCTTATACCTGATTTTAGTATATATTTTAATCTAATATCCTCATTAATATGCAGGATTCTTCGAAACCAGTCAAGATACTGTGACGGCGCTGGCTGGGGGCCAAAGGGGAGTGGCTATCACATGACTGGTTTCACCTAGCTAGCCGGCGTTTCAGTGGTTTTAGCTAGTATTTCCCTCCTTTTATCCCCTTTCCTTCTCTCTCTCCTTCTTCTCCTTAGCTTAGTATTCTCAATACATGGGATTTTCCTGGATCTTTGAGCCTTTGTACCATTGCCTCGATCCCGCCGTCACAGATACTCTGAGTAGTAGAAACACACTGGAATGCAGCAAGAGGGAGTGTAGCAGGGGAAGCGGTAAGGGACTACTCGAATACAGGCCATCTTATCTGAGTTTAGAGAATATCAGTAGAGCATCTCGAGGAATACTGATATTTAAATTAGGCAATAATTCACATTTGTAATATATACGAGATAACAATTTCTATATGCTTGAAAAGTGTGTGTGAAGAAAATGGCTGCTGCCAGTTTTAGCACCTAGTGACCCGCCAGCTTGTCAGCTTGAATTGGCTGTATATATAATAATACAAATGTTTTAAGTAATTTAATACTCTATAGTTATAAAAACGTTATTAAGATATATTTTAGTATAGGAAAAAAGGAGTTAAAAACTAATGCACGTGAAGATTACAAGAAAAGAGTTAATTAAAGCTAGCTAGAAAAGAGTTCAAGTGAATTATAAGAACTTTAGAATATAAGTACATAAAGCCTGACTAAGCAAAGTAATTGCGCTATATCTAAATAAGGGATTTCATTATAGCAAAAACCTAGCTAGATATTAAATGAATTCAAATTATAGCTAATTTAATATATAAAACAAAATAAAGCTACTTTACTTAAATGATATTAAAGAAGCAATAAATTAAATAAACTTAGAAGAAATATAAGAGGCCTTACTTTAATTTATAAATTTTTTTGCTTTATAAGAACATTTCTTAGTAATAGCTCTTTTAAAAAAAAGAAATTAAAAGTAAATATTTTATAACTAAAAAATAGGCTCAAGAAAGCCTAAAAGTTTAGTAAATAAGCCTCTAAAAGATTAGATATATTAATAAGTAAGCTCAATTATTAAACTCTTATACCTGCTTATTATTTATAAGCCATTTCTGAAGTTTCTTATTAATTAATTATAAGATCACTTTTGGCTTTATATAATATAATATAAATTCTCACTTGAGTAATTGAGTGCCTTATCTTTCTATCTTAAGATAAATCCAGAGACTATATATAATAATAGAGTCTAACCAAGTTATGTCTATACAAAAGGCGATTTTAGACCCGCGGGTTTCCCCGCCAGTTCTCAAACTCCACTTCGATATATGGCATCAAATCTTGAGTTATCTCCCAAATATATCACGTCGAACGCTTACGCATCTTACTGGAAATAAGTTCCCTCTCTGGTCTAATAATAATGAGCTTAAGCACCAGAAAGTTTGGGACCTTATATTTGATAACTACGAGTTCCTTGAGTATATGAGTGACTGCGGCTACCTTTGTATTCTTATAGGAAGTGATTTACAATATCTCTATAACTATAACTCGAGGGAAGCACTATATAAAAGGAGTCTGAAAGATCGCAATGATCTAAATCTCGCTCTTATTATCCTTCAGGGTAATCAGCGCTATAGATCATGGGCGGGGCAACCCGGAACATCCCGAATAGTCGGAGATTTCATTAATAGCGCTAGGAAAGAACTCAAGCAGCAAATACATATCAGCGATACGAGATGGGACGTACCAGGAACGCTTCAGATCCATCATCGCCCCGGAAAAAGGAAACGTTATACCATTCGCCTAAATATAGAATCGCTCAGTAAAGGCCCACTCCCGGATCGGCCGTCAATTGAGTTAGCTTGTGAGGCGCTAGTATCACTTAAGGGGGATTACTTGAATTCGGCGTATCTATATTGGAAGTATGATCGGAAGCTGTTACGCCTTATTGAGCCTCCTGATATTGTTGGGGTCGGAAGATATGCTTCCGTACGCGGTACCAAGGAATGGGTGAAAGATGTATGTGGTCTCAAGATTCAACATCCGGAAGAAGTACCCGAGCTGTGCCACCATCAGCCACCTTGTATACCGAGCTTTAAAAAGAAGCGTTCCAAAGGCTGGAATGAGGTGCACAGCTCCTTTGAAGGAGCTTTCCCTTGCCAAATTCTATTCCACAAGGGGTTAGGAAGGGATCGCCAGTATTACGCAAGGGTTGAACAATTTCCAAATGGACATTTGTATATAGGATGGCACCCGGATTATAGATATATTAAGGCAAAGTTTCCCGCAAACTACCGTGGTGAAAAAGACTGGGAGACTGATCCTATTATGGAGAAAAGAATATATTAAGAACTATAGCTTAAAGCTTTTAATAAGAATATCTAGCTTAGCTTAGATTTTTTTTAATAAAATATTATATAGCAAGTATAAGCTTTAATTAAGAATTCAATTTTACTTAGTATATAAAGTACTCTTTTCTTTACTCTTTTTATTTAATAAGATAATATAAATATTGCGGTTGTTTCGCACCAACCAAAATCGTCACTTGCTTTGATCTGATATACAGATCGCGTGGCGATCATGCATGAATTTCGCCACAGCAGTCACAAGGCTAATAACAATTTCCTGCATAGTGTTGAGGCCTTAGACCTCAGATAAGACTTCTTTAGAAACATTAGGGATAGTATAAGCTCGGTAGTGGAGCTGTTATAGAGGAATGCTATTATACTATAAATTGAGACCCTTTGCAAATCAGGGATGAAGGTAATGATATAAATATAATTTTCTAAAAACAATTAATAACGTCCGTCCCTGCGTGGCGGAAAACCCTATGTGCCGGAAAATTAGACGAATTTCAACATTCACAAGTCGCTATATGAATAGAACTCGTGTAATAAACTTGTTACTAACTTCAAATATAAAAAGTTTTGGTTGTGGTTGATTTAAAGAGGACGTAGTAGAGAAAAATCTGCGACCCTTGCAATCTTATTGGTCGTTTCCGGCACACCAGGTTTTCCGCCACTCAGGGACGGACGTTATTTATTTATATTTCTTACTCAGAGCTTTAATTATTTTCGAGTATAAGATATCTAAGTATTTAATTATAACTGCTTTTATTAAATTATAGGCATATAAATAATTCAAATATATAAGATACAAGTTTTCGGTATTTAGTATATAATAAAGAAAAGGATACTATAACTAGAAATATTTGGCAATTTTACCTAATTTAAAAGTAAGGAGAGTGAGTAAAGAGAAAGAGTATAGGGTATTATTATATCAAACAAAGCTAATAATTTATACGTGCCGGATTTATCCGGACAAAGTGGGAAGAGGTATACAATATGCCAAGCATCTTGCTTACTTCCTTCCACCTTCGGTGTCTTGATCCCCAGACCCACCCCTGATCATCACTTTTCCCTGCCGCTATTCGGTGTGGAGATCATGATTCTCCTCGTCCCCGCTGGAGTCTCCATTATCGCTACTAGGGCTTCCATTGTAACTGCTGGAGTCTTCTTCATCGTCGCAGCTGGCTTCTTCTTCATCGCCGCAGCTGGATTCTTCTTCATCGCCGCAGCTGGCTTCTTCTTCATCGCCGCAGCTGGATTCTTCTTCATCGCCGCAGCTGGATTCTTCTTCATCGTCGCAGCTGGATTCTTCTTCATCGTCGCTGCTGGTGTCGGAGGCATCGAAAATGCCAGTAAACAGCGTTAATTCTGGGGATACTATTTCGTAGTTGCCTTTGTTATCAGCTATGTGTCGAGCGAAGTCCATCTCTTCAATAAGTTCCGAAATGCGTCCCTGACCTAACTTCCGTTGGTCGGGATCTGTCTTGATCTTAATAACGTACTCGTATCTCGTATGATTTGAAGGACCACATGCGTAGAGGCGTAAGCAAGCTTCAGTAATGACCGGAGGTTTTCCTCTGGGAATGTTTGATATCCGGTCGTTAATGTGTCCTTCAAGAGCTTCATTTCCATTAAAGCGAAGCGCGCAGGCTACTTTTTTCCTCTCAGCTTGGCTTGACTCTGGCATTGAATCGTGGCAGTTATCCCGCTTCCTATGGGTTGACATTGTAACCGAGAAGATCGTTAAGGCAATTCTGCCTCGAGGAGAATAACTAGTTGTGGTAGTCGATTAGTGTGAGTCTAGAAGGAGGCGGAATGCCAGGAAAGAGCTGTAGAATAACCAAGGCTAAGAGGTGGTTGGTAGCTGGCCGTATGGAAAGGAAGGAAGAGGAAGACCTGGATGCTCGTAGACCGTCAGCCCCATGCAACACTTGAAGAGTGAAGCCGATGAGAACAGCCAACGTCATTCGCCGCCCTACACCAAAAGCGATCGTGATATTTCCGTTTGGGAGCCCACGATGGCGGTATCAATCAGGTACGGACTTGCGTGAGTATTCAATCGATAGTACACTTGTCGAGCTGATTTGACATCTTTTGTAGCAGACAATAATACTGAGAACAGAAGGGTGGCATCCGAATGCTCGTGCTACTGTTCTATTCGGTATTAAACTAGCTTTGCTCCTGTTGAAATTGGGTGGAGCAGGTTTTGGAGGGGCAGATATTGAGCTAAAATAGGGGGTCGCTAAGGGTCCAACCAAAAGGCGGGAATGTCGCTAACCAATTGGATTGAAGATTGCAAAATAGGCTTCCTCCTATTTTAAAAGTAGCCATTCTTGGCGCTAAAACCGAGGCTTGAATTTCCCATATTTCGAGATAAGAATGAATATCTGGGATACATACTATAGAAGGCTAATATATTATGGTCTGGCAAAACCAATAATGGCCCAGATCCTCGCTGAGCTCTATATTTGCCGGGAGTCTCGCAACCAACTACTCCGCTCCTATACTCTGATATTATTTGAAAGAGGGGAACGCGGTCTATGTAAGGAGCAATGAGAAGTCAAAATTGAGTGCAGCTCTTCAACCGTGACTCCCAGTTTCAATATTTTATCAAATATGCATACTATTTACAGCATTGGGTTCAAGATAGATACGACGCTGTAATTCTATTGCGACTTCTTTCGTCTTTAAAATAATGCTGCATGTTTTATTCATTTGAACCTCGGACTTTAATTACTACTAGGGGGCGACCTCCTATCCATCCTCAGCTCACGCAACCTATCATCAAACGACCAAATCAATGTTGTCTCCAACTTTGGGGCCAAATATACCAAATAATAAAATAGACATCCTATGCAAATTTGGAATTACCCCTCTTGTCCTTTCCTGAAATTCCTGCTGGCACAAATCCAGCCAGCAAAGTTCGGTATTCTCCCTTTTCGCCAAGCCAGTGGACCATCCGACAAAGAGTTTCTTTGTTTTTAACATTACCGAAGCCGGTAGCGAAATTATTAACTACAGATAAGAATTCTGTTTCAGTAACTCCGACTCTTCGTAAGACACTAAGAAGCTGATCTCGTATCCGAAGAATGGCCTCAGCGGAACGATCTCCTCTCGAGAACCATAGGGCAAGCTCGACGGATATTGGGTCTAGTTGAATAGAGATCAATTGGAATGAAGTCAGGTTAGGTGATTTACAAACCGCCTCTACCGCCTCGGCTATCCAGAGAATGGTGGCGAAAACATCGGCTAGTATCGAGTTGCCTTCTTTGGCTCGTTTCCAAAACTCATCCCAGCCTAGCACTTGGATTGTATTTAAGCGGTATCTTACTTCCCGGAGTTTTTGCTTCTCAAGAACGCAAGGCAGCTCAATGAACGATAGGTCTACTGTCTTGAGCCCCACCTGATTGGCTTCATTTTCCCTTTCCTTGCTTCTCCCTTCCGGCTCTGCTCGCTCTTCAGACTCCTCTAGGATCGTCGAGAGAATCTGGTCCTCTTTGTGGCCACCATTTCTGTCCCCTGCAACAATAACATTCTTGAACACAGATATCAAAGTTGGGGTCGTCGCAAAGTTGCACCGTTCTATCGTGCTTTCCTGGAGTGTTTTCAACCAACCCTGTATGAGCACTGGGTCCTCAAGGAGGTGTGATAATCTCTGGTGAATGCTATATGTGCCTCCCACTTGGAGCTTTATATTCCCAAATAATCGCAACAGCTCTCCGTCAATCTGTGCGTCAATGGAAGGGTATATCGCAGACTGCTGTTCGGACTCTTCGTATCGGAAGGTAACCTTGGAAGAGTTCACCAAAGGAGAGGCCAAGGCAAGGTCTGAGTCGCCGTGGAACTCCTTGCTCACCAATCCAGTACCATGGAAGAGAGGTAGCTTATTAGTCGATGAATTATTCCAGGGCTCTGGACTTAATCGGAAGATCTCGGCAGCATCATCTTCGTCGTCGTCGTCAAGGAAGCTCAAGTCAAAGTTCGGGCTGAGGCTTAGGGATGAGACAGATCCATGATTCGAAATTCTATCATCGCCGCAACCCGCAGGGTCTGCCTCTCCCAAGGGACATGCAATAACGGAATTAGGTAATGAGATCCCATATCGCGCAACCAGTTTGTGGTCTGATGCTTTAGCATCGCCACTGGTTTCGTCTGGCCATTGGAAGAGAGAAGGAAGGATAATAACAAGCCAATACATCTCAACAAAGCTCAAGGCTCCCACAAGCGTCGTAAAGTTACCGAACATGAATGACTCATCGATCCTGGCGCTTTCACAGCTATTTTGTAGTGTATTAAGCTTGCTGTAGCACAAAGAAGCAATATTCTCGATAATAGTTGTTTTGCTGCCCACTTGACGGGCTGCATTATTTCGTTTTGCAGAAAGCAAGCTGGCATTAATAGAATTTTCCGCGGTTGGTCCTTCGTCTCTAATACTCGCTATGCTTTGTTCATACAAATCCTGTGAAAGTTTATCTTGAATCCCGACACTCAGGATTGTCCGAAATTCCTTGCATTTAATGAGATTTTTCGCCTCTTCCTTGGCGTCCACGTCGCCTTCGTAGAGCCTTGCCGCACATTGGAGTAAAGTGAGGATTAGCTTCTTGCTAATATCTTGTGGCGAAGTATTATTACTATCCGTGAGATCTATTATCAGATAGAGATCGGATTGGGCCGTATTGTTCTCAGCGAAAGGAATTATTCTATTGTGACTCTTCTCTAGATATGCATCTCGGAATAGTTGTGTAAAGGTGCGTCTCACGACACCTATGTCTTCAGGCCTTGACATTATTAAAGCGTGGTGGTGTAATATTGTTCCAAGTTGTGAGGTGCGTAGGAGTTGCTTTACTTCCTCTTTCTTTGAAGGTTATATTTGATAATTTATTTATTATTCTACTGCATAGGAGGGGCACAAATTACTACCAAGAACTTCAGGTAGAATGTCAGGGTCCGGATTTGAAGCTCGTAAAAATTCGTATAGAATAGGGGCCATTTTTGGAGATTTGCTAGAAGTGGCTGCTTGGGCGCTCGATCTATTATTATTAAAGAAACATCTAAGTTATATCTGGCCTTGCTGCAAACATGCCATTAAGATCGGCTGCCTGTCCAGTTTAGGCCCCCACAGGCATCTTAAAAAGGCACCATGGGCAATCCAAGTTCATGTCCATAAATCACCTGTTTTGGGAGCAGCCGATTATGACTCCCCTAACTCACATGGAGCTCCCAGTACTAATAACAATTTTACTGTTCCATTTAATGGCCAATTTTTACCAAATCCCGATTTCCTGCGACCACCAACAGTTTTCGATCCAACCACCCTCCCCTAACACACTTCAAAAATATTCTATCTATACAGTATACATAGATAGAAGCCAGAACATGCACCGAGAAAGGGATCTCTAGTCATGTTAAGGCAAGAAATAATCTATTTCTCAAAAGAATAGGACCTTGCCAACCAGGGCATCAAAGCTCAAGTAATAATAACTTGTTGGTCGGGAATCGATTTATTAAAGAAAGATGGAGAATATGACTAATATACATATAAAACAGAACAAAAGAGTACTGGAATAACCGAAGAGCGCTTTCAAGTAATCTTATATAACGTCCGTCCCTACGTCGCGAGAAACCCTCCGTACCGAGAAAAATGATAGGTACTTTGACTTCAAGAAAATGAAACTCTGTGTACACACCGAAATTTTCTATAGTTTTGTATAAATCATCTGCTATACCTATTTCTAAAGACTTGAGAGCTTTTATCTATTGAAAATTACGTCGCGTTATCGCCTTTGTGCCTGATTTATAAACAGTCTTCGTTTATAACACTATAGACCTACTTTACCACAGCTCTACTATCGAGCTCTTTTCACTCATAATACTTATAAAAGGGTTTTACTTGAGCATTAAAGCCTTGCTACTATACTAGAAATTGTTATCAGCCTTGTGGCTGTTGGTGGCGCACAAATTCATACAAAATCCGTCACACAAGTCAGTACCTCGAATTGACAATTTTAGTTAGTGCGAAACGACCCCGCACGTCCCATTTCACTTATTGCAAAGGCGTGTGGCTGTTCAGGGCTGTGGCTGAAGATTCTAGAAACCAAGTGGCAATTATCAACAACCATAAGCCACGTACTCCCTTTGAACCCTCTATGAAACAGAGATAAAAAGAAAAAGAGATATCAAATTAATACTATAATACAGGGTGTACAATATACTAGTTCTATACTACAAGCTTCGGCCCTTGTTTAAACTGAAGAAATGAAAGTCTCCCTGATGAATGTCCTAAAATAACAGTTTCATCCCAAATAGCTTTACACCTAGGTCGATAATCAGGAGGTAGCCAGAGAATATTCGCTTTACCATCTACTACCCAATGATTATATATACGTAAAGTAGGTAGCAGATTGCCGTTAGGTGAGAAGGCTACAGAGGTAACGGAGTTCGAGTGGCCCTCAAGCTTCTGTAGCGCCGCTCCTGTCGCGGCGTCCCAGAGCCGTACCGTTTGATCGTAAGACCCAGATACGACCTGCTTGCCGTCGGGTAAGAAGGCTACTGAGCTGACGGGCTTCGAGTGGCCCTCGAGCGTCTGTAGCGCCGCTCCTGTGGCGGCGTCCCAGAGCCGTACCGTCTGATCGTAAGACCCAGATACGACCTGCTTGCCGTCGGGTAAGAAGGCTACTGAGCTGACGGGCTTCGAGTGGCCCTCGAGCGTCTGTAGCGCCGCTCCTGTGGCGGCGTCCCAGAGCCGTACCGTCTGATCGTAAGACCCAGATACGACCTGCTTGCCGTCAGGTGAGAAGGCTATTGAGCTAACGGAGTCCGAGTGGCCCTCGATCATCTGCAGCTCTGCTCCTGTCGCGGCGTCCCAGAGCCGCACCGTCTGATCGTAAGACCCAGACACGACTTGCTTGCCGTCAGGTGAGAAGGCTATTGAGCTAACGGAGTCCGAGTGGCCCTCGATCATCTGTAGCTCTGCTCTAGTCGCGGCGTCCCAGAGCCGTACTGTGCGATCCCCTGAACCAGAGACGACCTGCTTGCCGTCCGGGGAGAAGGCTACGGAGTTGACTCTATACGAGTGGCCCTTGAGCGTCTGTAGCGCCGCTCCTATCACGGCGTCCCAGAGCCGTACCGTCTTGTCAGCAGACCCAGATACGACCTGCTTGCCGTCCGGTGAGAAGGTGACTGAGCGAACGTAGTCCGAGTGGCCCTCGAGCGTCTGTAGCGCGACTCCTGTCACGGCGTCCCAGAGCCGTACCGTCCGATCCCACGACCCAGATACGACCTGCTTGCCGTCAGGTGAGAAGGCTATTGAGTTAACCGAGTTCGAGTGGCCCTCGAGCTTCTGTAGCGCCGCTCCTGTCGCGGCGTCCCAGAGCCGTACCGTCTGATCGTAAGACCCAGACACGACCTGCTTGCCGTCGAGTGAGAAGGCTACTGAGTAAACGCAGTCCGAGTGGCCCTCGAGCATCTGCAGCGCCGCGCTAGTCGCGGCGTCCCAGAGCCGTACCGTCTTGTCCGCAGACCCAGATACGACCTGCTTGCCGTCCGGTGAGAAGGTGACTGAGCGAACGTAGTCCGAGTGGCCCTCGAGCGTCTGCAGCGCGACTCCTGTTACGGCGTCCCAGAGCCGTACCGTCCGATCCCACGACCCAGACACGACCTGCTTGCCGTTAGGTGAGAAGGCTACAGAGGTAACCGAGTTCGAGTGGCCCTCGAGCTTCTGTAGCGCCGCTCCTGTCGCGGCGTTCCAGAGCCGTACCGTCTTGTCCGCAGACCCAGATACGACCTGCTTGCCGTCAGGGGAGAAGGCTACTGAGTTAACGGAGTCCGAGTGGCCCTCGAGCGTCTGCAGCGCCGTACTCCAATGCGCTTGTACTCTAGGCTTTCTTTGGATCCAAGGGGGGATATGATTTTCAAACGTTTCTCGAACAATACTCTTCTCTGGGGCGAAGATAAGGGCTGAACAATATGATTGAAGGGGCGCCTGTTCAATAACTGATCGGTTGTAGACAGCAAACCGCCTCGCATCATGTATAAACGCATGTAAATCGGGACTTTTATCGGCCTTGTTGGATTAGTAGAATTATCTTTAGTAACACCCTTAAAAAACGTAGCATAACTTACTTGAAGCCAGATCTCGAGCTTTATAATCATAACGATGCCATCTGATAGGCTTTGCATTAGGCTGAGCGCCTCAAGCCAGTAAATATAACTCGTTCTTAAAAATTGACAGACTGTGCCACCGTCTTGGAGGTCATTAGTAGTGTCCTCTCTATCACAGTCAAGTAGATGGTCAACCCAATAGAGACAGGAGTATTGTACTGCGGCTAGTGGATCTAGAACAGGCGGCTCGACTTTCTCAATTGGGAATCCAGGGGCGTGCAACCCGTATATGTCGCGTCGAAGCGTTCTAGATATAACCTCGCGCGATCTCGAGAACATCCTATAGTTCACCTCTGCCTTGCCAGAGGGAAATACTCTGTGAAATGCCTTTCCGAACAAGAAGTCCTTTGCCGATTGATGGATAAAATAGGTGCGATTCTCTCGTACAGTGAGGAAAGAGCCACATTTGTTGACAATCTTCATAACTCTATCGAGATTGGTGGAGATTTGCTTAGGCAGATCAGAGAGGGCTCCTACCTCGAGGAGGTAGAGTGGGCGGTATGCAAGAGTTATGGTAGAGAGGACGAGACGGCAGAACTCAGGATCATTGCGCTGTAGCTGTTCAACTTGCCGTAACATCCGATCGTAGAGCGGCTCTAACTCAGGCGGCATTCCCTGAAGCATATCGAGCACATCCCAGCTCTCTACAGGCTCGAGCTCCTTTAAAACAAGAGCCGCCCAGAGAAAAGTCCCACTAGCCTTGGCGTATATTTGGTCTCGAACTGTCTCCTTTAGCGCGCTGTCGTCCGTTATAAGTGGAAGTTTGGACACTTTAAAATCGATAAACATCTCGATAGCACGAGAAACATGCTCTTTGTTAAGCTCAAGGCTAAGCCTCATCTGTACATCGTCAAGTCTCAGCCGCGCCTCGATATCGGGTTTGTTGCGGCTCGACACAATCCATTTGACGCGAGGGGATATGGAGGCAGTTCGAATAACCAGATTTAAAAGCTGGGAAAGGTCTGTTTCGCATTCGTCAAGCGCATCGACGATCAAGTAGGTGCTCTTTAAGCTTGGGTCTTGCAGAATGCTTGTGAAGATTTCAGACAACGCAACCCATGCATTTGTATCTTCAAAGAGGGCCTTGCCAGCGTGGTCGTACTTTTTCCGCACGTGCGAGACAAGCAGTGGTTGCTGGTCAATGAGCAAGTAGATAAGGCCGCGGAGCACGGCTGCCGCATTATTAATGCGCGAATCGGTGGCCTGGCAGAAGAAGTACGACAGCAGGGTGGTTGCCTCCTTGTCTCTCAGCCTTGTTAAGGGGCTTATTTCATCGAGAATGCCGCAAATCAGCATCGTCTTGCCTTTGCCGGGGTCGCCCTTGATCCAGAGCAGCCGGCTCTGTTTGTCGTCGCGCCATTTTTGGAAGTCGGGATGCTCGAGGATCCACTGGTAGGAGTCTCGCAGCAGGCCACCCTTCGTGTCTTCGATCCGCATCTTGTCCTCGCGGGGATCGGTTATTCGTAGGTCTTGTATGCAGCTTCGAGTTTGAGGGTCGGGTGGGTTCTGCTCGGCTTCTTATGAAGAGCGATTAGCAGCTGGCTACAGATAAAATATTTTGTAGTATGCTCACCTGTTTGCGAGTTCTGGATCTCTTTTCTAAGTCGCCTGAACGCGTGCTCTTTCCCTTCCCCATAGATGAGAGGCAAATGAATACCGAATAGACCTAGCAGGGAGTATGCCATGTCTTCTTGGCGGTGAGTCTCACGATTTGCTGCCCAGGACATTCGCTCATCAACGCTAAAGTTCGGCATTGGGGCCCCTTGGAGTGCACTGGCTGGAATGCCTGTTATCTCGCAGATGTTCTGGTGTAGAGAGACTTTGTTGCCTAATAGCTCCCCCTCTTTAGAGAAGAAGTCGACTGATGCCGGCGCAATAAGCTCTTGCAGAGTCCAGCCTCGTCTAAACCATTCGCTCTTCCGAAATGTCCATTTCCAGGCTCCATTTGATCCGTCGGCCGAATCGGTTTGAGGCCACGAAACATCTGGCAGATATACGTAGCACTTGGTCGCATCCCGGTACCAGCGAAACATCGAGTTGATGGCTTCCTGAAGCTCGACGGCATTGGATTTATCGATACAGCAGGTGTCTACCCAAAAGTATTGCAAGCCGTCACGCCTCGCCTGTTCTCCGCAGAACTGTATCTTGTTATAACCAGCCATCTTCTTATAGTTGCCATTCTTCAGATCTGCCAAAGTAACCTCCTCTTTTCCCCATCTGTGCGAAAGTATGGCATAGTTCCTGGGTATATCGCCTTCGAAGAACTCGGTCAGGTTGAATCCGCTATCGGTGTTGTAGTGTAGCAGACGCATTTTTCGACTAGGTTCGAGGATCGTAAAGGGGAGGATTCCCGGTAGTAGTTGGGCCGTCAAGTTGGCACAGATGCGAAGGTAAAGACTTCATGTCGGGTTGAGGCTGGCACACTCAGCTGGGCGGCAGCCTCGCGGCAATTCCCTCGTCGTACCGCAGCGCGCAAGACCGGTCCAGTCGCACAGGCTCGCCGCAGGAATGATGGAACTCATAGGTGGCACAGATATTCAAGGTCAATCTCGATTGATCATAATATATTATTATTGCTGAAGGAAGCTAAAGAAATCGGGAACCTAAGTTAGCAGAGGGACTGGGGGGTGAAGCGTTTTTTTTTTTGAAGAATTTTATGACAGTCACGTGCCTGGTTCTGCTCCCTGCCCGCTGCCATTCCACCATCCATCCCATCCATACCTTACCATCTCTGGCACCACCACGTCATGAACGACCGTGCCAGTGAAGTCCTTGCAGGGGGCTTTCTACCGGGTGAGTCTCGAACATACAATGCTAGATCCAAACGCAGTGGAGTCCCTCTCTCCACCCTCCATCATCGTGCGCAAGGGCGACGCTCGAAAGAACAGAAGGCCCAGAGCCAACAATACCTCACTCCACCCGAAGAGAAAGCTCTCGAAGTATATCTAAAACGAATATCCGACCTCGGAAACCCCGTGCGGATCAAGTTCGTACCTTTCCTAGCCTTTGTCATCGCCCGGCAACGTTCGACGACTGAGAAACCGATCAACCCTCCCGGGAAGAATTGGGCTCAGGGCTTTGTGAGGCGTCACCCGGTACTCAGATCACGAAGAGTGAGGGCGATAGACTGGAAACGTCACGAGAACAATATATATGACAAGATTATACATTGGTTTGATGTGATCGGAAAGGTATTGCGGGATCCGGCTGTCCTACCAGAGAATGTCTATAACATGGACGAGACGGGAGTCATGCTGTGCATGCTCGGCTCTGTCAAAGTCATAATCAGTAAGGATGATCCACGAGACTACAGAGGCGCCGGTGTCAAGCGTACGATGGTGACTGCTATTGAGTGTATAAGTGCAGACGGTAGGTCTTTGTTGCCAATGATTATCTGGCCAGCTGTCACCCATCGAAGTAACTGGACTACATTTCCTACCCCTGGATGGCATTATGCTTGCTCCGAATCTGGATATACCGACTCTAAGATCAGCTTTGAATGGCTCAAGCGTGTGTTTGACCTACAGACAAAAGAACGTGCTAACCAGAAACCACGCGTGTTGATTTGTGACGGCTTTGGAACCCACGAGACGCTAGAAATCCTGGAGTTTTGTTTGGAAAACAACATCATCCTCTGTCGTCTACCTTCTCACACTTCACACAAGCTCCAGCCGTGTGATGTCGGACCCTTTGCACCTTTGAAGGCAGCGTATCGTGAACGGGTTGAACGACTGTTTCAAGAAGGGACTAATACCGTTGGCAAGGAACATTTCACCTCCTTGTATAGCTTTGCGAGAGAGAAGGCGTTTACGAAGAGAAATATCACATCTGCATGGGCTGCATGTGGTTTGTTTCCAGATAACCCAGACAGAGTACTCAGAAATACACCGAAGCCCCCTACTCCATCGACCGGTACCGAAATCGATGCAATAAGAGCGGCTGCTTATCCTCAAGATGAAGCTGTACAAACACCTGTGACGCCTGTGACGCCTGTGTCAGCGGAGGGTCTCATGTCGCTATACAACCAGATCAAACAGGATACTCAAACACTTGATGCGACGAGTACACAGCACCTACAAAAGCGTGTACAGAAGCTTGTAAATGCTGCTCAAGTATCGTTTGCCGAATGTGCTCTCCTTAACAATCGAAACCAGTCCTTGACCGAGGCCAATAATGAAGCCAAAGTTCGCCGATCAACTAAGCCAGTGGTACTAGGCAAGGGGAAGGCAAAGGTAATGAGTTTTGAGGACCTCGAGGTGGCGCGAGCAGCTCGTGTTACGAAAGACGCTGTCAAAAGCAAGGGAAAACGCGGGCGGAAGCGTAAGAACACAGAACCAGAGACAAGTGAGGCAGAGCTGGAGTCAGAAGTAGAAGTGGAAGTAGTGAGTAGGACGAAGAAGGTGAAAACTGGCAAGGGCGCCCATATCCGCCGGCGTAGAAGTACTGCGGTAGAGGCAGGCAAGCCCGAAGCAGAGCCAGAACCACAGCCAGAACTACAGCCAGAGCCACAACTGGAGCCCGCGCCTTGGAGGGCACCAGTGGCGCGGATGTATTGAGCGGGCGCTTGTTAATTTATCGTGTCTCATTTCTGCTATCACCTAATGTAATGATCCTCCAATCGAGAAACTAAGATATCATGTCTCCACACTTCATCAAAGCTTCCTTGTTCCGACTGTGACACCATTCTATTCTGGTCTTGGATTTTGCAGGTTCGATTCTTCATCTTCCCACTCGGCCTGTTCTCTACTTTCGCCAGACCGTGTCGGTCTGTTCGGATGTGTGCGCGCGCGTGCATGTCCCCGTAAATGCACGATGGGCACAGCCGTCCCAAGAAGATGCAGCCAGGAATTGGATTCCGTAGAGCCAATTGCTTCTAATATTTGGGGCAGTCATCCTCTCAGATCCATACCCGTCGACGGCCGCTGCAGAGGTCTGCGAACTACATGCAGACGTCGCTGGTCGTGAGGTGACTTGATCGGAGAGAGTGCTCAGGTTGGAAGGGAGGTAGGTAGGTCAACAACGTTCGCGACGTTGCATGCCTCTGTTGTCAGCATCTGGGTCAGCTTGATGAAGCTGTGACAGTAGAGATTGGTGTTCTGCAAAGAAATTACATTGAGATCTTACTGGGAAGGGCTGTGTAAACAAGGAATTCCGTTAGATGCTACTGCTGGCCTGGTATTGTTGCTGACAAGGAAGGCCTCAATCTTCCCAGTTGCTTCTATAAGCGGGATTACGGCGGAGTTAGCAAAGCTTGGCGAGAGGTGTGGGGTCAGACCCTTCTAGCCGAGAATCGTTAGTTCCGTCGATCAGAAGTACCGAACCGCGTGGCGGGCCTGCAGTTGTTTGCGCGCCACAGCAGCCACAAAGCTTATCAGGATCTCGGACAAAAAAATAAGGATCTCAAGTTCAGCTGAGAACTTATAGGGTATATAAGAAATACTAAGAGCTCGCCAGTGTAGCTGTGGGAAGGATTTCTAACAAAACTTGAAAAGAGACTTCTTAAGAATCAGGCAAAATGGCGACGATGCATATCTGAATTTTCTCTGGAAGGAGTCAAATTACTAGTTGGTACTTGGGTAACACCGCTAACCCCTTGTTTTCATTGATTTGTAACATGGTGTGGAGATCGAGATGCTTAAAGTCGAAGTACCTCGTATTTTTCTCGGCACGTAGGGTTTCTCGGCACGTAGGGAGGGACGTTATAATATAACTTCAATTTGAGCTCTTTCCTGCCATATAGGCAGACCTTAATGAAATCCTCATGCATATTAGCCTCATTAACCTAACTATTCTTATCTTCTGGATATCCTTTTCACTTGATCCGGTATTGGGTAATTATCTCTCTGTACCTCCCTCGACTAATTGGGATAACTTGATTATCTAGAACTTGCTTAACTTCGAACTGGCTATCTTCGAGATTCATAGCCGATGGCCTAGTTTCCTGGATAGCTTATTCGCTAAGCTGCTGATATTCTGGGTCTTGATGAGTCTGTATATATCTAACAGCCAGGAACCCACCAAGTTTCTGGCATGCCGTACCATGAAACCATGGCACCATTCCGTCCTCCTATCGGAACAAGTTCCAGAAGCACGTAATTCTGCAAATCTGAAGATGTCTTCCTTGTCGCCGGTAATAACATAAAAAATATGCTTGGAAGGGGCTTATGTGCAATTTCTTTTAGACTGGTTTTAGTCATATGTTTTGGATCGATAGCGCGAACCGCGAAACCGTCGTCCTTCCAGTGTATATAAGCCGAGTGTAGGACGCTGTCTTGCTCTGAGATCAGTTTTAGTGGCCGTGAGACGACAGGATCACCGGGAGGACCCCAAGGGTGTTGGATGTTTAATATAATCCTGTTCTCTAAAAAGGCTATCTCGGATTCTTCTTTCGGCCCATGGTCATTATATTTATATTCTGAGTAGTCGATCCACGTCCATGGCCTTAGAGACTGGCTCAAGAGCTCACGATTAAAATCATGGCTTTCTCTCTGGTACCCGCAATGAAGAATTAAGTATGCCGGTTCGCATTTACTAATATCTTCGGCCTCATAAAGTCGAAGGAGGTCACAGCCAATTAGTATAATATTAATACCCTTTGCGTAAACGAATGAAAGCCAAAGATTATCTTTAAATATCGCATTCCAAATTTTGGCGTGTTTATCTTTATTTGGAAGGGCTAAAGCCATCTTCTGTAATGGCTTGTTTAAAAAGGCAAGACCCTTTATTTAGAAGGGATATAATAAATATAAAGCGAGATAGTATTAGTTTAGGTTAAGGGATGTCAACTAATATATTATTGCAATAAGCCAACTCAGAACTATAGATGCCAAAACCGGTACTATTTCTCTTAACTGACTACTTAAGGCACGTTTAGGGGATAGGTTTTGTTCTGTCTAGTCCTTTGTATTTAATTCTGGTAATAAGCCACTTATAGCTTATATATAAAAGCACGTACTCGATAATTGGCTTTATTAATCGGATTTTATCTAATAGCATATATCGAGAAGTGGCTTAGAAATCGAAATATGATGCAGAGGAGGGCTTTCGGGAGCTTATATTCGTGGCTTGCAGATCCGATGCGGATCGTGACTTGAGGACCGGAATAGAGTGGGAAAACCCTAATAGTATTAGCTGGGAACAGGTAATAGATATTTGACACCACTAACGACGTTACAAAATCTTCAAAAGCCGCATCAAGCAGTCTCCCCTGGGCATTTGGGCTCGCTATATCAAAGTGCAAGTCTGTCGTCCGAGGCGACCAAAAGGGCACAGTGGTCCTTGCGCAAGTTCAGCTCGCGAGCAGCTTGTGGGGAAGGGAATACATATTTGTAACTGTTTTAAGTAATTTAATAATCTGTAGCGCATCTACCTATACAGATACCGTGAAATCACAGACCGCGCAGGCCCCTAGATTGTGGCACCTTCATAACTTTCATCGCTGATGTGTGTCCAACTGTCTTCATCCTCCCCTCTGACGCCCTGTACGGTCATCGGAGAGATCAAGCGATCTGCAGCCTCATCCGTCAGTGAGATGGTGTCGAGCACTTCCTGGGTCAGCCGAACCACGTCGGCGGGGGTTGTGGCAGTGGCTGCGTCTGCGCCCATCCTGGGATATCAGCTTCAGAGCAGACATTGTGGCCAACATGATACCGGCGGCCTGCACAAACTTCAGATCATGAGCCGAAAGCGGCTCAAGCAGACGCATATGGGTCATACGAAACTGGCAAATCAAAGTCGGTTATAACAACCCCTGGCATTGCGTTCATCTTTGAGAGAATTCACACAGGCCTAGCTACGTCTGCAGTGCCACCAGATACGTGGGTGTGCGATTCAAGTACTATAGTCTACTATAAGGGCCGGAAATGGACCTTAATTCAGAAACTGCTTCCGTGGGTCGGTGCCGCTTCCGGATTGGTGGTGCTCTCCTAATTTTTAGTCCCCTGCCCAGATGTACTCTGGTGATCAGAACAGAGCCAATTCTTGCTTAGCGTGTCTGTCGGGATATAAATATACATAGGAAGCAAGGACAGACCCACAATAACCAAGAGATATGGCATCTAACAAAGCGGAACTGGTTCCTCACGAGATTCAGAAGATTCCTCCAGAGATCTACTTGCACATTCAATCCTTTCTCCCTCAAATTGCCACATATTTGATACCCAACTCGTTTAGATGGCAACATACGGCAAAAGAGAAGCACAGTGCCGCGTGGGGTGGCATTTTTAAGGATGAGGTTTGGCTTTCTGCTATAACAGAAATGGGCTTCAATCCTGTTTTAATAGGCAGCGATCTGGATCGATATATTCACTCGAGAGTCTATCAGAGGAACAAACCAACCTATCTGTCCCTTGTGCTTGGACAAGATAGAGATGGCGGAATTAAACTCGATCTCACTCAACTTCAGGATATATTCTTCCAATCCTGTCAAAAATACATACCGCTAACTCAAGGAGGAGGGTATTTCTTTCCAAAGACTGGACTTACTCTCAGCGTTAACGACGCTATACATGAGCTTCACTTCACTTATATACCCGAGCCAAGGAAACTTTTATCTCGGGGGCTGGGATACTCCTCCTCCTATCTCTACTGGAATGATAATGAGTTCATGGTTCGAAAAATTGGTCCAGATAAAATAATTGGAGTTCGGAAGGCCTTGAGGAAGAGTGTATCAAAAGTCATGGGCCTGGAATGGGAGCATCTTCCAAGTAAAATACCAAGGCAACACTATTTTGCAAAGAATGGAGCTACAATGGACTTGCAGGAAATTTGGGGGGATAGTGGATTAACTGGGTGGACTTTAGGGGAGTAATTTCGAAACAGGCAATATATTCGATAAGTTCCGTTGCTGAATGTTGTTTCTTTTGTCTCTATCAGATAGCAATTAGCGCAAAATTTCACGCAAAGACGTTACTGGAACCAAAAATAAGGCTAGCCTTGATACGACTTATCTGACAAGAAGTGGCGCGGGGACCAGTGTTTCCTGGTCCGTGACTCTCCTCGTGATTTTCGCTTTGCACGGCTCCCCCGCGTCGGGAAGCATCCAGTTAATTGAATTATGTGAGACTCGGACGAAATTGGCTCGAATTGTAATGGTTGATTAAGGTTTGAGAGTCCATGACTTTCTGTGGGAGTAGTGGAAGGAGGTTTGGCATTCCGATCGAGAAAGATGTTTGGAGATTTTTTTGGTGGTTTTGGTCATGCCACATAATTAGCAAATAGAGGGGGCTTCTCATGGAAGCCCGTAGAAGCCCGTAGAAACTCCGAGGAAGTGGCCCCTCCTTGTAGAATCTCAAAGTTTAGTACAGGAATAGGCCGCGTAGACGTTGAGAGCAAGGGCGTCCTTCTTCAAAATCTCTCCCAACTTCTCAGGGTCATAGCTGCCTGCAACACAATCGATACAGGCCTCGATAGTTGATTTTAGAAACCTACTCCATTCTTTTATACGGTCCTTTCCATCCCCAAATCCTAAACCCTGTATTCCGAAAAGACTGAGAGCAACCCTCAATTTTTTCCCATCATACTCGAATACTGCTATATATGTACCACCACCAGTTGCGTTAACATAAGTATGAATATCGAAAACAGGCGACTTTGCAGTGAAGTGGAACGGCTTAACGCTGGTTGGGAGTTGATCTTTAATCGACAAGAAATAATTCTTGAGGTCGTGTATAGTGTCAAATTGCAGACCTGCCTCAAGAGATGAATCAACCGTAATTGTTGTAGTGGTAGCTATTCTTAACAAATTTGTTAGATACAAAGATTATAGGCCACAAAGAGGGTTTTATACCTGTGTTGAGAGCGGGCTGTGTTAAGAGCGGGCTGTGTTGATAGCAGTTGAGTCTCTAAAGCCCAGATTCATCAACACTATACGGAGTATAATAGACCTAGCCACCAGGCTAAAAGTAGAAAACGCAAAGACAAACAAGGGAGTGACTAACGTCTAATAAAATGGTACCGCGATAGAACCAGCGATGGCGACGCTGGCAGACGATAGCAGACACTCGCAGACGTTCGCAGACGCTGGCCACTAGTAGGCGTTGGGGACGTTGGTAGGACGATTGTAAACGCTCGCAGATGGTAGTAGATGTTGGTAGGACGATGGCAGACAGCGCGCAAAATCTTGAGGTTAGATTTGTGTGCTGTAGCGGAGAACCCCACAAGGAGTAGCGCCGGCTTGCACGAATAGTTCCCCAAGTATCCCATCTCGAGATCAACTCGCTGTTTCGAGGTGCTGTTGGAAAAGAAAACCGAATGAAAGAAAGGGAGGGAGGGAGGAAGGGGTGGAGGGAGAGATGAAGCCCTAAGAGGGAACTTGAAAGGCCTCACACAAAGGCGGCCGCTAGAGCATCACGTGATGGTGCTTTTAAGACACGGTGGCGAGATCGTATTTCCGCCACCCCCAACTCTACGGCCCCCAACCGTCAACAGCCGCCGAGAGTTGCTGCAAAGGTCAGCAATAGGCTCTGCTGGACGGCGCGCACGCTGCACGAGGCTTCTGTGGCTATTAGCTTGGTCTCGAACCCTTCTTTTAGTAAAGTTTGGAATCAAAATATGCTCCACTGACTCTGGCGGGATTGGAAAAAGAGGAAGGAAGGATACTGCAGGAGGATTGATGGGGCAGGATGGTGGGGTAAGCCGCCAATTCTGCCTCTGCAGCGATACCCCTTTGAAGTACTATCCCCCCCCTGGTTTAAAGGTTACGTAGTAGCCCCAAAGAATTCCCCTGATTTGCTTTCGAGAAGATCACCCTTGTTTGCCACTGCTGCCCTTTAAACCGGGGGGGGGATAGTACAACCAGGCAGGGGTGCACAGCCACAAGTGTCAGGAAATGGACCCCGCTTAAAATAATTAACTAAAAAACTAGCGACACCCAATTCGCCTTCTACTGTACATCAGATCAAAGCGAGTGACGATTTTGGTTGGTGCGAAACAACCCCGCAATATTTACGTTGTAATTTCAATTATAAAACCTTAGGCACAAAGGCCAACAGTGGCTGGGAGGTACTGTGGTGCCTGATGCCCCACATCCAGCTTAATAATGGCCTGCGAGACAAGATGTGCACGTGAGTCACGATCCCTCCTCTGCGCTACGATCGCCGCATTGCGACCTTCCCCTGATCTCCCGTGAACCCGCATCATCAAAACCGCTTTCCACATCCCCAGTATCCCGATTCGAGCTTTTCATAAGCTCTCTCGAAAGGTCTTTCGAAGCAGGTGTCTCAAAACAACATTGCCGCCTTCTTGGTTGAACGTGTTGCGAAATATCATGCCTGTGTCCTTCGTGTAGGCTCGCAGCTCTGCCACTTCGTCCCCACCCAATCAAATTAACGATATTGACGTGTGTCCTCGTACAGCCAATGATCCGCGTCAGCATTAAATCTACAAAACTTCGTTACACAATCTCCTACCTCCTCGCACGGAATCGGAAGAGGCTCGATACCAATTTCCCACCATCATTCTCCCCAACGGCCCTCTCAGATCGCATTCACCCACAGATACAGCGATTGTTTTGAGGTAGCTTGACCACCATCCAGAAACCTTCGCATCGTCCCTGCCGCGTCCCATGCTTTACCACCCTGGGTTGCTCGAATCGAGATACGTTAGGTTATCCGTCACGGTGCCCCAATTCTTCCTCCGTGCCCATCTCGATCACGAAATTGAAGCCTTAGTACCATGGTTAGTTCAGAGCCATCGAATTCTTCATCATGCCAGAAAGGACGGTAGCCAAGCGAACGCGCTTGGAGGATGATGCAGTATCGCTCACGTCGATCCAGAGCGAGGAGTACGATTCGTCTCAAGATTTTAACGTCGATGACGTTCTAGCCGAGAAGACTGAGCGTGGCAGGAAAATGTTCTTGCTATCTTGGACAGGCTATCCAGAAGAGAAGTCAACATGGGCACCGAGAAAGAATATTAGCGCTGAGATATTGGAGAGTTGGAAGGAAAAGAAGAAGCGACAAGAGAAAAATATCGAGAAGCCTTTTGATATAGTTGGGTTCGAAGCTAGATTGAAGAGACTAGCTGCAGAAAAGGAAGACCGCCACAGACGCCGCAAGGCAAAGAGGAGACGATTGGGAATGCAGGTTTCAGAATCTGAGAGTCAAGAGCGGCCATTCGCTTGCCGCCATCCCGGCTGTAGGAAGGTATTTAAACGGAGACCCGACCTAAGATCTCATCAAAAGGCACATTCTAAAGAGCGACCATTCACTTGTCGCAAGCCAGGCGGGGGGAAGAAATTTAAACGGAGACCCGACCTAAGATCTCATCAAAAGGCACATTCTAAAGAGCGACCATTCACTTGTCTTCATCCCGGCTGTGGGAAGCCATTTAAACGGAGAACCGACCTAACACAACATGGACGTGTACATTCTGAAGAGACACCATTTCCTTGTCCCAGTTGTCCGAAGAAATTCAAGTCGTCCACCGCTCTGGCTTCGCATCGTAAAGAGCGACCATTCACTTGTCCTCACGACCGCTGTGGGAAGACTTATATGCGGTTTGGACAACTAACGATACATATACGTACACATACTAGAGAGACACCATTTCCTTGTCCCAGTTGTCCGAAGAAATTCAAGTCGTCCACCGCTCTGGCTTCGCATCGAATTTCGCATTCTAAAAAGCAACGCTGGGCTTGTCCTCACGATGGCTGTGGGAAGACTTATATGCGGTCTGGACCACTAACGATACATATACGTACACATACTGGAGAGACACCATATCCTTGTCGCTATTGTCCGAAGAAATTTAAAGGGTCAGGCGCCCAGAAGAACCATGAACGTGTACACTCTAAGAAGCGACCATATGCTTGTCCAAAGATCCGCGGACAACACCCGGCGTACAACTGCCTCCACTGTGCAATGGCATTCGCTTCGTCCGATGAGTTAAAGGACCATGATTGTTCCGGATCAAAAGATTATATTTGTTTCGACTGCGGAGCGGCATTTCCTAATTCTCGCCCACTATCGACGCACCAGCGTCGTCATACAAGAGGCAAGTCACAACAGAAGCAGCCAACCACCTCAGGCAGAATGCGGCGAGGTGAATGGTACCGAAAGCTCGAGGAGTATCTGGGAGGATGGGAAGGAAGGTGTGCATTCTGTTCCATGCACAACTTAAGGGGTACCGGCCATTCTATGAATGGGTGCTTGGAGGAGGGAATAGAAAGGGTACGGGACAGGTGTACACGTTTACAAAGGGAATTGCCGAAGAAGGGCTATCAAGGATGTCATCTTTGTTACCTGCCACTGAGAATCTGTGATCATTGGGAATTTGGGGGAGATGAGACAGGGTGGAGAGAGAGCGAGATAGAGGTCTGTCAATTTTCAGGACTCGTCAACCCCGTGATTGCGACTCTTTTAGAGCAGAATGAGGCGGGAAGCATTAGCACTTTATTTGATCTGGTGGATCTAAGGGACGACTTAAACCAGACAAGCGAAGCCATATATGGATGGTTAAGACGACGGTGGGGAGAGACTGAAGCGAGTTGGAATATCCAGCTCTTTTTCAGAATCTCAGCTTGTCTTAACGTTAAGAAAACGGCAGACACAACTACAACGCTACCAAACCCTGATAATACTCTATCTGGCGAAGATGTCATAGATCCTTGGCTTTTGGCCTTGGAAGATGACAATAGAGGTAAGAGCAAGGAGATATCAGCGCACAACGCGGCCTTTAACCTGCTATAGGCATTCGAAACCAATCCCGAAGACCCTATGCTGAGGAATCTAGCTCTAGCAGAACTCGAGGACCTTCACATGAAGCTGTGCTATCGTCTGAGGCACAGCAACCAGTCTGCCAACAATCAAATCATCTGAATACTGTTGTGAGGGACGGAAAAGCTATGGTGAAGAGAAGGGCGGGGAAGAGACCTGCATACGAGCCTCTGTGGGATTTATCCGGAGAAGTTCCGATGAACCACGCGGCTAGGGAAGTTGTACGACTGAGAACTCTGACCGCCGAAGATGAAGAGGAAGATGAGGGAGGAGACATTCGGCCCGTAAAGCGTCGGAAGTCGAATATGAGGTGAAGGTATTTTTGGATAATGGTTTTGGGGTTTGGGGACAGGTTAATAGTCATAATAGAGCAGGGAAGAACAGCTATAGTAGCTTTTAACGCTCTCAACAGGACGATCGACAGCATAGCCAAAGTATAGTATTTTCTAATTGCAAGTCAAGGCCTTGTAGATAAATAGCTAAAGAACAATAGCAAACAGATTATATCTTTATATATTTATGTGGTAGAGATTTAAGACCCTTAAACTATAAATATTTTTCGGCACACTGGTTTTTTCGGCACGGCAGGATAGACGTTATATATGTTTTGCTTCATGTTTTACTTCAGAGGCGGAGAAGTTTCTCAAAGGCCGGCTGGGGACAAAAAACCGCTCTCGGCTATAACTGCTCTCGAATGATGCGCCCGCTGCTTTTAAGACAAGCATCGCCGCTTCTACGCCCCACTATGGCTGAAGAGGTCCGCAGGCCTTTGAAGTCTGCACTTGGTGGCTACAATAATCCTTCGATGTAGCTAGCGTCAGACAAAGCTGACCCTTTTTTTGTGTATATTTAAAAGAAATTATTATAAATTTACTAGACTTATTTCCCTAAATTATCCTCGAGTCTTAATGGGGCGAGAACGTTATTAAACATAGAAAAGTATACTTCAAATTAGTATAATATACAAAAAAAGTAATAATTAAAAGTATAATTAATCAACTTCTACAAAAGTTATTTGGAAGAAAACACAAAGGTGAGAATTAGACATAGTTAAAAATGAGAGTAAGGCGTTATAAATAAAATTGTACTATTTTGTGCTGAGATATTTATAATTTAGTAGCGAGGGTCGAAAATGATAGGGATTCTCGCCTCGCAGGGATATCGGTTAAAATATTGACTATATAAATTAAGGCTCTTTGATAGCACCCGAACAACTGGTGCAACGATGAATAAAGCAGGAGCAGGGCACTCTGGGGGTTCATGCCAAGTAGCTTTCTCCTATGACAAAGGAGAAACTTGGGTGGCCGTGCATAGTTGGGAAGGGAATTGTCCTCGTATAGCTACTCCTGGCCAAGTGACCAATGTCTACAGTGAGGATCAGAATTATACATTCATGATCCCGGAGGACTTTCCAACCGGTCATAAAGTCATATTTGCTTGGTAGGCGCCTGTTGCGTTGGGCTTGCAGAGATTTTCGGGTCCAAATCCTAATGGCTGTGGCTCAGACAACATGACCATTTTAGAGGCCCTTAAACGCTCCGGTTAAAAGTGAGTGGAAGTGTCAGTTGGGGATCAGGCTCCCCCTTGATCCATAAGCCTTAAGTTTCAGCAAATTCATCTCCTTTAGCAACTTTTAATACAATCGTTTACATCCTGGAATTCACAGGGCTAGCTTATGATTTGTTGTGCCCCAAATATGATCGTTGCACAGATATGATTACTGATACCACGAACATGATTACTGACACCCCTTTGCAATATGATTGCCACTTGGCGAGGTTGATGCGTGATACAATTTTACAAACACAACGTAATTTCGAAAATCTAACACTATTCTACCACCTCAGTATTCATTCATTGCCACATCACCAACCCTTTTGCCACAACACTAACCATTCTGCCTCTCCTGTCACTCAATGCCACTGCTAGGCTAAAAGGAGCTCGATTCCCTGGATTTCCTTTATTAGATCATTAGAGCTTTTCATGCCAATAACTACTTATAATTAGAAGAAAGGTTCTCGCAGCGGGGCTTCTTAATTTAAGGTTAGATTCCCCGAGAACTACGGCAGCCAGACTAGGCTGCAAAATTGACAGCGTGCGAGTGCCAGTTGTGGATCTAGCTACTTAGATAATAAGATTATATAAATCCCTGCTATTTGTTATTCAGAAGTTAAGAAGTTTAAAGTAAAGCGGCAGAAATGTTTTGTGGACGCATCGGATTCTGGTCGAAGTGGAAGGTTTCAACGCTAGAAGAATTTGTAACCTTAGGGCGGAGAAGGAGGAGGTCCGGCGCACCAACACCGCCAGAGTGGCCTGAATCATTGGTTACTCCAGAAAGAGAGAAGGTCATGGAGCCAGGTGTTGAGACACGATTTCACACCTTTTAATTTAGATAATTCTATCCTACCGACTCTAATCTACCTATCTAAAATGCAGGATTCAAAGAAAACTGAATACTATCGCTGCCCAAAAGAACACATGAGACCAAGTGATAGCAAGCCGTATACCCGGCCCAGACACAAGGGTTGGGCTAGGGCTGGAAGTATTTGGCTCCGATAAACTTTGAGTAGCCGTTCCAGGCATTATTTGGGAAGAACCTGTAGCCGTTGGGAATAGGTAGTGACTTAGAGCTGTATCGTTAATCATCTGCGTTCGGCTGGTCCCAAATACTGGTGGTGTGTTGAACAGAGTAGAAGAGGACAATGGTGTCCCGGCTCCCACCAGGAAAGCCGTACTCTGTGCAGTTGCCCTCGAGTTCGGGGTTGCAGTGGCCGTACCAGAAGCCGGATCGCTTGTTAACAGAATAATACCAGAGCCCACTTGACCACCATATTGAATCTCCACGGTTGCTTCTGCTTGTTCAAAAGTACTGCTCTCAGCTCTACCAGACTGAGCGAAGCCGTAACCAAATAAAATAGTGATTACAAGTACGATACGATTCATAGTTTTCTCGGAGCCCGACTTGCCAGGCCTAAACTTTGAAACAAACATATCTTTCTTATAAAGAACCGGAACTGGCGTAAAAGAAACAGCTGAGAACGGCTTGTTGAAGCCACAACTGGCTTGGTAAGGTATTTATAAAGACTCAACTTTTGCTTCCTAAACCCCCATTTCACTTCATCCTGGAGATATTCCCTTCTCCGCCTCCCTCACAAGATCTTGAACGAGCAACATTCATCCTCCAAGATGGTGGCACAACAAGCACCCAGGACCAATCGAGTGGTAAATAAGGAAAAGGAAGCAAAGAAAGCGCTCCTGACCAGGAAAGCCATTGACGGAAAAGCAACAGCCCTTAAGAAACAAGATAATGGAACCCAAAAGGCTGAAGCTATCTTAGCCAAGATAGTGTTGCTTGAAAAAATTGAACAAAAAGAGAGAACTGAAGCCGTGTTGCAAGAGCTTGCAGAGCTTAACCAGAATCGCATGGAATATGATATGGATATTGAGAAGGCGAAAAGTGAAGAAGTAGGCTTCGAGCAGGAAATTCTAGACGCTGATCAGATGGACATCTATGACGAGGTCGATCCGGACGAACCTTTAACGTCGACAGACAGGCTCCCGCCCCCCCTTTTCACAGTCAACCGCGATTTAGCAGCTCTTTTATCAGGAGCGAGTCTGAGTGGCGATGCAGAAAATCTAGACCTCGATGAAGGGTCCGGCTTGAGGCCGGCCCAACATCCTGTTGGCTACAAAGGTGGGATCTCGACGACAGCTATCGTCGGTGATTTCGAAGTCAAAAACTTCCCAATTTATAGACTCAGGACGGATATTGCGATTAACGACGACGAAGTGCCTAATATTATGGAACGGAGACGTGGAGGGAAAAACAAACCTTTGAGCAAAGAAAAGTGGCGGAAAAAAGATATCAAGGCTATTAAAGGGATCGCCATAGCAGTTCCCTGTGAATATCCTGGAAAACCGGAAGATTTGGTTGCACAAATCAAACCTATTTCAGAAAAGAAAAAGATAAAATTGAAGAAAAATGGGAAGAAGGTTCCGAAACAGCCAGATGTGCAACTCCTTATTGAATGGCGGGAGCCATTGGTGGTGGAGACCCCGAGTGGACCCCAATCAGTTTCTACGAGTTGGGAAAGCAGATCAGGGTGTGGTAGAATCTGGAACAAAAAGATAGTACCAGATCTCATGTGTCGTTATGCAAAATTTCATGAAGTTAACTACAGGAGACATGGGGGTGAGCATGGATCAGAAGAACGGAGTATATCTCCGTTCGAGATCCCTTCCGCTGGGGTCACACCGGATCCCGATTCGGATACCGATTCCGATCTGGATTCTGAAGAAGAAATTGTGCTTGCGGAGGCGATGAAGAAAGCGAAGAAAGCGAAGAAAGCCGCAGAGAAGAAGGCGAAGGAGGAGGCGGAGAAGCCGAAGGAGGAGGTGGAGAAGCCGAAGGAGGAGGTGGAGAAGCCGAAGGAGAAGGTGGAGAAGCCGAAGGAGAAGGTGGAGAAGCCGAAGGAGAAGAAAGAGGGCGCTAGTGCATATGAGGATGGCATGGCAAAATTCGACTTAAAGTTCCGCATGGTGAGAAAGATAAATCAGGCGGTGGATTTGACATCAGAACAAGCGGGGGATTTCATTGACGCATATGACAGTTATTGGGCGAAGCAAGGAGCAAAGGTTATTTCACCAGTCTAACAATCAGTTTCCTTTTCGCGTTTGATTCTAGCCGCTGGGAGGTTGAATCGAAGTTGCAGGTATATTTCATTTTACCTTAATCACTAATTCTCTTTCCCCTGATCTACGTTTCTTATGGGGTTTTATCATTTTTAGTCTATCTTTAATCTCTTTCAACTATTTTGAGAATGTTCATATAAATAGAACTTTATTTTCAGAATTCAGATAACGCTGATATGTGAAACAAAGGGAGCCATTTTTGACACAGGCAGCATATTTTGCCTCCATTCTCTAGTACCTAAGCAATGACTTCACCGAAAAGCACACTCCTATCATTCTAAACAATTGCCCATGGATATCGCTACCCTAGGATATGCCATTGCGGCAGGCGGCACTCTACTCGTCCTTGTTCTTGTCAATTTCCTTCCTCTCCTTCCTCGACCTATTTCATTTGCACGACCATTCTTCCGTCGAGCCTCAAGGATCTTGAGATATCGTTACCTTGTTGACCGACATCGGTTTTTAGGTCCATGGACTTTTGCAGACGTAATCATTCAGGTGATGTACATTGGTATCAACTCTTTCTGCCTCGGCTTCCGAGTCCCTAGCATTGCAGCGGCTGGCATACGAGCTGGCAACCTCTCCATGCTCACCTTGATTCTGCTGTTTCTCGGCCCACATCTTAGCTTTCTGGCCGATATCATTGGCGTCTCCCTGAGTACTTTTCAGCAGATTCATCGTTCCGCTGGCTTGATGTCCCTAGGGCTCGTCGTCTTTCACACCCTCGTTATATTTGCCTCCCGGACAGCCTTTGCTGTCCAGGGGAGAAAAAACAAATTTGCGATAGTAGTGAGTGCTCAATAGCACCTAATCTTTCTCGAGTCAACTAACCACTCCAGGCTGGATCGGCCCTCGGTTTCATTGTCATCCTCTCTTGGCCTCCTCTCCGTAAACGTTTCTACGAAGTCTTCCTCCGCTTGCATCAGCTTCTGTCAGCCATTATTGCAGCCTCCATTCTGCTACATGTTCCTCCGACTCTCCTCCCTCAAATGTACTTCTACATCGCTACTGCTGGGACTTTCGTCGTGACCCTCACACTTGAGGCTTGGATCTGGCTGTTCCGCAATGGGGTGCTTGCAAATAAGATGCCAACAGTTGGAGAGATCTTCATATATCCAGAGGGGGATAAGAAAAGCCCGTTCCAAATGACGATCTGGCTAGAAAAACCACTAGAAATCAAGCCTCCACAGCATATCAATATTTGGATACCCTCACTTGGTATTCGGTACCTCCTGCAGAGTCATCCTTTCATAGTCACTTCCTGGACCGGCAAGAAGCCGACAAGCTTAGAGCTCTTGATCGAGCCTCGCCATGGGTTGACTAGAAGGCTCCAATCCTTAGCGGTCCCCAAGATCGGATACACAGGTGGGTTAGGTCGAGTGCTATTCACTGGGCCACATGGAATCTCCGTTCCGGTCGACCAATATGAATACGTTTTTATGGTCGCCAGTGGTTATGGAATCATACCCCACTTACCCCTTTTAGAGCGACTCGTTCAAGGAGCACTCGCTCATGAAGTTCGAGCTCGCCGAATCCGTTTGGTCTGGGAGCTTGAAGATATAGGTAAGTCTTAACATGAGTGTACGGCCCTTTCTCACCAAAAATTATAGAGCTATTCAAGGTAGTGTCTCCGCTACTTAATTGGGTCTTGTCAGAAGATCGGAAACTCGGGAGCAATTGCGTAAGTTGCATGCCTCTTTTCTTGCCCTCAACTGCTAAATCAATTAGACCCTTGTAATATCGCTTTATTCAATGAAATTAAAAGCTGGCCCGCTTGGCAGCGGCAAGCGAGCAAAGATATTTAATCAAACTATTCCTCTTGGATCTATACTTATAGGTGAGGTAGCGGAGATTAACAAGAGAAATAATCAGAAAATGAAAACGGCAGATACAGAAGCCGTGGATGCGGAAGCGATAGAATTGGATGCGATAAAAGAAATGGATACAGTAAAGGAAATGGAAAAGAGAAGAGCCAAGGAAATATCAGAGGGGCGACTAGATATTGTGGCAAACCAGGAACGACGAGATATTATATCAAACCAGGAACGACTAAATAAAGAGAGCATCCTCCAGCCTGAGTTACCCGTCTATATAAGAACACCCAGAATGCTCATTACAGGTAATAGTATGCCTGCATCCAAACTCCGTTCTATGTACTAATGATTTGAAGTCTCTGCGTCGGAACAGCTTCGGGATGAGCTAAAGTCGGTTGTACAAGCTCCTCTTAATCATATTTCTTTAGTAGAGCTAGATTATCAGCCTTCAAATTAGCGTTCCTAGATATGAAAGCTCTTACTTAACTAAGTCATATCTAGTATGCAAATATTCTTAGCATTTTCTTCCACTTTGATAACGTTTCAAAAATAAGTGGGGCCGGTGCATGCCTCCGATAAGGTCCGCCAAAATCTGCTGATGGGAGCCAAAAGCGGATGGCTTGCGGCTGGCTTACGGGCGATAGCTTAAAACGCGGGGTCACCCCACACTATCGAACATTGAATGTCCCCCCTACCTGAGAATCCAAAATCCGAAAACATGGCACCACAACCGGTTGATCTAAATACTTTGCTAGACTATGATGCACATATTGCGCTGTTCCCACTGATAAAGGCATTGCGCGAAAAGAAAAACATTATCGTTATTGCAGGAGCCGGAATTTCAGCTTCCGCAGGGAGTATATAGCTCTTCCCCCTCATGTCTCTTTCGAATGCTGAATGAATTAGTCCCTACCTTCGAAACGGAGTCAAAAAAACGGCGTGATTTGTTTAGAGCGAGCACATATAATACAGACGCAGGAACGGCGAGTTTCAATGGGGTGCTGTGCGATATGTATCACTTGATAGAACGTGCCAGCCCAACTCAGACTCACCTGGTAATTGCTGCCCTTGCTAAAGAACGCCGACTACTACGCTTATATACTCAAAATATTGATGGAATAGACACGCGACAGCCACTGATGGAAACCGACATCCCCTTGCTTCGCAATGGCCCTTGGCCGCAGACAGTTCAGCTGCACGGGGACTTGAGGACCATTCATTGCCTCAAGGATCCCACTCACTTGGCTCCCTTCCGCCCAGAGCTTTTTGACAAAGGGTCCCAACCAGGCTGCGCTAAGTGCGAAAAACTTGAAGAGGAGAATGGGGCCAAAAACGAGGACGAAAGAAGAAGAAGGAGAGGAATTTCCCTCGTAAGACCCAGAATTTGCCTATATGAGGATGATCATTATATAGATATGGATGCGATAAGCAATGTCCAAGCCGCAGACTACAGAATGAAGGTTGGTGCGGTCATCGTGGTGGGAACCGCTCTTAAAGTGCCAGGAGCAAAGCGGTTTACACAGAACATATGTCGCATAGCACGTAACTGTGGTGGATTCACAGCCTGGATCAATCTCAAGCCTCCACCTAAAGATCTCGACTGCTTGGACCTAGCCATTAAAGGAGATTGCGAGACTGTGGCCAAGCACGTATCGATTTGGTGGCTGATGGGCCCTGATGTTTTGAGCGACTTTCACATACAAGAATTGCAGAAGAAGTGGAGGATGCTAATTATTGGTAGGTCGCCAGAGGCGGTACTGGAACGAGTATTTCCAACAATTGATGGCACATCTCTTTCCAAAATTCTGCAGCAGGAAGAAAATAGGGCGCGGGTCCTTGGCATTAAAAAGGACGGACAGCCAGTCTTCGTCCTTGCGGAGGGTTCCCAACGGTCTGGCATATATACCAACGGAGCTAACGGTCACAGCACCGAAGCAGCATCTGGAGATGCGTTCACCGCACCTCCACCGCCGCAAAGCTCAGACACCTTTCCGAAACTTCCAGACTGCTGGGAGACGGAGATGTTGAAGAGGCTGAGCGAGGTCGAGGTCGAGGTCCAAGAGATCAAGACTCAAGGGGTCGTTGTTCAAGTCCACACGAGCTCGTCTGTCATCACTACAGTTACCGACTTAGGTTATGAGGCCAAGCCTAAAGAGTCACTCTGGCGCCTAAAGCCCGGAGAATATCTTAACGATGAGGTTATGAACGCGTATCTCGAGCTCCTTCCAGGGTTTAATGCGACTGCAGGTCATTCTATCCAAAGAACCTTTATTTTGGATATGAAGCCCGATCAACCAATGAAGGTACTTCGTAGGCTCATTAGAACTAATACATATTCTATTTATATCCCAGTGAATAAAGACCTCCACTGGACTTTCGCTACTATAACAAAGACGAAAGATACTCCGGTAAGTTGGACGTATTACGATAGCCTTGGCGGAGAGCCCCTTCCAAAGTTGCTCGCCTGGATTCACAGAGTGTTTCCCGGGATAAAGGAAATGACCGCCACACCCATGCCGAAGCAGGGGAACTTCGTTGACTGCGGTCTCTTTGTCCTCCTGGGCATTCGCCTGCTGTCAGCTGGCCGACGATACTCCCAAGCACAAAGTGACGATATTATTCCGAAGTTCAGGCAAAGGGTCTTAGCCGAGCTCTTAGCTTGCACTCTCGACCCTACGAGAAGTCAGCTTGACGAATTCAAAGACTGCGAGGCACTAGCAAGCAGAATCCCCAACCCTTCAGATAAAGTTGGCGCTAAGAGCATGTCTGGAGCTCGCCGTGGTCCAAGTCATCAACGTGTATTGCCGTGCTCTGTTATAGAGATATTCGACTCGTCGGATTCGCCTGGTGAATCCGAAGAGGAAATTGCCCAAATGAACCCACCGAAAGGAAAAGTTTCCCAGCAAAAGAAGAAGGAGAACCCCGAGCAGGTTGCAGCTAGATTCGGAGAAGAGGCACTAATAATCAATGTATTGAGAGAGGCAGTAGCAATCGAACGGGCCTCTCAAAAGGGAGCCGGGAACTCCAAAATGGAGAATATTCAGCTTTCGGATTTGTGGTTTATGATTAGTACAGAGAAGCGGGCTCTAAAACAACGTCATGTACACTACGAGTTCTCACGCCAATTCTGGGCGGAGGTTGCGCGGCTTAGCAGCCGCCCGCATCAACGTCGTCAAGTACCTAAAGCCGTCATCCCCAAGCTAATGAGCAAGCTTGAAATTACTAATGGGACGAGCTGGAAATACGTTTTACGACGGGCACGGAGAGGATCAGTTTGGATTGAATTGGCGGATATTTTTAAGAACGATTTGGAAGATCCCAGCGTTGTACTGTCCGCCATCTCGGACGCAACATACACATTGGAAGCCATGACATTAACTAATCGAAAAGTGTTATTCGACACAATTCGGTCCAGGATAGAAGAACCAGGGAACGAGATTCTGCAAAGACTCAAGACTGCCAGTGCTTTGTATACGGCGGTGATACACAATTCCTTGCCTGGGGATCTCCCAATAGAGTCTGGTGACGAACATCTACCCTTTAAAGATAAGGTCAGCTGTGGAAGATAATTAGTCACCAATTCAGTGAATTAAGCATCGCTTATTATTTAGTTAATTCTTTTAACGGGATCCATTTCTAGACACTTGTGGCTGTGCACCCCTGGCTAGTTATTCGCTACCCCTACCTCGTCCAAAATGAGCCTTTCCTGTCCCTCTTTCCCCGAGTTAGGCGTGGAAATATGGGTCAACAGCCTTGCGGACGTTTTGGGAAATCTGGTATGGTGGTGTTGTATTTGAGGGTGGCAACTACAATCTGTGGTTGCGAGGCATGTAGAATGATAATATTTCTCCTTGCTACTAAACATAACGATCTCGCGAACAAAGACGAAAGCATGTCTCCTCTGAAAAGTCCACGCCACCGCGGCCTACTTACCCGACGCAGTACTATTATGTGCCGGGGCGGGCTTAGGCTGCTTTGTCTCCCAGTCTCAACTCTCCACTCCCTCGCCAGCTCACGACATCCTACCCGTGTGTGTGTCCGTTCATCTGCGCGGTGCACAGCCGTCTCGTACAGTTACTTGGGGCACGCGGGGTCGTTGCAGTGCCATGCTTACCGACGGGCGCTGCACAGGTCAGCGTTGTCCCGCATCGGCGTCGCTGTTCGTGAGATAGTCGAGGGGAGTAGATAAGTCGGTAGCCCAAACCCCCTACTTTTCAAACTCCGGAACGTCATGCTGAGTAGCAAGAATTGCCTCCAAAACAGGTCCATAAACAGACACCATGTCAAAACCCAAAGGAATATCATCAACAAACAACCACACGCTTTCTTCCACTTGCCACATACATGTTGTGAGGCCGAGCACAGTCGACTTGCTCACAGCAGCTCCTCTATCTCGAAGCTGAGCAGAGGCCGCATGACGAAGCACCATCCAGAGAGTATCGACCTCTACCACAATAAACCCAACAGACGTAGAACCGCAAACGCCTGTGACGCCAGTATCAGCAGAGTCTTTTATGTTACTGCAGACCCTGATTTTCCAACGGGATGCTCATGCGCTCGATGAAACGAGCAAACAGAACCTAGCGAGGCACTTACAGAAACGTAACAAAGCTTTCCAGAAATCCTCTGCTCTAGGCATCCTCCAAGAGGACCGAATTCAATTCCTGACCACAATCAACAAAGCCAAAGTTCGACGAGCGACCAAGTCATTGGTACTAGGGAAGGCGAAGGTCATGAGCTATAAGGACCTTGAGGAAGTACGAGTGAAGCATGCTGAAAAAGATGCTGCTAAAGAAACCAAAGGTAAGGGTAAACGGGGTCGGAAGCGCCAAAGTGCCACGCCAGAGGCAGAGGAAGCCACCGCAGATAAGGTCAAACGGGGGTGGAAGTGCAAAAGTACTGTACTAGAGGCAGAGGCAGTGGCAGAGGAGCTAGAGCCAGAACCAAATCCCAAGATGGCGCGGACGAGCAAAGCGCCAGCACCATCGAGAGCCTCAGTGTCGGAAACACCGATTGCGGAAGATGAGATTGTGCCAGAACCATGGAGAGCCCTAGTAGCGAAGATATGGTAGTAGAGGCCAACATTGCCATTTGAACATGTAATAGAGGATCGATAAGTCTGAGGCAAGCTCAAGCTGGCTTCACAACCTGGTTGCTGCATAGTAACTTAGATTCAATATTTAGTCTTCGTCGGTTTTTGACAGAAGCGGTTATAACCAGCCTTTGACGTTCCTCTACCGTGCTTGCTCCGTAATGCATATGCCGAATGGCTTGTAATGGCCGATGCCTGCCATTGTCATGCCCGCCGTTTATCGTACGCTCTTCATTGTGCCACCTTCATTGTGCCACCTTCATTGTGCCGTCGTTATATGTTGTAGGTAGTATCGCCGTTGGTCGTCGGAGCTCAGCTGTGCTCGCTATCGTTGCCACATTGTCACCAGGTCATCGCAGTCTGGCGTGCTGATACCGTACTCCTTTCGGCACTCCTGCTGTCATCATTAAGGTCATCTTTGAATTCGTCAGTAATCTTGCAAGAGAGCGGGATACCCTAACCCTTGGAGGCCCGGGCTAAGAATCAAAGCGGTTCGTCGTTTCAAGCGGAGTACGAAGCAGGTTGAGTGAAGAGCCAGAAGAGATAGGTGGGAATCGAAAAGCTGGAAGTGACAAGCCGGAAAGTGATGGTTGCTGCCTACCACTTTCGGCTGGTCGGAGGATGTCGGGAAACGGGGATTTCCGGTAAGATCCACCCTCCTCAGCCACAAGCGCCGCATCCACAATTTTAGCAGCCACAGGTATTACAGTCTCCAGAGATTACAGTAACCACGACATAGTTTACCAGGGTCCTTGCTCGCTTAATTAGAGGAGGTATTAGCCCATGTGGCGACGTTGCATGAAATGGCACGCCTCGGCCGCCACAATCGTGGTAATATCTTTTCAGCCTTATAGTAACACCTAGATATCGCATCTATCCGTTCTATATCTTTAAAAGCTCGAAAAAGCTTAATAGTGGTGTCGTACGTCGAGGGGTCCTGTTATAGTATAAAAGGAGGCTCTCTATAGATTCAAGGGGGCGGCGACGATACATTCATAATTTTCGGAACTAATAGGTGAGGAGTGTTTAGGGGAAGTATATAATGCACTGAAATAAAAGTGAATAGAAAATATAACACGTTCACAGATTTGAAGTCACTTGAACTTGAAGTACCTACGATTTGTCTCGTTACAGGGTGCGTCTCGGCACGCAGGGATAGACGTTAGTAATAAAATAATGCGAATAGTTAAAAATAAGAGGCTCTAAAGATTAATATATTAAGAGTTTATATACTACTTTTATATATTAACTAAAAAACAATCTTCTTTAAACTAGTTCATTTCTTCCTAACTTATTTGAGATAAAATATAATCTATATATAATGTAATAATTAGGTTATTGGGCGGAGAATACAGGAACTTGGCAGAAATATACTCTTACTAGCTTATTTTTTAATACTTTAATATTGGGCTAAGAGAAATTAGACCAAGTAATTTCTATTAGAAAGAAGAAGTAATTATTTATAATTCCGGTTCTTTTGCCTCTTTCTTTTATATTCTTTTATACTGCTTTTTCTTATATTTGCCAGATATAATATAGGTACTTTAGCAAATTATTTACTTTCTCAAATATTAAAGTTACAGTAGAAGGCGAATTGGGTATCGCTAGATTTTTAGTTACTTATTTTTAGCGGGGTCCATTTCCAGACACGTGTGGCTGTGCACCTTGCTCGGTTTGTACCCAAAAGGTACCACAACTAATTATTAGCGCAGAGCGGAGCTAATTCTTGCTTTTATTTCAGAAGATCACTCCACCGATAAGAAGCTCAATCAGCAAGATTGCCAGTTACTTTTCGTGTCTGGAGCCAATTCTAGGAGCTTTCTGGTAGGTACCATTTTAGGACCTCCTGGGCATTATTATAAATATTAACAAGTAAGCTTTATGGACAGACCTCGACCATGGCTTCTAGCAAAGCGGAACTAGTTCCTCACGAGCTTTTGCTTCGATTTCAACATTTTCTCCCACTACTCGAGAAATATTTAATAGTGGACGCATGGAGAAAATGGCACCCTACAAAAGAAGAGGAGCATAGTGCCGCGTGGAGTGGTATTTTCAAGGATAACCATTGGCTTTCTGCTACGGTAGACAAAGGTTTAAATCCTGCTCTAGTAGGGTGTGATCTATATCGATATGTTCAGAGGAGTTTTTTTCATAACAAGAACCAACCGACCAACCTGGCCCTTGTTCTCGGATTTGATGGAGAAGGCGGAAGGGACAAGCCTGACATGGATGGCTTATTAACGGTTTTTTGGTCGTCCCTTCGTGAACATATAACAAAAGATAGGGAGCTTTTCTTTCCAGAGACCGGACTTACACTTAATTTTGGAGACGCTGTGTATAATCACTATAATACCTATATAAACACTCCACGAAAACTAGTACACCGAGGCTTAACTGGATTCCACTCGGCCTATCTCTACTGGAAGGATAATGGATATAAAATTCGGGCAATTGGACCGAAAAACGTCCTAGGAATTACAGAATGGGGGCACAAACGCGTGGATAGGGCTCTTGGCCTGGAATGGAATCACCTTCCGAGTAATATATCAAGACAGCACTACTTCGTTGCGAATGATGGAACTGAATTGAAGTTAGAGCCACTTTGCTATACGGATAGATCCGGTATAACTGGATGGAAATGGAATGATGAGGCGGAGTACTTTAAATATCCTCAAAATCGCTCTATCTAAGTTAACGTCCATCCCTGCGTACCGAATAGTAAGGGGTAATAGCTATAGCTGCTTTAGTGCTATTAATAGGACGATTAATAATATAGCCAAACTGTAACGTCTATCCCTGTGTCCCGAGACGCACCCTGTAGCGAGACAAATTATAGGTACTTTAATTTCAAGCGGCTTTAAATCTGCGAACGTGTTAAAATTTCTATTCATTTTTATTTTAGTGTATTATATACCTTCCCCGAACACTCCTAACCTATTAATTCCGAAAATTATTATCACGTCGTCGCTACCCTCTTGAATTTACAGAGGACCTCCTTTTATAGTACCCCTTCGTAATGTGGGGCGGATGGGCCTGTGGCTTGTGTGGCTTGTACCAGGGAGGTTCTTTGAAAAGGCAGAATTGGCGGTCATCTGTTCTTTGCTTCCTTTCCAACCCGCCAGGAGTCAGCCGTTTTCGGTCAGCCACAACTATGGCACCCCCACTGGATGTTGCAACGCATATTTTGATCGAAACTTTGCTAAAACAAGGGCTTGAGAACAAGCTAATAGCCTCAGAAGCCTCGTGCAGCGTGCGCACTGTCCAGAGAATCCGTCTGAAGGGACAGCAGTTCGAAATATCTGGGGGGTGCACCCCGTCACGCCAAACCCACCAAATTTTCCCGATTTTTCAAAGTCTTCAGAAAATACCAAAAACTTCCCAGATCGTAGATAATACTCCAAAAATCGCGAATATCGTGTTTCTTCTTCGAAGTTGTGGTGTAAGGCCTTTAAATTTAAAGTTGAGCAGTTGAGGGGTGGGGGAGGTTCACAAGTGACACCTCGATGCCTAAGGCCATTAAAATCTAGCTCACCCAAAGCCAATGCATCTCAAAATCTCTTACCTCCCCATCTACCTACAAAGGACAATGTGAGCCAGCAGTACGTTTCCCGCAAGTCCAACGCCCCCTTCTTCTAACCCTTTTCCTCTTCAGGCCAGCGAAGATATCCAGACGATCTCGAAGTGCAATACTATTCCAAACACAATCGCATCCATAATAATCCTCAATGCGATCTTAAGATCTTACCCAAGCCACCTGGGCCAGAAATTGGCATGGCGATTTATGCCGGGTCATTGGGACAAGAAGAAGCAAGACAAGCTGCTATCGCTGAGTACCGCGCTCGATTAAGCAAGTTCGTTAGAACTCATTGCCGAATTACCTTAGAGCCTCTAAAATACTATATATATATTTATTACGGTCTCTCTTTATTTACTTTGCATACAGCCACTTTTGGCCACTACTAATAAATGGATTTTTCAAGCAGCCTTATTATATAACTAGTTGCTGCATGAGAGTTTATTTAATAGGCTTAATATATAGAGCCAAAGATGGAGCACTATAACCATGAACGGCTGATTATATATTAAATCATAGCGCTAGCTAACCCCTCACCTTTTTTTTTTTAGCATTGCTTGGACAACTTGGACGCTCACTCACTAATACCAGCCACAAATTTTTGCCATGCGTTTTATTGTCTTAATGAGTAAGGAGGCGGTAGATACATATTGGAAATGGAGAAGAGAGGGGGCAGAGAGGAGAAAGAAACCGCTGCAGAGGCTTTTTCGGTGGCTTCGACCTGCAGTCGGCCAGGGCCAGCACGCAACATCATACCAAGTAGTTCAGGGCGCCGAGGACAGCACACCACCAAGTTACTCTGAGGAATCCTTGTTGCTCAAGAAGGAAGAGGCAAAATGAATGGCCAAACACAGTCAAAGAAGAAGCCGATTCCGAATCCTACTATACAAACTTGCGGCTACGGTTGGATTATAAATTAGGTGGAAAACCTAAGTATAGCAAGGCGAATTGGGTGTCGCTAGTTTTTTAGTAAATTATTTTAAGCGGGGTCCATTTCCTGCACTTGTGTACCGAGAATTTTATATTAATACCCATGGCTATTCTTAAATACTTGAAATCTTTACACATCTGAGCGTGTCGTTCTCGGCTCCAGGAGATGAAGCCGCAGGGGCAGGGGCATTGGCTGCTGGTGCGTCCGAATCATCAGCTCTCACACAACCAGTTTTGGCCGTTAGAGCAGCTGGGCAAACTACTTGTTTGAATAATACGTTTGGGTTATCGGCTCCCTTGAACCAGTCGTATCGCCAATAGCAGCCATCCTTCAGAGCTGCCGGGAAGCTATCACACGAGGATCTCGATTCGATACCACCATATTGGGCACCCCAGCCCGTGCTTGGGGCTCCAAACATATTTGTGCAGCCATTAAAGATGCCTACGCCACCACCTGGGATCTGGAATCAAATTTCAGGAAAGTTATAGCTAGATTTTAAAGACGAGAAAGGGGACATACACTAATATCGAATTGGTTCCCAGCCAAATCTCCACCCGTATTAGTAGCCTGCATAATCATCTTCTTTCCAGTAATTGCCCCACTAGTAAAAGTTAACTCATAGCAAGCACAGCACCAGCTTGCTTCTGATCCTCCAGCAATATTTACTGCTGCATAGCCGTAGGCAAGGTTATTATCAATAGCCCATGGTGACTCGTTAGAGCATTGATAGGCTGGTCCACTAGCGCATCCAGAGGCAGCATTTGAGTCTAGAATAGGTTGATCCCTAATATCGCACATTTGTACTGGATTAGATCCTGTAGCAAGGTTAAATTTTCCAGGCCAGGCGCAGCTAGGCTTGCAGCAGTCCCAATATCGGGTAGTTGTTCCTGTGCCTGATGCCCCAGCGTTTGCTTGGAGGAAGTACGGGAGGAGAGCGAGGAGGGTCGTAGTTGAGGATTGCATCTTGAAATCTTTCTAAGGAATATTGGACTCAAAGATGGGGTAGTGTTTTTTGAAGGAATATTGAGGTATTCAAGGTACCTGACTAGTAAATGTGGCTACGTATTGATTTGAATACTAGACAGAAACTCAGATGAATAAATAGAAATTCTCGTCAGATTTAAAAGATAAAGTACTTCTCTAACTTCGACGTTCAAGCCTAGAAAGAAGCCGTTTCCGGTATAATCGCTTGCAAAACCGGCTTCCCGGGAAGGGAAGCCGGTTTTACAAGCGACTGCACATATCTTGGGTATTATTGTTGAGATGAAAAACTCCGCAAGGAATGACCAAAGAACTGACCGCAATCTCTTAAGAAGCTGAGCTGTATCGGAATATTCAAATCGCCGCCCTAAAGATTCACTCGTAACCAACTCAAAAGGCTAAACGAGGCTGTAATGTGCTCATTGCGATGTCTTGAGGAGCAACATTGGGCTTGTATTGGACTCCTACCACCATGTGGTCCTTGAGTAATTAATTTCCCCAACCTAAAAGAGGTTTTATCCGAGCCTCCTGGGTACCAGCCTAAAGGAAGTTTCTTCATCAATATCATTTGTTTGTATTAGTTAGTAGGGGAGATCGAGACAGGGTTTTACAAAAGAAAGATCCTGATTTTGCAACACCATGTCGAGCCTAGGCGACCCCCTGGACTTTTTGAAGAAGCGTCTGGAACAAAAGGGCCGCTTATATTACTGCGACAACGATTTGGTATTCCTGGAATGTCTCTCGGGAGGCAAGATTCACATTCGCGTGGAGGTAGAAGAAGATTGCGGAGAGAAAAGGGAATTTACAGTGGTGAGTTCCTCAAATTTCAGCAGTGAACACTAACAATTGTGAGCTTTAGGCTAGCTATAAAGTATCAGGTCAGCCAGCTAAATTTACAGGAGCTTACAGTGCAGAAGCTTTATCTGGCGAATCAAGGCCTTCTGAATCGAGAGAAACCTCCGAGAGAAGCATAACCACTACTACTGCCACTACATCCGCGGTTTCAGATAAATTAGTCCCTACGAGCTCTTGCGCTTCGCCAAAGCGAGGTGCGCCAGGAATCTCGACCCAACCTCCTACGAAGAGGCAGCAAACATCTCAAGTGTCTAGCAAAAGCGCTACCGCTACGTCCACACCCACAAGTAGCCTAGCACCCGGACGTCTTAATGCGAATGCTACTCCAATAACTCGTCCACTTCAAGCGCTTGCGTTAAAGCTTAAGTCCTCCGTGACTACCGGGCCTTCTTGGATAACGAAAGACGTTCCAATTTACGATAGCGATATTTCTGAAGACGGGAATGATCAATTCGACCACCCTCACATCGTTTGCAAAGATGTCTGCAATGACAAGGCAAAGGGATTATATGGCATGCTTATGGAAGCCGCGACATCGACCCACGAGCAGCCAAATCACTTTAGAGGCCCAGTACATCTATGCAGCAAGAAAAAGCCCGAAAGGGAGGAGACAACGAAGAGAGCATTCGAGATTGTGACGCGCAATGCAAACCTGGATGATAAAAGTGGCCTTGGAAGGTTATCGTTGGTGAGTCTATGCCTGGAATTTGCCGATTTAGTGCATGGCGAGTTACAGAAGAAGGGCCAAACATTTGATACCGAACGGAATCGATCATCGAGGGCAAATAAGAAGTATGGTAAATGGGATGTAAACAACAAAGACTTGGCTCAGGTTATGAACGATATTTTCATGGACGGCAATTTGAATATACCGGATGCAGATTCTAAGTATTTCATGCTGGAGGCGCAAACGGGAAAAAACTATAGACCACCTGGTAGCTATGATATGAGAAATAGGGCTTTAGAAATCTGGTGCGTATTCTCTGCAACGCCGTCAAGCACATAGTTGGTCTTTTAATGCTGAATGAAAGGTGTCTCGGAAGGAAATGCCGGATTTTGTTGGAGCAAGCTGGGCCTGGTGCGATATGGTTTGCAGCTTGGGGTGCTAGTTTCTATCCTCAGTACTCGCTGAAGAAGCGATTTCGCCCATTCTGCCTTAGTCATAAGGGCTTCATTGACGGTGATATGAGATTCATCCGGTTCGATCGCCATATGTTTACCGCATACGCTGACGAAAGCTGCCTTTACTGGAGAAAACAGATGGAAGATTATGGTATCCCTATTGATGCTACCCTGGACCCTCCTATGGTTCAACCTGGTGATATGTTTTACCGTGGCGCTTTCAACGAAGGGGCGAGGACCTACAACGTCGAGATGTTCTCACCTAAAGAAATCAAAACTTACATCACAAACAGGACAGTTGGAACTGGCTCCAGTGGGATCCCTGATTGGGAAGAGCACATAACGAAGCATGGCGTTTGGTCTCGCAAATATCCATGCTGTGCTGTGTGGAATAAACCACCGATTCAAGTTTTCGATACAGAGATTCCAGAGCTCGGAAGAGCTCTCAGGGCAACACGGGTATGTATTATATTGCTGAGATAATGTTGATATGCCTGACTGAATCTCAGAAACTGAACCCGGGTGATTATGTTGCGGAACATGCTGGGGTGTGCAGGCGCGAAGAACAGTGCACAAAAGATGGGGAAACAGGGAATCAAAGTAGGAAGGAGAAAGACAGGATGGAGCTTGTAATACCTGGTGGAGGCAAGTGGCTTATATATCAGGAGAGCAAGTGTAAGCCGCCCCTTCCGATTGCATACATCTCCGCAATTTTAGTAACCACAAAATAGGGAGCCTCACTAAATACGCCAATCATTATGAGGAGCCGAATATTGAATGGGTGACTGAAGAAGTCTCTAATGCCTATCGAATCTTGCTCAGGGTAAAGGAGGGCTGTTGTATCATGCCAGGAGGCGAACTGACGGTTGACTACGGTAACCAATACTGGAGAGGTAAACCGACATACAATGGACCAAGATTTATTTTGCACTGAGCTGGCGTCGCAAAAATATTTAGATCAGGTGCTCGATTTAAATCAGCAGTGACGATTTTACGTGGAACGAGGGCGAAAAGGGACATATGCCTTCCATGATATCGTCTCTGATTGCCCTCATGTAGTCACGTGGCCAACAATTGATGTTCATCGGACATTGAGAGGCAGCCCACCAATCACATGCAAGCATATGCAGGACGTCATCTCCTGGGCTCTGGTACTAATATTTTCACACTGGGAGATCTTCCACCGGAAGTCATAGATACATACAGGGTTATTCTTATCATATTGCTCGTCCGCTTCCCAACCACTTAGTCGGAGAAGTGGTAATGCATGTTCGCCTGGTTGATCAACTCGATCCGCGGTTTGGCTGGCTGGTTCAGCAGCTGTGCCGGCTAGGGCTGTTAAAAGCCGAAAACTCGATATTTGAAGCCCAATTGCCGTTTAGCCAGTCAAAGTCAGTGTTTTCCATGTTGGCATGCCTTCCGAGTCGACAAACGTGGAAGCAAAAGGAAAAGATCATTCCTACTATTTATGCGAAAAGGATAAGTGTCTAACAACCGTATGTATAACTTTCTTCGTATTTAATCGCTGTAAATGTACAAATAATAGCTAACACTTCATAGCCGGCACACGAGCCTCACTACCTTGATACCATGTCGACAGGCTTGGCGAATTTATCATCAAAGGGCAGGGACGAGTGATAGATACCGGCTGCGCGTATCGCGTCAAAAGACGACGATTGGATCTGGCTATGTGGGACGATGACCATAGTAGTTATGGAGGGGGAACAGAGAGGCGAGTGCCTGAGATGCACGCAAGAATCACAGGAACTTCTACTGGCCGAGAGGGATGGAACCAGAAAGGAGAGGAAGAGGGCTAAGAAAGTGTTAGACGAGATGCTCACTGTTAGCTTCGTCGGAGCTTCACAAACCGTGGTAGGCCTCGCTAGGTCTCGCCTTGGACTGCTCCTCCCTCTACCTCGTTCCGTCATGAACTTGCATGTGTTCTCATTGGCATTCCGATCCAGATGTTTGGAGATCTCACGTTGTGGTTTTGGCGATTGTGACATCATTACTGCAGCAGCCCCCCAAATAAAATACAAAGACAATTAAATAAAGCCTAGAAACATCCTCTCGTGCTTTACGACTTCTTTTCCTCTCGCTGGAAACTTTTTAACGTTACCCATCTGCAAGATTTTTTTCTGAACGGTGCCAAGAGGCGTTGTCCATAACGATTGCAGATTTTGGCTCCGGGTATCTACCACAGTGATGCTATTAGCTTATTCTCAAACCCTTTTTTTTAGCAATGCTTTGATCAAAATATGTTGTGCAGCCCAGTTGCGGAGCCATGATCGTGGCTGACAGGGGTAGCGGTACCTGTGAAGTACAAACTAGGCAGGGGTGCACAGCCACAAGTATCTGGAAGTGGAGCCCGCTTAAAAGAGTTGACTAAAAATTTAGCGACGCTTAATTCGCCTTCTACTGTACAGATCGCGTGGCGATTATGCATGAATTTGCGCGCCACAGCAGCCACAAGGCTAATAACGATTTCCTGCATAGTGTTGAGGCCTTAGACCTCAGATAAGACTTCTTTAGAAGTATTAGGGATAGTATAAGCTCGGTGGTGGAGCTGTTGTAGAGGAATGCTATTATACTATAAATTGAGACCCTTTGCAAATCAGGGATGAAGGCGACGATATAAATGCAATTTTCTAGTAGAAGGGGTTTAGGGTGTCTGGGAGTAGCTATAGAACATAACTTATAAAAAATTATAAGAGATATTAAGGTATGCACAGATTTTAAGATGCTTTAAGTCAAAGTACCTATCAATTTTTTTCGGCACACCGGTTTTTTCGGCACGCAGGGATAGACGTTAAACTAAGCTAAATACTTATTGCTAAAGTACCATAGCTTTTAGCTACAGGAACATTAATAAGATATCGAAAATTCGTGGTATAGAAGAAGTACGGTCAAGCTCGACAATAATCAAAACATAAAAAATAATCCCTTAAAAAACTTCTCTTGAATATATTATAGTAGAATAAGTAAGGAAGCGTTAGGTTATTAAAATTAAAGGGTTAGAAGCCGAATTTATTAATTTGTGTCGAGATTTACGTGATATACCGGTTTACTACGGGATTCTCGCTTCGTAGGGATGTCGGTTATAGCTTAGTCCGTGAAACGTGCGAAAAGGTCACATCTTGGCCAGCAGCCCATTGCGCAACTGGTTCGCCTCCAGCTCCATCTAAATCCACTTGATAACCTTTGCATAAGAATAGTTGTTAGCCCACGGGTAGCGTCGCGTTAGGGTCCCCGTTTAAGGGCATTATGAGAAATGTAACGTCTTTATCTACTCGTAATGGAGGAGGATTGCCGACGAAGAGGTGGCTATACGCCCTGCGGTAAAGTATGAAGGCGTGCCAAATGATGAATTTCCAATACATTGCGAAGCAGTGATAGAAGCTTTCCCGTAAACTCAGTACCAATAGAGCAATAAGCACGATCTGGCTCTTCAAGATACTCCATAATGGGCTGATATCCAATTGTGAAAGGATTGAAATCTCTTAAGAAGCTGAACTGTATTGGAATATGCTAACTTCTTATTACTCCAAATCACATTCATTCGTAAATAACTCAAAGCTACGTATTGTGAACGCCTCCTTGATGTTTTATCTAAACCAAGAAAGAAAATTGCTCGACGAAGTTGGAAGTATAGTCTGCGCAGTCAGTAAAGTTGAGAGCTGGTTAAAAGAGGGTCTCAGAACCCAGGTCGCCTTTGTCCTGCGCCAATATGAGAGGCATGGCCACGTATTGGTAGCCAGACCTCATTTGCTCTCAATCTTCTCTCCTAAAAGTAACAGATAGACCGGGACATTCAATTTCCGGTATCATATGTTTCGGGAGAATAACTGCAAAACTTTGGATTCCCAATGAGAATGAGTAGAAGTCCTTTCCAAGATTTTGTGCGTCGTCTGCTAGCGCTTTTAGCATCTCAAGGCCTGAAGTAATTTCCATTAGCTTCTGAACGCTAGCTGTTCCATCTCACTCACTGATCCCTATTTTCCCTGATTCGCCTTGTGCCAATGCCTTAATATCGTCTTCATCGATCGTCGGAACTGGTCGGGGGCCAAAGGACTTGGGTAGTATCCCAGTTTCGGCATTGACTTTCAGAATTTCCAGAATGATACCGCTAGTAAGGGCATCTTGGTATTCGTCGGAAGCTTGCCGTTCAGAATTGGCTTTCAATCTCTTCGTATTAGAATCATCTACACAAGAGTCCGCATAAGTAGATGGCGAGAAGGCTGCAATGGGAGTAAACTCGACGTTAGGAAGCCATTCTCTGAGACGGCTACTGCTCTGCGATTCTTTTGGTGGTTGCGCAAGCAACGTCCTTTCCGGTACTGTGGATGTAGAATCATCGTAAGCCCTCGCTTCGCTCCAGTGGAACACATCAGGGAGTAGTGTGACGAGGACAGCCTTATCAGGCAAGCTCAAATGGGCAACGAGAGCAGTGTAGTTGTGGAACATAAAATATTCTCCCATTTTCGGTGGGGCACAAGAATTTTGGAGTACAGTCTTATATGTTTCGTACAGGCGAGCAAGCAAATAGAGCAGGTTTGAGTTTTCCCATACTAGGTTCGCTTCCATTTTCCGACACGAACCAAACAATCCAGAATTCTGAGACCAATTTTCGGCGCTTGTTGGTTCGAGCCCCACCTTGCTTAGGGCATGCTGCTGGGCAACCTTATCAAACTTGGCTCCAAACCCGATTTGCAATATTCCCCGGAAGGTGGCACATCCAATAAGATCGGATACTTGAGCTGAGAGTTGCTGGTCTGGAAAGAGTCTTGCTGCACAATGCAATAATGTCAAAATAATAGCCCGAGAGAGAATATCGGTCGAGGGGATGGGTAATTGCATTGGGTTCATTAGATCGGTGAGCCGAAATATGTAGGATTCCGCGGTTTCCTGGGCACTGAAGGGCAAGACGGGCTCGAGAGAGATTAATCCTCCAAGGTAATTTTTCAACACGTGCTTATGTCTTATAGACATTGCTTCTTGTACTCCTAACATAATGGTAGCGTTGCAGATGTTTATCGAATCACGGGACAAATATTTGGCGATATAGTAGCTCGAGTCTCGTTGCTAGTACTTATAGCATTGAAGGCATTGTCGTATTAGAGAAGTTTCTGAGAAAAATTAATAGATTGCGAATTTAAAATAGAAATCTCGCCAAAATAGGAGTCAAAATAGAAGTCTCGCCAAAATAGGAGTCTCGCCAAAATAGGAGTCTCGCCAAAATAGGAGTCTCGCCAAAATAGGAGTCTCGCCAAAATAGGAGTCAGTCTCGCCAAAATAGGAGTCTCGCCAAAATAGGAGTCTTGCCAAGCGGATATTGACAAGACTAGAGATCCACTAATTAGAATAAAAGATGCCAAAACTGGAGGTCGTGGTTGGGCTCCTATTCTGGCTCCCCATGCCTTCTTGTAACTTTCTAAGCATGCTTCCCTGGTGACCTTTCATAACTTCGCAGTTATATAAGCTTTATAGCGGGCATGATTTTCGCCATAGCGACTTTCAATCGAGGCCCGGCTTAGGTTATAACACATGAATCTAAGAGGGCCTAGCGACACGTGACAATTCTGCTAAACTTAACCCAGATTCTAGCTTGCATTTATCTTTCCTTCCTTCCTGGTATAGTACAATACAACGCACAACAACCAAATTCGTGATGACAGGTCATCAAACCATTGACGAGGGCGTTATCAATCCACAGATCGGTACCCTCGATTCATCCTCAACTAGTATCTCTAGCGAATACCCACTTCAGTATCATAGTCCCGGTGGCACTATTATAAAGCAACCACAGCTATAGCAGATGACTTTGCGAGGAGGATTTGTAGAATTTATTGACCGGGAAAATATCGAAAACCCTTGTCTCCGATGTTTGCTATGTGGCTGCTGCCGCTGTTGAGCTTCTCGACAGGCACGCAAGACAGACTTTGAGTCAACAACAGCTGAGATAGTGACAACGTGGCACGACGGTGACGGTAATAAGAGGCAATAACCAAGACACAGAACAAGGGTACAAGCCATTACCGAATGAAGATATGGCTTTAGTCCCTCTGAATAAAGATAAACACACCAAAATTTGGAATGCGATATTCAAAGATAATCTTTGGCTTTTATTCATTTACGCAAAAGCATTAATATTATGCTAATTAGCTATAACCTCCTTCGACTTTATAAGCCAAAGATATTAGTAAATGCGAACCGGCATACTTAATTCCTTATTGCGGGTACCAGAGAGAAAGCCATGATTTTAATCGTGAGCTCTTGAGCCAGTCTCTAAGGCCGTAGACGTGGATCGACTACTCAGGATATAAGTTCCTTGGACCGAAAAAGAAATCTGAGATAGCTTTTTTAGAGATCGTATTAAATATCTAATATCCTTGGGGTCTTCCCGGTAAAACTGTCGTCTTACGGCCACTGAAACTGATCTCAGAGCAGGATACAGAGCAGGATAGAGTCCTATATTCGGTTTGTCTATACTAACTTAGAAGGGCGACGGTTTCGCGCTTCGCACTGCCGATCCAAGATATATGACTAAAACTAGTCTAACGTTAAAAGAAATTATATATGCCAACGGTCTGAGCCCATTTTATATATTATTACTAGCGAGAGGGAAGACAAAGGAGATGCTTCTGCACAGTAGTAGATGTACTGACTCCTATGACTCAAACACCCCTAAATGCGAAGTGAGTCGATGACCCTCCCACGCTAGATGCTCTAACTCGATATGACGAGCATCTCGGCGTGGTGTGCTTGTGGCTTGTTAAATTTGGTTGTGGCCCTCCTGAACGAGGTTGGGCTTGCCCTGGCAGATGATCGCCCTTGGGTATCCCCTTCCCTGTCCTCCCTCCCTCCGTATAAGTCAGCACCCCCACGCACACACCAGATCCACACTTGCAAACACCACTCGGGGCTAACGCCATACCCATGGCCCTGAGCATCTCGGTGTTGTGATTCCACTTGCAAGTAGTTGAGAGTTCATCACAGTCGATATTCAGTTTATTGAACAACGTTGATCAATACAATTTAGCCTGCCCAGGTGCAACATTCACAATCTTAGACACCACCACTACGGGGCTGGGATCTCCAAGCTTTCCATAGGCACGCTCCTTACTCTTCCAAACTCCACATCGCTTTCGTCCCTCCTCTGTTCATCTTCCAAAATCTGCTCAGTACTTCCATGATTGGAGCCACCGCCGTTCCCGGTCCGACCTTCTGTTATACTCGATTTGGATCCCCCACCGGTCCTAAAGGCAATCTGTAAAGCATCCCAAACACATATGGAAACCACATCAATGAATGCTTCGGCGATCATGGGGAACAATTTTTTCTCATCTTCGTTAGGAGTGTCAGGATGGCGGTAACCCTCCTCTTTGTTATGAGTAATGGACTGGCGGTAACCCTCAAGAGCGATTCCAAGAAACCCAGAAGAGATAGCAAGTTGAAGAATAATACGGATTTTTTTCTTCACCGGGACTTATAGGTTCCAGAGTATAGGATTGACAACAATACTGCATGATGCAATAATCGTAACTCCAATACGGATACCAGAACTGGCTGGTGCAAAATAACTGTTTCTGTACTCCTACTGCAATGAAGTAATCTATATATAAGTTAGAGTGCAATCGAATGGGCAAGGGCAAGGCAAAGCTTACAAAAATTGCGACGATACTCGGGATTATAACAAGTCCTACAACTATATCTTCCCAACATCGTCTTTCTGGCATTATTCGGGAATAAACGGCTGCGAAAGTGCATTTGCAAAATGCGAAGTTAATGACAGAGCATATTTCGGACATCTGCGCAATCTTTGTCACAGTGGAGATTGGGAGATCCTTTTGGAAAACTGCTGGAGATGCGAGCATTGGAAGGAAAGCAAGCTATGCGAGTTTAGCTCGATCTATTATATTGTGATTTTCTACATACCACTGCGAAATAAGCATCCAGTCATCAAGCCAAATCCCGAGTGCAAGGTTTCTTAGGGAGGAAGCTTTGGCCTCCTTCTCTAGTTTATACCTGTAATAAAACCTCGATGGGGAACGAGTCAATACAATGGGAATGAAATGAATATTTTGATGTGAGAAGATCATACCTCAAGGGCAGGACAACGCTGAGAACAACGCCACAAAAAATGCATAGGCATATAGCGATTGCGTAGGGAGCGTTAGACATGGCGGCTGCTGTCAGGATCGCTTGAGCGTAGAAAAAGATCTATTCAGGAGGGAGGCATAAAGACATTTTTATCAACAGAAGAGAAGAAACATCTGGGTTCACCTCGTAAGCTTGCCAATATCCCGGTCTAGTATAAGCAACGCTAAAGTTCGCAGCCCGTTCGCATGAATTAGCGAGACGTGGGGTTTGGGGGATATTATTGGCTAATACCGGGCTCAGCAGGCATGCTTTTGCAAAACTCCGGCGTAGGGTAGATCGAAATGTGGGTCTAAACGAGACAGGGAGCATGGAGTGGGGACGCTTGAAGCATTAGCGCGTGTCTGCCCGCCATCGCTGACCTTTCGTTTCTTGCCCACCATTTCCCACCATTTCCCACCAGCTTGCGAGCGCCGACGTCTCAATACCCCGGGCCAAGCCGTCCCGTGGTGTTGCAGGGTTTTTGATTATCGACTAGGAACGGCACGGTTTCTGTAGGGGATCCTCCGGCCATTATTACCGGTTATTGCACTCTTTGAACACCATTGGGTCAGTCCGCGATTTTTTCAGTGCACCACGGAGAGGAAAAGAACAAGCTGAAGAAGTAAGATGATAAAATCCGTATCTCGACTAGTTACGGGTCTTGAATCTATTGTTTCATATAATGCTCCGTAAACGGATCTGTATCCTGCACCGCCCGAGGCGCTCCTGTGGAGTCTCGGTGGATCGAGATGTGACAGATGTCCTGTCTCACTTTGGGCCGTGATGGCACTGCCTGATTTGCCACGCGGGCAAATGTCTGACCTCTTTTAGCAGATAAATCATGGCGCACTCTCACCGAACGATTGGCAATCCCTCCCAACTTTTATCCCAGTTTCACATCAGCTAAATCCAAACGCTTCGAGTTCTTACACCAACAAACACCTTTGATCTTCAAGTTTGTGAAAATTCCAACCGTCTTCCATATAATTACTTCTGGTCAATACCGCCACGCTGGAAGTAACAGCACAAGCATCGGGCCAGGTCTGGGAACCTTGGCCCAATCAGCATGATCAGCTAATCTACGCAATGGATATCTCAGGCCTGCAGTCCTACTACGTTCCGGTACATCTATTCAGCGGAGCGCCATCAACCAGCATGGTAGTGACCCATCCACAAATGCACCAGAACCAGTTCAATTTCACCCCATATACGAGCGCTGGTCAGAACGGAATGGTTCCAGCTTCTGTGAACAACTACATCCAACAGCAACCTCTGCCTCGTTTGACACAATCTGACACTAATAGAACCCGAGGAATATTGTCTCGAAACACTCGACAAGAACCACCCAGCGCAAGTCTAGCTATTAAGTCAGAACCTCAGTGGAACGGCCCAGTCAACTCGCCTTCTGCCAACACCGAAGTCGTCAGCACAACTTCTCTTGTAAATACAAGCAACGAGGTCAATTTCGGAACGGGGGTTGATGGTCTTATGAAGGCTATCCAGGCCAAATCGAAAAACACAACACCGCAGACAACTTCACTTGTCGATCAGAGTAGACCTGTGGTAAGCGTCTCCCGTATCCCTCCTTATGTGTAAGCTACTGCCCAAGTCGGAGCGTATGCTTCGTGGGGAATATTCAATCAAGCTCACGTAAAAGGATCTTTAGGAAGAAGCTAGTAGTCGGCAGGGTGACAAGAAACGCCACCAATGTAGGACATGCCCCAAAAGCTTCCATCAAAAGACACACCTCGATATCCACGAGCGAGCCCATACTGGGGTAAAGCCATACGTAAGTAGCTGCTCTCGCTTTCTATACTAAAATTTGTCTCTAATATTCAGTTTTATAGCCATGCAAAGAACCCGGCTGCGGCCGTAGTTTTTCTCAAGGGGGAAACTTGAGGGTAAGCAGAAGACATTCCTGTCTCTCCATCTTGACTAACGAAGAACTTCAGACGCACGAACGACGGCACAGTGGAGAACGCCCATACGCATGTAACATTTGTTGGAAGAGATTCGCGCAAAGCGGGGGCATCAGGGCACACATGGTCGTTCACAATAAATCTAAGCCCTTTCTCTGTCGTCTCGATGAATGCGACCAAAGATGCACGACGCTGGGTAATCTCAAAGTAAGTTTCCACTATCGAGTCACATTATATTTTCCCCTTAATATACTTCGTCTCGACCCCTTAACTCAGCCACACTCTGGCCCTTCTTCTGGCATGAACTCTCCCTTATCTATCTCCCTTAGCCCCATACGTTTCCGAGAGAGAGGGGCTAATAATGTTTCGCAGCTGCACCAAAACAGATTCCATAGCGATACCATTCGCACTCTGACTACCAAGTTCGCCTCTATTAAGGATGGGGATATCGTTAAAGCTTCTGAGAAAAAAGCATGGGAGTACTTTGCTAATCTGTACAAGAACAGCAACAAGGGCATTAAGGGTCGCGGCAAGGACAGTAAAATTGGCCACAGCGGCAGTGGTGGTGCGAGCTCCATGGGAACTTGCGATGATGATATACCCTTGGCGTTTGGAGAAAGGATATATTGAGGATTCCACGACGAGGTGTGGAAGGGGGATTTGTGACTGCAAGACCTACTGGTGAGAATGGGAATGATTTCTCAACCCGTAACCAGATTTCAACAACTCGCATCTCCCCTCATATTTGGATTCAAGTTTGTAATTTTGCGCAGGTTTCTAGGAAGGGAAGAGAAGGAAGAGGTTGCTTTGGATGGAGAATTTTAATGTTGTGTATTGTGCGTGACTAACCTTCTCTGGTTTATTTACATTACAATGTGATCTTTTTATCAACCAACATTTGAATGGATTTTAGCGAACCCCCTTTCCTGCGCGCATCAGGTGACTTGCCTCACGTTATATGAGTGCAAGAGAACTTTCGCTGACATGGCACAATGGACGAAGGAACGTGAACTGATTGGAACTGTAGAGTGCCATGCAGCACCCCATGTTGCGGATGTCCGAGTCAGAGGATAATCTCCCCCCTAATTAAATGTAACAAGGGCCTACAGCGCAGACATTCTACCATACAAAACATCCCGGTCAAGAGGGCCCACTATTGCATTTAATTAGGGGGGGAGCCCCTACCCCTTCTTTCATGGGATATGTCACTCAAAAAGAGAGGCAGATGGAGTCATTTGATTCGATCTAAAGCAAGCCCTCAAGTGTCCACCAGACCAGAAAACGTATTGTAGCTTGACCCTTGCCGATCCAAACGCCTCCGCCCACGCGCCTCCTCAATTCTGGATCCGAGCATTTCCCGTTTATCAAGTCATCCATGATGGATGGATCGCCGGAGCACGGCAATCACCACAGCGCTCATCTAGTCTGTGTTTCTTGTTAGGTGTAGCAGATACCTGTGAGCTGATTTAACAGACCTGAACTCACAACGGATGGAGGGCAGCGTTTATGGGTTGTCTCGTAGTTTCCACACCATGCTCGAACAGTGTAACGAACATGGCCGCAGCGGAACTCGACCTGCGTATAGTCGCACATCGTCGGAAGCAGGTGGAGAAAAGAGGTGGTTATGGAACGTTGTGAAATCGTTGATGACTGGCGGGGGGGATTAGTACCCCTTTTATGCTTTCGAATTTGAGATTTTCACGGGAAGAGCTTCGAGTATTGAAAGAGCTAGTAGGGAGACGTCTTTCAGTGATTTGAAAAATTGAGCCCCAGAAAATTGGTGGAAAAATCTACAAACACTGCTCAATATTGCAGTTACATAAATAATTTACCCTCTCACAATCAGTGCCATCGCCGGTGCTATTGTGGCTCTGGTAATGTATTTCTTGTTGCGGCGCTGCTGCTTGGCCGATTTTCCATGTACATTCTAAGGATCTCGTTGCATTGAGCTCTTCGAACCCCAGCGATGTAAATGCAGCCGTGCCTGACGTCTCGCCCGTTGTTTCCACAAGCCCCCACCATGCATGTGTCCCAGCACTTAAAAGTGTTTCCCGTATATGTTCAACCCCTTGACCAGAATTCCGATGTATGTTGTTGGGCTTGTGCGCGGAAGGATTGCTCGGCGCATATAGATAGACTGGTGATGGTAACTTGACTTCTGATCCAAGATATGTTGATTCATTCGTTGCAAAGATTGGGGGGTTCGAGTTTGCATTGGTTGGGAAATCATTCGTGAAAGCTTGAAGGCTCGAGTCTGCCTTGGGTCGCCAAAACATGAGGTTGAATTTGAACTGCGCTGCAAATTGCTGCAGGACCCATGCCAACAGAAACAGCTCAGCGACCGTATACTTTATCTGTATATCTTGTCAAAGGGCATTTACGGATGGCGGGAAGTTAACTCACCCACAGGGATAACTCAAAGTCAATATTGTCTGTCGCGTAGCAAATAGCAGAGGATATAGCAGAAATGGTAGTGAGTAAGCTGAGAATTGTGTTGGCCAAGAGAATGTCAGGAATCGGGGTTTTTCCTTGCATCCCTTGCTTTCGTTCCCGATGGTACTTGCAAAAGCCATATCCATAGCAAACCGATAAAATGAGATATATTACCGCGAAGAACAAAAGACCTGCGAGATGATATTTCTTCTGGGCAGTCTTTAGCTCGTAAGGGGCCACTGTAGAGAGTAAGGACACCGCGGTAATAATAACGGATATGGAAATTGATGATAGGTATTTGTGGCCCTCACAGATCTCGCGGACCTTCTCGCCGAATGGAAATAGCGATATAAATTGCGATGCCCTCAAGCACTGAAAATGCAAATCGCGAGTTAGCATAGCCTCTCAATGAACCAGGCAACTCACTTGATAGAGAATCAAAGTTCCATTGCCTAATGAGAGAAGAATCTGAATGACAATTTCTGTTCCCCGGATAGAAAATATCAAGAGCAGTATGTTAATAAGAACGAGTATCAAAGTCAGGACGATATCATATATGATAAAATTCTCTTTCCATCGCGAGTGCTGCAAGCAAACAAGGAAACCCTTTGGTCCAGTAATACAATTTGTGATGACAGAGAGCACCAGTGATGGAACCAATAAACCCATTTCTCGGAATGAAACGAGTAAAAGGCGGTCGATCCGGATTTTGCAGGCCGAAGACCCCTGAGACAGAAAACTTCACCAGAGCCGGGCGCGAGGAAGCGGGTACCCTGCAGGAGGCGCGTGGAAAGGGCGAAAGACGAGGAAAAGGCTGCAAGAGAAACTCGGTAAGGGGGAATTGATTGATTGCGAACGAAGTGAGGCGGGCGTATGCATATTGCCTCGTCTTGAAGCTTCTTCTTATACATGACCCTCGATCCCCACGGTTTTAGCAATCAATCTCACGTTCAGGACTAACATGGTCATCAAGACACACCCGAAGTCCCGCCCAAGCCTCGCCATCCGGAAGAGTTGCCCCGCGTCAGCTAAAAGAAACGATATCACTCAAATCTATGGTGGCAGAGGCAAAAAGCAATCTGTGGAGCCGGGGTGTCTCGAGTCAGAGAGTATTTGGCCAAGGCAGGCGGGCGGCCAATGATAGCACTGCTGTTTGCCGCTGGTTACGGCGTTCCCGCCTGTTCCGATGGGCAACCTTGTCTCGCTTCGCACCGAAACAGGGTTGTTCAGGTGCGAAGCGAAAGGGCATTCGTATCTCCACTTTGTCTTCCTGCCTTCTCTCCACCAGCCTTGCATCATGGGAGGACCACCAGGGAGGAGAACCAACGCCCAGCTGGCAGCTCTTCTCCTCTCTACAGAAGCCCAACTGCAAGCAGTGATAGAACGGAACGCGTTCTTAGAACAACAGACTACATTCTTAAAACAGCAACTCAATCAATACTCCACAATCTCTCCTCCACCAGATCACCACCACAAGATTCCAGCGAGACCCGCGGTCGAGAAATTGTCTGCTACTGTTCAAGGCCCTGTGCCTTCCACCCAACACAGGTGTCCCACCTGCCATCAAGATAATCTAGTCACAGATTGCACCATCCTCAAAGCTCAGCATGTGACTATCGGTCACGTGGGCCCAGTTTTGTTCTCACTTTGTTCCCAAGTGAGCATTGGTAAAAATCAGCCGAGCATCTACAATTCTGACACAATAATATCCACGTGAGGAGCTTTAGGTGGAAGCGATTCGAGCTGACTTCTCTCACGTTATCGAACACACTGAATTAGATTTTCATAATTTACAGCACTTTTCAGAGATTTCCAGCAAAGAAAACAAGTGATGGTGGTGTTGAAACCCCTCCTCCCTTCTGGTCCTAACTGAAACAAATCAAGGGAAACGCATCCACGACCGTTCAACCCTTCTTCCCTTCCGAATACACAACAGAAAACGCCGCTCACTACGCCGTTCAAGTCTCCTTCCCCTCCACCTTTCCGCCAGGGAACGCATCCACCACCGTCTTCGCGTCGTCCATCTCACCGCTCACTTCAATGATACTGTTCGAAAAATGTGCGTTCTTCGGATCGAATATCTGCTCTGGTTTTTTCCGATCTCCAATTACCTCAATCCGCAAGGAATCGTGAATGATATGGAAGGTCTCGTCAAACTCCTCATTCTCTCCATATGCCTCCAAACGCACATTATCAATGTCATATGATATACGAAGCAAAATGCCATCAAAGTCCGGTTGGCTGGATCGAATATGGACGAGTTGCCCTATGGCTAGGAATGCCCGAAGTACCCGAAGCACATTCTCGGTCGAGTCTTTTCTATTTCCGATGAACTCTTCACGAAATCCCGCTTTCTCAGCGCTGAGAAGGTTGTGCAGCGCTATGCAGGAGGGAGCTAGTTCCATCCTCTCGTCCGGGTCTTCCTCCTCCGAGAAGCGCTCCCACATCCAGGATGCAGCCGTCAGCAGTCTCCAGTCCACTGGAATCAATGCGGCCTTTGGAGGGGGCGGCGGCGGCGGCGGCAGCCATGTTCTTCCTGGCTGCAAGTGATGTGGTGTTGATGCTTTCTCGGACAGTAGGCGAATAATCTCCAAAGCTGCCGTGAGTTCTTGCTTGGATGACTTGCCGCGCAACTTGCCCCACCATCTGGTCACGATGCCTCCTTGACATGCGCTACGATCGCCTCTCATGGCTTCGACTGCGAGGTTTAAATTCTTCCATGATTCAATATCATTACGGACTGAAGCCTCCGTCATGTTGGAAGAATGGTGTGGAAGGTGAATGATGTGGAAGGTGAATGATGTGGAAGGTGAATACGTGGAAGGTGAATGATGTGGAAGGTGAATGATGTGGAAGGTGAATGATGTGGAAGGTGAATGATGTGGAAGGTGAATGATGTGGAAGGTGAATGATGTGGAAGGTGAATGATGTGGAAGGTGAATGATGTGGAAGGTGAATGATGTGGAAGGGGGTCAAAGAAATCTGGGAGAATTGGGGCGAGCGGGCATGAAAGGGCGAATGTCCTCCTGCCTATAACCCAAATGTCGTGTGACAACATTTGCAGAAAGTGTAAAACATTGCAGCCCTTCCCCGCCCCAATGACATACTGTCTTACGGCTCGCGACATGGAACCACAACCCAATGAAATTTATAACAACGATAGGGGTCATGCAGGCGGAGGCAACCGAATTGGGGTTAGGCTACCCAGTGGGTAGCAGGTGGAGATCTGCAGCCGAATTGGGGTTAGGCTACCCAGTGGGTAGCAGGTGGAGATCTGCAGCCGAATTGGGGTTAGGCTACCCAGTGGGTAGCAGGTGGAGATCTACAGCCGAATTGGGGTTAGGCTACCCAGTGGGTAGCAGGTGGAGATCTGCAACCGAAATCGGGTTTGGCTCTCGAGCAGAATCCCAGAATCCATCGCCCGTCTAAAGTCAAGAACAGGACATGAAGATATCTGATGTGGCTCCACTTGGTGATGGCATATACGAATTAGAGAAGGGGTCTGGTGATCGAAAGCTGCGCGGTGGAGATCTTGTGAAACTTCAGCTTGGCGGTATCTAGTCAGCCTTTACTTTCCAAAGTATAGAAGAATGTCGATGTCTCGTAAGATACTTTGTAAATTGCCGTTTGCTCTCATCGTTTGAAGAAGATAGGCTGATGATTCTTTTTGCCGCTTGGGACGGTAAGTAGGCCGGGTGGGCGGGCAACCACTTGTGCATACGTGCACATTCATCTCCAATTGTTTCTTGTCCAATATTCTTTGCGTTCTTCGTCTCGTGGAGGAATGCCACCCAAAGATGATATGCTAGTCAAGCCAGTTATACCGAAGAGCTGTCGAGTCAGATATCGAAGATGCATATGGGGTGAATGCATGTGGAGTGGAGCAATGGACCAATGGTGGAGTGGATGCATATGGAATGGATGCACATGGAATGGATGCATATGGGTGTGGATGCAGATAGATGTGGCAAGGATTCTCGCAGCCCCGTCTCAGAGCCTCCACTGTGGTGCCACGAGTGTATGCATAAGCCGGGGCTTTGGTCATTATGATTTTCCGTGTGACTACTCCTGCATCTGCTAATCATTCATTTCTTGTCTGCTTTCCCCACGCTTTTTTTTGGTTTGATTTCTTTGCGTCTCCTAAAAGGCGGAGCCTCTTAAAAGAAATTATGAAAGTCGAGTTGATGCTATGATAAAGCGATTAGCGAAATTGCCCTGTTATCGATATCATTGGATCCAGTGTGGACTTGCCGGTATCAAGGTCCACCCTGTGCGGCGTCACCTTAGCCCGACATCTGCAGTGCCATCACCCGGCTCCAGCAGCCAAACAGTTGTGATCCACGCACTTTGGATTTGACCGCCCTCGCTGCCGCTTGCCATTTTTGTGAGAAGGATGTTACCCAATTAAACCGTTAGTCAAATGCCACCGAAAGTCGGTTGCGGGGTCCGCTCTTTGTATTCATTTTAAGCCTCCAAATCGGGGATCTTGATCCCCTGCTCGGACCGGCCAAGAGTGGGCAGTGAGTTCATAGGCTCATGGAAAAGACCGTCCACGACACGCTGTATGAATGAGGTGGCCAACAGAGATCGGGCGGTTATATGATTGAAATGCAGCTCGGAGACTGGAATGGACACACCAGTCCCGAAGGGAAAGGAAACTCAACTAGGATCCAAGCCATATGTGCACATGTGGTTGCCCACCCACCCTGAATTTAGAGCGGCACTGCATGGCCCTATTTCTGATGCTGAAATGCGAGGCATTTGGGGCTCTTTCCCACCATTCGGAGGGGTCACATCACACCATGTCTCCTCAATCAGCAGAGGCCGTTCTTTCCTCCAATGGATTCAGCTAGCAAAATCGATCCCACGTATTCCTTTTACTTACTAGTGATGCCCCACCTTCCAAAAGAGTGCTATCTGGTGACCGAGGTACAAATTCTCAAACATGGAGCTAAACCTGCAGCACTATGCGGGCTCTCTTCCCCATTCTGAGCGGAAATTGCATCTTCACATGCACTCATATGCCACACCACCCGAGGACCATACTCAGTGTGTCCGCCTCACTTTAGAAATGTAATCCTATTCGCAGACTTCGCAGTAGCCTATGAACGAGCGTCATATGCGCAGTTCTCTGTTGGCTTAAATGGACAAAATGAGGCTCCGCGAATCTCTGCAGTTCTCCAAGGGCACCACACTTCGTTTCACCTATAAGACGCGGGGCCCAGGAAAATTGCAAATAGGTAGACCCATCCAGAAACACTCCCTAACACAGCCGTCATGTCTTTCGAACCCCTCGCACAGCAACTGAGCAATCCTGGTATGTAAACTTAGGCTCCATTAGCTTCGGATTTATTAATGACCAATCCTAATTTATCCTAGATGCCCAGAAGAGGTTAGAAGCAGCAATCCAGCTCTCTAACAACATTGAGCACTACGCATCTGTTCCAATATACGAAAAGTTTTTGAAGAAGCTTGTCCCAATCTTTATCAACTGCCTCAATGGCCCGCCAGTTTTTGACAGCACATCCTCAGAGCAGGTAAGACCACCGCGCTCGAGCTACGAGTAACATTCTAACCCACAAGCAGCAGCTTCGACTTCGCATGCTCAAAATCTTCCATCAACTCCCTATGAACCTCCCTGAACCCTTCGAGCCATATGCAGAAGAGGTAGTGGACTTGTTGCTAGGTTTAGTGACAACAGACAATGAGGAAAATGCGTTGCTATGTATTAAGATAATCATCGATATCATGCTACACCGGACCAAAGTTGTTGGAAACAAGTTCAATCCGTTTGACCTCATCCCACTTGTGGCCGATCAGATAAAGAAGTTGGTGGTGGAACAGTTCGAGCCTCATAACTCTACACCTCGAATATCAGCACCAGGGAGCTTCCAGCAACAGCGAACTATCCCGTTTGCCAAGGCTTCGTTCAGGGTCCTTGCAGAGTGCCTTGCCATTCCCCAATCAATGCACCGGCCTACCTTAAAATCCATCAAGCTCCCCTCCCAATCCGTCGAGCTCCCCTCCCAATCCTTCGAGCTCTCCTCCCAATCCTTCGAGCTCTCCTTCCAATCCATCAAAAGCGTCCTCCTTCTTCAAGCTAAACCCCAAGAGCAAGCCCATGCCAAAGCAGCAGCGAAAGGAATGATATTCACAGGAGTCGGTCCAAACAACAGAGCAGTTTTCGCGGAGTTTATTGGGACTCAAGTCAAGGCTCTAAGCCTGATTGAATACCTGTTCCGAAACTCTAAAGAAGAGCTCACCAAACTCGCTGGATTCAAAGATTTCCTATCAATTCTTCCAGGTATCGTGATCCGACTACTGAAAGATTGTCCACGCGAGTCGACGAGAATACGACAGGAGCTGTTGGAAACGATGAGATATATTTTCAACCTCCATTTCAGAACTCAATTTCGAGATTCGATCGGGGAACTTCTTGATAGGCGGATCTTAATTGATGACGGCTTGACTGTTTACGAGACTCTGCGACCTCTCGCATATGCTACGGTAGCTGATCTCATCCACCACCTTCGAGATGCTCTTGAGCCACCTCAAATTCGGAAGATAATAGAGGTCTATATCAAGAATCTGCAGGATGACTTTCCTGGTACTGGCTTTCAATCAATGAGCGCCAAGCTTCTATTCGACATGGCCGAATGTACTGCCAAGATTCTTGACAAGGTTGATGCCCGCCACTACCTGATCATGATTCTGAATACAATTGGAGACAAGTTCGCTACCCTAAATCAACAACATCCTAATGCTGTCAAGCTATCGAAGTTGTATGCCCAGACAGACAAGGATGATGTTCCCGACTGGGACGAGATTGATATCTTCACAGCCATGCCAATCAAAACGCGGGATCCTCGTAATCAAGTGGAGGGTAACAAGTTTTTGTTCAAGATTCTCATAAATGGCGTTAATTATATCTTCTGCCAGCTGAAGGTATGCAAAATCGGATCGTCAATCAGGTTCACTGCAGAGGAGGTACAAGTTCTCATTAAACTCTTTCATGAAGCGGCCTGCGTCTTCCGGCATTATGAGACTGATAAATCCCTAACCGAGTCGCACGCGAACCCTCTTGGACTGGTAGCCAATTGCTATAACTCTAGTACCGAGGAAGAAAAGGATTTGATCAAGGCTTTTGTGGCCGTCCTCGACATGGATCTAACGACATCACACGAAATCTTCGGCGACCGATTTCGGACTACTACCCCAAAATTGTCCGAGATTCTGCCCAAACTCACCCAAAATCATAAGCAGATGATCCGCATCGAACACGCCTTCAACACTGGCGCGGAGAAGTGGTTTGACGACCTCAATCATTCGAATATCAAAGAGGTTCGCAACTGGGTTCAATTTGTCCAAGTAGCCACGCGTCGCATCTACACTTTTGAGAGAATCGATGATTGGCCTGATCTCGAAAAGTCGGCTCTTCTCAATCAGTTTCAAGAGCGGAAAGTCCAACTCATTCGGAATCGCCCAATCCAAGCTGCGCTAAACAGCGTCAAATGGCGTGTCCAAGAATTCGGCTTCGTAGTCGCGTCCAACCTTTGCATCAAGTCCTCCGCTAGGCACATCATTGATGTCAAAAAGGACGTTCTCAAAACTCGACTTCGACTTTCCCGAAAGTGCGCAGCTATGCCTGGCCACTACATGGAGCCCTTCGTCGAGATAATCATCGATGGGGTACAAAGTGTCGAAGAAATGGTTCACGGAACTCGGAATAGCACATTCCGAGCTCTACTATACAAGAACTTGAACCTTTACTACAAGGAATTCTGGGCCCTGCTATTGGAAAAGATCGAGGAGCAAAAATACGGATGTTTTTTTGCCCAGATTTTGGAACATCTTGACAGTGGGCCACTCCGGAAGGCCGTCGTTGAAAACGTTGGAAGACTGATCGAAATTTCCGGAGACATGGGTGCCGGCGCTCGATATACTGCCGTGATTAACTCTATTCTTATCATGCATTCGCTCTGCAAGTTTGAAGGAGACAGAGAGTGGATGGATAAAAGGGAAATCACTATTTGGCTCAAGACAGTAGGCAAGAACCTAGAAGCGCATCTGCGAACCAACACGATCCCACCACATCTTCGTCTTGCGGCCGAACAAGCTAGCGAAAAGTTGGTGGTGATCTTTATAAAGTTCTTGGAATACCACCCCACGGACTTCGACGCTCTTTTTAGCCTCATCGACTCCGTGACAAACGAAGATTTCCGGCTAACTCAGCCGCTTCGCGTATACATTTTCAACCATATCACCAGCAATTCCATCGAATACTGCAAAACGGTTGTGCTACGGAGTTTGGAGGTTTATGCAAGCAAGGGCGCATCGCAGAAAACCAAAACTTTCCTGCTGTGCCACATTGTTAATCCCATCATTGCAATGGACAAGCGGGATTTCCTAATGGACAAGGCTGTCATCGAATCCATTCATACGAAGATTTGGAAAGTCAGCCCAGGCGATCCAAACGATTTGGAGGTGCTTCAGTTAACTGCTATGCTTGTCAAGCACCATCACTCAATTGTTCATGATATGAGGCAGGATATCATCCAATTTTGCTTCGCTCGCAGCGAAGATAGTGTCTACAACAAACATGCCGCTGTCGTTATGGGCTATTGCGCCGCACACTTTGAGATACCAACCAAGATCATCCAACAACTCTACACTTCGGCTTTGGAATCGAGTCATTGTTCATTAGTGGTTCAAGCCTTAGAGCTCATTGCTCCAAATTTGTCCAATACCGTACTAGTGGCTGTGCCTCTCCGAATCCTTACAGAAGAAAGGCAGGACGCCGAGCAGATGAGAACCGTCCTCAATTTCTTGGCCAAACACGCCGATTGGTTCTTCGAGGATCGGGAAAGGTTTATCGTACCAATTGTAGAGTCACTTCGAGTAATTGCGCCGCCTTCAAATTTTTGCCGTGATGGCAATTTTTGCCGTGATGGCAAGGAATTGGCTCACCAATTGATAACGTTAGTTTTGCAATGGGAACGACAATGTGTCGAAGGCAAGAAACCTCTGAGCACGGAGAAGCGCAAGTCTGGCGGTTTAGGTGAGCAACTGACCTTCACCCGCTCTGTAAATAATTAACTCAACCTCAGCAGATAAGCCTGGGTACAAGACTCCAACTGCGGTTCGCGTCAAAATGATTACTTATCTGATGGAATTCATCAACCTATCCCAGGTGGAAAGGACCAATTCTTTATCCCTTCTTAATGACCTTCTGCGGTGCTGGGGAGTCCTTGAGATTGATATATCCAAAAACCTCGAGATCCCTCGGGCGGAAATGAATTCCAAAACAATGGACAACATCTTACAAGCCGTGCGGGGTGGGCGCCTGACTTGAAGGCGGTAGTGGAAGAAGAGAGTGAATAGGTTTTGGAGAAGTGAATACTTGGCATTTTCCTTCCAACAAAAAAAGTACACATGGTTCAACACCATTAGTACTGTCAACCTCGGACTTTTCCTATAATAGTTGCTGGGTATTTGAGAGCGTTTCTTTGGAAGCTTTATGAAAACAAAATCAAAAATTGTACCCTGAATAAACCTCCACGCCCAAGTTTTGGTGCACGTTCTCATGTTTTCTATTCTCGGGTCGATGACTGGGTTAATACAAATGGTTCGTGGAGACGAGGGATTGTTGGTAGAGATGTTTGGAGAGGTGCTAAAGCAGGAAGTGGGCCAGTTTCAAGGCTAGTGTTATATATTTGAGAATCCAGTTTTTCCCTAGAATCTCTGTGGATGAAAATCGAGTATATCGGGCGAGCGTTTCCCGCTCGCTTCCCGGGCTGCCGGGCATCCGATCCCCCACAATACATTTCGGTGCTGCCAGGCACCACGTGTATACTGAATCGCCTTGGACCGCAGTTTTTCGTTATATAGCCAAGGGTGCCGCTTACGCATCCGGTCCGTAATTAGCGTGTCCCTGTCGTAATAGTCTACGCTAAGGAAGCTTAACGATTAAAGGATTACGTAAATGTCCGTCATATTTATTTAATTTATTCTCGTCATTAATCTTTATCAGTTTCCTCCCCGGCTCTAGCAGCCTGTCCTTATCCTTCCCCTATATCCATATTACCATAATAGTCATTAGTTTATTAAGGCTCTAGTAGCGGCGGGATACCTGTTCTTTTAGTCTTTCCGTAGTATCTGGATCCGCCGCATACCAGTTAAAGGCTAGCTTATTCCACTCGTATACCCAATTTATAAGTAGGGCCTCTAGTATTATAAGGCTATTCTTATTATATTCGAATATCCTAATACCAAGGAAGCATAACGCCTGGCAAATTCTGGAGTGAGAATCAAGGGCTGCTTTGTCCGGAGAAGTATTTGGGCTCATAGTTCGGTTATATATAAATATAATCTAGTATTTAGTTATCTCCTTGAGCCTATCGAATTCATAGTACGAAATCTAAATCTCTCCTGGCATTATTATCTTTAGGAAGGTAATTAAAGTTAGAGTAGTCTTCTTTAGGATAGACGTTTAAGTTAGAGCAAGGGCTATATATCTCCGTCCCGAAACCTCCTCTATAATTATTGCCCACTTTTACGATATTACTAGTATTATAAATTTTATTATTATAGGCGAAGTAGATGATTTTCGTTATAGTTTCCTTAATTATTATAATACTTCCGCAAATAACCTAACTATATATAGTAGTGGCTAGGTTAGTAGAAATAGTAATAACGCTATTCGGCACCTCGTAGCTTAATGCCGCTATACTACCTATAATACGTTTAGCCTTTCGTACGGCGACTTTGCCAAGTAATATGGGTCTAAATATGTTTGCGATATAGAGTATTCGGAACTAAAGCTAATTTCAAACTATATAGTATAGTACTTTTAACTCTCTTGCGTTTATTCCTATTAACTCAGACTACTGCAAGGTAATTTGAACTATTTGTATAGTAGTAGCCATTAGGTAGAAATAGCGCAAAGTGACATATGTAGGCGGCTACTGACTACTGACCGCAAAAGTTTCCAGCCATAGTAAGGCTAAAGAGTATTAAAGGCACATTGAGATAGCCAGTCATTGACCTTCGGCCTATACCCTATTCGCTAGCAACACCTATTCTAGCTCTGTTATCATTTTCTACTACGTTTGTCAGAACAATATATAGGGATTCCCGAGGTCGGGGGACATTTTTAATGCCAGGATACCAGATTTCGAGGGATTTTTTAGCTACCTCCGCTTTTTGCCGTATCCATTTTTAGTCCCAACTCCCCCTCTCTCACTCCATTCCATTACACCTTCATACCATTCGTCTACCAGGCGCTCCTAAGGTTTTTTTGATTTTTTTTGATATGAAGGATTTCAAAATTACATGCCTTAACGCACGCCTTCAAAAATCGGCCCTTACTCAGAAATGGTATTTTCACCAAGACACAACTCCCTTCTGAGCGTCTTAAAGGATTTTCGCTTCTTGGATTTGGATTAGAAGTAGTGTTAGTATTGTGATCCAGAGAGTTAAATACTTTTAGGGAACCTAACAGCATCAAGGCGGCCCTGGTTATAATTGGTCTCATCTCCTCCCTTTCATGTGTATTTTTCCTTCTCAGTTCTGTGCTTAATTTATATATCATACTATTAAGGACGGGGGGCCTCCCATGTTTTATTACAGCAGAAGGAGGAATGGTTTTTGCAAACTGTTTACTTGCTCTTGTTGGCGCTATCATTATAGCGTTTACACAACTTATAGATTTGGGTTTGCTCTACTCGATCAGCACTTGGGGTGTCAGCGATTCGGTAGGAGGGTCGGGAGAGCGAAGGATAGCTTCTAATTGAATTCGAGACTTAATTTCGTGCGGTTAATGTTTTGGATGATTTGAAGCTTCTTCAGAGTCAAAGTGTGAAGATAATACATTCTTAGGATATCCACTGGCTTAGTATTTTGAATGAAGGAGTATCAAAGTACCCAATTCAAGCACAACAAGGTATAGCTAAACTTCACATTTTCCAAACACCTATCTACCGGTGGGTCTGTTATTGAGTAAATGTTCCTAGCTCTAACAAGGAGAGAGTATAAAGGAGAAAAAACTAAGCCAGCTTTAAATCTCTTCCCAAATACTTCCACTCCTTCCACCGACCATCCGAACCAATTGTTCGGAGGTGGTATTACGAACGTCGGAACGCTCCTACCAAGACCATTCCTGGACCCAATCACGGCTCCTCTACTAATATCGCTGTAAGGCCGCAACAGCCTTTGCCTTGGCTCGGTGTTAGCTCGGTTTGACCGTGCTTGATAGTTCAACTTTTTCAACCTCCACCACGAATTATGGCCGACTCCTGTTGTATCTGCGGCGTGGTCTTAGCTCGCGTGGAATGATGTGGCCTCCCTGCATCGAAGATCCAAACAAACCTCACCTTATAGCCCTCCAGAATCAAAATTATTGGCTTTATGATATCACGTGCAAACTTCAATCCTGTCCTGCGGAGGTCGATTCTTTAGGCCAGCATCCGTCGTCTTCTTCTATGGCCATATGACCAGTAGAATTCTACCGGCCTTGGAAATATCAAGGAAGCAGGAAAGGCGGTTTCGGTGAGAGCAGTAGAATTCTACCGGCCTTGGAAATATCTAGGAAGCGGTTTCGGTGAGACCAGTAGATTTCTACCAGCCTTGGAAATACTTAGAAAGCAGGAAAGCGGTTCGGTATGACCAGTAGATTTCTACTAGTCATACATAAGCCCTGCAATACCGTACCCGCCTGGGAAAAGGAAAATGTTGTCTGGTTCCCTAAATGCTAAGGTGACCCTGGAGTTCACCCTGCCTGCGTGATTGGCTGTCCAGAATGCTGTTTTCGACTGACAAGTATCGCTTACTCGGAAATGCGTCTGCCAATCATTTCCTGTCACTGCTGAAACGCGCGCCTGCAACGCCAGTCAAAGAAGAGACCTCACTTGGGAACTGGGGAGCGGAATGACTTTCTTTCCGCTCATCTGTTTTTCGTTCCCCAAGAGCAGGAGGCGGACTGTTCCATTGCCCTTCGAAAATGCGCAAGTCGCAAACCCGTGTCCAGAGCAAACTTTCCGAACTGGCCACCGAAACCTAACTTTCAGTACTTGGAAGAATGCTATTGGCTCGCTAGGCCGCCCAATGTAACCGCTACTGAAGGCGGCGACCGTATTTGTTCAAAGCGGCGGCCCGACAATTGGCTTGTTTCTACTCGCTACATACCCGAGACCACCGCCAAGCCCGAGCACAACTCTGCTTCCAGCCTCATATTTCCTACTTGTTTACATATCGCACGAGAATATGTCACAGAAGGGCGACCCGCCACCCTACCAGCTTGTAGACCCCAACCCGCGAGGAAAAAAGCGTAAAGACGACCCGCCAGTAAATAAGCGTAAAGACGACCCGCCACCCTCAAGACCCCCGAAAGGCAAGAAAGGGAAGAGATATGTTCACATCTGGCATTGCGTAAGGCCCCAAATCAAAATCCACGTCAGTACCTACAGTAACACGCACGCTTAAACAGTGTGCATGCGGAAAGGCAAGCATTGGAATTTTGGTCGAGTCGTGCCCAGACTGTAGCGTGTCAAGGTGTCCTTATTGTAGGACAGAAAAGATCAGGGTGCAGTGATAGATTGGAAGTGTGTTCGGTCAAGGGCGGATTCGCGACGGACGATGTTTGTTTGGGAGGAGAAGGTTTTCTGGGCACAAGCCTGTTGGCTCGGCTAACTCAGACTTTTAGCCCCCGGCCACCTGGGCCAGCCGTGCTTTATCACGTGTTACGAGCTCGACTAGAACTAAATATTTATACCTGAGGCATGAAATTATCTGACGGAAGAGAATGAGTTTGATGACAATGATATTTTATTAAATAAGAACTTCAAAACAATGATTAAGTACTATTTAAGCTACTACGCGAAGGACTTCTAGATATTCCCAAGACTGGTAGGAATCTCCTGGTCATACCGATCCGCCTTCCTTCTTCCTGCGTTACGGATAGTATCACGTGCACTGGTGCATCCCTAAATAACTGCCTCAATCGCGCGACCCACCTTCTTTATAAGCCCCACCGACAAGCGAGCCTCATTACCTGATTGCCACGTCGCGGAAAGAGAAGCATAAAAAAATCACTTGATATAGGAGGCGAGTCGGGCAAACGACCAGAGGGACACGAAATGTAACGGAATTGAGACTCGGAATGCGGCTCAAAATACGGCCTTGATTAATGTCACATGCCGTGGCTGAACACGTCAGAAACGCCCTGTGCTGTAACGCTGCATACTAAGGCTATATTGGGTCTGCCGGGCCGTTCAGAGCTGAGGGGCCCCGCCCTGCTGTAGTGTGAAGAGGCAGAAGTGCAGGATTCTGGGTTTCCAGAATAGGGAGGCGCCACGAGAGCGAGTACTCGGTGAACGAAAGGAGTATTGGCTAGATGTGTTGGAGTTTCTCGACTAGGATGCAGTCGCATATCTGGTTACGATAAATCTGCAAGAAAGCCTTACTTTCAAATTGATAGGCGCTCGTGCGAAGTTTCCATTTTGACATATGGCGTGAAAGGTTATCGTCAGGCAGCCAAACTCTCGCCTAGATTTAAGAGCCTGCAAAGCTTGGGGTCATGATTTCAGCCACCCGGACGACTTGCGGGTCGCTCCGCAATCAGCCGCAGGTGAGGCACAGAACCCATCATGATTGAGTGTCTGAAGCCTCGCCGCCCTCGTCTAAGCGGTGACCCGCCACGCAGGGGGGGGGGGCAGGGATGCGAGAAACGTGCCACAGCGCGGGGTAGAATCAGTTCTGAACAGGCACCTGCTCTCACACCCTCTTGGCCTGATTACCATGCACTTTTCGGAACCGCTCGAATCCAATTAATGGATTGTTGTTGACAACAATTGTCTAGGCAACAATATGCACTGATAAGAAAGGAAGCCTTCTATTGGGGGAGAATAAATCAAGGAACAGACTCTCTGGTCATGATGTGTCTCGACCAGGGCCTGCTCGCAGACTGAGCCGTATTCTCAGCCTCCTCAACCAGCTTTTCGGGAATTTCAGTGCACTCTCTTATGCCATGGTTGGCTCCTACTACCTGCCACATGAAGTGACAGAAGAGCTGCGCTGGGCGTATTCGGGGAATGTGACTCATGACTTCATCGGTACGGCGGCGTGATGTTGAGACGACCCATGGCAGTCTGCTTAAGGTCCACATCGACATACTCGAAGTATTTAAAGCCCCTAGAGTGCCCTTTGTCAACTGCCCTTTGTCAACGGCAACACCGCATTCCTACAGTATCTATTATCAGCTTCTTAACAAACCCTGGTATCCTTCCCTGCCTCTTCAGTCATCAGAAAACATGGCCAACCAGATCGAGAATCTCTCCATAAACAATGCTGGGGCTCAAACGCCAGCACCAAGGCTCGGAAAGTCCTCGAACAATCAGAGCATGTGCTCCTCTTGTGGTGCAGTCTACGCACAAGGTACCTCGCACACCTGTCCCAAGTACGTGCACCTGATTACTCTCCTTCGTCTGAACGTAATGCTCATGATAATTGTCAAATCTAGGTAGAGCATCCAGCGAGGACTGCATCTACTCTTGACGGGCTAGTTGTGTTGGATGGGGGTGAGCTAGGTCTACTTGGGGATATGTAGAGCATTCATTTGTTGTAGCTTTCGTTATGGAGGAACGGGAATGATTCGGAGTAGGGCGTTCAATAAGCTGCAAAATATGTTTCTTTTAATCTCTAGGCAATAAACTTGATCTCAACATACTTTCTCTTGCCAGAGACTAATCATTGCCCCTTCATTTTGGCTTCCATCTCATTGAGATATTTCTTTGCCTCTTCACGATCGAATCCATAAGCTAATCGTACCATTTCGTAGGTAAGTTCTTCTTCCATGCCTTCGAAAACGCCGAACTTTTCAAGTATGGCGTAGATTCTGGATGCAGCCCCGTCTAGCACATCGGCTATTGACTTCTGTGAGGATCTTCCTCTACTCTTGAGTGCCTGCTCCTCCGCATCTCGAAACTTCTGTCGGTACATTTTCCGTGCTGCAACTTGGCGGGATACGTTGCGGTGTGCTATGTGGTCCGGGTTTTGTAGAATGCAGTCGGTCTTTGCGTCGGCAGAGATGAGCGGAAAGGGCATTGGGTAGTGGTTGACCTCCCAAGGCGCCGTCTGAGCAAATTCCCAGTCGATTATAGCGAGAAAATTAAAGTCCTGATCGATGAGGATATTCTGCGTTCCCATGTCCATATGGTTGAAGTGGAACGGCCCCCCACCAGTTTTGAAAAGGGCTGCATTGTGCACGATGTCTTTGAACACGAAAGGACCCAGTCTAGAAAAAAAGCTGCTGTCGTCGTTAGCGGCATCATTTTTGCAGGCGTGACGGAATTTAGCATCTGCGACAGCAGTGAAATAGTCCCATGCTTCCGTAAACGGGCCATCATTTGAGAGGCCTTCTGCTACGGCTGTAGAGAGTTTGCCGATAATAGCACCGGTGTCTTTGGAGAAGTGGGAGATTGAGCCAATTTGTGGAAATGTGAAAGTCGCTAGTTCGGCTTGGACGGAAGTCCACTGTGTGATGATGTGCTCCTGTGTTGAGATCTGCTCCAGCGGGATTAGGAAAACTAATACGGGAGGAATATGAAGAGGGTCGCACCGGAAGCTCGCAAATATTAAATTGCACATCTTGCATAGTGTTGCCATAAAACCCTTCAATGAGCATGTAGGCCGCGCCAACATTTCCTGCCCTTTGCGACCCTGGGCCTTCATAGGCGTACAGTCTGGGGAACGGGACGCCTGTAACGTTCTCGTGGAGGAACTTCATTGTCGCAACTTCACACTCGATTGAATACAGCTCAGAATGCTTATTGGCGCTAGTACTATCAGGGTGCCTAGGGAGCCGCACGCGTGCAATGATGAGGCGGCCGTCGACCGCCAGGAGTTCGAAGCAGCACCAAAATTGCCCAGCAGAGAAGGCTTCACTAATCGAGACCGGTTGACCGATGATGAGTTGGGTGTGCTCCACGAGAGAGGACTTGTTGATAATACTCATGAATCTCTCAAGACGCTCTTTCATGCCGTTGTAATCCCAACCATCATAAGATGTCCAGCCTGCGCTGGGGGGAACATTTTCAGGTACGACAGTCGCCATGATTAAACTACGCGGAAGTATTGGCGAATCAGTGTAGACGGTTCTCGAACAAGAGGGAGGGAGTTAGGTATTTAGAAGGCCATGGGAGCTTGAAAACTTTCTGAATGTTTTGGAAAATATCTTTTGTAGCTGTTAAATAGTACCAGAAGAGCAGAGGTCCAGAGGGTGACTCAAGGTGTGCCTCCGGTACGCGAGTCTCAGCAAGCGTGCCACGCCGTAGCGGCCTTTTTTTTAAATTTTACCTCAGGCACTCAGGCCAAACTGTCGTGCTTCAGCAACAGGCCTGACTATACCTAATCGGTAAGTCACATGCAACACGTTGAAAAGCAGTTCGCACGAAGGCTTCTTGTATAACAATATTGTTCGCTAGCCTGATTTGTGATCTTCTCATGTCCCAATCAAACTGCTCTTTATAAAGGAAACGAGCAGGAGAAAGCAAGCTCAAATGAAACCACATTGCTAACACCCAACATGACAGTCTCCAGGACCGTCAATCCGTAATGTCCATCGACAAAACCATCGACCTCTGAAAATCTCATGCCCTTCCTACAACTTCACAGCCAGCCTCAAGTTTGCTTCCGGGGCCGGCCTCGCCGTCTCTTCTGCTGCTGGCCATCCAAGACATCGGCTTCATCAACACCCGCTCGGATCGCATAGTAGTGCTGCTGGATCGCCTCTGGGGTCCGGTGGGGGAGGAGCAAAGGGGCTTTAGCGATCTCTTCCCACGAGCAGCCATCCTCGTCCTTCATCTTGAGCACCGTCGCATCCTCTTCATCTGTCCACCGAAGACGCTTTATCCGAGGACGAACGGTGGCGGGATGCATCCTGGAAGGTGCGCTGGCGTCGTGAGGGGTTGCAGCCTCTGCGGCCGTCTCCTTGTCAGAACGCATGCCCAAGGCTTCGGAGTGGAGGTGCTCGTGCTCCTGGACATGCGGCAGCTGGAACTCGAGACTGTATATCGTCTTGTCCCCAATCTTGGTGCGTTTTAGGTACCCTCGAAAGGGCCACTCCTGATACTCCGCGAATGGCGCCGACTCCGCCGTAACGGAGGGGCTCCGAGAGGTTCGCGAAGGGTGGTCGTCGTCGTTAGCTACGGGTGCCGGCTCACCGGGTAGTGTCAGAGCGTTGTCGGTCGAGGGAAGCCTCCGCCGTTTCGCAGGTCGTGGATCCTCGTCATCCTCGTCGCCTATACCATGGCTGCAATCGCTGGCTTCGGGGTGTTGGATGTCGCTGCCAATCTCAGTCTCGTCCGGGCGCCGCCGCTTCTCTCCCCGTTCCCCCGGCTCCTCGCCGTCGCCGCCGTCGTCCTCCCTCATCAGCTCTACTGCTACCTCCTGTCGCTGCCGTTGCTCTTGTGCCTCCTCCCCCCGGTCCTGACTGCGACGTGGAGGGCAACGCCCGAGCTCCTCTGATCTGCCACAGCTAGCCCCGCCTCGATCATGTTCCTGCTCAGTGTGAGGGTGCGGCGGCTCAGCAGAGGGACGGCGAGGGCGTGGCGAGCCGGGAGCGGGAGCCGACGACGACTTCTCCTGCTCTTCGAAAGCCAGTTGCATGTCTCTTTCAAGCTCAGAGGCGTTTTCATCACTCCCTCCTCCATCGCTCTCGCCCAACGGCTGGGGTAGAGTGGGGGGCGCCGGCTCGTCTGGTGTGCCTCCTATTCCGTCATTATCATATTGGCTGGTCTGGTCCTGTGAGGACCCAGGGGGATCGTGATGAGAGTGAGGCTGGGCGAGCGCGGGCGTCGAGGCCAAACCTTCCTGCTCGAGCAGAGGAATTGGGTGGAAGTCGTCGTCGACATAGCACCCGTCTTCGACATCCCACCAGGGCCCTTTGCTCAGCCCGGAGGCGGGATCAGCGCCGGCGTCGACCGAGACGGAAACGGCTTCGGCAGGCGTGAGTTCGGGAGTATATGATTCGTCATCTTCGAGAACCACCGGCCTCTCTGCGTATAGGTTAGCCGGGTGCTTGATATGCAGTGATGGGGAGCCATGGCGCATACCTCGAGTGCCTTGGCTGTTACCCACGCCATTATCTGGTCTGGGGCTCGGATCGAGACGGCTCCCACTTGTGTTCAGAGTAGGCCCCTCGAGGCGCTGGGGGATATCCTCAGAGTTCTGGTATACTGTCGAGATCCCTTTGCTCGAAAAAGCCAGGAGCTCGTCGATGGAGGGCTGACTGTCGTCTGCTTCGCCATCGCCGTTGGCGGGGTCGTTATGGCGGCCTGCGAATGCACACAACAGATTAGCCAGGTTCATCCCTAGAATTCTCTCTCATCGCACCTTGAGCTCCGACTGCGTCACCTTCCTGCTGAAATACAGAGTCACGCCCCTGGTGCTGAGTCGGTGCGACGGCAGACTTGGGCTGCTTGTCGCGCCCGAGTATTTCGTCAGCTCTGTTGTGCAGTGACGCTGGCTGGCCGCGCGAGCTGGTTGCCGAGCCAGATCTGCCATTCTTGCGCGTGTGCGGTGAAGCACGACGTTTGGAGGGTGTTGGGTTCAAAGGGGGCCGCCAGAATTGAACGTGGCTCAAATCGACAGTAGCCATGGCGAAAGAATTTCAAGTGGATAAGATAAGAAGTTGGGGTCCTGGCAAAACTGCTGATTTCATAACCTGCGATCTTATTGAAGGAGTAGGAGATATGGAAGATTTAAATGGCCGGCCCACAGGTAACGCTGAACTGAAGATATGGACCCGTCCTCCCACATCGCCCTCTGGTGCCCATTTGCCGCTCACAACTGCCATGCCAAACATCGCCAGCCCGTTCCCCATCCGCCCAAAGCACCGCAAGACACGGCACAGCGCATGAAACCCTCCCCTCCCCTTGCATCGGTCTCTGCTTCCTGCACTCCGTGAGATACGCCTTGCTTTTGCCAGGGCTGGAGAAGTCCGCCCGCGAGGCAGTGCGCAACGCTGTATGAGATTCAACCCGCCCCCATGTAGAGCTGAGCTCATGCGACCTTCCTAAACAGCAGACCGATCGGCTGACGCACTCCTCAGCGCCAGTGTGCAGGGGAAACGACCCTCATGCAGGCCCCAAGGCGCCCGACTTATTCTGCCAGGAATACGAGGGGCTGGATGTTGCAGAGTCCCGAGGTCAGCAGGCTCCGGACCTGCCTGCACTTCGCCGCCAGCCCGTCCCACCCATGTATCCGACAAAGCGTCGCCGCCGATCGAGAGATCGTGAGGGGATCTGCAATTCCTGCTCCTCCGCCCTGCCTTTAGGACCTAGGATGGGCTCCCTCATCTCTCCATCTCTGTATTAGCTAGCTCGGACGAAGGGAACGTGAATCGCAGCTGCAGCTGCGTCGACAGGCAGGGTAGTGTGACCGTGTTTGAAAGGAGGGGGCGCTCGAGATTTCGGACCGCGGGATGCCGGAGCCCTTCTGAGAACTCCAACCACCCAATCTCCTCCTGCCACGTACGCAGAGATCGGCCCTTCTCGTCGCAGATCAGCCTTTGAGTACGCAAACGCAAACCCCTCACCTCCGCTGGGGTCAGGGGAGCTCACCGAGACGCTGCCGTCGCCGGACCACGCCATCAATCCTGCGGCGCAGTTAGGCAGCAGCCGGCCGCGTCGCCGTGCGGCATTTCTTGATTGGCCATGGTCGTAACGCGCAGAGGTCGGCTGTCGCAGGGCACCGACGAGCAGCGCGGTTGAGGGTCGTGATGGTGCGACGGCGAGCGGGAGGGTGGCATGGAGATCAAGCTCAAGGCTCGTATCTCGGCCAATGCGACGTGCTTCGGAGGATGGGGTCACCGTCGCAGATGCTGATGAGCATCGAAGATAGAGTGGGAGATCGAGGGAATCGAGGATTCTGCCTTTAAACCGCGCGTCGCTAAGGGTCCTCAGCTGCGGTGAGGCCGACGGAGGTGGCATGGGTTAGGAAAGGCAGGCGCATGACGAGACCGAGCGGCCGGGCGACGGGAGGTGTTAGGGAAGGATGGAAGAGGAGGATGGTCGAGGAGGGGGGCAGCGCGCGGTCTTTATAGACGTCGAAAGCGGCGGCCGGCCCGTGCGCGCGCCTTGCCCGATCGGGGGGCCGCTAAACCCGGGGGGGCCGACACCACGGCGCAGATTATAATATAATATATAATATTATATTTCTGAAAATTTGGTTTTCCTGGAAGCATTGGGCTCGAACGGCTTTGAATTCACGGCCACGTGACACGGCATTATTGAGCCCCCAAGGACAGACAGGCCAGGTCTTCAAATGAATGTATACAAAGAGTAGCCTTGGTTCCGGATTCCCGCAATAACTGCCAATTGTGATCTTGTGGCTGGGCCTTTGTATGCCTTGCAAAGGTGTATCCAGAGGGAATCTCGAGGCGGACTTTCACAGAATGTCATATAATAACGCTTTTCCCTCGCAAAGTCTAATGCTAGTTCTGTAGAAGCGTTCAGCGAACCCAATAAGTAGGTTTATGAAACTTCCAAGTCGCAGAAGAGACACCCGGTTCTGGCCCCGTTATAGCAAGAAGGTTATGCTCAAAGCTCCTACCGATGCCTAAACCAGCGACATATCAATCACCACAATTATAATCTTATGATCCATTGATCAGCTCCTCCATCTTAGTAACGTCCTTAACCGCTGTTGTCAGGTTCTCATAGCCATCTTTAGTAATCAGGATGTTATCTTCAATTCGCACTCCTCCAACTTCCCAGAATTTGTTCAGCACGTCGAAGTTTATGTACGCGGCGTGAACGGGATCTGTGAGATATGGCTCGATGATGAATCGGCAGAAGTAGATCTATTGCCATCAGTTGAAAACTTCGATGTCATATCGACGAGTGAACTTACACCGGGCTCAACCGTAATGATAGCACCCGCAGGCAATGGGCCTCTGACCCTCAGATACCTAAATATGGAATCTTTGTCTTCGTAGTTGGGATGTCCGCCGGTATCGTGCTGCTCAGCAAATTAGGTAAGTAGTTTCGTAGATACGAAAAGAGCCTTACCGTGTCCATCCCCAGATAGTGTCCTAAGCCGTGCGGAAAGAATGCCACACTGGTTCTGGTCTTTAAAATATCTTCCTTATCGCCTTGAAGTATACCAAGCTTAAGAAGACCTTCGATTGCTGCGCGCAAAATCAGCATTACGAACTGAGAAGAGACGAAGGGAGTGAGTGCTTCGAGGATTGCTTGCTCTCAAGACACAAGAACAAGGACGCCACGAAGGTTCTTGAAACGGCTCCAAGACCCCTGGCCCTCATAGGAAAGGAATAAGGCCTTACCAATTTCATGAGCGGTCAGATGAACTGCATCCCATATAACTCCTTCCTTCAGCATATTGGTGCAGACATTCTGCATTTGGAGTACAATATCATAAATTGCTCTGCTCTCTGAGCTGAATCGTCCATTGATTGGGAACGTTCGTGTCTATGTTCTATCAGAACGGAACGAACGTCGTCATTTGGGATGATCTTACAATATCAGAAGCGTAGCAGTCGTACTCAGCACCAGCATCTAGCAATAGATTCAACTTTCCTGTCAGAGGCTCGGAATTCTTCAAATAGTGCAATGTTGCCGCCGCGGTTCCACCTGGACAATCTCGAGTCAGCATCACTCTCTAGGAAGTTGAATGTACCACAACTCGGGGGACATTTGAGTCCGGAAAGGAAAATCGGGATATACATACTGGCAACAATAGAATGATAAGCCTGTTCCCTCGCTCCATGCGAAATCGACTTCGCAATAAAGATCGCTTCCAACTCTCTCTCGTTCTTCGCATGTTTTACAGCCTTCAAAACCGCCGTATGTGCAATTGTACTAATATCATTTGCGTGTCTCGTCAAAGCCACCTCGTATTCATCCTTTATGACCCGGCATTCCTCGATAGCAAGTTTGAGGAGAGAGAAGTCCTTCTCGTTGAATTCGAGAAAGGTAATATGGTCGCTGACTTGATTTGCTATCGCCCAGACGGCCGACGAGGAGTGAGGATGTGCAATGGTAGAGGCTACTTGGTCTGTAGTGAGGACCTGGTCGACGTCGTAGAGGGAGAGAGCTTCGTCCACCGAGAGGGGCAAGCCGGACCAGATTACAGATTCGGGCTCGATGGGTGGGATGAAGAGTGTGGATTTGTCGTTGTCGATGTCGTATGTGAAATAGGAGTCGGGCAGCGCGCAGCCAGTCAGGTAGTAGAAGAATCGACGCTGTCTAGAGTGGTAGTTATCAGAAATGTGGGGTCAAGGGAGGTGAGGGGAGAGCAAGACCTGAAGGGCTGGGTCTCATCATTGTCCTCAATCATTCGTGTCTTTTGTCCCTCCAAATATAGGACTCCACTAACTCCGGGGTTTTTCGCTCTCATCCATTCTACCACCCGCCTTGCGTGGGCCTTGGCGGGGTATTTGCCTGCTAATATAGCTTTGACATCGGCCATCTTGCGAGGTTTTGAGAGTCGATTAAGCTGAGCTGCTGCTACCAAATGCAATCTCCTGCTTAAGAGTGACTTGGTTTTGAGGTTTCTTGGTTGGCCGACTCTTTTGGTTTGGGCTTTAGCTGTGTTGGTGCTCGGTAGCGTTGTTGTGTTGTGGTGTTGTTTTGGATGCCGAGAACGCTCTGCTTATTATCATGTAACGTCGTGGAAATGTCAACGGAGGGAAGGTCCGTCTCAGCAACTGCAGCATTAAGAATATGAACCACACTGCCAGTACTTTGTACAGCACAGTAGTAGTGATCAGGCAATTCTGGTGTGATAAATACGGCAATTCGTCAAGCCTCAAGTGGCAGGTCACAAAATATAGCCACGTGATGTGCAATGATCAGACAGAAATCGGACTTTGAATCACAAATTATTACTGGTATTTTGCTAAGTAATTTACCGCAAGATGCCTCAATGGCCAGCAGGCAATGTCCATTCTGACCTGCCTCCAAAACGCCAGGCACTGGGGACAACAGTACCCAAATGCAATGCCTCCACGAAAAGTTCCGCCCAGGCTTTCCAAACGCCCCCAAATGCTGTCCATGCCTCGTAACTTTGCAGATATCCCTCTTCCCATGCTTCATGCAAACAAAGTATAGGTTGCAGCCCTCGCTATTCCTTTGACCCTAAATCAACCATTTCCTTGAGAATATTGGCATTCCGAAACAAGCATCTTCTATGACACCAACCGCCCACTTCGCCAAAAGCGCGGGAGCTCTTCCTCTAGTCGCTCTAGCAGGCATCTGCCGTGACCTCGAATACTGTTTCCTGAACTCCTACATTCGGTCTCATCTTAGTCTTCAATGGTAGCCTCGGAATGAAATTCATAGCTCCTTGTAGCGAAGATATCTCCTTCAAACTGATGGCGTGGTCTAGGAGTGTCTCCTTGCTCGTCTTGAATTCGAAGTTAGTCAGGAAGCAAAAGCTGATCTCGAGCCTAGCAAGCTCGCCTTCGCTCACTCCGCCAACCTTCGAGAACCGCGAATGTGGATAGCTGAGATCTTCCAATGCTTTCATAGCTACTCGAAGACCTGCTAGTAATAGTCGATGGCAGTTGCGACGTGTGACTGGGATGGCTCGTTCATCGACTGCAAGTTTGTGTATGTAGTAACTTGTTGCAAGGTAGACCGCTGTAGACATCGGGCAGAATTTGTGAATTCGCATCAGGTAGTCTTCCAGTGAAATTGGAGGAGGATGTTTCGAGTAGAACTTGCGGGTGATTGCGCTGTGCTGGATGTTTAGAGGTTCCGCATTGTCCCCGATGATGATATATGGTTCGGCAGGGGCAAGATTTGGGTTCCCTAGAGCAGCCTTCTTGAAGCTCACGCCGTCTATGTCTTCCGAACCTCCGCTGGAACTTGATGGCGTTCTTGGTCGCTTGTTTAGGTCGGCGAGATTTTTGTATGAGTTGCTCCTGATTATATTCTCCTTCTCCGCTTGCATTCCACGCATATTCGGAGGAGTAGAATGTGTGGGAGGTGGTGTTGGGGGGATATCTCCGGTCACCCTCACCAGTGCCTCAATGCCGGCACATAACAGCTTCAGTGCGGTAACAGGGCCAATCGTGAATACGTCGAGGCTATTTGGGGACGAAGGTGGTGAGGGTTCATCGCCAGGAACCTTGACAGAGAGCCCTGCATCAGCAGAGGGATTTGGACGAGGCGGGAGGATATATGTGAACGAGTCCGCGGAATCGTGAATGGAAGGTTTGGTTTCTGTCGGAGACGAGGCTGACACGCAGACGCCATTCGCAGATCGAGTGGGAGACATGGCGTAACTCGGGAATGATGTCCAGAAGGACGGCGTATACGTATCGAAGGGAGTTTGTATTATTCGGTACGTGTTGGAAGTATCAGAGCGTTTTCGATCCCAGCCTCGGCCACGGCCGTTGAAGCTTTTTTGAATGCCTCCAGAGGCGCATATTCTCGGTGGAGTGACGTGGGGATCTCAGTCAGGTGTCGAACAAAGCTTGCTGCTGTCGGAGGGGAGGCGGGAGTCTTGGGATTATGTGGAGTTTGTTGTGTGGCCTGGGTGCGTAAAATTAGAGGAGATTCTTGGGGCAAGGTTCCGGCGGGACAGGTACCTCGAAGTAATTGTACTTTTACTGCGAGCAGAGAGGCAAGGCGGATGATCCGGCAGAGCCCGAGGTTGTGCCTCTGGGCTGCCAGCGCTGTTAGCCTGCAAAGGTGGGAGTACCGGGGGGTTGAGGGCTGGGATTCGGGTGCTGGTGGGTGCTGGTGGGTGTAGCTGAGTGGACAATACTGCGAATCTGCGGGAAAGACGCCGAGAAAGTGCTTTGCACGTGGATGTCCCCGGTACCAGCGGACTCAGAGCAGATCTGAGAAGGGAGATAGATTAGTGGGAGAATCAGAAAGCGGCTCTCGGGACTCTGGAGCAAATCTGACTTGCGGTCAGGGGAATGTTGCGGCGGACGGCAGGCGTCGAGATGAAGGGGATGGGGATGGGGATAGGGATGGAGAAGGGCCGTCTGCATCGTCAGCGCGTTGCAATAGCAAGTACAGTCCAAGTACCGTCCAAGTTCCAATCCTGGATGGGAAACACCAAATACCAAATACGCACGGCGTACAGTGAGTGCTCTTGGGGTTTTGAGGAGAGATCGGGTGCGAATCCGGCATTGCCCTCCCTCCTTTCGCCGGCTGCACGGCAGCACTGGACCCCTCCGCGAATCTCTTATCGCAGAGATGCCGAGGGTCGATCGTGCGGAAGGGGAGCTAGTGGGAGGTCGAATGCTGCTGACGGAGGAAATCTAGATCTCACTCACCTGGAGCCTTGCCCTGCCCTGCCCTGCCCTGCCCTGCCCTGCCCTGCCTTGCGTTGCCTGCCTGCCTTGCCTTGACCAGGAGAACTTGGCCAGGCTTCGCGTTGTCGTCGACTTCGGGTCTGGACTTCTTTCTGCCTGTGCTGTCGCGCCTTTATGTTGTCCAACACTCGCTCACTCACTTACTCACTCACTCCCTCCCTCCATCCCGGCCGACTCTGGCATGCTGCTGCGTTCCACCGCTACCCCACGTTAAGCCTCCTTGCTCCCCTTTCTCTCTCTCCCTCTGGATCCTGGACCAGACCCGGAGATCCTGGCGGTTGCAGCTGTGTGAAGGGTTCTTTGCACAAGCGAAGACCCTTGATCTCGGTATCCTCGAACCAGTGGAGCAGAGTTGCTGGGTCTGCACGCTCCAAGCAGCTGGGGTCTCCGGAACGCGACCTCCGCTGCTGTGTGTGTGTTGCAGCACTCAAACGCGCGTGATCAAAGAAATCTGCTCAGAGGCAAGATTGGTCAGATCGAGCCACGAGCGAGGTTGCCCGTCCGTCAACGTGGACTGCGGGAGACCGAGAGAGGGTAGGTAGGAGCGTTGGAGGCAAAAGGATGTGCAGCAATGCAGCAATGCAGCTCCCACTCAGCGGCCTTGTGCCTGTGCAGCGGAGACACCGGCTATTTGACTGATTGTTCAACAGCAGAACACGTACTGTACCGCCTCGTCACCGACCATGTTGGTATCAATTTTGTGCCAAGGAAGGCTTCCAACGTGGCAGACCGGCTTGCAAATTATCAAATATCTACCTTCTCGATGCTCACCTTGCCGACTCCACGTTAAGCCTTCCTCTCGCTCGAATTCATGAGTATTATATCCGGCCGCTGGATTGGCTCCCGGTACAACCTCTCGAGGACCCGACATGGATCTGTAGCCATCTATCTCGTCCTTACGCCAATACTTTTCTGTCTTTCTCATTTCTGTCCGCCACAGGTTGCACAAAAGTCAAAGCTTCCCCGCGGGGAAGTCCCGATTGGCGCAGTTTGCAGTTTACTTTATCCAGTGTTTTCTTTTGCATGCTGCAGGCAGCCGCTTGTCTCGGCCATTCAATTGCTTGCGTGAGCGCATTTATTTCAAGCCGCACCCTTTTCCTGAGAAACTCGAAGTGGGGGTACATTGTTCAAGTGACTCGAGTTACTCATACAAATTCACCGTTTCCAATCAAAGGGCTTGCATTTAAAACCAAGTCATGTGTGTTGAATTCGGCGGTATGTTGCCCAAAAATAGGTGCTCTCACCGTCTCTTTATGTGTCACCTGTCGGCTCAGTGAGAGAAATTCTTGTTCTGGATTGCCTCTCCCAGTTTGGCCGCTCAAATGGAGGTGCTGTCGTTACTTCAGTTTATCTTGGTCGGGGGTTCAGCCAGTGAGGGGTACTTTGAGTAGAGATCGTGTAACTTGAATCTTACTGGGCCAACACATTGTTGACAACAAAGTCTTGCCTTGGCCAACCGTTCTTATGAATGTAGCGATACCTGCTGTTATTAGAGATTTGCCGGAAGCCGGAAGTCAAGATATCCCACAACTAAGCAAGTCGTTTTGTTGCACATCATATATGCATAGGAAACTGTTATGCATTTGGATCATCACCCTTTCTGCTGTTCACCCAGAGCATGTTGTTACATCTGATCCAGATTATGAACTCTCCATCGATTTGCTTCTTCTGGCCATTGGAAGCTGCGTGATGCTTGTGAGGGGTTGATTTACATGGGAGCACATTGGTTGGATCCTGGGCATCTCAAGAATACTTTGAGCAAGTAGTTGCCGAAGTAGGAAACGAGACGGAGCATTGGGGTTTTTGTCCGAGGCAGCAAGTGCTCAGGAAATATCTCATGCTTCTAATTCCTCACATCAATAAATCTCGCTCAAATTCTGCTCAGAATCTAACAACCGAAAACAACCTGGGCATCAACAACAGCCGTCGTTCCATTCTTCACCGACTCCACCGCCCTCTTTAGCACATCCTCCAAATCCGAAGTCTTCGATACCTTCTCGGCGAACAAGTCACCTCCTGCTGCAGCTTTTGCGATACCAGCATAATCAGGGGAGGGCGCAAAACTGATGTTGAGTTCTTCGTTGGTAACTTTCGATCCCAAACCGTCAGGATGTACTAAAAGCAGCGATTTCCTTGGCGCGTTCCATCCTATTTTTGTCAGCTCAGCATCCCAAGTCGTCGGATTTCTTCTAATGTACCTTTATTGTTCAACACTATGGTCAGAACTGGAATTTTATAGCGTCTCGAGATCCAATAGACGCTGCCTGGCACACTGAAAAGGAAAGTTCCATCTCCCACAATCTGGACGACAAACTTTCCCTTCCCGGGACCATTCTCATATTCTGTAGCCAGCTTTATACCTAAGGTTCCACCACCAGACCATCCAAGTCCCCCACCTCCACAGTTGATCCAGGAGCCAGGGAAGGTGGCTTGGATGTTGTCGGCAACAAAAGCTGTATTTGTGACTGCCTCGATAGCCCAAATTGCATCGATTGGTACGAGCTTGCGAAGAGTGCGACAGAGATATCCCGTGCCAAATGTGTCATCAGGTTTAGGTTCGCTAGCTGCAGCAATGACGGCCAGACGCTTGCTATGCGATTCTCCGAGTAAATCCCACTTCTTGGCAAATTCCTGTGAAGACAGTTGCTGGGAGAGTGGGGATGAAGAGAGATAATTTGTGAGTTGAGTTATCGATTCGTGGCTATCGGCGAAGTATCGCGCCGAGGCATTCAGGTAGAATACTGGCATCTGTTTTTTGAGGGGATCAACATCAATATGGAATATTTCTGCAGTTTTTGCAGGGAGACATTGGGTGTTGATCCAAGGGGTATCTGTACCATCATTAGTGTATGAACGGTCTCGGGCTTACGACCACCTACCGCAGTCAAGGACTAAAATAACATCAGCGGTCCTAATAGATTCGTCAATTCCGTATCTCAGACCCTAAACCAGGAAAAGGAGTTAGCTATCCAGCTGAACCAGAGTGGGACACCTCTCGGAATCCTCACCAGCCAGGCCCTATGATCGGCGGGGAAGCACATGTCACTTCCACCAGTATCTAACACCCTAATGCCTTTGACTATATCTGCCAGTTTTACCAGAGCTGGTACCGTGGCATGGTTTCGACCGCTATAACCGGTGATTATCAACGGTTCCTTGGCACCAACCAAAGCTTCAGAAATACGCTTGACTGCAGCCTCCGACAGAGCTGCCGGTTCCACAGGATGCCAATAATCTTGTTCGAGTTTGTAAGGCTCAATATCCTCCTCCATGGGCTCTCTCGCCCCACACAAGTATACTGGGCCAGCTGGGTCGCTGCGGGCGAATTGCAGGGCTCTGTTGACCATTTGTTTGACATTCTTTCCGGTTTTAATTTCGCCAGTGTATCTGCAATATTGTGCCACAATTTGTTTCTGATCGGGCACATCTTGGATCCAATGGATGTACTCAGTTCGAGAACCCCGCATTTCCCCTTCAATTGTAAATGGAGAAAGACCGGCGAAAATTAGGACCGGTGCTCGACCGCAGGAAGCATTATGGACCGCTGCTCCTAGTCCTTGGGTACCGACATCGACGTGGACGAGAACACACTGGGGTTTGCCAGTAAGTCGAGCGTAGCCATCTGCCATCGACAGTGCTACCATCTGGAGTTGTTACTTCAGACATCCAGAGAGGGACGGACGGGAAATTTACCTCGTTTGGACATGTGATAACTCGTGGAAATTCGCCCTTCTTTTCATTTTGGCCCTTCACTATCGCCTCCATGATCGAAGGATGGTCAGACCCTAAATTGACAAAGACCTGATCTCGGAGTCAGCTCTAGACGTGGGGGAGTCTCAATGTTCTGGGAATTTCAGAGCATTGGGAGAAGGAAAAAACTGAATGTGCCCCTAATTTAGAGGTATTCGGAGTGGTCAAGTCTCCAAAGTCTCACAAGTCCAAGGACATTCGGAGGGAATATTGCATACATGGGTGACACCCGCCTATATGACAAGTCAGTCCCGTCCTCTATGAATCCGGTACTGTAGAACTAACCTCCCAAAGGCTTTCAAAGAAAGCAAAACTAGCAGTATAAACCATGTTGAAGGTCGGTTGTTGAAGAGAGGAATGTTGTCAACAGAAGCTCTGCGGTTTGCTTGATAAGGTGGGGGTCCTCGGTGTCAATGCGCAAAAGCTTCAGCTCCAGCCGAGCATGGAGAGCTCAAATGTCTCTCTGATGTGAGTGTAATCAAAATACAGGAAGAGCGGTGATGACCGAATAACAACGCAATTGGGGTTTTTTCGGAATGTGTTTAAGAATTGGGAATTTGAAGTTGCGACTCCGGAGGGATTGCCCCTCATATTCCCCCCCCCCGAATGCCCCTGCCAATTCCAGCCACAACTGCGGTCGCCTTCCGCTTCGGATTCCGCGGCGTCAAGCCACACCCGCAACCCCGCCCGCGCATCGCGTGCCATACTAACCCAAACCGATGTTGACCTATCCGTTGCGCTGCGAAAACGCCCGCCCTTCTGTGATCAGAAGTACAGCAAAATTGCAGCAAATCAGAAGTCTTCGATCAGGAATTAGAGATTATGATTTGCTTAAAAAGTCGCTTAAACGGGCACGGGCCAGGGAGGGCGCCGTCGCAACCGAACGGATAGTAGTGAACGGTACTTGGGACCCCGCCTTTGGTCCGAAATAGAGTGAGGGGTCACGGATAGCTTTTAAATATATAACAGAAAGCCGTGGCTGTCACTGAGAACTTATCATCCATATCAACGTCCCGATTGAGTCAAAATGAGAGCAGCCAGATATTACGGAATCGAAGACATTCGAGTCGAGGAGATAGAAGAGCCTGTTTGCAAAGAAGGACAGATCAAGATCAGGCCCGCTTTCGTTGGCATCTGCGGCACGGGTGAGCAAGTCACAATGTTGCGGATATCCCTGGCCCAGGATATCCTGCTCCTCGATTACTAACACCACAACCACCAGACCTCCACGAATATCTCGGCGGCCCGACTTTTGCTCCAGAAGTTCCGCACCCAGTGACGAAAGAAACTATCCCCGTGACCTTTGGCCACGAGTTCTCGGGCACAGTTGTTGAAGTCGGCCAGGGAGTAAAAGGTTTTAAGCCCGGTCAGCATGTTTCTATCCAGCCAACTATTTACTGCGGATCGTGTGGAGCCTGTGCCCTCGATCTCCAAAATGTCTGCTACAAAGGGGGCTTCGTAGGCCTCTCTGGCTATGGTAACCAACCTTTTTATTTGCCCTATTCCCGAGCTCCTTGCCTCACTGGTCGGGAGGATGTTTTCATGCTCCCGGCTCTCTCCTCCCTAAAGAAACATGTTGCTAATTCGTTGGTAGGTGGAGGGCTGTCCGATGCGGTCGTTGTACCAGCTGATTACGTACTTCCACTGCCGGAACATATTCCTCTTGACGTTGCCGCGCTGGTCGAACCCCTAGCTGTAGGCTGGCATGCCGTCACCCAAAGTCCATTGAAGAAGGATTCGAATATTCTGATTTTGGGTGGGGGTCCAATTGGGATTGCCGTTATTCAAGCCCTACGGGCAAGAGGATGCGGGCAAATAATCGTGTCCGAGCTATCTGCGTCTAGGCAGAAGTTCGCCAAACAATTCGGAGCGGATACGATATTGGACCCAAGGAAGGACGATATTGTACAGAAAGCGCATGATTTAACGAGGGGTCTGGGAGTCGACATTGTGTTTGATTGCGCAGGTGTGGCCGTGGGACTAGAAGCTGCTTGCAAAGCGATCAAAGTCAAAGGCACTGTTGTGAATGTTGCCATCTGGGAGAAGGCCGTTCCGTTTCAACCTAATGATTTGGTCTTCAGGGAAGGAAAATATGTGGCTTGTCTGGGGTACGTAAAGCAAGATTTCAGGGATGTCATCGAGGCTATCGCTACTGGTAAGTTCAATGTTCCACTCAAATTGGAACAATGATGTTGATTATGATGATCAGGCAAAATGACACCAGGTGATATGATTACAAGCAAAGTCCCGTTAGAAAGGGTCGTCGAAGATGGTATTAAAGAGCTCATCAAAAACAAGGAGAGGCATGTCAAGGTTTTAGTCGAGATATGAACCATGGATAGGCTGGCGGGTGTTGGTGTGGCGATTGGCTGACCTCACGTCACTCGAACATCACAATCATCTTGAACACCCAAGCTTGGGAGCAATAAATTCAATTCTGAATCAACGTAAAAAGCATCCTATGCTGAAGACAATTTACTCCCATCGGTAAACTCCATTCTCGTAAACAACTCGATGTCTCCTGCGCCCTGGCCCGACGGAGAATCTGCGCTGTGGCATCTGTCTCTCCCTCAATCTCTGCTTCATTGCTTCCTCCTCCTCGAGCTCTAACCGAATCCTGAGGGCTCTATCCCTCTCTTCTCTCCGTCTCCTCTCTTCCGCTTCGGCAATGAGGATCCTCTCTCCCGGTCTATCATTGAGACTCAAGCCACCCAGCAAAGCCTGGGTCTGGTCAATGACTGGTCGTAAGTACGGTCTTTGTCTCAATGGGATCGGCGGTCGGCGACGAATCTCTTCATCTTGCTGCTTGATCCTCTCTTCGCGACGACGTTCAGCTTCCAGGTAAGCAATACGTTCATCGCGCTCTGCCCGTCGTAGGGCTTCGTCACGGAGTTGAATCTCCTCGGCTTCACGACGAGAACGTGAGTCGAATGAAGTGTGAGATGAAGAAGGCGAGTCCCATTGGAATCGAGTCCTTGATTGGGACCTTGCGCGACGGCCGACTACAGCGTTGACGGAGTCGACACGGTGGAGTGGGCGCTCATCAACGATGATGGGAGCACGGCCTCGTTCTCTTCGAGGTAGCCCTTCCATGATGAAGGGCGTTGCTGGCGAGCTTGGTGCGGTGAATGTTTCACGATACACTTGTGGTGGAGTGCGTGGAGTTGGAGGAGAATCGACAATGATGATGCGCTCTTTCTTGTGCTGACGGGTTGGTTTCAGGGCAAAGAGTTCGCTGCGCCGTTTGCTATCGCGCCGGCGATGGCCTTCGGAGCCACTTTCACCTCCTGAATAGCGGTGGTGAGATCCACCAGACGATTGTGGAGGAGTGTGGGTGAAGACTCGTTGGTGAGCGGTCATCATGTATTGGGTGGTTGGCTCTCCGAACTGGATCTTCCGGACGGGATTCTCAAGCGTGGACAGCTTCTGGCAAGGACGACCTGCCATGGGCTGACCGTATTGACAGTAGGAAGTCTGTCTGAATTCCACCTGCTTCCCGTCCGGATATTGATCGACGAATACGTTGGTCACGCACATTGTGGCGGCGGGGATGTCGGTATTGGTACGTTGAGTGGTCTTTGGTGTTGGTTTTTCTGATGATCTGTGGGGATGATGGTCCGCAGCTTCTGGTTGAATGGATGTTCTCTGTTGATAATTCTCAGTTTATCTGAGTGTTGTGTTCTGTGTGCGCTTGAGGGCCTCTTCTTTAAGATCCAAACGATTGGTGTCAGTCTCCGAAATCAGGGACGAATACTAGTCGCACTTCTGGTCCGAGTCGATGAACTAGAGACATGGAGACGACATATATAAAAAATGTCGCAGTGTTTTATGGTGAGGGAGGGGGTAGTGTACTGATCGGGAGGCACGAAGGCGAAGTATATCTCGATGCGGGCAATCTGAGTAGTGCAAGGCTGCGTCGAGGGGCTTGAGAGCTGACTGCAATATGCTCTCAACAAATGAAGTGATTTGCGATGATGATAGGGAGGAAGAAGAGGGGGTGTGAATGGTGGGAACTGGATACTTATAACTCCTGCCACTGGGTCGAGATGTCAGTCATCCGGCATCTAGGCAGACAGGCAAGACAGGCGGACCAGTCAGGCAGGCAGTCACCCCGTCTGTGAGCAAGAAGAGTTGGGGGCCTCAGTTGCGGCCGGGCAGGGGTCAGAGACTCAGAGGCAGCCACTGGGGGCTTGGTGGGAAGCGGTGGATGGGCCAGGAATGGCTGGAAAGAGTGCCAGAGTAAAAAGGGGGCGGTCAGCCAGGGCCACTCACAGCCCGCAGCGGCGAGGCTGAGTCCTCAAACCCGGCTTGGCCCTCCCCTGACCGGCTGGAGGAGGAAGGGGGGGTCAGGGGGGATGCACAGAAGCGAAGTGTGTCTGGTGCCGGTGCACACCCACTCGAGGATCGAGAATCGAGGATTCGAGGATGATGGTAAATCGGTCGCCGTCCGATGCGATGCTCGATGTGATGGCGGCATGACTTCTTGAATCTTGGGGGAGGGGACCCAGGGGGACCCGGGGGCGGCGCAACCCACACAAACGACGTACGTGGGTTTTTGGACACTTGACCAAATGAGCACACCCACAAATAGCACCAACCGCAAGCTCGCAAGCTGCCAACCTCCCAAGCTCCCTGCTCAACTTGACCGGACGGGTCGGCGCGAAGTGTTACCATGTAAATTTACTCCGTCCTGTAACCTTACTGTGCCATTCTGGTGCGGTGCTTCAGAGGCGGTCCCAGAGACCCAGACTCCCCATCCGACCCATACTCGACCTGGCCGGTGCGGCTGCCCATCCCTGTTTCAGTGATTATTGGGAGTGGAGGAGCAATTGGGTTGTGCGGTTGTGCGGTTGTGTGCCCCAGTAACTCCTGCATTCTAGCAGGTGTGTCGAATCCTTCGAAGCGCCTTTCTTCAGCCCTTCCGGACGACAAGCTCGTTTCTGTTGCTGGCCATGCGTGAATGCGAGGGGAGCGGACGCTGCACGGTTCAGTGCGGTATCATGACGATGCTGTGCAGCCCGTGGGTTGTTTGGGGGCAGCCCTCAGTGGCTATGCATCTGCACCCCTCGAGGCTCGAGGCGAGGAGGGCTGAGGCTGTGCGAGTTGAAACTTCACGATGCACCCCTTCAGTGGAGCCATCTTCGTGCTGGGACCAAACAACAAGCTTCACCGCCGCCACACCGTTCACGCCAGAGCCCGACTGCAGAGATGCTCCCAGGGTCATGCTGCGCGCATCATTGACGATCCAGACGGCTTCGTCGAGTTCGCAGAAGCTTGCATGCAGCCCACGATCTGGTGATCCAGGCGATTCGTCGCGATTCGTGATGTCCGCAACCTAATGCTTCCACGCAGGTACGAGCCCCAACCCGGGTACGGGCACAGAGGGAAGGATCCCGTACGGTATCAGATGGAGATGCGGAGAGCGCCTTTGCCATCGGCAAGCCGATACAGTACTGTACTCCGTACAGTGTACAGTAATCTTCGTCGGCGGCCCATTGCGTGCTTGTGCTTGCGACGCGTCGACCACAACCCTCCCTCTCGGTGAGCCAAACCAGAATTCGGTCTGCGAGCCCCCTGGAGAGTCCTGAAAGTCTGCCTTGAATGCTCGATGACTCGACGAATTGTTTCATTCCTGAAGCACCTGGTACATCACGGCCCGGGCCTGGGATTGGATGGCAGCGGGGTGTGCAAGTTTGCAGCGGGCGGGCTGGACTTTGGTTTTCTCCCCAGTCAGCCTGACAAGGCGCTCTCGCATTTTCTTTCCTCCCGTCCTCCCTTGACCATGTCCATGTCCATGTCCATGTCCATGGCATCCATGCCCATTCATGCCCATCCATGTCCTCGCTCTCACCAGCCACAATCAACCCAGAGCGCTGCCGGATATGTCCGATGCTCTCCAGAGTCCAAACCGCTTTCTTCATCTCCGGAGCATTCTCGAAGGCGCATTCCTTCCATCTGCCTTCAGTTCGATGAACTTACCGCTTAGTGCTCACTCTAGAACGCCTTGAGGAGTCGTCGAGCCAATTCCAGAACTGATGATGTCACTAACCTCTGCTATGGTTCGAGTTTACAGTAATAGGATTCATCCAGGACTCTGGTTCTCCGTCGTCAATTGAGTGCAAACTTAGTATACTTCCGCTTCAAGGACGCATGGTGCTGGTTTTGAATGTAGTGTTTGTTCAGACGCACTGCCAAGGTTGGTGTTTTCAATCATGAAATAGAAGCTCCTGTAGGTCTGGCTTCAGACCTTGCACTGTGCAAGCAAGGCCTCTGGGTCTTCTTTCTTTCTCTACTTCGTACTCGCACCCCTTTTCCGGTGACTGAGCGACGCCGAAGCTCGGCTCAGGTTCAACCCCACCAACATCCCCACACCCGAGCGAGACCCGATGACGACCCCACTATTTCGTTGTACAGATACTACAGAATGACTTCAACTTAACATAGAACTTTGGCGCAATCGAAGAGAGTTCGACAGAAGCAAATATGTCCGAGAGAGCAGGAAGACGCCTGAGTATGTAAATTCTCTTCAATGAAAGAGACCTCGCTGACATATATGTCACAGAAAGGTCCGCGCTTTTGTATGCGTGCCATGAATTGACACATTCATCCCCAAGCTGATCCAACTCCAGTATCTGCGACATCCAAGAGAAGTTTCGCCCGGCAGTTTGGGAATACGAGAAAGTGTACGTTTGATATACTTCTCAAAGTGCCAAACTTGACTCATTCCATAGTATTCTCACCACGAAGAAGCTGATCAAGGCGGCCTCCATCCTTGACATCCCCATATACGCCACGACACAAAACCGAGCACGCTTGGGAGAGACGTGTACAGAACTCAATATTCCCAATGCAGTCGAGCACGCCGATAAATCTGCCTTCTCGATGTGGATTCCCCCCATCGCGCGCCATTTCTCTTCCGCTGCCCCGTCCGAGATCGCCATCGTTGGGATCGAGAGCCATATCTGCGTAACGCAAACAACTTTGGATTTACTGGCCAATGGACATAAGGTGTATATATTAGCAGACGGAGTAAGCAGTTGCAACAAGGAGGAGGTCCCAATTGCTCTGGCGCGACTGAGGGCTGCAGGTGCAGTGGTTACAACTAGTGAGAGCTTCCTCTACGAGTTGATTGGCGATGCTTCGATCCCAGAGTTTCGAGCCATTGCGGGGTTAGTAAAGGAGAGCAGCAAGGATACGAAGGAGGCGGTTAGCACTTTGTTGAGTAAGATGTAAGGCTTTACCGGCAAATATAGCAGCAGAGACGTAGTCTAGTTACGAGCTCTGTGTACAAGAGCGCTTAGATCTCAAAATGTGCGGTGAAAGCTCTATTTTGTTTCAGTCGCCAGAACCGCTGGTGAGTGAGGTCCAGGCTGCGGCAGGAAGATCTTCTCTATTCCCGGCTCAACATCATCACCGTAAAGCCCTTCGCCCTCCGACATTCGATTTATCTTCACCGCACCTCTGGCAGCAGCCACCTCTCTCCTGACCCTAATATCTTCCTTAATAGATGCCAGTTCACTCTCCAACCATTTTCTCGTCTTGGCTTTTACCTTCTCTTGCTCTTTATGTATCTGCTCGTCCTTCTTCGCCTCTTCTTCTTGTTTGTTCTTTTCCGTTTCCGTAATCCTAGTCTTTTCTTCATCATCTAGCTTCTTCAACTCTTTTTCCAGCTTCTCTCGTCCTTGATTTAGTTCGATCCACTCGTCGTATTGTTCTCTGCCGCCGAAGCAGATGTCTGGATAACGGGGGAGTCAGCATCTTCTTATTTTAGAATACCTAAGGAGTACAGTTGAGCAAAATGAGTAGAACTAAACTCTTTGGGGTTTGTTGGGAGTGCATGAGATGGGGAGAGAGTATTTCAGAAATCGAGAACAAGGAATTTAAGGAACTCCGTTGCTCTTACGGTAGAGCCGACAGTAGGCTTTATGCTCTATTGGGCAATCTATTGCTTTTTGGAGGAATAGGTGTTGCCACATGTGCTCCCAGGTACGGCCGCTTATGTTGTCTGGCAGATTTGTGTTTAGAAGCCAGTTGATGTGGCGTTTATATTGCTCTCGTGGTACCCCGCGGATCCTTTCTCGCGTTACTGCTATTTGGGAACAGCATGGTGTGGCGAGGATTTCGGGGACTTCGTAGACGTTGAAGTTTGCTCGGAAAGCCTGAAGGTTGTCAGCTTGGAAATCCCGAAGGAAGTTGGCTTGGGGATCTTGTAGCACGTGGAAACATTGGCAGCCGTTCCACGATAAACAAGCCATAGTTGTTCGCTTCATTTTAGATTCAAAGTGCCTGCAAGAATGATAAAGATTGCTGGATTTGCTAACCTCTTGCATTTCCTTCTGTTCTGGCGAGACCTCCGATTCCTCATTTACTCGCGTTGTGTTAATTGTGCTCGCGCTACACCCATTGCCCCACGTGACTCTCATATTGAGAAATTGTCGTTGTTGCACCTCCCGTAGGTCAAGGCGATTTAGGGAGAAGATCACTAGACTCCAAAAGGCCTAATCAGCAAAAATTGGAACTTGGAGTCGGGAGTGTGTTGTGGGCTGTCTAATGTCAACCACGCTGACAGGTAAAGTAGGGAGAGTGTTTCCAGAAACAGAGACTAACTATCTTGTTCAAGAAGTTCATCAACGTGCCACGACTGCTGGTGTGAGTGAATGAGTATTGAAATATCTGGGAGATTGTCATAAAAGTCGTAGAAATACTGATGATATATCATCGCCTCATGCCCCTTATTCTTCTGTGCATGATGAGGGGCGCTGATATTGTCGGCAATATAAGGTATGACCACCAGTTCAGGGACTCTGAGGTGTTTAACCCAAGAATAGTCATCTTTTGACGTGGCCGCCACAACGAGGTTGACACTTGGTGGGCGTCCTTTCGGAATTCGGTATGTGCCCCCAGATTCCTTGATCAAATGTTGTTGAGTGACTGCGTTAGGGACGCCTCTAATGCGGCTCCTGTTATAGGTGAAAATGAGGACAAGTATTGCGGAGGCACATGCAAAGACCATTCGCAATGCTCGCGGAAGGCTTGAGACTTGGCCTCCGAGGGAGCGCAAAGGTGTCATGTTGCACGATCGAGGTACCGTACAACGGAGAGGTCGAGTAGTGGTCTGAGTTTCTTGGGAGTCGTCCATCATCCATCTGAAGATGGCAGGTTGATGCTACGAGAAAAGAAGCTAAGAAGCCAAAGAATGTGTGTTAGAGGAATGTTCATAATGGCACGAATGCCAGAAATGCCAGTGGTGCCGCAACCCGTGAGACAATTCCAGGAAGGACTTTGAAGTAACTCCCGAAACATTTGTGAAGAAATAGAGTTTATGGTGGTCCCGTCTTTGCTTATTGTTGGTTTAAATATCGGGCCTATCCCCCACCTTCTGATCCGATCCGAATCAGACCTCAATATACTTCTCCCCTCCCTTTAAATAAAACGTAGCGTGACAAGGCTGGCACGGACGCACTAACGAGCCCAACCTCATAGATCTGTGCGTACAGGGCATTTTAGTGATAACGAATATTTTAGAACTTTTAAATTTTGAGAATTAATTAATAGAACTATACTTTACCTATTTTAATTCTCAAAGCCCGGATCGTGGGCCGTAATTATTTGTTGCTGTCTTATAACAGTTAAGTGATTGTGAAGACTTTTGCTATTCGAGACCCTGAAGTAGTCTTCGCGTAGCCTGAAAATGCCCGGAAAATGCCCTGTGCGCACAGACCCATGGGGTTGGGTATCGTAACGTATACCGTACCCTAGCCGCTCTACGTTTTATATAAGGGGAGGGGGAGCGTTTAATCTCCTTGCTCATGAATCCCACAGTGTGCTCCCGTATTCTGCGTTGCAACAATTTGGAGTGGCTTGGATATGCAAGAACTCGCGAGACATTCAACCAAGGGAAAAAAGACCAGAGTATCGATCATATGCGCTATGAGTTTGTGACTTTTTGCTATGGCAGCTGAGGTTCAATTATGGACCCACCGCATCGACTCTGGCCCTCTCGAGCCACTTCCAATCACCCTGACTTGTTGACTCGTGTATATTGTACAATTCGTCAATCAAGGCAGGAACAAAGGTCCCTGGTCCCTTGACATCTTCCCGAGTAGCTGCAATCTCTGCTGCAATTTCGTAATGAAGCAAGCCTGCCAGAGCTGCAAGAAGTTTGTCCTCTCGACCCACCGCCAATGTCAAGGAGATTATTGTACCCAATACACATCCACTGCCCGTAATTCTTCCGAGTAGCTCATGGCCATTTGATACTGCAAATGTTCGCAAGCCATCACTCACAAAATCTGTTGCTCCAGTCATCACCACAACATTTCGTTCCCGGGCGGCCAAATCCCTGACCAGGGCTGCCTTTTCCGTATCGTTCAGGGTGCTGGCACCACTATCGACCCCTTTTTGTTGAACCACACTTCCAAAGACAGTTCTGATCTCTCCTTCGTTGCCTTTGATGACATCAAAGTAGCCTGCAGCCAGAAGAGTCTTGACAGCTAACCTCCGCACAGCTGTAGCACCGGCACCAACAGGATCGAATACAACTGGCGCGCCTTCCTGGTTGTATGCTTTCAACGCTTGAACATAGTTCCGCAGCCCTTCAGCAGTCACTGTTCCCATATTTATCACGAGAGATCCGCCTAGCTTGCAAAGATCTGAGGCTTCTTCCCCATAGTTGGACATGATCGGGGAGCCTCCAACAGCCAAGGCCACGTTTGCTGCAAAATTCTGAACCACCAAGTTGGTCATGTTATGTGAGAGTGGGTTCTTCTCAGTAACAACTTTGATAATGGCAGGTACGAGCCCGACGAGGCTTCTAGGATCACCCTTCTTTGCTGTATTGGCCAACGAGGCTGCGGCAAATGGCGGTGGTGTTTTGATAAGGTTCATAATCTCCTCGGCTGCTCTTGCTGGATCTTTTGCTGCCATGATAGCACTAACGACGGCAACCCCATCCAACTTCTTCTTCGAATCCGAGGACTGGTACAAGACACGCTGAACAGTGGACGCATTGATACCACCAATCGAGATGGTTCGAACATTCTTTCCATCTTCTGCTATGGCCCTCAAAATCTCTTTGGTTCCGGCGGTTCCAATGATATCCTTCGTGTTTGTTTTGCTGGATTGACCTTTAATTTACAACACCATATTGAAGGGGAAAGGATACCTCACGTTGCAGTTGCAAACATCGTCCCAATACCCAGGTAATCGGCTCCACCCTTACAGGCCAGTTGTGCTTCCTCGACGGTGGACACTGTCACACCAATAATAGCATTATCCCCAAGCAACTTCCTCGCACTTGGCAGGTCTAGGGGTTGAAATCAGAAGATTGACCGGCGTGTTACAAATATCTCATCACGTACCAAGGTCATCTTGGCCAATATGGACACCTTCACATTCAACAGCCAGAGCAACATCGACTCGGTCATTGATGAGAAGAGGAACATTGTGCTTCCGAGTCACAAGATGCAATTTGCGAGCAGTCGAGACAAGGAGTGCCGTGTCGCTGATTTTATCTCGGTATTGTACCAAAGTGACCCCGCCCTCTAGCGCGGCTTCGACCACTTCCACGAGATCTCGTTCTCCCAGGATAGCCGGGGTGGAATCGGTCACCAGGTAGAGGGAGTAGTCCACGGCAGGAGCCATAGTGAGACTCCAGCAAGCCACAACGGGACCCGAACGGGGACGGTCCCGAAGTCCCCCGTTCTAGTAGATGGACAGCCTTGCAAGTTCTACCTCCAGGGAAGTGTTCCAGGCATGAACTGAGTCACGTGGGAGGTAATGTCCCGTGATTGTTTCACCTCTACTGCTAATGCTGATGCTGATGCTGATGGTGGAGGACAATGCCCTGGGCAGTCACAGGCCAAGGGAATGTAAATGGAATTCACAAAGACAGGTAAGGGAACAGTAATGTCTCATAGAGCCATAGAAGGAGAGGAAGAAAAAAAGAGTGACGTTCTAAGTGACTCTGCTGCAGCCAGCCGCTTTGGGGCTTAGCGTAGTCGGCAAACACGCAAAGATATTCCCGCCCAAAGTGGACCCGAAGTTCTTTCTTCCTTCTCCCCATCACATCGCCTCCATCCACATCCACTCTGCTGTCATCAACTACTTGTCCACTTGTCCGCAAACAAGAACAAGAGTCTTCCACAACAAGACGCAACTCCTCTCCATAACAGCCTACCCTCCTCGTCGCAGGACCCAGCAAACTTCATCTTCAGAGCCGCTCCCATTTCCGCGCTCCTCCGAAACTGGCCAGTCGACCTCGACAGCCCCCTCGTGCCCAGGAAGCCCCCTTCCACAACTCCTTCAACAAAGCCATTAGCAAGTCAACGGATACATCTGCGTTATATGTATCTCACACCCAACGCAAACGACCTCGGACACCAGCCGCCTCTCGAGCTGCAACCATTTCGCATACCGCGGAAACCTTGTAGCCCCTACTTCAGTAGTAACGGCTAATACATCTCCTCCTCGTCGAATGTCGCGTTAGCAACCCCACGATTATCCATCTCCTTCGGTTCTCTCCTCGCTCCCTCTCACCACACTCCTCTGCATGTCATATGTCGCATCATCCGGTCGCGTAACGGTCAAAGTCGTGCCCTGATCCATACCAAAGTAATCCCAAAGTTATCCCCGAGCTACCGCAAAAATGGCTACCATCAATATTCGCAGCGATGTGAAGGATCCTTTCTATCGCTACAAGATGGAGAGGCTCCAGTCCAAGATTGAAGGCAAGGGCAACGGTATCAAAACTGTCATTGTCAACCTCAGCAGCGTCGCCCAGTCCTTGGCACGCCCTGGAGCCTATGTAATCAAGTATTTCGGTTTCGAACTCGGTGCCCAGACCAACACGAACCCTGCCGACGACCGTTGGATTATCAACGGTGCCCATGAAGCTTCCAAGTTGCAAGACTACCTTGACGGGTTCATCAACAAGTTCGTTCTCTGCAAGAAATGCAAGAATCCCGAGACCGATGTAGTCATCAAGGACGGACGTATTCTCCTTGATTGTAAAGCCTGTGGTCAGCGTTCAGACGTGGACCTGCGCCTCAAACTTAGTGGCTTTATCCTCAAGAATCAGCCAAAGAAGGGCAAGAAGGACAAGTCTGAGAAGAAGGCTGCCCGGAAGGCTAAGCAAAATGGCAACGGCAACGCTGATGCAGAGGAGAATGGACATGACGATGGAAGCGAGAACAACTCCCAGAATGGGTCCAACGGTGATAACGGTGATGTGGGTAACGAGGCAAACAGCGACGACGAACTTACCCGACGCATCAAAGCCGGTGCCGATGAGCTCGACGAGCCTGTTGAGGTCAAAGACGATGAGTGGACTGTTGATATGTCTGCCGAAGCTGTGAAAGCTCGTCAGCAGCAGCTCCCGGATGATCTTAAGCAGAAGCTTGTACTCGGTGGCGACGATGACGATGAGGATGGCGAAGGTGGTGGCAACTCTACCTACGACCAGCTCGGAAACTGGATCACCAGCGAAGCAGAGGAGAAAGGAAGTGTCGACAACGTCGATGATGTGGCAATCTACCTCAAGGCTAAGGAGCTCGGCATTGAGACCAAGCATCGAACTCTGCTCGTCTTGGTTCAGACAATCTTCGATGACAATATTGTCAAACAGGTTCCAAAGCGCGCTTCCATGCTCAAGAGCGTAAGTGGACAAAGTGAACGATCCCTTGAATCGAACTAACAATTGCATAGATGATCACATCCGAGAAACATCAAAAGGCTCTCCTTGGAGGCATCGAGCGGTTTATTGGTCTCCGAGGTCAGAAGGACGCTGCATTCTACGACCAAACTTCGAAGATCCTTGCAATCCTGTACAACGAGGATATCCTTCCTGAAGATGTCATCACCAAATGGGGCACTAAGGCTAGCAAGAAGTACATTGACCTCGCAACTAGTAAGAAGGTTCGCAAGTCCGCCGAAACCTTCCTCACTTGGCTCGCCGAGGCTGAGAGTGACGACGAGGATTCAGAGTAACCTCTTGCCCTTGTGTGTTGCTCAGGTCTGGATAGCCAATTGGCAGGATGAAGTTCGGATACTCTAGGTTGCCAGTCTGCGCTGTCGGGTTTCTGGTATCCTTTATTGTCATGGACCAGGCCGTTAGACCGAGTCATCGTTGATAGATTTGTTTTAAGTTTAATCGTCCCGCTGTGTTACTCAACTCCTTCTTTATGGGCATCTGAAAAGTTTTTGTGTTCGTTGTGCTAGTACAATCGAGGAATTCCTCTCGGACTTTTGGGCTCCAGTTCATTGTGCATATTGGTGACATGATGTTATGCCAAGACTGCAGTCTCTACGGTGGCAAATGTAAAACCCTCCATGACGGGCCGATCAAGCCTCCTGTCCTGTCTCCGATCCTGCAAAATCAACCAGACAGCGTCGCTGTTCACAGCCTCTAAAGCATCCCTCAGCTCATCTCTCTGCCAAACCAGGTCTCCAAATTGTTCGAGTAGCTCATCAAACATCCCATCATCGATCCTCACATATCCTGCAATCGCAGTCAACAAATCAATCACAGCCTCCCAAACCTGACTAGCCTGTGAATATTTCCCCCTTCCGCCTTCCCCTCTCTTCTCTGCCGCAAATCTTGCTTTGGACTGTGCGGCTAACTTCATAAGCTCAATCCACTCCACAGAAATTCGTGTGCTCAAGAAGTCTCCAGCGGAACGACATATCTCGGCAACGGCATTTGCAGCGGCAATGACCACAAATGACTCGTCATCGTGGAGCCTTTTGACGACAACGGGCCAAATGTCATTCACAAGAGGGAGAAAGCTATCCTCATCTTTGTAGAGTGCAGTAGAGGAGGTGCTGATAAGTCCAAGTAGCTTAGCGCGCAACACGGGAGAGGCATTCGTGAGGTAGTGTTGAGATAAGCGGGCGATGGAATGGAGCATCGTGTACGTTTTTGTCGAAGGTACTTTTGCGATCTCGCTTGTCGCAATTCCGTTATCTTCTTCGTCTGGTGGAGGGGCATCTGCCTCGTCCAGGAGTTCTTTTGCGGATTTCCAAGATGTATACGGTGCCTTTTCCTGTGAAAGTGATTCTCTTTCCGGCCTGGGTGGTTTCATTGCGATCATATTTGCGATTTCTTCTATTGAAGAACATTGGGGTTTGGCCTTACGGTGAGAAATCGAAGGGCCATTCGTAATCCGCAGCTGGTTTGATTCGGATCCCACCGAGACAATCTCCCCCAAGACAGTAAACAAGGCCTCGACAAGGCGGTGATACCCATGGAAATTGTCAAGGGCTGCAAATATCGACCCAACTACATCATCTAGGTACAGAAGTAAGGAAGGTCCCACAAGACGAATCATCATGACTAGAACTTGTGGCGCTTGTGGTGAGGTATCAAAGGTGTCCAATCTCAGCGAGATAGCATTGACCATGTAATCCGCATTTTCGATAATTAGCTCGCTGGCATTGGCATATCCGCAAGCTTTTGATATGATGTTTAGACAGGTGATAGCGTGCTCCCTCAAGTTGGGGTTGGGGGAACCCAGCAGCTGCGCGACGGGGTAGAGTGTGTCAACCAATTCCGTTCGAAAGTCCTGCTTCAAAAGCTGAGCTGTATCAGCAACGACCTCGAGAGCAGTGGCTTGCATGCGCCAGTCCTGAGTGGCCTCATTCTCGCTTCCAAGAAGAGACATCGAATAGGAAAATAATTCCTGGCCAACCACGTCTTGGGCGTCAGAGAGAGTCAGAGACGATTCAAAATACTCATCGAAATCTTTGTTCTTCGAGGATGCAGATCTCAGGATCTGAGATGATAGCCAGAATGAGGAAAGAATACTTGACCCAGAGGCGCCGCGTGCATATTCAAGCATATCGCTAGCCATTCTTATTTGGCACTCTCTAGACCCAAGACTATCCAATAAGCTTGCGAATTGTTTCCGAGTCTCCTTCTGGCTCTCCCTTGCCATTAAAACCGGGCTGAAGCGAGTGGTCAGAGTGTTCTCTGCCGCCAAGGTCAGAGCAGCTTGACTATTCAGGTCAAATTCTGAATCCTTCAGAGGCTTCCTTGCGGGTAAAGTCTCAAGCGTGACAGTGACACTGTCTCGTAGAGAATCGCGTAGAGCATCATGAAGGAGAGGAGATTCGAGGTTCAACCCCTCGAGGAGTAGATGGCCTTTCGATAGATTTCCCAATGCAGAAAGCTTTCCAGTCTCGTCATTTGATTGCATAACTCTGGGCAAACTCGTTACCCAGTTGTAGATCGTACTCTTAATCAAATCACCCAAATCAAGATGGATCGAGGAGATATCTACGACCGATGTTGTTCTGTCCACAAGCTCCTCGTCGTCGTCGACCCCAGCCAGAACCATGCAAGTCTCTACGAGCATAGGCGCTGATTCAGCCAATGTGTCATGACACTCGTCCAAGATAGTGATGCATAGTCTGTTCAAAGCTTTCCGAATTTCTACAGACTCATGGTTCCTGAGTCTGATGACATTCGAAAGTGCTAGTTTAATTTGACTGGAGGTTGCCTTGAGCCAGGAACTAGTTAGAACTTGCTGTTCGCTTGCGTCGTTGCTACTCGCAGCCTTGTTTTGAGTCCGAATGCTTCGGGTACGTATATCGCTCAACAACGAGATGAGAACATATTGGAAAATACCCAGACCCTTGACAATTACCTTTCGTGACCTGCGTGCGCCAGTGCTCGGCAACAAACACTTGGTCAGCGCTGAAATTGTGCCAGGGAGAAAGATGGAAAGTGCCTGTGCATTTTTTATGCAGCTCCATATTGCATCAAGGGTTTGCAAGGCTTCAAGTTGGGCTTCTGCTGACGGTCCATCGGTTGCTCCCTTCAGAACCACTGTCACGCAATATCCGAGGGCTGGAATGGTTCCCTCATCGATTAAGGAGGCTGAGCCCCCAGACGTGTTTGCCAGGTCTCTGAAAAGAGCGGCGAGGGCCCCGTATGCTTCAACCAGAAGCTCTTCCGGTGCAGGTTTAGACTCTTTTCCGGGAACTCCGCCGGCAACAAAGGTGAGCAACATCAAGAGCTGCTTAGCAAGATCCAGAGCTATTCCACTCTTCCACCCATATTCTAACAATATCCTCAAGCTCTTGATCGCCAATTCAGACAGTGGGTCAGTATACGTCTGTTTCCTTTTGAGAATCTGCGAGATAGGGAAAAAGGTATAGTCGGCCAGCTTCTCGTCGAAAACGCCATCCGTCCGCCGACATTTTTGTTGGAGAAGGGCAAAGAGTTGAGTGGTGGAATGTATCAGAGCTTTATTGCTGCTGCTACTACCGTCGTCACGTAGAGCCATCTGACTTAATTCGACACATCGAGGCTTGAGCTATCATTGTTAGCAAAGTCTCAATTTCTAGAATTGAACACTTACCGCTTGGAAGAGCTCGTTTCTTGCAGGGCGTGTATCGAGTTCCATAGTATCCGCCACTTCGACTGAATGCTATAGCTGACAAAGAATCGTGCTGCATCTGTTTGAGCACGGGCACGCTGGATGACGTTGAAGCTGTCGTTTGTTCGGCGAGGCTGAAGAAGAAAGAAACCTTATCACCACGTGATGCAGTCTAAGGCAGGATTTTACAGTATGATTGCCTGAGGCCTGAGGCATTCTAGCTCTTACCTACAGTCGGTCCGATCCAAAAGCGACAAAAAAAAAAAAACCACCATAATACTAATTAATATAAATCGTATTAATTAAAACTATACTATATACTATAGGAATTAATTCTATGTTCTCAAAATTATAATATCTTTATTATTAAGGAAGTTATAATATATATAATTAAGCGAGCAAATATATTGGCGTTTTGTATGGTCGTTTTTTTACTTTGGTTGTCACGTGACTGCCCCCCTAAGTTGACTGCTCTTCTATAATTATATTAATACCTTAATAACCACAAACCCAATCAAGTGCTCCTTTTATATACTTCTAATAGCTACTTCTATAAGGCTTCAGAAATGCAAGCGAGCTAATTTAACTCTTAATTCAATTATAGTTCTTACTCTAGCTAAAGAAGCTATAATCCAAGTAACTATTAACGAACGGTATAAGAAACCCTCTAATATAGAGGATAATTCTAATAATTCAGATATTGAACCAAGTAATAAAGTAGAGCTTGAAGATTTAATACTCTTTTGGATTCAGCGGAAGCTTTTTATTAGTAGTAATGAGATAATTATTTTAGAAAAGCCTATATTCATATAGTAAGAGTAAAGACTTATAGAATAGACTAGTAAGTTTCTTATTTTATTTTCTTATTTTTATATTATAATATAAGTATACTAATATTATTTCTAGCTTCCAGAGGCTTCTATTTCTCTAAAATAATAAAGGAATTAGTAAAGCTATTAAAAACTTAATAAAGATATATATATAATTAGAAAGTAAAAGATATTCAGGTTATAGAGTAATCTAGTAGGCTTAAGACCCCTGTAATTATACTACCTCTTAAATAAAAGAAGCTATAATTCGATATTATTAGGAGGCTAATTAATATCCCTAGGAATATATAATTAAGGGAAGAGTAAAGGCTTAAAGATAAAAATAATAGAACTAATAAGCTACTTTTGGATACTCTTATTAGAAATGCTTATAGAGATAATAAAGCTCTAGATATATAAATGACTTATTAAGAAGTCCTTAATAATATGAATATTAAGCTAGCTTAAACTAAAGAGCTATATACTTTATATATAATTACTAATTTATACTTATTCCGGTAATATATCTAATAGCTTCTAAAGCTAGGGTAATATTGACTTGGAAGGGTTAATATATTACTTCTAGTAGCTTCTAGTAATTATTACTTTAATAATAAAAAGATATTAGCTCGGTAAATTAGGGGGCTATTTAATTACTATTATGGATACGGTATTCAGGGCTTAGAAAGCAAGGTAAAAGGTCCTTTATAAAGACAATTCAAAGCTAAAGAAGGGAAAACTAGAATATAGGAGGCTACGAGAGAGTATATATACCCTATAGTATATTAGTCCCGAAGGGGCTAGCTTTCTAAATATCTCTAGTATATTCCAAGTATATTTCCCTAGTAAGGCGGCCGCATTACATATGCCTAGGAGGCATCCGGTATCTGGGAATTATAATATTACCCCCCTCTTTATAATAAGCTCGTCTCCGAGCTTTATACAAGCCATTAATTCATCCAATTTCGTATTATGCTCCTTTCTAAAGTAAAACTAGTATTTCGGATATAGATATTATATACGAAAGGCCGGTGCCTTTACTATATAACCTAGGAGGGTTTATTATTATTTCCGTATAGTTCTGGACAAGTATCGTTTTTTATATAGTCTAGCTAGTATTATAGGTTTTATAGAGGTCCTGGTATATTAATATTATTATTATAGAAACTCTATAAAACCAGGGGGCTATTACTTAGTACCGAAGCTAGATACTATACTAGATCTTTATTCTAGCTAATCTACTAAATTCTATACTTTAGCCTATTTCTTACTAGCTTGACTATAATAATCCGTTTAATGCCATACTCTTGTTTATTATTCTCTAGTATTAATAGGGGCGGTTCCGGATTTGCTTAATCTGGTAGAGGATTCTGGGGGTCTTTTTATAGCTTCTTTATATAGAAAACTGGATATATCTTTATGGTTTCCGGTAGTTTCAGGAGAAACAAGTAGCTATACTATTCTAGAATCTCAAATAGGCCCTCTATTTAGTTCTCTAGCTTCCGGCTCGGATAATCGGACTTCTAGTACTTTATAGTAACCTATACTTTATTCCCTACTTTGAAATTAATTAGATAGCGGTATTTATTAGCTTATATTATATATTATTCCTATATTTACTTCATATAGCCTTAGGCAAGTTACTATGATTTATATAATTGATTTATTAATACTTTAGCTTTATTCCTATTTAGCTTCTTTTTAGATAAGTTAGCTTTAATAGGGGAGTTCTAATCTAGAGAGATATAAGGCTTATAGCCCTTTTTAGTTATAAATAGGGACTAGCTAATAGTTTTATACTAAAGAGAGGCTTATTAATAATTAATTATAGTAATTTATTTGTCCCAGTTATCCTAATAGTAGTTAATATACGGGTATAATCTCTAATTAAAGTACTAATTAATAATCTCCGTTTATTCGTTTATTTAAGGGTAATTAGCTATAGAGAGCTTAAGCTTTATACTAATTCTTATATAGAATTTGCTTTAAAAATCAGATATAAATTAGAGTCTCTAATCTAATATAATTATTTCTGGAATACCTACTTAATATATTATATAAAGTAAAAATAGAGATACTAGTTACTTGGCTATAATTATATCTTATACGGGAATTATAATTAGGTACTTAGATAAGTAATCTACAAATATAGTAACTATATTATGGCCCGATTTGCTTTCTAGATAGCTCTTAAAATCTATAGTAATATATTACTAGAAGTAATTAGAAACTAAAAGAAAATAAAGTAAACCAGGCTTCTTATTTCTGGATATATATAATCTCTTATAGGTATAGTAATTACTATAGTATTAATTAATATCTTTGCCTATAAATAGCTAGTAATATTACTTCTTTAATAGCTATTAGAGCTTTATATATCCAGGATATCCAGAAAGAGATTTATTATATGTTTTATGAATTAGGGCAGTCTATAAAAATAGTTCGGGAATCATTTCGTTCTTTATAATATAGAATCTTCTATAGTATAAAAGAAGGCCGTCTTATAATATCTAGATATTACTTTTGGTTTAGGCTATTATATATAGCTTTTCTAGATCCGGTAATATATAATTATCTTATAGGATCTTATTTATAAGTTACAAACTACTATATTTAGTAAGAGCCTCTAATAATACTTCTATAGGAGCTACTATAATAGAGTCTACTAGTAAAGCTTCTAAGAAAATACCTTTTTCTAGGGAAATTATACCTCTAATAGGGATATTTTCCTCCGGAAAATCTTTAGTATATACTTGGTTTTTAGGGCCGAATTCCGGGTTAAATAAGCCGACCTTATAGAGTATTACTATAAGCTATAAATTATAGATAATCTCTAGATTAATCTTATTTTTAGGAAGAAGTACTTGAGTTTATAGCTTCTTTTTAATCTGGCCCTAAATATTTATTTTATCTTATTTTTATAATAAAGCATCTATTTACTTATTTGATTTTCTAGAATAATATATAAGCTTAAAATAATAGTAAAATAAGAGCTTAGCCTATCTAGCTTATTAAGAAGAGAGCTTCTTAGTAGTTATAAAGTACTTTAAGGTATAGTAATTAGAATAGACCTTAAAGGAAGTATCCTAAAGGCCCTCTAGTTTAGCTCTCTATTTCTCTAGTATTTAAACTATAGTAAGTATTTCCTTATTATATATATTATAATTAAGCTTTACTAGGAATATAGTTTTAGAAAAATAAGCTATAGGATACTAAAGGCCTGTTTCTGGGTCTTATTAAAAGAGTAGGCTAGTAATTACTTCTTTGGATATATCTATTTCTATTATTATAAGCAAATCTAAATTATAGTATTATAAAACTAGAATAGAAATTATAGCTTTCTTTAGGCAAGTAAAAGCCTCTCGGTATTATTTAGACTACTTAAAAAAAATACCCTTTTCTATAAATAAAATAAGAGGTCTAGTAATCTATTTATATTCTTTAATAAAGTATTTATAAAAGTTATAGAAGCTAAGGAAGAACTAAATACTCTTAATTATCTTTAGGAATTATTAGTTATATATTACTTTAACTTTATTAGAATCTATTTTAATACTAAATATAGAAATAATAAAGCCCAAGTATTTTATATATATAACTTTGAATTCCGATTTCTTAATATCTATTTAGAGGCTAGTAAAGTATAAGCGGTCTAGTACTTTTTATATATACTATTTATATTCTACTAAGTTCTTTAAGTAAATGAGAATATTATTAAGATATATTATATAAAAGTTATTTAGATATTCGAAAAACATATTATTTATATAATATTAATATATAGCCGGGCTATTTATAAGGCCTTTCTAGAGGATATTATATTTATATATTCTATAGTAGATACGGAATATTATTAGCTCCTGAAAGTCCGGATCTATAGCTATATAATAGAAAGCTTAATAGATATCTAATTTAGTATAGATCTTGGCCTTAGATAATTAATTTAAAGTCTTATTAATAAGGGAAAAGGGATATTAATTCTTCCGGGTAATATTATTTAGGTAGTAGAAATTAATATAGAAGTATAAACCTCTATTTGCTTTCTTTATAAAAAGAACTAGTAAAATAAAAAGAGCCTAACTAGCTTTAATAAAGCCCTTAGCTAGATTATCTTTTAAGAAATACTTGATTTCTAGAAGCTCTTAAATAAACTATTACCGGAGGAATTAATATCTAATACTTTCGGTTCTTTTTAGGCCTTTAATCTAAATCTTATAA